TCAGCCAGAGATAGATCATCCTTTGGATGATCGTAGGCTTCCAGTGGGAAGCCGTCTTCACCGGAAGGGCATGAGCGCCCGCGATGGGGCACCCCGCCACCGCCGAAGGAGCCACGCGCCGAAGCAACCCCAAAGAACCCGCAGGAAGCGAAACGACCCAGCGATGAATTTGGGGAACAACATGCCCCATCTTCCTGTGTACACAAAGAAGTTCCACTCTGCATCCGCTTGGTATCTATGACGAGCACCGGGGGGAGAGAGGAAGAGGGTCTTTGCAACAGACGCGAGGATGAACATCAAATGAGGAACCCGTGCGCCTGCAAAGAAATCCAGTACGTCGCTTCTTTTTTTACGAGCGTGATAAATTGTCTGTGATACGATCGCGGTCGGCAAACGCAAAGTCCCTGGCTGAAGACTGGTTCGCGCACTGATTATAGCTGTTTGAGAACAACAACAAAGTCAAAGAGCACAGGAGGGGCGAGATTCCCTAGGATCGGTTTCTCCTTTCTATGAACCTTGCTGCGCTAGCGACCTAGTTTAAGTACTTGCTTTCAAGGCGTATGCTTGGCAAGACCAGAATATGTGTTCGCGCGGTTTCCTGCTTATATATGCATAAGCAGCGAAAGTACGCACCTGGAATCTGATGGCAATTTTTTTCCCGGAAGAGAATTTTCAGTCGCACAGCTGCGCGATCGGTTTTTTCACGGTTCTTGTGTCAGTGTTGAAAAGACACCACTTGAGCATGCCCGTAAGTTATATCTCTGTGCGTGACGAGAAGAGGACGATCCCTGAAGTCGAAGTTTGCAAAGATCTGTAATACCGGCTGATAGATGAAACTACGAGCTATTCTCATCTGAAGCTTTAGGACTCAAGGTTCGGAGTGGGCCACGTAGTTCTTTCCGCTGCCATTTTTGCAGGTCCTCATCTACTTCACCCGTTTTGCTAGTAAGATGGAAAGTCATCGCTTTGATGTCAACATGATATCGTACTGTCGTGTGACTAAAAAAATACGAATCTCTGTCTATCCCTCCCACGAGCCCTGCGAGAGAACAACTATGAGGTAGCCAGGCGGTAGTTGTAATTGCGGACCCCGTCCTCGACGCGGCGGAAAAATCGAATGGTGGTCCGGCAGAAGTCCTCAACATCCGCCGGCGGTCCACCGGACGGTCCGAGCTGGGCCCCGTTTCTTGCAGAGCTGGTCGTGGTGCTGGCCGGCATTCTGTTCTGCTACGGCACCGAGCCGCCATGGACCGTGGTCGGGTTGTTCGTTTCCCTCGCAGCGCTGGAGCTGGCGTTTCTGCGGACCCGGGTGCTCTTCGTCGAGTCGCCACAAGGTGGCTCGGAGGACGTGGAGGACGGGGCCTTGTTGACTAGGTCGGCGAAGGGAAGTGCGAGAACGGAGACCGGCGGTACTAGTGTAGTTCTTCTTGGCGAAACAGGTCGTGAGAGCCAGATGATCGCGGAGGCACCAAACGACAGAAACGTGAATAACGATGAAATTTGGGACGACAAAAGGGGTTACAGCAAATCTTCTGGTGAATCCGGGACCACTATGGTCATGAACAAAATGGGTACCACGAGCAAGAAGGCCAACATCCACAGCGAAGGTGAGGAAACGCAGCCGCTAGTGGAAAGGCGCACAACCACAGGAGGTGTGATTTTCACGACAACGTACGGCCAGGATGGAAGGCACGAGAATGCTTCAGTAGACGTGAGCTGCAAGAACCAGCCGAGAAAAATCAGAGATCACCGAGATGAACAAGCTGCAGTTTCATCCGGCGTCGTAGATATTTCCACAACCACCGATGACCCGCACGACAGCCACGACGAGCATTCCCCCGGCTGCTCCCCTTCGCCACGACCGTCTCAGCCCGCGAGCCCGCTTTCGGCCTCCTTTAGTATGACACGGAAGGAGCCGTTTTTGCTGAGTCTTCTGTTCATGCACGACGAGGAGCTTTTCGCCAGCGCTGAAAAGTACGGAAAAACTCCCACAGGCCGTAGGTTCCGCCATACGTATCGTGCGCGCTTTTACAACCGCTTTCTCTTCCACCTCGAACGCGAAGCGGAGAGCAGTGGCATCGTACTCGGCGCGTTGCTTTTGCCGCTCCTGTTTTCGGTCGAGCCGGATTATATGAGAGGGAATGGAGGTAAATACGGTGGAGCAAGTGGGGGTTCGGGTTCTGCCCAGTGCAGCGCGGTTTTCGTCGACCACACGATAGAGGATGCTACTACTGCCACTACAACTCTTGCTGGAGCCCTGTTCTCCTTGATGCCAACATCGGACGATGAAGCAGCATCGGGGGTCCAGAGCATCGTGGGAGAGGGAAAAGAAGCACGGGGAGTGGATGAAGGGCCTCACGCTTCTACTACAGATAGTGTTCTTGTTGTTGAGTCCTCTGCACCGTACAACGACTCCGCGAGGATACCGTTTTCGGAACTTTCGAGCGCCACAACCACGATTCCTCCGTGCCCCGAGAGTCATTCGCACATAACGATGCGGGCGGCGCACTTGGTGACATCAAGTTGCTCTGCCGTCACGGCGCTCTTTCTGCTGGGTTACTTCTTCGCCACCTACGTGCTCAAAGACCGTGGAAGTAGGGTCCTGCGAAAAACCCTGGGAGAAAAAAAATCAAAATCATCTCTCGCTCAAGAGAGTGGTTCTAGTGCGGCAACTTCTACTTCAACACGAGGGAAAATGTCGAAAATGGATGACCACGACGAGGACGACGGCATACAGGATCGTTTTTTTCCGGTCCGATCGTCCGTGACGAGTGCGACGCCCAGAGCGAGAGATGATCCTGCTTTTGAGCAGCAGAGAACTACTACATCAATGCTCAGCACGAGCACGTCGTCCTTAACATCTACGCGGCCCGTTTATTTCCACTTTATCCTGACCACGCTTCTCACCTTCTCGGCCGGGTTCGCTGTGCTCGCTTTCGTGTACACACTTCTGGAACACAAATACTTTGGTTTTCGCGCTCCCCCCGAACCGCTGACGAGCGCGCAGCTGTGTTTCGGGCTGCCGGCGGTGTTTCTGGGCTCCATGTACGTGTTGCTGTGCGTGCTGCGGAAGTCCTTCACGCTCGGGGAGGCGGTGCTGCTTTCGCAGTGCAACGTGTTGCTCACCTACCTTTTCCACCTCGTAATTTTCCAGCAGCGGATCCGTCTGACCAAACTGCGGTGCGTGATTCTCCTCGGCCTCTTTGGCGCGGTCTTCATCGCGGGACACATTTTTGTCCTGCACTACTTCTGCTGCAAGCACCGGCGGCTGCGAAAGAGTTTGTTTACGAAGCCGAGCTACTTTTTTTCCGTTACGACGTTCATCTCCGTTGCGCTCCTGTTTCAGGCGATGTCGCTCTGGATCCAGGAAAACTCGCTGCTCTGGATCGTCAAGTACGTCACGCAGCACTCCGCCACCCCGCTGAAATTCATCCTCTACTACGTCGTGGTACTCGCACTGGGGCTCTCGGTCGGTTTACCGCTCGTGCGGAATAAGCTGCTTATTCCTGATACAGTTGTTGAAAAAGCAGGAGGACGACAAGTAGAGCCGGAACAAATTGAAACCAGAAAAGGACGAAGTGAAGACAGCAAAGAAGCAAGCGATAGTACGACCGGCAACGCAAAGAGCATGAGGGAGAACAACAGCCCGGTCATTCGGACTTGTGCCAGTGGAATAAAACCGGAAATAATTTCAACATCTTCCGAAGACATCAAGAAGTGTGCGATGGAAATAAAACTACAAGACACGACAATATCAACATCCTCGTTCTTGTCAACAAATAACGCGACTACTTCTCATCCCGCTTCTGGCACGACTCCCGAGCTACCTCTGCGAGCCCACAGCACCTTGTCCGAACAAGGTGGGCAAGTAAGTTTTGAGGATGAAGAGGACCACGAAGAGCAACTACACGAAGATCCTGGCACGACAAGCGCACCGGCGGTCATCTCGGTTCTTTCGGATACAGGTGGATCCTCTTCAACTCGCAGCCCTGGAGGAACAGTAATTAGTACCACCGCGATGAACAAGCGGTACCAGATTATGGTCCGCAAGTACTTCCACGCACTGGCCATCGTGATGTTCGTGCCCTCGGTGTTGATTCACATCCGCTTCACCAGCTTGGCCTTCGCCGTCGCCTTCGCGGCTTTGGTGGTGCTGGAGGCGTTCCGCAGTGCGGACGTGGAGCCGATTGCCTCGCTGATCAACCGGTTTATCGCCCCCTATCTGGATCGCCGCGACGAGGGGACCGTCATTCTGACGCACATGTACCTGCTGCTTGGCTGCGCCGTGCCCGTGTGGTACGCCTTTTTCGTGCACGGCGGGATCTTTAACGCAAACTCGCTGCTGATTTCGCTCGCGGGCATCACGGCCACCGGCGTCGGGGACTCGGCGGCCAGCATCGTGGGCGGGTGCATCGGGCGCCACCGCTGGCCCGGGGCGCGGAACAAGAAGACGCTGGAGGGCAGTTTTCTCGGATTTTTTCTCTCGACCTTTTTGTTCCAGGTGTTGCTCCTCTACGTCGTGCGGTTCCAGGGCCTCTCGCCGGCCTCGTGGGCGCGGTTAGTCCTCGCCGACCTCCTCGTGGCCACCTTAGAGGCGTTGACGGACCAAATCGATAACCTCATCCTGCCACTATTCCACGCGGCGCTGCTGCAGTACGTCTGACGAAGAGCTTCAACTTGTAACTTGAGAAGGGCGCATCATGCGAATACATGTCATGCCTTTTTCGCGGTAAGGTACCAGAAAGAAGACAACGTGCTTACAACTGAGATAACAGGAGGAATATTGACACTCATTTTCAGTGGTAGCAGCCATTCCCGCCGGCGGGGCACTTACAATGAAAAATAAAGTCAAACTACCCGGAGATGAAGTGATGTGAGTCGAGAAGGGTCTGGCTTTACGTCAGCTGCAAAGTACTTACTTAAGTTACTTCACCACGGCGTGCGCACAGGAACACTCAAATCACTCTTGCGCCATCTCTCCCATGAGGCAAAGACAGGTACTTATGACGTTCTGTGTGGCCGCATCAGAACGCTTGTTTTCATGTTCGATGAAAAGTCGAGAACCAGATGAACTCAGTTGTGCGGTCCTCTTCTACATGGAAATCCATTAAGGAGCAAAATGATCAGTCGTAACTAAACAAGCCATCGGTTCCCGTTACACATTGAGCAAACAAACTCAGAAAAAAGTCGGTTGATGTGTGGTTGTGATGAAAACTCGGTGAGTGCGTCTGCACCTGCTTCTACACGTACATGTTTCCTTCGATTATCATGTCGTGCTGAACTTTCACCTCTGCCGTCTGCCACCTGGCGCAACAGTATCTGATCGGTGTAGCTATTGCACGAGAATGAAATGTCGGTGCCACGAAGGTGTGTGCAGGAACAAGTAGACCTCGTTAAACCTCTGGCTTTTCCATTTCGTCCTCACGTCTTACTCTTATGCCGCACTCAATACGCTGGCTTCGGTGAATCCCTACGTGATTTGGCAACTAAGGACCTGAAAACATAAATAGATAAACGTACTAATTTCCACCAGCAGGAAATGGGAAATCCCTGCACTTCACCCATCCTCGAAGAACGTCACTTAATCTCGTTTTTGTTACTGTCTTTCATTCACTATCACTCACACACTAGTTCGTTTTTATGAAAACTTTCAGCTGCCATAAAAAACTTCCCTGTTTAGTAGAACTCAAGTGCAAGTAAAAAGGAACTACAGCACCAGAAGTTAATCTGAAAAGTTTCCGTACAGCACACAGTTCGTTTTCAACCAAGATCGGGACCACATCTCTCAACGCAAAAGGGTCCTGCTCAAAGAAACCGCAGAAAAGCCACGGTTTGTTACAATTGTAAAGTCGATCACCAAATAACGACCACGAGCAAGCGAAGAACGTAAACGAAAGTGGAGCTTCTGCATCGGTCTAGAATTGCTCGACGTATTTCTATCTTCTTACGCTACTGAGAAAACGTGTGGCACTATGGTACTTTCTCGTCGCGTCCAGAAAAGTGCCGCGGCCTACGTTGTCACGACCGGGCTGCTGACTGCACAGCAAGGTGGTGTGTTAGCAGAGCACAAGTTTCTCGAAAAACGGGAAAAGTGCGACGGCGACTGTTATGGAGCCGAAAAAGCCACCAAAAAACTCGCGGCGGAACTCGAGTACCTTCCTGTTCAATATCTTTATTGTGTCTGATGCTGTGATTCTAGCGGATAATTTTAATTTTCGCGCTTTTCATGCTCTGATGCTGATTGAAAAATCCAGTGCTTTTTGTGATGTATGGTTCTTTATTTATATTTTGTTTGCTCGCCCGGTTGTAGCACAGATATGTATTATGTACCTACTCGATCACTCCTCGGTATCGTATCTGTAGGATGGCACATGCAGGTCATAGGAGCCGACGTGGGTATTGCTCCTGCGTTGATAATTTCTTCACTTCCTATCTATTTTTTCATTCATCTTCAGCCTTTAGTGATTTGTTCTTGTCCTCTCCCCCACAGGAAAAACGTGGCATGGCAGAAGGAGAAGGAGAAGAGGGAGCGGATGAAAAAATTGAGGCAGGAGGTGGCCAGGGAGCGGAGCAACGAGTTGCAGGACCACCGCATGGCACAACAAGGTTTGCAGCACGTCCCCCTTCCTCCCGGTTCTGCCCCCGGCGTGCGTCTGTACGCCCCTTACGGCACGCAGTCGGAGGTGGGGCAGCCAACTGCGGCGCCTCCTGCCACTCAGCCTGTTGTGACTCGAACTCCTGCTATGTCGGAAAGAAAGCCATTCATCGTCCTTGCTGGTGGCCGCCCCAGAAGAAGAACGAAAATAATTCGCAGATCGATAAAAGAATGAAATTATTTGCAGCTCCCTGCTTCATCATCTGCCTCTGCGTTTGCGTACTATGCATACGAGGTCCGTGAAGAAATTTTCCTTTTATATTATCGGTTGCACGTCGTACTATGTCTGTTTTGAAGATCACCGAGAGGACCGACGGACTCCGACGTTGTTGATCTTCTTTCGTGGGGTCCGCTAGTGTATCGGATGAGTGTACTTTGTTTGCCTTGGATTATGGCACAACTGGCGCAGTACCCTGCGTTGGAATTTGGCGCGTCCAGAATTGGCTCGTCTTCTTCCTCCTTCGTGGTGACGGCGGACGACGTGGAACAAAACGAAGACCACACGGCCTCCCCCACCTCCGATGCACACCAGCACGAAGTTCTTGCTCCGACGACTGCCTCGTCGTCCAGCAGCACTGATGTTCCCGAAGATCTCGTCGGACAAGAAGATTCTTCTGCTGCTGCAGCGGAAGACCACTCTCGTCCTCCGGGCGAGGAGCTGGAAGAACCGCACTTCGCGTTCTTGGATCATGAAAATGTTGTGAATGGCCAGGACGACGACCACCACGACATGATTGACAACGGGATCTTCGGCGCTGTTGTGGCGTCGAGGAGCGCGACTGGACGAGCGGGATCTTCTGGTTCTTCTGTGGGAACATCTGCTCCTCCGGCGGAAGACGACGATGAAGAAGCCGTGCTACAGGTTGATCATGTTGTCGCGCCGGGGAGCAAGAACGACTACGGTGGAAGTTCTGCTGCAGCTACAACCGGATTTCTTCAAGACGCTCGTGTTGCTGAAGACCAACATGCGGAAGAACCAGCGACGTCATCTCCGATGGAAGTCGACATTGACGGGCAGGGGGATCTGGTGGAGGATGGCATGATATCCCGTGCTAAAGTATCGTACTCGTACGAATGCAAGTCTTGCATTACAAATCTTGTTTCCAATGCAAATCCGCATTACAAATTTCATTTGTAATGCTAAGTCAATTTGTCATGCAATTGATACTAGTACGATACTTTTGCACTGCATACATGATGAGCAACGACGACAACGATGACCTGGAGGCGTCTTCCCATCTGGAGTGCAACGACAACGCCTGCTACGGGGGCACCAAAAAACGGTACAGCATGTTCGGGGCTTTCTTGTTTTCCAACTTTGAATTATATTAATAGGTCCTCTGTCATATCTTCATGTCTTCTAGTTCTGTATTTGTTGCTAGTATTCCTATTGAGAATGTTGCCAATGTAGGAGTTCTTGCGGGACTAGTTCCTCGTCCTCTCTTTCAACCCAACATTTCGGATGAATGATCATTCTAGCTGATATTGAGTGTCCTGTCTTAGCTGTCGTGCTCAAGAACACCGCCTTCTTCGGACCCTGGTGTGCAGATGAATGTCGCGCAGCAGCGCGTCGTCCAAATGTGATCACTTGTTTTCTGCGTCTACTCACAAAAATCCACATCAACAGGAGCAGCCGCACACGATCCGCGATCCCAAAACCGGGCGTTCAAGCCGCGGGGAGCAATCCACCGGGTCCTCGTGCAGGGGCGGCCGCAGCTGTAGCGACGGGGGAGCATGTGGTTCCGCACAACGTCATTGTGGGTGGGGATGATGCTAAAGCCCAGAAGGTTTTGGACTCCCCGGAAACGGCGGCCGCAGTGAATTTATACAAGCCAAGCGCGCACGTGGTGGTCCCCGCCGGCGCCGCGAAGCTGGTTGAGTACTGGGACCCGAAGACCCAGATGTACAAGGTACTGAAACCGGGTGAACAACAGTACTTTCCGCCGGGCCAAGACCCTGACGTGCGCGTTACCCCCGCGGCGGCCGCGTCTGCCTTCCTCCAGTCCGCTGCGAACACGATTCGCGCCGGCTGGGACTACCTCCTGAATGCGCCTTTCAGAAGTGAAACCGAAACCATATCCGGTGTAAAAACCTGCTTCCCATGAAGACGAGCACTGGTACTAGTAGTGGTCCTCTTCCTCCTCCTCTCAGTACTAGAATTCTGTAGCACTGTTGATATGTTGGAAGATGATTTTTGTACAACGTACGTGCGAGCAAGCTTAAGCTAGCTGCTCTCGGGACGAGGTGTCCCATCTTCACGCATTTATGAAGATCTTAAATCGAACAAACTTGATTCCATTCGACCACAAGAAGCTACGGCAGGCAGCAATAAAAAAGGTGCGATATGAAAACCTGCTGAACGAAATCTTTGCAAATAAAACTTCTTGAACGCGAAATCTTCATCTTGTCTCTTGTTGAGCTAGTGCACTGACCCACATGGGGATCCGCAGGCACGAATGGGAATACGGAGGTTTTTACACAGGATAGTGTGGTGGTGCAGCGACCGATGAAAATGACATCGACAACGACCGCGAACAAATCGACCCCGTCCACGTGTAGGACACGCCAACTACATCGAGGGTGTACGCATAGCCAAGGAGATGGCACGTCTCTACCTTTTTGAAGATTATCTATCGTCCGGGAACAAAAGTTAAAGTATCGAACGCAAAGCGCAAAAGAATTGCGAAGTATCGAAATAACGTTGACCATTACACATGCACCAAGTAAAATGTGAACATGTTGCACTTATTGTCATCATTTTTCTTCATGCTTTATTTTCCTGCCTTTACTTTTTACAATACATTTTCATGAATTATTGACTGATTTACTTAGTTCGCTTATACCACTCACTTCACTGTCACTGTCTGAGTCTAATCCTGTTCATGACTGCACTTCCTAAATTATACGTAAGTCATGTAAAGTGCTTTTTCGCGGTGGAGTGCCTGCCATTTACTTTGTTTGGTATCATCGCTGGATGATCGTGAACATAGTATCGTTGAAGACTGGTCATAAACTACGCTAGCATACTAGCAGACGAGGTAATTTTACAACTTCACAAAACTACAGCTAGCTGCGTTGCCAAGCCTCCAGAAGCTCCTTTTTCGTAGCTGCATCGCTTTCTCGGTAAAACTGTCAGGATCAACCCACTTCTGGAAGTACCGGATGAAGAAATGCCAATCACAAAATGGTTTGGCGGATCGGTGTGGAGTTGAGTTTATTTTGTATTTGTTGGATCGGTTGTATAGAATTAGAAGTTCAAGTTGAGCTTTGTTTGCCGCAGCGCCCTCGGTCTTCTCAAGTATTGCTTTTCGTAACAAACCACGTTTCATCCCTTTCTTCGGTGCTCGCCATATTTTTGACTTGCGACGTTTAGTTGTCTATTTGTGAGCCCTGCATATGCATTTCGTCCGATCATCCGCCTTGCTTTTATTCTTCGGTAGTCGAGTTGGCGAAGCTCAGGCGCAGCGGCCAACGCCTGGTAGTCAATTATGTGATGAATCGGTCGACGTCCTCATCCTCTAGAAAACTTGCGCCGATGACGTTGACATACGAACTGGTCGGTACTGGTGGTCAAGTTTTGCCAGTCGTTGCTTCGGTTGAGGTGCAGCTGCAGTGATGAATACCATGCATCTGTTTGGTTCGTCTTCGTAGTCGGTTGCCCAAGAAACAATGACTTCATGATCTACTTCCGCATCAACTACCTAACATGCTGTCAGGTCTTCAAAGTTTTCATCCCAAGACCACCGTCTTTCATCTTATCGTTATCTCACGTTCATCTTATTTTCCTCACCCAAGATTATCTAAATTTGTGAAATCTTGTTTTCATCATCTTTCTTGTCGAGGCTAGTGGCTGATCTTTCACCATCAACTACTTCTTTGCGCAAATAAAAGAATTACCGACAGACCGCTTCGTTCGAAACAAATCAAATCAAAATCCGTGTTGGTGTTTCGGCTTCTCACTCGAGTGGGTACCAAACGCAAGCTCATCCATCTCACCTCGATATAATTTTATCCAAGGACAACATCGACGTCGTAGTCGTCTGTAATTTCTGTAAACGAACCTGAACCACTACTAAAATCAAACACGAAAACGAAATTTTTAAACCAAAAATGGCATTTTCAACAAATTCAATTCCTCCCCGAGGACCTGGGCGATTGCAAAAATGGGCGGTTTTGCAGGTGGTTTTCCTGGGCGGTGGGCACCATCTTGTAATCTCGGGAACAACAAACCTCGTCGCTGCGGTTCGGCACGACAAAGACCCATCTATGCATTGCAAAAGTATCGTACTCGTATTAATTGCAGTACTACACACAGCATGACAGGTCTCGTTACTTAACTAATTTGGCTTCACAAATCCCAGTTTGCATTCTGGAAAAATTTGTAATGCTATTTTCACTAGCAAGTTAGTACGAATGGGAATGCGATACTTTTGCAATGCATACAATCCGATGCGGAACAACTGTCCTTGCTTGGTCGAATCCTCGCACCCTGGGGCTGGACGACACCACCTGCGCCTGAAACCGCGTCTGACAACACGAGCGCGAACCCAATAATCACGAGCATGAGCAGCAGCGACGCAGCGCGGGCTTCCACGTCCGGCAGTTCTGCTGGGCCAGAAGATGAAGATGCCGCTGGAGGTCCTCGGGTGAACGACCATGTCAGGAGCGCGACCCAGCGGGAAGATCTGCACGTTGTGGTGGACCAAGACACCGCGTTTCTGCAGCAGGAGCAGAGTGCACCAGCGGACGTGGCGGCGGTGCAGCAGCAGGGTCTTCGCGGCGGGGGTGCAGGCGGACAAAATCCCGTTCTTGTCCCTGTCGCCGACGGCAGCACCAGCGCAACGAAAACCCTGTCCGGCGCTGCTGGCGGAGGAGAGCCAGAAGATGCGGAAAAACAAGAAGACCACGCAGCCGAGGTTGTCTCTACGCCGCCGTCCTCGCCGGGATTTTTGCAGCGGCGGGATGGCTCTTGTTTCTGGTGCGGCCTGACGGGAAAAAGCAAAAAGACCACGCCCCCTCCTGTCGAGGAGGAGGTGGAAGTTCCGCAAGAACCTCCCGTGCAGCCGTCGCAACTGAATCTTGTGATCAAGGATGTGCCGCATCCGCAGGTCGACGCTCCGCCGCGTGCCGAAGATCGTGGAGGTTGGCACGCGGCGGGGCTGCAGGCGCAAGCGCAAGCGCAAGCGCAAGCGCAGGCGCAGCAACAAGCTGATCTTCACGCTGCTCCGCCTCCGCTGGGACGGCAACAACTGCCTGCAGGTGGAGGAGGTGGATCACTCGCCGGTGGACGACACGCACTGTCACTCGGGTCCTCTGAAACTGCTCATGCTGCTTTTGGATTGTTCCAACCTCCACCAGCACGTACCGACGAGCTGGAAGAGCCTCCGCCGCTGCCCCCGCCCATGCAAGCCCCTCTGACGCCAGCGCCACTGATCACGCTGACGTCGAGTTCAGCCGGAGACGGTGGTGGCGGACTGGCTGCGGCCCGACAACCACCTCCAGCACTCGCAGCTTCAACAACTGGAGCACAGTTCGCGACCGCTCTCGGTTCTCTTTCACCGCCGCGGGAAACATTTCCAAATGGTATGCCCATAACGGTCCGTAACGCATCGTGTTGCAAAAGTAGGAATGATGATAACAAATGAAGCAAGACATCCATTGCATCGTTCCGGTTTTAGTTTCATTTCAAGATGGTAGGCCCTGCCGCGCAAGTTCCGCACTTTTGACGGTGCAGCGCGAGCACTACCGCTAAATCCGCACTTTTTGGAAGTCAAAAAAGCGAAAACGCTACCTAGCTATAAAATGAAGGAAGCTGGAAGTCAAAGTGTAGTCAGTGTAGCCGTTTCATGGCCATCCAACAAAAAATTGATTCGCCTGGAATTAGGGTCGTGCGTGTGCCACTGGCGACATACTGTTATAGGCAGGTTCATCAGTAAACAGTATCAATTTCCGACTCTATGTCGCTTTTGCGCACAGGATACGGGCCGTTTTGCTCAACGATATTAGATGAGGCATTACGACGAGCAGCTCCAGGACGTGTCATGAGTGGGGCTCTCGGTGCTGTTGGGGGTGAAGCTTCTCTGACCGGGTCGGTTCCTAGTGGTGGTTCTCGAACTGCAGCTGGTGCACGGGCGGAGGGCTGGGCCCGTCGGTTCGAAGCGGTACGGCACGACGCCGATCGTGCTGCTGGTCTTGATGGAGGAGTTGCGCTTTCCGCGGGCAGTGGTGGAGCGACTGCTCAACTGCTCCCGGCGACACAAGTGGTTGCAGCAGAACCACGCGCGCCGTTCCGGGATCGCGTTCGGAAAGCAGTGACGTTCGCCACAGCATTTGGCGGCGGGCGTCCCGGGAGTTTGGCGCCTCCTCTTTCGCCTGCGTCCACGAGAAGTGTCTCCAGTTCCGCCGCCCCCCCGAGTGCCGCAGGCGCCGGTCCCGCAGGTGTTTCCGCTTCTGCGGCTGTTCCCGCTGATGCGGCTTCGGCTGTCCCTGCCACTTCGGCGCCGTCTCGCGATCATCTTCACGCCACTCGTGTAGTTACACCAGAAGAAGCACCTGCGAAACGCCACACGAGGACACATGGGTTGAAATACCAAGACCTGCGACCAACCCAAAAACAACGAGAAGGTTTGGGGCATCCTTTCTGGCATGGGCTGACCACTACTTCTGCTGCTGCTCCCGCCGCTTCGGGTACTTCATGGGGCGGTAGAGGGCCGGGTGCGGGTCCTGGTGTGACTAGTGGCGTAGCTCCTGCTGCGACGCCGCCAGTTGCACATGCTGCGCGGCGCAGCATGCTGCGGCAACCGCAGACCTTGTCTGCCGACGGTGGTCCTCCTCCGCCTCCGGCCGCGACTGCTCCAGCGGCTGTGGCAGCAGGCACTCTTCTAGCCGACTCGGAAACACCTTCCCTATTAGCCGCGGGCAGGGTCGGCTCTGTCGCTTCTTCAGCGCCTGGCGGCGACGGGAATCCTTTCGCATCGGGAACTGGTGCGAGTATGAGCGGTGCAGCAGCTATTGATGGTTCTGTTGCTAGCCAGCAGCCGTCGACATTGGTGCGCCAGCAGGCTCAGGCAGGTCCATTGCCTCAACCGGGGCCGCCTGCGGTCGTGCAGCATCTTCCTCCCGCCGCAACACTCTCTGCGCCCACGGCTGGTCCTGCCGCTGGCATGCCTCCTCCAGTTGGGACTGCTGCCGGGACCACTCCGCTTGCCTCGATTGTTGCTGGAATACCGCCACCACCTCCCGCACTATCAGCCCTGGGCGCGCCCGCCGCCACGATGATTACCGGCATGATTCCTGGCGGAGCCGGTTCTTCTCCGTCAGCCGCCGCCGTACTACCTTCTGCACCCGGACTCGTACGACCGCCCGACGTTGTCGTACCCGGTACGGTTGCGTCGGCTGTCCCACCGGTGCCTGGTTTCGGAGGAGCTCCGGCTGCTAGTCCCCTGCTGCCGGCCGCCCCCACCAGTACCATGCCTGCCGGTGCAAGCTGGAGCGCTTCCGGTTCCGGTTTTCCAGGCGCTGCTGCGCATCAGTATCCGATACTGCCGCAACTAGCGGCGCAGCCAATTTCGCCAGCCCTCCCACAGCCCCCACTAGCGCCGACGATAGCTGCAATGGGGCCCCCGGGAAGCGGAAGTGCGATTCTTGCCTCCGGACCGCCGGCGGCAGCAACGATTCCTTCACCTGTTGTATCGGCTCCTGCCGCAGCACCCATCGCTGCAACTCCACCTCTTCTTGGAGGTTCCTCGATGGCTCAACCGGTTCATTTTGTCGGATCTGGTCATCCTACCGGGTCTATGACTGCACCTGGGGCCGCCATTCCGCCCGTACTGGTGCCGGCAAGATCTGCTCCGGGGGCCTTTCAATCACCGGGAGCGTCGATGGCGATGCCCCCCCCGGGTTCTCCTGGAAGCCTGAGTGGGCCGCCGCCGGTTTTGGCGCCACCGCGGCCGTCGGGCCAGCATCTGGTGAGCCCGATGATGCCGCTGGCGACAGGAATGCCCATGGCCGGTTCGCCTGGTGCAGGTCCGGGCGGAGGCTTTCCAGGAGGCCTTCGAGGTTTCGATCCTTTCAAAACTTCTGGGCCGGGTATGATGCCATCGCCTGTTCCGCCGCCTGCGACCGGCGCTGCACAACCGGGTTTGCCTCCAACTGCGATGAATCAACCACCTCCAAGATACCCCGGCGGGCTGCCTTTCGGGGCTGGGCACTATTCCCCACCGCAGGCTGAAGCGAAGCAGGCCGAGCGAGGGATGGCGGGCCAAGGGGTCGAGGCTACGCCCAGCGGGGTGGAAGTGCCAGTCGAGGTCGTGCAGACCGGCAGTGCAGCTGGAAAAAAAGGCGACGATGGTGGAAAGAGCTCTGATGGAGAAGAGGGCTCTGATGACGAGAGCTCGGGAGCTCGGTCGGGGATGCGGATGCCGTGGGACTGGGACTGGAGTATTTTTGGTTAGCAGGGGGGAAATGGGAGCTGTGACCATGCTGGAGCGCAGGACGACCGCAGCCAAGGCAGGTGCAACCGAGATCATGTTCATGACTGGAGGAGAGTCTCAATGAAATCGCGATCAGCGTTCATCTTGTGCGACATCTTCTCGCACGAACATTACTTACCATCTTTAGCTGTCTATGCACTGCACAAGTTAGTATCGTACTCGTACTTCTGATTTTGACTATGCATGACAAATCTTGTCCTTATTGTTATTACAACATGATAAAATCCAGTTCTCATGCTGAGAAAATTTGTATACTTATTTATACGACGAGTACGATACTTTTGCAGAGAATACCGTCTCTCTGCTGGTGTGAGGTGACGCCGCGGATGAACTCGAGAGATGTGGACCAGCGTATTACAACGACGTCGCGCTGCAACTGACGATGTTTTTTCTCCATGTTAAGTATTCATGTTGTTGATTGAAAATTGAAATTTGTTTCGCTCGTTCATTTCTTTGCGTTTCTGACTTTTTCTTATTTTCGATTTCGACGTCAGCAGAGTATTCAGAGGTGGTGTCTGCTCTTGCTTGTACATTATTTTAACCACAGTAAGTATTTTTTTCCGTAGTTTTTCTTGTTCACATTTGCATATCATAAAATTATCGAGACGTACTAGCACTCCATTTCATGAGACGCAACGAGATGTATCCAACTTTAACTCCATCTTTCCCGCCGAATCGTTTTCTTCAACATTTCTATACATTTTTAACCGCACTTCGAATTAAAAGTTTGTTTCCCTTTTATTCGTATATTGAAATTTCCAGAATATCGATCTTCATCTGCTCGTCTCCTGCACAACAAGACTCGAGGTATGTTCATACACGCAACTGATGTTGCAACTAGAACCGACATATCGATATCTCATACATAGACGGCAGAGGAGAACAAAACGGACAACTAGGAACGCTTCTGATAAAAAAAAAACGTTTTGCATTTTTGAATATCTGACATCACGATGAAGTTGAAGACCGTTACAAAAATTCGAACGCCGTGGTTTTCCTTGAGGAACGAATCATGTCTAACTTCGTGGCACATGCACGACTCGTCCGTGGGTTCGCTCTTTCGTCGGGCTCGCTCGACCGGTTTCAATCGCTCTAAACCATTCTCATTCAAAGCCTCACGATTACGAAAACTGGGTGGTTACCCCAGCAGCTCACGCAGATCTCTCCACGTGCCAGTCGGTTAGACACTCGTGGAAAATTAATATCTCACCAGTCAACAGACAAGAACTCTCATGCACACTCAACAAGAACAGCTTTGCAATCGCATTTTACAGTTGTACCATGTCGGTCTGTCAGATGCTGAACGGTTTAAATGCGCGTACTAACTTACTACATCCTCGATCAGGGTACATCCTACATCACTGTCTATTTTGTTTCTGAGTCGGTTATTTGAAAAATATCGGTACATCTAGTACCTCCTTGTGGAACAGATGAAAAGTACATGATATAATATCCTCCCCACCGTACAACTATTCTTGTGGTTTCTCCATGACTATTTCCAGGGTTTTGAGTCCCCAGGCGATCGAACTCCTTTCCCTTGGATAGAGGTGGTCTAACTAATTTATTGTAGCTCACGCAGAAGTTGCAGTTGCACATGACATATATTGCACCATGATCATCAACGATATAATTTCACGGATAATTCTGCTTCTGCCTTTCTTGTATTTTTTATTTAAACTTTCAGACGCAACCGTAACTCTAAGGACAATAGGAACAGCCCCTGGTGACCGCCGCGAAATAAAACGCGAGTATGTAGTAGACTAAGTCATCATCTTGTTTCGTGGTCCTTTGAGTCGTGCTTCATGGAGTGACGTTTTCATGATAATGCACGTGCTTGTTTTATTGTAATTGTTATTGTACTTGTAGGGAACGCCAGCATTCACATTTCGACGTTTCGATAGAGGCGTACTCTGACTTTTGCTCGAGCTGCAAGCGTGATCATAATAAACCTAAAATCATTTTCGTTGTCATATTCTGTATCATAGGGGATTTGGATTTTTGTCCTCAGAAACAGATCGAATTCCGGATGAACATTTTTGAGCATTGTTTCCACGATCTCTGGCTTCTATAGATTCCACCTGCATATCCATGTCGAACGACGATGTTTCTGTACTACGTCGGAGCTTTCTGTACTACGTCGGAGCGGGCGACGTTTTTATAATATCATAATGCTGCACTACTTCATTTCGACGGTGGAGGGATTGGGAGTCCTCCACTGCGGGCTTCAGCCTACAGGTAACTCTGTTGCTTCGCCCTCACAACCATTCGACACAGTAGTGGCTCACTTCTTCTCGACGAACAGGCGTGGTGTCTGGGCACTCTGGCAACGGGCTTCGGTCTCGACCCTGTTGTGTGCCAGCGCTACAACTCCAAACTTTGCGCCCCGAGCCATCTGAGTGGTTTGACACGCATCGCGGTGTAGTAGCTAGTATGTTGCGTTGTCTCTCCATCGGAAATCACGACATCAAGTGAAGACGCACAGCAAGCGGACACAACTACTGCCGCGGATCCAGCGAGCCACTACAATCAAGCGGCCTGCGACACCATGGGGGCGTTTGCAGTACAGACCGGCAGTTGGGCTTTGAGCAAGGACCGAGGAAGACATCGCCCTAGTGGTTTACAGATCTGCGGTTTTGCTTGGCTAGTCAACTGCGAAAACATGTCCTATGGTTAGCTTAAAAGAGAGAATAGCTTAGTAGTTAGAAGCTGACTGTAGTGGTTTCCTCCTCCTCCTCCATGTCGAACGACGATGAAAACTAAAACCATGACGTCGGCCTCAATCTGTCTGTCTCAATGGCAACATCCTTGCGCGTTATTCTTATTTGCTGAATGAAGCCGTTTCCGCGCAAACCAAAAAAACGATCCGGGGAAGGAGAGGACGCCGACGGGGGAGCTCCGCTGCGTGGCCCGCGGGAGGCAGATGGGGTACTAGAAATTCCAAAAATTTCTTCCTTAGTATCGATTTTTTAGTTCCTCGTAATAATCCTAAGAGTGAGTTTCATTTTCTTACCTTCCTTCGTAACTAACTACACTGGCGCAGCGCCGCGTCAGTAGTTTCTTTGACCGTAAGGTGGACCACAACCCGCCTGCCGCGCCCTGCGGGTGCAAGATGAACGTGACCTCTTGGTTGCACACCCGAATGACGAGCTGTGCATGACTTTTGCTGATTTTGTATGATATTGGGGAACAAACTACGCTAAGAAATGATTTCTACCTCTTCGTTCAGGTGGTCCTGCGCGAGCGATCCGGGGAGACCTCCACTAGTGCCACTAGTACCCGGGCGTCCTCCACCTCTAAAGCCCAACAACCAGTATCGCCACAACATGCAAACCACGGACTTCCAGTGCAGCCGCAATCCCAACCCGCTGGGACGACAGGCAGCAACTCCAGTGGCAGCAACCGTTCGCGGTCTGAACAGCAAGAGCAGGATGTTGCCGCACGGAGTCTCCTATGAAATGCAAAAGTATCGTACTAGTATAAACTGCATTACAAAATTCCTTAGCATAACAAATGGAATTTGTCATGCTGTTTTAGCTTAGGAAGGCGATTTGTCATGCATAACTGTGATTACTACGAGTGCGATAGTTTTGCACAGGATATCTCCGCTTGAGTTTGGCGGGGATCGCACTGCCCGGGGCGTATCAACTGTAAAAATGTCTGGGTCTGGAAGAACGCAACTTGTGATGCTGCGTTTCGATGCCTAAAAAATTTGTGTTGCATGAGCAGCAAACAGAGTCTAATTTTTGCTACACGGAGAGGGCATTTGTCATGCGGAATGGGCATCAAGACTCCCTCAAAAAACCTGTGATGCTAGGGCATGCATTACAGGCACCATGGGTCATGAGAAATATGCATGACAAATCTTGCATTCTTCCAGACCCAGACATTTTTACATTTGATAGGGCGGTAGTCAATACCATACTGGAAGAGGACGAACAAGAAGTCTTTGATCAGCATCAAGTTGGCGGCCGAGCGTCCTCTCGCGGCCCGGGACGAACCTCATCAAGAGATGAGCTTTTGCAACTAGAGGCACAACAAGAAATAATAGCCGACAACGATAGCACGCGGCCGGAGCCACCGGAAGACCACGGCGAAGAAGTGGCGTCTTCGTACAACTCCGCCACGCACGGGACTTCCGGCTTTTCCCCCGTTGCGGATACAGCGGCAGCGACGATGACCTTCGAGACCCTCCACGGCGAGTTGCATAACGTAGAAGTTTTCGACCACTTTAAAAATATTCCGCCAAATGGCCGCGGTCCTCGTCCTCCATCATCCCCGATCCTCGTTTCCGAGAGCCGCAGCAACTCGCGCGAGCTTTTGGTCGGGCCGCGGCACGTGAGCTTCAATCCGGAAGGCCCGACGACCACGGTGGTGCCCGTCGCGGCGGAGGACGAGGAACGGCAGAGGCTGCGTGAGGGCCTGGGACAGGGCACGACAGCAGGAGGTCGCGTTTGTTCTAGTGATAGGAGTTCTGGGTGGACGCCGGTTGGAGCTATGCGAGTGCACAAGAACTCCCCCTCCCCCTCGTCATTTGTATGGCAACATGAACAGCAATACAGGCACCAGCTCAAATGGAGCCTGCGCAAGACAAATCTACACACGGATTGTAAAGCTGTTTGTGGTTCAAAAATTTCTCATGCAACTGACTGCGCTTACAGGCAAAATGTGGATTTGGATTTTTGCATGACAATGAGATATGAGGGGGAGGGGGAGTTGTGCACTCTCATAGAAGCACTAGTCGGTGGATCCTCAACGCCGGAGACGAACACGAATAAGAAAATGACCTGGCGCCAGCCGAATGTGGACCTGGTGCAGCCGCCGCACCCGCTGGTGTGGTGGGTGTGCCAGCCCTGTTGCGTGTACCGCGAGCACGGGTGTGAAGAGCCCTTCACGCTCGGCATGGCCTGTTTCTGTTGGTTTCTTCCCGTGACAGAGCCGGAGAAGATGGTATTGCGGAACGACTCGCTGAAGATGAGAGGTAGTAGTAGTTCCCCGGGGGAGCGGGACCGCGAGCGCCTGTACCACGGACCATACCGCTGGGCGTGGAACGAAAAATCGTGTTTTTGCCCCTGCCTGTACCCGTGGGAGCTTCGGTTCGACAGGGATAAAGCCCAGGAAATCAAGCGACTCCGAGCGCAGGAGGAAAACATGCGTCCTAGTTTCGAAGATCGGCAGAAAAATAGCATTCACCGCGAGGCAGAGCTGCGGATGAAAAACATGAAGGCCGCGCCAGCTGGTGGTCCACCGCAGCAGGTCATGGCGTGATTATTATACATAGGGGTGACGAATCAGTCAATGATTACTTCAATCATCTTCCTGAGGCGCTGGATAGAGAAAGAACAAGACATGTTTTGCTACAGTAGAAGCAGATTTCTTGAGTAGAAAATCTTCTTTTCACTTTCACTACACAGTACACTTGCGCATGCAAGAAAATCAAAGTACCGGCTTCGGTACTACTTCTATTCCTAGTTTAGCTTCCGTTCCTGTCTTCATGGGAAATATTTTCCGTATAACGACGAATCGGAGATGACGGGGGAGGTTTTTTTCGCTCTCCAGTCGTTATTGTAGTTGTAACAAAGTAGTTTAGTATAGATCTTGCTTGACTTTTACGAAATAAGTTGAACGATTCATCAAATATAAAAAGCAATCTAGTTACACGACTCTCCAGATGGATTGTAGTAACGCTTTTGATATTGACCAGCATAATCGGTTTTGTCTAGAATTGTGATAAGTTTCCTATCGGAAGAGCGTTTAAGTGTGTACTTGTCTTGTCGACGCGCAGCATTTATTTTCCCTTTCCATGCATGGTATTAACGGAAGAAGATTCACCATTATAGCCTAGCGTTCATTTGCTTCGTTTGTTTTTAGGTCTCTCTGGAGAGATTGTAGGTCATCTGGAGAGATTGTGGTTACGAAGTACAATGACGACGCACCGGTCATTTTCATTTTCGGATTCCGACCGACCATACCATGGAGAATAAGACTTCCAGCATCCTTGGAGCCGCGGATTTTTTTTCTGCTACGTACGTACTTGATCATCTTCAACATCATGATCCATCGTAGGCAACAACTTGGACGGCACATGTGTGTCCTGCCTGTGTAGTACTGCTTCCGTCTGATTTTGTTGGATTATGGTATAGTTTCCGACATAAGCAAAGCTTTTTGGCATTTGCCTACGATTTCATGAGCGAAAGCATTTTTATACGCAAGACGCTCGCGCACTATTTTGATGCGTCAACTAGCTGTTTAACGTGTGAGGAACGAGATGATCGTAGTTGAGCATCAAGTTTATTAAGTTCTTATGTCAAAACAAATACAAGAAAACCTAATCTTCTCAATGCCTTGCCGTCGCGATTCATCCGGCGGTACGTGGTGTAAGTACTTAACCTTTTTTCGAGCAGAATATTGCGACTGTTCTCGTAGTTGGTTCTGAATCTGATCATGTTTCTTGTTTTTCACAATTGCGAGCTGACGGTATCATGGACGAGTAAGAGCGAAGGAACTGCAAGAGGAACGCATTAGTGAAGCGCAAGGAGAGATGAGAGGTTCTTCAGAGATGTGGAACTGAAGCTGCACTCTACTGCTGATTTTTTAAACGGTGAATTTCACCACTACTTTCATCCCCACCGTCGTTCAAGGTTTACTCGATTCTTCGTGCTGCTTTCCAATTTAGTACTCTTTGTCAGACCGATGAAATCGAGAGAACAAAAACCCTTGAAGAAACTAGTACCAGATGGAGGCCGTGGGTGGTGCAGACAGTGATGACGAAGAGAACAGCGGCGTTGGTAATACTAACTCGAACAGCGACCACGAGCGCGAAGACGCGACCGGTAGAACAAATTCCTCAACGGCCACGGTGCAGTGGGGCTCGCGGCTGAAATTGGTGTCGTTTGCTCGGGTGACGAAGACAAAGGAAACCACCACCACTATTGCGAGGAAAAATCCCCCCTTTCCATACCAAAACGGGATACTTCTGAAAATTTGTGATGCTGATTTGAGACCCCAAATCGTCTCTGTATTGCAAGAATGCAAATCTGATGCTGATTTGAGACCCCAAATCGTCTCTGTAAGGCAAATGCAAATCCAAAAACCTCTACCTCGCCGCGTTCTGCAGGCAGTTTGTCGTGCTGTATGGCCTACGAAGGATATGCCTGCCGTGCTAGGCGCCTACACCGAAACGCCCCTACTCCGGCTTTGTATCTGCCTGCAGTCTTCTACTGCAAGACAAAGCCGATTTGTGTGCCTGTACACAAATCCCGCGTCGCAGATTTCCATTTCGATGTGGGGAGATGGGATCTTTCCTTTTGATAACCACGACCGAGCATACCACGGAAGATGCAGACGGCGACGAGGAGGATATAGCCTTTGGCCTAGCCGAGCAGCAAGGAACAACTACATCAAAATCTCATCATGAAAAACAACCGACGAAGGCTGATCTGTTGACGACAACACAAAAATGCGGAAGAGACTTTTATGTCGTGCGTAGCAGTTATATCAATTTACATGATCAAGCAAGAGGGTTGCACACTCCGACGTCGGGCTGGCTGCCCGATGTCGACCAGCTTCCGCTGGTTCTCTGTCCTCTATCTAGAATCTCCGCTTCGTCCGGGCTTGCCTGGACTCGGCGTTTTTTCAGCTCTTCGGTTCTCGGAGAGTGGATAGTTTACGGAGGAGTGTCTCGATGAGAAAGCGAGGCGTACTTGTACGCTTCAGGCCTTCGCTCTGGTTCTGCTTCGCAGTTCCGCCTTGTCGTTTCCGGCATCGCCGATCCTTAGCGTGGATCATTGCGATGTACGACAAGGAAAGAGCTCCGGCGGTTCCGTCGCCATTGAACTGCTCAAGCCATGAGCAGGACATAGTAGACGGCGTGCACACTGCCGCGTGCATGTAGCCCGGCTCAGCCGGGCGCTGGGATATCCTTCTGACCGGGGAGGATGTCTTGGTGGGAAGATGGCCGATGCGCGGCTCTTACAGTGCAAAGAGTTCGCGTGCTTCAGCTGTTTTTCAGGCTATCTTCGGGTGGTGGTTTGAAGAAGTCGATGACGGCTCGCGGTTCTCGCGAGTCCCACTGCTCGGGGAGTGGAGAGGTGCAGCCGCTGCGATGCAGTGCCTGCGCCTCTTCACGCCGAAAAAGGCATACGTCCGGCGGCAGCTTAGCCTATGGCTGGCGCCGCTTTATTCGGCAACACGCAACGGTCAACAGCACAGCTGATTACAGCTGTGGCCTGCCGCTCTGTGTGTCGCGGGCGGTTCGTGCTTTTGCGCTTAGCATCGTAAGGCGCAATGTAGCACCACCACCAGACGTCCAAACGGACGCGGGCCGCTCGCCTGTCATTGATGAAGCCGCGCGAGCAGGGGCGCCGCGCTTCACTTTGACAGGAATCCCCTACTGAAGAGCCCCACCGAAGGCCAAGGCTACTGGTATCCATTTAGGGCGATGCCCGCGAGGTCAGTGACGTTGTCACTGGCCGGGGCCAGAGTAACACACTGTACACGCACAGCATCACGCTAACGCTGACAAACACCCACGAACAAGGGGCACCCCGCGCCCGCATACCCCCCTCGCCGATGGCAGGGGGGCGCCCGATGGGCTGACTATTACTAAGCGACTTGCTGTTGCACAGACGCCGGCACAGCCGATGGCTGTGCCGGTGAGATGAAGGCTTCGTTCTCCCCACCACACCTCCCAGCACCTGGACGCGCAACTCCACAGGCACAGCCCCGCAGGCGCGGCGGTTACGGAAGGCTGATCTGTTGACGACAACACAAAAATGCGGAAGAGACTTTTATATGCTCCATGCCAGCGACGGGGGAAGCGAACAATCCGGATCTGTTTGGACGAGAGCAGGCTGCAAGAACAGCTACAAGAAAACTACAGATGTTGGCACCAAGCATTCGCATGCGTGTTTTCACGACTGTCGGAAGTGGTGCTACTTGCTAGGTCAAGCTGTGTGGGGCTCCTCAGGCGGTGTTGGGCCGTGCTTTGCTGTGCTCATCGGGGGAGTTTTGATGGTGACCGTCGTTCTTGCACTCACGCTGGCTTTCACGGGGATGGCGATTGGATACGATTTTGAACAAACAACAATACCATCTCCTATAATTCCACCTTCATGGGACGAGAAGCACAAGGAACTACCAGAGGCAGGAACAGCGCAGCTGTTTAGAAGTACCGCCTCTCCGTCGCATAAGAAACATAGACATACAGAAGAAACAAACGGCGAAAACGACCAGAAAAGAAGTGTTGCTTTCAAAAACTACATTCCCGCCGCATCAACGGCTAGAAGATTCAGCTTTCTCGAGCCACGGTTTTTATTGAGTTTCACGCATCGCAGGAATTTCACGGTAGCAAATGAAAGTAACGAAAAAACTAAGCGAGGCGCAAGCGAAGGGCACCAGCCGTCGTTCGTTCCCTCCCAGGACGTGGTGGCTGCTCTCGATGGAGCAAGCACTAGTACCGCGTTGTCGCGCTCGATGACTGATGCTGATACAGCAACTTTCGACGGGAGTGATGATGCTACTATTACAAGCTTCTCAGATGAACAGCGCGAAGGAACAAGGGATGAGGACGAGAAACTGCTGGACCGGCTCTTGAACGAAACCATCCTGAACATCACCGGCCCCCTATTGTCTGCCATGTCTTCGCGACGCAGCACCATGCATTCGTCAAGCAGTGGTCTACTTGGTACAGATCTACCGACGTCGTCAGGGGGATCAGCCGACGCAGAGGTGGACGCAGAACAAAAAAGTGGTGCTACAGGACCGAGCACCAGAGTAGTTGGTACTCCTGGCCTGCCAGTAGGCAACTTCTCGCACGCGGCAGCTCCATCGGTTTTTCTTTACAATCACGATGACGACGGGACAAGCGGGAATAGGACTAGTGGTCCGTCTGGTGTGGATTCATCTGCAACTTTCGCAACCGCTATGTCCCGGCTGTCCTCCTCATTCAGGACGGGAGCTACTACTTCATCTGGTTCTAATCCTTTCTTGGGTGCAGCAAACGCGACCACTGACCAGGAAAAAGAACAACGAGGACGATCCTCCTCTTTGTCATTGCTGAACAATAGCGCCGCGATCGAGGACGGGAACGGGATCATGGGGAACGACGGCGAGAGGAATCGAACTGCTGAAGAGGCAGAGGAAGACGGGCGGGAGACGAACGCAGCTGCAGATCAGCAATTGCAAGAAATAGATCGCAACGAAGAGGATCATCAAATGTCCTTAGCGGAGCAGTGCCAGTCTGCAGTTCTCCAGGTGCTGGCTCACGGGGTGTTTGCGATGCACGACCTGGAACAAATCGTACACGATCCCGAGTGCCGGGCCACGGTGGTGCAGTTTTGTAAAGAAAACGTTTTCTACCCTGGTGTAAAGTACGACATCTACAACTGCCTGCGGAAATCCAGAATGTACAAAATCACACCCATGTGAGGTGGGCAGGGTCTTTCTTGATGTGTTAGTAAACGACTTCTTATGTTGTTTATTCATTTTTCTGAATACTTGAAAAAGGTAGGTTTCACGACACGTTTCAGTAAAGCACTATTCAAATAAAACTTTTATTTCTGTTGTTTGCGAAACTCACAGAACGAAAAAATGCACCCTGTCAACAGTGAGTATGGCGGCTCGCCTCCATCACGAAGGAAAAACTCTCGAGCAATTTAGGGAAAACATATCTCTTCAAGTGCGAGACAGAAACACACGCGGAGTTTTCTAAGTGATACTTAATTACCCCTACGACGGCGGGTGAAATTCAGGCGTCGCAATACTTTTAAAGGACTTTCAAAAAACTTTGAAAATTTCAAACTTTCTTGGTCGCCCACATGAAAAAAAAATGCAGAAAGTTGCCCGCCGGCTTGGAAAAAAAAAATCGCCTCTTGGCAGTATGTGGCAGGAAAAAAAAAGTCGGAAACGACGCGCAGACCCAAAAAAAAAGCAGCAGGAGGAGGCTGCGTCTGGGTTTTCTTTTTTTGCTCTTTGGCCTCATAGCAAAAGGACTGCTCTGCGCTTCATGGGCGCGACAGAAATCGCACACATTTGGTGGGGAGCACTTCATGCAAAGTCCCCCTGTCCCCTTCCAAAAAAAGAAAGGCGTCGCCCGGTAGTAACTCGGCGAAAAAAATGGCACGGCTGCGGCAGTGGTCTGGCGAAATTTGTTGCAGCTACGCTTGGCGGCTTTTCGCAATATCAAGCGCCACAGTTACGGCGCGAAACGGGGCCGGCCCCGGGTCCGGCCGCCCATTATGGGCGACCGGCATCGCGGGATCCGTTTGTAAGCGGCTGCGTTTGGAAGCCGTGTATGAATGAAACGGAAAAATTGCGTAGAGAATACCATGCGGCACGCGCCTCGCACCGGGGGCACGGTGGGAGTTGGTTCGCCCAAATGGCGCGGTGTTCGGGACGGCCAAAGTGCCCGAATCCGCTCGGGGAACGTGTTAAAAACACAGTCAATTCCCTGGCCCGATTCTGCCTGCGGCCAGAAAAGTCGCGAGTTTTCCTGCTCAAAAGACTTTGAAAAGACTTTGAAAAAACTTTGGAAAGACTTTGGGAAAAGCGCCCAGAAGTGCGCGCTTTTTGAAAGCTTCGCCCGATGGTATGGCCAATTTTGGCCATGCAAAAACGGGAACGCTTTTCAAAGTCTTTTCAAAGTCTTTTCGAAGTCTTTTCCAAAGTCTTTTCAAAGTCTTTTCGAAGTCTTTTGAAAGTCTTGCGTCTGACTTTGGCGAGGCGGCCGGACCTCAGACTTTGGCGCGGGAAGTTGGGCCATACCGTCGGGATTCGGCCAGTCGGCCGGGTCCAAAAGAGACAAAGAAGGCCAATTTTGGCCATTTGTGTGCTGCCATGCCCCCGGGGCTGCGCGCGTGCCGCATGGTATTCTGGGCACCAAATTCGCGGCGCCGCGAAGTTGGAAGGCGGCGCGGCGCATGTGACACATGGGGGGTCGCAGTACCACCGGCGCTGCGCGCGTGCCGCCTGGGTATCTGGCCGCATCTTTCCTAGCGCCGCCTCCGAAGCGGAAGCAGCTCGCGGCGCCGCGAAGTTGGGGGCATGTGACACACGGGGCGTCGTAGTGCCGCCGGCGCGGCATGCGTGCCGCGTTACAATCTGGCAGCGTTTTTCCTTCTGCCTATGCCACGCCCCAAGTGGGCCCACTGCTTTAACGCGCCGCGCAGTCCCCTACTACAGCAACAAATGGCGACGGAACTTCGCGCGCCCTTTCGCCCTCGCTGTGTTTTTTTCTTGATGTTGGAAAGGGCCGCGCCCAGCAACGCGCCGGGGGCGCAGCCTCTTACCTAGCGCGCCATCCGGGCAACGGGAAGCGCAGGGGGACAGCGACAGGGCATGGGGCAACCAAAAGAAGGGCGCCAGCGTGTGGCGCGCGGCCCGCAAGCAAAAGTTTTATCATAGTTCTGCCCAAGTATTTCGGCTGGAGGAAACACCTGGGCGTCGTAGGTGTAACTTAAGTTGTACCAACAGCGTGCGATTGCGGTTCGTGCGTTGGAAGATGTGGTTTCCGCAGCGAATCTGCGCCAGCGTTGGCGACTGTTTTTGGCACGCAAGGTTCAAGATCACCCGCACAGGTTCGTTATTGAAGAAGTTTGTTCTCGCATCCCATGACCTCTACCTATGGTCTTGCACTTCTGGCGTACCGGCATGCCGTTCCAGTTTCAATATTTTGGGTAATTTTTTCTTTTTTGGATCTTCTTCCGTTTTGAAAAGTATTAAGTAGAACTAGAAGTCGATATCATGCCTGCCTTTGCATCTGCAAAAAGAAATACAGAGCTTGGAATTTACGATCTGACGTTCTTCTCATTTTTTTTGAGTAGGTCTTCATGTGCTGCACTACTTGCATTCCTTCGCCTTCTCGCACCAACATGTGAGTAGAAAGTAAACCAAAAAGAAATAACACGATGTACGGTGGCGGTATGATGTACGGCGGTGGTTATGGGGGCTACCGGGGCGGCATGAACATGATGCAGCACCCCGGCGGGCAAGGTCCGATGAACGGGCAGGTACCGTTGGATGCCAACGGAAACCCAAAGCCGCCGGTCCCCCAGTTCAGCACGCGGGCGATGGTGCGGTTTCTGATGGAGTGCGCCGCGGTCATCCAGGGCACCGCGCTCGTTTTTGTCACCGTGAACAGCTGGCTGCAGTCGCAGACGAACGCGACGGGCGAGGGTGGGCCGTTGAAACAGTTGTGGACCATCGTGAAGAGCGTGGTGTTCGGAAACAAAAGCACTAACGGGGGCAACGCGATAACGCGCGGCACGGAGTGGGCCAAGGAGTTTGTGCAGCGGCAGAGGCACTTGGAGCGGGAGTTTTACCGGGGTAGCGGCCGGCAATTCTCCTGGGTGCAATCGTTATTGCTGTTGTACCTAGTGTACAGTCTGGTCTCGGAATTTCGAAACTATTTACGGTTGCAAAAGCTACCGGTCAAAGTCCTCGAGGCGGCGGCTGCGCGCAGCCGGCTCAAGATGCTCACGAACGACAGCAATTATCGAGGAACAGGTACAGGACGACCAGGAGGCGCTCTTCCCGGACCACCATCCGCCAGTGGCGGCGGAATGACGTCAACTTTTTCTCCTGGGACAGCATCCTCGCAACAGCCACGGCAGGGAAAGCCGCTCGGCGGGCCAAGCAACTTGCCCACCGCAAGTACTAGCAGTAGTAGGGCGGCACAGGGAGGTGGACCACCGGGTGGAACAAGTGGCTTCTCATCGGGAGGGGGCACGACGCTGACGACGGTGGAGAAAGTCGGGAAAACGTCGGTGGAGGTGGAAGTGAACCATGCGAATGGCGACCAGGAAAAAATCAGCCAATACGCAGACTTTTACTTCAAAAAGCAGCAAGAAATGAAAGAAAAAAGGGAAAAACAGATGAACCAAGGCGCGGCCACATCTACTGCATCCGGCAGGCACATTTAGAGTTAGTGAAGAAAGTGAAATCTTCGCGCAATCAAAGGTGAAAGCAAATGCAAAAGTAGCACAATTACTCAAAAGATTTGGCACCTCGGCGCAGTCAGCAGCTGCTATAGTCGACGCCTTCTGTGTGCTTCTGCTTTCAGCGCTGTAGTTTTTGGTCTGTCGATGCAGAGGAGCAGCTGTGGGTTCATGATCGGAGTTGAAAATTTGATGAAATGTTGTTTCTCTGTCTTGCGTTAATATGGCGTATGCACATTTTCTTTCGAAGTCGCAGATCCTGAGGAATACAAACAAAGCGACAATGGCCCGCTATCGTCCGTTTTGTTCTGCTGCTGCGGTCCTAACTTCCGCCCAGGTCTTCGTCCTGTTGCTGCTGGGAGCATCACACTGGTTCGAGGATTCGCGATCGTCGTTAGTTGCCGCCGGCCCGCCGATTTGCGATGCTTCCACGCCTTTGTACCACAAGTGCTGGGAGCAGCAGTGTCCGCAGATGCTGCAAGTGCTCGACCAGTTCTGCGGGCACGGGTTCGACCACTTATTCCGTCTTTACGCGACCAACAGTTGCTTCAATGCGGATTTCAGCGAGAAGCTGTGTTGCGGCTACGAACTAGACTTGGCGGTGCGAGGAAAAAACGGGGAAAAACTGCCAATCACCACCGCCGTGGTGAACCCCAGCTGCTTCGTTGGCAACGATGTCTTTATAGACACGGAAAAGTGGGAGGTCGCCGTGGTTGTTGTACCTGTAGAGTTAATGATGCAAATATGCGCATCAAGATCAACATGCATGTAGGTACTAAGAGATGTTACAACCACGACAACCGAATGAGAAATCTGTAGGAACATCACACTGCGCAACCAGCTTTACTTATTAAGCCCCTCTCTGGTGCGAAGATGAGATTTGAACTGTTCACCAAGCGGCCTATCACTTTTTCTTCTATTCATATCCCGCCGCGCTTTCCCCGGAGGTCTGTTGCGAACCCAAGACCGCCGCACCCCGATTACTGGACCCCGATCTCCCTATGAACATACCCGGGGCCGCCGACTGCAGAGACGCGCAAAACGTACCCATACGGGTGACCATGACCCGTTTCCTACAGGAGCGGTGCACCGACAGCGAGGCAGCGTATAACGTCGTGCAGTTCCTGGATGAAATGAAGAGAAAAACTGATGAGAACAATAAAATTGGTACGAAAATGGACCCGAATAGTAGAGCAAGCTCGACATCAGCGGCTGCATCTTTGGCACAACCGGGAACTCTCTACTCCGCCGACGGCGCCATTCTCCAAACGGAGGCCGACTTTTCCCTTGGCGCAAGCGTTGACCTGTTTCGGAATGCTGGGGAGCATCGGGCGATAACCTGGGTCGAGGGTGTCCAGCACCGGCATCCGCTATTCGGGCTGCAGTTGCAGAGATTGAAGATTGCTATCGAGGACGGAGGTAGGATGTTGAAGCAGCGAGAAATTATGTTGTCAGATGAGGCCAGCGAAAAAGGAGATTCTGAAGAGGACAGCGAAGTAGAGGACCACGATGACATAACCGAGCTTGCTGACCCGACGGACCTTTTACTCGCGGACAAGGGCAAGGTCGGCGCGTATTTACAGGTTGCGATCAAGACGTTCCGAAGTAACGACACGAGTACCTGGCTCTCGCTCGTGGACATGGCGGAAAAGGAGTACCGGAGATTGGAAACGAACAGGAAGATAACAACGACAGAAGTCGCAGACGGTGAAGATCATGAAGCGCCACAAGGACGACCACATCTGGCTGCGCCTAAAATTATACAGGAGCAAAAACAGGAACTGCGGATCTTCCGCGCTCTGGATCACCTATGGTCCCTGTACGACGCGCCCTTCCGGTGGCGCGACGTAGACTACAAGCGGAGTGAGACGTGGTCCATGCTATTTCGCGCCGCGGAAAAACTGGAGGAAATTGTGGAAGAGAAAACGAAAGATTCCGAAGAAGGCTCGTTTCATCTTGCAAAAATCTTCACGACCATTACGTCGGATAAACACGATAGTGTGCTTGCAGGAGCTGCAGGAACAGGCAGTCTCGATGAAGTGCATGATCAAGACGCTAGTAGTACAACAACTACAGGAGTTCTTGCGGTTGCAGGCGCACAACCTGGTACTTCATCCGACCAACTGATCGACACGCGCACTCGCGAAGCCGTGCCTGCGTACGCAGTGCCGTTTCTGCAATTTCGAGACGACTTCGTCCTCTACAAGGATGCGGCTCGGTGCGGGCATCTGCGCGGCATCATGGAGGAGTTGAAGAGAAACGAAGTACCCCCGCCGGTTATTTCAAGCGACTTGTTTCTCGATAAAAGCACGGGGAAGCTTGTCAAAGATAAAGAAGAAACAGGGGAAGTGACATCTTCTAGTGCATCATCAAGTAGGAAAACAGGAACAAAGACCCGTCTCGAAACGGGCTTCGTCGTCCTCGACGTGGGTGCAGGCACCGCCCCGTGCGAACCGGACTGGCGGAATACGGCACCGGGGAAGGTTTTTTACCTCAAGCAGGATTTTGGCATGTACGATACCAGTCTGGACGCGGACGAGCGCGGCAAGCAAATCCACAAAAAAGCTTGCGGGGGCCCCGGTTGTGGGGGCCCACGCGGGGGCAGCTTGCGGGGGCCCGGGCGTCCCCCATCAGAAACTCGCGTTTTCAGGTCTTGCAAAGGGTCCGGGTGGACTTGGGGCCCGACGCCCGCCCGAGGTTGCACAACCTGCATAGGGATCTTGGGTCGGCCCTCTGCGGGCTTTATATGGTTTCAAGGTCTGTGATTGGGCCGCGGCAAGTACGGCGCGAGGGGCATTGCAAGTCCGAAGCCCGAAATCACAAAGCCAGCACACAACCCTTGGCCCCTTGGGTGAGGCCGAGCCCCGCGGGAGCCGGGCCATGGCGATCGCGTTGCCGCGGTAGCCAAGACATCTCCCCAACCCGCTCCCGGCTTGAAATGCTCGCAAAAGATGAGAAGAGCAGGGAGAGAACGGCGAACAGAGGAGGAAGCGGCACAGGGTTGAGAAGCGCTGCCGACGCTGCAGGCGGGGGGGCTTTCGTTGGGGTTTCTGGACCGCGACGGAGAAGGCCCCAAAGCCATGCGCGCCAACCCCTCGGGGGCGGGGCCGGGCAGCGCGTCGTGGGTTTTGAAGTGGCCGCTTTGTGTGGCGGCAGAACAGAGCCCGCCAATGTGCTACCCGGGCGGGGGCCGCTATGGCTTCAGTCTTTTGTTGGGAAGACTGGGCACCAGGAAAAACGCCGGCGGCGGTGCCCTCTGCAGACCCTAGCCACTAGCGGCGGTGGGAAGGAGTCTCGGCGCCGACATTGTTGCAGCCCGCCCATTTGCGGCTGAGGTCCTCCAGCAAGGGAACGGCCGCAGCTTACGCGCACCTCATTGGGCCGCTGCGGCCTGCGGACTGGCCCACCCGGTGCAAAGCGCTTCCCTGCGCCACCGCCCCATGTCCCTCATTTGCATGGCAATTGCAAAGCGGCGGCCCCTTATTGTTGCGCAGGGAGTGAACCCGGCACGTAATCTCTGCCAGGCCAAGCAGGTCGGCTGCCGCACTAGTCTTCGAGGCAGGCAAATCACGGCGCCCCCCAATCACCCGCCCGCGCATCATTCTAACGCACGACATTGACCGGCCGGGCCGTCCTTCCCCCGAATTGATGCCGCTCCGTCGCGCCTCTTCTCGCTAGCTAGTTGCCCTGCATATTTTTGTGGCTTTCTTCCTGCGTCGCTTTTCAATATGGTAAGCGCAAGTACCTCAAGACCCATCGACGAAAATTTTATTGTTTTCAAAAATATCACTTTGCTCCCGCCATAAAAGGTTTTTTACCTCAAGCAGGATTTTGGCATGTACGATACCAGTCTGGACGCGGACGAGCGCGGCAAGCAAATCCACAAAAAAGCTTGCGGGGGCCCCGGTTGTGGGGGCCCACGCGGGGGCAGCTTGCGGGGGCCCGGGCGTCCCCCATCAGAAACTCGCGTTTTCAGGTCTTGCAAAGGGTCCGGGTGGACTTGGGGCCCGACGCCCGCCCGAGGTTGCACAACCTGCATAGGGATCTTGGGTCGGCCCTCTGCGGGCTTTATATGGTTTCAAGGTCTGTGATTGGGCCGCGGCAAGTACGGCGCGAGGGGCATTGCAAGTCCGAAGCCCGAAATCACAAAGCCAGCACACAACCCTTGGCCCCTTGGGTGAGGCCGAGCCCCGCGGGAGCCGGGCCATGGCGATCGCGTTGCCGCGGTAGCCAAGACATCTCCCCAACCCGCTCCCGGCTTGAAATGCTCGCAAAAGATGAGAAGAGCAGGGAGAGAACGGCGAACAGAGGAGGAAGCGGCACAGGGTTGAGAAGCGCTGCCGACGCTGCAGGCGGGGGGGCTTTCGTTGGGGTTTCTGGACCGCGACGGAGAAGGCCCCAAAGCCATGCGCGCCAACCCCTCGGGGGCGGGGCCGGGCAGCGCGTCGTGGGTTTTGAAGTGGCCGCTTTGTGTGGCGGCAGAACAGAGCCCGCCAATGTGCTACCCGGGCGGGGGCCGCTATGGCTTCAGTCTTTTGTTGGGAAGACTGGGCACCAGGAAAAACGCCGGCGGCGGTGCCCTCTGCAGACCCTAGCCACTAGCGGCGGTGGGAAGGAGTCTCGGCGCCGACATTGTTGCAGCCCGCCCATTTGCGGCTGAGGTCCTCCAGCAAGGGAACGGCCGCAGCTTACGCGCACCTCATTGGGCCGCTGCGGCCTGCGGACTGGCCCACCCGGTGCAAAGCGCTTCCCTGCGCCACCGCCCCATGTCCCTCATTTGCATGGCAATTGCAAAGCGGCGGCCCCTTATTGTTGCGCAGGGAGTGAACCCGGCACGCAATCTCTGCCAGGCCAAGCAGGTCGGCTGCCGCACTAGTCTTCGCGGCAGGCAAATCATGGCGCCCCCCAATCACCCGCCCGCGCATCATTCTAAAGCACGACATTGACCGGCCGGGCCGTCCTTCCCCCGAATTGATGCCGCTCAGTCGCGCCTCTTCTCGCTAGCTAGTTGCCCTGCATACTTTTGCGGCTTTCTTCCTGCGTTGCTTTTCAATATGGTAAGCGCAAGTACCTCAAGACCCATCGACGAAAATTTTATTGTTTTCAAAAATATCACTTTGCTCCCGCCATAAAAGGTTTTTTACCTCAAGCAGGATTTTGGCATGTACGATACCAGTCTGGACGCGGACGAGCGCGGGATCACAATTCTACTTTTTGACGCGGGTTCCAGCGCAAAAACCAAAGCACTTTTCCGGTTGTATCTAGGGGGCCAAAAATTCCTGCATGCGTGTCCTCCACGCGGGCGGCCCCTGGGTGCGTCGCTGTGGTTGTCAATCCGCGTGAGGGGTGAAAAGGGATTGGGCGTAGCAACTCACGCCATTGCACCTTGAGCCAAAGTGCCGACATCGCAAGCTTTGACACATTGATCTTGTAGTCCACAAGTCTCAATTAAGTGTGTGCAGATCTGGCGCGACAGGTTTTCGGCATTCAGTGCACTGATGTCAACCTGAAGCGTCGCTTATTGAGACTTGTGGATTATGAAATCGATGTCAAGCGTGTTGCAGTGGGAGGCTTTTGGCTCAAGGTATTGTGTTGTGACTTGTTATGCCCAGTCCCATTTCACCCTTCGCGCGGCATGGCGGGTGCGAAATTCGCATTGTAGCCCTTTAGTTTTCCGTCGGGAGTAGGGCTCTGCAGCATGGCCTGGTGCGCGATATTAATCCGCGCCCCATACCATGGTGGCATATTTTATTCTGGGTGGTACGCTGCAGATCTGTTCTGTAGTTGATGTCTTTGGAGGCTCGCCGACCCTGATCGCCGGAGCCCACCCGGCGATGTGAAGCGCCATGATTTGGATCCGACGAACAAGGGTGGGTTAGGTTGTCTGTTTTCCAAAAAGTTCTAACCCCCGCTAGTGGGTGGGCACTAGCGGGGGTTAGGGTCAGACGAATGTAACCCACCTTTGTTCATCCTAGAACAAATGAACAAGGGTGGGTTACATTCGTCCGAAGCTAACCCCCGCTAGTGCCCACCCACTAGCGGGGGTTAGACCTTTTTGAAAAAAAGCAGATGTAACCCACCCTTGTTCGTCCATGTCAAAGGAAGCAGAAAGTAAGCAGCCTGCTGAAGTCAGCAGCCGGGATGCCAGCCCCGGCGGATATGATCGGGAACGACCATGCTTCTGAAGTGCAAATATTTTTGTAGAACTTTATTCGCCACGGAGTGGTCGTCTCTTAGCAGGTATCTTTCTCTTTGCTTTTGGTATTAAGATGTGGGCCCAGCAGGACTTCTAGCAACAAAGAGAGAGAGGTGGCTGGTTGGGTGGTCGGTTGGTCGAGTGTTGCCCTTCGCTCGCAATGGAGTAGTGCAAACAAAAGGACAGGGCAGCTGTTGCAGAAGCTGACCCAGAGCCAGCAGTCGACCCCGGCACTTCAAGGCGCCGCGGGCTCTGCAGCGCTGGGAGGCCCTGTGGCGGATGAGTAGAGGCATGCCCGAAGAGGTGGATTGCCGGGCACCTATTCTCTTTCAGATTGATTCATTCAGCGCGCCCGGAATATCTTTTTCGATGCCCTTCCGCGCGCCATTTTTTTTGAGGCAGGCAGGCGCTGCGTGCGTGAGCGTGCTTTGTAGACTGCCCGGCGTTGTGTTATGCATGTGCCTACTAGACGCTATCGTAGAAGGAGGCACTTTGGCACTTAAAGCGCCCTCTTCTATGAATGTGGCGGCTCGGGGGGCACTAAAACAGGCGCAGCCGCAAAAACAGGCCCAGAAACAGCTACAGAAACAGGCGGAAAATCAGGCACGCAAAAAGGTGCAAAAACAGGCACAAACGCAAGCGATGCGGGCTAGGCGCACCAAGCCCAAAAAGAAGACAATTGTGACCCCGTGCTTAAATTCCGGTAGTCGAAGTACGATACCAGTCTGGACGCGGACGAGCGCGGCAAGCAAATCCACAAAAAAGCGCACCAACAGGGACTCTCCCCCTTCGCCTACGCGAGCTCCATTCACAACAAACAGGGTTACTCAGAATTGGATGTGACAAGTGACATAACTGCGATCCCTTTACCAAGCAACAGCATTGACGTAATCGTGTGCGACCAGGTTTTGGAGCACTTGCCCAAGCCCATCGCTGCGATACAGGAAATCCACCGGCTTTTGAAGCCGGGGGGAAAGTTTTTCCTCTCGCACCCCTACGGGAGCTTCCTCCACAACCTGCCTTATCACTACAACGGCGGATTTACACACTCGTGGTTCGAGACACACTTCTTGCAGAAGGATGTTGGTCGTGCGGGCGATGATACAAGGCAAGAAGACGCGGTCCTCGACGGGAGCGAGACTTCAAGTGGCGACACCACCCGTTCCTCCGCGAACAAGTTTTCGCACCTGTGGTGGAACTACCGTTACGAGAAGCAGGGCCAAGCACTGCAACGAGTGTTAAACGACGTGGACTGCCTGCAGGTCCACCTGGATAACTTTGCGGACAAGAGGATCTACCGCGAACTTCTGTTACGGATCGTACCGCAGTTTTTAGATTCCCTGCCGGCTCTGTGTCCGGGCGGGTCGGAAAGGAAACCGCAAGCGGTGCATGTCGTTGCTGTAAAGTGAGCACGAATTTATATGATGGTAGGTAGAAGTGCCAATGCAACTGCAAGAGCAAGTAGAAACAGTTGGAATACTTGAAAGACCGGGCACCCTTCAAATAGATCGGGTGTGTGTCGTGGTGATATTGTTCATTCTCATTGGCAAACGAATTTCTGGTTCCATCCCAGAAGAAGAAGAACTGAACATCCTGAATTTCTTCGCTCTTTTTGATCTCGCAGTCGTTTTGTATTATTCGCGCTTTTCGTCTTCTTATTCGCCCTCGTAGTCGTCGTCGCGGCTATCGTTGTCGTTTGAAAAAAAATCAAATCGTATCTTCGAACCATCGTGGTATACACAATTTGATGAGTTGTAGTTGACAACTGATTTCTAATTGGCGTTGCCATGATGTATCGTCTACGAGGACCATGACATCAGTTGTGAAAACTACGCTAGGCTACTTCTAGAAGTACTACAGAATTCATATAGCAGCTACAAGGAAACAGCTTAACAGTGACACCTCGACGTATCAAAAACAAAAAGATTCCACTGACGCCAACAATCTCATCCTTGACCTCGCTGGTGTAGTAGAAACAAAATGCGCCGGACCAGTTTCGCAAATTCCGGAAGCAGGAGTAGAGCGACCTGCTCTATTTCCGCAACTATGACTCGCCTAGTCGGCCTTCTCACCACCGCTTTGCTCGAGCAGCGGCATTTCCTGGTAGACGTGGTCCTTGCTGGAGGTACGACGGCGGGACAACAACCTGTCGACGAGGTGGGAGCGCAACAAGACTCAGGGTTGTACCCCAGTATTCCCGTCGCGGGGGTTCCTCGTGCACCTGACAATGTGCAAATGTTGCAAATAGACGCTGCTACAGAAGAACTTGAGAGAGCAGTAGCGTCGCACAACGAAGATCTCAGTCACAGTCTCGACGCAGTCTCTCATCAGCGCCAGCACTTTGTTCGACGAGGAGGACATCACGAGCCTAGGCCGACAATACCTGCATCAAGCATGTCAACACAACGAGTAGATGAACATGGTCTTCCAAGAACAAGAACCTCCTCCCACCATCAAACAATTAAGCGGTCCCGCCGCGCCGCCCACAACATCCCTCCGTCCTCCTTCATCGACGGGAAAGCGCTCGCGCCGAATCCTTACGCGCGGGTGCAAATTTTGTACTGCCAAGGTGACCGGAACTGCGAGTCTTCGGAGGCCGTGAAGGTCTGTCCGAGCGTTTCGTCTGACAAGAACACCGGGAAAGAGTATTACACGTTGGTGGCCAATCCCCTTGCCCGGGGCGACTGTCGCAACCCGGACTGGGATGTCTTACCTTCTTCCGGCGTTTCCGGACAAACCACGACCACCAGAGCACACAGCGAGCGGCAACTGTCGGTGTACACGACCTGCTCGCAGGCACAAAACGAGTACTTCCGCGCCGCGGCACTGACGCTCGGGCGCCCGCCGGTGGAGGCGGACTTGGCGAACCTGTGCATCTGGAACGGGTGGCGGGGACACAGTGCGCAAGACGTGATGATTCTAACGAACAAGGATTGTCAGGCTTATTTGGCGCAGGAAGCAACACTCTGCCACGTCACGTCGATGCTGGTATATATCAATACTAAAAAGAAATCACTGCTGGTGTAATTCATTGATTCAAAGCCACTCTGGCTTAACTCGTTTGCTAGTCCTAGATTGATTCCGAGCAGATGTCGATGTGCTAGTGCTGCAGTGGTGCCCACGAGGATGCAGCTGTCTTTAATCCAAAAAAAAACTAACATTCATCTCGCAGATCACCGCTATGCTTTCCACCACGGCGGAAACTAACGAGAAGCACTGCCGCTGTGAGATCCAGCAGGAAATCCGACATTTCCTTGACAGCACAAGCGGGACAAATTCGACAACGCCGGTTTGCGCGGGGGATCGAGAAAATATCCTGAACGGGCTGAAATTCCTGGAGTGCGACGGGACAGCGTACTCTTACAACCCCGCTGCCAGTAGTAGTTCCGGTAGCAGCAGCAACGCAACCGCTTTGGCACAGCGGAACCAGATAGCCTTTGCCGAGGTAAGAGAGTTGGTTTCTTGGGATGTGTTTCAGAAATGATACTCATGCAAAGCACATTAGGCGACGCCTTCGTAGGCCGCTTAGTGATGAAAACGTTGAAAGGTCACCGGACGATACTAGAAGATCATGTTTGATGTTTGAACTTCGATTTCCAACCTCTCTCAGACAAAGTCCACGCCCCGCCCGCGGCTGTTGCGGTCCCTGGCGAGTTTTGCGCGCGCGAATGGCGGTTCCTCTGCCACGGATTCTTCATCTTCAAGTCCCCAACAACGTTCCGCCGCCGCACTGCTAGGCACTAACAGCGCAGTGGACCAGCTTGAGCGGCGCAACGGGTTCTACCGCAGCAGCGCCGTGCTCTCAGACACTGGGTCAGCGTGGTCCACCACGACTACGACAGGAGACGATGCGTCGTTCTCTAGCAGCGGAACAAACTCCGGTCCGCAAGAACTCGTTCAATCATCCTGGCTGGTGCCGCCGACCGAGTTCCAGGGGTTCCAGATGTACAACGTGCAAATTCTGCCCAACTGCGGCATCAAAGTCGCCCTGTTCTCCCAGTCCTTTCCGCAGCCGGACAACTATCAAAACTCGGACGGGGAACTGTTCCGCGACACCAACTTCGCCTCCGGGCTGGGCGGGGTGCGCACCATTCCCGTGAACAATCAAACTACAACGTCTAATTTAACCGCGGAACAGCAGTATGCGCGGGATGTGGAGGTGATTGCGGGTACCTCCGGGGAGCAAACGCTGGCGGACGCGGGAAATGTCCCGCGGGCCGACCCGTTCGTGGTGGCCGAGAAAAAGTACGAGATCAAAAAGATGTTCTCCACCCTGGACAGCCTCGCGGGCAACGTGATGGTGAACAGCGAGACCTACGACGTGGGGGACGCACGAGGCGTGCAGACGAAGGTGTTTCCCATGCACGAGGACGAGTCTTTCTACTTTGTGTTGGAACCGCAACTGCCGGACCGAAAGAACGTGTTCCGAATCCGCTACCAATGCAGCCTCGCGAAAAAAAACGCGCTCGTGGTAGGAATTCTTTTTGTTTTTCTGGTTTAATTGTGGGCCTCGTGGTTATGCTCGTCGACGTTGAAGATTGTAGTTTCTGTGATTGTTTCTATGCCCTTTTCTCACCCTTTATCACGACAGGATGTGTACCAGAAGCACATGGACTATCCAAGCAGCTACCCCGTAGAGGAGAGGAACTATGTGGCGAACATGCTCCAACTCTGCGAAGACAACTACTACTGGTGCGTGAAGGAAGACGCAATCACCGGCATCAGCAAATTTTACCTCTGTAACAACGGAGGCTTAACCGCGACGTTCCGCCTAGATTTCGTCCACACGCAGCTCAGCTCGATCTACGCCGCAAAAGAAAGGGAGCAGGGGGTAAGGACGATCTTCACGTGTTTAGGCACAGGATGTGCTTTCGTGTTGAAGACGAAAGCACAGTTCTTCTGCTTCCATCATCGAGATTGAATTACTGGGTATAATTGCGTCGAAGATGTTTTTGTGTACTAACTGTAGCGTGTCATGCTGTTACTTTCTTATCTCATCGTCGTCACGTCACATAATCACTAACGTAACACCACAACTGCAAAATCGAAAATCAGACCTCTATCCGCGGTTCGGTCTGCACGGCGCTGTACAGCGATTTCCGGCCGGGGCAGGACGCGCTTGCCAGTGGCGATATCACGGTCGGGTACGAGCAAACGTCCTACGTCGCCCGCAAGTTTTCCTGGGTGGACGACGCGTTCTTGCTCATTTTCATGTTCGGTGCACTATTGATCGCCGCGTTTTGCTACTTTATCCGCGATCACGAAAAGGAGGAGTTGGAGCACTTGCAGGAGCGGCGCAAGTTTAACTTTCTGGACATGCACCACAACTACACCGTCCCGCCGAAAACGGGGACCGACGGGAAGAGCACCAGAGACAGTAAGAAGGCTGACGCAGAACAAGCCCAGCAGGACTTGCCGAAGGCCCACCCCGAATACGACGACAGCGCGGAAACGTTGCGAGACGCGGGCGATTTGCGGAAAACCGACTACACCCACGTCGCGAGGCCCTCGACGCAAGGAGACGGAGGGGAAACACGAGATTTGGCTGCTATGCTGCGGTGAGGAAGTGGAAATATTTCTTGATGTGTTTATTAATCATGTGAATACCAAAACCCAACTCAGAATGTACCTACACCTAGACGACCTAGTTCCTGAAAAACACCCTGCCAGGAGCAGTAGTTCTTCCTTGTACAATTTAAGGCTCAGGAACATCGTTTTCCTTTTCTATTTATCTATCAAGCACAAGCGTCAGTCGAGTCCTAAAAAAGATCCTATTCTTACTAAGGGTAAGGAGGTCTTGTAACTGTCGATTCATATTTAGACGCGAAATGTAGTACGGAGACCGTAATACTAGAAGCAGCTACAGCTAGAAGTTTTTGCCACCACGTAAAAACTACAAAGAGCCCCAGCACCCTTGCAGCTATAGCTCCTGTGTAAATTAGTGAGACGCTTGCAGCGAATTCGATTTCAATGACAATGTACCAAAGTGAGTTGACGTCTCTTGTCGACTGGTTTCCACCGTGGTCTGCAGACCCCTAATGTAAATCTGCAAGCTGCTTGCTTGATGCGAGGACACCAGTGCAAAATGAAGAAACGTTCTATTGCCAGATGATGTGTGTTATTCTCAATTTTTTTTAGCACGAAGACGAACCAACTACAGAAAGCTCGCAAAGCAAAAAGATCGCCCTGAATTTTAATTTTTGTGCTTGACGATGGATCACCTGCATAGAGTGCCTGTGACACTGGCTTTGCACCACTCTTTGGAAGATCAAGTAGTACACCCAAAAAGACGAGATCCATCACGCTGCAAAAGGCCACTTCGTGGCTTGAGTCGCGATCTTGAAAGATCGTTCTGGAACTCTTCCTCATTGCTGCGAAGATCTTTTTCCGCCCACTAATTTCGACCGACCTGCTATGTGGCTTCCTTTTCGCTCTCAAAAATTTGTCAATCTTCATTCTCACAAAATACAAATTTCCATCAATTTTTCGTATAGCAGGGTTCGAACCGAGCTAGAAGTAGGATTTTCATTGCACTGTGCACATAGTGAAATACATCATCTTCCGTTTCACCACTATATGCTTTGTGTTTCTCTTTTTTCGAAGAAGGAGCACTTTATTGATTTCCCACCACGTTAACGTTTCATGTTTTTAACTTTCTAAACGTACAATTACACCCTATTTCAAAGAAACATCAGTTTATTCCAAAATGGACAACAGTCAAGAGGCAATGATGCAGGCCTACTTGGTATCATGAGGAAAAATGCCCCCTCCCCATATCGAAACGAAGTTTCTGATGCTGGATTTCCATACACAAATCAGATTTGTCTTGCAGTAGAGGAATGCAGGCATATGTCAAGCCTCAGCCGAGAGGTTTGACGTAGGCGCCTAGCATGACAAACGTGTATGCTCTGAGGCAAACAGCATCACAAACCGCCTGAAAAATGCGGAACGCTTTCTGGATTTGCCTTCTTGCAAGACAGACAGGATTTGAGGTCACAAATCCGCATCACAAATTTTCAGACGATATGGGGAGGGGGGATTTTTCCTTTTGATACCTGGCCTCCAAGGCGCACATGGGGCAGGATATGGGTGGCTTTCAGAAAATATCCTGTGCAAAAGTATCGTACTCGTATAAATGCAGGTCTTGCATTACAAATATTTTTCGTAAGGTAAATCAGCATGACAAATTTTATTTCTCATGCTGAGAGAATTTGTCATGCATTTATACGAGTACGATACTTTTGCAGTTCATAGAAAATTCAAAACAAAAGCCGAGGCGGGGACAACAGAAGAAATAACCAGAGGGGCGGACAGTGGGGACGTATTGACCATAAATTTTATAGTGCCAAGATTTACAATTACATCAACAGCATCAGGATCAGATGAAAGAGACGAGTGCAATATGGATGAAGCTGTTTTGCATTCGTGTATTACCACTCAATTTTGCGAAAATTATCTAGTAAAGTACTCAATTCTTTTCCCAAACCTAGGCGGACAAGGCGGTCGCGGCGGGCAGGATGATATGATGATGGGTGAGGGAGACGGTGACGTGCCAATTACGGTTAGAAACTTCCTCGAGGATTTTGCACAGGCGGTTCAGGAGTCAAGAGCAGACACCGTGGAGGATATTTTCGTAAAGGAATACCCAAAACTCTCCGAGGGAATCTTTCGACAGAAGCACGGTACTATGATGATTTTTCTTGGAGTCAACAACAACATTTTGTCCTGCTGTGCTTGTTGTGTAGTTGCATATTTTGATGCTGGGAGTAGTACTACTTGCGTAAGAACATAAAAATGGATGACCGCAAGCGACAACATCTACTTCCATCACAGGTAAAAACCAGAAGTGGCCGTCTCTGGAGGATGCCCGCGCCTGCCTTTCTGACAACCACAACGTGCACCTTCTCTACAAGGAACTTTACTACCGACACTTGTTCTCAAGGTAACTTTCTTTGACTTTACTATGAATTTGTTTCTCATGCATATTAGAGTCTCGAGCTCGAGGATACTTCCTAGTTCAAAAAACCCAACGCGGGAAATATTTCTGGATGCAGGAATGTTCGCCAGTACGTAGATGACAAATGGAATCTAAAAACTATCTACCAGATTGGACAAGCATGTGACCGCTATGGATCGCGTGGACGCGTGGAACAACTACCAAGACATTTTCGACCGGGTTGGCAAGGACCTGCAGGCTATTTCCGACGGACAGCAGCCGCCCACCGGGTTATTACAGGTGATCCCCGTCTGCTGGTTGTGGGAGATGCTGGACGAATTTCTGTACCACTACACCACCTACTGCTTCTTCAAGGCCAAGGTCACCCAGCAGCGGGCGAAATTACAAAAGCAGTTGGAGCAGGACCCGAGCCAGGCCTCCGTGCCGGTGAATCGGCAAACCTTGATGGACTTCGACATTGTAAAGGAGCAGAAAAACGTCTTCGACTCCGGCGAAGTGTTCTACACCTTGAAGCGATTAGTAATGGGCAGCAACATCGACGCCATTATCCGCATCGAAAAGGGCATCGACGAGGGAGACGTCAGCGGGATCTCCGAGCAAGCCAAATTCTTAGGTATTTAGGTTTTTGCATATACAACTTTGGCTTTGCTCCGCGTGACAAGTGGAATTTGTTGTAATGCTGGTTTCGCTTCCGAAAAACATTTCTAATGCATAAACACAAAAATTGGAATTGCCACAGGTTACTTCGCGAAGATCCAGCAGGTTCGTTACCACTTGATGCTTGGTGAATACGACGTTGCGCTGAAGCGTGTGGGTGAGCTCGACTTCGGCTGGGAAAACGCGCTCTACTACCGCTGCCCCGCCGCGCACGTGTCTTTTTGCTACTTTGTCGCCTTCTCTCTCTTCATGTCCGAACGCTACAGCGACTGCCTCTCCGTGGTGTCCAAGGTAAAAATAGAAATTGTATGGCTGTGTTTACGAATACGAATTTCTCATGCTGTTTCTTCAGTTCTTTCAATGCACCGTTGAGAAATGAGTATGGCAAGATACCAGACCCAGAGTGCATGTAGTTGTGAAGTAGCCTGGCGATAAATACAAATGAATGTCCAATCGAAACCAAACCCGACCAAAACAGACCCTTCACTTCATCCAGAAGTTGCAGCGGTTCCCGCCGTTGCAGGAACAGTACGCCGGACAGCTGATGAAACAGCAGGACCGCATGGTCAGGTTGTTCGTCCTCTGTCAGGTGTTCTCCCCGGACGGGTACCAGTGCATCCCGGAAGAAAACGTCGCCAACTGGTGCGCGGACAAGTACGCGGACGACATTAAGGTTCTGAAAACCTGGGGCAGCAAAGACGTCGCGGGACCGGTATCTTTTGGAGACATGAAATTGATGTTAATGTTGAACCGATGTCTTGCTAATGCTAAAATGTAACATGCATTCTTGAGAGAGCAAGGGAAAGAAGCCTTCAGTCTCTTGTTCTCCCTTGCGTTGGTCCACCAGCTGCACTTTCCACTGCCTACAGGAGTCATGTCGGCACAGATCATATCGATCTGTATGTCGGTGTCAAAAGTACAGTTATCTTCCAAAGCTAAAGCAGCAAACTGCCCTCCTATAACTAAACCCCAAAAATTCATACAGGAAACCGATATGAACACGAAGCCGTGGATGGCGAAATTAGTCGAGTTTTTCAACGCGATTCAGCCGCGATTTGTCACCATTCTGGACGAGGACCTCACGGGTAGCCAGGACTCCATGGAGGGCCACAAGCGACAGTGGGAGCTCTTCTGGGGGCGGATGATGAGCCAGAGGTACGTCCCGTGGGTGAGGAACGTCCTGCGCATGTACAGTAAAATCTCCCTCGCCAAATTAACCAGCCTCTGCAACTTCCGGGACGAAGAAGAGTGCAAGGAACGCCTCGCCTTCGTCGAGTCAAAAAACCTCCAGATCGTCATGGACACAAGTATGATATTATACGAGAAACTTCTTTTGCCAATTTGCTATGTTTTTCCACTTCAGCAACTACCAGACAGCTCGGAAATTTCAATCTGGATCTTTCGGCTTTCCTAAATCCTAAACCATTGCTTGTTATCAGGCGACGCTGGCGGACCGTCTCTCCTCCCCGGTCTCCCGAAGGTGTGCACCGACGTGAACTTTTCCGTGAAGGACGGCGAAGTGCAAATCAGCATCCAGAAGCAACAGAAAGACTTCTCGAGCACCTACATTCGCGAAATCCACCTGCTGGACAAGATCGCCGCCGCGGTGGTCGCGGGCGCGTAAGGTGGGAACGGTCTCAGTGGAACGAGTCGGGGACAAGAGGAGAAACGACAATTGTCTACTACCGGCGTCTGTTGTTGAGCTTCCACCAGCTGCACATCATCGTTCCGCTGCGCTCCGTCTTCCGTCCTAGTGATTGAGGCTGGTTCGAAGATCATGCGTAGTGGGAGAGAGATGACAATGTTTGCTGCAGATGTTGACGCTTGGAATCAGTTACACAGTCGTGTTGACATTGACATTCACATTCATAGCAGAATGTAATAAAAAACGCTTTTCACGAATCTATTGCTTACACATTTATTTCACCCATGGTGGCTAAGGCTATCGCTTTTTTTTGGTTGCAAGAAAATGAATGACGACACAGGCTCCACACAAAGAGCAACAGAAAAATCATGTTGGGGCAATTCATCACACTGGACATTACACGCAGATGGCAATGCAAACTAAAGAAGAATTTACGGAAAAGGATGAATAAGTACCTCACCTGTACTAGCGCAGGCGATGGTTTGCGCGTTCTTCTGCAAGACGAGGTTGTATTTATCTTCTACGTGTTCTTGCCGAAAAAAAATTTCAAAAGGATCTTCAGCGAGGAGGGCGCAAGCAGCTTTGTTTGTTGTTCGCATTCACAGGTAGGAAGTGCCGGGCTCGCTCCGCCCGGCCCGGCTGTGGCTAACTATGGGCGGCGGCCGGATTATTATAATGGGCGTGGACTTCGTCTGCGTGCACTCGATGCCGGCCTGTCTCGTCGCGGGTGGCTTGCAAGCCTCTGGGCTGAAGCCTCCGGGCTGTCTGAGTTTGCCTCTCACCACTGTGGAGGAGCGCGAGAGCCCGGCGCAGAGCGGGCCAAGAGCGACAGCGCCGGGACTGATGGCGCGCCAGGGCTGCGCAGTGGAGGCCTACAAGGCAGGGCGCTGGTGTTTGGTTGCGGCCTTTGTCTGCAAAGGCAGAAGCGGCGGTGGGGCGCATTGGGCCCCGGCCACGCCAAAACCGGGGCGGCGGCCGTCTTTTCATTGCTGCCGGACCACGGCGCCCACCTTCTGCCCGCGGTCCGGGGCAGAACGTTGGCCCGCCTTTGCCGCGGAAGCGGCTGCGATGGGGCGGGGAAGGCGCGGTGGCCGATTTGTCTCGGGCGGTAATTTTCAACCACAGGCTCCAGCCGCCAGCAGGCCCCTCCTTCGGCGGCTTGCAGGGGGCAGCCCGGTGCAAGTCGCAGGCGCTGAGCGTCGGCGGCAGCCAGGCGCGCATCCGGGTGAGTTATTTCAGGCGGCAAGCGCAGCAGCAAGCGCCGCGGCATCAAGCTGGGCGCCACGCCGTCACGTAGCCCAGCCCGGCCCGCACGCGCGCCGGGGCCGCGCCGCCCGCCTGGTTCGGACGGTTCGCGTAATTTTCACCGCCCGCCGCGGCCCGTTTAATCTTTACCGTCCGCCCTTTTTGCCCACCTTGTTGCGCGAGGCCCCCGCTTTTTGTCCACCCTTTTTGTCATTTTTCAACCCGCAGGACCCTCACGAAGCAAACCCCTGGGGCCCTCCCGAGTCGGCCCCTTTCTCGCGCGCGGCAAGCTGGTTGCGCGCGTGTCGCCGCGGTTTCATTCTGGGCTGAGTCGGCAACCCGCAGTGGCTTTGCGTGCCGGTATGTAACGACCCGGCCCGGCCTGCTGGCGCGTTCAGCTTGGGCCTCTATCGTCTGGGCCGAGGGCCGCCCGAGGTTCGGAAAATAGCCACAGCCAGGCTGGTTGTGCAGCAGGAGTGAGAGTGAGACTGCAGACGGACACCGGAAAGGGAACAAGGCCAATGAAAGCGCTGGGGCCCGGAGGCGCCATCGAGCGCACTCGCGCCGGAACGGCCTGGGCATGCACCGAGCAGAGCCTCGGCCGTCGGGAAATCGGGGGGCAGGCCGCGCAAAAGGCGCGAAGCACCACACCACGGACGCGGGGGGAATCCCCGCGCGCGGCGGCAGCGACTTGGCGCGCCGGCTTCCCCCGGCGCCCGGGCGCCCCGGGATGAAGGTCCAGCGCTGAGGCTAGGCCCACTGTCGGCGATTCTTGCCCTTCTGTGATGGGCGTCCCCGGTGTGGGGGCACGGGCGCCCCCAAGCATGGCGCATTCGGGCACGCCGAGACGAAGCGCTTCGAAGCCGGCGAAATCCACTACATGCGGAGCGGGCACGCAGGGCGGGAGAGGATGCTCCAGGCCGCGCGGTCGGAATGCCAGCCACCGCCAGGCCGCGCGGGCGCACCCCCTGCAGCTGCCCGGCCCAAGCAAACACTCATTGCGCGACTCGTTTGGCGCCCGGCGCAGTGATTGTGTTGGCCAGGCAGCCTTTGCAACCTGCGCGCCCGCCTCGGTTGGTGGGCATGCATTGTTTGCCGATGCGCCTGCGGTTGGTGGTGGGCTTGCTCACCATGCCATCTTTCAACAGGCATTGCCTGTGGTGCGCAGCAGGCACAAAGCACCTTCGGGTGGCTATCGCCGTTGCTCCACGTACGTCAAAAGAAGAAGCGAAATATCTGTAGGAAAATGCGTGCAGGCTTTCAGGCAGCTTCGACGCTGATGCAGAGGCGAAGGGCCTCCGCATTGGTTTCGCGGCCCGTTCAGTGTTCAGCCTTCTTGCACGCAACTCGAACAAAAAAGACAATCATAATCTATGACAAATCAAACCTATACTTGTTGCTTAAGCAATGCACTGCGCTAGACGCAAGCTCATAGTAGAAGTCGAACAATATCAATGACGAAAGAGCTGCGGTGGGGCAGCGCCTCTTAATCACGACTCCCCCCGCAAAATGCATCCTCCTGCAATCCTCGAAGCTGTTCGTCGCGTCGTCGACGAGTTTGACGCTTTGCAGAGCATCTATGGGCTCGACTTTTCCACGGACAGCGATGCCCTATCGGAATTACGCCGAATCAGCACCACGACTAGCGACCCTTCTAGCGCCGCACGCAGCCGACAGGCGCCTGAGCATTCATCTACCGCAAGAACTTCTGAATTCACGCCCGTTCTAAAAGAACTTCCCGACGTGAAGCTTCGTCTCAACGACACAACGACCTTGCGCGCCTTGCTGCCAGTCCGTTACCTTCTCGACCCGGATGCCGTTCCCTTGGTGTGGCTCGACCATGGAGAAAGAAGTCGAGACAAAGCGTCGAGCCCGGGCACCATAGTGGCCCAAAAGGACGTCTTGGACGCTGCGCTCCAAGCGTTCGTCTATGAGCAAAGCGCGTCCCGCGACGAGCCGGTGGAGATGCTACTGGAGATAGCGCAGCACGCCACAGATTTATTGCACGACCAGGAGCAGTTGCGGCAAGTGGAAGCAGCGACAGACTTCGATGATGACGATGCTGACAGCAGTTCTGTAGTTTTTGACAACTTTTTTGGCAACACGGAGGTAACCAGCACCGGACAGACCATCACGAAAGCGAAAAAGCTGGGGCGGCGGCTGATGTACTCGCACCACATTCGCGCGCCGGGAAAGAGACGGGCCATTATCGAGTGCGCGAGACAGCTGAACCTTTCCGGCTTCAGCAAAATCGGGTACCCTGGGGTGGTCCTAATTGAGGGCGAGGAGGACGCGTGCGACGCGTATGTGAATGCAATTCAGCGACTCCGGTGGAAATACTTCGCAGTGCGCGGGGAGGAGATTGTCGAGGCAGATGACGAGTGTTTAGCGACAGGAACGATCAACAGCTTGCGAAAATTACCCCTGGGCCTGTTTCACGAGTTTGGCCCTGACGAAATGAACCTGCTCGCGGCAGAATGCCGAAAATACGACTTGGAAGACCTGTTCAAAACTTGTATGAAAATCTACCGATGAATGAGAATGAACAATACGAGCACCTTGTACAGCAAGAAGTGCATACTATCTATCTAAGCTTATAATGTAAAAAAGGTTTCTCTTTCTAAAAGCACGAAGGAAAGTCATTCAAGTACAAGACAGCCAGTCACCGGAGCCAGCATTTTTACGCTGTGGAGTGTTTAATTTGTCAACTCCGATCAGATAACATCACGGAGCTGGTTTGAGAGGAGCAGGTTTTCTGCTGCACCACCGAATGCCTATTCTAGATGAAAGCGTGCAGTTCTAGAGAGCAGGACCACAGCACATCAGGAGCATTTTTGCCATCGTGGTCAGAGTGCTGCGCAATGCTGCGCGGAGTGATGGTTCAGCGCGTCCAGCAGTATTTTTGCCCGGACAACAAGCTAGTGCATCAGTAGAAGAGCAGGTTCGTTAGAAGCGCCACAGAAGGTCCGGTTTCCCCACGACAACACCATGAGTACCTCTCCTGCACCACCCCGCACTCCAGCCTCATGACTAGTACCTCGTGGCGGGGCCGCGAGCGCCCCGGCCTGCTGCTCCACCTCGGCGGCAACCGGAACGAGCAGTCCGAATGGAGTGTGACCTCCACAACCGCGGTGGCGCCGGTGGGCTCCCCGAAGGCCCGTGCGCAGCTGACCTTCAACGCGCAGTGGAGCCCGCCCGGGTCGCCGCTGCACAACCCCTACGTGGCCAAGTACAATTGTCCGGAGTCCGAACTCGGGATCGACGCCACGCTCGTTATATCCTGTGCAAAAGTATCGTACTCGTAGTAATTGCATTTATGCAATACAGATCTCGTTCTCAAGGTAAAACAGCATTACAAATTCCATTTCCAATGCTGGGCTAATTTGTAATGCAATTCATACTAGAACTAGTACGTTACTTTTGCAATGCATACGTTATGAACAGCAACCGGAACGGCAGCTCGCCGTCCAAAACGAAAATTTTGGAGCAGGTCGCCAACGGGATTCCGAAGGAAAACGAGCCGGATATGGTGTTTTCAACTGTTACATTCTCAACTGTTACATGGATTTGTGATGCAAGAACAGCAAAAGTGAACGCGGGAAGATTGCGCGCTTCGCATTACAAATTTGAAGCAGATTCAGTTGGTGTTTAGCCCTTCGAGAATTTGTCATGCGAAGCACCTTGATCGTGTGGCGGCTTATGGTCGTTTTGCATGACAAATCATGTAACAGATGAGAATGTAACGTCTGAGAATCCGATACCGGAGCGGCTCGCGAAGCGGATCCGGCAGACGCTGACGACGCACGCGAGCTTCACAAACAGCGGGAAATTGACCAAGCCCGGCTCGGCAAACAGCACCGGCGGGGGCTTTCGGCCCAAGAACGGCGGTAATTATACGGGAATGGAAAGAAGGGGAACGCAGAAGGACAATATGCCCAATACGCCGATCGGAAAAGTGAAAAGCAACAAATCTTCCTCCACGCCGAGTGGCGGCTCGGGGAACAAGAAAAGCGGGTTTGGAGTGACGCGTACAGAGTTTTTGAGAAAAGTTAAAGTTTCTTCGGTGCAAATTTTTGAATAGTACCATCCATGCCGCGCCCCACAACGGATATATAGAAGTGCCAGACTGTATATCGTTCTGTTCTGTAGAATCAGAAATTTTGAATACACGCCGAAGCACATCACGAAATCCTCCACAGGTATGACCAGCACCTCCTCTTACCCAACCCTTCTAAACTCCGCCGGTGATTCCCCGCGGCGCACGCTTTCCAGGACCTCCAGCACGAAGTTCGACCCCAGCAACGACTTTTCCTCTTTCTTCGGAGCAGGCAGTAGCCACTCGAACAGTAGCTCGTCGCGAAACAACAATTTTATCGACCTCCCGCCGTTAAAGCTGAATAAGCTGTCCCCTTTACCCTGGAAGATCACTCACCAACACGACTTATGCATTGCAAATATGTCTGGGTCTGGAAACTTGTGATGCTGAGTGGCGTATCCTGAGGAGGCCACGAGTGCTGGCTCAGCATGACAAGTTTCTGAGCACCTTCTAGGTGTTGCCTATTCTGCATGACAAACTGCGGCTCTGCATGACAGACAAATCGGGCTCTTGGGTAACGTGCGTGACAGATTTGAGAATCATGCCAGCCAAGCATGACAAACATGCATTCTTCCAGACCCAGACATATTTGCTCTTGATGCGACTTCATGGCGAAGAACCAATCGACCGAGTCGCTGAAACAGTTTTTACCCGACGCGAAAAAGCACCGCTTGCGGGTGCAAAACGCGCTTTTGAACAAGCGAATTTTCGACACGCAGTGTCGGAAGGTGGAGCAGATGCAGGAAAAGATCATGCAGTGGGAACGGGAGTACGTGAAGCGGTCCGCCAGTTCGCTGAAGCGGGAGCGCTCGAGATCGCCGAGATCCATGAAGGGAGGCGGTTATGAACTGCAAAAGTATCGTACTCCTATAAATGCATGACAAATTTCCTCAGCATGACAAATGAAATTTGTAATGCGGATTGACCCTAAGAAAAGGATTTGTAATGCATGATTGCAACACAACGAGTACTTACGATACTTTTGCACAGGATAGCGGTGGAGCCAGCGCGTCCCCGGCGTCGTCGCGGTCACCCTTGTCGCCGACGTCTCGAGCGAGTCTCTTGTCGCCAAAAGCGGGGGCGGACGGGAAATTTGCGTTTGCGGGGATAAAAAGGACGAATATGACGGAGGGAAATCCTTTGGCGATCAGGTAAGTGCAAGTTGTACTTCAGCCTCGTGAAGGCACAAGTAGAGCGACGCGGTGCGAATTTAATATCTGCTGTACCAGTAAAATGATTTGCATTTGTTTTTCTTGTTCTTCCTCTTTGTTCGAATTCGAAAAACACTACTTATCAGTCTCCAAGAAGACCTTCTCCATGACAAGACGAATGTACAGCTGAAAACAAACCTCGTTACGACTTTCTGGTACATGCTGACCGCCCTGACCATCCCCCTCGACCAGATGGACAGCAAGCACACCCAGCTCCGGGAACAGAAAGAGGAGCCCGTTGCAATGACCGAGCGCGAGGAAATCGCCATGGCGTTGCGGGTAATGCTAGCACACAGAAAAAAGCAGGCAGGTCATTTTTGTAATGCAAAAATGAATATACAGAGAAATCTGCATTGCGTATTATCCTAAACAGCATGCTATGCGGCCGCCCATGACAGATTCTTCTGTGTACTTGTTTTTGCATTACAAATATGCCCTCCCTGCTGCTTTTTTCTGTGGGATCAATGCTCCGGAAAAAGCGCCGGCAGGCCATCGCCTGGGAAGCCTTCATCAAGGATTTCCAACAGCCCGCGACCATGGCGAGGTAAAGTTTTTTTTAGGCAGATGCTCTTTTCGTCTTTCTGTTTACTGCTTCGTCCTGCAGCGCTGTATACGATTACGGAATAATGATTTGTAGTTCGCCCTTCAAAAAAACTGCCGACGCAACATATGGAAAAAATCACTTTAGCCTCGTCACTTCAAATTAATATTGCCGACTCAACATTTCCAAAAATACTACTTCACCGTCGTCACTTAACACTGTTAGTACTACGTTAAAAAAAGGTTTGCCGAGATCCAACGGCCGATCGCGTTGCGGGCCCGGGTAATGCTGCGGCGAAAAAAAGCGGCGGCGATTTTTCACTGCATGAAGTTGTGGAGCGAGGGCGGGAAGTTTATGATCACCATCCGAAAATTTCACGGTGCGATGATCAAAATACAGCGGTTTTGGCGCCGCAGTTTCGAGAAACTCGAACGGCACCGACAGGAGACTGCGGCGAGATGGTTGGAAATGGAGCACGAGATCTTGCTGCAGGAGTTGGTGGCGATGCACGGAGGGACAGTGATGCCGAAAAAGGACCACCACCACCACCATGCGAAGAAGGACCATAAGAATAAAGCAGAGGCGGCGGGTGGAAATGCTTCAGGAGGAACAACACATACAGCAGACAAGGACTTCTATCAGAACAATCATAATCCAACCGCCTCGGTCGATCTGAGATCCCACGCTGGACTCCAGAACCACGGCGTCAGCACGTCAAGGCGCAGTAAGGAAAAAGAGCATAGCACAGCAACAACCGGCGCGCAGGGAAGCAAGGACAAGCATAACAACACAAGCAAAACGACCGCAGCACACCACGGTGGGGCCGCGACCACCGGGCAGAGACGAAGGAGTGTCACGCACTCTAAGGAGAAACCACATCACGCCAAGGGGGGAAGGGGTGGTGCCGGGGATCATCTGGATATGGACTTTTCGGTATGTATTGCTATTTTTGATCACGATATCACAGATGACGTGATGACGATTGCGAAGTTCATATGCTCATTTGAAGTCCAGCGGATGTTCGCATATACAAAAACATGACTGACTCTAACAGGCTCACCTGCACGCGTTGGAGCAGCCGGCGGACGTGCGCATGGCGTTCATAACCCAAGAACTCCGGATGAAGCGCTACTACCTCGTGCCGCATTTGCGGGGCTACGCACAGCAACTAGAGGACTGGTGGGGCGAAATTCGAGAGTGGCGAGCTGAGAGGGAGGTATAAGGCGTGTTAATGCTGAGGTCAACTTTGTTGTTCAAAGAGAAAGATCCTATTGTTCAAAGAGAAAGATCCTTGGGAAGTTATTTCTCTTTCAACGTGCTACTTCTCATTTGAACCTGATAGGCAAAACATTTGACTTTGAGACGAAAAGAATATTACGACCACAGGCCTACGAAGTCCTCGGAAACGCGGAGCTGAAGGCTCCGTCCGTCGTGTGGGAATGCCCGGCCTGGCCCTGTTTCCACCTTCCTTCCGACGCCGACCTCCGCGATATGATCCAGCGGTGCCGCGACGGCTTACCCGCGATGCAGTTTCAAGTCGTGACCAACACGCTGAACCAAGCCGACCCATGGGGAGACGAAGATGATGTAGTAGTACAAAGGCCCGGCTCCGCGGGAACAACAACAGCCGCCGGCTCGCTTGCAAAAAGCCCGGCGGCTAACGCGCGGACGAGCCTCTCTATGGCCCAGGCGACGCCCGCGTTTTTGAAGGCAAGCCCGAATCCACGGGCCACCATCGCGGGTGGACGGCGGGGGACGACGAGCAGCAAGGGTCTGGTCGACGACGCAGGTAGGAACGGCTCGAAAATGAATAACCAGAATAACACGCTGCTTGCAGCGCTGGAAACACCACGCGAGGCGAAGCTGCGCGGACCGATGTCGCATTTGATTTATAACGAATCAAAACTGACCCGCTTGAAAAAAGTGGTCGACATCACCGCAGACGCGCCCACGGGAGCGATCGAGGAGGCGCTGATTCCGCTGCAGTTCTGAAGATGAACAGGAAATAAACCGGCGGCGCGAAGGGATATGGTCTATGTGCGAGTTGTCAAGAATAATGATGTCGATATCAATGTTTTCAAACCAATTCCAATTGTCTTTTGTGCTTGTTGTGCTCAATTCGAGTTCGTGTGAATAAACAAATCTGGTACATAAATAAGCAATCTTGTTGTCAGTGAGCGTACAGAGTGAGAGTGTAAAAATCTTCGCAGATGAAAGAATAAGAACGCATAAAGTAATGAATCTCATTAACATAGCAAGTGCATTAGAAATGATTAGCCAGCTGCTGATTTGAGTGTCTCTTTAGGAGAATGACGAAAACAAAGCGAAGAAAAGAGGCAAGACACTTGTCGATCGGCTGCCTTCAGAGTGTCAATGTCTATGTCCAATATACCAGAATGAAAAAACAAGCACAGCGCTGCTTTATGGCCGCTTTGTAGTGTCTCGTGTACAATTGAAGGCTCAGTAGATAGTTTCCAAGTATGCAAGTTTTGGTCACAAATCAATACATGCCTCGAGGTAGCAATTCTGGCATGCAGTCGTGTCTGCTACAAGTGGCACTCGCATGGCCGTTCGACACTGCTCTTAACAGATACTAGCGTTGGGTGGTGTAGTTCATCTACTTATGCTCGTGCGGAATCAGCTTTGATCTTCTCGTGATCGTGAACGCGATGCCCACATCAACTTCTGAAAGGCATGGCTTCTGTTTTTTCTTCTACCGTAAACCTAAATGTGAAACTCGCCTTTGTTTTCCTTTTCTCGCTACCGTTTCTCTGATGTGACATTGACATGTTGATCCACCTTCGTGCTGTTTTTGTTGTTGTCTTAAAGATCACAAGTACGCAAAGACAAACTCAAACATCTTAACTTTTTATAGAAATACAAGGTGAAGATCCTTCGGCCTCGATCACGTACTGGACTACTACCTCGTTGCCTATCATTTTACTTACTTCGATTTCCACGTTATTTGCCAGAAGAAGAACGACTCATCCAATAAAGAGCAATTATGGAGCATGATGCTGGCCTCCACGACCACCACGACTTAGGGGAGCGGATCCGCTGCTGTGTGTACACTTTCAACATGGGCAACAACAGTAATTTGGAGATCACCGACCTGTTGGTGCCTGTTCCCGTGGAAGTGGAAGACCCAGGGGCGATATCCACAAAAACACCAATCCCCAGCCAATTTGCCATGCAAAACGTGCATAAAATCCTGTATTTGTCATGCAAAAAATGGATGGGTATCGGTCTTTTTTCCTGGATAGGCGAGTAGGGGCAAAAATGTAGTGAAGGAGCCGACCAGATCCAGCCAGGGACGCTCAAGCTGCAGAAAACCACCGTCTGCAGGTGGAGGCACAGCCACTACAACATCACAGACTACGCACACGACCCCGCCGTCGAATCATTCCCGCTTGGCTGCAACTTCCGCCTCCCCTCCTAGTGGAGACGACCACAACTCCACCTCTGGTTTACCGAACGAGAACCCGCGCCGTCGTCTCACTGCTTCGATCGTGTCGGTCCGCGGTGGGGGGACGGTGCATGGAAGTGGGGATCGGCTGTATTATGCGGGACGAGGGAATAAAAGTAGAGGCGGTTCCTCTACGGATTCGGATTCGTCTGTGTCGTCCACCGACGAGGAAGAAGAGCAGGTGCAGTTCAAGAAAGGGATTCACCGCCTCGCGCGGGTGTCGTCGACCGCGTCTTCGTGTTCGAGTACTAGTTGTAAGACAGGAGGTCGCTCATCTTCGATCTTGTTCGCAGAACAGCACCATGCTCCTTTCCCGGGTCCTCGGGTATCGTTCGCGTCGCGCACCTCAAGTAGCACGACCACTCGCACCACATCGGGAGGCCCTCCGCCGGATGGAAGGTGGAGCGCCGGTAGAAGTGGTACAGACCACACTGCACTGCAGCACGAGCAGCCGAATCGACGTGTTGATTACACGTCGTCGCAGCATCAACAGCCACCAGGCTCTCAAAATTCTGAACCGCAATTTGTAAGGACAAACACCAACGGGAGTAGTAGTAGTGCACACGTGTATCATGATTATGCTGTTGACCAAATCCAAATGTCAAGAAACCCAAGGGGACCCGCGAGCAATGTTTCACGATTTGGAGGTCGTTCTTTCGAGATGCCCCCCGCCCTAGAAGCATCCTCATCTGACATGATCGAGTCCCCTGCGACGACCCGCGATCTGATCTTTTTCTCCTTTGCGGAGACGCAGAGCGCTTTGACCCCTTTTGTGAAGAAGTGGAAGAAGCAGCTCGCGGACAAGCGCGGACTGGACATCTGCGAGCAGACGAACGCGTATGAGATTGCACAACTCCCCCTCCCCCTCATTTGTAATGCAAAATACCGAATCTACTTGGTGGCTTTAAGCACTTTTTGCATGACAAGTTTCGGACACTCACACAGGACTACAATCCATGTCCGGTTTGTCATGCGGAAGGCACTTAGCTGCTGTTGTTTGTGTTGCTGTTCTTGCCATACAAATGAGGGGGACGGGGAGTTGTGCACTCTCATAGCACGCGCATCGAGCACCAGGAGAAATTCGGCGGGGGCATGTGGCAGTCGCTGACCGCGAAACTGGCGACCAACTGGAACGGAAATCTGAAAACCTTGCTCCTCGCGAAGAGCTCCGTGTTCCAGCCACAGCCGAAGACGTTTTTCGGCATTTGCCCGGAACACGAGAACATTCCAAACCCGAAGAAGGCCTTCTCGGGCAAGGAACTCCGGCTGCGCAACAGCAAGGTGAAAATTCTGTGCATCGGCGCCCACTTCCCGATCGGAAAGATCGCGCGGCATCTCGAACAAAACACGTACGACGTCGGGTGGCGCAACGGAGAAGAATACTTCCCCCACTGCGTACCCGGGAGTAGTCATTTTGCGCCGGAAGATCATATTGTTGCGTCGTCTTCGTCTTGTTCATCTGCGGGAGGTTCTGATTCTCGGTCTAGAGTAGATGATAGGGGAAAGAAAGCCGCACCAGTGGCTACGTCGAGTTTATCTGGGGAAACATCTGCGATAAACGGGTCGACGGCCTCGTCGTTGTACAATCAGATGAACCACACAGGGACCTCCACTTCGGTCCATCCAAGTAGTACAGACAGGATACGGCCGCTTCCGGCTGGCTCCTCACAGTATCAGCATGGGCCGCACCAGCCGCGTACTATGGTCGTCCCGGAGCCGCCAGACTTCTACCGTCAAAACCTTTACAACTACCAAAGTGGCGGCTCTGGCCCTTCTACCGCATCTAACGGTACTTCTGGACCACGCAATGGTGAGGTCAACGGCATTCCATCGAACTTTGCACGTGCGCACGAGGCTGGTTCTTCACATGCAGTTCCTCCGCAGCCGCAGCCTGAGAAAAAGCATGCTCTTTCGCGCGGCAACAATGACGTCCTGGAAAGCTGCAAGTATGTGATGGCGCGGAACCTCCGACGGATGCTGGCGCGCGCCGCCGAGGCCGGGATGCTTGACAATGACACACTGGTGATGCTTTCGGGAGATGTAAACTCCCGAACGCTTCTTCTGTTCGATCCGGGAATAACTATGCAACATAGTCGTGGTCCATCGGGCGGGGCTTCTACTACAACTTCGAGTACTTCCGCAGCGCCACAACAGCGCCGTGGTGGTAACTTTCATGCCGGAGGGCGAGCCGTCGCGTCGACTGCTTCAACTACATCTCCGCAGGACCACCACCACCAGTTTAAGTCTTCTCTGAACACCAGCACGTATGGGACGTCGAAACAACAAGGCCGATTGGTTGTGAAGGACCTGCTAACGGAGACCCTGCGGGACCGCCGGTACTGCGCAGCGATATCCAATCGCCTCGTCGAGGGCACGGGCAACTGGATTGACCTTTCGACCGCGTGCGGGACCCAGCACTGGGTCACCTACAAATTTCATGAGAACTACGAGCAGAAACACCCGCTGTCCGTGGAAGACATGTATGCATTGCAAAAGTATCGTACTAGTATAAATTGCAATACAAATTTCCTTAGCATGAGAAATGGAATTTGTCATGCGGATTTGCCCTAATAAAAAGATTTGTAATGCAAGACTTGCATCTATACGCGTACGATACTTTTGCACAGGATAACATGGCACACGTGTTGAACCAACCGAACAGCCTGGACCGGCGCACGCGGATATGCATTGCAAATATGTCTGGGTCTGGAAACTTGTGAATGTGATGCTAGAATGTGGATGATGGAAACACTTTCGAATGCAGCCCAGCATGACAACTTTGCAGAACAAAATCTCATAGGCAGCCCGCATGAGAAACTGTGTACAAAAGAGGCCGCGACTTTTGTTGGTTATGCAGTACAGATTTCCTAGGTATGAAAAGCTAGCATTACAAATTCCAAATTTCCAGACCCAGACATATTTCCATTTGATAGCGCAGCGGCAGTTACTACGAGCAGTCCGCGGCTGTGGTGTCGTTTTCTTCAAACACCGAGCATTTCGAGGTAGACAAGAACTCTTCTTGCACAAATACAGGTTCATCTGCAAACGGAGAGCCGCGCGACGCTTACGCCGCCGCCCTGGACCGAATTTCCGCGTTTGAGGGGCCAGGCGCTCTCTACAGAGACCGTGCCGACGAGGGAAAGCGGTTCAAAAGGTACGAAGAAATTGCTGATGTTGTATCAAAGCGGCAGTGGGACAGAGAGAGTTGCGGCGCGTCATCCTCTGCTGCATGATGTGAAAACGTATAAACGTTGAATAGAATTTTGACCTGGTTGCAATTGCACAACCACACGGGTTCATCTTCCCTTTTCTCAGGTTTCACTTCCCCGCGGCGGCAGACCGGGTTCTCTTGTTCCAGCCACGCGGGGGCGCCGTCGACCAGCTTCACGTGGATGAGCTGGATATTGTGGTCGTTTCGGAGCTATGCATTGCAAAAGCATCGTACTACGTATGAACTGCATTACAAATTTTTTCAAGAAAATATACAATTTGTCATGCTAGATCAGATATTAGAAGGTGGGCCTTGTCATGCTTGGTTGTAATTACTGCGAGTGCGATACATTTGCAGAGGATAGGAGCAGCAAGGCAGCGACCATAAACCGCTTGTGGTGGTCTTTGACCTGTATGTGAAGCCTGCTTCAAGTGCAGCTCCAAACAGCAACAGCAAGCCGGCGAAAAAGCAAGGCCAGCAGCAAGTTCCTGCTGGTCCGCGTGCGCACGGCCGCAGTGCGATTTTAAAATCCGCTGCGCCGGGCTATTACACGACATCTTCTTCACGAGAGGACTTGATGCAAACAGGAACAGGAATAAACGCGAAGCAGGAAGGTCGTGCCGGGCAGCATGTCGCAAGCACCGTCCTCCCGAATAAACATACGACCGTCCTCGGCAAAAATACTACGGCTGAGATGAAGAGTGGCGGCACTAGCACGGCGACCCTTGAAACAAGTATGCAAGTGGAGGACGAAAGAATTGCATGTGAAGACAAACTCACGCGGCCCTCCGCTCCTGCTTTTTCCGTTGTTCAGCCAGTAGTCGTCCCCGCTACAAAACTAGAAGCAGTTGCAGGGGGCGGGGCGGAGAGCGCCAGAAACGGCACAAATTCAACTAGTACTGGTAGTATGACTGCAATAACACCTTGGCAACTACATCAAGGCTCCAAGCCAATGCAGAATACAGCACCAGGTGGCAGTGCAATACCTGATGCCCACCTTGCTGCACCATCCCGATTCGTACCTACACAACATGCAGCGCCCCCAACCTTGCTTGCGGCGAGCGCCGCGCCGCACCCGACTCACTTGGCACCGCTTTTGACGAGCACCAGTGGTCTCACAGGACAAGAACCGAGCGTCGGCGCATGTGAACTCCGAGTTGATGCAGCAAGAACGTCTACGGCTACGGGGGCGCTGACCTCAAATCTCTGCGAAGGAGCCACATCCACCGCTGCTGGTGTGCACGTCGATGATGAAGAGGATTTCGTCGATGCTGTGGACGAAGTGGATCTACACGATGAGGAGGACTCCGTGCCTTCCGAGGGTGGAAACGAAAACGTATTGCAAAAAAAAAGTGTTACAGTTACACATTGTGTTGCAGGCCAAGCAAGACAGACAAGCTCTGTCATGCCGGATATGCATAGAAGCCTCGTTTCATAGGTGTTTTCCCGTAGGATTTCTGCATTACAAGTTTTCTCTCTCATGCAGGGACATTTGTGTTGCTGAATTGCCTACAAATGTGTAACTGTAACACTTTTCTCGTGGGATAAAACGAGGACTGAGAGTAGTACGACCGCCGGCGTGGTCGAATAGCTGTGGATGGTCTGCTGTTGCAGAGAGATGTTGTAGCTGTCGCTGCTCTATTTCATCTTACCACGACCGGAACAAAAATGCACAAGGCACGAACTCACAGGAAAAAAATCTAGGCTATTCCAGTCGTGGAGGCTACTTATTTCATTCATGGAAATAAACAAAAAGCCATTCTTTTTTTTTCCCAACTGGAGATGTTGCTTGTATGTTGCGATATTCGCACAGCATGGCTTTCGAATCTGAATACAATTCGGAAGAATGTTATCAAATGAAGTCTTGCGCAATCCTTGCGAAAAATCAATGAACCAATGCCGGGCCAAGTGCTGTGGCTGTGCAAAAATCAATGCCCTCCTGATTGAAGTGCGACATTTGCCCGGCGTAAATTTGAAGACCAATGAACAACCTCAACCCCGATAGGCTTTGACGTCCGGCAGCATATTTCGTCTGTGTTGACGCTACTCAGATGATCGAGCAGTCACTGGTAATGTCATGTGAAAGAACAGGAAAGAAAAACACTTGTTGTTGGCCTCAGGAGAGGACATTCACCTCGAGATCACTCCGGATTGCGTTTGTTTCATTCTGATTCTCATGTTGTACGTTTTTCCAATCTGTTGATTTCATCCAAAACGGCATCTTATTCCAGCGGAAAAAATATGGTCCCTCTGTCTACAGGCGCGTAGCAAGGGGCTTCTTAAACTTATTTGTGAACTTGAGCCTCTAGTCGTACACTGGAATATAGGATGGGAAGCAACTTGATTGATTTCTGCTAATTCTGTGTAAATAATCGCCACGGGCCTTTACAGAATCTCGATAGTTGTACGAAAATACCACATTGACAAAGTGAGTACAGCTTTGTTTGTTGGTAGTCCTCGGTTTTCCCACGGTATACGTACTTAGTATATTAAAATTACCGTAAGAAATATATATATGTAGCTTTTGTATTTGTTCTTCATTCTGATCATGGGCCACGCCTCTTATGGATGTTGTTTTCAATTTACCATTACCTCCTTGGACCTTTTGACTTTTTATCCACTTTCAGTTCTTTCAGTATGACATTACTATTCCTTGACCACTCGGATGCTTCTATTTGACACCTTACGCTTATTGCTCTCACAACAATCCGTTCCTCGTTTTCCCCTATTCTCCTCCGGCCGTATTTGACATCGATTGGCGCCCTTCGCGGGAAGGGGAACAGCAATCACGAAGTCGACGAGTATGGGATTCGATCAGAAAGAGCATGACGAACCACACGCCGAAAACTAAAACCACGTTTTTTTATACTACATGTTTTCTCATCATGATCATCTACGTGTACGTACCACCAACACAATTTTTTTCTTGTGCCTCCGGCAAATTCTAACACGACTTGACGAGCCGAACCAGAACCAACCAACTGAACAACTTGCGTTGCGTGGAAGGTTCGCACGGCGCTATACCTACGTCAACGGCATGGAAAGGGAAAATCGCAATCGAGAAGTAAGCCATGTTGATAAGAATTCCAATCAGAAAGGAGCACAACAGAAGCCAAAGGAAGTGGTCACGGTAGTGCCTTCGCAAAAGGACACGCAGCAGCTTCTCTAGCTTCGAAAAAGGACAGCACGCAACCGGAGCTAATATAAAGGACACTGAAGTTGTTATCTACCAGATCGTATTCCTGTTCGCGCGTGCGCAGAGTTACAGTAAGGAGCCAGGCCTGATCCGATCAGGCCTGGCCTAGGAGTAAAAGCTCACGCTTCTCCGTGAGGACCCTGGCCTTGGCAAGGGAGCTAAAGGAACGAAAATCACCAACACAAGCAGAAGTTCATCACCTCCACCACGGATGAACGCGGAGGAAGTATAAACTGCGTATAATAGAAGTACGATCCGCAGTGCTTTTGCTCGCTACACATCTTTACAACATCATCACAGCGAGATGGACGAGGCGCGTTTTGTCCGCCACAAGGACCTCCACCTCAACGCTTGAACAGTGGGTGCTCCCGGCGCGTCGTCATTGTGCTACGCACGAGCACGAACACGAAGATATCGCAAGTAGAAGCACGAGGAAGCAACGCAAACGTCTGTTCTTCGGGTAGTTTCAACAGTTTCCCTCTGTGGACGGCCCTCGTTCGGCGATTATGATCGACACGCAGAAGCGGCTGCGGCATGTTCATGCTGCGTCGCTGTTATATATCGCGGGAATAATTGCCGTGGCAAGTAAACTGCTGTGCAATCCTATCACGATTCGCGTCGTTAGTGGCGCTGGAGCTTCTCCGAGGTCCTATCACGAAAGCAACACCGACGAGCAAGCTTACCAAGCTCCTGCTCTGGACGAGGTGGAAGTAGTCGAGAGTAGTACTTCTTCTGCACCACCACCAGCTGCATCTCTACCAGTTGAAGCAGCACCAAATACTAAACCGGGGCAGGACGAAGACGTCGAGCTCGAGGAACTAACGGCGAACCTTCTGGCAAACGTCATTAACGACTTAGCCACTCTAAACGCCACGGCAATGGCCGTGGACGAGGGGAGCGTCAAGACTGCTAGTAGCGACGTCGAGCTGATGATGAATGCCGGCACTCCTACTTCGCCGTCCGAGCCGAACAAAAAGAACTACACGAAAGACGTTTTTCGTGACGCTTGTTGTTCGGAATCCGGGCAAGAGCCCGTTCTTCAGATCGCCAAAAAGCAAGAAGCTTCAATTGGCCCGCCTCCAGCGCATCTCCCGCGACCCATGTCATCTCCCGACGCGATCTGCACCATGTGTACTTCGAATGCAGCGTTTGAAGCAGCACAAATTGACATGAGCGTGTTCCGCAGACACTACACGGCGCCCTCGACCTTGCAGACGGTGCTGCAGCAAGAGGCACCATTCCACTCTGAAGACCAGTCCCCGATAGAACTGCTGGCGCTTCCTGGAGCGGCACGCGCTTATTTCAACAACATAACGACCTCTACTTCGCAAGCTAGAAACGCGTCTTCACAAGAACCTGCGCTTTTGATGCAGTCGTCTGCGCGGGACGCCAGTTTGCGCAGCAATCACACCCTGCGCTTGCGGAAGGGCGGGCGTTCGAAGCAGGTAGTGCCAGGTGGAGGTGGTCGTAGCGTTCAGCCACGCCATACCGCCCCGCCGGCCACCCAACAGGGTGCGGCAGGCGTCTGTTTGTTTCATGACGAGGATGAGGACGCAGCAAATGCTTCTTCGTCCTCGGAGACGAGGGGCCTGCTATCGCCGAAAAAGTTTGAGAGTTGTCCCATCGTTCCCCGTCGTGGTCGCGCGCTCGCATCGCTCTGCTCCTTCATGTCGGTTCCCGCACCTGGACGGGCGGGCGGTCGACGAGTAGAACAGCCGGCCTCGTCGTCTTCACGATGTTGGCGCGGGGTGGAACAGGTAGAGCGCGAACCCCTCATTGGAGGAGCAAGAACCGGAGATGAAATTGATCAACACGCAGAACAACTACAACAAATAGCGGAGCCGCCTCAAGGCACCACGAGCAAACAGCTACAGGGATTATATTACGAAAGTAAAAACTCATCTCCGACGTCAAAAGGACGCGACAGCCCCTTTGTTCAAGCGATCGGACTAGGAGATCTTCTTGGTCCGCCCCCGCTGGCTATGAAACAAAAAAGTGTTAACGTTAACGGTTTTCATGGATTGCAAATGAGCATGACAAATTTTGCCCAGCGTGCATGTTATGCATTACAAATTTGGGCACGTTTTGTGATGCTGTATTGCATCACAAATTCCGTTAACGTTAACACTTTTTCCTGTGATACTGGCGCAATCGCTTCTGGCGGGTCCACCTCGGGACAGGAAAAAAAAATCCCCAACTGGTGCAGGAGCTGCGTCCTCCTCTCCTGCTGGTGTTTTCAAAGAGAGTACAACTTGTAGTGACGTACAATTTTTAGCCAAAAATGAAGACACTAAACGGCAAGAGGACCAACAGCACCAAGCGCGGCCTGGAGGTGGAGGTGGACACCAGCGGCGACATCAACAACTGCAACTACTTGTGCAGCCGGACGCTACCCCGTGCTACGCACAGATCATGGCTACTACAACGGGTGCGGGCGGCGCGGTGATGGCAGACGGCGTGCCGTACTTTCAGCAAGTGGAGGTCCTGGGTACTAGTTCCTCTGATCATATGATGCTCAGCCGGGCGACGCGAACTGCCACCGGGACTCGAACCTCCACGGGGAGTAGCAGTACGAAAAGTCGTGCGTCAAAAGCCTCTTCATCGGGTGGAAAAACTTCGATCTTCTCTACCACAGTTGGTGGCGGGAATAAAACCAGCTCTACTTCAGCATCTTCGGCGCGAGGAGGCGAGGGGGCCGCGGGTGAGAATTACGCACGAGGTGGCGCAGCTGCAGCAGCTTCATCTTCTGCACCATCAAATAAGGGCGCTTGTGCTTCTTCATCTCAACCGCAGAAGGGCATTCGCTTGCAAGTTGTGCAGGACGAGGACGAGCTTGAAACCAACGAGCAGAAGACCTCCACGGCGACGCACTATATCCTTCACGGTAGTGGTCCACGCTCGTCCTCGGTGTCTTCCACCGAGCCGCCGGCAACCATTTGCGAGCACCAAAGCACGACGACAGGGGGGTCCGCATCCGGCGCCTCCGCGTGCGTGTCGCCGACCTCGCGATTGTCGTCTTCCAGAGGTTGTATCGGAGGACGCAGTTTCAGCGACAGCAGCGCGGCCTCAATCTGCACCTCCTACCCGCCACTGTCGTCCTCACAAGAACAGGGCTCGTCCTCAACCGGAGTCCAGGTCAACATGAACAACATTCTTCCGCAAGTTATTGGTGCTCCAGCTGCTGGTCTCACTTTTGTTCCTGATGACGACGCAGCGAGTTTATTAAGCGCCTCCGTGACGTCGATGCAAAGTCTATTAGCGCGTGGTCCCGCGAAGAACCAGCACCGCCACGATCTACTTGCACAACAAGGTCGTGCTGCACGAGGACCCGGCGGCACAGCAGGTAGTGTACTAACGTCGTCTTCAAATGACGAGGCAGGCTGTTCCTCAGACTATCATGCGGAGGTGGACCACGAGGACGAGCACGACCTAGAGCGCTGCGAGGACGAACTTCAGATGAAGCAGCAGGAGATCATACGAAGCCGTGGTGGGTCGACGTCGTTCTTCACGTCCAACGCAGATAGTACAAAAAGTCCTTCGCGAGGACGGCGGGCAGCAGGAGAAGTTGGAACAGTATCAACTTCTTCGTTTCTGCAGCCGAAATCAACAACATTGGGAAAAAGAAGTGGAACGCCTCCAAGAAAAGGCGTGGCCGTAGAGCACGACAATCAGCCAGCTGCTCATCATCTCCAGCACCATTCATCTGCCGGCTCGTCCGAACAAAGCATGTTCACCAGCACCGCGACTGGCCCCGCTAGTACTACCTGTAGGACAAACAGTAGCAAGTCGCCGAGCCTGTGCGAGGTAGACCCGTATAAAAAAGACAGTCTGGAACACCTCCGCGGGGTAGATGACCGGCACGGAGGCATTCTGTGCGGAAGTGGAAGTGGAGATGTAGATGTACTGCACATACAGGGGGACGAAAACAAACTGCATCTTCAAGGCCGCCCAGCAGGAGCTATCAACCTCGTACATCTACATGCGATGAACAAAGGAAAGGACGCTGCTTCTACAGCTGTTGAGCACCAGCCGGACTACACAAGAACTTCTACAGGCGGCGAAAAACAAGAAAGCATACGCCCCAGCATCAGCGTTTGGCGGCGAGGGACAACTCGAGCCTGCGAGCGGTGCTACGTATTTCTTTGGCACTCCTTCTGGTCGTGTGTGGCGAGCCGGCGGAACAGGGGGCGCGGTGCTAGCAGCATCCACGTGGCCCCGCTTTCGTCCGAAGATGAGGGACAGTTAACTCCGAGGTCAACATTGGGAATCAGCTACTCCAGTGCGGATGAGGCTGCTGGCGCAAGCTTAGAGGAACTTCATGGTACTAAGTGGTACTACATTTTTGCTTTTGAAAGATGCCATTTTTCAAAGTAACTATACTACTGTAGAAGTATTTTTCGCTCCAGCATGCTGCAGAGGCAGAGCATTTGAGGATGAGGGGGGACTCAGGCACAATTTCACGGCGGTGCAAAAGTGTGTGTCTATTTCGCATGCGGGTTGATATTACAAAAATTCGTTCTCGTTCTCGATCTCGACTCAGATTCCGACTCCCAACTAATTTTCAGCTCACTGCGACGAGACACGCGGACAAGCTGCAGACAGAAGAATAAAGCGGGGGTGCCCACCTCCCGTAGTACAATTGCCGCCGAATGCATCCGAATCTGTGTGCACGTCCTACCAGTCCTGCGTTAGCTCACTGGGCTATCCTGATCCGCTGCAGCAAGTCCGTGCGCAGCAGGAGCAGCTACAGGATCCACCTGGACAAGCTAATGGCTTTCTTGGAAATAAGGGTGAAGAGCCACGACGACTTGTGGATACAAGAGCAGTGGACGAGCTACTGCGAGACTGCTGTGAGCAAGACATGATAGTAGAGAGCAGGAACAAGGAGGTGCGGCGCTCAGCAGAGCCGGCTAGATTCATCCAAACGCCGTCCTCGTCTTCTGCCACAGGGACTGGTGCAGGACCACCACGACGAGGACATCGGCCACAGTTAACCGCCGGAGGGGCGGCGACGGAAGCTGCAATATTAACCACTCCCTTGCCTGCTGTTCGTCTTCCACGAGAGGACACGGAGCAGCCCCAGCAAAAACCGCAACAGACCCCCGCCGTTGTTGTACTTCGTCGGCAGAAGTCGAGCAAAATGTATAATCAGCATGAGGTGGAACAAGAGGAGGACCTGCCGGATTGGTCCGGGCGCGGAGAAGTCGTGGCCGCTGCAGAACAAGATGCCACCTTCGTAGACAACTTGGAAAATAACAGCGGAAGTCTGCAGCTGGCGAAGTGTTTTGATGCGCAGAACAAGCTTCACGTGTCCGGATGTGGAGGAGGTGCTCCCGTAGAGCGCGACCGGGAACAAACTCAACATTGTCCGCACAGCCCCGGGGGCACGACAAGCAGGGCAGACGACCGCCTGTCGTCGAGTTCTATGAAGGTAGATATGTCCGGGCCTCCTGGAAAAATAAAGTTGTGATGCAAGTCTGTGAAGCTAAGGTCTTTCTCGCATTTAATACGCGTCTCTCATTTGTCACAGAGCTCAGTAGGAGAGGCATTCATGTTAACAGACAAGCATAGCAAATCTTGCAATCTTCAAGACGGCGTAGACATATTTGCCATGCATATTCACATTAGCGGTGCAATACGACAATGTCGGCGATGGTAGGGACAGCGTTAGCCAGGCCACGGAGAGTCAACAGTCCAAGATTCTACACGAGCTGTTTCGCGATCATCACCGAACGAATTGTCGTGACCCAGCAGAAGCTGACGCGGCCGCAAGGGTGTTACGCGGAGAGGATCTACGAAAGGTAGTGCAGCCACAGCAACCAGCCTATAAAACCTCTGCTGCTGGAGGTGCTGCTGCCTCCGCGGCCACAGAACCTCCCGGACGAGATCATCATGACCAAACTCGGCCTGCTCGCTTAATGACCTCGGTTCCCCTCCGCGAGGTGGTGCGGCAACTGGCACAGAGCAGCGAGTGGTGTGATGGGCACGTCGGTGCCACGACAGTGCATCAACAGCTTCAGCTCAGCACCGACTGCGCCAGGAGTACGCGGAGGTCCTCGTCCCCTCCAAACAAGATGAAAGGAGATGAATCATTGAATGGCGCAGCTGCAGCTTCTCGACCGCTGGACGATCAACGAGGAGGAGGACCAGCTACGGCGTGCGACAGAATGGAACAAGCTGGCTATGCATTGCAAATATCGATCTGGGTTCTCTGACAAAGTGTTGCAGAACTTTGTCTTCATCCGACGCAGATTGTTCATGCTCAATCAGACCCGGATTGTTATTTGCGATGCATATTATTGGCTTCGAAGAACAAAAAGAAAAAACCTTGAGCTGCAGTGGCACCGTGACCAATCGTGAACAACCCGCTGAGGTCGACGTGCACGAACACCATCTGCATCGAGTTCTTCACATCCGAACCGTTGACGACGAACACGACCGACGTTGTGCCAGCCACAGTAAAAGCAGTTGTTCCAGCGAGCGCTGGGCGGGGGACGTTTCATCTTGCACTGAGGGAAGATCGGTGGACGGGACAAATTTGTCGTCAAGCAAAAGAACAAGCTGGTGCACCAGCAGCTGCGATCAACTACAGGATCATGGTCCTGCTGAGACTGCTGTGCCGCGCTTAGGTGGTGCTGAATCATGGCGGAATATTAAATCTCCGCCCGCCTCGATGGCCGCTCGCACTGCCGGTGCGGAAGCGAGTGCGAGTGCTCGTTTAGAGGACGTTAACTACTCGCCTTCTAATTCCAGCACTGGTGCCGAAGCTTCCTTTAGCTCTAGGGACGACGATGGCATCGACGTTCCCCCAGTCCAGCACGATCGGGTGAAGCAACTGATACTAGGCAGCACCAAGAATAAAGCAAGCGACCGAAAAAGAACAGCGCCCGCGCCGGACCTTCTCCGGAGCGGCAGGGGAGGACGTGGTGCGCCAGCATCTTCATCGACTTCCAGGGCAGCGGCTGTGTCGCCGCCCGAACAGGAGGGCGTCGTCGGCGCAGAACTAGATCCAGATCCGCAGCGGTTCACGTCTCCCGCAGGAAGCAGCGATTTTTGTGCGACTCTGCAGCAAATGAGAATGAGTCATGAGTTAGCTGCGCTAGCGCGGAACAGTAGAACGCACAGCACAACATACAGCACGTCAACCTCTCAACAAGAGCAGAACCGGTACTCTTTTTTCAATGACATGTCTGCCAGGGACTCCCTCTCGTCCAGCGTGGACCCTAGTACTAACTCGTTGAGCCGTTCGCAGAGTTCTCGGTCCGGCGCCTCTAGCCTGATGTCTTTTGCGCAGCAGCTGAACCATGGGGAACAAGCAGTGCTGGGCCGTGCCGGCGGGTCGTTTGGCAACAGTGGCAAGCGTCTTGCGTCGCCGGGCGTCAAGATACAACAAGATGACCGCTATCGTCTAGTTGACGAGCGAGCACAGCAACACCTTCATCCACCTCCGAAAGACAGAGACGAAGTACAACGGGTTAACTCGACGATGACGAATTCCATGGCTAACAGCACGACAGCCACAACTACCTCCAGTGCTGGGCAGGACCAGGACGGAGCTGGTGGCGACCAAGACGTGGTGGACAAGAAAGCTTCAGGACTTCGTGGTGTTCTTTCAGCTCCTGTCGTCCCTGCTGCTGCTCCTGCTGTGCCAACGCGTCAACCTCCAGAAACTGTAGGAGCTGCAACGGGAAAAACAATTACAAACCGCAGCTTTTCATCGTCTTTCGAGTACGGCGAGGGCAGCTCGTATTATGACGGCGGGGCTGTTTCCGAGCAGGAAAGGATTGACAACCTGTTTTCACCATCTGATGTTGAACAACAAGTAGAACAGGCCCAGGCCGGGCGGCGACGAGCGGTTGAAAACCCGGACCACACAGATGCCCAGGTGTTCTCGTCCGACAGCGATAACGAGAGCGTTATAAATATCCCGTGCAAAAACATCCCCACCCCAGAGTTGTCATGCAATTCTGCATGCCAAAAATAAAAAGTTTCTCATGCGGAGCCCTATGAGAAGCATTTTCTATTTGTGTTTTGGAATTTGTGTTGCGAGAATCAGCATGCTATGCTAGGTCTGTAATGCTGCTGACCTACCTAAAACAGACTACACTACGAGGACAAACTTGTCATGCCAAACAACCAAAGCTGGTTGGTTTGTCTAGCAGATTTCCCATCTTGACTCTGGTGTGGGGACGTTTTTAATCAGGATAACAAACGTCCAGCGGCGCTTATCATCAGTGACAAGATCTTGACCTCCTCCCTGATGTGGTCCCTCCTCCTGTTCTTTTCTTCTAGTAAGTATGCACTCGCACTTGGTCCTCGCCGAGCATGTATCTTTTACTAGCAATAGCATTTTAAGGGGCCTAAGGGTATTACAAATTCCATTTTTGTCTAATATGTCTGCATATGCATTTGTACTTATTTAATTATGATCGGCAAAAACGTAGCGTCAAGCTCGAGGGTCGTCGTGTCACTACTCATGATAGCGCTTGCAGGCCTTGACGCTTCACTACTCATGATAGCGCCTGTGTGACGCGTTCCCGGATGGTGCATGTCTTGACTATTTTTCCTTCCAGGGGGGTGGTTTACCCCTCCGGGGGGGGGGATAGTTCACCCCCCACCCTATGATCACACCCTATGATGTCCCCTGGCGATCCCTTCAAACCCGCCTCGATTTGGAAGGGATAGAGATCCCCTGTTTCGATCCCCCCCTTTGAAGCTAGCCTGCGCGCTATGCTGATTTTTCCTTGCCGCGTTTCTGAGGAGATCATCAGGGGGGATCATGATCCGCCTGACTGATCCCCTGACTCAGCCCTTCGCTCGCCCGAAAATCCATATATCCCTTTATGTTCCCTGTAAGGGATATGGATATCCCTATAGGGCCCCCGACCAGCCCACATCGGGAGGGCAAGTCGTCGCGAACTTGTACTGCAAATCTATTCTTCAAATTGAGCTTGTCCCTCCAACTTGCTTACTTGTAATGAGGGCGCGATCTACTTCCGACCACTCAAAATCTGGCAAGGCGATGCTTAGGGGAACGGATGCGCGATGGCGCCGTTTGTTCCTGACGATCGTGATGACTCTTGGCCGTCGCAACTTCTTCAAGTTCATTAGATAGCTAGCTTACCTACCTTCATCAGTAGCTACCCCAAGGGGGAACAAAAGTAACCATTTGCCTCAGGCGTAGCAGAAGGATCGCCGAAGTAGCTATATTAAAAAAAGAAAACGCTTTTTCAAATCACGAGTTGTCCGGGCCATAATTTTTATGATCGGCAAAAACGTAGCGTCAAGCTCGAGGGTCGTCGTGTCACTACTCATGATAGCGCTTGCAGGCGGCCGGCACCTGGCGTACCCACACGTCTTCCGAGTTTAGTACTATCAAATGTAAAAGTGTCTGGGTCTGGAAGAGTCCGAACTTGTGATGCTGCATTTCGATTCCAAAAAAATCTGTACTGTATGACCAGCAAAGGGAATGCAATTTTGGCTAAGCGGAGAGGGCATTTGTCATGCGGTAGAGGCGTCAGAAAGCGCTCTAAAAATCTGTGATGCTACGGCATGCATCACAGAAATTATGGGTCATGGAAAATGTGCATGACAAATCTAAAAATCTTCCAGACGAGACCCAGACATTTTTACATTTGATAAGTACCGGCGAAGATCGATCTTCTAACGTGGGCAGCTATGGAAGTTCCTCCAACGGCAGGGGGACGAGAGGACGCGATTTTTGAAGAACCGGGGGTTCTGGGAAAACTTAGAAATACGGGAAAAAAATTTACACAGGGATCATAGCAGCTATAGACTTACAACAGATAGAGATACTTATCAGTTTAAATTACAATTTCAATTACATGGTATCTATACCATTCATGGCGCCATTAGTCAAAAGAAATTATTCTCTCTGACAAAGGATCCAGTCGTACTCGTAGTCTCTGCGAAAGTACGAAGTTCGGAGCCTCCGCATCGGGAATCTCAATTGTAGTTGTTACTTGTTGACGTTGTACTGACAAATGAAAAGGCCCAATATGAAATTTCACTCTTTTCGATAAAGACAATTCGTCTCACTCTGAGGAAGACATCTGCTGAATAAAGCTCTTGTCTTGTATGGGCGTTGCTAGTAGTACATCTACATGTACATGCACACGCCTGCAATATCAATATCTTCATGTTCCGCATAGAAAATTGAAATACCATGGGTCAACAACTGATATCAAACGCCAAATATATTATGATGGTGTCGTGGTGGTTTCTCTTTTTTACATTTTTACATTCAAGAGGTCGTACAGCAATATGCATAGCAGAGCAATGATCTCCTCCATACTTTGGAGGCAGCTCGTTCGGCACTCTGGTGCGGTGAAATGAATCGTAACCAGACTGATGCTGCGACATAGAAAAATGAACATGTTATTGATGAAGAACAAGTAGGATGTCACTTCGTCTACAAGTACAAGGTAGAACTTTTTTTTGGTAACTATCTCGAGGTTCTCGCCAGCTGCGGAAAAACCGGAAAAACATTACGAGGTTAATATGGCTACGCTTCCTCCTGGATAACCAGGAGGGCTACACGACTTTTTTTTTTTTCGTTGTGTATTCTTTTTCTTCACCTAATCCCTAGGACTGACTGTAGTCGAGGATATGAAAGTAAGAGCAGTGTTAGCGTTACTTAGGGCGCGGGAACGAAGCTCCAGCTGCTGGAGGACCTCGCGCAGCAAAGTTACCTCATTTGTACTTTTTTTGCAGCGTTCTTGCAGTTATTTGTACTTTTTTTTGCTGTGAATGCTGGGGCCAGCCAACGGCGCAACTCCACGACGCACCACTTGGCTGTTCACTTCTCCCAAGAAAACGAAAAAAACTGATCACCACCCTACTAGAGGGCTGCTTGTATGATTTCCTGACGGCGATGTGAAGGTCATATGTTTCTACTTGCCCATATGGAAATCTTTGGAAGCAATCTGGTCGTGTTGCTGGTGATATTCTTGATGTACTTCTTCCTCTGGCGCCGTCTCTACCTACACTACTAGTGGATAATTATCTACTTTGGAAAATTTTGAGAATACATAGTATTGATTTGTCGCAGGAGCTTGTTGTGAATGAAGAAACGTGCTGCTGAGGATAATTTACAAAATAAGCGCACACATGTTCTTGGAGTTGGCTTGTCACCAAGGCGCTTGAGTGGTTTTGTTCGTTCATCTTTGACGACATACCCAAGAATTGATTTTTGTCCCGCGGTAACAGCCGCGCGCGCAGCAGAAGCTCCCACTGAAATGTTCTCCACGCTATCTTTGCTCTGTTTCGTACGTTTGTGCAGGAGTTCGTTCTTTCTGTCTTTTTCAGACGCCTTCATCTTGTGCTACTGCTGGTACTTCGTACAACTACAACTGTGTCTGGTTTTATTCGTTATCGTGCAGATTATAATCCTATTCCTATCGCGCTACGAAAAAGAATTTGACGCCGCCGCCGGTCATCTTCTGGCCAGGTCTGGAGATGCATTATGCTGAAAAGTCTTTCAGGTCTATTAAAATAATGCGACATCGTACAAAAAAACAAAAAGACCCGTGACGACAATTCATCCATCGTCAGAAGTCCAAGTGGTTGAATCTCCTTGGCATTCGTATGTCGTGTCAAATTGGAAGAACTAGAAATAGAAATCGTTTGCGTTTCCAACCGAAAAATTGCAATCAGGACTCTCACGCTCCTTCTGCATGTAGTGGTCACCCCCTGAAATACACATTTTCAAACTTTCCTTTTGTTTTCCTTTTCGTATAATTTTTCCATATTAGGTAGATCTAGATGGTGCATGCCGCGTCTCGTGGGCACAAAGTACAAACGACACTTCTGCGCCGCATGATTTTCCTGCGAGGCATCATGTTGGTATAAATAAGCATCGGCTCCACGACCTAGTACCTCTAGTTTTTGAAGGCTAAATTCCTTCCGGTGCCACCATTTAACACTTCGTAGCACGACCTCCGTATTATACTATTGTACAAAATCGAAATCGATTAAAATTTCGTTTCGAAATTCAAATTTCATCTTCTTTCAAGACCCTTCTTGCGCTTGTTACTCATAGTCATAGTCTTTCCGTCAGCTGCCTAGCGGCAAAAGCAGCTTTGTCAAGATGGGTATGGGTGGCAGGTCAGCGATGAAGAAGAAGGAGAGTGGCATTACCAGCGGTCCGACCAAAAGCCTTTCGGTGACGGATCTGGACCAGATCCGCGTTCGGGTGGAGGCAAACCGCCGAGAGAAGGAGGCGCTGGCGGAAGCGCTCAAGGCGGAGCGAGCCAAGGGCCCGATTCGCCGCGTTCTCGTGACGCTCGGCCTGGAAAAGGGATGCGTGGAATGGATTTCCCGCCCGCAAGCGGACATCTTCTTTGCCTGCATGATTTTGGTGAATGCATATCACATGTAATAAAAACGTCCCCACATCACCATAGTCAAGATGGGAAGTCTGCAACACAAATCCCCAAGTTTCGGGAGTTCTGCATGACAAGTTTCCATCTGCAGCGTAGTGCTGGCTAGCAAGGAAAGCCGCACGAGAAAGCCACTTTCTCATCTTGTTTACAGCATTACAAATGCCAGCAAAACACGACTGGAAATGCCTCTCATGGAGATGCGCATTGCAAATGTTCCTGTCATTGCGTATTTGCATGACAATTCTGGGTTTTGGGGGCGTTTTTACACAGGATAATGCACTGGTGTTAGCGATCGAGACAGACAACCGGACCGAGGCGAACGATATCAAATGCAAAAATGTCTGGGTCTGGAAGATTGCGAGATTTGTCATGCTGATCTGGCATGGCCCTTAAATCTGTGTTGCGTGGTGACAAACAGCCTCTCTCGCCTGTCATGCAAAAACGCAGTTTCTCATGCGGGATACGCAGCACAGAAGCACGAAGCAACTTGTCATGCTTGGCGGCGCATTACAGTGCATTTGTTCCTATTGACTGACTTGCATCACAAGTTTCCAGACCCAGACACTTTTGCATTTCATAAACGAGGACGACATCGGCTGGTTCATTATGAAAATGAAAAATCCCCCCTCCCCATATCGAAAGGGAGATTTGTGTAGCATGATTTGTGACCACAAATCATGTTGTCATGCTAGAAGGGAAGAGATGCGGATTGTAGTGCTGGCTGGCGTTGGAAAGCCTTGCGCCTTTAGCATGACAGAAAGCAACTGGAAACGGAAAACAGCATGACAAATTGCCTGCAAACGAGGGAGCAGCTGCGTCTCTTGGCCTTCTAGCAATACAAGTCGATTTGTGTACTCAAATACAGCAACACAAATTTCGTTTTGGATATGGGGAGGGGGGATTTTTCCTCACAATATTCATTTCGGACTCCTTTTTCAACGTGATATTTCTTTTCGAGTTATTCCTGCGCATTTGCTACGCCCCCTGCGGGTGGTACCGAGACATCTGGAACTGCTTCGACTTGCTCCTCGTCACGGTCGGGGTTTTGGACACCTGGGTCCTGAGGTTCGCGGCCGCCGACGAAGACAGCGACTTGCGGTCGGTTACGGTCTTGCGGATCTTCCGATTGCTCAGGCTTGTGGTATGATTTATGTTTTTTTTTTCATTATGAGAATAACTTCTTTTTGGTACTATACTACTGGTCCCATCGCGTAGAAGACAAGCTGTTCAGTTTATTTTCTTTGCGAGCTCTCTCATAATTTTAATTTCGAGTGGTAGCGCTATAAAGAATCTTATGGTCATCTCCTTATCTGATCTATCACAGCGCGTCCTGCGGCTGGTTCGCTTGTTCCGTTTCCTGCGGGAGCTCGTCCTGTTAGCCAAGGGAATTATCGGCAGTTTCCGGGCGCTGCTTTGGACGGGCGTGTTGCTGGGCGTCGCCCTGTTCATGTGCGGCATGTTTCTCACGCGCTTGATTGGGCAAGACTGTTGCGAGGAGGGGGACACCTTCCAAGACCACGAGGTCAAGAAGTACTTCGGCACTTTGCTCGGGTCGTTCTTCACCCTGTTCCAGATCATGACGCTGGAACAGTGGGGCTACATTGCGCGGCTGGTGATGATAGCAAATGCAAAAATGTCTGGGTCTGGAAAAGTGTAGACTTGTCATGCAGATTTTCCATGCCCCATGAGGTCTGGAATGCGGGGCGTAGCATGACAGAGTCTGCGAGGTCTCTGTCATGCCTATCCTGCATGAGAAACTCCCTTCCAACTTGGTCAAAAGTGTGCAGCTTTTGGCGCTCATGCAACACAGATTTTTGCATGCTTCAGATTTACCATGACAAGTTGCAATCTTCCAGACCCAGACACTTTTACACTTGATAGATGAACGACGCCCCAGCCCTGGGGTTGTTTTTCGTGTGCTTCATTTTGCTGACCAACATGGCGATCTTCAACCTGGTATGCAATGCAAAAGCATCGTACCTACTCGTATAGATGCATATACAAATTTCCTCTGCATGAGAAATAAAATTTGTAGTGCGGATTTAGCTTGACATGCATGATTGCAATTACTACGAGTACGATATTTTTGCACAGCATACCTGGTTACCGCAATTATCGTGGACAACGTGGTCGAGATTTCCCGCGACATGGAGGAGGAAGCCATGATCAAGATCGAGGAGGAAAAAATGCGGAACCTGGACATGTATGGATTGCAAATATGTCTGGGTCTGGAAGAGTGGAACTTGTAATGCTGTCTGCGGATTCTAAAAATGTCTGTGTTGCATGAGCAGCAAGAGAAGTCAGCTCTTGGCACGCAGAAAGGGCATTTCTCATGCGTAATTAGCATCAAGAAGCTCTCAAAAAATCTGTGATGCTAGCACCAGCATCACAGACCTCACGGGTCATGCAAAATGCGCATGACAAGCCCCGAATCTTCCAGACCCAGACATATTTGCACTCGATAACATGGTCCGGAAGCTGTACCACGACACGGATAAGGACGGAAACGGTACCATCAACCGGGAGGAGTTAGCCGACGCCCCGGCGGAGTACGTCGCTCAGGCGTTTGGGTCCACGGCGAAACAGGAGGAACTTTTCAACATCCTGGACGTGGACAACCGCGGCGAAATCGTGATCGACGACTTGGTGCGCGCCGCCATGCAGGTACGCGAGCCGGTGAACTCGACGCAAATGCTCACCATCGAAAAGGACGTCGCGCGGGCGCGGTTGGAAATTGAAACTTTGAAACACGCCCTGAACGTCAACACCAAAGCGGCACAGGCGGCTCAGCACGAAAACTTCGAGAAGTACCTGCGCCGGGTGATCTCCGACGAGGTCAGGAGAACCATGGCCAGCGTGCTCGCCGACACGAAGGCGGCGGTGCAGTATCTGTAGTCGTGGTTTGGTTTGGACAGGAGAGGACCTGGACCTGGACCGACCATGGATCTATCTTCCCCGAAGATGATCCCCGCCTTTTTCATATCAGAGTCGCCTGTTTATTTGCGCGAAATTGATTCGAAATTGCAGTCTTTGCTTTTTTTGTATCATATCAGCTGTTTTTTTTTTCTGTAAGTAGTTCAGCAGTTGAATCCCCATCCTGTTCTAAATGTAAATTTTCATTTTCCCGAACATCTTTTCGCTTCAGTGGATGCGCTACCCAACACTAATATCGTGGTTTTCTTTTTGGTTACCCCATTCCGGAGCACAGTGCTCCAAGGATTCCGAGATGATAGATCGAGCGATGCTAATACTCGCTTCTATTTTTCGTGCCAAAGTAGAATAAACAAAAATAACAATCGCCAGGCTCCTTCGCTGCATCCGTCGTGGCTACGTTTTCCGTATCTGATATCAGTTTATGTTCATCACCAGCGGTCGTTTCCCATCGTGAATACTTACTAGAGAATTTTTGTCGTTCGACTCGAAGAATTTTCGGTCCTTGTAGACATGTATGGCAGTACTACTACTATCCGACTCTGAATCAGAGTGGATGTTTCCTTTTGGTCTTGCTTGTATTGTACTGGATGAAAATAAGAAATCCCCATCGCATAAACCTCGACATCAGCAACCCGAACCCACCAGCCTAAGTGGTCTTCTGTCAATTGTCGTGAATTGAACCTGTGTCCTAAATCCTAACCCCCACAACTGCCCGGCACGTACTCACATTGTCGGCGTTGCCATACTTTTAGCTTTAGCGATCTTGATGCTCATTATGCAGGCCATTCGTCGTTATTGTTGCTCTGTCGAGCCAGGCTTACCGAGATAAAGTAAAAAAGAAAAAACCACGACGTTGATGTTGGCCGGTCCCCATACAAGTTTGTAGACTGAGTCCTCTAGCTGCCGCGGTCCGCCTACAGTTTTTTTAATATACACAAGTAATTTCAGGATGAGCTTGAGCATGAGATCGTCATCGTGTCACTTGTGATTTAGCTGCGCGATACTATTTGTTCGTCTAGCTTTGTCTTCATTTCTACCCAAAAATAACCCGAAAATGTTCCTCCGTTGTTCGTCCCTCCGTCGTTTCGGTCGTCCTGCGAATCTGCAGCGGAGCAACCTCTTCAACGAGCTTAAGCCACCCGACATTGCAAGATTCCAGGAGATTTGCGGCGCGGCCAACGTTTTCACGGCGGCAAACAACGACGACTTAACGAAGTACAACCAGGATTGGCTGGGGATTGTAAAAGGCGAATCGAAGTGTGTAATCCGGCCGGGTTCCACTCGACAGGTTTCCAAAATCCTGAAACACTGCAACGCGCAGAAACTCGCGGTGACCCCCCAGGGCGGGAACACGGGCCTCGTCGGCGGGTCCGTGCCCGTATTCGACGAAGTGGTGCTTTCTATGGAGAAAATGAACAAGACGATCAAGATCGACGAAAAGGCGGGCGTTGCGGTCTTCGAGGCGGGAAAAATACTCGAGCAGGCAAACGCCGAGTTGAATGAGAAAGAACTTCTTTTCCCCCTCGACCTGGGCGCGAAGGGCAGCTGTCAATTGGGCGGCAACCTGGCCACGAACGCCGGCGGGCTGCGGCTGTTGCGGTACGGAAACCTGCACGGCTCTTGCCTCGGTCTGGAGTTCGTGAAGGCGGACGGGACCATTGTGGATGTTTTGTCGCGAAACAAAAAGGACAACACGGGAATCGACTTGAAACAGTTGTTAATCGGCTCCGAGGGGACGCTCGGGGTGATCACGAAAGCGGCGTTTCAGTGCCCGGTGCTGCCGAACGATGTGAACGTGTTACTCTGCTGCGCTCGCTCCTATAACGACTGTGTGGAGTTGTTCAAGAAAGCACGCGAGCAGCTCGGGGAAATTCTCTCCGCGTTCGAATTCTTCGACAGTCGGTGCGTGAAGGTCACAAGCGAGAATCTGAAATTGAAGCCGCCAGAGTTTTTTCCAGCAACAAGCTTGGAGGACCCACAAGAGGACAAAAACTTTTTCGCGGTGCTGGTCGAAACCAGCGGCGGGAACGGCGAGCATGACCAGGAGAAGCTGGAATCCTTTTTGGAATCGTCAAGCGATTTGATTTATGCATTGCAAATTTATATGTCTGGGTCTGCGTCTGGAAGATTTAGGGGGTTTGTCATGCTGCAAATTGTACATGGCTCCCGGTGCCTGTGATGCATGCTCTAGCATGACAGCTTTGGCTTTCGCGAAGGTTTGCTCATTCCTATACTGCATGAGAAATGCCCACTCCGGGTGGCAACAGTCTGACTCTGAGGCTCCTTCGCCTCTCTTGCAATACAGATTTTTGTCTGGTAGTGGTCCACAGCTAGCATCACAAATCCCGTCCTTTCCAGACCCAGACATATTTGCATTTGATATGATTACCGACGGTTCCGTTGCCGCGTCGAAGCAGCAGCAAAAGGATTTCTGGGCGATGCGGGAACGAATCGCCGAGGCGCTGGTTCACGATGGCTACACCTACAAATATGACGTTTCCGTGCCGAACCTGTCCGACATCTACAAAATCGTGGGCGCGTGTGAGGAAAGATTAGTCGAAGGCGGTGTGTTCGCAGCAAGAACTGCAACATCGTCCAGCACTGAGGGTCGTGACGGAAATAATGATAATCACGACCAAGCCACCCGCATCGTCGGGTACGGGCACATGGGGGATGGGAACCTCCATTTAAACGTGACGAGTAGGAAGTTCAGCCCAAAGATCCAGGATTTGCTCGAGCCGTGGCTGTGGACGGAGGTGCAGAAATACAATGGCAGCATCAGCGCGGAGCACGGCATAGGCTTGATGAAAGTGAATGCGATTCAGTATTCAAAAAACGCGTCTGCGATAAATTTGATGCGGAGTTTGAAGAAAACCATGGATCCAAATGGAATTCTCAATCCCTACAAGGTTTTCGCGGAAATATGATAATGATTCACGACTAGTGCCACTCAACTAGAGACAAATATAATAAAAGTATAAAGAAATAGACCCTCCTTCTGGTGTTGAGTGGGCTGACCTCCCGACAGCGATCCGTCTCAAGTTTATTTAGAAATCGAAATAAGCACGCTGGAGCCGCCACTTCATAAGTGGTCTTGATCTCTGCTGGGGTCTCTCTCCTTGCAGAAGGGAGACGCAATTTGCTGGTAGATCATCCGCATCTACCGCTATCGGTGTGTTTCCTGTGGCAGCTCGTGGGCAACCGTGTCCTGACCTCTAGAAAAAAGAGAGTTGCACATGCACGACCAGAGGGGTTTTAAGTACAAGAGACGGAGAAAAATGACGAGGAGCGCTAGTAGTTATGGACTTAGTATTGCAGGAGCACACTGCCTCGTCTCCATGTGGCAAGCAATTTGACTAAGACCACAGAAAACGCGACCACGGTACGATCTTCTATCGCGTTGTAGTTGTCGGCATCACGCCAGAGTAAAAGATAGATTTGAGAACTTCTTCACTGCACTCAATCGATTGAGCAAGAGTAAACGATCTACAGGACAAAAAGACATATGTACAAAATGATGTCTCCCTCCTCCGCGACGGCGGCGCGGCAGAAATTTCTAACGGTTTGTCAATTCACGTGCATCACCTGTGCAGCGGTTTGCGGTCTTTTGCTCGGCGTTTTTCTTCACGCCAACCCGGAACAATTAGTTGGCGAGTATTTTGGAAGCTACGTTCGCTTCAATCGGAGCCTTGCGAAAATTTTGGCCTTTATGATCTACGTCGATCCGACGAACCTGCACCCGCAGCTCCACCTGGTGGACCATTTATTTTCAATCGGAAAGCCAAACGACGTGGAAAATGCGATTAAAACCATCGATGATTTTGGTTGGAAGGGCAACATGCTGATCAACATCGGAAACGTCAAAGGTGCGGTTTTACGCAGCGCCGTGAAGAGCCGCGTTTTGGACAAAGTCAAACAGTCCTCGACATCAAAAACAAACAATGGCGATGAAGAAAATCTGATACAAATCAACATCGTGGAAATGGGCGCGTTCCTCGGGTACGGAACGCTGCAAATTGTGCAAGGAGTGCGAGAAGCGATTGATGAAATAGGAAAAACAGCAACAGTGACAAACACGACTGACGTAGTTCCTCGTGGTGGTGCACCGCAACTACCGAACAAGCTATCAGTCAACATCGATTCCGTCGATCCTGCAGCCCTCAGCTATTCCTCAACCTTGGCCGTTTTAGATTTCGCCGGCGTTGTAGGAACCAGGAGATACGACGGCCGCGGCGGCGAGGGAAGAGGGAGTGAGGAGCAGCGTCGAGGAGAACAAAATTCGAAAATCGAAGCCGACATCACTGTCCGGCTGCGAAAAGATTACTCGAGCAATATCCTGGAAGAGTACAACAAGAAGGAAAAGGATGCTGAGAGGCTCGGTAAAAATATCGATTTGCTGTTCCTGGACCATTTGAAGCACCTGTACCTGTCGGATTTACACCTTTCCCTGCCCTCTTTGGCGAACAACGCGACGGTGGTCGCGGACAACATCCTAAGCCCGGGCGCGCCGGACTACCGTGCCTGGGTGCTCGGAGAGGAGGGGAAAAAGCTGTTTTCAACCGAAGTGCATCTATTGCACGTGGAATACTGTCCAAGCATCCCGGATGAAGTGCTAGTGAGTACGTACAGGAAATAGCCGACTAGAGAAGCGGATGAAGCCGCCAGTGGGGTGGTAGCAGTACCTGAGACATCAGTCCAGAGCGATTTATTTCCAGCCTGTTTCGTGTCTAGTTTCATTTGATTTTGCGAGCGTGTCACCAAGAAGTAGAGAGAACTCCCACTTGTGTGGCAAGGAACTCCAGCCACAGGACGAAAGAGGACGGAAATGGGATCAAACTCCGGTCTAGCAAGTACGTATTTGAAACAAGGTGCGGTAAAACACTGTTCCTCAAGGTACACGACATAAAAGTAGTGTTCAAGTGGGGCTGTAAATTTAAGATTTTGGGGCGTCGAGATGTTGTTGAGCGATTTTCTTTCTTCTCAATGTTTTCATCCGAGCAAGAGTTCAGCGTTTTTTTTCAAAATCTAAATCAATCAGGCAGTATCCATCTTAAGCGCCGCGAGAGAGGAGTATTTAGTAGCACTATACTAACAAACTACCACAACCATTGAGATTGACATTGATTTGTATTTCACGTTCACCATAACTTGAGCGGCCCCGCAGTGCTTCGTGCTCAATTGCAGCGTTTCTACTTATTTATTCTTGCGATAAGTACGTAGATCAAGAAAAGTAAAGCATTAACCGTAACCATGCTCGTAGATCAAGGTGCGGACGGAACTCCTCGCGGAGAGCAGGAAGAAAAAGTCGCGACAATCCGGGACTTCGGCGAAGACGAGCGGTGCCACCGACAGTTAGCCAGCGGGCGGTATGTGACGCTGGTGCGTCACGGTGCAAACAGTGACTACTACTGCATCGACAGCAATTGCTACCACATGGGGGGCCCACTCGGCGCGGGCGACATTGAGGACGTACTAATACCGGCTGGCGCGAGGAAGCAGAACAAAAACAATAGAGGACCTAGAGTAGGAACTGGTCCAGCGTCCAGTAGCTCAGCAGACCCGGGCAGTGCCACTGGATCGCTACTCGCTGCCGCATCGAGTCTATTTTACAGCGCAGCCAGTAATTTAAGTCTGTTTGGTGGAGGAGCTGCGGGCAGTAGTAGTCCTCGGGACCAGGAGCAGAGCCAGGGGGCAACTGCGACACTGACGCCATCGACGTCCACAGGTGGTGGTACTGAAAATGGCACACCGAACAATCCCGCGGCAAAAAAGCAGAAGACCGAGGCAGAATCAGGAGAACAGCAAAATCTCCCACCACTAACGAGCGCCGACGACCCAACGAGAGACCTTGCGATTCTCTGTCCCTGGCACATGCACCGCATTTCCCTGACCACCGGCCGGAAGTACACAGAGAGCGTGAAGCCGCACGTAGATCCGGTCACGGGTCAGTTTAGCATGAAGAAATCCGGGTTGCAGGAGTCGGCAACCGTTTTCCAGCAGGTGCACAGGGTCCGGGTGGATCCGAAAACCGAAAACATTTACGTTTCGGAGCAGGATTTTCAGGATGGCATCGCGGAGAACCCTTACGCGTTTGATGGTCAGTGTGCGGCGAACCTTTGCGCAAACCCAACGGGGATCCACTCAAACAGTCGCGCACTGTACGGAAAAGGAGGGCCGCCGCCATCCGCTGCACAGGACGACAGGATGAAGGGCGGAGGAGATCTTCCGGGAGGAGGTAGCATGCCTCCTCCCGGTGGTAGTAGTTTGCTTCCTCCTGGTGCTGGTCGTACTATGCTTCCACCGGGTGGTGGTAGAGGAAAGATGTCTCGACCTGGCTCGATGCCGGGGACAAGTTCAGCTTCAGTGCGACAGCAACTGCAGCCACAGAAATTTCTGAGGAGCGGAATGGTGCATCAGCAAATGGCGCCCCCGGCGTTCGGCCCTGTTGGTTCGCGGGTAGCGATGAACTTGCCTCAGCAGTTGCCACAACAAGCAGGAGCACCATCGTCCGGTATGATGATACACCAACAGCTTTCGGCGCCACAAGAGGGACTTCTGGGGGCGGATCTACAAAAGCAGCAACAAAGCATAGGCGAAGAGGGAGAGGAGAAAGACGACGATGTTGATCTACCGCCGCGCCGGCCTGCTGAGATCACTCAGGGAGAGGCACCCGGTGCGGCAGACAGATCAGTTTCGAAATCGAAGCGACCTCGTAGCCCGGACGGGACTTCTAGTTAAACTTATAAAGCTTTTTTCCTTGTGGAAATTTCAAATGCTGCGACATGTGCCTTTGGTGCGTGTGTAGAAACTACTTTAAACTTAGTAGTTCCGGAGTGGCTCCTGCATAATCCCAAATGTGGTTTGTTTTGGGTGGAAGTTGACAGTGGCTATCAGTCAGGGCAACACCGATATCTAAAGAAATCTGCATTTGAAGATTTTGCAATGACAAAATTATGATGGTTTCGATCTTGATGGAGAATTTGAAATTTGAGGCCACACGTAGTTTCCAACACATCCCGTTCCCGAACGTCATTTCCGCGCCGTCAGAGGGCGGTCAGCGCAGCCGCTTTCGCTTCGCACAAGAAAGTAAAACCTAAAGATCCATAACAGCGTCTTTGACATCTCAGTCGGAAATCGGTTTGGCACGTGTATCTCTGCAGCACGATGGAAAATTTAGATCGTGAATCAGATCATCTTGCTCACAAATATCAGCAGGTCTTTCGATCACAGGAGATATGTTCTCAAGTTCACCGGTGCAAGAAATCTAAATTACACGAGGCTTACAACAGACAAAGAGAGCGAAATGAAAAGTACGATCCGCGAGAAACTTCAAGACGAAGATCTTCTAGTTCCTGAAATTAGATCAAGTACAGAAATCATCTCCCGATCCCAAGGAACGAAGCGGATCAACAAATGTTTCTAAATGTCACGTTAAGGGTCTTTTGACTCTCCCGCACACACGGAGCGGTGTATGAATTTAAACACGCGCAATTGCCACACAACTCCGCTTCACAACTAACTCTCCTTTTCACAGGGACCCACTACGAGTTCGTAGTATTTTCAGTACCTTTCTTCGCGTAGTAGACACAGAAACAGACAAAAGATGGCCGTCCGTGGCAACAACGTGATCCCGAACAACCACTTCCGAAAGTGGTGGCAAAAGTACGTCCGCACCTGGTTCAACCAGGCCGGCCGCAAGAAGTCCCGTCGTACCGCCCGTGAGGCCAAGAAGGCCGCCATCGCCCCGCGTCCGTTGGGTCTGTTGCGCCCGGCCGTGCACCCGCCGACCGTCCGCTACAACTTCAAGCTGCGGGCCGGACGTGGCTTCACGTTGGAGGAGCTGAAGAAGGCTGGTATTTGTGATGCTAATTGTAATTTAGTTTTAGAAGAAGTTCCGTTTGTGATGCTAGGTCGGCATGGCAGATGATGCCACGTGTAGTGGTCGAGCTTTAGAGCGATGAGTTTGATCTACTGGTACGGTATACTAAAGAGACCACTTCTTTTGCTTTTGACCCCACGGAGGTTCACAATCTCTTCTTTCAAAAATCTCGAAAATCCCGCCATCTACAGGTATCCCGCGCAAGCAGGCCCAGACCATCGGTGTTGCCGTGGACCACCGCCGTAAGAACAAGTCCCAGGAATCCCTGGACCTGAACGCCGACCGCCTGAAGGAGTACATGTCCAAGTTGATGATCATGCCCCGCAAGGCCAAGGCCCCGAAGAAGGGCGACACCCCCAAGGCTGAGTTGGAGGTAAAAACATCTTTTGATGTAATTTTCTTATTCTTCGGCTGCGAAAACAGGAGATCGTGCTTAGCGTTAGCCCTGCAGAGAGGGCCAAGCATGACTTATTTGAGTGCGGATGATAGATTTAGATTGTTCGTTCGTAATTTAGATTATTCACACAGCGAGATGATCGAGAGAGCGCCCTGAACAAGATTTGAATTTCATCTTTCCAAACATCCTTCCTATTACAGGGCGCCAAGCTCGCCGCCACCTGCAAGTCCGTCTTGCCGATCGCCAAGCCGTCCCTGCGCGTCAAGGCCCGCAAGATCACCGACGAGGAGAAGGCTTCTTCCGCCTACAAGGTCCTCCGCAAGGCCCGCGTCGACAAGAAGATGTTCGGCCGCAGGTTGAAGCGCGCTGCCGACAAGGCCGCCAAGCAGAAGGAGGGAAAGTAAGTGGGTTGTTCCGGATGGGGAAGTGAAGCTCAAACTTTCGCTTTCTTGCTGGGCCAAAACTACAGTTTTTAATTCAGGAAGCCTGTGTCGCTGAAATGAATCGTACCTTACCTATGAGAATTTTCACAGCTTTCCGGAGGAGAACACAACAGGGATCGTGTCATGATCAATGTCTATCTGAACAAACGCGGATGAAACTGAAACTACGATGACAACTCGAAAAAAAGTGAGAGAGGCTGCTCGTGTTTGCCTTTAGGAAAGCTCCAGGCTTTATTTTGCGCCGGTCCGGTCGACGTGATGTTCTTTATTGTCGTCCTTCCCCGCGAAGATATCCCTTGCATGTTGTGCACGTGTCAACAGACACAGTCTTGTTATAGTCACTGAATTCAGTAGTTTACTCTTCGGTCAAGTACAAAAATCACGCACGTTGTCAAGTGCAGTTTTTTTTTCCAACCGCGTCGTGAGTCGCTGAGTCCACAGGACGACGATCGGTGTTTTTTCATTGACCAAACCTAAGCAATAGAATGAGTCGTGCGCTAGTTAAAAACTCGAGATGCCACAAATCCAAAACTGAAGCGAAGTCGGTTAAAAATCGTACAACAAGAGGACAACTTTGGCCTAAATCGTGCGATGAACAAGACGTGTCGTACAACACCATCCGTATAGTAATGAGTTTTGTAAACAGAGTAGAGGACAACGTCTTTTAGCACAATTACTACTTTCTGTATCAGTCGCTTTCATCACAAACCATATCCAGGAGTGTATTTTTTACACCCCCTTCCTTGTCGTACGAGGTAAGTGCTGTATCACCCCGAAAGAGTACACATCGGATCCGAGAATCGAAAATATCTGTTGTTCCATAAATTCGGGTACTACTATTGTAGTGCACTGAGTATACCCTTGTCATCCCCTACCTCATCTTTAGATCAAAAAACGCATCAAAATGGGCGAGCCAGCACTTCCGCCAGGCCAAAAGTGGTACACCATGGAGGAGGTACAGTGTACGTTTTAGGTGAAGATTTATCTTCTCCTAATTTTGCATTTTTTTTTGGTAGGCCACTATGCTCGTGCATGAAAGGCAATGTTCCGTCAATTTCTTCAAACATCAGCATACAAAAAATTTCTCAGGTTGCCCCCCACAACAAGGAGACTGACGCGTGGGTGGTGATTAAGGGCAACGTCGTCAACGTGACCCACTTCCTGAAGGTCCATCCGGGCGGCAAGGACATTCTGCTGGCGAACTCTGGAACCGATCCGACTGCCATGTTTGAAACCATTCACCCGCCGGGCACGTTCGAGAAGCATGGGATTGACAAAGTCATTGGTACGCAGAGGGTTGTTGTGGTCTGGTTTTTTTCATCTGCGCATATTTTTTCGTTGCAAAATGCAAGTGCGTTGTAATTGCACCGGACAGATCAAATGTGAAGATTACAGTTTGTTTCGACTTGTTCAGGAAGTCTGTTGACGTGAAGATTCAAAAAAATTGAATCAGGCAAGATCAAGGGGTGGACGCCGCCAGTAGTGGAAGATAAGAAGGACGAGGCCATTTGGATCCGAAATGACGTTGCTGGTGGTCCAATCTGGTTCCTCAAGCAGTGCATCAGGTATTGCATGACATGCAGTTGATCGAATTCTACGTGTAAGTAGTTCTTCTGCGCAAGAACAAGCACGTTTGCGCTGCAGCGAATCGCACGGCACCACAACCATGATGAAACCTCTTTAAATTCTCATAAGGTGCTCCGAAAGTTGCAACTTGTGTGGAAAACCAAAGTTATTCTAGTTAAACTCTGACGGTCGTCAATACCATGTGAGACGCCACTCTGTATCTGTGACGAACATTTAGATGATCTGTGGTTGAAAGCGCTCATCTCATGATTGCAGGTACATATGTGGCATTGAGAAGGCAGAGCAGGAATACTCAAAGAAGCTGATGGCGACTTATGGTCCCCGGGAGGTCCGCATGGCGGCGCCAACTACCCAGGAAATGGAGCGCATTAAGAAGCGGGCGGAAATGGTCGCCAAGCAGACGGGCGCGAAGCCGCCGAAGTGAGGACAATGCAGGCTGGCAGAACGACTTACATGCCCAGTAAGTATTTTTCTAGTAGAGCGACTACGACAGGATCAGGATCTACTTACCTACGTACTAAAAGTAGAAGTGCTTTCGTTGTATTGTATGAACGACTACAACAACCCAGCAGTACTTTAAAACCAGTTTCTGTTTCAGTACTAGTAGCCCTAATTTTTTCTGATCTCCGGCTTCGTCTCCAGAGGCAGCCAAATTTTAGCAGCAGGTTCGCTTTTTGAAGTAACAAAACGGCGCAGCTGCGTCGATTACTATGTGCTGCAGGGTACGAGTCGCGAAATCGCGCCAGTTGGACAACTGATAGCGTGGTGCCCAGTAGAAGATCTTCGACTAAATTACAACAGGCTGACTTGATGCACAGAGATTTGTGGACTCCAAATGTAGAAGATCTAGATTTCGAAGCCTAAATTTTCTATTGGCAGCTGGTGCGACTGGAGGTTTGTATCGAACAAAATACCGTTTCCTAATTTTCCGTCTATCTTTGTCTCTCGTTTTTGCGTCGACTACACAAAACATGAGTTTTTAAATGTAGGCTAGGGGCATCTGTTGCAGGAACTAGCACGAGATAGGATCGAAGCAAATAGCAAACTGTTTTTGCTCCTTCACGTGTAGGATCATTATTTTCATTATCTCCACGCGCACTATCTAAGGTCAAGCGACCGCATGTGACGTGGTGCGTAATACACAAGAACTGAAGGTCAAGGTCTCGCGGATACGGTGCCGAGATGGCGACTTTTTCTTCCGTGAGCCCGTTTCACAATACGGACTTGCCTGTTCCTCGTCTAGGCTGCTGCACCCAAAGTGCGTGCCATACTAGCGGAAAAAAATTCGTTCGTCCTATGGTGCATGATGAAGACTCTGATCAGCAGGGAGTAGAATGCCTAAAATCGATCGCCTAGGGAGGTACAACTTACGAAAGTCGAAATACGCCGAGATCCTCCCGTCCGAAAAATCTTCAAATATCATGGGGACTTGGATCATCAAAATGGAACGTTCTCGGTTGTTGTGATCGTCTAGAATATGCCACTTGTAGAAGTCGTCTCTTTCTGAATTTTCCAGGACGTTCTGAATATGAAAAAAAAGCCAAGAAAGAGATGAATTTAGAGAAGCAAACGACTTGCACGACAAGAACCGTCTAAGTAGTAGAACAGAGTACTATACACAAGAACTACTATACAAGATGACGACGGCGCACCGGCCGACGTTTACGTCCCGGTTGGGGGGCGAGAATGCGGTGAGTGGGAATCTGATGGTGGCCCGCACGACCAAGCAGTCGCGACGGGACCACGTGCAGGAGCTGACCATGAAGACGCGGACGGTCGAACCCAAAACCCGGGCGGAGATGATTGAGGAGATGGAGGAAAGGGAGCAAAACCAGGACGGAGCCTCGTCGTTACACGACCTGAAATCCCGAACGGGAAAATCCTCGACCTCCGACGCGGGGGGCGGAACATCAAGCAGGATAAAAAAGTCCGGAATAGGTGGAGTCGGGGGCATAGGAACTACAGCTGCGTCTTCGAAATCTGTGATTCAAAGCAACGACGGGTTTAAGCAATTACCAGTAATAGAGGGTGACAACCCCTTCCCGGAAGACGCCGATGCCGATTTCGACAGCCAGAGTGAGGACGAGAAGCCCAGGAAGGCGGGAAAGGGAGGGAAGGATAGCGAGGATGAGGACGGTGACAGCGACAGCGACTCGTATTGCGTTTGTTTTTTTGTCCGTGTTTCATCTGGCTCTGAAGTACTTCTTATTTTCACTGAAAACAGGACCAAGACCAACATGATGACAGCCTAAATTTTTCATCACTTTGATCTGAAAGACATTGTGTGGAAAAACATTTACTCGCGCTTGGACTGAAACAAAAAAAAAAACCCTTTGTATCGTCTGTTATAAATACAAAAGCCTCATTTCTCAGGATGACAGCTAAGAAACATTTCATCACTTTGATCTGAATCATGGTGTGGAAAGAAACTTACTCGCGCTTGAACTGACGGAGATGAAAACATGAAATAGAAATTGAAATATTGAATGATGGAGACATCGGTCTGTATGGCCGTCTGAAAACTTTACGCAAGCACAATCCCAAAATCTCTGGATGCAGCTTCATTATTTTCGTTGTCATACAATATTTCTTTCAAAAACCAAAACAGCGACAGCGACTACGAAGAGCTGCAGCGGGAGCTTGCAAAGATTCGGCAGGAGAAGGAAGACGCGAAGCAGAAGGAGGAGGCGGAGGAGCAGCAGAAGCAGGAGGCGGAGCGGCAGGAGAACATCGGAAGTTCCAATCCGTTGCTCTCCGGAGGACAGCAGGTGAACCAGTCCCTCAAGCGCTCCTGGAACGAAGACAGCATCTTCAAAAACCAGGCCAAAACCGCACCGAAAGTGGCCAAGCGCTTCATCAACGACAACGTGCGCAGCGACTTCCACAAACGCTTTTTGCACAAGTACATGGCAATGTAAGGTCGTCGTGGATCATACTGTGCTCGTGCTCCTCCACCTGCAGCAGCGTACAGACTGCGACTCGGATAATTATCCCAAAAACAACTCCCCTGTCCTAGTGTGAATACTTGATGCTTCTTTCACGCCCTGATAATATCTCGCCGGAAACTACCGAACAGTATTTTTTGAAGCGGAGGAGCTGTGGCTTCTCTGGAGTGAAGCATTCCCGCGTTGTTGACCCCTTTTCTATAAGTAAAGTACGGACGTCAGAAGTACAAAAATAGACGCGAAGAAGTTGCAGGGCTGCAGCACTGTACGCAGAAGGTGCAACTAGTTGGCTCGGGTAGCAGTGTTTCTCTTAGATGATCCCAGAAAAGCATTGCGATCGTAGGATTGTTGTACTACACCAGACAGTGAAAAGGAAACGGATCGGTAATTTGAATTACAGGTGCAAAATCAATGATCGAAGGAATGAAATCTACTTTCAAACACAGTTTCAGTTCCCGAGTCGCAAAATGCTGTCCCGAAAAAGCAAGTACATTTTGGATTTTCTAAAGATCTTTGGAAATACGAATCACTCAATTTAAAGCTCCTGATCCTGTGCAGTAGGAGATCCGATCGAAATACTGCTCGAAAAGTCGATAGCGAAGATCTAAATTGTTGGTTTCTGAAGCTCAAAAACTTGCCCCACTCTCCCCGGATTTGATTTCGATTTTAGACTGCCTACAACGGTAGTCGTGTATCTATCACAACTCGTCTTAGCACAAAATTTGATTTTTCTCACACATCGCTTTTCCTTCCTTTTACACAAAAAACAGGGACAACAAAAGAACACGGTAGAGACATACCCCGAAGTAGATCATAATCTACTTCCAACCCTACACTTCATTACAAGATGCCGTCTAAACGCCGCAACAACGGACGCAGCAAGCATGGCCGTGGCCACACCGCCATCATGCGCTGCTCGAACTGCTACCGTGCCGTCCCCAAGGATAAGGCCGTGCGCAAGTTCGTCGTCCGTACCATCGTTGATACCTCCTCCGCGCGTGATTTGAAGGAGCAGTCCGCCATCGACACCTACCAGCTGCTATGGATTGCAAAAATGTCTGGGTCTGGAAAGTTGCAACTTGTAATGCTGTCTTTAGATTCCAAGCAAATCTGTATTGCATGACCACCAACAGAACTCCAGTTTGTGTTTTTATGCGGAGAGGGCATTTCTCATGCAGAGTAGGCATTGGAAAGCCCTCTAAATAAAATCTGTGTTGCTAGATCATGCATTACAGGCATCAATCATCTTGCAAAATATGCATGACTTCGGGGACTCCACTTTTCCAAGGTTCTTGGTTGTGGATGGTTCCTTGAGGTCTTTGTGGCGTTTTGGTATCTATGTTGCAAAATATGCATGACAAGTCTGCACTCTTCCAGACCCAGATATTTTTGCATTTGATAGCTGCCGCGTCTGTACATCAAGCAGCAGTACTGCGTGTCCTGCGCCATCCACGCCCGTATCGTGCGCGTCCGCTCCGCCGACGCCCGCCGCGTGCGCAAGCGCCCGTCCCGCGACCCGGTCCAGGCCCCGCGTGGTGGAAAGTAAATCGATCGGCACTTGTCACTTTTACGAGAACTACGTAAACAACCCAGTGTAAAGATCAGACTGAGATTTCAACGAGGTTCATCTCGCCTTCCGTCGGAGAAAGCAGACATTGAAGGTAAAGTGCTTGTGTACAGGTTCTTCGGTTTTTGATTTGATGCAAAAAAGCTATAGTTTGCTACGTGTGATCGTTGGTTCAAAGCTGCAAACTGGGTGTGAAAACAACTAACTTTCAATCGCACAAACCAAATACCCACAGGTACAAGCAGAACGCAAGGATCCTTTGGGACGAACAGTGAAAAATCAATTCTGCTGATGGAAGGAATAGGAGAACGTATTGAATCAGACGTCATGTTGTAATGAAGTTATCCATGGGGTTTTCTCACTGAAGAAAAAAAAGAAAGCTGCGGCTGTTTCTTTGCTGGAGGGCCAAGACGGGCCTGTTGCGACTTGGAATGTGTAGTGGTATGGTGTTCGGGGATATCTCATCCAGGATGGCTAGACAGTATTTTTCAATCATGAGTGATGGAGGAACAGTTGTGAGAGGCAACGCCACGGAGGTACGTGGTGACACGATGTGCACATAATATTCCTGAGCGAGCATTTCAAGGGTTTTCGACTTCCGCATGAATTCATGCGTTGAGAGGTCCAGCCTACATTTCATTTTCACACAGGAAGGCCTTATGGTTATGTTGATGAAATAAACGCATGGCTGTGTGGTCCTCTTTCAGATAGCGTCGTGTCTTACCAAAAGCAGATTAGAACTTACACCATAAATAAACATTTCACTTCTCGTGTCTACGGATGCATCGGTAAAGTCGTAGACAAAATTGGCTTTTTAGCCTCGTGGATGGTAAGAATAATCTAATTGCTGTAGTTGAATCCGATCATTGCTGTTGTTGAACCCGATCAACAACATAAAACCCCTTTCACAAAAATGGAGCCCTTGTTCCGTTCCCTGCTTACCCAGACGGCGCAGAGCGCCCGTACGGTTGCACGCGAGGCTGCGCGCGCCTCCGGGGCGGTGGCTCCGGAACAGTTGGACCGATTGGAGAAGACGGTGACGCAGAATGTGGCGGACGGATTGAACGTGGTCACGAAGGACGTTCTGGGGCTCTCGAAGATGCACACCATGGGACCGAAGGATGTGAATTCGCTGGAGTCATTAGATTCGAAAATCAAAGCGCTGGACAAAGTGCTTCGCAGCTCGAATACCGGGATCGAGTTGCGTCAACAACCGGGCGTCGGGCCGGCGGTGCGGCTGGTGCGGAAAACCAGCACGGGGCTGGCGATTACGGACTACGAAAGTGGAGCGAGTACGGTAAGTGCTAGCAGGAGCTCATCTTCATCCGAACAGAAATCTGTCGGCCCGAATCAGCATCACGGTGAGTCGCGCATCAATCGCAAAAGAACCAGCGCGATGCAAACCCGCGCGCAGGCGCGGCAGTTTGTGGAAAGAATCGTCAGATTGCAGAGCGAGGAAGAATATGGATTGCAAAAATGTCTGGGTCGGGAAGATTACAAGTCTGTCATGCTTGTCTCACCTGACTCTTAAATTTGTCATGCACATTACCCAAGAGCCCCACTTTTGCTTTTCTGTCATGCAGAAACGCTGCGTGTCATGCAGAATAGGCAAGACCTAGAAGCTCAAAAACTTGTCATGCTGAGCCAGCACTTGTGGCCTCCTCGTGATACGCCACCCAGCATCACAAGTTCCGAGGCCCAGACACTTTTGCAATGCATAAAGAAATCAAGCACGTGAAGGCGTACGTGAAAAACCTCCTCGCGGAGGAGAGCACGCTCGGCGCCGCTCTAGCCTCGAGTTTCGCCGCTTCGAGTACGAATTCTACAACTTCCTTCCTGTCCGCCTTTCTCACCGGCCCGGCGGCGCCTTCTGCGAACCCGATCATGGCCACGTGGGCACACGAGCTGGAGAAAAATTTGTATCGCGACATCGTGACTTTGCTGTTCAGCTTGTTCCGGGAATGGGCAGTTTCTTTAGATACGGTCGGGAACTTTACGGAGCAAGCAGATCCCGCCGGTAGTTCTCCGCCTTTGTTAATGGGGCACGATCTCCGCGTGGATTACCACCCAATTGGCACACACAGCACTACGCTGAAGTCGCGCGTTCCCTGGACGCCGGAGAACCGGAAACGGGTGAATCTGGTCGTGGAACAGCTCCTCGAGCAACACCCGGCTTTCAACATGAGAAGGTCTTTTTTCGGAGACGGAAATCTTGCTGATGAGGACCTATCACATTCACATTCGTCCAACAACTCGAACTCCTCCTCCGGCACTTCTCTCTTCCGTGGCAAGAACGGGGAACCCGGGCTGCTCGGGGCGGAGTTTGAAAAGAAGTACGCGCAGGAGGTCGCCAATGCCAGCTTCCGGATCGCGATGGATCTCTTCTCTTCGAGCGCCAGGTTCGAGGTGAAAGTGCTCGGCCACCGGGTTCACTGGAACGTCAACCCACTGTCGATCGACGAAATTATCACGGGGAAAAATAGCGCGTTTCTTACCCATGGGCCGAGGGCGAGGATGTGGTCACCGGATAGAACAAGCAGCAACCAAGGAGCGCAAGAAGCGGAAGCGGATCATGAAACCACAACAGGTCACTTTTCGACGAACCTCCACAGTGAACTGAATGTTGCAACAGAAGAGGGTCGTCCAAAACATCCCGCGACGTCCAACAAGAACAAAACCGTTCAGGAGCCCCAGCACAGCACGAACTCGAACCAAATGTCCGCGGTGAATCACGAGGCCATTCGTATTTTTGCCGAGGAGTTTCTGCGGGAACGGCGAAAACTGCGCCGCACGCAGTTCTTGCAACTGCCGGAACCGATTGAGCGCGAGATCTACGAGTACACCTTGCGGCTTTCCCTCTGCATTCTCGAGGAGGCGCTGCTGTCTTCCAAAATTCGCATGCTCGGTTCCAGGTTCCGGTTTTCCATCGTGGAAACGATTTTTGACCCCGGGTTCTCCCGGCGTGTGGAGGCAACAAGCACAGGAACGACAACGGTGGGGAACAAAACTGAAGCGGCTGGAGAAGTAGAACCACATCAGGAAAACAAGCAACATCAAGCACCAAAAGCAAATACCACGTCGAGCAGCTCCGATGAGGACATTACCGCGACGGTGGCGCAGTTGCAATCGAAACGGGCCGAGCTGGTGGAACAGATTCAAGCAATCGACGCAGTGTTGGCTTTCGACAAGGAGAGATAAAGAAAAGGTTTTTATCGTGATACACTAAGATTTGTATGATTTTTAACAACGACGCCACTTGTTCAACTTCCAGGTAAGAGTATCGCGGAGAGTCTCACATTGCTTCGTTATGCTTTGACTCTCCAGTGACAGTGTACATGATTTTGACAAGTTTGTAAAATTTTTTTCGTATGATGAACAAAGCTTGTTTAATATCGAGCAGCTATTCTTCTTGCTGTTGAAGATGACGACAGTGCAGCAAAGGGGCGGTGAAAAGTCAATGTGGTTAGTCGAAAATTTTCCTGACGTCCGAAACGCGGATGATGTGATGTGTCTCTACCCGACGCTGCCTGTTCGTCTCTCTACTTTCAGGCTCTGATTAATACACACAGACTCATCTTCAAGCCATCAATCAAGCAGGTTTCGTTGAGGGCTGTTGTATTTTCACCTGTGTGAAAGAGGATAGATGACATAGATGTTGAGAGAGTAATACAGCAAAGACGAGGGCATTTTCATCTAGAGAAGATTTATCAATATCATTATTTTATTCTAGAGATGTTTGTATGTGGCATGATAACAATGTCGTATTAACCGCCCTACTGAGCCAGAGCCGAAAGATCGTTAGGAAAAAGGAAGCTCCCCCTAGCTTTCACCAAACTGGGCGACATTGTGCCAGGAATGTTGCGTGTCGTGGTTGCCTTTTCGTTCTGGGTCTCGCTACCCACCACGTCGCCGGTTGAAGCTGGCGCCATCCGCAGCCAAGCATTGTCGCCGGAACACCAGCTACACCAGCACGGCGCGACGAACTGTTGGGACGCAGGCACTACCCGGACTAGCTACGAGGACTGCTGTCTCTTGGACGGCAAGTCGCACGAACACCTGTCCAAGTCGAACAGCTGCTTTGACAGCAGTTTTCCGCTCTACTCCGAGCTGAAGTGCTGTTTTTCTGGCGGGTTTGCGACGGACGCGGTGGATGCCGACTCCGGCGAGCAACAGAGGCTCACGCTGGGGTTCCGCGGGTATTTGGATCCGCTTCGCTACGCGGGGGTCTTCTACGGTGCGGACTTTAAAGAAGAGGAAGCGAAGAATGCTTCTAAAAAGGGACGAGGACACCAGCAGCAAGCTGCTGTAGTTCTAGTGGACGATACCAGACCTGCACCCGGTGCCGCACCCAAGTCAGGAGCAGAACAACAGCTGCGTGGTGAAGTTCAAGATTTCAGCCCATCTACTTCCCCTGCGCCTACCCCGGGTACTTTGGATCTCCGACGCGTGAGCAAACTGGAGCCGCACGTTCTTTCGGAGTTGCCCCTCGATATTTTGGCCGCACAGAAGGAATTTTTGCCACATTTAACCAAGCGGCACGACTACATCGCGAAACGTAGTTACTACGACCGCCCGGAGATGTTGAGCGGGGTCGTATTGAATGCCGAGGATATTAATGCCGTGCCCGTTCCTACTCCATCAGAAGCTCCTCGTCCTGGTGCGATTTCTTCCAAATCATCGTCCTCCATATTACCGCTGCTGCCTACTTTATCAGCTTTACCACCTAGTACGAGTACGGTCACATCACCCTACAAGACCTCCCCACCCCGCGCGTCGCAGCAGCAGCATGCGCAGTTTGCGGAGAAGGGCGAAACAGTGGATGAGTTTCTGAAAAAACAATTTGCCAACGTCTGGAACGTTTCCATCGTGAACATTGGCACCGCCGACGGTGTCTCCGATGACCCGCTGACCGAGCTTTCTGACCGGGCCGAGGCGTTGGTGGGCGCGGAACGAGACCCGAAGCAGTGCGCTCTGTACCGCCAGCGGTTCCCCAGGGCAAAGCTGCTGTGTGAGGGGGTGTATGCTCTGCAAAAGTTCTTGTATCGCACTCGTATAAACTTGAAGATGCAGTGATAAAGAAGATGCATGACATCTTCAAATGCCTTCTCCAAGCCGAGTCAGCATTTCAATCGTTGCAAGTATCCCAGTTTTTTTTCTCTTGCCAAATGAAATTTCCAAGATGGTAACTATCTTTTCTACTAAGTGCGACACTTTTTTTGCAATGCATAGCTTCGACCCGGAGAAGGTCGAGAGCACGATTGTGGCGTCGTTACGGGAGGAGATGCGGAAGAGCGTGAGTTCGTCAAGTAGAACAAGCGCTAGAACTACTACATCTGGCACCGCGGCGCCAAACGAATCGGACTCGGAGTCGATGAAATTATCGGGCGGATCAACCAGTACAGCATCCGCATCGTTGAATAGTAGTACCCAACATCAAACACAAACCCGCACCCGCTTCTCCATTCTCAAAATCGACATCGACAGCTTCGATTGTGTTCTGGCGGAAAAGCTTTTGCAGTTAAACCTGCGCCCGGACTACCTGGTGATGGAGGTGAACGCGGCGGTTCCGCCCCCCTTCGAGTTCGCCATGCCCTACGAGCCGCGGTTGTTTTCCAAGATGAAGACGGAACTCGCCGCGCCCCGGACAGGGGGCCACATTCGGAGTACGTTCGGGCACAAGATTACAATTACCCGAGGGCTGGAGGAGGAAAGAATCATCGCAAACGTGCCGCTGTTCTCCTGTTCCCTGAGCTCCATGGTGCGGCAGTTTGGCGCATTCGGCTACTCGCTGGTGTTTTTCCACTACGGTGACGCGGTCTTCTATGGAAGCGTCAGGTTTGAAATCGTCAAAGTTGAAATAACTTGTAATGCATAAAATGGATACCAGTTGGAAACCCAATTTTCAAGCGGCGCATGACAAGTTTTCCGAGCACCGGAATCCAATTTGTCATGCTGTTCGGGCACAGGCGACTGCTTTTGTCATGCTCCTTCAGCAGCTCTACTTCAAGCACCAAACAGGCTGACACGCGGCCTCACTTGCCATCCCGGCAAGGCAGGCACTTCATGCCTTGCATTTTATGCATGACAAATCATTTCGGTCGGTTTAGCATGACAAATCATTTCAACTTTGACGATTTCAAACCTGACGCTTCCATATCTTCGTGAGTGACGAAGTGTGGCGGTGGGGAGCGAACTACGCAGGATCAAATCGAGCAAGTGGAACTACAACTGGAACGGGTGGGAAAATAATGAATGCAGGGTTAGCACGACGACGACCCGAGGACATGAACAACGCAATGAACAAACTGTACACACTGGATCCCTTCTGGATCTTCTGGTATTACCCGATCGGCGCATTCGGCTTTTCCGCGACAGAAATGCGACAAATCTTCTTTGCCGGCGGTATGATGCAGCTACGAGGAATTGACCGAGAACCACGACCACCGCAGGCCGGCTTGCAGACGCGGGAAATGAAAAGAGAACAGAGACGAGCGGCACAGGACACCAGCACTAGCGCGACAGCGCCTGCTTATCATGAAGAAGAAGAAGAACAGAAAAACCGGCGAGCGGTGTACCTGGCGGGGCAGAAAATCCTTCAGAAACTGCATGAGTGGGGCAAGTTCGCGCTGCGAAATCACTGGCAAAACACCGGGAAAAAGCGGAACAAGTTGCTGGATCGCCTGTTGCAAAAAGCCATCCAACTTCGCGTGAACGGAACCATCGTCGAACCAAGTTCCACTTCCTTGTCGTCCAGGAGTAGCTCTAGTTTGATGAGCTCATCTTCCGATAATCTCATCAACAGCGAACAGAATGTAGTACATCAGAAAGAGGAAGTAGAAGACCGTGCTTCTGATCATGTCTTCAACACGGAGGACGATCTTGTATCTAGAAATGCTTACACTTCTTCTGCGCATCATCATGAAAATACTGACTCGCCTTCGCCCGAGTCTGATTCAGAACTATCAACGAGTAGAGGAGATCTGCGAACAGGATGCGATTTTTCCTGTAGTAGGTCTCAGACCCTAATGAGAAGCATGTGTTTATAATTGTGTGCCTCTGCACTTTTCCTTATGTACTTACTACTTATCTGCTCACCTTGGTGTTAGTACACTCAATGCGCGCAGATCGGTCGTTTCATCAGGGAAAAATTGTCGGTCAAATTTGTCGTACTCGTACAACAGACTCTTGACAAGGCATAAAGAAAATCAAAATTTAGAAAATAGCCATGACGGCTTCGGTTTTCCCTTTCTCGCCGGTGAATTCGGTTCGTGCAAAGAGTGTCGGTACAGCGACTACCAGTTGACGCACGACCATGCGCGGAAAGTCGGTCATTCGTGCAAAAAAATATTTTGAAAAACATCGTACAGCCACGGTCTTTCGTTCATCGCCACTGCGTCCGGTCTTGCTAGGAAATTGTTTGTCGTTCTTGCCGTGCTTCTGCTATTCGTAGTTTTCACGAAAGAAATTTATTCCGATCGCAACATGACCACTCTGTGCAGGTCCCGCTAGTACCAAGAAAAGTGAATTTCACTGCTGGTGGTGCGGAAGATAAAGAGGTTTTCACTTCTTCCTCTCTCCACCTACACCGAGTCTTCTACTACTTCTAGTACTATCGGTATCCACGACTGCCGTGGGGCTTGAAGAAAAAGAATTTGTTCTTACGACCAGCGAGCAATTGAGAAAAAAGTTCTTTCTTACGTCATCTTCGTAGAGAAATAAAACCATGTCCGACACGTACTGGGGTTTTACGCGACCGTATGCGCACCGCACGGTGCCGGAGAAGTGGTCCCGGATGAACGGGTACCACTACAACACGACCACCGCGTTCGAAGACGCCGCACCCAAAGCGATCGGCGTCGGGGCGCTGCTGGGCGAGCCCATGCAGGCGCTGGGCGCGAAGGCGAACCAGGTCCTGCACGCCGACGACAATCCCGTTCTCGAGCGTCCGCAAAGCCGGCAATTCTGCATGGCCTCCTACGGCCTGCGCCAACGCAACGCCTGGACGGACACCCTGCGGGACTGCAACCCGAGGCCTTACAGTATAGTTGTTTGTTAGTATCTTGTTCCACTTAAAGTGTAGTTGTTCATGTTCTGGAAAATAAGCTGTCGGCTTCATATTGTGTTGCTGTTGCTTGGATTTTTTTCGATGAATTTTGTATGCATGCAATACGAACTCGAACTTGAAGAGCTATGTTCCTGCTAAAAATGATCATGATGTTCGATTTTGAATGTGCCAACATGCGCAACATGAACATGCGACATGAATTTTCATCAACTCAAATAACTCCAGCTGCCGGTCCGACTTTCGTCAACTATCCGGGCACTCTTCGCGACGCCCGGGGCCGACCGCTGCCGCGGCAAATCCCGGGCCCGCACCCGAGACCAGCCACCGCCATGCGACAGAAGCCCATGTCCAAGAGAACGCAGCAGACCTTAGCGGCAATCTTGGCGATGCCGCAGAACCAGCAGAAAGTGGCGTTCAAATGAAAAAGACTCGTCGTGGTCAGGTAGACATAGACTACACAGGAGCGGTTTTTTTTTTTGACAAAGTTCAAGACCAGCATGAGGTAGATGTTTTTTAAAGTCGTACTTCATATCAGGATACATATTAGAAGACCCATATGAACCATGAGCCCGTATTTACATTAGTGTTGGTAATCCCCGACGCAATCTTCGCATATCATAATTTCTGAGACTCGCTTTTATTGCGTAGTCTGATGTAAAACTGCGCTATTTCGTCTTTACTTTCTTCTCCCCCAGAACAAGCTTGTCTTTGTGTACTTATTGTCGGTCTAGCATAATTCTCGTTTTCGTTGTACCCATTTGATGGTCCACCTAGGACTACACTAGTAGTATTCTACCGTACCAGCGCATGCGCATCATGATTGAAAGTGAAGGAGACCACTTGAAAAATATCGCGTCTACATAGATCATACTACCGAAGTAGAACTACGATGGCATAACTCTTTGACACATGGGGTAGAAGTGTTACTGTTGTAACGTGCAAAATCATCAAAAAACTCTCGCGACGAATAACAAACTTGAAACACCTACCTGACCAGCCCTTCGGCGTTCCTTTGGGAAAAGATCCATGTTGTTGATGATTGTCCTAAAAAACCGTCAAAATAGTCGGTGCCATGAGGTGCTCCTTCGGCGTTGTTCTTCTTGCGCGATATATGGAAATGCTATACACGGGTGGCTAGTGTTAACTGCAACAAGCGTTCCGCCGCATTTGTGATTTTTCACTCCGCCCGTAAATTTTGCAGAGAATGAGGATTGAAAATTGACGGGCCACAACACGACTTTCGTCGTGCATAATTTCTATCTCGTGTTGTATCGTACCCGCGTCGAGTTGTACCACGGAAGTCGTCGAGGCACTCTTTCGTCGCTATACCAGGGTTTAAGTTTACGATTATGAAGCTTCGTCGACATCATCGTTACAAGTGAAAGGAATAACGACAGCGAGAGCCTCATGCCCATCGAGTTTCATCTTGTTTGTCTGGTGGATCTGTGCTGTCTCCAATTAAATCCAATCTTCGCAGGAAATAAGAAACACCTCGTCACGAGGGTACTAGGTACTTGACAAGATTGGCGAATAACATCGGAAAAATTTATCGATATAGGAAAGTAAAAGTAAGTATCTTTGGCAGTAAACCAACATAATCACATACAGATGCAAATGGGAAAAATGTCACCACATGCATGTTTTCGTTACAAGTGCCTTCTACGTCGTTGATAAAGGTTCACATCGTGAAGTAAGGGGTAAAGGCAAAATACGTTCGTCCATCGTGAAGCCGTCTGACCGCAAATCGTTTCGCAATTATGTTGGCGGCCCATATGAGGAAAAGCTGGCGAAGCTTCTTGAAACTTTATCGAATATCGCTCCTCGATTTCAATTTCATCTTTCTCATCTTGTCCATTTCATAGGCCGAGGAGGGGGTCGTGCCTTTTCTGTTTTTTTTTTTCGGATTCTCGAAAAATTCTAACTCAGAAGGAGCTTTACTTTTATGTGATTTATGTGTGAGGTGGACTTGTTTACCGTTATCAATCCAGTTTCTTTACGAAGTTGTTCCTCTTTTAATATTTCTTTGTGATAGCAGTACGAATATTAAACAAAAAGATGTTGGGAAACCGCAGTTTCGATGGAGATGAGCTCTACCGCATCTTCCAGATGCACAACAAGAGCCACAATCCCGAGGGAGACATGGAGGAAGCATCAAATCTGTTGCGCGCGCTCGAAATGGAGGAGCGCTGCAAGAATATCAAATTTCGATATGAGTACTTTTTCTTTTTGTTCCTCCAACCCGATATTTTCTTGTCTTCCTACCTTGATGTCAGTCTTTCTATTCCCAGTGTGTTCATGTTAGAAAGAAGTTTGAGTGCAGCTGTCTAGGACAACAGAACCAGAGCAGGAGCTGCACCAGATTTATTGGCTGTACCGCTGAAGATGCTATGAATAAAGAGAGGACTTCCCTTGTTCATTGGGCAGCAGGTTTTTCTCAACATTGCAAAGAAAAAACTATTCAGGACCTCCCTCTCGAATTCGTACGACCTTGGTAGCGAAGTAGTCCCGACAGAAAACGGCCGCAGCACGGTCAAGTCGGTTACTTTCGCAAAAAGGAGAGCAGACGGACGAAGTGTGGTGATCAAGATGCGCAACAAGACCAAATCATTTAAGGACGAGCAGGAAATCAAGGACTGGATGGCAAATATGAGGGTAAAAATAACAATAGGCACTACTAGTGCCGCTTGTATATTAGAAGTAGCACGTGCACGACAGGGACAGCTGCTTCAACTTCCAATAAGATGCCGTTGAGTTTTTATTACTTGCGGTTGTCGACCGGTAATTTCAATTTGTCAAGTTCAAGTACGTGTCTGTGGGTCTATCCGCACTGCTTGCAAAATTGATCATTCATATACTCATTTACAGCTTCTGTTTCTGCAATCCGGCGGTCCGGCTATGCTGGAAGATTTCTCGAAAGAGTCAAGGGCGCACCCCCATATGGAAGCGTCAGGATTGAAATCGTTAAAGTTGAAATAGCTTGTAATGCATACAATCGATACCAGTTGGAAGCCCAATTTCTAAGCGGTGCATGACAAATTTGCCGAGCACCGGAATCCAATTTGTCATGCTGTTTGGGCACAGAGACAGACGACTGCTTTTCTCATGCTACTTTAGCAGCTAATAAATATATTTCAAACGCTAAACAGGCTGACAGTTGGCCTCACTTGCCATCCCGGCAGACACGCACTTCATGCCTTGCATTTTATGCATGGCAAATCATTTCAACTTTGTCGATTTCAAACTTGACGCTTCCATACCCCACGTTGCAAACGTGCTGGATATCATCGAGGATGCAACGAGCTACTTCGTCGTCATGGAACATGTCAAGGGTATAATGTGATTATGATCATGATCTTTCGCCTGTACTCACGGTGAAATTTGTATTTGAAATTTTTTGCAACTCGCAGAAGTACAACTTCCTATCTTCAGTACCTTTGAGAAACAAGTAGTTGGAGAAGCAGCCCGACAAGCAAAAGCAGCGACAAGCATCAGAAATGATCATGCACGACAGGTCGGGATTTGTTTGATTACTTCGTCCAAGACAAAATCTACGAGAAGGCGTACAAGATTCCGCTCGCGCGACAGATCGCAAAGGAGCTTGTGCAGGGCATGGACGAGTTGCATTCGCAGGGGCTCGTGCACAAAGACATCTATTCAGGAAAAAACAACCACTCCCATTTAATTTATCCATGCAAAACATGCATCAAGAGCAGTGTTTGTCATGCAAAAAAAGGATGGGGATGAGTGTTTTTTCCTGGATACCATCAAACTGGAGAACATTGTCCTGGATGAGGCCCGGATCAAACAGCAGGGCGTATTGTGAGGAAAAGTTCCCTCTCCCCATACTCAAAATGGACATTTGTGATGCTGATTTGTGACCACAAATCAGATATGTCTTGGGAGTCATTCGGAGCATTGCACAGCCAATGATCTGTCACGCGCCGCTTCTATCTGCCTACTGCAAAGCTGTCTAGTGCCATGCCTATCTACTAGCCTTTTGTATACCCGAATAAGGCTTAGAAAATGCCTCCAAGCAATTGCTGCAATCCAGCGCTGATAGATTTGTGTACAGAAATCCAGCAACAGAAATTTTCTGTGTTGTATGGGGTCGGGGCTCCTTTTTTCACTTCGATATGGCGAGGAGCTGATTTGCTGCTGCAAAGTCGTGGACTTCGACACGGTAATTTTATCGAAAACGATAAAAAAAAAACTCTCTTTGCTGCTGCGAAAGTAAAACACAGCATGACGATGAGCTCGAGCTGCATGAATAGCTCGTTGTAGTAGTTGTCATTCTCCCATATTTTTACCAAAGATCATCTGGAAAGACGAACATCGCCTCGTTTACAGCGCAGATTCGTTGTATACGAATTTGAACATGTCACTTTTAGGTCGAGATCTACCGGCCGGGCACGAAGTCTTTCCACGTGCTGGGCACCGATCAGTACATTGCACCGGAGACCTATGTATGCATTGCAAAAGCATCGCACTTGTACCAGCAGTAGCGGTCACGCATTAATACAACAGAATCTCCTTCTACTTAGGGTAAACCCGCATTACAAATCCCATTTTTCATACTGACTAAACTTGTCATGCGACTTCCATTTCTACGTGTAAGTACGAGTGCGCTACTGTAGTTGCAATGCATACTATGTGGGGTACTCCACGCCGACGAGTGACATGTGGGCGATCGGGGTGATCTTCTTCACGATCCTGACGGGTTCCTTCCCCTTTCACTCCGTACCAAGTGCAAAAATGTCTGGGTCTGTAAGAATGCAACTTGTGATGCTGCATTTGGATTCCCAAAAAAATCTGTATTGCATGAGTACCACAGGGAGTGCAATTTGTGCTACGCTGAGAAGGCATTTGTCATGCGGAATATGCATTAAGAAGCCCTCAAAAAATCTGTATTGCTAGGGTATGCAACACAGACATCATGGCTCATGCAAAACGTGCATGACAAGTGTCAGAGTCTTCCAGACCCAGACATTTTTACAATTGGTACTCCGCATTGTTTGACGATCAGCCGGGGGAAAACTACGTCGGTCACGCCCGCATGGACCAGATCCGCCGGCGGCTGCGCGTCGCCCGGATCGACTGGGGTAACAAGGTGTGGCAGGCAGAGCCGCTGGCCAAGGACTTCGTGCAGCGGTGCTTCGAGTGCGACCAGAAAAAACGCATGAGCTGCAAGGAGGCCCTGCAGCACGACTGGATCCGCGACGTCAAGATTCGGCTCGCGTAAGAGTTCCAGAAATCATCGCCGCGAGAGTGATGATCATCGCCGAGCAAGAATTTTTTCAATTAAACAACTTGAAGTTGAAAGTTGTAAAACGAGGACGACCTTTGCGTTTGCTGTAGCTGTTTCCGTTTCGCATTGTAAAAATAACAAGTACACTTAGTTATTTGAGTAGTTTCCTAGAACACTAAAATCCAATCTTCGAGATACCGTCTCGCTGTTTCGTATACCAATCGCTAATATAATCCAGCTCACCGTTTTTGTTACCTTAACCTTTGCAAACCGAAGCGAAATTATCGCATATCGCATCATCGAATGCGTTCTGGCGTAGTTGTTTTTTTGGTTGTTGTGTAAATCTTGACCGTCTCGTTATTCACTGAACGACCTCATCTGTTGGTTCAGTTTTGTTTTGTTTTTGTTGAGGATAAGAAGTTTTCCTACAGCACCTAAACAAGAACTTGCAACGAACTTCATCATCTTCTTCTTTCCGGGTAGTTGGGTAGTTTCTTCTGCAGCGACGAGTAGAGCGGTAGCGCTCCTTTTTCGTTGCTGCTAGTAGAAACTTGAAGACAACTGCAGTTACAACAAGTCTTGGCTCGTTGGAGTCAGTTGTAAGTAAGTAGATGAAACAGGACACCAGGCCGTGTGCCGTGTGTAGCAACTTTTTTTGACACCACTCGTACGACAAACTGTGTCAAAGAAGGTGAGACTAAGGGCGCGCAACATCACTGTAGTAACCTGCTGCATGTACAACCGTAAAATCTGTATCCTTTTTGGAGCCGCGGATGGCCGTTGACGCCTTTCGATTGGACAAAGCAGAAGCATTTCGCACTTGTTGTAAAATAAAACAACGAAAGCGATTATATACACGGCCGGCTTCTACTTTCGAGGCACAGCCGCTGGTCGTTGGCACCAGGGATATTGCTGCCATTATCACTTACGTGCAGTGCCGTACTCCTAAGAATAGATAAGTCCGACAGGGAACAAAAAATTGCTTGGTAGCGAGGGACACCTGCCCCGCGTCAACAAAGAAAACTAATCAGCTTTAACTTCGGTGCTCTGGATGCAACTACTTGAATTGGGAAAAATCGGTTCGTTTCATACATCATTTTCGGTTCGTTTTATGATTTTCGTTCAGCAATAAATAGGACAAGCTTTCAATTGCCTTGGAATATATTTTCTTCGGTCGTGCCGCTTTCATGGTTTCCTTTCGCTTTCGTCCTTTCGGTCGTGCAATTTTTTGACTTTGTCGTACACACCAACAGGTTGAAGTTATGAAAGCCTTTTCGGTGCAGGTGCAGAAACTCGAAGGACGACGATGAGAATCTGTCGTCGGTTTTTATGTATGAGCAAGAAGAAGAAATTGCGAAAAAATCACATGCCAACTAATTCCCACAGGTTCTTCATCTTGTTGAGTCTTCCCACGTCGAATTTCTACTTCGCTTGTCGAAAAATCAAAAAACTCAAGAACCCCCAGCATCTTTATTACAGTGCTCCTCGGCACTGGCTTAAAAAATCAAATTTGTATGCGAAAATTTGTTTCGAAGTACAAGTACTAGCCACCCTCATCAAGTTCAAGGTCGTGTTAACAAGGCACGACTTTTTCTTACGTTCCATTCTGCGAGCCTTCCTCTACTTCGTTAGGCCGCCGACCGAACAAATAGTTCGAGTTCATCCCCAGACGAGGGCGATCGTTTGCGCTTGAATCTACTGACCAGCAGGAAGAAATACAAAAACTTCCTGGAGTTCATCACGTCGCGTCTGCATCAGTTTCCCTTTGGCTCTCCAGTCCGATACTGAAACAGCACGGAAGTTTCAGAACCATGAAGGTCGTGTCGACGCTCCTCGCCCGTCCGACCACTGCCCGGCGTCTCCTGCAAGGGGCCACGGGAGGACCACTGCTCTTCCTCTTGAAGATGTTCGATCTCCAACAGTTCGTCGGTGTGCTGGTGCATCTAGAACCAGGCTTCCAGCATGGTGCGTTCCTTCTTGTCCACGCCGTTCGCCACGAAGACCACGACAGTCGACCGGCGACAGGAACCTCGGGGGTCGTCGACCCTGGTGCAACCGAGCAGAGCGGGAGCAACACGGAAACCTACGTGGAAGTTCTTGCGAGCAGTGCACCAGGTGAAGACCGAGGTGGACGAGGCGACGCTGTTGTTCTTGACGATGTGGTGGACCATGCTGTTCACCTTGTGGTGGGACAATCTGCCTTGCTGCAGAAGGAGCTGCAAATGCATGATCGCGGGGGCCACTCGGACGATACTGAAAATTCTCCTGCTGACCACCAGGTCGACCGCCGTCTTGGATCAACACATCATCGCGAAGAAGAAGAACAACTGGGCGCTGGCGTTGAACAAGATGCTGTTGTTGTTAACCACAACAAGTTGGAACATCCCGTGGAAGAACAAGAAGCTGCTCAAGCAGACCTGCATGACGAGGAACAAGGCGCGGGGGTCGACCACGACGAGGACGTCGCGTCTCCTCCGGAGTCTACAACTCAAGCCTCCCCGGGCTTTCTGCAGCGGCGGGATGGAAGCTGTTTCTGGTGCAGCGGAGGATCAAGTAAAAAAACAACTCCACGTCCACCCACGCCGCCGGCCAGTATTAAGACCAACATCCCGGCAGCTCCCCCTGTATTGCAGCCTCCGCCCGCGACCACGAGGACGAGCACCATCACGATTCAAAGAGTCGCAGAGCCCCCTCCACCATTCGGGCAGAATTTGCCACTCCAGCAGGAGCCTGGGTTCTCTGGTGGCAACAGTCGCGTTCATCTTCCGGATGGTCGGGTGGGGAGGGGAGCAGCACCGCCGGGCCGAGACAACATGTGGGCGCCACCGCCTGGCCAACAACAACGACAACCACTGCAGCCCCCCGCAGCGCCAGAAGTTATGCCACGACGACGCGTCGGTGTCGGTCACGTACAACAACCGCGGCCTGCACAACAAGGTCTCGTGCCTTTGCCTCCGGATGCCGTGCCGGCTCGCGCCCCCAACCCTCCACCGGGGGATTCTTCGCTGGCCCCAGCCCGTCGTGATTTGCAGACTGTGTGGTCTCCACCAGCAACGCCAGCGTGGTCTACTCCTTTGCAGCGGTCGTTTGGCGCAGCGGCCGATGAAGGTAGTAGAACCAGGACGGATGTGGCCACCTTATCCGCTCCGGCTCCGGGCAATCCACCTGGAGGACGTCGAAATATTTACGCGCAAGTTCCGGAGCAGCCTCAGCGAGGCCGCGTTGATGAAAGTCAAAGAAGACCACCTAAAGCCGGGCCGTGGCTCCCGGCAGGCGGTGGCATGCGCTCCTTGTCATCTCGATCTCCGCCCCAATCTGCATCTGTGGCTGCAAGTCGACCAGCAGCAGCAAGAGCACCAGCTGCGGCAGCAGAAGTATCTTCAGGAGCAAATGTAAGAACACCGGAACAGCAGCTGGAGGCCGCAGAGACTGAGCTGCGCGAGGCAACGGCACAGCTGGAAGAGTGGGAGCAGACTGGAAGAGTGGGAGCGCATGATCCGGATTATCTAATTAGTTGGGTATTCGAGGCAGCAGACGAACTGAAACGACTGGAGGAAACTCTGGGCGTTCAATCCTGTTCTCCCAGGCGGCCAGGTGGGTTCTTTCCGGCCGGGTTTGCGCGGGACTTTGGAGGACTAGGACAAGCTGGCTTCGTTGGCGCACGTACACAACTGCGTGCACAACTGGACCGTGGGTGTCAAAAGCTGGCGAATCTGAGCGGTCAGGATTACGTGTACGACGAGCACAAAAAGGTAAGAGCAAGAAGTTGAAGTTGTAAAGTGATTTTGTTTGCTCACCCATCCAATAGAAATAATAGTAATACGAAAATGTCGTCAAGCTCGAGTCCGCGATGGGTCCGGCCAACACACCCATACAAAAAAGATATAAGATCACAATAAATTTCAAATCCGCCCGTTGACAATTGACATTCCACAGCTTCCGAAGGAGGCGTGGGACCAAGCGATTGAATTCGAGAGCGCGAACTGGAGTGGTTACGGGCGCCCGCCAAGTGGAAAACTGACGCCGGGCGACACTGTTGTTTTACAGTGGATACGCAATGCGTATTACGGCCACCTATCCCTATGGCACGGACTTTTGTTGTGCGCGTGAGGTTTGTTATTTGTGTAATTCCGGCCACCTTTGTTTTTGATGCAGATTAATAGATACGGATTTTACGGGACAAAGAACAAGATGTCTGTGCCGATGTTCTATATGTCTCCAACATAGTAAGTATCACGCTGGGCCGGCTGGAATAGAAGCCACTTTGTAAGCTTGGTCGCACATCCTCCGTGTCTCCGTTTCAGAAAGTAGTAAAAGTGTAAGAAGACAATCGGAAACGAAATCTGACTAGAACTCAAGTCATTGGTCTAGGTGGACGGTGCATCTGTCCTTGATATTTTCGGAGTTTTGCTCCTGCAGTGTGCTGTTCTCTCAGGACAGAAAAGACGTGTCGGGTGGAAAAGAAAATCTACAATCGATCTGGTGGCAATACGGGCAGCGACGGATACAAATTTGATGTGGTGAGCGTGCTTATTCCGCCGTCAGAAAAGGAAAAGTATGAACGGATCTTCCCTGAAGAAATGGACGAGGCGCAGTGCGGAAGTGGACCTTCCGGGCAGTTGCAGTCCTCTGATACGCCAGCCCACCAGGCAGCTTACTCCACCGCAAGGGCACGAGTTGGTCGAACAACTGGAACTGGTGCTCGTCAGCTACAAGAACCCGGTCTGCAAGTTTCTCCACCGGCGGATGCCGCAATATTAAGAGAGACGCTGACTACGGCTCCCCCCTCGGCGGCTGCTGGAAGACCGCCGGCGCCTACCTCTGCGACGCCGGAAATTCGTCCTCGGGGGCAGCTGGGGCCCTTCTCTCCTGCGCGATCCCCTTCGCGGGGACGGGCTCCCGCGCAGGTTCTATCGACGTCAGCGCTGGGACCTCCACGCCCTGCTCCACAAGAGCGTCGACGAGCAGACACCCCCGCGTTTTCTTCAACTTCTGGCGGAGACGGAGGCAGCGCAGGTAGAAGTAGAAATGCGCAACACCAACAAAGTCGAGCTCCTGCTCCTGGGAGGCAGCAGCAGCAAGCAACGATGAGGACACCAGCAGCAAGAGCACCAGTTGCGGCAGCTGCAGCAGTACCAGAAGCAGGAAGAACACAGGAAGAACAGCGGCTGGACGCGGCAGAGACTAGGCTGCGCGAGGCAACGAAACAGCTGGAAGAGTACGAGAAGAGACCTTTTGACTCAGAGTCCACCAGAGCAATGTATCTTGCTGATCAAACAAGTATGGTACAAGGTGCAGTAGACGATCTGAAACAACTGGAAGAAACCCTGAACGTTCACTCCTGTATTCCCAGTTCAGGTGGGTTCTTTCACGAAAAGTTTAAGGAGTATTTTGAAAACCGAGATCTTTTGCCTGGACAAAAAACCGTGGGTGGGCCGTTTGCCGCAGGTGGACAACTTGACCGTGGGTGTCGAATGCTAGGGAAAAGTATCGGTCAGGATTATGTGTACGACTCCCACAAAAAGGTATAGAAGTTGAAGTTGTATGTAGTGAGGTCACGAACGTTCTATCCTAGCGGTTTTTTTGACAGGCAGTGTGCAAAACGGCCGGCAGTTATCAAGCGGGCGGAAGTGTTTTTTGACACAAAAAATTTTCAATTATCAAGCGGCCGGCTCTTTGAAGTCAATCAAACAAGCCCGAGCGGATTCTATCGATTCCCGCTTGATAAAACGACGCAAGGGAGCCGCCAAAAGGGGCGCCCTTCTGAGGCGCCCAGCGCACCTATTTCCGCCGATTTGGGGCGCCCAAAAAGGGAGGCCCAAAAATTGGCGGCGGGAAAAAGAAAGCGAATCCGCATGCTATGGGCGCCATTTTGGCCAACTTTTGGAGGTCGCAAAGCCGACCCCAAAAGCGGGCACTTGTAATGCGGGGAGCAGGGCAAAAAGTGCGACTTTTCAACAAAAAAAACTCAAAGAATCAAACTCCGCAAAAATTTGAGAGCCAATCCGCATGCTATGGGCCCGATTCGGGGCGCCCATAGGGTCGACCCTGGCCGAGGCCCTGGCGGGGCCATAGCATGCGGGAAAGGCTTCCGGACTTGGGAGACACAAAGGCGGAGGCCTTTGGCTGTGATTTTTGCCATCCGCGACACCATGCGGAGTAACATTATGCGCGACGGAATACTCGAGGCAAAAAACGCGACTGCTTTGCCCATTGGTGAAATGCGTGGGAACAGTAAGGAAAATGGAGGCGGGCAGTCAAAGAAACCGCCTTGGCCTCACTACCTCCGCGGACGCGGCTATTATTGGTAATGTGATTTTGTTTGCTCACCCAACCCACCCAATAATAATAGATATCCGTATCGTCGAGCTCCTCGAGTCCGCGATAGGTCCGGCCAACACATCCATATAAAAAAAAACTTGCAATGAAATAGTGACTTCAAATCCGTGCCTTTAACATTCCACAGCTTCCGAAGAAGGCTTGGGACCGAGCGATAGAAGTCGAGCGCGAGAAGTGGAAGGCTTACACGGACCTCCGGCCTCCGACTGGACACCGGACGCGGGGGGACAGCGTTTTTGTAAACTGGATACGCAATGAGTATTACGGCCACCTATGGCACGGACTTTTGTATTTGTTGTGCGTGTGAGGTTTGTTATTTGTGTAATCATGACCACGGCCACCTTTGTTAGTTTTAGAGGCTGTACGATTAATCGACCCCCTTTTCGATACCGAAAAGGGGGGTAGAAGCGGGAATCTGACCGAGCTTACCCCCCCACGCCCCCCTTTTCGAAATCCGGGGGCTGTTTATCGCGAAGCCTATCGCAAATCTGAATCCCGGCGGCACGGCGCGCATCACGCCTTTCGCCGCTTTGTTTTTGCAAAAGCGCAGCGGCAGCCACATGCGGTGCCCAGCTTCGCTGGATTGCGAGGCACGCTACAGTGCGCAAAGTACACAGCGCCGACGCTATGGAGCGAGTTCTCGTTTGTTCTTTTTCTTTTCGAAAAAAAAAGCCAAAGGGAAGCAAAGCAAAGCGAAAGCGACTCGCTTCCGCTTTCTGCTTCTCAAAATAAAGCCGGCTCCCGATCTCCCAAAACAAAGGGGGCGGCTTTCTTTCACAGAGCCCAGCAGCAGCACAGCTGCCCCGGAGTAAATCATCTCCAACTCGATAGCGATCCCAGTTGGTTGTAGACGTAGGCCGTGGACCTACTGCGCAGAAAAAGAGTTGCTTCGCAATAGCTTGGGCGCAGTTTGTAGAGGTAGACCCATTGCGGAGCAGCTCGACTGCTCAAAAACGGAGGCGGTTCGCAATGCGTCATGACGAAGCTTCTTCTCCTGTGAAGTAGCTCTATTGCACAAAAACAGGGCTGCCACGCAATAGACCACCAGGAGGCAGCTACTTGCGACGCAGCATTGCACAACCAGCCTCGGGATGTTGCAGCGACCATCTCAGCACTTCCTGCATTTGGAAAAGCTGAGGCGCCCACTTCGACCACTGGGGCGGCACGTTCTCCGCTGCATGTTCTCCGCTGCGCGCACGCACCAGCGCGCGCCGCGAGCTTTTTTTCAGTTTGCGCGCGCGCATCGCACGCCTGAAGCGTATTCTGTTGTTGTATCCGTATGCCGATCCGCGCGCGCGCCGCGCGCGCCCAAGAAATTTCTGTTGTTGTGTTTCATTCTGTTCCAGCCACACCGCAGAAACCGCAGCAGAAGAGAGACGCGCTGGGAAGCCGCAGTAAAAAAACGAAAGAGCTTTTTTTTGCCGGGGCGGGGAAATTGCGGATTTAGATTTGAAGTCCGAAAAGGAAAATTGGTCGGGTCCGGAGGGACCCGGCCATGTCTGGATACGTCCCGCCAGACGACCGACCGCACCTACCCCCCCCTTTTCGGTATCGAAAAGGGGGTCCATTAATCGCACGGCCTCTTATTTGATACAGATTGATTACGGATAGAAGAACAAGATGCGCCGATGTATAAGTCTTCAGCATGATTATATCACGCTGGGCCGCCTGGAATAGCCTCTTTGTAAGGTTGGTCGCACATCCTCCGCGTCTCCGTTTCAGAAAGTGAAAGTGCCAAACAAGTCGTGTAAATTGATGAAAGAAAAAGAAAAACGGAATTATCTGACAACTCAAGTCATTGCCCTAGGTGGACGGCGCATCTGTCCTTGATATTTTCGGAGTTTTGATCCTGCAGTGTGCTGTTCTCCCAGGGGAGAAACGACGTGTCGAGTGGAAAAAACAATCCAAATCGTGAATCAACATGGCGTCAGGAACAACAACAGACCCACGTTTGATGTAGTAAGCGTTCTTATTCCACGGTCAGAAAAGCAAGAGTATGAACGTATCAAGGGTAAAAACCTCCGCGCCGCATTGACATGGTGAAGATGGGGAATCTGCTACACAAATCCGCAAGTTTTCGCTTTCAAGCATGACAAGTGTTGTGGGCTGCTCGTAGAAGTGTAGTCCGGTTCAGCTAGTGTAAGCGCGCGACAAATTGACTACCTCGTCCTGATTCTAGCATGACAAAGTCCCAGGTAGCATTAGAAAATGGTCCTCATGGGGCTGCGCAACACGAGAGACGTTTTACGCTTGCAGATTTGCATGGGAGACATTTTATTACGCTTGCAGAAAAACAAATCTATGCATGACAACTCGTTGGCGGAGACGTTTTTGCTCCGGTAAACGCAAATGCCTCCGGACGTCGGCTGCGGATAGCACGTAGCGGAAGTTGGTTTTTCGTTGGAGTCGCACGGGTGTCAAAAATGGGAAAGCCAAGATGTTTCTGACTTCTATGGAGGTGTACGTGGACGACGAGTTGCCTGTGAAGATTAAGAGAGAAAAATATATAGTTTTTGCGGCCGGCAGAAGAGGCGCGCGCGTTATTCATTCTCTGCCTGGCAGTTGCTTCTGCGGTGGACGTGCATCCATCGCGGTTCAGCCTTCGCAGTGAGTTCTAGTAGGACGAAACACGAATGGAAACGACGGTAAGGTAACGCACCCGCCCTGTAGTTCAGCATAAAAAGCAACTGATATTTATACGCATACGCACGATGCATAAGCATATATTCCATATTCGGCTTTTGCGAAGGCCACAAATATATGGTCAAGGTCACACTCACGGCACTTCCACTTTCTCACAAACCAATTAAACTCACTTTAATGTATATAAAGCAAACCAAAATTTTAGTACTCACTCGCTTAGCGCAAGGAGGTACCCGCCTCTTTTTTTTTTACATCTCCTTCTTCCGCAGCAGCCTTTAAATGTTTCTTGGTGTGATCACAACGAAGCCGATAATTTTTTCCTCATCTGTATAAAATAAAAAATTAATATTAAAATGTATTGTCGTCTTGTAGTCTGTAGCATGTCACGATGGGTAGGACATGATGACCTCTTTTACAGCTTATTCTTCATCAAAAATATTATGCATCCATCGATAAATAACATCAAAGAACCGATTCTATTCCCAAAGAAAAACAAAGATGAAATGTGACTCATTGGTTGGGCAATGAACTAGATAGCGTCTCCTCCTCCGTTTTCTTCTCTCGAGACCTTCTGGTCCCCCTCCCCTGCGGTCGTAGGGTTGCAGCTTCTGTTTCCTCGCTTCGGTTGCAGCAAGGACAGAAGAATTCAGCTGTTGCTGTTCCTCGCAGATATTGGACCAATATTTCTTGGATATGGTGGTACGGCACCGGGTGTCTTTCTGCGTGTATCTGTATCTCGTTCAATACCAACTACTCCAATATTTGCTCACAGCGCAAGATCAGGAAGGCACAGGCATAGCTGGTGAAGATCCGGAGGGCTCCTGCTTCACTCTCCCTTGGATCATGTTGACGAATTCAGTCTCTCATATTCGATCTCTTTTCGTCTGATGATCGTCAAAGGGTAAGGGATCATCTTTCTGTTAGATCATTTTGATTTTTGAAAGAAACGAGCGAGCACACGATTGATTTTTGAAAGAAATTCAATTGAAGTCAGAGTTTCTTTTGCGGCAGCAGCAGCGGTAAAAAAAAAAATGATGAAAACTACCAAGAAGATCGAGGACGACGAGAAAGCCCAGGTCAAGCGCTGGACAGGCTAGTAGAACGGTATGACCAGCTTCATCATAGAAGAATGTTACGAAAAAAATCCAAAATCAAAAACGAAATCACAAGGCTGGTAAAGCTCTGCGTCTCAAAATGATATTGACATAGTAAATTGCGTAAGGTAAGAGAGAGTCAAGGTCAACGATGAAGCAAGATGGTATTTCGCTTGTGGAACAACAATTTTTTACGAGGGTCCTTTCCTTCTTTTTTCTTCTTTTCAGCGCAATTATTGAAGGTCATCGATGCAGTAAGAAGGAGGTCCCTATTGAGATTGCCGGTGTTGTTATTGAGGTTCAGACAGTTCTTTTGTTCTAAGAGGTCAACAGCAGCTGCCCTGGGCGTGGGCCTGACTAGTAGAGAACTTCTACGAGCTGCACCACGACCACGAGTAAACACCAACATATTCGCCCCTTCACCTCTTCTCTTCGGGTCGACGTTCCTCTTCTTGACCTTCGCGGCCTCTTTGGTAGCGCTACTCACAGCTGCAACTACCAAGGCAGAGCTTCACGTAGCCGCGCGGAGGACGACACCATCACCAATAGAAGAAATGGTAGAGGCTGGAACAAGTAGAACTTCGTCTCAACAAATGCAAATCTCCGCTCCTACAAGACTTGTTACTACTCCGCAAAAACCGGCAAGGCGGAGGAAGGTGATCCAGCGCACGGGTCGTGTTTTCGAATACGATGACGAAGAAAAAAGATGGGTGCAGATCGTTGATGAAACGAGCACTACTAGATGTAGAACAAATGCAGACGCAGATTCGAATTCTACTACTACTTCCTCATCATCAGCCTCCTTTCCTTGTTCGCCCGAACAAGAAAATCCGATTTCTGAGATGCGCGGAGAGTCAACATCAAGAATACCGTCAGCGTCGCCAGAACAAGAACCTTCTGGCGAGTTGCCACTGGCCCTGCCGTGGCGGCTGTTCACCGAAAAGCTGATCGAGCCGAGAAGCGGGCGGGAAATCGTGATGCGGCAGGCGGACATGCGGGCAGCCAAGGATCAAGAGACCGGCGATACGGGAGTGGTGGTGTGGGATGCGGCGGCGGTGCTGGCGCAGCGGATCTTAAGAAGTGTAGTGGAGACGGTGACCGAGGATGTTGAGGGAAGAAGTGCTACTCCGGCCCCTGCGGGCGGTAGTACTATCGACGCGAGTAGAGATATTAAGCAGGAAAGCGAAAGACGTGGAAACGGGCGCGACGGGACGAGAGGACGCAATTCCGAAAATTGGATCGAAGGCCTGGCATTCGCCGCTCCAAACAAACAGGAGGAAGAACTCGCACGGGAAAATAACGAGAGAGTGCGACTTCTGCCGCGTCTAAGCGCAGAGGAAGTAGAAACAGCGCAAAATAAAGCCTCAAACGCCGGGGACTGCGTCATAAAGGGGAGCAGCACCACGTTCGATCTCCGATCTCTTCTGCAGAGCCGCCGCGTGCTGGAGCTGGGGGCGGGTACCGGGCTGCTTGGCATCACCGCAGCCGTGTCAAGGTTGCCGCACAACGTGGTGTTGACGGATCTAGATTACTGCTTACCCAATCTGCGGCACAATCTGAGGCAGAACGCGGACGCCTTTGCGCTGAATCACAATGAAGATCTTCACGTTACTAGTGGTGAAGTAGACACTGAGAAAGATGAAATAAATCCAGACAGGGTCGTCGTGACGGGGGGTTTGGAAGCTTCTACTTCACAGCAGGATAAAAAAGTAGTTCATCGTGGTCCTCCAAATTCTTATGCACCACCTGCATTGCATTCTGTGCAAGCACAGAAATTGGACTGGACCCGACTAGACAGCCTGACAAAACAAGAGCGGGAGATTTTCGGGTCGCGGGACCTGCTGCTGGGCGCAGACATTCTCTGGGTTGACGAGTTAGTGGAGCCGTTGGTGGACACGGTTCTGTGGTTCTTCGAAAATTCAAACGTGCAGCTGTTTTTGCTCGCGCACCAAACGCGGAGCCGACAACTGGACCACCGGTTTCTGCGCGCGCTGCGAGACAGAGGGAATGTTCTGGTACAGAGGACATTGATCGTTCACAACCAGCCAGAAATCAAATTTTGGGTGTTTGGAAAGGAGGAAATAAAGTGCTGAGACGCGGAATTATATTAAAGAGGACGGAAATTGAAATAAAACAAGTCGGATGGTGGATTCAATCGATCCTGTTGATGAATTTGAATTCTATATCGCTTTGTTGAGACCTAGAGCTAGATGGAGACGAGCTAACATATTTCCAGAAAACCCGATTATTTGACGTCAGCTAGTCCTGCTACCGCTCATATTACAGACCGAAGTCTTGTGATATTTGTTGAGCAGTGTCGTGTTCTGTTTGTTTGCGGGCGTTCATTTTGATTTGACCTCGCGAAGCTTCCTGTCCGATCATGATAGATTAAGATTTCTTTTGCATCATGCTAGAGGTGTTTATTTTCGTTCCTTCACGACGGACCGTGTGTAGCCGCGTTTCGAGATCCATGTTGTCCGTCCCAGAATGGAACGAAGAGTCTTGATTTTCAGAGCGCTAGGACGTCGATAACATTCGCTGTTCTTCACTCTTGTTCACAACTCGTGATGGAGCATTGCCACTGGTGATCCGATTGATCGTACCTCAATATGCCAACTCGACGAGGACAGACAGTCAGCGACGTTCTTAGCGTTATTATGCAACGTACCGAAGTGCAAGTCGACGACCTAAACCTGAAAAAAATTTCTTGTGCATACTATCCTGTCGCTGAGCCTCCATGCAGTTCAACATGTCGAATAGGAGACACCTTTAGAAGGACTCAGAATCTACTTACTTAACAAAAACGGAAAATAAACCGAATGTTCAACAGTCTCTTCGGTAATTCTGCATCGAGCAGTAGCTCGTGCTCTGCTGCGAATGGTGGTGGAGCAGCGGCCCAGCAAGGAAGCAGCAGTAGCGCTATCTCATCCAGCAATTCAACTTTTGCTGCAGGTGGAGCAGGAGGTGCGCCAAGAATACCTTCAAATGCTTCTTCTTCCTCGTCCAACAGTAGCTCGAGTTCATCAACAAGCATTTTTCAGAACGGCATCGCGCACCGGCGGTCGGGTCCCTTGACCACTGGTGCGGCGACCGCGTTCCGTGCGGATCCGAACAGCGGCAAACGGCGGCGCACCACTGCGGAAGATCACGTATGCATTGCAAAACTAATATCGTACTAGTCGCTTAAGGTTAATTTTGCAATACAAATTTGCTCGGCATGACAACTGGATTTTGATGTCATGCTGTTTTACTTTTACCTTGAGAAGAAGATTTGCCATGCATAACTAACTAAGCATAACCGCAGTTAATAGTACGAGTGCGATACAACTTTTGCAATGCATAGCACGCCGTTCTCGGAGGCAATTCTGTTGCCAACGAGGGAAGCTTCGATTTCGATGAGGACAAGGAGGACGAAGAGACGGCTTTTCACCGGTTCGCGGAAGGCGAATACTTCGAGGACAGCAACTATGGGAGTGTCAGAATCGAAATTGACAAAATCGAAAAATTTGTGATGCGCAAAGTCGATGTCAGTTGGAGCCTCAGTTTCCAAGTTGCGCATGACAAATTTTGGGAGAGCTCAAATCCAGCCTGTCATGTTGTTTCGGCAAAGAAGACTCCTCCTGTCATGCTGCTCTGGCAGCACATTGTATACCCCTAAACAGGCTTGCAATCGGTCTCATTTGCCTGCTCCCCAATACAGGCCTTCAGTGCCCTACATTTTATGCATTATAAATTTTTCGATTTTGTCGATTTCGATCCTGACGCTTCCATAGCAACCCGCTCCGGACACCCCTCCAGCCGGAGGAAGAGCCTGGGGACGACAGTGGAGGTGGGGACGAGCTGCGAGGTAGAGCTCCTGTTCTTGCGGAAGATAAGGCATCATCGTCCTCTGCTGGAACATCAAGTAGAGGAGCAGTGCAAGGATTGGACGTGGATCACCACGAGCGGCGCAGTCGTGAGAACAAGGTGAAAGCTCAGCAGGAGCAAGAATTCGAGCGGCAGCGCGCCAAGGAGGCTGCGATTCGGGAGCGGTTTCAAGTCCCCAAAGAAGCGGACGACCAGGGCTTTGTGGAGCTGCAAAACCCCGAGGAGCCGTGGATTCAGTACGACGACGAGGATGTAGAGGTGGACATCAAAGTTCACGATGCTAGGAGAAGAAGAAGAAGTCGCTCCTCCCCGTCGTCCTGCACGCCACGAGAACGAGCAGATAAGGATGTCGATGCTGAGTTACTTCTTGATCAAGAACGGAAGCCCGCCTCGCCACAGAAAAAGCTGGACAATTCAACCTCTTGTGACGAGGTGGATCAGTACTTTAACTCTCAACACCAAGAACTTGCTCTTGTTCCGACTGCACCGCCGGGCAGTAAAAAGGACGGTCCAGCTGCGGGTAGTTGTAGTTCTGCTGCCGCCTCGTCGAGCGGTGGCTCGTCTTCGTCGTCTTCCAAAATAACAACAAATTTTGTGCACATTAAAGAGCTGCAAGATGATGCTACGGGACGACCACTGCTCCTCGGGGCCGCCGCGGCGGGCAGCAACAAGCCTCAAAATCTGCAGTCCGCCGCGAGTCCGTCCTTTGACTTTGACAAGTTCTACAAGGAACACTCGTTGTTGAAGGCCTATCCGTATCCTGTGCAAAAGCATCGTATTCGTATTCTTGCAATCATCCATTACAAATCTTTTTGTTGAGTCAAATCCGCATTACAAATTTTATTTCTCATGGTGAGGAAATTTGTAATGCATTTATACGAGTACGATACTTTTGCAGTTCATAATCCGCCGCGGTTTTCCCGGAACCTCTTCGACAAGCTGTACCCTATGCCCCGCAAATGTGTCTGGGTCAGGAAGAATGCAAGATTTGTCATGCTACTGTGGCATCACGACTCTGCGCTCTGTATTGCGTGGCCGCGAAGACCTCCTCTTGCCTGTCATGCAAAGATGGAGTTATTCTTATTTCTCATGCCATGCGAAATACAAATACGCAACGCAGAACCACGAAAAACCTGGTCATGCTTGGGAGCGCATTGCAGTGTGCTTACTATTCCCTTCCTTGCATCACAAGTTTGCAGACGTCCAGCCACCGGGGATGTTTGCAATGCATATGCCCTTATCAGGTGCAAGCGGCGATCTGGCTTTACAACGCAATGAAGAACGGCGAGGGCGCAGTATGCATTGCGAAATAAGTATCGTAAACTAGTTGTACCAATCTACTTTGCAGGACAGGTTTATATTCGAGAAAGAAAGTAGACGATGAAACTTCAACTTGTCATGCAGGTTCGGGTAGATAAGATCTGTCATGCCCCCAGACTGTAAAAATCTGTACGAGAGTAGCGATATTACTTTTGCAGTGGATGCGGCATTCTCGCAGACGACATGGGGTTGGGAAAAACGGTGATGATACTCGCGTACTTGAACATCCTGATCTCCTCGGACAAGTTTCTCTACCGGCAGCGAAGCCAGAACGGCGCCCTCAGCGGTTTGCGGACGAAAAAGCTGGAAAGGGTGCTGATCGCCGCGCCCCTGTCCCTGGTGTCCTCCTGGAAGAGGTCGGCGAAGGAGTGGCTAAAAGATTCGTCCTTCCCGGTGGTGGTGGTGAATGAGATTCCGGGTGGCGGCGTGAAGAAACTTATCACATGAGAAAAGTCCTCAGCTGTATTTTTCCTCATAGGGCAAAAAAAAAAAAAATTCAAGCATATTTGTAGATCAGAACTCAAGGCGTGCAGCATCGCCCAAGCGGAAAGCAATTCGCGGCAAATTCGGAAAATATGCACCCGCTGTTTATTTGTGAGTGATGGGATTGCTTTGAAAAAGAGGACTCATCGCGACGGTATGGCGCTGAAAAGCATGGCCAAGAAGTGCCTCAGTTGGCCAAAATTGTGATTGGTACCGTCGAGGCTGTAAGGCGGAGAAGGCAAAAAAGATGCTTTTTTTGCAAAAAAAAGCTGCTTTTTTGATCAAAATCCTTGGGATTTTGACGTCCGAAACCTTGCTATGAGTACTCATTTTTTTTTGCTATGAGTACAAATAACTTCCACGACGGAGTTCTGGATCAGAACCCTCTCAAAAAGCAGCTCATTTGGATGCTATAAGTCATAGCTTTTCCTAGGGTCAGGAAGGAGAGTGAGTACAAATACGGTAGCAGTGGGAGAAGCTTTTTTTGCATTCAATTCCCGATGCTACGGTGGCCACACGGGGTCACTTTTTTGCTCAAGCGCGACGGTGTGCTGTTTTTATTTTTGCACTGCCGCCGTGATTGGCTTCAATTGGTCTGCTTTTCGTATCTCAAACACCATCGCAATGCAGCTTGATAGACGGAGGCTGCACTCTATCCCGGAGAACCTCCTGAAGGGTGGGCCTGGTTCTGATACATAGAAACCTGCGCAATTTTTTTTTTTTTTTGGCCCCATGAGGAAAAATACAGCTGAGGACTTTTCTAATTTGATAAAACTCGAGCAGTACTTGCAAACCTTCTCCAACGGGATTCTCATTTGCCACTACGAGATTCTCGCCCGGGAATCGCCGCAGCGGATTCTGAAGAAGTGGCAGCGAGAAAGCAAGTGCTGCTTCGACGTGTGCATCTTTGACGAGGGACACAAGCTGAAGTCCCACAGCACCTTATCCAAGAAAAGCACGTTGTTAGAGTAAATTTGTGATGCGCAGCATGCAACATGATTGCGTCTGTCATGCTTGGCATGCATCGTAGGGTCCATTAAAGGGCGTTTTTACGTGCTATCTGCGCATGACAGGTTTTTGCTGTCATGCCAGGCAAATTTGTAATGCTGTTCCTCCACAAAAGTTACACCTAGACCTACAGCGTTTTTTTCTTGGATACACCTCGGTGCGCGTGTTCGCGGGCCAGGAGCTGAAAACGCTGCAGAAGGTGGTAATGACGGGCACGCCGATACAGAACCGCCCGGAGGACCTCCACTCGCTACTTACGCTGGTGTCCGCGACGCTGACTGCGAAATTTGAGACTTTGAAGAATTTCAAAGAACAGTATACGGCCGTGTTGCGCTCCGGGAATTTCATCGACGCCGATGTGGACCAGGTGCAGGAGAAGAACAAAAGGGCACGGGAGTTGCGGGAAGTGATGCGCCCGTATCTTCTCCGGCGGACGAAGGAGCAAGTTTTGGGGAAGGACGGGGTGGTGCAGTTGCCCAAGAAGAAGGAGGTCGCCGTGTTTTTACCGTTCCAGAGCGAGTCGGGGCAGGAGAAGGCCTACACGAAGGTCACGGAGCTCGAGCACGTGAAACAGGGCACAAAGAAGAACGCCGGGCGACAGGAGGTCATCAGCTACGTTTTTGCGCACATGAGCCAGCTGCGGAAAATCTGCCAGCACCCCATCCTGGACCTGGAAGACCACGAAAGGCACTGGACCGACAGAAGTGAGGACTGCGAAGGCGGCGATGATGAAGTAACAGTAAGTTCAAGTTGTACAACTGCAAAAATTATCAAGATGATGATCGTGTTCACCGGTCTTGGCTAGCTAGTTCCACATCTCCGTACTGATGGAAATGTGTATACGAGAAACAGTAACAGTAACAGAGAGGTGGACCAGCACCAGGAAGTAAGTACTAGTACGATGGTCGTTCTTTCTTTGCGACGTCGCCCTATTTTCCTGAAAGCAAAGAAGTATGCACTTCTTCTCAAAACTTTCAGGTCTACGCCTCGGAGAAAGTTCCGAACCAGTCCCCCGAGGGGCTAATCAACAGCGGCGTCAAACTCCAGGCCTTGTTGAAGCTGCTTACCCGGTGGCGGAACCAGCGGCGCAAGTTCATCGTGTTTTCCTCCTCGAAAGCCTTTCTGGATCTCGTCGAGCGGGCGATCATCACGCCGAATCACTTCAAATGCCTCCGCGTCGACGGCGACGTGAAGGGCAAGGACCGGGAGGTCGCGCTGGATACCTTTCAGGACCCCAGCGACCGCAGCGACGGGTTGCTGATGACGGTGCAGGTGGGAGGCGTGGGGTTGACCTTGACGCAAGCCACAAGGATGGTGCTGTGTGACCCGTGGTGGAACCCCGCGGTATTTTTCGTATGGGAGTTTGACTAATTTGATATGATGAGGTGTGCATGTGTAATATGAGCTCGAGGGTTTTTCACGCCAACGCCTGATGAAAAGAAAGTAGTCGCTGCTTGCATTTTATTCCCCGTATGTGACGTAATATACCAGCACTTAGTGCTGCAAGTGGAATTTTTAAAATTGACAACCGTGTTCATCTAGTACTTCTACACACAGGTCGACGAACAGGCGGTCGACCGCATGCACCGCATCGGGCAGCGACACCAGGTGATCTGCTACCGCCTGATCACTCGTGGCACGATTGAGGAGCACATTTTCAAACTGCAAACGCTGAAGCGCGGGATCGCGAAAACTACCATTGACGCGCCGAAGCAGAAGCGGTATGTCAGCAACGACGACCTGCGGCGGCTGCTGCAGTACACGGACCCCTGGGGTGTGCAGTACAAAGCGTTCGGGTTTGGGCAGTGTCTCAAGAAAAACATGAATCCGGAAAGGATTGCGTGGGGCGAGGGTGTGTATTCCCGCGACTACACCGAACTGTTTTCGTCCAGCGACACGACTGCGGAGGCGGGTAGAGGACAGAATCAGGATGACGTCGGGGAAGGTGGGGCGGCTGCAGGTAATGACAATAAACTAAATCAAGATCGACTACATGAAGATGTGACAGCAGATGCAGACGCTTCAACTACACTTGAGGTTCTTGTCGAGGACGTTGTGCAAAAGGACCATCAGATGAAGATCTTCATCACAACCCGAGAATTGCTGCTTCTTTGTGGCCGGAGGTGCTGTTTGCTCGTCCTCCTGGTATCTGCTTTGATTTCGTTCTGTACTGCATGAAAACTTCTACCAACTTCCACTTCATCACTTCATCAGGTGAGACTGAGAACGACAGCAAAGACTTTTTCGGCGGCGGAGCAACAGCAACAGCAAGTGGCGCTGCATCCTCCGCATCCTCTTCTTCCACCACAGCTGGAAAGAACGCCAATTTTGCGGCCGGCTCTGGTACTACACCAGCGGCCCCTCCGCAAGGAGCCGGAGCTTCTGGCTCTGCCGGCGCTCCGGCGCCGGAATCCTCTGCAGGCTGTGGCGCGGGACAAGATGACAGAGATGGGTTTGCTGGAAACAAAAGCGCGTCCTGTACAGGGCGGGAGGAACAAGATAGTACTGGCCGCGGAACAAGCTTTCACCATAGTAGATACGAAACTCCCCAGCAAGATGAACCGGAGGCCGAGCAGAGCAACGATGCAGATGCCGATGACGCTGGAGAAGGCTCTTCCGAGGAGCGAACGGACCGCGAAAGCGAGACTGTCACCTTCACCGCATGGGCCGATCTTGGGTATGCGGTGCACCAGGAGACGAAGGACCTGGCGGAACAGTTCACCACCATCTTTCAGCCGGTATGCAATGTGAATTTTCCGTACAGCGACCGTTACACCTACTTACTACAAAATGCATGTTTCAAATTTCGCCAACTTACACTTACAACATGCCACCTGTCATGCTGAATAGGAATGAAGGAACATTTTTTCATACGGAAACCGCGTTTGTACAACATGTAGATGTACGGAAAATTTCCTATGGATAAGCGGCAGAGTCGGACAACGAGGAAGAGTCGGAGTACAAATACAAGGAGGACCGGGACAAATTTGTGAAGAACCTGATTCGCAAATACCACCCGGATAAGAACCCGAACCGCGACGAATGGGCGAAGTCGGTAACTCAGTGGCTCAACGAGAACCGGGAGAAGTTTCTGAGCAACGCCCCACCAAGGCCGGTCGGTGAGTAAAAGGAAACGCAGTAGTAGAGCTCCTGCTAACTACTTGTTTGTAGCCGGCAAAGACAACAGCGACACGGTGAGAATTAAATCATTTCAAGAACAACAAGTAGACTCACACTCACTGTGGTTGTATCATTGTGCGGTCCCGAATCCATATTTCGTCGATTTGTGTTAGAGTTTGTCTCGTTGCAAGAAGAACCATCATCATATGCAAAGTGTAGTACATTGCGGGTATTATCGCGCCAGGTTGGTCGTTCTTCGGATGATTCCAGATGCATTTTTTTCACTATGAGAATCATGCAGTGAGACGCTCGCTCTCTCATAGTTTGCTGCAAAGAAAGAACGTCCGGGGCACTTAGCAGTTTCGCAGGCATAGTCATGTGGGCCAACGCATTCAGGGTTGTTCTCCACTTTTGTGCTAGCGTCATCGTCGTTTGTTCTTGTCCGCCAGGCGGATGTTATGTTATTGTTATTTGTGATAGATCTAGATCACGATCATGTGTTTTCTTGCACGAGCGACTCCCGAGTTCTTGTCCTCCTTCGCCTCCCAGTAGTTGTGGGCCAAGGTAGTTGTATGTTGGGGAGGGTCCTCGTCGTGTTGCTCTTCTCTATTGGGAGGGTCCCGGACAATCCAGGCGCACCAGGTTTTTCTAGGTGTTTTTTCTCCCTCCCTCTTATGTGATTCCACCGCCGTATTTGCGATATACCATACGCCCGAGGTTTATTTTTGTTTTTCTCAAGAAGCTTGCGCCATATTGTTTTTCTCAAGATGTCACCCGCTCCCGCTCCCGCAGGGTCCAGTACCCTCGCCGAGAAGCTGGCGATAATTCTGCAGAGCGGCGCCGATCCGTATGGCGTTCTCAAATGTTACATTCTCAACTGTTACATCAATTTGTAATGCAAGAACGGCGAAAGTGAAAGGGGGAAGATTGCGCCTTTTGCATTACAGATTTGGCTCAGATTTAGATGCTGTCCAGCCCTTCGGATATTTGTCATGCGAAGCAGCTCAATCGTGGCGATCTTGGTGGTAAATTTGCATGGCAAATCATGTAACAGCTGAGAATGTAACAGTTGAGAGCGCCATAATCCGAACTACTCGGAGGACGGGACTCCCCTACTCATGATGGCGATGATGCAACACGACTATGACTGCGTAAACCTCCTGCTTCGCTCTGGCTCGAGCCCGCTGATCCCGCGGTGCTACATGCGCATTTCGCCGCGAGGAAGCACATCACGCAGGGAAACTACGAATGGTCGTGGTCGCGGCGATTGTTCTTCTATCTTAACCACGACGCGATGCATCACCTACGCCTACGATTTGGTCAACGAGACGACGCCGACCGAAATCATCGACTTCCTGGTCGCCCGGAGTTTGGAGCACTTTCAGCGCTCCGAGAAAAATCTGGCCTCGCTGCTCGAAGATTGCGGCGAGACGATCCTGCACCGTGCGCTGTCTTTGGCGAGCGGTACCAGCAGCACCAGCAAATTCGCTGAGCGGTTTTTCGCCTTGGTATTTCTGCAACTGTTGCTGAATTGATGATATCGTGGTTGCATTTTTGATTTTGAAGATCGCAAGTTTGAAATAGAAGATAGAAGAAATAACAAACCCACCCGATACATAGAAAGGCTGAAGCTGTTGGAACAAATATCGTGCATGAATGCAATTTCACATACCGTCGCCGCAGTGGCACATGATAGATGACACTCATAATTTTCGAGGTAAACAACCAACCGCCAAGTATCACGCGACCTACGGCGGCTTCGCTTTGCCTGGTGCGCGACCGAGACGGCCGACCGGCTTTTTTTGCGGCGACGCGTCTCCAGGCCGTGAAGCTGGTCCTACAACAGAATCCGGATTCCAAATTGAAATCCAAGATGAAGATGAATCAATTTGATTCTACCGCGATGAAGAAATCTACGAGCAAACCGCTGGACAACGAGGATGACGACGACGAATTCGAAGAGCTCGCGGCAGCGGTGGCGCATATGCAGAAGAAGCAGTCTTATTTCTTCGAAGCCACGGACTTCTCGGGCCGAACCTGGCTCCACTACTTGCAGGACGCGGACTCTTTTCTCTACTTGCTGCACCGGGTGAAGGAAGAGGAAAACGACCAAAACATTGCCGAGAAAGATCACTTTAATCTTATCCCCCGCGACGTTGCACTGAAGAGACTACTGGCGCAGAGCGATTATTCCGGTCTCACCCCAGTCGACCTTGCGGTCGCGGAACGACGGTGGGAGCAGTGTGGGGTGTATTTGGACCACGTGGTGTTTGAAACGAAGAAGAGTAGTAATAGAAGAGGACCAGGACGAGCAGATGAACTAGGAGGACACCAGGTAGAAGAGGTCGCCGGACGAGAGGCAGATGACGTCAGTGATGAACGTCAATGCACGGGAGCTACGCACAAGACCCGGTTGGAGATGAAGGCACCAACGTCATCCAAGAATGCCAATAAACCCCCGGTAACCCCCCTCTGGTTTCAGGCAGCCCAACACTCCGAGTACAAACTCGCAGCACGGTTGTTCTACTTTGAGAAAAAGCGGTCTTTCGCCGACAACCGCAGTCTCAGCTTGATGCTGATCGTCCTTGCAGCCACGGTAATCCTGGGTCACGCCATGTGGTACTTCTGCAGCAGGAAGCAACAGGTCGCGTTCTGGGCCCGGTACCTGTGCGGCATGGAATTAGCGGCCCTGGGGGCGTTCCTCCTCGTCATGGCTGTTTTCGCCTGAGGCAAGGCTGTTAACCTGGCCTCGTTTTTCGACCACGAGCAGGTCCTTTTTGGTTTTTCGAGCAGGTGCACGACCAAGCACTTGTTCTACCTGAACAGCACCGATTGTTTACAGTACTTCCGCAGCGATATTGTGAATATCCTCTCTAGAGGTTTATCTCTGTGTCGGAGAGAATTGAAAGTAAGTGAGAGATTCTGAGAGCACGAGCAAAATGAGTTGGGAAACTCGGACAAATGTTTGTTTGGTGATTGCAAATGCACAAACTCGGAACCTTTGTTTACGTTTTACAATCTTCATCTTTGTGAGCGCTCACATGACAAACTTGACTTTCGTTTTGATTGTTTCGTTTTCATCTTTCACAAAACACGAACAATGAGCCCTTGCTTCGCCCAAACCTCGCGTGTGTGTGATGTGTGTATTCGTGGCTCAAGCCACTAAATGTTGTTAACTGTAAGTTGAACAAGTCCAACAAAATAAAACGAATGTCCATTCTGTGAAGACAGAATACAAATCGCCGCGGGGAATCTGTTCCACGAGCTGAGTCTCGATCTTATCTTCGACGATCTTCGACACAGAGTTAGTTCCGAGGGAACTACGATCACCTAAAAGACAGTGGTAGCGGAGATACAGGTTTGACTTGTATCTCCAAACATCACTCGGAGCGGTCTTCGCCTTCGAGTACTACGAGCCCAAAGAACAACTCCGAGGTGATCTATCGACGATGTCGATCTCCGACGCATCCATGGGCGGGAGCTCCCCACCAGGATTAGACGCCGTGTTGACCACGACGGAAAGCGAGATCGTGCCGGTGTTCAGTCCGGGACCGAGCGGCGATGACGGGATTAATTCTGCCAGCGGAACTTCTACTGCTGGAAGTGGCTTCACCATGGTGAAGGTCCAGAACATTCCGCCGCCGCCGCCAGGACAACCCCCGGTGCTGCCTCCGTTGATGAAGGGAAACAACGGTAAGGGAAATCATTCCCAGTACAACGGCAACTACAAACGTGCCCGTGTAGGAGACGACCAGGTGGCTCCGTACGGAAAAGGAAAACAGCACGACATGAAGCCCAGTTACGGAAAAGGGGGACGCAGCAAGAGCGACGTCTCTGATCGAGAGCTGATCATCGAAACTGGGCGCGAACTCCGCAATCGCGCAACCACTCTGGCCGGAGCGGTCCACTACTTGAATGACCAGGCGCTGGGACAAGAGGAACAGCTCTACCAGGTCGGAGGTGCAGCAGTGGATTTGAACAACCGCCAGAATCAGCAAGGAGAAACGATCAATCGCATTGTCAACGCAGGAACTGTTTTGAACCAGCAGACGCAGGAACAAAAGCAGGTCATGGACATGTTGCTGCAGCTGCAAAAGGGCCAAGAAAAGCAGATGACGGACACTGCGGAACAACTGCGGAAGGATGGAGAAAAGATCCAGGAATCTTTCGTGCGCGTTGATCAGAACTTCAATTCTTTCGGGGAAAAGTTCACCCAGCAACTGGCGGAACAGAAAGCTGAGGTGAAGAAAGATTTTGAAGCGATGGAGATGCGGTTTGCGACAGCGGTTGGCAGCATCCGTGAGGAACAGCGGATGCAGCGCGAGCATGACGCGGAAAAGCACGACCACATCCTCAAGGAAATCGAGGAAGTCCAGGGACGGGACAACACCGCCAACTTGACGCATTTGATCGAGGAACAGCTGGGGGCAGCAAATGGTTCCTCCTCTTCTTCTTCTGCATCTTCTTTCATTCAAGTGGAAGAAATCGAGAAAAAGATCAAGCTGCAGCTCGAGCGTGAGATGGCCGCCAAACTGGAAAAGGAGACCGAGAAGCAGAAAGAGCTGCTGGAATCCAAGATGATGATTCATCATGAATGCCATCCACAGTCAGAAGTTGGTCAGCGGTCAGGAGGAGGAAGACTGGTTCCAGGAGGGATCGATGCGCAAAACGTACCTTGATGAAATGATCGACAAGGTGCGCAACATCGAGAACAAGATGACCGGAACCGGAAAGGGTTTTGGAAACCGCAACCCGGAGGGTTTTGAGAAAACATCCGTCCGGCGAGACTCTTGAGGCCGACGCATCTGATGAGGAATTTCATCCGATTTTCTTCCGGATTTCCTAAGAAAAAAAATTTTTGAGGTTTCGGCAGTTTTCCGGTGTGTTTGGGGTTGTCGGAGGTTTTGTTAGGCTCTTTCTAAGCTCCGGATATCAGTACTCAGATCGTTCCTAGCTCGATTCTCGTCGGAGAACGGTGGTCGTCGACTTTCGACGTTCCGGCCCCCGAGATCGGAGGACGTTATCACTCGCTCGGCCATTTGGCCGAGCGGTTAAGGCCCCTAGTTGTTTCCGTCAGTCCCTTTTCACCCTTCGTGAGGCAGGACACAGCCAACTGCGACCTGAGCAACCACACACTCTCCGTGTACCGTAGCCATTTTGGCTCAAGGTACCATATCGTGACTTGCTACTCGCAGTCCCTTTTCACCCTTCGCGGGGCAGTCGACGCTCCGACGGACGGCGGGTTGCTCGTCGGAATTGTTCCGTCCCGCGACCCGTCGCCCGGGTTCTCGTGTTGTTTACATCGTAACGGCATGGGGAAAAGAAAGGCCGCAATGCAGGGCGCAACCAGGGGACAAGGCGCATCGACGTCGTATCGCACTGCGTCAATAGGGGCTACGACGTCGATGCGCTTTGTCTGCCACTCGCCCATCTGGGCGAGTTGGGAAGGGGGGGAGGTTGTCCATCCCCGCAAAAGCGGGGATTATTTTGGGTCGAGGTTCGAATCCCGATGTCGGTGGTTTTTGATTCCGGATCCGCCGACTTCGATCTTCCCTGCATTTCGCACTAGCAGTGCTAAAGCAGGCAAGATCGAAATCGGCGCACGGAGACAACTCGACGCCCCACTACCAACAACATGCATTTTCAGCATGTTAAGTGCTAGGAAATCGATGATAGTTTCTTAACACTCGCCCACTTGGGCGAGTTGGTAAGAGGGGAGGGTTGTTCATCGAACCTCGAGTCAAAAAGTTTTTGACTCGAGGTTCGAATCCCGATGTCGGACTTTTTTGTTTCCCGATGTCCTCGCAGCTGAAGGTAGTGAAAGAGAGCGGTAGCAAAGAAAGGGGGAAAAGCGAACGACGGGGTGGGGGAAAGGAAAGAGACGAGAAGTGGCTGCTGGGTCGTAGGGTCGGTGCTGGGTCGGGAGAAATTCAAGAGTGTGGCTACTACCTTGCAGAAATCAAGTCGCGTTTTTAGATCTAGCACCGACCTGCCAGCCCGTCTAGAGCGATTTGATTTCTGTATCTAGCACATGAAGCTCCGCGGAAGAGCATCCTGATGCACAGCAATCACATGTAGCAAGCCTGAACCTTCTATGATGAAAACCCCCCAGCACTTACGTGGTGGGGCGAGAGATGTCTCCCCGCTATCGTAGATCGATAGATGAGCTCGGTCCTTTTTTTACGCACTGCAAGTAGAATCTTCCAAAGCTATCTAGCACGACCACGCGATGACTTTTTTGTTGTTTTTTTCTTGTGTGAGGTGGTTTTTCTTTCGCTATTTCATTTCGAAGTGTTTTTTTTTCTCATGCGCGATGAGAGTAGCTACTGCCGTTACAATCGCTAGTAGCAGATGCAAAAGTACATGCTATCGCAACACCAGGACCCGAAATAAAAAAGTATCTCCGCCTATAGCTACAAAATAACTAGTCCGCCATCGTATCACGAAGAAGCACAACTAAGCTAGAGAGTCATCGTGTTTGCACTATCTCGAGAACTGTGTCTCGAGCCTCTAGCTGGGGGCAAAGCGGCTGAGAACAGCGGAAACCAGTCCGGAGCAGGCGGAGCAGTAGATCGCGTGCTGTCGGTAGGCGATCGCCAGTAGTACCGGAAGGAGCAGTATGAAGGCGGCAATTGTGGCGAATAAAGAAGCAGCAGCCCGGGAGAAGGAGAAAGAACAGCGAGAGGAGGTGAGCACCTTCTTCAATTCTACTGCCTATTTGGCCCCGCGGAAACTATGGAAGCTGTGTGCTATCCTGGTGGAGTGCGCCTTCAATCGCGCACAGGACACGTTTCGCGACTGGCGGTACAGCGTCGTGCAGCTCCGCGTCGAGGTTGACGGCACAACTACGCAGACGATGTTCTATGAGAACAGCATCAAGGGCCGCATAAAAATATTTGCACACATCATGCTGATTTTCGCCATGGTGACATTCTCCTGCGGTTCCGACATGACCAAGCTGGGACACGCCCTGCTACCGTGCCACACAGTAATGTTTCCCAGTAGCAGCGACTTCTCCCAGAAGAAACGGGTCGGCAGTGGATTCAGAGGATGGAGTGAAGGCTTTGAAGTCGCGGACATGATCTGGTCGCTGTTTCCGCCGGAAATTTTTTTCCAGAACTACCCCGACCAGACTGTGAAAATTTACACACCAAGTACGGACAGTGGGGGTTCGACGATCAGTACTCTGTTCTACCTGGGCTCCTGGTTCATGGCCTCGCCCGCCTTGGCGAAGTGCATTTTTTGGAGTGATAGGTGCAAAAACCACCAGTGTGCCTTGGTGACCAAAGCCGTCGCCGAAACCTACCTTGCCTGCATGGGTTTAGACCCGCAAGGGTGGCAGAAGCGGTTGTTTTTACAGGTACTGTAATCTTTGCAATGCATATTTTCCGGCGTGACTTCTTCGGCATGACAAATTCAATTTCTGATGCAATTTTCATAGACATTTTTCTTACCTTTCGCATCACAAATCCGCAGGTCACTTCCATCAAATTGCTGCAAGAAAAAATCCACTTTGAGCTGGATAAGTTGTTGTCGATTATCGCGCCGTGGGACGGGCAACAACCGCGACCGGTGGATGCGAAATTCAACGCCTTCTTGGACCGCTGCCACCTCGACGAAGGAAAAAAGAAATTTCTTCGGCGCTGTTCCCCCACCGAGGCCGTGTTGGTCGTGCCGAAAGCGAGCCAGGCACAGTGCATGAGGAGCTTGCACTCCCTTTGCCGCGGGTTTAGACCTCCCGTCTGGACCCGCTGGTTAACGGTCCTCGCGGCGATTGGACAACTATCGATTTGCCTGGGATGCTTCATGGCCCGGCTTTTTGTCGGCCTCGGCAGCCGGATAACGTTTGGTGCGGAACAGGTGCTGGAGCATGGGTTTGCAATCAACATGGGGTCGAACACAGGTATTCTTTTTTTCATTTTATGCAGACGCACCTGTTCACTTTTATCCTTCTATGAAAATGCAAACTTGTGATGCATAGAATTGCACTGCACCATGAAAAGCTACCAATTTGTAATGCAAAATCGCATGGAACGCAAAAAAAATCAGGTAGTGAATTCATGTTCATGTTGGTGAGTTGGCGCCTCGGAGTAGTAATTGCACCAATTGAACATTATAGCGCCTCCCTGCTGGCGGGCACTAACGGCGAGAAGAGCAGGCGGAAACTGCGGGAGGCACTGGGAGAAGATCTGAAAAAGGCGAGGCAGTATTTGCAATCCCGCGAAGACGTTGAGACGGATCTCAAGTACCTGCTATGCGGAATAGCAGTGGGGAGAGTAGAGTTCTCCGCGGAGCAGAAGGAGCTGGTATAATTTAAATGCTTTCGCAACTAGCACCAAAATTCCAACAACTTGTCATGCGTTTTGTGATCATGCAGCACAGTTTGTTATGCAAAATTCAAATACAAAACAGATAGAATTCGCACGAATTTCCGCTTTGGTTGCACTAACTACCGCGAAATGCATGTTGCTATACCGCGATGGAGAATGCGACGTACACGAGACCTGGTTGGCAGCTGCGCTTGCTGATCTTCCTGCAGCCACCGAAGCCCTGAAGAAGATGAATTTCAGTTCGTACATGAAAGACGACCCGGGATGGCCATCGCTGCACTCGGTGCAGCGGTACTGCAACCAACTGGAAGATGAGGACCGGCAGTCCCGGATGCAAGACCTTGTCAACTTTCTCGACGTACGGAATAGAACAACCAAAAACTGCGAACGACGGGGTGGCCGCTTCAAGTTTCATACAAGACATATGAAGTGCAAAGCGATTTTCTGCATGACAGATTGAGTTTTTTCATGCATTTTCGGCACGTCTTCTAATTCTTGCCGTGGCAACGATGTCATGCATATTTCCCAAGAGAAAGCACGCCACAACGCCACGACGACATCGCCGTGGCTCTGTGCGCCCACTTGCGGTGCAGAGTGCAGGTATTTCGCCGTGCATATTTGCAAAAACATGTAACGCATTGTACCGCCGGACGAGGCGCATCTAGATCGTAAAACAATAGCGACGCATCAATCTGTCATGCAGGGTGGACGTTTTGCAGTGCATATTAAGACTAAAAGGAGGAACGAAGTCGATACCAGGTGCAGACTCCGCCCTAAATAGGGCGGACTGGCAAGCCGCACACGCAAACGCGGAGTACGACCTGAAGCTGCACGAAGGAGATGGCACAGAAACTGACGCGAAGGACAATGCGGCAGTGACGAAAAGCCGCTACGCTTGCACCCGCGGAATAGACTGCAAGCGGCGACATGTCTGGGTAGAACCTGCGAAGCCGCCGACGCAGCAGGAGGTGCTGCAGCAGAACACCAGCAACAACAAATGGAAGAACCGCGATGAACGAAATACCTTCATCTTATTAGCCGCGGAGGAGGACAAGGTGAAGCGGAAAAAGGAGCTTGAAGCCGAACCGGCGGTAGAGGCTAGTAGCGACGAGGAGGAGGTGATCCGCGACTACAACGCTTGCTCCGTGGAAGATAAATTCTACCGCGACGTCGAAGCTGACTGCCTGCAGGCGTACCTGCACACGAAGGGGGATTTTACCAAACTTCTTCCACAACAATGCAACAGAGCGCAGCAAGAAGTGCAGACAACTGATCCGCCGGCTGTGACGGTCACCGCGAAGAATAAACCCGCTGCTGCGGTCCTCATCGCCCGCTATCTGCGAGCTCGTCGCGCGCGTGTCAAGGAGCTTCGGGAAAAGAAAAAAGCGCTGAACATCGCAGATGGGGAACTGGACATTTTGAAGCTGGCGCCGGCGGATGACGACGTGGAGGATATGCAATGAAAACATTTCAATTTTGCAAGCGGTTAGCACAACCACAAATACAAACTGCAGAGAGAATTATGGCACGAGAAAACGCAAAGCCTCGTGCTTTGCTGTGTCAAATTTGTATTGCGCGTCGCAATCTCGACGCGACGCTGCGAAGCGTCTGTAGCATGACAAACACATGCAAGAACGGCATCACCGCTTACATTTTGAAATGCTTTCACTGCATAGAAGATGAGGAGGCACCGGAAGAAGACGGACTGGAAGAGGAGGAGGCTGTTTCGCTGAAAGAGCACGTCGCCGGCATGAAAGACGTGTGCACCTTGCTCTCGCCGTACATCATTTCGGTTTTCTACGACAAAAAAATCAAGGGATGGAAGCCCTTCCTCTGCTGTGATGTGGTGCTGAGCCCCGCGTCTTTCAAAGCAATTCCCCTGCAGATGTTAAGCGGAGAAGAGAACTGGTGGGAGAGGAAGATGAAGATCGCGGGCGGGAAGTGCTTGCACAGCGACGCGCAAGCAGCTTCTGACTACGACCTGGACCAGCTCGGTAGGTTTTTCGCGCTGAAACTCAACGCGCAAGACGAAGTAGCGGAGCCGTTTATGTACTGCGGGGACGAGGTGAAGGTGCTGTCTGCAGCTGCGAAGAAAGTAAAGGCAGTACCCGGAAAGCAGAGCGTGATCCAGGAAGCGTGGACAACTGCAACCAATGTGGAAAAAGCGGAAATGACGGAGAATTTTAGCAAGTTTTTGCTGCCGACCGCGATGTCGTCGTGCGCGCCACGACCGCAGGACAAAATATACGTGTTGGACAACAACAAAGTCGTCGCGTTACCAATCCGCGCGGAAGTAGCAGCTTCGGACGCATTGGACGTAGCAAGCAGCCAGGCTGCTTTCACCCAAGGCAGCACGCAGAAGTCCGTGATGGAGTCGCAGCCGAAATCAGTGTCATCCGCATCACAAATTCTACAAATCAGCGGCAAAGAATACAAGTTGCACCAGAGCGCTCGTCTGGACACCTCAAACCGACTAGAGCCGCTGCGCATTGACGGTTTTAAATGCAGAGAAGCAAGTAACATCGGCGATAAGAAAACTACGGGTCGCGATTCCATCAGGCTGGAGATCAAGTGCTTGGACAAGGCCTTGGAGATAAAGATGAAGGAACAACTGAAGAACCCGAACATCGATTTTCACTGCGGTAGCAGAGGCGGAATTGCCGGAAGGGGAATGAGATTTGGGGAGCAAGAGGGACCACTCTGGACCGACGCGTGCCTCAGTGTGTGGGCGGTCCGAACGCGCTTCATCATCGAAAAGGGCCACCGGGGCTTTCAGTACGACAACTTCTGCAGCGACGATGAACTGGCGCAGCTGAAACTGGACTACGTGGCCTACATGGCTGAGGTGAAGGCGTTTGCGGAGGGGCGGGTCCACGGCAACAAGCAGAGAAAAGCCGATCTCGATTGGGAATTGGAAATCGACGACAACACGCTGCGGTGCTTGAATCCGAGCAACAGGTCCGGCACATGGTTCGACTTCCAATCGGCTGGTGCAGACGTAAAGGACTTGGCAAAGTTGATGGTGGAGCGGGTGGGCAAATCCAAACGGCAACTGCGGAAGGAGAAGCTCGCAGCGATCGCGGAACACGATGAGCCTGTTGTGGCGGCAGCGTCGTCCTCCACCACGTCGTGATCGATGCGCGGACGAACTGTTTTGTAGTTGTATTACATCTTCGAAGTAGAAATCTCGCTCAGCCGACTTGTATGATTCAGAGCAAACTTTTGACTACAGAAAATGATCAGAATTGTCCAACTTTTCTCGTCTCCAGAATATCTCATAAATAACTTTTGTCTGACACCTCTCGGACAACCTCATGGACGTCCACTGGCCAAGTAATTATCTTTTTTCGAGGCCTCATAAATATCTTTTTTGAGACCCTCCAGAAAATCTCCTGTAAGTGTATCTAGCTCTTCCATAAGTATCTTTTTTGAGACCTCGAAAAATAACTCTTGTATCAAAATCCAAAAGTTAACTATTTCTTAATTATTCCTCACAAAATGACAACTTTTTTTGCTCGAAAAATAACTTTTTTGTGTCTCTCCGAAGTCTCAAGATTTGTAGAAAAAAGTGACCTTTTGATTGAAGAAATAAATGAACAAGTTCTGTATGATCTTAATAGTGTTTCGGACGAATAAATCTACAAAGTTAGCGCGTACTAGTAGTACTTTACCTCCAAATAGTTTCAATCTTTGCCAGCTCAGTCTCGCGGTGGAAGTGCAGCGTGACCGGTACCAACGACGCCGTGCTGTGGTGACCTTTGGTGACGTCGGCATAGACGACGACCACCAGCGAGGCCTTCACCGCTACCATACCAGGGGCCTGGTCCGTCTGGAATTGACCTCGATGTTCGACGCGGTGAATCTCGACTGGAGCCTGGGCCTTCTGCTGCGAGATGAGCTGATTTTTATAGTTTTTACAGTAATAGAGAAGTATATCCAAGTAAGAAACCTATAGTAAAGCATAGTTGTAAAAAAAAACACACAGTTCATACCAGCATACATAGTGGGAGTAAAGGAAGTCACAACATAGAAAAGAACATAAGGCAAACACAAAGGGAATCAAAAAAGTGCGTGCTGTTTGTGCAAAAGATGAAGCAAGGCGCTTATCTGGCTCTTATGTGCATGCTTTACACCATAAAACGGCGCAGCGTCAAGTAGTAAACTCTGTATAGTGAAGCACTGCAATTTTGTACAGTCGAGTAGTAGCATGAAAAGCAACAACATAATAACTGACCTGATTTGTCCAGCAGCTACTGCTGCTTTCGCGTCGACGGCAGCCTTGTGCGTGGCAATCTTCAAGTGTGTTCCAGCTCCGCAGGAAAAGCATCTTTGTGTAGTTTCAGACCTAAGGGATGCGATTTTGTTGAAAATTCTAAAGGAAAAGCACGCACTTCAACAATCTGCTAGCACACACACGATCATCGTTGAAAAGACATCAAATAAGACACGAAATTGCCTGCATTTCAGATCTTGGGACTGGAAGAGTGTTTTTTTTTCTTTGAGCGCGTCGGTTTCTTTGCTTTATGTGTAGCGCTAGACCATTTGTTGCAAGTTCACGAAAAAAGTACGCACTTCACGACCAAACCGCAGCCGCAACTACTTCGAATTCCTTTTAAGATTTCTACTGGTCTTTGATCTCAAGATGGCGGAAGCAAAAGCTGCTCCGAAGCGCCGCCAAGTGCAGCGTCAGAATACGAGCGAGGTCGTGCAGGCCTTTGCGCAGCAGACTGGGTTAGAGGTAAAGTTGTTTTTTCTAGACAGCGAACTTTAGGACAAGATGGTGTATTTACAAGACGATGAGTGGGACTTTATGTCCTATTTGATCTGGTTTTGTGAATTTAAACTTCATGGCATCAACACTGAACGTCTTGCACAGGCCGACGCTAACCTCCTGGACGCCCTCGGTAAGGTCTACAAGAACGAGGGTAAGCAAAAGACGAAGCTTTGTTCGCGCACCGACCACCTTGCCAGCCTGTCGCTGGACGAAGTGAACGTCTTGACCTGCCCCTACGAAAGAACGGTGGCCCGCGCGTTGCTGATGTTGCCCCCCGCCATCCGCTGCCTGTGTATGTATGTCCGCACCGACAAAATCCACACGGAATGCATGAAATTAACAGATGCGGAATTTCAGGGTTTAGACCGTGAGAAACAGATGAGAATTGGAGTACTGAAAATTTTTGTTTTGTGCATTTGGAGTTTACTTATGCATGCGCAATTGAATTTGTGATGCAAAAGTGTGTGGCTTTAGATGACAAACATACATCTGCCCTGTAAAACATAACAGAATCATCTCGAGAGTCGTTTCCGCTCGGTGACGGACGAGTTGTCTTCGACGAAGGCCTTAGCCGTCTGCTGCAAGGTCCTCCCCCATTTCACGGACGTGCAGGCCCAGATTTTGATCGAGCGCGCCGCGATCCACGCGTTGATGGCCGGAAGTCTGTTTCGTCGCCAGGGTGGCGTGACGGCCCGCACCTTGAAGGACTTTTCTCTGTGGTATAGAGCTTACAGACTTGTCATGCTGGTTTCACATGCTAATGTCTATTTCTGGCACCGTCCGATCATGCAAGAACTTGTAATGCAAAAAATCAAGGTTTTTGCGGGGTCATGAACGTGTGAAAACAAAGGCGTCATTCCCGGGGCCGTGTGTACTGCACTGGAAATACCCCCTTGACGGACGTCGCCCAAGCCGTCACCTCCGTGCAGCTGGCGCTGCAAAATGAGACCGTTTGCGACCTGGAGGAATTCATCACCGCCAACATTCTGACGGGTCCGGGTGCGGCCGGAGGCCAGAACGCTTCCCCGCAGGAGCTGATCTGGAGCCAGTTGTCGGACGTAATACCTGTTTTTATTTTGGTTCATCATCTGTAGTGGAATGATTTGAAGTTTTTGCGTGACATCGGTGCTAGATCTGTAATCGCATCATGCCATTCTAGCCGCACATGGAGTAGATAGACAATGCAAATTAATCTTGCGATGCGAACAACACAAATGTCGAACAAAACATGGCAAAACTATACCAGGCCCTGAATCGCGCCGCGATTGTGGAGCTGCAGAAGAAGATCGAGACCAAGGTTGTGGGACTGCTGAATGACTCGCAGCTGCACATGCTGACCGTATATGAGATGTAAAATTAAGCCGCAAGCCAGCATCTGTGATCACCAAAGATGCATCATTTACTCCGCCCAAAAGAGTCGACTTTTGTGAACAGCAGGACATCGGGGCTTTGCTATTCTTGTATGTTTTAAAGTGTTCGCATGTTTTAATCCAGTACATTACGCATGACCTCAGATATTTGTCATGCAAAATGAAGTTCGGCAATCACATCCAAAACTGGCTTGCGGCTTTACTTTCCCATTCATAAAGTGGACGAACTGATGCGGGCCTTCGAGACCTCGGACATCCCGGAGTTGTTGGTCTGGCGCGCCGCCTGCCGCAACGAGCTGGGGCACAACATCTTGTGCATCAAGCATCTGGTATTTGTGATTTGGTTTCGCATGAAGTAGTGCCTTAGCATGCATATAAATCGGAGAAACAAATACAACAGTGGAAGTTTTGTGTGTTTAAATCACCAGAAAGATACTGTATAACAAATTAGCACGACAAATTGCACTACTTCATGGTAAAGAAACCAAATATCAAATAACAGGCCACGGAGTGGTTCGCAGAGGCTTGCACCGACATCACGACGTTCTTGGCCCTGGATACCCCGCACGCCGTGATGATCTCGTTGGAGCTGCTCCGCAACCGCGCTGTCAACCAGGTCTTCGCCCCCCACACCAAAGTTCCGGCTGCCTTTACTGCGGAGTTGAGCACCCGCCTGCGGAACGAGTTATTGCGCCTCGACGAAGTCCGGATGAGCGACGAGATGAAGGACCTGATCCGCAAGATGAACACGTTGTGCAGCACCTTTGACTTGGCGAAGGGCCAGTTCGCGAATCGCGTCGGCACCCCGGAGCTGAACAACATCGCTGCGGAACTGCGTGCCTTGGACTTGGGTGACCGCCACTTGATCAAGCCCTTGCACCAGGTCATGACTGCGTTCATCACCGTGTACGTCGACTTCGACACCTGCAACAAGGCCAACATCGCGCGTGATGTGCTGGGCTGGCGGAACTCGCTGATGGAGCGCACCTTTCCGACCTTTCCGTCGTTGCAGGAAAATGTCCAGAAGCTGTACATGAAGTTCACCGAGATGGTGCAGGAGCAGTCGTGCGAAGGGATCCGGACGGCTTTGGCGGCGGGTACAATAATGTCGTGCTTTTTAGGACTTTGATTTTGTACATGAAGGTAGGAAGAGAAGACGTCGTGGCAATTGTGACGCAAAGCGGAAAAATTTTGTACAATTGATGTTGAAAAAATATACGCTTCTATTTTTTCAAATCAGGTCAGCACCAGGCCGCTTTGAACCTGTGCAATGGCTTGCGACTGGACTTTGATTTTTTGGAGCCCGAGACCAAGCAGTCCCTGTGCCGCGAGATCATGGCCAACGCTCCGGCTCCGGCCGCGCCGGCGAATGCGAACAACAATGCGGGACCCCCGGCTCAGCGACGCAGGATTGCGCTCCCCGGCTTGAACATGGGCAACAACGCTGCGGCCGCGCCCGTCCAGAATGATGTTGAGGAGAGTGACGAAGAGTAGATGAAAGAAGAAGGAATTCGAGTTGTCAGTTGCTTTCGAAAATAGATGTTAGTTGATTTGCTGGCATATCAAACTGTAAGACTTATACTGTGATTTTATGTTTCATCAAAGTCGCAATACAAAGCTTGTACACCCTTTGAGACCACCACAATCACACTTCTATCTACGTGGAAACTATCGGCTTACGCCTATTTTTTTCACATAGAAAACACTGATATCTATTTTCCGTCACGAGCCTGTATGCGTTGCCTTTGGAAACACATGCAGGTTTGTGACAAAAAATGTCTTTTACACCTGCTTTGTACTACGGCGGAGGTAGTAGTGCAGAGCTGCTACAGATGGGAAGTGAGCAGATTCCGAGTACTGTCTGTAGCCATGTTGAGTTAATAGTGTCCGCGTCAAGGAGGTGCGGAGTCTCTACATAGCGTGCGGGGAACATCAGTTTATTTTTAGAAGTAGCATATAGTGAATAAATTTCTACTTCAACGGGAATGTGGAGACGTGGCACTATTAAATAAAAGTTCTTTTTCAGTGCATTGCAAAGACCTCTAAGCGCGACGATCAGCTGCAAAAGCTTTTTGAAGTAAGCAAGAGGTTGCACTACGGGATTATGAAAAAAAATGAAGAACAGATGCGGAAATGGCTTGTGGTATAAGATTGCTCGCAGCCGAAGAAACAAAACAGAGAAAGCGCAGTCGGTCTGCCCGTAGGATAGCTTGCGAAATAAAAGACAAGTGCAGCGCAGTCGGTTGAAGCTTTAGCACCAGTATGGTAGCACGTTGAAGGCAAGAAGATGAGGCTGTGGCGATGCCAGTTTCGAAGACTTGTCGTCGGTTTTATGCAAGCTACACCCCACCACGGGACTCTCCGGATCGGTAGACTCAATACAAATTGAAAATAGACATACATAGATGCGGCGCAGTAAGTGCCAGGGCGTCGCGTGACGTCCTACATGCATATTCGGTTGTCGTCGCCTACAAATAAAGAAGTTCATGACGGCCGCGAAAAGAGACACGCGTCGGTCGTTGCGTCTGCATTTGTAATCTGAACGGCCGCACTTCAGCCTCTTGTGCCCGAAAGTCCCTGTGTAGAATTAGCGAAACAGCCACGAAGAATGAAGGCGCGATGGAGAGTAGAGGAAAGATAGAAACGCGCTTTGTGGATCCCCCGCGCTTTGCATCGCGCGGCTTGACAGATAGAGGCGTGGTTGAACACAGCGAGATAGGAAGCTTCTGAACCTCTGCGGAAAGGTTGCGAAGGAAGCAAAACAGGCAGTGAGAGTACGACGTTGTTGGTGGAGTGAGCGTGCTTTAGCGTGGTGGTGGTCCGCCTATCCACGTGGTTAGGTCGTGGAATGATCTCGATGTTTTGATCTATTGTGTGACTTAAGGTTCAACATGCAAAATGGCTGCACACAGCCGCCGCCTCCCTGGGCGGGGTAGAAGTTCAGGAATTTCTAATGCCTTAGAACACATAGACACTGCACATTTTGAACATTATATTTACACTACACACAACACACACATAGTCGACATTTATTTTACACATCGCGCCTTGTAGGTTGTATTTTATTTCATATTTGCAAGTAGCACACTCACCTTCCGCTACATCCTCACACGCACAACAAAATACAATCATGAGGACTTGCGTGCTACTTGCCGTTCATCGTCTTTGCGCTTCAGCGACGCAGTACTAGCAGAGGAGACCATCACCTCAACGCGTTAATTGGAGTTGCGGACTGACGGATACGCAGCGAGACGGGGTGCCACGAAGGACGACGGGAAGCTGCGAACTGGGAGCTGGGAGTGGACGCGCATCGGGCGGTAGGATGGGAGTGGCAAGATGGATACGGAAATGCAGCTTTCGGGCGAAGGAGACGCAGCTACCGCGGCGATCGCGGGTCAAGGGGCGATGCAGCTTTGGGGTGGAGGAGACGCAGCTACCACGGTGCGGAGACAGCTGACGTGGATGCTGTACTGCGGCCGCGCGACGGCGAACTTGCTTTTGCACAACAAGTTTTTCGCGAACTGGCGGCTTTGCCAGATGGTGGATGCGACGGGACAGTGGCTGACGGAAAGATGGCACTAGCCACGACGGGGCGGTGGAGCTGGCGGACGGGGCGACGGGACTTTGGCTGGCAGACGATGGCTGCGACGGGAAGACGCGGTGTCGGAACGCGATTCGCAGACACAGTGAGATAGCTGCGTCTGCATGCACAAGGGACTCGCGAACGCGGGGACGTGGGAGCGATTCGTGGACCGGCGGCGCGGAATACACCAAAACACATAACAGGTTGCGGATCCACGACACGAAACCAAACGCGATGACTCTTACACCTAAACTAAATATCTGATGTAGCTAGATCCTTAGTTGTGCTTCTCTCAAAAAAAAAATCTATCTAATCATCTCGTGATGCGATGGCGGAACACACTTTACAGCTTTTTTGTCAGTGATGCATTGCTGTGCTCGCACTAAAATGTGCGAGCACAAACTGCGTGCGCAGTATCACATTCTGCGGCGACGCACAGGTCGGGGCTTGCTACATGTGTGATCAGGCTGATAGACTAGATTAGGCACGGAACAGGGGGGCCGTGGTCGCGCGGCTTCGGGCGGCTAAAAAAGTTGCATTTTTTTTTTTTCCTAGGAAATTCCCAGAAATCCGGCCCACAGAGGCCATCAGAGCGCGTTGGTCTCAAAGACTCCGCGAAACTCATGCCCAACATGTCCAAGGCGGGTATGTTGTATGGCCGACGTGACGAGAATGGGAACATCCATAAGTCCGTCTCTTTTGACCAAAAATTCTCAGGTAAAAAGGAGCGCCAAGACCACGGCTCGGGAAATAGGTATGCGAACGCTGCTACCGGGGCGAACAAAATCCCGATCACCAAGGCCCTGACCATTGGTGAGTTGTACCGCTTCAATCAGGAGGAAAGCGGCGGTTCGCGTCAGTCCAATACCAACAACCCGTTTGCCGACCTGCGGAACGACCAGAACGAACCGAACAACCACGGAAACGGACGTGGAAATGGAAATGGAGATCCGGACGGCGGATCCAACGGTGGAAACGGGAACGGTGGTAACCACGGTGGAAACGGGAATGGTGGAAACCACGGTGGAAACGGTAACGGCGGATCCAATGGAGGATCCGGTGGAAACGGCCACGGTGGAAGCAACGGATCCGGTGGATCACCGAACGGTGGTGGAGGCGGTGACTGGAGCAGCCACGGTGGAGACGGTGGTGGTTTCGGTGGAGACCCGTCGTCAGGAGGAGGATCCTCGCACGGGGGTGACGAGTATCGTGGCATCATGGAAAATGACCTCTTCCGCTTCACGCGCATGCAGTTTGAAAGTGACTACTGCTTGGAGCACGGGATTCGGCTGGAACGAGGAGAATCCGCACCGGCGCACTACGTGTTGACGATGAAAGATCGAATGCCGGATTTTCCCCCGCCGACCATCGAGAGCCACTCGAACCTGTTCTCCTGGTTCAATGCGATGGAGTCCTACCTCAAGAAACTCACCCGTGAGTCGGATGGAGTGAGGCGTTTGTTCCCGTTCGAATACGAGTCGCAGTTTGTGGAAGAGCTGGTCTACAAACTGGACGAGGACGCAAAGAAGGCGTCGAAGTTCGCACGGTGCATGAAGGAGGGGATGAAATTGAAGCTGCGGCAGTGGAAGCTGAACCGCAGCAAGCGGGAGACGCTGACTTTCCGGAACCTGATTCAGGTGATGTACTCCAAGTACAAATCGGGCTTCATCCGTGGAAAGGAAGAAAACAGCCGCTTCTACAACTTCTCCATGAAGAAGGACGAAACTCCGCGCGAGTGCCTGCAACGCTACTTCCAGGCGGCGGAAGACGTTGGTGTGGAGCTGACCGGTGGATCGCACGCGGAGCGAAAGCACACCTGGCAGCAGTTCCAGATGCGCAGTGGAAAACACTGGCCCAAGCATATCACCACCAATTTCATGCTGGACGTCGAATGGCGCACGCCGCATGTCCCGCACTTGGAACGCCTGCTCGAGTACCTCGAGAAGCGGGAAGAAATTGAGGTGTTGCACTTCCACGCGGGTGACGCCGTCGAAAAGGAAATTGGTCTCGGGGATGCTGCGTTTGTCACAAAGGACGATCCGGACGAAAATCCCGAAGGGGGATCGGACGATGAGGAAGTGCTGGCGGCGAAAGCCGGAGGTGGTAAGAGTGGAATCAACTTCGACCCGAAGCAGCGTACCGGTCGGTGGCCGACGGCGTACAACCAGAAGAAGACTGGAAGCTGGGGCTCTGGAAGAATGAATACCACCAAGAACGGGCAGCGCATGACAAACAATCGCAAGCTCGGAGGGCAGAAAGGAGCTCCGAGGAAAATCCGCTGCCGGAAATGCTTGTCAACCAAGCACCGCACGGAGGACTGCGAGTTTGACACCAACGTTTGCTCCATCTGTTTCTCTAAGGAGCACATGAGGAAAGACTGCAAGGACGGTCCGAAGAAAGACGAATTGGCCAAGATCATGGAGGGCAGTGATTTCAAGAACCAGAGTCACCTGGAGAAAATTGCTGTGATTTTGGACCAGCTCGCCAAAGCCGGAGAAGACCTGGATACCGTTTTGTTGGTCTGCGTGAACAAGAAAGATGAGGAACGGGCGTTCATCTTAAACGAGCCAGACAACGAGCGGGAGAAGGAGACGTGCTTGCGCAACTGCGAAGTGCACGGACTGGGGCACGACGAGGAAGAGACTTTCTGTTTTTTCGGTCCGGGAGGATTTCCAATCGGATGGGCCCGGACCCCAGTAGAAAACTCGCCGTCGGAAATTGTAAATCAAAATTTTGAAAAAGGAACCAAATCGGAAGAGAAGCCGCCGAAAAAGTTCCGACCCGATTTCTGTGTAGACAGCTTTGTAAACAAGGTGTTGAACCGTGCCGCGTACGCTCGAGACGAGTCTCAACCTGCTGCTTTCGAAGTACTGACGATCGCAGAGGAAATTTTGACAAGTGCCAACAATCAAGAAGTACGACGCGCACACAATTTTCCCTGTTCCGAGCCTGCAGTTTCCCAGAACAGTCCGGAACCATACGAGAACTCTACATCTTCAACTAAAAATGAGCTTGTTCTTTTCACGACGGATTCTCACAAGTCGCAGATCGACAACGGCTACAACCGCAACGGGTACATCACAGAAGACACTGCTGATAAAGGAACTGAGCGTGCTCTTGAGAACGGACTGGAGGTGCCAGTCGAGGAGTGCAAACAGCAGAAGGCCCAGGGGATTGGCGGAGCCACCAAGAAGATTCTGCGACGATCAATTCTACCATACAAATTTACTACCGTCGATGGAGAACCATACTGCATTGGATTCGATCAAAACACGGCTACCGAGTTCGGACCCAATCTGACGGGGCTCGAACTGCAAAAGAAGTGCTTTCTCTCCCAGAGTTGCCGTCCCGACGCACCGCCTGCAATCCAGGGGCACGACGGGAGTATCATTGTGGATTTTCACGGCAAGAACCAGATCTACAAGAACATTTTTGAACTCGACGAAAATGACTACCGCATTTTGCGGGAAATACAAAAGCGAGTACCACGAGAACAGTGGCGCCGCCCGGTTTTCGCAAAGAAAGTGAAAACCGACCCAAAAGGAAAATATACGACCGAATTTGATTACGACACGACTACCATTTCGCAGTACGAGAAGCTAGCACGAAAAACCGAAGTCGCGCGGGAGGCAGCACAATTCGCCGTGGAAGAAGACGAGTTTGTGATGCGCGTTTGCGAAGTGGACGAGTTGGATTTTGACACGCAGTATGCCACGGCGGAGCTTCAGCGAGAAAAAGAGCGGTGCACTGAGGAGCATGTGGCCGCAGCTCTGGACGCGGAGGTCGTGTGTCAGGAAATCTCGCTTGTCAATTTGAACAAGCACAACTGCAGGTGGACAGACCGCCAGTCTATCAAGAAGTGGGAGTCGAGCTCGCCCGACAACGTCTACATTGGAAGGGGGTCGAATTTTGGCAACCCGTTTCTGGTGGGCGTGCACGGGAACCGCCGGGAGGTGTGCGAACTCTACCGGAAATGGTTATACAGCTCGGGGACAATAGCTGAAGCAAAACTACTTCTTCCCGGGAGAACTATCGGATGCTGGTGTTGGCCCAAGGAATGTCATGGGCAGGTCTTGATTGATGAGATCAACCGCAGCCGACGGGAAGGAGCAGAAGAACTTGCAGCACCCGGACAAGAAGCTGAACCGGAACAGGCAGCACCGGATCAGCATGGAGGAGGTTCCAGTAGCCGAGCGGTGCCTAGAGCCTTGAGAAATCCCGACCCGCTTTTCAACGCAAATCAAGAAGAAGATGATAGTCTGTGGACGGTAACTGCAGAGGAGTTGCGCAGGACAGGAGACTCCGGGGGATACGGAGTATACCGCGTGATCGACTACGGTCTGGATCGCGTTCCTGCTACTCCAGATTTCCTGCAAAATCGGGTGAGACTACGACGAGTGGTTGATGTCCGACGGCAATCCAGAGCCGCGCCTGATATGCGGAACGACTGGAGCAATCAGCAACTGTTGAACAGTAGACCTCTGATCTCGGGTGGAAAAGACCGGCACATTTCCGTGGACTGGTATTTTCATCTGGCAGACGATGCAGCAAGTAGTCGCACGGTGGCGCAAAAAGCGCACGCATTCCGGCTGCGAGGGCTGTTGTCCAACGAAAGTCGCCCGACCGTGCGTCAGATTCAAGAGAAGATTGAATACGGCGAGGTCGGCAAGGGGGTGATGAAATCCGGAGCCCACCAGAAGAACAAGCCTGGAGAGGTGCTGATCAAGAGCAAGCTGCAAATTCCAGAAAAGCTGGACAAGGTCAAGGTCTACACGTGTCGCCACGTAAACGACTTACCAATTCCTATGCGGCACGCGGGAAAGCGGATTCGGGTCGAGGAGGAACCCGCTATCCAAGAAATGCTTCAAGAGCAGCCTGGTTTGCGAGTCAGCAATGGCGACAAACGGATCCGCACTGGCTTCCACCAGGAGCTGATTGACGCGATCAGCGACGACTACATCAAGTCAGTGGTGACAATGATGCGGAACCAGCCCAAGAAGAAATTGGTGTTGATCGACAGCACCGGTTTTGGACTTGCTACCGCTGTTGGGGAAAGACTACGAGTCGCAGGGCACGGAAACGAGGCACTTCATGCCAGTGCTATGCGTGAACTTTACGTGCAAGGTTCCACGCTTCTTCCCAACGGCGAGGCTGTTCGATACAGTCAGCAAGAGCAGACCCGGGTCGATGCGACGACTTCGTGTCTGGCGGATTTGTCCGAAGAGGAGCGAAGAAAACTTCGCGCGGTGCAAGAAATCCTGAGCATCAGTGGAAAAATCGCAAACGAAAAGGCGTGTTTGCAGCAGTGCCGAGGACGGCTGAAGAACATCTCCGAAGAAAAACTTCGGGAGCTGGTGTTGTTGATGCGGCGCGACAGCAGAGCGAACCTCCATTACGGCCTCAAAAAGCGCAGCAAACACCTGGACGGTTTTGACCTGTGTGTTGCGATGGAGGAGGGCGGACTGAGTTTGATGGACACGACATTCATTACCGAAAGTGACGTTATTTATACTGTCATCGGGGTGATGTCGGTGCCAGACAAACGGTCCGGGTCGTTCGTCTGCGGGACGAAATGGAAACTTCAACGCATGTTGCAGGGTCAGGATGTGACAGAAGAAGAGAAAGAAATGATCTGTGACGGGATCATGCTTCAGTTGCATCATGGACTCGGCGCGCGGTTGATGGCAGGAAGAGGCTCGCCTTCAAAAGAAGACGTTATGCGGGCAGTCTACTACTTTCTGCAGCAGAAGCTCATACGCAAACGCATCTACGCTGATGCCGGCCTGGAGAACCTCTCGCTCGAGGAGTGGATCGCCTTGCAGAAGTCGGGCCGGGTTGTGTCACTGCTGCCGACTGGAACGCCAGTGTACATGCTTGAGAGGCGTTTCCTCACGATCAAGATGATGTGCAAACGGCTGCGCAGAATCCCGGCTTTCATGCACCTCCCGCTGGAGATTCTTCTCAACGAGATCCACGAATGTCTCGCCAACCTGCCAAGCATTGCTAAGGGAGGAAAAACTTCGGCGATGGAATTCTGGGGGATTGAGGAATACAACCCGGAATTCGTCGTGCACCCCGACGACGTTGCTGTGCGAGGTTTCGAAGGAGATCAAACTGCGTACCGCATAAACCGTTTGTCCGAGGCGAGAGCGCGAATCTGGAGCGAAGCGCTCGGTTTGCTCTCCGACCGTGCCTTCATCAACGAGGTAGAAAAGGTGCTGGCAAGTTGCAGTGCGCGACAGCGACTCGACAACGAGAACCTCCTGCAAATCGGGGACAGAGCAAACATGCACCAGCCAAAAATCAAGGAAGATTCCATTGTCACGATTGTCGACAAGGAGGTGTCCAAGGGTGCATTCGGAGTGGTGTACACGGTAAAAGGAAAGAAGGGGTTTTCCAAGGTCAACCCGAACATGATAACACCGATCACGCACCAGGACCTCTACTGTGACCGCATTCTGTCCGAGCTGCCGCCGATCAGTGCAGATGATTTTAAACGGGGTGGAAAACTGTACGAATCACAGCGAAAGTACGAAAGTGAACGGGCGGAATATGAGGCAGAATTAAAAGCGCCGCACATGGCGTCGACGCACGATGGTGGGGAGCCTTTTTGGGATGCTTCTAACTCCCCCCGGGGAGGGGCCCGCTCTGCTAAGGAGCGGAAAGGAAGTATCATGCAGTTGGAGGACGATGATGAACAAGCCGAGATGGATCAGCTGCAAGACGACGATGGCAACCTCAGCCTGGACGTCGAGGATGATGTCCGTCATGACAACAACGTAGAGCAAGAAAATCGCGACGAACTCTTCCCCACCGCGGAAAGCGCGCCAGAAGATGCAAGCGAAAACGGCTTCTGGAACAGCTTCTTCAACGTCGCCGCAACGGAAAGTGTGCATGCCGCAAATGAAGGAAAAGATCCGATGGTCAAGAACACGCAGTGGTCAACAGCTTTTGAGCAGGAGCCAGAACTTCCCGAGGACAAGGAGTCGGAGGAAGTCCCGAAAGACTTCAAGGAAGTGTGCGAATTCATTCGTTTTCCTTCGCGCAAAAATAGGCGCACCTTGGAAAAGGTGATTAGCCGTACACCTGCCGGGGTTTTGAAGGACACCGAGCTTCTGCATCAGATGGTGGAACGCACCCTATTTGCCAAGTACGAGGACGTCCGCCTGAGTCCCGCGTCTCTGGAATTGTACGATGGATTTGTGGAAGAAGAACATCGCACAGGACTTTCCCACCCCGAAGTGCAAAGCGAGCACCTCCTCGCGTGGAACCAAGACCGGGTTTCTTTTGTCAAGTCCAGAAAGGAGTGGGAAGAGAAGGGAAAGGGCAAGGTGCTGAGGGTCGTGATGTGGCGACTGCTGCCGCTGAGCAGCTACGAAGATCTGGGTTTGATCAGTATCTTCGACAAGCGAGCGTCGCGCCACCCCGAGCTGATTCGCAAGATCGAAGCCGCGCTGAAATATCCAGATTGCGATCACAGCTTCATTGAGAGCGAGTCTGGGCTCGGCATCCCTGCTTTGTACATCAAAGCCCACGTGAAAGAGTGGAGCGGGATGTTTAAGCAGGACCTCATCACTGTGTACCGGCCGGGGATGCTGTGCAGCAGCGAGCGGGTGTTACCAAGTCGCGCACTGTGTGATCTCAAGTTAATTACACCGTGGCACTTTAAAGTTGCCATCCGGCTCGTCCCCGGTGGACATATGTCCAGTGTTTCCGCCAGCGCCGAGAGTCCGACCATCGGGGAGTACGACATCAACTTGATGATCAACAGCCTCCGCTACGTGCGCGGAAAACGAGTCGCCAAGTCAGGAGATGTACCCCGCGCCTTCCTCCGCAATTTGCGTTTCAAAGAGGAAAACCGTCCTCGATTCGCATTTCCGAATGGTCTCTACAACGAGGAACTGCTGAGAACATTGCGTTCTGAATTCGGAATAGGGAAGGAGACTATTTTCTTAATGAAAATTAGTCTGTACGGACTTCGTGAAGCGGCATTGATGTGGTGCCGCACGCTGTCGCAGTTTCTCGAATCCATCGGCTACAGGATGAGCCCGGACTCACCCTGCGTTTTTGTAAAAGGCAAAAACAAGGTGGCGCTGCACGTCGACGATTTGCTCTTCTGTGGCGAAGAAGAAGCATGGAAGTGGCTGGCGCAGAAACTGAAAGAGCGGTTCTCTTTAGAAACGTGGACGGACGCCGAATCTGGACTGGTGTATACCGGAATACACGTGCAACACTATCCTGCAGAACAAAAAGTTCGGACGCACATGCTGCACAAGATCAAGGAGTTGCTGGGAATTGACTTTGAAGGAGACGCTACGCAAATCTTGACACCGGCGCTGATCACCAAGCTGAAGGGTGCTCGGGGTAGCTTACTCTTCATCGCCAGGCGGCATGTCGAGTGCAAGTTTCCTACTAGGTCGATGGCGTTAGGGGCAGACGAGCTGAAAACCAACGAGTGGTTGGCTGGTACCAACGGTATCACTCAGCGTCTAAAGCACGAAACCAGCGGCATCGTGTTTGATCTCAGCTATGAACGCGAAGTGCTGATGATGCTCCCCGACGCTTCCTTCCAACATCCCACTGCAAAAGAGCAAGCAGAACAGGCGCAGCAGTGCGAAGAGAAACAGGATGAGGAGTTTGACGCAAGACCAGAGTGGGTGTTTGATGCCGAGGAGCTGGAAGAGCGACGGGAGTTTGCGCGAGAACTGGACGCCGGAACTCTTCGTGCAGGAAGCCTCGAAGAAGCCTTCTCTCTTATGCAAAAATCCGAAACGGAAAGACGAAAGAGAAAAAGGTATGCGGCAGTAGTAATTCCAACCAACGAGAAAGACGCAACCACCGCTGCAGCTCTCCGCATGCGTCCCGTGCTGGGTCACCTGCTTCTATCCGTCAGTGCGGACGACTTCGAGAAATATCTTGCAGAACAAAAGGCAGTGAAGCGGGTGATGACGTTGGCCGAGTACGACCAGTTGCAGAAGATGAAGCTGCGCTGCTCGTACCTTGGATCGGATACTATCTTCTGCGCGACAGCAAAAGGTTCGTCCTACTCGGCAGAGGTAGAAGCCATAGCAGAGGCTTTTCCGATCCTGGGAATGGTACTCCGCAAGTACTTCGCCTGGAGGATCAGCGCCAAGTCGTACATCATCTCCGATTCCAAGAGTGCGGTCACACGCATCTTGTCGAAGTCGGTGATTGCGACCGCCGACGCCGACGTGTTTAAACCCCTTGCCAAGATCAAAGACGCTTTCTTTCGATCTGAGTGGCAGATGGGATCGATCACGGACAGGGCGAACCCCAGCGACGTCTTCACCAAAACCGCTACTGGATATAAAATGCAAGAGTTTCTTAAGCTTCTCTCCGGGGAATTCAACATCCCGTTCGGCCAGCTTTTCGTTTTTGAACGGAAGCACACGTGGGAGAAGCCACTGCGTCAAACCGAAACAAAAATCTAGAAGAATCAGATCTGGAGAAGAAAGCGGGCCTATGGTCACCTACCCGGCGTTCTTTGCACAACCTGCTGAGCAACTTTCTTCTACCGGATGGGTTTTTCGACAAAAATTATTTTTTTAGTGTGAACTCCACCAGTACGACATTCTGCTTCTGCGGACGCGATGAAATCGGCGCAGATTCTATCCACCAACAGTAAATGTATCCTTGTCCAGAACCAGGTCGACTTTTTCTTCTTCAACAAGAACGACAAACGAACTCCGCGACCTGTTTCAGCACTACGACAAGCATGGACGATGAACATCAGCAACCAAGTTATTCCTGTCCTATCAGCAACAGTTTCTACATGATTTTGGGGACCAGGAAGCTGATCATGCCGTCACGACACGTTTCTGTTTTGCGAACTCTTTTTGTTTCCTCTTGCTTCTGCTCTTTCTCAAGCGGGCAAGTTGAGTGCTTTGAAAGAACAAACTTCTGTGCAGTCTTTTGATTTTGTCTGGGGAACCTGGTGTTAGAAAGAACGACTTCGTCTAGTATGCTTCGCGAAGGGAGTTAGGCGGAGGTCACCTCTAGCGCAAAACCAGTTCCATCTACGTTCAGTTGCGATTGACGGTTTCTTTTTGGTGGATACGGATTCGTCTCCGGAGCGGGGGACTTACGGATCTATTTGTACAGCGAGTTCCACAGCTGGTGTTAGTTGAGCCGAAAACCGCGAGTACGGATCATGCGCACAACCAACCGCGGCGGAGCAGAATCTCTCGCATCACTTTCTTTCTTTTCTCCCCCCCCGGCACTGTGAATATCCTCTCTAGAGGTTTATCTCTGTGTCGGAGAGAATTGAAAGTAAGTGAGAGATTCTGAGAGCACGAGCAAAATGAGTTGGGAAACTCGGACAAATGTTTGTTTGGTGATTGCAAATGCACAAACTCGGAGCCTTTGTTTACGTTTTACAATCTTCATCTTTGTGAGCGCTCACATGACAAACTTGACTTTCGTTTTGATTGTTTCGCTTTCATCTTTCACAAAACACGAACAATGAGCCCTTGCTTCTCCCAAACCTCGCGTGTGTGTGATGTGTGTATTCGTGGCTCAAGCCACTAAATGTTGTTAACTGTAAGTTGAACAAGTCCAACAAAATAAAACGAATGTCCATTCTGTGAAGACAGAATACAAATCGCCGCGGGGAATCTGTTCCACGAGCTGAGTCTCGATCTTATCTTCGACGATCTTCGACACAGAGTTAGTTCCGAGGGAACTACGATCACCTAAAAGACAATATTAATTTTGATTGCAACCACGGCGCCCTGGAGAAGAATGATGCTATTGTCTTACTCACAAAGAGGGACAGGGATGCTTGCACTTGTGGGCAACAAAAAATAGAAACTGGTGTGCAGAAACAAATATGTTGGTTTTATTTTCCGCAGATAAAAATTATTTTTCCGCCGCGCAAAGCGGTACGAGAAAAGAAAGAAACTCAACTTTCGAAGCGAATACTTTGTCATTTAACCTTGCAGAAAAGAAAGTTACAATAAGTTGTGAAACTCTTGGATGAGAAAAAAAGAGAAAGGTTGCCTTGTTCGCGGCGCAATTTAGTAAAGCAACCGAAGCTGAAACTGAAAGAGAAAGCGTGTGAACGTGAAGTAGTAGATCCTCGTAAAAGTAAAATAACAGTCTACGTAGAAGGGCCCCCGCGTCCTTCGGGTCTTGACACGTCCTACTTGAAGGCACAGACACAAGAAGAGATCACAAAGTCAAATCGTCCTTGCGAAAGAGATCACGATAGCATGAGCTGCAGCTAGATCTTGTTCATCGACAAGAATGGATCTGAAGGAGAAGACCTATGCTGCGCAAAGAAGATCTGTCGGATCGCTTGTTTTCTAGTTTGCTATACTTACATGCAATGCTTCGATTATTTGATGACCGAAAACGAAAACAGCGGCGACAGCACTTCAAGGCCATCTAGTATCTGAAACCGTTTTATTCCGTCAAAACCCGAGCAACACATAATTGCTCTTTTCGAACAATTTCTACCCACGCACTTCTACTTATTATCAACCACGACGTGCTTTTTATTTCGCGGTCGTTTTTTAACGAGCCAACACTTCTTTTCCACTACTCCGCATTTACTATTTTCCTCTACTAGTGCCCCCAGCACCTCTTATCTGCCCCAGAGACCACCAGCACCGAAAATGGCATCCGCTAACCGCTACGCCCTGGTCCGCGCCGACGTGGAGGGGCTGACCAAGCGCAGGTTTTTTTACCGCCAGGCGTCCGACATCTATGGCGGCGCCGCGGGTTTTTTCGCCTACGGCCCCCCTGGCTGCGCCATGAAGAACAACATGTGCCAGCTGTGGAGACAGCACTTCGTGGTCGAGGAAGATATGATGGAAGTCGAGGACACCTGCATCATGCAGGTATGATTTTTGACGTTGACCTGACCAGAAAGCTTGATTTCAATTTGCAAAGCTACTATTCGTTTATAAGTATTTGTATTTTCGTCGAACTATTTCGTTCGAAACGGACGTTTCTGGCGCGTCTGCTTACTAAATGAAAGCTCCACCGACCGCGATATTCGCCGACTCGTAAAAAAATAACAGGAACGTGTCTTGAAAGCCTCTGGACACGTCGACAAATTTTCCGACTTCGTTGTCAAGGATTCTTTGAAGCCGGAGCTGTTTTGGCGAGCAGACAAACTTTTGGAGGATGTCATGGAAAAGAAAATCGCCGAATGCAAGGACGAGGGATTGATAAAAGAGTACAAAATCGTCCACAACAGCGCAGACGGGTACTCCAAAGAGGAACTGATGGAGGTACTTACTATTGTGGTCGTTGCTGCACGAGGACCTTCTCATGCTTTTTTGCACCGTATTGCCGATGCGGATGCTGGTCTTTGATGATATTATACTCTTCGAAAACCAAAAAGGTTGTACGTACATCCATGTCAACGTTTGTAGTTGCACCAACATCTCGTACAAACTACTATCATTATCTACAACCATACCAGGTCTTCGCCAAGTACAAGGTAGTTTCCCCCGACACTGGGAACCCGTTGACCGAACCCGTCGCCTTCAACCTGATGTTCCCCACCCCCATCGGCCCGGTGGGCGGCGAGACCGGCTACCTCCGACCCGAGACCGCCCAGGGTATCTTCCTCAACTACAAGTTCTGCAAGGAGCAGAACGGGGAGCGAATCCCCTTCGGGATCGCCCAGATCGGGCGGGTGTTCCGGAACGAAATTGCGCCGCGTGGCGGTTTGACACGGATGCGGGAGTTCCAGCAGGCGGAAATTGAGTGGTTTATCAAACCAAAAGACTACGACCACCCGAAATGGGACGACGTCAAGGATTTGAGACTCACATTGTACTGCATAATTTCAATTTATCTACTGAGATTGCTATTTTCTACTATTTTGTGTTGACGACAGGGACAGATGGCGTTTCGTGCAGCTCTGTACTTGATCGCCTGCCCCAGGATCTTCTTAACACTTTTTGTATTGTTCGCCGTGAACAATTATCAGCATCAGGTCTAGGCATAGCGATACACAAAAATATGTAAATCATCGCATTAGTAAACTCATCTCACTCGCATCACCTCACCCCAGGTTCGACGAGAAGACCCAGCTCGCCGGCGAAGACCCGAAAACCGTGACCCTCCAAGAAGCCCTGGAGAACGGTATTATCCGGGACAAGAACCAAACCATGGGCTACTTCCTCGCCCGCACCTTCCTCTTCCTCGTGAAGATCGGCTGCAACCCGGAGCACCTGCGGTTCCGCCAGCACCTGTCCACCGAGATGGCCCACTACGCCTCCGATTGCTGGGATGCGGAGTCCTACGTCTCCTCCGGCTGGCTGGAAATCGTCGGCATCGCGAACCGCGCCTGCTTCGACCTGAACGCGCACGCCAACGCCACGAAGCAGGACCTAAAAATCCGGGAAACGTTGCCGGAGCCCGTCGACGTGGAAAAAACGGAACTGACGAAGGAGAGTGCGAAACTGATCATGCAACACTTGAAAAAAGCAGGGAAGCCTGTCAAGGAATGCCTGGAAAAGATGGACTACGCAGATTTGCGGGCACTGCAGGCCAAGGTAAAGTAGATACTTACTTCATCACTACCAAAGTATAGACAAGTTTGCTTCTTTAATGATATTTCTGACAGTATTGATGCAGCGCTGGTGGTGCTGCCCTAGTACTGGCGCCAGAAGTAGACCAGCATGCAGAAACGGATGAGATGAGGATGCGTCACGTCGCAATGTGGGTGCTGCGATAGATAAAATTTTAAACCTTTTGCTTTTCATACCAGGCCGACGCTGGTGACCCGGTCCAAGTGACATTGAACGACGAGACGCACGAGATTCCAGCGGACAAGCTGAAGACGACGACAAAAACTGTGAAGGAAACGACAATTACCTACACCCCGAGCGTAATCGAGCCCTCCTTCGGGGTCGACCGACTTCTCTACACCGTCTTTGAGCACACGTATGTGGAGAGACCAATGGAGGTACTTTCTATCTTCAACAAGATTTCTACGCTTTAGTAGATCGTCGAAGAAAGGATCGATATCGATTGTTCATATGAATCTGCATCTCACACGAGGACGAGAGCGACACGCCTCATTAGGCGTTGTTTCGAATTCCAATTTACTATGCGCGAAAAATAATTCCAAATACACTTATAATTTCGTTTTCGCAGGCTGCCGGCGATGCGCAGAAGCGCGCGTACCTGAAACTCCCAGCAGCGATGGCGCCCTACAAGTACACCATCCTCCCGGTGGACAACAAGGTGAAGCGCCACGAGAAGTTCCCAACGATAGTGAAGAACTTGAAGAAGGACTTTACCCGCCTGAATTGTGCCGGTTCCGTGGACGACACCGGCGCGTCGATCGGCAAGCGGTACGCGCGCAACGACGAGCTGGGCATTCCCTTCGCGGTGACCATCGACTTGGACACGTTTGAGCTCAATGCGGCCACCATCCGGGAAAGGGATTCCTGCGGCCAGATTCGGGTGCCGCTGGCGGACTGCGCGCCGCTGATCCACAAGCTGTTCGAAGGACACCTCTCGTTCGCGGACGCCCAGGCACAATACAAGACCGTGGCAAATCAAGCCACGCAGTTGGTGGGCATCCAGGTGAGAGAGGCTTAGAAGTTGTAGAGGTGTAGTCTCGTCGCATCTTCTTGATCTTCGCGCGCTTTTCGACTTTATTTCCGTGTCTTGGTTTAGACGAAAATTACCGATGTTTCTTGATGAAAATAAGTTCGTCAACTGGTACTACAATTATATGTGAACGACGTTCCACTTTTTTACGATGAATAAATAATTTATTCCGGAATTATCTCTTCTATATCCCTCCACCGTGTCTACTATGCACTCAACATAACTTAGGCTGGTGCGTGAATCGCGAATGTCTTCGTATCAAAGGCGACTTCGACGGCACAGCAAGTCAAGGAGCAGGAGTTTGCGAAGAAGTTTGCGGACGCAAGTGCGAGCAGCTCCACGTCAACTTCGTAATGAGAACAACTGCAACCAGAACCACGACGACCTCCGTGGCATTGGACGAGTCATTCGGGCTATTGCCAGTTCGCTGGACACACCATTTCGCGGTACACTCGGGTTTGTAGTGGTGTTGAGATGTAGTTGCCTCTGGTGGACTTTTGTTGGACGCCGACACGATTCGCTGACGCCTTGTTATTCTCCGAAGGAGTCGTAATGAAGGACGGAATTATGGGAAAGGTAAAGGACCAGTCAAAAGAAGTAAGCTAAGGACCAAGAAAATCAAACGAAATTGAATCGGGATAAAAGAAAGTGAAAATAATGTACCCTCCTGCGCGCACGGAGTCACCGACTATACTGATTATACTATCCAGCAAAGCTGCTCATAGTAGCTGACCTCACGACAGGTTTTTTTATTTCAAAACGCTGCGTTGTTCACCTGTGTATTAAGTCTTGTTCTCCACGACGCACTTAGAAGGTTGGCTGTACTAGCTGGCGTTGGTTAGTATTTCGTTCCTTCCACTCGACACCAGTCACAGCCCAGTGTTTCTCGGCATCTTCGACCGCGTTTGTCGCTTCTCGTCCAGTGATGTGAGAAATAAAGGTAAAAAACTGGGCGCCGAGTTTGTGTGCTGCAAACAGTTGTTGTGTGGGACTTTTGTCGATTCGAATTCGTTTTCGAATAGATACAGAAACGCAAGGAGCAGGGAGTATCAATGATTAGTACTAGAGTGCAGTAAGTGAGAAAAAAAATGGCACTAGATGATGAAATCCTGAAGCTGAAGCAACATGGCTGGACAGAACACAAAGAGAAAAAAGAAAAACGGAAAAGTAAGTAATCTACTTACATAGGGCCATGACTTACTTTTGCTCACTCTGTGCTCGTCAACAAGTAGATACTTGTAGTTGTAAGGTTTTGTTGCCATTATTTTTTCACGGACACGAAAAACAACTGGATACAGACGGTAGCAAACAGTCGTAAGTACCGTTTATTTTCGATTTTCATTTCTGTAAGATGGTAGTGCGTGGTGCAGATGAATAGCGAAATGCCACATGGATTCAGACCAGAGCTACCCATCTAATTTAGAAATCAAACTTAAAGCAAGTTGAAGCAGACGTAGGTATACTCCACTAGTATCTCAGTATCAGTAGCAAAAGTTCTTGTTGTTTTCACATCAACGTTTGTTCACGAAATTGGTTGTCAACTTCTACAGCGTACCTTCAATGAAGATGATTCGCGCAGCACGCACAGTTTGCCGAAAAAGATAGAAGAGGACCCAGCACCACAACAAGCATGACCACGATAGTGCTCCTCTCCCCATTCCTGCCCTCCACGCGGTGCGGCGGCAGAATGGCAACGATTCTCTACTGCTTGCTTTGGCTGGGCCTCGGGGACGGGGCGGTCGTCGACATGGAAGGCGGGTCGTCTCGAGCAAATGGGTCGACCGCTTTGTTACGCGGCAGTAAGGCCACAAGACGAGTAGAAGGTGAAACGGCAGCAAATAGTGATGAAGAAGGGAAGGCCGAGGATCGTGGTGTTGAGCAGTCAGAGACAGCTCTCAACGCGGGGGCCGGAGCTGCAACTGCTGCAAGTAGCCCACCGCAGAAATCCAGCGAGACGAGTGAGAATCTGAATCGAAACAAGCAAAGCAGCACGTCGGTGGAATCGATCCAAGCACAGATCGAAAAAACCACCGTCAAGCGCCGGAACAAGAAGTTAGCAAAACAAGCAAAAGCGAGGACTGGTGGTGGAACTCTTCCTGAAGAAGACCCGGTAGAGCAGCTGATTGGCGATTTTGGACTGATCGATGTGCTTGCTGAAGACGTCGTCGACGAGGGAGATGGCACTTTTTCGCGAATAGCCGCCAGCTTCGTGCAGGAAGAGGAGGAGGCCTGGAGCCCGAAACCGCTCTGGCCAATGAATGCACGTATTCTTTATTTTCCTAAGTAGTACTTAACTGCCAACTTCGCCCCCTCGGGGTCGTGTTTAGACAGAAAGGATCAAAAGAATGCTATGCTGATTCGCGACGAGGACGACAGCACGACACAATAAATTAACCCCAACATCATCAAACCACTGCAGGCGACTGGATTTCGTTCCTTCTCGTCAGTCTCGTCTCCGTTATCGCGGCCTGCGGCGGCATAGGCGGGGGTGCGTTGTTTGTACCGCTTTACATGATGGTGCTCCAGTTTCCCACCGCGAATGCCAGCGCCCTGTCCAACGTGACAATTTTCGGCGGCAGCATTGCGAACCTGATGTTCAACTTTTCCAAGAAGACGGACAAGGGTGACGCACTGATCGACTGGAACATCATTTTAATGATGGAGCCCAGTACGATTTTAGGCGCAGTGATCGGGACGTTGATCAACAAACTCGTGCCGGTGTTCGTGCTGCAGTGTTTGCTCTTTGTGCTGCTGTTGCTCATGGGGCAGAACACCCTGGAGAAGGGACAGAAAAGATGGCAGAAGGAGCGGGAGCGCATCACGTTTGGGGCGAGAGGTATATCTGAAGTGGAATCGTGATGTTGATATGTTGCACCCTAGGTGTAGGTTTTGGTATTTGTTTCTCGAACAACAACAAATATCATTCTGCTATGTTCGTACGTTTCGATTAGAACATCTTTTTCTTTGAAAATAACCTTGCACTATACGAAACAACAAATCCACATCCACTCCAGAATTCCCAACTTTTTCAGCTGCCCCGATGGTGGAAAACGCCGCGGCCACCCTGCCCCCTTCACCAACCGCCCTCCCCTCCTCTCGAGGGCTTGCCACACAGGGAACAATACCAGAACCACAGGGGAGGAATCCGAACCCGACATCACAGCAGGACGACACAACCACCTGCTGGTCGCCTGAGTGCAAGGTATTTTCCAGTAAGTAACAACTTCCACGCAGTAGACGCAGCTTCTTGCCCTTGGGTGGTATGTGGATGTTCAGCATCATGTGTTGCCTGCTAATGCTGAAAAAATGGCTTCTTTCTCTGTGTTTTTGTTACTTTTTGCGTGCGACGTCCTTCCTCGTCGTTCTAGATATTGTGGAGCAATCGAGCGGAACGATACAGCAAAACAAAACAAAAAACAAAAACTGCAGAAATTCGTCTCTTTTCTCCCCCTCTACATCGCCTGCCTCGTCCTGCAGATTCTTCGTGGCGACGGGCACGATTTCAATCCTATCGCAAATTGCGGCACTCCCGGGTACTGGATGGTAATCCTGGCCAACATTCCCGTGGTTCTGCTCGCGATGTTCCTGTACCGGCGGCAGATTCTGGCGGAGGTTTTTCAGCGCCACGTGCGGTCCAGTTTGTACTTTACCACGCCGGCCATTCTGAGGAAGGACAAGGACGAGATTGGTACAACTTCAGGGAGAGGAAACTCCACCGGAACTGGACCTCTGCCGAGTCTGACTGCAACCGGAACGACGGACCTTGGTAGTAGCTCCGGTCGTGTAACATTATCTTCGTCCACTGCGAGAGGTGCTGCAAATCCAAATGTGCTAGACTCTGCCTCCTCACCACGAAGTGTGTACAGCACAGACAGCACGCGAGTAGATGGATTTCATCCCCTTGCAAACCAGACCACCTCGTCCTCTGTGCTTTCAAATGCAAATGACGCTCTTGATACAACTAATATCCAGTCCTCTCGAGATCGAAAGCAGCCACACAGTACCGCAACGACCCACGCCCCGGACCCGCTTTCCGCCTCCTGCGCGACGACCGGTAGTTCCACCACAGTGGACGAGCCTGGAGGAGCTCTGTTCAACCGACCGAATTTATCAATATCATCCTCTTCATCGCGCGCAACTGTTAACAACCCACTGCAAACGCCCCAGCTAAGCTCCTCCTCGTCTTCCTCGTCTACTTCATCTTCGCATGGCAGTATCAAGTGGGACGAGCGGAATACGGTTCTCTACCCGGCGGTGTGCACGGCCTCGGGCCTGATGGCGGGCATGTTCGGCATTGGTGGCGGGATCGTGAAGGGCCCGCTGATGCTCGCGTTGGGCGTGGAACCCAACGTGGCCAGCGCCACGGCCGCGACGATGATATTTTTCACCGCCAGTACGGCCTGCGTGTCCTTCACCCTCTTCGGCTACTACGCACTGGACTACGCCTTGTTCGCGTTTTTTCTGGGTTTTCTGTTCGCGGCGGTCGGGCAAGGCATGATCGCGCAGCTGTTTGCGGAGAGGCAGGCGCCGATCATTTTGTCAATGGCCGTGATTATTCTGCTGTCCGCGTGCGCCGTGGCGGTGCAGGCGGGAGAAACGTTTTTGTACAAGGAGCACCTGTTCGAGTTCAACAACCTCTGTGAACCGGAGTAAGAAGATCAACAGATGCGGATGTCGAATACGTCTAAACGTTAAAGCCTAGAAATTTTGAGCCAATCGTCTCACCACCCAGACACACTCGGTGGACATGTTGGCGCAGCATGCTGGGCGGTTTAGACAGAGTCTGACCGCAAAGCGTTTCGTGACAGCATCATCAAGCGGGGGCATCATGGAGCAGTGCAGATAAATCTTCAATCGCTTTTTTAGTTCCGACGCAACAAAACGACTACGACACTGAAGCATTTCAACATCAATCTGTGCCTTCACAATTTATAAATCTTTCATATGCTTTTCACCAGGACCAGGACCAGGAAGCAAAGGACGCACAAAATGTTCAATCGGGGAACCCACTCCACCGAAGAGAATGAAATTTTTTCTCTCGGTATTTTTTTGTTCTCAACCTAAACAAAAGCATGATGTAGATTTCGCATCTTCTCGGGAGTTGCTATAATAGGAATAGCATCTCGATCTCGAAGATCTTCGCTTCCGATGCTACGCGTTTGCACTGCTTCAATCAGGTCCGTGCTTGTCGTCTTTCGCGAGACTATGTCGTGGCCGTGCCGTGTAGCTCTGTTATTTCCGTAGATTCAAGAACCTTATCGTGACAACGAGTAGTTGTTCTGTTGACGCCTGAATTTTGGTTTCTATTCTTTGGCTACATATTACGCTAGTGTGTACCAGGCGATCTCATTCTCTGACTGCTAGGAAACCTTACCGAGGTTCAGGCTCCTGCATCAACCAATCGATCCTCTACTCAAAATCTCGTCAAAACCACTAGGTCTCTGTTCACCCGACTCCACGATCGAAATGCAAATGACCTGTTTCTACTGCCACGATCGAAATGCAAATGACCTGTTTCTACCAGTTTCCCCAAAACACACTCTGCTTCCAATAAACAGACAATACTTACAGGTCAAGTGAAGTGGGTAGCAAAAGCGTCAGGAACTGTTTAGTGTAGGTATTGTGTCGACCAGTTGTTCTTCACAGTCTAGATAGGCTAGGGGTAGGGCTTATCCACACATACACTTCTGAAGGCCTGTTCGCTGGGGTCTCGGCCTATAAACAGGTCTGGTACAAGTACAGGCTGAGGCAATATAAAAAAAAGCTGGAAATTGTCAGCACCATGGCCGACGCGTGCGCGCTAGTCGACGCCGTAAGGATGGGCGACCTCCAGGAGGCCAAGCTGCTGTTGGACCGGGGAGCGAGCCCGAGCGCCAAAATCAGTGATAAGAATTACTGCTTTGCACTTGAGCAGGCGACGCAGAACAACCATCTCGAGATCGCGAAGCTGTTGCTGGACCGGGGAGCGAAGAGGGCCAACAAAATAATTTATTTCAATAAGGCGCTTGAGCGAGCGGTGCAAAGCGACAATCTCGAGATGGCGAAGCTGCTGTTGGACCGGGGAGCGAGGGCTGACAACAATAACAGTTGGGCGCTTAATGTGGCGGCGCAGAACAACCATCTCGAGATGGCGAAGCTGCTGTTGGACCGGGGAGCGAGGGCTGACAAAAATGATAGTGATGCGCTTGAGTTGGCGGCGCAGAACAACCATCTCGAGATGGCGAAGCTGCTGTTGGACCGGGGAGTGAGGGCTGACAAAAATAACAGTTGGGCGCTAATGTTGGCTGCGCAGAACAACCATCTCGGGATGGCGAAGCTGCTGTTGGACTGGGGAGCGAGGGCTGATGTGGCGCTTAAGTTGGCGGCGCAGAACAACGATCTCGAGATGGCGAAGCTGCTGTTGGACCAGGGAGCGAGGGCGGACAGATCAAATGGCAGTGAGGCGCTTGAGTTGGCGGCGCAAAACAACCATCTCGAGATGGCGAAGCTGCTGCTGGAGAATGGCGTCAGAGCGGAAAGATTGAGCCTGGGATCCGCGCAGAAGCTGAGAGGAGGCGGCGTTGACGCCTCGCTGCTCTTGCCCTGTTTCGTGCGACATGCAAGCCTCCCGGACGTACGGGAGTGCATAGACGCTGAGTGTCTGGACATCAACGCAGAGATCCACTTGGCAAACGAGACGGTTCGTGTGATCAGCACATTTCGTGACTGTATTGACTCGGTGATCGAGCTGATGGGGGAAGGAGCAAGATGTGAGAACCTCGTTATTCGGGGGGCTCGTGCGCTCCAGGAATTTTCCAGGGACCGCCAGAACGTACACACCTCTCCCACTAACAAAGCGTTGTGCCGCAACGTGCAGGCCGCGTACAAACTTCTGGAAGAGTTTAGCATAGGGGTCGCGCTCGAGGAGTGGTCTCAGACACTGCTGGAGCTGGAAACGGAATTGCAGAGCAAGAACATCCCCGACTCGGTCTGGCAGCAGGCGCAGGAGGCTAATAAAAGTGCTTGCAGCGGACGAGGTCTGGCCCAGGTACGGCGTGCGGTTATTCAAGCCTTCAACCGGTTTAAAATGGATCTTGATGCGACTCCATCGCCTAGTCCCTTGGTTACCTCTGGTCCTCAAGCCCTGGCACTGGTTTATCGGGCTCTTCGGGCTGCTCTCTCGGGGCGACCGGACTTCAATCTGTGTGCCGATGTTCTTTCTCCCATTGCGAGTGCGTTGCTGCAGACGCAATCTGAATATGGATGGAATAATCAAGCATGTGGACCGGGCTCGGTATCCATGGTACTCCAGGTGCTAGAAGGTCGTGTAGAGGTGGATGAAGCTGCTCCTAGCGTCGCTTCTCTGCAGGCTATGCTGACGGACATTGCGGGGTGGAAAAAAATGCTTCAGAAAACCATCAACACGGCGGAGTATCACGCTCTTTTCGCGGAGGCTCAGGCGCGCCTCTTGGAATTCTGTGACCCAGCGAAGCTTCAGGAGGTTTACGATCGCATCATAGGTGGGGATCACGCGATTTACTGCACTAACAAGCTGCGCGGGCTGCTGTTCCAAGCGTTGACCAAAGAATTCGGTGACGATCTCGCGAAACTTCGCGCTGATGCTGAAGAAGAACGTGACAACACCCAGCTGTGCGGCTTGATACAGGACCTAGGAGACGTGGCTGAAGTTTTTACACAGGTTTGTACGGACTATATGGTGGAGGTGGTGGATCCTGTTAGTCTTAGCCCTCGTTATTCTACCGCAGATTCCGTGGCTGTAGCTGCACACTAAATAATTGAAATTTGAGTCAGCACAGTACATCGATGCTTGGTCCTTACCTCATTCCAGTTGAGCCCAGTTGATTGTGTGAGAGACTGACATCAATCTTTCTCTCGTGGATAGACTACATTTATGCTACTGTGTTACCCAGTCCGTATCGACTCTCCTTCACCTTCTTCGCACTTGCTGAGTTAAAATGTTCAATCGGGGAACGCACTCCACCACCACCGAAAAGAATCACATACGCATGCTGTTCAAGTTGAAAGTAGCGTTTGTTTCCCCACCGCAAAGATGAAAAAGCGTGATTTTGTCGTCGGCACAATCTTCGTTGTTTCTTCGGTCGCCTCTGCGCGGCTTCGTTTCCTCTTGTGGTTCTGCTTCTGATTGGTGGTCTACTTCGTGCATGATTCTTTGTTCTACTACTACTACCAGCTTCGTGATCGTACCGCTGTCCAGTTTCTGTCGTGCAATAAAAATATCGTGCGGACTCGTGTGTTGTACTTTTCAGCGTCGTATGCTCTAGCACGAGCTCCTCTGCAGCACGTACGAACCGCCCATGGCCTGTCTCTTCAAGAACAGTGTCGATTTGACTACCGACGGCCTTCTCGTGAGCGTTGATAGTTTCTCTTTTTTTACTTTCCATGTTTATCACAACGCATACGCAACGAGCAGCGGATTAATGTAGTAGAAACCTCCGTTACCCTTACCGTTTCTATGCCCATCGGCCATCATCGATCATGACGATACTCATACTTCTCCATTTTTTCTTTAATCGGACGAGACCAGCATGGCTCTTTCTTCTTCCCGTGACGTTGACATGCGAGATGAATGCAAAGGTTGCCTTGTCGCACCGGATTGTACGTAGACGAGGCCGCAATATCCTTGCAGCGACTCCGACTTCAGTAGCGCCAGATATTGCTAAGAAAGCGGGTCATAGTAGCAGGAGCAGCTCTCCTGCTAAAACAGGGGACGCCCAGGGCAGCAGCAGCACTAAGAAGAGCAGAACGTCTAAGTCTTCGCTGCTATCCGCCGGTAGAGCAGCACGACGCAACTTTGACAGTCCAGCAAGTGTCGCCGATTTTCCATCCTATCTTTTGCTTGCACGTGGTGCCTCCAGCTCCAGCAATAAAAGAGCGAACGAACATATGGAGGAGGAGGAGGAGGAGCACAAAGAGGCGAGCATCCTGCTTCAAAGGGCCACATTGAGACGTGAAGATGAACGGCACAGGCGTGTGGAGGAATCAAGTCGTACCTCATCGTATAGAAACTCCAGAATCGGCGAAAATAGGGAGACGAGAGTCCACCAGCCTCCCACAGAAGATGACTCCTCAAGATTAAGCGGAGGTCCACCAATGGTCGTGCCGATAAAAATGCGTTGTGTGGATCGCGTTGTAGATCGGACTCTTGACGGAAACACCAACAATGACAAAAAGTTACCCAACGGGGGGCGAAAGCTGGTAGAGTGCGGCCTCCGGGAGGTGTGCAACAAGTCCGCACTGACGGCAAAACAGTGCTTCGACGACGGTTTTGTCGCCTTCAACAAAGCGAAGACCTGCTGCTGCTGGGGGGACGGCGCTACTTACCTCTGCGACGAGCAAATGACGACCAGTACGTCCACGAGTACTATGGGTGGAAGTAGGAATGTGATCGAATTCGAACTTCTGCAACCAAAGCTACTTCCTGGTGCATCAAGTACTTCTAGTAGCGCAGCATCGTCTGGGACGGGCCCGGGCGGGACGCAGGCGGGTAGTACTATAGCGGATGTCCAGCGTGGACGAGAATCCACGCCAAGCCAGAGCTCCGGTACAACGGACGGCGCAGAGAACAGGAACTCCACTCCTGCTCAGGCTTACTACGGCGACGGCATGGGTGTTGCACCCGGTCAAGAACAAAGTCATAATGAAAATGAGTGTCCGCTGTGGGCGATTGTTGTGTCCGCTTGTACGCTCGTACTCGTTGCGTCCCTCGGTTTGTACTTGGCGTGGGAGGGGATGAAGGAACAGATGTACCTGATGGGGCAACAAGCGGAAGGAGAGGAAGATTACCTCGGAAGTAAAAACATGAACGGCAAGAAAAATCTCCAGCACCTGCTCCTCCAGCCGGAACCGGAGCCACCCCCGCAGCCACCTTTGGGGCTCGCCGTGGCAAGAGGACCGCGAGAGGATCATCATCTGCAAGGTGGGAATTTGCTTTCGTCGTCTTCCCAGGATGTTCTTTCATCAAGCGGGGTTCCTCGTGCGAATGAAATAACTAGTGGAGCACGACCATATTCTAATGATGTTTCCTCCGGCACCACCACCAGCTACCTCGGGTCCGTGCAGTCGGCCCGGTTCGGCGAGTCTTACGCGAGCAGTGGGCTTTTACATTCACAGAAAAGTGCCGCTGGATTTTCAGGTACCGGAGGTGCGTCGACGTCTGTTTTTCAAGATGGATCGTCCATTGCATCTTTGGGGGCGGGTACTATACTTTCTGGTGGTGCAACTACATCTCCGACACGACCGGCTATACCGCAACTTAGTAACCTTCCCCAGACTTCTGGTTCGTCAAGCTCATCATCATCGTCGTCTGTCGGCCGGGATTCGCCCCGGTGGATTGCGGCACGAGAAAGGGCAGCGGCTGCCGCGAAAGCAAAAGCGGCGCTGCGAAGCGCAATGTCGCGGCCACCCGTCCCCGAGGAGTCGTGAGCAATGGCGGCAATTTTGATATATCACGCTTTTCTTGTTGCCGTTCGAAAATGATTTCTGTGCGCTAGAAGTCGTGATAGGTCGCATAGGATTTGACAGTATCAAACTCATCTTCGATTTTGATCATGTCCTCCTGTCGAATTTCCGTCCCTTCTCTGATATTTTTGCACCCTATTAAGGAAGCATAGTACTTTTGGTATGTTTTTGTTCTCAGTTTGATTTAGATTTTGTTCTGGTTGCATGAATAAAGTTTCGTCTTCATTCGGTGTCGTCGTCTTCGTCCTTCTTGCTGTCGTTACTTTGTGTTTTCCGTGTTTCGTATTCGTCCTGCTTTGCTTGGTGGGTTCTTCGTGTTTCGTTTTACCACCGACTCGTACCCACTCCTACCAGCATCGTTCTCTTCTTGTTGGTACATTCTCGTAGTACGCGACTCACGAAAGTGGAACTAGAATGAACAAGAACGAAGAAGCGGTAGCTTTCGCTTCATCGTGTGTCAGCGACGCATACGCAAATCGTCAACGACATAAAGTAGAGCTTTACTCTTCATTATCACAGCCTACTACCCCAACCCATCCCGTCGCCCCACCCCAAGTAGATCCGTATTAAGTAGGTTGCTAGCCCGCCTATCATGTAGCCCAATAGAATTTATTACACACGACGGCGCACCACCATAAAGTACGAGATGAAGATGAGCACGAGCATGTTGTCATTCTCGGCATTGTTTTGTGTCCGCCTGCAGCTGTGGTCGACGTTAGAGCAGGACTTTTTGTTCCACACGTGGGACAAATCTCCGACGAACGTCCATGAAGGAGCTGCCAGTCGCTGCGACGAAATTCGCACGACCTATTCTGCATCAAATAACGATGAATATTCTGTTCAGCAGACGCGTTGGCGTTGCAACAGCATAGAATCAAAATGGCGCTCATCTAGTACAACCACCGCGACCGCCTTACGTATAGGGCGCAAGGACAAGGCGCAGGAGATGAACAGCAAGGGCGGTACGAAGATGAAAAGGTATATCATCAAGCGAAGAAGTCGAATGAAGAGCAAAAACACTTCATCTACAGCACAAGTGCAGCAATTGGAGGTGGCACGTCAAGCCGCGAACGAAGAAGCCGAGAAAAACAAGCGCATAATCGGGAGGAATCGTAGTTCGTCCGCTCTAGTAGCACTCGGGACCATCTTCGCTAAGCATAAGCTAAAGAGCTCGAAGAAAGAAGATCCCGGTTGTGGAGGTGGAACCACGACTGCTAGTCCAACCTCTACCACAGAAGGTTCTCCTGCAGTCGAGGCAAATAAAGTTCAATCGGCACACACAAGAGTAAGTAGAGAAGGTGTTGAAGAAAGACCACATGCAAGTACAGAAGAAGAGGAAGAGCAGCGTGACGACAACGACGCTGCATCTACTTCTACAGCAGGTTCTTCCGGCGACAGGAGTGGTGATGAAAAGAAAAAAGACGATTTGATGCGGGCCAGCCGCCCGGTCCAGCTGCAGTTCATGTCATCGCCGGTGGAGGAGACATCGCCGGTGGAGGAGCAGGCCGTGACGACCAGCGGTGGAGCCGGAGTCGGAGCAGCTGCGCCACCACAGCCGGATACTAGTAGTCCTGGAGGTGATGAAAACCAAAATGCGCCGCTGTCCTCTAGCACAACAACTTCCAGTGCATCTGAAGCGGGTCCTCGTGCAACTAACACGACGACCGACACATTGCGCAGCTCGTCCTCGTGCTGCCAAGACATGCATCCGATGCAGCTGCTGCTGATCATCACCGTGAGTGTGCTGGTTGTCTTTACCGCGGTCGCTGTCGGGCTGTGCAACGAAGATGAGGATGACGATAGTACAACTGACGCGCCAGAGAACAACAAGAACGCAGGTACTAAATTTATGAGTCTGAAAGCGGGGTCAAACAACAGATCGCACACCTTTTTCATCAACACATTTGTGGATGCGGACGAGGAGGCTACGACCGGTTTGACCGCGGCAGGAGATCATCAGGTACCAGCAGAGGACGTCGTATTTCTAAAGGACGACGACGGGGATAGCGATGAGAGGCTCACAAAAGAAGACGAAGACGAGGAGACGGAAGTGGATCAAGATGGAAATTATGTTGACAAAAATGGCATCGTAGGGCAACAAGAGCCGGATGTTTTGAAAACAGCTGGTGGTGGTCCACGGAAAGTGAAGCGAAAGAAGAAGGGAAATAGATCAAAGCTGGTAGAGGTAAGCAAAAGCAACCTGTTGAACGACATTTCGGAAAATGACCGCGCAACGACCGGCACTGAAAATAAATCCCCCGAGGACGTCGATCCGAATGCTGAAAACTCTGAAGCGTCAGAACAATCGCTGAATGCGGCTGGGGGCGTAGTTATCTCGGCGGATTTTGGAGCATCAAGGGCGCAGCAGCCGCCTGTTGGACCATCATCTACAACTTCCGTCGCAGGAGCAGCTACACCCGACTCAGCTTCGCAGATGAAGTATGGGTCAAGTAGTTTTGGAACCACAGCGGCACCAGCCATGTCTTTCGCTGGCGGCGCAGCAGTAATATCCTCGACGTCGTCCACCAATGTGCCGAATCAAGTCCTGGATAGTAAAGTAAAAGAGGACGACGAGGCGATGCTTTTTCTGAGTCAAACCCACATTGCTCAACGACTGAAGAACGCCGCAGACAGTACTGCTAGACCGAAACCCAGCTCGTGGAAAAGCAGAAGCAAAGCGTTCACGACCTCGTCACCCTCAGGAGGAGCAGCAGCTGCTCCACCTAGCGACACCAGCGTCTCCTCTTCTCGTAGTGCAGCTGCAGCTGCGACGAGCAGCAATTCGTCAGTACGGGCCAGATCACCAAGGGTGAGGCGGGTGGTGCGAAAGAGAGGAGCCGCGGCGAGTATGAAAAAGGCGCAGCAAGACCAAGAGCACCCTGGAGTAGATGAACAAGTTCCGCCGCAGGTACGGACACCGGAGGACTCGGAGCAGGACATCTCGGAGGAAGCGGACTGAGTAGACCACCGAGCTAGAATTCTCTGTGGCATTTCGAAAATTCGTACAGATACTACTCGATAATTCTCACCCTAGGTTGTGCGTTTAGAAACTAAATTTATCCTCATGTCCTTCTTGAAGATGATTATGATTTAACTTTGAGTTGTACTTCTAACTACCCATTATACGCATACCATTCAAACAACTTCAACTTCACCTTGATCTTGACCACTTCATATCTCTTGAGGAGGCGACAGGGAAGCAGGAAAGGGCAACCTCTTAGTTGTCGTGAAAATTATGTTCATGCAACATCTTCTCTCAACTCTTCCGTGAGGTGGAGACTAGATCATGTGTTGATGTCGTGCGCTGGTGTCGGTTCGTTCATGGAAGGGGTTTCGTCCTCTTCGTTTTGTTCTTATTTTCTTCCAGTCCGCCTACGTATTCGTCCTGGCATTTTTTGTCGTCTCAAATTATATTCTTGCAGTGTATTGATTCGCATCTTCCTCGGTTCCGTCACTCGTTCTCGTCGTCTTCCATGGTCGTCCGTACTACGTACTGTTTTCCAGTGTTTCTCCACCGCCTATCTCAGTCCGTGCGCATTCATTCTCCACTGAATTTCAATTCTTGCAAAAAATGCGACCTCACCCAGCAAACCACCAGGTATCTACCAGTACACTACCAACCTGAATTATCTACGTCTACCAATTGGTCTAGTTTTCGCACCGTAAAATCTATCATCCCGCGTACTACCCATCTATTTTCTGTATTTGTGGTTGCTACTTCCCAAGCAGCTAGGCCTTCGTGACATCAGGCTATGCGAAAAATTAACTATGCAGAGGCGCCGCCGACTGCGGCAGCCTCAAAAATTCCAGGGATCATGAGCTACGGCGCGGCTGGATATGGGTTAAGACGAAACTAAGGCAAAAGTTGTTGGAAATTTTTCGATCCTGTTGTTGAGGTGGAAGAAGGGCATCTTCAGTGAGCGACCCGAAGATGTTGAACACCTTCGACAATTCCTCGCCGTCGCTCTTCCGTCGAGCAGGGGTGCTGCCCCCGTGTCGTGGTGGACATCCTCACCGCTTTACTCCCCGGCCGCTGTCCACTTTGTTTCTGCAGAGCCTACTCCAAGTCTCGCTGATATGGTCCTCCTGCAGCCGTGTGGAAATGATGGGCTCCTTCGGATTTTTGATGAAAACGCGGCCGGCGGCGAATAATGGCGGATCATCGCCGACACGCAGTAGATCATCTTCGAGAAAACTGAAGTACAAATACAAAATCATCGCACCCACTACAGAAAGAACTCCGACGAGGAAGCAGGCCGTGCACGAAGTCGAAGATCCGGGGGAGAAAGAGAACGAGAATGAGGACTCGTACGCCTCTGTTTGGCTGGAAGGTCAGGACGTGAACAACCTGGACGAAGGAAGATTATCGCTACAATCTTCTTCTAAATCAGACTCAGATAGTGCAGATGAAGGTCTTTCCAGAGCTCCCCAGGAGAACCACGGCGTGAAAGCGGAAAGTAGCCGAGTAGTAGGTGATATTGAACAGTTACAGGGGTCTTCATTGTCTTCCTCCGAAAGAGAAGTAGAATACCACTGGGGGAACGAAAAAGATCTAGTCGACGACATCACTCTACCAGGACCACCAGCTTTACTAGCAAAAGACGCGGCGGCGTCCCCACCTGCACAAGTTCTTTCCCCCGCTACTAGTTTAGGCTTTTCCTCACTGCAGGTGCAAGTCGACACAGGGCACGAAAAGGACAAAATTGAGGCGGAGCAGAACAATAAACTTGCGCTAGGTCGTGTCAAGACAACGACTCGTCAAGATGAACATCAGGAATCATCATCTTCGGACGCGTCTACCACTACCGCCGGAACAACGACAAAATCAAAAATCGAGGACAGCGCCGCGGTCAAATGGGCAATCGGCCTCGTCGTGTTAGCGGTTGTCGTTCTCGTGGCGGTCGGCGCGATCTTGTCGCAGCACTTAAGCGAAGAGCAGTCCGGTGTGATGAAGGTGAGTGCTGTGGCGATTGGGGACGAGGACGGAATAGGCGACGATGACATGTTTTACGAAAGCGAAATGGACGAAGAGGATAGAAATAACCGACACAGCGATCAAGAAGAAACGTCGTTCAAAAAAAGTAACGACAGCTCGACGCTTGTTGATCACGATCATGATATCGTAAGGAAAAATCCCCCCTCCCCATACTCAAACTAGAAATTTGTGATGCAGATTTGTGGTCACAAAGAAATCAGCTTTGTCATGCTAGAAGGGAAAAGATGCGGACTGTAGTGCTGGTTGGCGTGGGAAAGCCTTGCATCTTCAGCATGACAGGGGGCAGCTGGAAGTGGGAAACAGCATGACAAATTGCCTGCAAGCGAGGCCACAGCTGCGTCTCTTGGCCTTCTAGCATTACAAGTCGACTTGTGTACTCAAATACAGCATCACAAATTTCGTTTTCGATATGGGCAGGGGGGGTTTTTCCCTTTGATATTACATGAGCACAACGACAGCGGCCTCCACGCGACGTCGGGGGAACAGGGGCAGCACTCTCCTGGTGTTCTCAGCTTCGCGTACACTGGTGGGGACGTTCGAAGTGGTGGGGTTGCTTCGAGTGGCCGCTTGCCTGCTAAAAATGTGCAGCACATACAGGGCTTCCTGAACGGCCAAGAAGTTCAAGTAAATTCGCAGAGCAAGCAGCACGGCAACGATCTCGATCGTCCGAGCGACTTGAGCGCGCTCCAGGCACAGAGGAGTCAGCGCTTGGACGCGAAGCGGCGGCGGAACGACGAGAGGAAGCAGCGCAAGTTGGAGAACTACGTGGATCATGCAGCTATGATGGACACAAAAGAGGGCCGCGGGGGAGATGGAGAGGAAAAATGGGAAGAAACCGACTTAGAGTCGTCCTTGCGCTCAGGGGAACACCTTTTCGTTCCGCGGCCGACGAACAATCTTCAAGAGTCCTACAATAGGAGCTCCAACGAGCTGCAACATGGGGGGCCTGCAACTTCGGCTCCGATAAAAATCCCAGTTGTTTCTGTAGCACCTAGTAGGAGTACCGCCGGAGCAGGAAGTACTACGTCAATCACAGCTAGCACACCTAGCAACGGAGGCGGTAGTTTAGCAGCAACGGCACTGTTGGACTATCGAAACAAAAGGAGGACCGAGTCTCCGAATAACACCAGCAAGCCGGCAGGCCCCGGCCACGAAATGGTAGAGGGCAAGAACATGGAGGTCCAGATTACAACGGATGAGCAGCAGGAGGAGATGCACGTACAGCGGGCGCCCACGGGATTTCTGCCGGGTGAAATAAATCAACTCGTCCCCGGCGGCGGAGTGGCACAGGAGCGACGTACCACAGGAACAGCTACTTCTCCACGAAATATTGACCAGCAGGTAGATGATCAACAACGCTCGCAGCAAGTAGAGAAAGTTGCTCTTGCTAAAGGCTGGAGAATCGCGCAGCAGCCTGTAAACGTTGTTGTTCAGCGCGCTCCTTCCGGTATGTTGCCCGGGGAGGAGCAAGTTGCTGGTGCTATAATTTCACCAACTTCTACTGCAGCCGACACGTCGTACCAGCTGCAGGTCGGGCAACAGACGGGACGACAACCAAGCAGTGCCAAGGCAGCTGGGGGTAGCCGGTATCGCGAAATAAACGCGATTAACCGTGTTAACCGGTCTGGAAATCCATCGGAAATGATAAACTACAGTGGTGTAATAGCTAGCTATACAACTGGAACAGAAACAGCTCCAGCTGCAGCTGCAGCGACTACACGAAGCGCTGGTCCTACCGCTATTAGTAGAGCTGCTGTCATGGCCAGGGGGCCGACCAACGTTTCCACTGCAACTACCGCGAACCTCGGTTATGAAGACCCTCGTGCGACGGCTGCTACGACTGGATCAAGAGGTACAGTGACCGCGACGACATTCGACCAGAGACGTTTGCCGTCGGACATATCCACCGGGTCGCGACTGACTGCCGCGTCAACAGGGTCCGGACCAAAGCCACGTATGTTTCAAAACGTGATGTTGACAAGTAGTAGTACAACAACTGGCCGCGGACAGAGAAGTAGTAGCCCGTCTTCTAGTAAGACACCGCCCGCGCTTCACGTTCCTGTCGAACGAGACCCCGCCGAAGCGACCCCGCTCGCGCCAGGCTTGACTCCGCGGAAAGGACGTGGTGCGAACAAGAAAGCGAACACGGCCATTGTCTCGCATGAGCACAGCACCCAGAGCCGCGATCCAGGCCAAGAGACCTTCGGTGATGCACCGAAGGAAAATGCTAGTCGGAGAAAAATCTCTCCTGCCCTCGCCCGAGCAACCGGAGCCGTTACCACAGTGAATGCGCTAGCTCATAGAACAAAGCAGGATCATGTTGCCAATGCGGCAGGAGCTCCTGTTCTTTCAAAGAACAAAAACCAATCATCTGTTGAGACGAGTAGTGGGCAACATGGAGCTGCGAGATCAGAAGAAGTGCAACAACTTTCACCTCACGGCGAGCCACTTCTTCGCGTTGGTGGGCCTAGTGCTTCTGTAATAGCCAAGGTAGCAGCTGCAGCAAAAACTACACCTGCTCAACCTAAGCTGCAAACCCGCAAATTCACGCGCGCCCTTCAGGAGGGCGAGCAGGACGCTGCTGAGCTCCGGTTGGCAGCTGACATGATTGAGAAAGCGAAACAGAGAGAGGCGGAACCCTAAACTTACTTAGTTGCCGTTTCTCTTACACTCGTATACAATTTAACCCCTGGAGATGATTTTTTCCCCACCTGTCGACATGTCAACTTTTATCTGTGGGACCTACAAGCATCCTCGTCCATCAGTGGTGCTATTTCTATTCCATTTTCTTTGAAGTTTCATGGTGTTCCTGTTTCGTATCCTCAATCCGCTTTTGTGGACGCGTTTCTCTGAGCAGGGATTTTTGTCGGTGGTCAACATTTGTTATTTTTGGTTTTTCGTGTTTGGGACACGCACGAACCGGAGCCGGATCTCCTCGTTCTCCTGTTCATAGTTGTATCTGTGCTATTTTAGAAATTTTTCGCACCGCGAAACTGATTTACATACTCTTCTCATGTTCGGCTTCGGGTTCCTCAGGCGCGCGAGTTTTTCCAAGTGAGGGTGGTGCAAAAAGGAATCGCAACTAAAATTTTCTTGCCGACGAGGGTTGAATTTCGTCTCTACTCAGCAAATCGTGGTAAATTAATAAACGGCAAGTGCAAAAAATAAGACTAAGAGTGAATCACCAGCAGAGAAAATAAAAGTCGTCAGCAAAATCGTATTTTGAATAAACCTCCTCCTCCCCCTGCTCAAGTCTACCAGGTCGAAGCGTTTTTTTCTTCCGAGACAAGGCTACCCAGTCCGTGTCAAGGTTGATCTAGCCACGAATTAATGAAACTCAAACTTTCGCACCAGGACCTCCCCGCCATCAGGCTAACACCAAGTTTTTTTTTTTCGATGTACGATTCCCGATTCGGCTTCCGGACTCACTATGCTTTTTAACGCAACAAGTTAAACTGTGCCAGAATTTCCTTACTTTCTACTGTTTCGTTCGCTTACGTTTGATTGTTCGATCATCTAAATCTGATTGCAAGAAGGAATGTTGCACGAAGCTGACGTGGCTGTCGCAGCCGCACCGCCGGAGAAGATCATGCCCAGCACGCCATCGACGTCTCCTGTCTCTCCGGCAGAAATCGCCGATTTGGTCTCCCAAATGTCGTTCAAGAAGAAATTCAGGGCCGCGTGCGCCAGTCTGAGCTCCTTGTGCGACAAAGTCGACGGAGGTGTCCTCGTCAACACCGTATCTTCAACTACAACATCATCGCCTGGAGGCGAGATGGACATCAACGATGAAATAATCACCAGGCTCACGAGTGCTGCGGAGAGGTGCAACGTCGTGTTGACAACCAGGTTTACGAATCCGATCTTTTGGCAGTCTGGTTTGGAATTTTTCCTCTCGCTGCAGTTTCTTCTCGAGCAGCTGACGACGTCAATAGCGGGCGCAGCAGCACCATCACAGGCAGCGTCTGAGGATGTGCAACAGGAGCAACGGCGGGACAATTGTACCGATCAGACGTTGTTGATGAAGAGGAATCTCGACCGTGTCCGGGGGTTTGTGGAGCAGGCCATGCAGGAAGTGGACGAAGAAGCCAGGGAGAAGGTCGCCCGCGAGAAGATCCAACAGCAGAGGCAAGCGCAGCAGAGCAGAATGAGTCAGCAATTCACCCCATTTGGAAACCCCATGCAAAACATGAACAGCTTTGAGGACTTCGTGCGGTCGCTCGGCTTTCTCGTCGAAGAGCAACCGGACCCGCGGAAAGTGCACCACTTGGACCGGCACGAGCTGCGCATCGTGGACAATTTCGACGAGGATCTCACCTGCGTGATCTGCATGGAGAAACTCGGGCGGAAGGCGAAGAAAATGCCACTCTGCGGGCATTTATTCCACGATGCGTGTATTATGGAAAGCCTGGAACACAACAAATCCTGCCCCATGTGCCGGGACGACCCGTTGAAGGGGCAGAGGGTTTTCACAACGGACGACTTTCGAAAAGCAGACAGGAATCCGGACAAGGCCGGAATGTTTTCCTAGATTTTGGTTTTTTGGATTCTGTAAACCAAACAAGTTGAAAAGTCCGGAACAAGATCGATGCTGATGATCGTGATCGATCGTCCCTGTGTCCAAAAATAAAGAAGTTTTTTCACGAGATTTGCCCATTGTGTACAGCTGAGAGTAATCATTCCGGGTCTTCTCCTCGATGTTGCAAGAAGTATTGCCATTTTCGAAAGCTCATTGGCGACGGCGATGTCGAACAAAAATTAAAATCGGCGCACGACGAGCAACATTCGCTTTGATGTGCCCGTGTGCTGACACAGAAACCGTTTCTTGAAGTTGTCAACAGGTTACTAGGAGTGGAGTAGATGAATCAAGAAGTCTGTGTGTCGTCCTGGACTGAGGACGATACACAGCACAACGAACTACAATCTTACTTGCAGGCCGTGACCTCACACGACACCAACTGGCTCTGCTACAACAACGTTCATCGGGCACACCAGTAAAATGCTAACTCCAAAGATCGGTCTTCGTACGTGCGGTGTAGCCTGTTGATCTGTATCTGTTCTCCAAGTACATAATTTTTCGTGCACCGGAACAGCATATCCATATGATCGCAAGGCGATACTATGAGTTCTTGCCTTTCTGTTGCATCTTCTGGAACAAATTGAAAGCGAAACTCTCTCGGTCGTGAGGATACTTTTTTCGTTCTGAAAGGAGCTGAGCATTTTGCAAAGGAGAACAACATACGCATCAGCGTTCAAGACAGCAAAACTTCTATACATTGGTGACATGATTTTTGGAGTCGGAGTCCTGACTTTCGACTTTGATTTGACAGGAAGCACTAAGGTTTTTTTTCGCCGAGTTGACTGGGCGACCTAGCTGTATGTAATATCTCTTTCTCTCGCTTTCGCAAAATCTTCAGTGTCCTCCACCTGAACCAACGAAACTACTACCCCGAGGTACGTACTTAATTGAAATGAATTTCGTCACGATGTGAAGGTTTTGTAACAAACAGTATCTGTTCAGCAAGTACTCAATCTCAAACAAAGTAACATCCCCTATTACCATCCTTACTCGAAGTTTCTTGTTGCCCGCTCACTTCCTTTCGGGAGCTGACGTGTTTGGCTTTTTCTGAACCTGTATGAACACCACGAATTACAACACAGTAGACGACAGTTCGGCTACTGTAATTAGATCGACATCATCTTCATCAACTACTCCTAGAGTTGTACAAGACCAGCAGGATTCTAATCACGAACTACACACTTCTGCTGAAGACCAACAAGACAGAATGTTTGAGGTCGTCGGAAACCAACAGCCGGGAGGTTCTTTCGGCTCCAACAGTTATGACCGTTTCGGGGAAGACTTGATGGCGGAGAAGGTGGTGCGGCGGGGCTTCATCCGGAAGGTGTACGGATTACTCACCATGCAACTTCTCTGCACCACACTAATCGCAGCCCCTTTCGCGACCCACATGATCAGCAACGAATGGGTGGTGAATAACGCCTGGCTCGGTTTGATCTCCATGGTCGGGTCGCTAGCGATCGTCTGTGCGGGTAGTTGCAACCCGGAGCTGTTTCGGAGGTATAGTAGATACACTGCTTCACCTTAACGAAGTGGGAGATGCCGATGCTCTACTGCTCCTGCTCATCATGATAATCTGTCGGCCTTTTTTATGTAATTAATTTTGTTCAACACCGACCAGAACTAAACTCGCCTTCGACCCGCAAAAACAAGAAATCCAAAAAACAAACCCAGGTACCCATCCAACTACCTCTGCCTCATGGTGTTCACCATCCTCGAGTCCGTTTTAGTTGGTTTCGTCGTCTCCGCGTATAACACGCAGTCCGTGATCCTCGTCTTTCTCCTCACCTGCACTATTTTCGGCCTCCTCTCCTGCTACGCCATGTGCACCGATACGGACTTCACCGGGATGGGAACCTACCTCTTCGCCTTCCTCGCCGGATTGTGCGTCATGTCACTGGTGTTGATGTTTTTCCCCGGCCCGGAAGTGGACAAATTCCAAGCGGGAATCGGCGCGGTCCTGTTCAGCTTCTACATCATCTACGATACCCAGCTGATCATGGGCGGCAAGCACAAGGTGCAGTTCAGCATCGACGACTACGTGTTTGCGGCACTGAACATCTACATGGATATTCTGAACCTGTTTTTAGACCTGCTCCGAATCCTGGGAGAAAACTCGAACAACTGAAGCGCCGGATGCTGAGCGAGATGCTAAGATGGCGATGAAGAACAGGACCAAGATTGATGCCATGAGGTCGGTGTGTTTTTGTTGAAAAGTAGATTTATGACCACGGCGATCAAGTATGATGCCGATTGCGAAACACGAGTCACAAGTAAGTATCTTACACAGCGAATGCGAAAGGACGATAGGGATTCTTTTTCTTATGAATGTGGACACGAACAATGCCATCCAATTTTTGCAGTCGGCACCTCCGAATTATTATTATAAACGGATGAAATAGAATCAGGATCAGCGTAGAAGTACTACTGCGAGTTATGCCTCCATGGTGAGCGGAAAAAATCGCACACATGCCCATGCGTCACGACGTCGACTTAGACCTACATATTACTATTCCGGCGACATTGAAGATGTTGAGAAGGGAAAATTCCGGTCAACCGATCTTCATTCGCTGTCCGAAAGTGAAACTGACATGTTCATCTACACCTTTCACTTCATATGTGCAGTCTGATCGAGGAGATTCCAAACAGAAAAAGAGCGGTATGAGCCGCCAGAATTTCAACACCACAAAGTCAAAGAGACATAGCATACTCGTGGTAAAGCCAAAGCCAAAGGCAGCGACTGTGTAGTGTGAGAAACCATGATGGAAGTATTTCATTCCGATTTTTCAAAAGTGCGAGAGAGACACGACTTCCTCTCTGAGGTCAAGTGTCGACGAAAATCTGCGACGACAGGCGCACAGATGAAATTCGTGTCCTGTTGGGTTGATGTGTTCAATGACGATGAAAATACTTAGTGACAAAACTTGCTACGCATGAATAAATCCAATTCCAATTGCAATTGATTCTTCCCGGTTCTTGATATCGTAATCTTTCACTTGATGAACAACGACCAGTGTGGTGTTTGTATTTTTATGGTGACGAAAGGTAAGAGTAAGAGGTATTGTCCTAGCATAATTTCCAGCGTAGTTTGTACAAAGATAAACATAGTTCGAAAATGAAGAAGGGCTTCCTGCTCGGAGCTGGTCGTGGTGCAAAATCTCCTGCCGCAAAATCAAGGAAAGCGAGCCAATCCGGTCCATCACAAGAAGAAGCAACAGCCCCACCTCCGGTGGGTGCTCCAACGATCGGTGCTGAACGTAAAGTCAACCAGACGACGACTGGTCCTCGGTCCGATCTCTCACTCGAGAAGCGGCGGGAGGGCGCTGAATACATCATGGACATGTTACTGGTCTACATGAGGGAGGACGTGTTTCCTCCCGAACATGAGGAGCGAATTTACGGAATACGGGCGTGCGCGGGCCCTGGTGAATCGACGCAGATGGCAGTCAGTGATGCGCTCGGAGAGACCAACGGAATGTGGCTCGGCGAAGTCGTTTTGAGTGCATGGAGAACGCTCTATTTGCACAACCAGCTGCAGAAAGAGGAGTTCGTCGACGCGATCCTGGATAACCAGCTCCCGGAACTGTTTCAGAAGAAAATCGAGAACAACGGAAGACCGCTCAGTTACTACAGCAAGGCGTTGATCGACGGCAACGCGTTCTCGAAGATCGATTGGGACCGGGTTGTGTTACACCGACTTGGAAGTCCGCCTGCGTCGGCACTGATTCTGGCCAAGAACAGCATCAACTCCTCCGTGAACCCCGCAGATTTCAAATCGCACCTGCGCCTGCCGCCCGCGGTACTGTGCAACTGTGTCCGCGAGAGCCCGCATGAGTCGCAAATGGTCGTCGAAGAGAGAGCGCACAATATGGAGGAGGTTTTCCGGAAAATGGGTGTGTCCGTGGCGCGGGAGGTGCCATTTTGGGACAAGCAGTATGAAGGGTCGCGGCTCCACGATTACCTGGCGAGTATTTTCGGCCCGAATGCGACCATGCAGAAACAAATGTGGTGGTTGCAGAACTGCGGTTTGTGCGCTGCCCCGGATGATGTGCTTAGGGGAGAGGAGTTGTGTGTTGCCCACGATTCCGTAGAAAAAATCGTCCGGCTGCTGAAGTAGCATATTGAAAAATTGGCTTCGTCACAACATTCCACATCCAGCACTCTGTTCTCATTCTTCACCGACGAAATTCAAATTCCATTTCCAACCTGAATTGAGAACTATCACTATGCTCGAATGATGAAAACTAAAAACAAAAAGCATGTCGTGAGTTCTGCGTGCATGAAGAATCAGAATCATCTGAGCAATTATTAGCAGAAAACGCGGACCATCAAAGTGGTTGTACAGAATTTTTTTTTCAAGTTCCAAGATGAATCCCTCCAAATACATCGACCTTGAACCTAATTCTGGCTCCCATTTGTCTCTCTCAGTTGGTACCAAGACCAACTCGGTGTTTTTGAATGTCGCTTTTTCGTCTTGATCGCTTCATGTCGCTTTGTGTTTGTTTTTCCGAGAGATAGAGAGTACTTAAGCTTGCCACCACATGGTAGCTCATTTCATATTTCAAATCGTCTTCGTGAGAAGCGCAAAATGCCCGATGAGAGAACGAGCGAGACACGACAAGGTGATTCATCCCTTGTTTCAAATCCAAAAAACAGCACAGGATTGCGCGCACGTCGTTGATGCGTTTGATGTCGTGATCATAATCATTTTCAACCGATTTCGACCCACCATGAAGTCGCGACTTTCGTTTGGAAAAATAAAGTGATTTATTTTGCAGGACGACGATGAAAGACTTCCCCTGCAAGAAGTTCAAGTTGTGATACATATACCTCAACTCGTCGAACAATCAACAACACTAGCGTTTCACTTTCAAGATGTCCCAATCCAGCCAACAACCTCAACCCGCGCCGAAGCGCACACTCCTGAAGCGCACCCTACCACCCAAGCGCGGAACCACGACCAGTGATGGAGCGCGTTCCGAAAGCGAAGTTTCTGTTCAAAGCCGTATCAGCAGCCTCGCTCCGAGACCCGCTGGCAATGGCCGCCTTCTCCCGCGACCGGTCGGAGCATCGAAGGTTCCAGCTGTTTCTGCACATCAAAATCCGGTTACAGGAAAGACAACCGCGGGAGAAGCATCGAAAGTTCTCGCACCGAAGGAGCGGCAGGTGGAACTCCCCGTCGGCAATACTGTAGAAGGTCGTGTCCCCCCATCTACTACCGCTGTCGATGTGAACAGGACCACCGTCCTCCAGCAAGATGCGCCAACTAGTGGAACTGCTCCTGCCGCAGCCAAACGGGAGGTTTCCCCTGCGAAGAGCATCGGCGGGGCTTCGTCCTCCCATGTTTCGTCCATGATGGGCGGACCTGCCGCTGGAGCGAGAAGGCGGCTTCTTTCAAAAAAACCGAAAAGCAACTTGACCTTGGACGCGCTAAGCGCCCTTCCAGTTGTCGCGAAGCCGTTTCCGTTTGATGGGCAGGAAGTCGGAAACCCCGGGGCAGTGTCCGGCGGTACAGTGCAGGATGCGCAAGACGAAATAAAGCCAGGTGGTCTACTGGAGGATCGAAAGGCAGAGACAGCTCCAGCAACCGCTCCCCCGGCACTACTCGAGTCCGCTCCTGTTGCTGCACCAGTTGTTGTGGTCTCAAATCAGCCTTCCACCGCAGTTCGAGTTCCAGTTGAAGCACCTCCTCCCGGCTGCAACCACTCCTCTCCGGCAAAGAGCGTAGGTGGTGCGTCTTCTCACGTTTCCTCCATGTTCAACGGACCGCGACGTCGGCTGCTGCCCAAGAAAGCCAAGAGCAACTTGACGGTAGATGCCTTGAACTCTCTGCCGGTGATGGAACAGAAACCTCTGGCGCCAATGTTGCAGCCAGAAACGGATCCGGAACAAGCGCAGTTGCCTGATGTGCTTCTCAAGGCAAATATTGCTCCAGTATCTGTTCCGCCAAGAACGCAGCCGGCACTCCAACCAGCCCCGGCCAACGAGGCAAATAAGAAGATGCTTCAGCCGTCGGAGCGAGAACAAAAGCAAGCGAACGATGCTTCCCCAGCACGTAGCGTGGCTTCCTCCATGTTCAGTGCTGGTGGTGGACCACCGAGACGGAGGTTGCTAAGCAAAAAACCAAAGAGCAACTTGACGCTCGACGCGTTAAATGCATTACCCGTCGTGGCTGCTAAGCCGCAGGAGCCCGCGACGTTGTTACCAACGGCCGCACCGGTAGCGCAGGAACAACAACAGAAGTCGGAGTTGGCGGAAGTTGGTAGGGCGGAACCAGAGGACGCTGGCATTGCTGCCGAAATATCGAAAGCGAACAACAGGGATGAGACCAGCGTCGCAGAAGTTCTACCAAGAAGAGAAGAACATAAATCCGCACCTCCGGTCTCGAAGACTACAACAACCACCACCACGCTCCCAGGTACCACGCAGCCCCAGCCTGCTTCAGCCGCACCTCCAAAGATGGTTCTGCAGCCGTCGGAAAGACAGAAAGAGGCGAACGACTCGTCCCCGGCGAAGAGCGTGATATCCTCGATGTTCGGTGGTGGACCGCGGCGACGGCTGCTGAGTAAAAAGCCCAAAAGCGGTTTAACCTCGGATGCATTGAACGCTTTGCCGGTGGCTCCCAAACAGATAATTCCGTCGCTACTTATTCCCGACGCAGTACACAAATCTGGTGCGGCTTCCCCTGTGGAAGTAGAGACGGCGAAGAAAGTTGGAGGCACTTCTTCGTCAAAGCAAGGCAGGAGCATGCCGGAGCAAGCTGCTGTAGTTGCTACTGCCGCAGGTCAACACGATCATGAAACTGCTACGGGTCTAATGGCCTCTTCATCTTCTCCTATCGCTGGTGCAGGAACAAATACCGGCAAGGCCGCCGCGCAACAGGAGGTAGAGTTGGGAAGCGACTGCAGCAAAAGCGATGTTGGCTCTGTGGCGAGTAGCCGACGGCTGTTGCCGGGTAGAAGAGTTTTAGTCGGGGGCGGGGCGAAGAAAGTTACGTCGACGCCTTCAAACAACAACCTCGTCAACAAGAGCGGTCCCTTAACGCGAGCGATTGCGGAAACAAGCAAGACGAAGCCTGGTTCTTTCCCAAGCAGACCAGCAACACCGGGAGGAACAGCGGCCCCTGCTGGAAGTAATAAAGGTCTCACGACTCCAGCTGCGCGTAGCGGTATTATTGGAGCAAGGCCAGGTTTCAAGAAGCCAGGCACAGCAGCTTCTACTCCCACACCCGCTGTGGCAGCGACGCCTTCATCCGCAACGGGGGCCGCACGACCAGCGCAGCAAAACATCAAAACCGGCCCGCTCGGGTTTCCCCGAGGACCCACACCCGGAACAACGGCGGTAGGACCACCGCGCAACAACTTCTTGCAGCGGAGCAAGCCGACGGTGCTGACGTCTAACGCCGGCTCTGCATCGGAGTTATCGGACGCTGGATCCACGGTGTCGAGATTTACCGCCGGTGGGGGCCGCCGCAAACCGCTGATCTCCTCGGTTTCCCGAGCGAAATTTGCGCAAGCAGCCAGGGTAAAGTTGACGCATAAGGACGTGTTGGGGATTCGGGTGAAGGTTGAAACTATCCTGTGCAAAAGTATCGTACTCGTATTGCAGTCGTGCATTACAAATCTTAATCTTGTTCTTAAGGCAAATCCGCATTACAAATTTCACTTCTCATGCTGAGGAAATTTGTAATGCATTTATACGAGTGCGATACTTTTGCACAGGATAGAAACTCCACCGCCGGCAGAAGTTCCTCCAGAAAATAAACAGAGTAGCGAGGGAGGTGCCGCCGCTGCCAGTAAAGACGCTACCGTTACAACAGATGCGGCGAAGAAGAAAGACCCAATGATGCTAGAAGCCGGCACGACGCAAGGCGGCGAGCAGCAACCACCGCCGCACGCAGTTCCGCCAGATGAACAAAATCAAAAAGCGAAGCCAGCCCCCCCGAAAATCACATTCCAGCGCCTTCTCACCGAAGAGGAAAAGGAAGCTGAGGAGGACGAGCATCCGGCTGTTCTTGTGGCACCCTCGGCTTTCGAATACTGGCGCGAGCTTTACCCGTATCTGAAAATGAAACTTTTCAAAAATGCTATTCTCGTGCCGTTCAACGACGATGACAAATTCGACTTCAAGGAGGGCCGGTTTCTCCGCGGCGCATTGCTCGATCTCAGTGTCGACGCAGACGACATTCTGTTAACCCTGGGAATCCCGGCGAGGCTGTTGCAGAAGCCGCTGCAGTGGGTGGACAGAGAGAAGTTCGAGAAACACTTAGTGCGGATCGCGCCGAAGCCCCCCCCGAAGGAAGTGAAGGAAAAAAAGGTGAAAGAAGTGAAGGAAAAAAGGGAACGGCCGGGGAAGGAACATCAACTACATCGGGAGAGGAAACCAAAGGAACAGAAATCAAAAACTCTTGCGAGGAGCAGGGACAAAAATCAGCAAAACAACTCTCCGCGGCACCGAAAAAACCCGGCCCCAAGCAGGAACAGGCTCCTCTCTCGCAAGAATAAAGATCCGACTGGGCAGATGGACAACATGAAGCAGGGTCTTCTAGATGCGAACAGCGAATCTGAGCTGCTCCGCGTTCCAGGTGGTGCATTGCGCTTCGCCAGTAGGCGGATCATGCGGGAAAATAACCAGCAGCGGAACAATGTTGACGAACAAGGGCTTCTCGTCGCTGATGACGACCATTCATCTGGGAAAGACGAACGCAGCGGTCAACAGTTCCTATCTTCCGAAGACGACGACGACAACACCAGCGTTGATGCAGAATCCTCGGAAGACTCAGACTTTAGTCGGGACTATTACAATGACGAAGGCAGCATGAAGATGTCAGACGCAGACCCTGAGGATTTGTCTCCAAACGAGCAGCTGAACCTTCTAGACCAAAGCTTCGCCGTGGGAGACGACCCGATGGAGAGTTTTCTTGCGCAAGAACCCCAGAACGCGGGGGATCTCGTTTTGTTCGAGCAAGACGGGGGGAGCTCTGGTAGTGGTGGCGGAAATAGTAACCAGAACCTCAATCGAAGCTTGTTCGATTTTGAGTCCAACTTGAACGACTCGGCGCGTCAGGATCTGGTGCTGTTTGAGAATGCCGATAAGAACGGCGACAAGAATAATGTTCTTGACGTCAGCATTCGAGGAGACCATGGCGCACAGCCAGAACCTTCGAGCCACGACATGAGCAATGTCGACATGCTCGTCCCATACGAGGAGGAGCAAGATCAAAAGGAGACCGCCATCGTGCTAAAAACCCCCGAGCGAAACAACAAATCCGCTTTGGGAGGCGAAGAAGACCGACACGACAGCATTTTGCCCAGCCCGTACGGAGATTTCGATCTGAACGTCAGCATGGCAAGTGTGGTCAATAACACCCACCGCGGAGCGAGGAACTTGTTTGAAGATGATGGCTTCGATGAAAAACAACTACAGGCTGCTCGTATTAGTGACGGTCAAATCGGCAGTACCGCCGCGGAAGATCTTCAACAGACCACCACAAAAGTCGAAAAGTACAGCTCTCTTGACGCTTTAGACAGGGCGTTTGACGCAAAGTGTCAGGAGCGCGACGAGAAACGCGCAGAAATGGGGGTGCTGCTGGATGGCCCGGAGGATTCGTTTCTGATGCAAGACGACGAGGCTAAAAACGAGCTTGTCCTGTACGACTCCGATGACCCCGATGCGGTTTTTGACGATTACCTATGCTCTGCAAAACTATCGTACTCATAGTAATTGCAGTCCTCGCCCGTGACAAATCTAACCTTCTAGGTGATCTAGCATGACAAATTGCACCAGTTGTGTTCTTGAAGAAATTTGTCATGCTATTCATCATGCCAGTGCGATCCTTTTGCAATGCATATCACCAATCCTACTACGATAGTGATGAGGAGTGGAAGCGGAAGCTGAACGACGAGGACCGCGAACTGATCGACGATCTGGAAGACCGTCAAAAACCGCCAACAGCCGAGGACGTGCAGCAGTACAAAGACAAAACGTTTTCCAAGCAGTACAAAAAGATGCAAAAGTTGGAGAAGCGACTGCTCCATTTGAACAAGAACCACGAAGACCGCTACACGGATCCGACGAAGAAAATCCACGTGGATTTCGACCCGGAATTGATCGGCGCGGGGAGGTACGAGCAGAACCTGGTAGAGGAAAAGCAGGGTTGGCGCGTCCGGATGAACCACATTGAGCAGGTTTGGGGGAAGTACCCACTGGAAAAATTTCAGATGATCAGAGTGGTTTCTGATGATGAGGACAGCAAGATCAAAAACGCGAACCAAAAGAGGCTAGGCGTTTACGAGGATGCCAGTAAGATGATGAAGTTTCAGGCCGGACACGGCCGGGTGTTTGCGGAGGACATCAATAAAGCAGCTGGGAGGCCTGGCGTTGGTGTTGAAGAAGCAACTGTATCTTCCGGAGTTGCGGTTGCCGCTCCTGGTACAACGCCGGCGGTAGTAGAAGGTGGAGCTCCTGTAGGAGGTGTCGAAAACAAGAATGAAGTCATCGACCTGTCGTCGTCGTCTTCAGCGAAGGAAGTAGGCACTGCAGCTCTTCCTCTTCCAGCAGGGAAGAAAACTGGCGCCGCTCCTGCACCGAAAAGCAGGCGGCTCTTGCTGTCTAGAAACAACCCAGGAGGAGGTACGAACACAGGAACAAGTCAGCCGGAGAAGAAGAAAGCTGAGCAGGATAAAAAGGCAACAGAACAAACAAAGCCACCCATCGTCCTTCTCTCCGATAGCGACTCGCCAAGTGACGAAGGCAAGAAGGCGGCGAAAAGAAGACAGAACCAGATTCAGGCCATGCTGGACCGCGCACATTTCAAGTACGAAGACGAACAGCGAGCGAACTCGAACGAAGGTGAGGATATTAAACCCACCATTGGACCACAACGACGACTTCACCAAAGCGCCAACGAGCAGGTGGTCGCAAAAGAAGAAACTTTCGACGAAAGCGGTGTCCTCCTCGTTTCCGTGGAAGACCTGCGCAAGCAACACGCAAGGAAACCGACGCACAGCCTTCCTGCGCACATCCGTGACCGGGCCGCGCGTTATTCGGGCTACAACTTCAACGGTAGTTTTGACGCAAAGAAGGGATTGTCCGTGTTGGAGCCGGCAAAAGAAACGACGAAAAGATTGGAGGCTTTCAAAAGGAAAGCCGACGAGGACGCAGCAGCTGCGAGGAAACGGCAAACAAACACCGGTGATGCAGCGCCGGTGGAGAACGCGAGTGGAGGGGTGGCTTCTAGCAGCTTTTCCGCTGCAGGAGCTCCTAGTATTGCTGGAGGATCTAAAAATGCCGCTTCTGAAGACGTCGTCGACCTGGACCTGCCGCTCGTACTAGCCGCTTCTGGCGACGATTTATTTGCGGCAAATAAACCAAAAACAGAAGACGACAACCGGCCCCTTCTTATTGCCGACGACAACCAAGGAGATGCTGAGGATAGGAATGCAGCTGACGCTTCGGTGGTTATCGATGGTTCTGGTTTCGGCGATATTGTGCAGGTCGGACTGCTGCAAGGCGCGGCCGGTGTCACTGCCTCCGCGTTGTTCCAGCAAAACGAAGTAGCGCGAGAAAATGAACCTCCGGTTGTATACGACAATGGCTGCAGCAATGATGTTTCCGGTCGAGAATTCCAGCTCCGCGCTGCCGGTGGTGAGCTGTTCGAATGGCACAAAAAAGAGAAAATCCACGGACAAAAATGGAACATCTGGAGCAGCATCTACTCCAACGATGTTGTCCCGACAATCCCGAGAAGATACTTCGAACTTCAGCAGAGAAAAACCTACAGAAGACACACTCTGCACAAACTGGCGTTGGGGTGTGCGCGGTACCTGCAGCTCTACCAACAGGCGGTGTACCATGTGATGCAGATGGAAAAACTGAATCGAGAATTCGAGGAAGGGACGAGCAATAATTTTTCAAGCGAGAAGGGGAACGCAGCAGTCATGACAGTTCAACACACCGATCAAGAAATCCGCGACGACGACGATGAAGAACACTTTCAGGGACCGCCAGACCTTGGGCGTGCTCAGGATGAAACCCCCCAGCGGTGGTTTGGAATTGAAAGGAAGGATGAGAATGCATCAAATGGAAGTAAAAATGCAGGTACTTCTTCTACCGACGAGGTGGGGGCCACGGAAGATCAGGTTGAAAATGATGAAAATGAAAATCACTCAAACAAGCGCGGCAAGGTTCCCGTGGACTGCAAGTGCGTGTGGGACAACAAGCGGATTCTCTACAGGGTGAAGGTTCTCGACGAGAAATCTTCGAACCAGGATGCCGTGCAAAGGAGCGCCAAAAACGCCGCTTTGTGGTCTACGTCCGGAGCGGCAGCTTCAACGAGCAGTGTCTGCAGTGTGCTGGGAAGCGAGATGAATCTGGATGGGTCTGTGCTCGGAGAGGACGAAATGGATGTGGATGAGGCGCGGCTGAGAAAAATCACAATGTTAGAGAAATACAACAGTGGGCTTCGAGCTGGCCGCGTCGTTCTGACCGCCGATACCATGATGCAGTTCGGAAACAGTTGCTCAACTGCAGCTGGCGACGCAACTACGAGAGCGCTTGGCCGCATTTTTCCGCCAGATGAAGATGACACTCCCGATTTATTGCAAGGATTTCTCGGCGAAGATGACAATCGTGAAATGCTCCTGAAAGAAGAAAATGTCGCTGCGCGTTCTATCCGACAACACCAGCAGAAAAACTCGGACGCAAACGAGCTCCGCAGCCATTTCAACGCACTCGGTTTGCAGATGGGCTTGCCGCTACAAGCATCTCTTGGGGATCAGGAACTCGAACTTTTCGAGAACCATCAGGAATTCACCAGCATTTCTCCGGAATCCCGCATCAAAAATTGGACACCGAAAGTGCACCAACGCGTCAAGCTGATGCCGCACCAGGTGGATGCGCTGCAGTGGCTGGCGAACTGCTACGTGCAGGAGCAGTCCGCCTTGCTCTGCGACGAGATGGGCCTCGGGAAAACGATCAGTTGCCTCGCGTTTTTGGACTGGGTGGATAATGGTTTGATGAACTCCCTCAACGGGAGCGGGGGTGATAACCACGACAATGAAAATCTGCTGCTCCAAAGACGGGGAAGACGTATCTTCGACGAGGTGGAGGATGAAGAAGTAAATCACCTGCAACATTTAGACACGGATGTGTTTGGCAGGAACATGAACGCCAGGCATGCACAACTGTCGAGTGACATTTCCTACTCTGGTGCAGGCGACGGCTATGGAGGTTGTGCAAGCAGCTGCATGTCACACTTGGTTATCTGTCCGGCCCCAGTTCTCCCGCTCTGGATCCGGGAGATGCGCAGGCTGTTTGACCATGATTTCGACGAGAACAATTATAACGGTGGAACAACATCAACCAAGGACGTTGACAGAGACGACGACATGAAAAACAAGAGGAAAACACGATACAACCACGACGACTACGCTTTTTTCGATAATGACGATTTGAAGCCGGAGATGGAATCCGGTCTTTTTTTCCCCTTCGTCGGCGACTACGACCAGCGCGCGACGTTGAAAGGGCTGCTGCAGATGCGGCACTACCGGGTGTGGCTCACCACGGTGGAGATTCTCGCGAAGGAGGAGCAGTTTTTCAGCAAACAGAAATTTTACCCTGAGTAAAAACGTACCCACACCATAGTCAAGATGGGGAATCGGCTAGACAAATCCACAAGCTTTGGCTGTTTTGCATGACAAATTTGGATTCGTAGTGTAGTGCTGTTTGAGCTAGCTCAGCAGCATCACAGATCTAGCATATCATGCTGATTGGAGCATGACAAATTGCAAAACACGACTAGAAAATGCTTCTCATGGGGCTCCGCATGAGAAACATTTTCAGCATGCAGATTTGCATTACAACTCTGGGGTGGGTACGTTTTTACACAGGATAAATTCAACGTCTGCATTATCGACGAGGCGCACCGGTTCCGAAATCCGAAAGCGGCAAATTTTCAACATTTGATGAACCTCCGGTGCAACATGAGTGTTCTGGTAACCGGGACGCCAGTGCAGGACGACTTGAAGAAATTCTGGCGGGGCTTGGTGTCCCTTCTCTTCGGAAAGCGGGTTTTTTCGAGGCAGGAAGAGGAAGACGATTTTGAGGAAGATCAGAACGCGATTCTGTACGGCGATGGCGCGACCGCAACGCTGGTGGAAGCGACGAACAAGAAGAAGAAAAAGAAGCAGGCTTGTTTAGATCCGGTTTTGAAGCAAATCGAAAAATTGTCGAAGAGAATTAACAAGGGAATGAACAAGAGAAATAAGAGAAAAAATGCTGATAACGGCGACGATCTCGACCTGGCTCTTGATAATATGGAGCCCCCGAACAGCGGCAGCAAGCAGCAGGAAGATGCGAAGCTGCAGATGAATCTCGTGAAGATGCTTCTAAAACCCGTCATGCTCCGCCGGGAAAAGCAAAATATCCTCCACAATCTCCCCGCGAAACGGGAGGTGTGTCTAGAAGTCCCGAGGAACGCACTGCAGAAGCAGATCGACGACAAGATGCGAAGAGAGATGCAAGCGAGGATGGATGACAAGAACGGCGATAAAAATGACCTGGAAAACAAGCAGGAAACGGCGGTGCAAACCACTATCGCGATGATGCGGAGGTCTGCGCAGCACCCGGCGCTCAATTGGAGCAAGGAATTTGTCCGATACAGCATGACCATCGACGACTTAATCCGCACCAGCCCCAAATTGGAGCTGCTCGACCGGGTCTTGCCGAAACTGCTACTGGCGAGGAAAAAGATCGTGATTTTCACGCAACTGAAACAGATGCTGGACCTGATCGCCCGGTATCTGACCGCGAAAGAAGTCGATTTCTGCAGCATCGACGCCATGAGCGCACGAAAAGAGTACCAGAAGGAAATCGACCGGTTCAGCGGAGTCGGTGGCAGGAGTGCGGCTCGTGCAGTTTCTGTTGCAGCGAGAGGAAGAAATGCGAAGATGAAGCGCGCAACCACATCGGCGGCGGGCAAAACCATTGATGACGACGATCTTGACCTTCTAAATGACCAGGCAGGCGCCCCCGGCAACTCGCAAAACTGCTGCGTGTTCGAGCGGGAACGGAGAATCCGACAAAAACTCGCAAAGTTCGCGAAGACATACCGGAAGGCTGAGAAACGGCACAACAAGCAAGACGGGACTGCGGCGGGTCACCAACTTATATTGCAACCTTCCGCAACACAAGCTGCTTCGGAGCAACGGGAATTACTGGTTGAAAAAGCCATGGAGCAACAACACGACGACTCCGTTTTGCTTGACGCTTCCTCTTTCCTCGACCAATCCCGAGTGGACCTTGATGACAGCATGGTGTATAATCCGGATCACCCACACCAAACCGCACTGAAAACCATCCAGAAACAGCAGAAGAAGCAAAACCGGGAGGCACTGGAGAAGGTTTTGCTCAAAGATCCGCAGCTTGCGCTCCTGATGCGAAACATGCCGGAAGATGTGAACCACATCGACGTCAGCTCGTTCCCGGATGAAGACAATGTCAAACACGCTTTAGCCAACTGGCCCGCCGTGCCGTTGAGAAAAACGGCAAATGTATTCGAGAACTACGATTTCTACAAGCCGCAGGCGGTCTTTCCGAAGCACAAACAGCACCAGCTCTTGCAAAAAACCCGGATACCGACGATGGAAAAGCTTGACACGATTCCCGTCGGCGATCTGGGGAACGTGTTGGCGGCCGGGTTTGCGAATCCGAAAAGCAAAGCCGTCGTGGAGGAGTACATAAAGATGCGGAAACTGAACGAAGGGAGGAGTCCCCAGGTGATGCTGTGCACGACCCGGGCGGCGGGGGTGGGAGTCAATTTACAGGCGGCGGACACGGTATAATTACAATTTACTTGGAACTGGTGTGAGGATGAATCAATTGCAAGTGGACTATTGTTTGAATGTGTGATCTGTGCAGGTTTTGGCTTCGGCTGCTTTTCCAAACTGAAAATCACATGAAGGTCACTCCCTGAATTCTTTGAAATCCTCAGGTTATCATGTTCGACGCGGACTGGAATCCGGTGAATGATGTCCAAGCGATGGACCGGGTGCACCGCATTGGGCAGCAGAAGGAAGTCTTGGTCTTGAAGTTCCACCTGCACAACGATTGGTCGGAAAACCATGTGCGGGAAATGCACACCGGAAAAATGAACTTCGCCCAGCACATGAGCAGCACGACGTCGACCGGAAGTAATAACGGACAGAGAAAGCAGGATCTTTCAGGCAAAGGAAGTAAAGATAAATCCACGAAAGCGAAAAGCGACAAGCTGCTGCGAGATGACGTTGAAAAGCAAAAGCCTCTTGACGGCAAACAGGATGAAGAAAGAGAAACTGGAAGCAAGCAGGTCTTCAGCCCTGTGCGTTTCAATATGGCGGGTTACGAAGATGAGAAAAAAGAAGATGTTGATCAAAATAAAGATGCAGGAGCTGCAAGAACTTCTTCGTCGGCTTTTCGCGGAACCAAAGAACGCCGAAACAAGAACCCGAGCATTCTGTACAGCGATGCGGACCAACGGGTGGAAAGCTCGATGCTGCTCGACCGCTCCCACGTGATGCAGGACGATTACTTGCGGGCACGGCACATGGGCGAGGCGATTCTAGGATCTATTGCGCCGTCTAGCAACTTCGGACCCGGCCTTTTTGCTGTTGAGAGTGAAGCCGGTGTAGATGAGAGCAAAAATCGACCCAACACCCATCTCGCGATGCTCAACTCTCCGTCGGTGAACAACAAGGCAAGTTGGATCTTTGGCGGAACAGATGCGAGCGCGGTCTTCGCCTCCCCAGGGTCCTCCCCCTCTCCTTTCGCGGCAGCTTCACCAAGTCATGCAGATGCAGTAGCAGCTTCGCCATCGCCCGCGCCGTCTAGTGCATCTTCGTCAGCATCTTCCGCCGCGGGAGCAGCGCAACAAGACCTCCTGCTCCCGACTTCCAATCTGCCCACCTTGCGGGAAATCAACGAGATGCTGACGACGAACCCGCGGCAGGCGGAAGATTTTTGCAAATTCGATGAGGTGCTGCTGCAGTCGAAGACGCTGGTCGTGCACGACTCTTTGAAATTGCAACTGGGGGAGAAGCTAACGGGGAATGGGGTGAAGCTCGACGTGGAGAAAATGCTGACTAGTATGGAAGATGGTGGTGACAATGCAGCCGACGAGCGGCAGAAACTGGTACAAGCAGTGCTGGACAAGCAGAAGTCAACATCCGCATCATCATCCTCTTCATCTTCCTCAACAGTAGCGACAAAGCTTGTCACCACAACCGACGGCCTCGGCCGCGAACTGGATCTAGACCTCTCCATTTCCCTCACCGAGGACGACGACGCGAGCAACTCCGTGATCAGCGTGAGCAGCGACTCGGAGAAGTCGGTTGCGTCTAAAATGAAATCTGACAGCAGCAGCGTTGTGGAAGACGAGGAGGACGATTTGCTAGCTGATGACAACCCGAAACCCCCTCCGGCGAAGATGCGGAAAAAGGAAAAAACGGAAGAGGAACTGCAGGCCAAGCTGGAGCGACTGCAGCAAAAGGAGAAGAGAAAAAAGCAGAGAGACCAGAAAAGGCTGCGGAAGTGGGATAAGAAGCTGCTGCGCTTTGAGGAGAAACTGGCAGCGAAGACGGCGCTGGAGAAGAAGAAACGGGCAGAAGTGGCTGCGGCGAGAAAGAAGCTTGGTGTAGTAGTTGACAGGAATGATAATAGTACGACGCTGCAGCAAGACAACAAGCAGAACCAGTTTGTAGTACAACCAGATCCGGCTTCTACTCTTCTCTCCAGCCATGACGTGTCCAGTGTCCTCATTGCCACTAACCGCAGCGTGACCAAAGCTGAGGCGAAAGACTGGCTGAAGAAAGTTGACGCATTTGCCTCCACTTCCCGGTACCAGCAGCAGAAGCGGACAGCAAACATCGAGAAAAGAACGGAGCGGGAGCAGAAGCAGCTGCAATTGAATTCGGAATTTGGATTTGATTTTCTGGAGAGCGACGGGGGAATTTTCAACAACGGAGATTATCCTGTGCAAAAGTATCGTATTCGTAGTAATCGCAAACATGCATTACAAATCTTGCTCTTAGGGTAAATCTAAATCAGCATGACAAATTTTATTTCGTATGCTGAAAAAATTTGTAATGCATTTGCATTCATACGAGTACGATACTTTTGCACTGCATAGAGATGGACGAAGTATCCTGGCCAGCGACGGATGGCAGGTGCCGGATATGAGCAACGCGTCGATGCTGCTTGCTGGAGGAGATGTTGATGGTGGATTTGAAGAGTTTGGTGGATATAATAAGAATCACCGCTCGGTCGAGTTTTTAGAACAGGAACAAAACAACGACGGGATTTTGCAAGCCGAATTCTTGTCTAAAGACGACAAACAAGACCCTTTTGAAACGCGAACAACGTCCAAAGCCGGTGGGGGCGGCGGAAACGGGAACGGGAATAGAAGTAACGGCCGAGGTGGCGGTGGCGCAGCGAATAAGAAGCGCGACAGAAAGAACACGTCCAACAAAATCCCTGACTTTGATCTCGATCTTGATCCCGACATTCCGGGCGTGTTACATGACAGTGATGCGGAGCAAGAGTTTTTACGGAAGAAAAAAAACCAGCAAGGGCCAACAAGGAAGAAACCACCAGCTGAAGAGAATAAACGCCGTGAAACTTCTGTTGAAACCCTCCTTCCGCCCATCTCTGACGATGAAATCCAAAACAACGACCTGAAAGTGCTGCAACAAGGGGCCGCGACGAAAAAAACGAACAAGCGGAAAATAAATCAGAACGCGACGTCAGCCGCAAAGAGGAGGAAGAAGGAGGAAGCCGAAGCAAAGCAGCCTGAGGTCGAGGTGGACCTGGACGAAGTGGATGATTTTTTCTTTGAAGAATTTTATCAAGACGATGTGAGCATTTTAGACAACAATGGTGACATGAATGCGCTTTTCGACGAGTTTGAAGTGTGATAACAATAAACTGTGGTTTTTGCGATAGCATGTAATACTTCGAATTCCACACGCAAAACATCAGGATAGGTGCATCATCGCGACTTTTCTTTTTTTTACATTTTGTTTTGCAGAATTTGAATTTCTGACAGACAGCACAACAAGTCCTCATCCGAGTATTAGAACATCAAGTCAGATGTATTTGAAACTATTCTAAACAAGAGTCCGTCTCCATCTTCGCTTATGCTTATTCCTAGAACTTTAGATTGATAGCGCTGATCATTCTGTTGAGCTTTTATTCGCCCCAGGGCCAGTCCAGCTTAGGGTCCCGCTTTCAGAGAAAGACCAACCAGTTCAACGTTAAAAGATGCGAAATGTGTGTATCTATAACACGCTATTTAAATGTGAATTTGGTTTCTCCGATTGATTTGATGAGCTGTGATAGCACGCTTAGGGAGCTTGCAAGAACCCGAGTCAATGTGTGAACTTTTTTTGCTGCCAGTACAACGAGTACGACTACAACAACATTAGTAGCTTTTGTGGAAGTAGCTGGGTGGATGCAAGCGCATGGGCTTCTTCGCATGAGATACAAAAATGAGAGCATTGCGCCCCAGCATGGCCGTTCCACAATGATGGACGCCCTCTGTCGTGGCTCCGCCTCGTCGTGTGTGTCTGTGTTTGGTGTGTCACGAACGAAGCCGGGAGGAACTGTGTTTTCGGACGGGCGCAATAAATCAAATAGGAAGAGAAAGAGTTGCGTTTACATACATTTAAGCGAGCGAACAAGAATGCCCAGTCAAAATTGAGAGCAAAGGAGGGACAGCGGCCGCATGAGTATTGCTGACAGTGACCTAGTATGCCCCGATATGTCTACGACAATGAACAGCATTGATTTGTGCCCGATCCATAGGAGAGGCGGACGTTGACCCGGCACAGGACGAGACCAGCTGTGGAGTTTTCCTCCAGTGGCAATTGTGGCGCCCGCTTTGAGGCACGTCTGCCCGGCGGCGCTGTCAGTGCGAGTGTATGAAACTCGCGCGGGGTGGCTGGTCCGAGTTGTCGGAACGCGGTGGACAGGGGCGTGGCGTCCCTGCAGGCCCCTGCCGTTTTATGGCCATTCGGTTGGCCGCCTGGCCCGGCTCGGAGAAAGGCGGGCCGCGAAATACAGAAAGCGGCGGGGCGTATTTCTTCTTCGGTTGGGCCCCTCTGTGGGCCTCTTTGTGAATTCCTGCGGGCACGCCCGCGCGGCGCGGCTTCCCTTGGCGCCTTTCCCGCGGCGGGAGTTGCCGGCGCCTCCATCCTCCCGCAGCCACTTGCAGCAGTCCACGCGCCCACCCCGCGGCGCCAAATGTGTGGGCAGCGATTTCGTGGTCGGGGTTCTAGCGTGGGTTCGCCCCGGCCATGTGAGCGCGCAGCGCCTGCCCCCCCTCCCCGGCATTGTTTTTAGTGGGCGCGCGCGCCGCATGCTTGGCAACATGATATATCGCCCATGCGCCGGCCGGCCCTCCTGCTTCCGTTCGCGTGGTGTTGCCCCAAATACCCCCGGCGCAGCCGCCGGGCCCGGTTCCGTCGGTTTGACCGGGCGACCGCCGGGCCCGCCGCCCCCTCTGGCGGCAACGCCCGCCGCCGGGCATAGTATCTTGTCTTGAATCGGGGCCGAGTAGCGCTTACATTGTTGCCATATGGCATAAGCTACATTTACACTGCGTTGCAAGCAAGCAACGCGACCCGTTGGTGTCGCTCTTGCTTGTTTCGATGGTCGTGTTGTCGTGTACAACAGAGTGAGCAAATTATAATCATGACCAAGATCCTATCCTGAACCTGATAAACGAGCGAAGAACAAACGCCCAGTCAAAATTGAGAGGAAAGTAGAGACAAGAGCCACCTCCTGAGCGAGACATGTCGTGTGCGATCGCGTCTCATTGGGTATGTATGCAACGGCATGGACGCTGATTCATTTGGGCAAGAAAAGCTAAAACCTGTCTTGGCGCTTTCCCCCGCGCACACGCTGGCGATAAGTTCAAAGGCAGGCGGGCGGCCGGCCGAGCCGTCGGACACATGGCCCCGTCGAAGACACCGGCGAACCCGCTGGCAATGCGAGCATGTTCTGGACCGACGCCGTCGCCGCCGAAGTGCCGCGGCCGTCGCGGGGCGCCCGCCAGAAGACGATGAGGCAAGCCATCGAGGTAGCGCAGCCAGCAAGCCAAAAGAGTGGCGCCCGGCCCGGTGTTTGGTTGGCCCGACGGCCCACAGAGGCAAGGAGCGGGCGCGCGCGCGCTCGTTGTCTCGGGCTTTGCCCCTTTTCTTCCCCCACCGCGGCCGGGCGCCGCGCGCCGGCGGGCCGAGCCCCCGCGAATCATGTCGGAAGCCTGCCGGCGGGCCTGGCGGTGCGCAATTGCTGGGCCTCTGATTTCTTGGCCGGCCGGGCCCATTAGTTGTGAGTGTGGCCGTGCGCGGCGGGCCCCCATCTTCTGGTAGACGAGTGCGCCGCCCCTGCCGTGTTCCATGAGTCTTTCCCACAGTGCGTGGGAGGGTGCTCGCCCGCGTGCGGTATGAACAAATGGTCCCCACGCAGGTGGGCCCCCGTGTTTCTTTTCATGGGTGTGCGAATGCCTGGCGTTGGTTATGCCGCAGCCCAACGAACCGAGCCTGCGGGCCCCATTCGGGTGCCCGTATTGCCGTCATTGGTATCGCCCATTTGATGCAGCCGGCGTGGCTGATGTGGTGCAAAGACGTGACGAAGAACAAGTGGTGTGCAAATGGTTGTAGCATGACAGCAAGAGAGACACGGACGGCCATGTCCCAACTTAAGGGCGTGGCGCTCCTCTGCGCTTGTAGTGGCCGTGTTAGCTGTGGAGGTTGTTCCAGTGGAAGGCGAATGCATAAGATGACCACCTGCGAGCCAGTGCCAGTAACAATGAGCGGCGAGGACAGGAGACGTTGGCCCCGCCCACGACAAGGTTGGTCGTGAATTAGTGACGAGAGTTATATTATGTCTGTTTGGTCGCCAGACTGCGATGTCAGTAGAAGGAGAGTCAGAGTGCAGACGAATGTAGTTCTACCGCATCGTCTCTTCCTGCTCGTTATTACTTTGTATCAACAAGCAATTAGTGCGAGTAGAGGTAGAGTGACCCATTGACGGCGTTTTCGCAAGGTTCATCAGAGCGTACAAAAGCCGCTCTGAGCGTCACTGTGATAAAAAGCTGACGCGACCATTGCAAAGACGAAGATGTTGCAGCCCCTGCTCATGTTCCTTTCCGGGAGCCTTGTTTCACAGCTCTCCGGCGTCAGCGCAATCGCGTACCGGCACCCAGACACCCACCACGGCCGAGCGGCTTTGCTCCAGACCAAGAATAAGCTTCGGGTGACGAAGCAGCGCAGCAGGGCGCAGCGCGCGAAAAGAGCTGGGAAGTACACCACGTGGAAGACGAAAAATGGGAAGAAGATGCAGACTTCAAGTAAGTCCTTGTCAATTATAAGGTTCTACTTGAAGCGTGCGTTGCTCTACGGCCAGGAAAGGACCGAAAAGCACTTGATGTTACATATTGACATGGAGAAAAATTGTCGCAATCAAATAACTGAATTTAACAGGTGCCGTCGAATTTCCGTTGATGACGTTCTACGCGGAGAATGATCAGACCAAAGATTGCCCAGCCCAGAACGTTTTACCATCGATCGAAGAGTGCAACGAAGCCGTGATGCGACTGGGGATGGAGCGAAAGGTAGAATTAAGACTGCGTTGTAAGATAATCGTGATCAATCGATGCTGGCATATTTCTTGTGTGCGTACACATGCAATTATGTGTTGTTGCCGTCCCCTTGTTCCCTAAATTGTTGACACGAAATCGTAAGAGGATGAAAAAATCTTTCAGATGGCCACCGTGAACTCCATTAGTGGAGACTCCTTTCTCCCTGCCTGCTACTACGACAGCAACAAGAAAATCGCGTATTTCAACACTTTCGTCGGCTTGACGAAGATGCTCAAGGACCTGGGTGGCGGTGACCTCTACAGTGTTTGCAAGCAGGCCGCGTAAGAAAAACTGCTTCGCAGCTGGAACCGCAAGGTGATGTGGAGGAGGTCCAAATTCCAAGAAGTTTGGACATGCGAGCAAAGGCACAGCAACTTGCCCCTCTGTTGCTCAGACAAGAAAGACAAAAACATGTAGAATTTGAATTTCGATTTCCGTTATCTGTACCGCATTTCCAGACGTTAGTTTCATACTGTCCCAGTCTTTTTGTAGAAAGTCATCAACAGTCCGAACAAACAACTAGTAGCTCTCTCATCTCAAGCTCCTGCAACTAGAGAGCTGAAAGACCACCGAGGTAAAGTCTCGGCGGCGCTCCTACCTTGCGCGAATGGTTGTACACAACATGTTGTCTGCATGCTTCATCCTCGTTCTGTTTATCGTCGTCCTCGTTGCTCGTCATGAACCAGCTGAGCATAGGACGAGTAGCTGCAAAAGTTGGCTGCGGAAGATATGACAAACAAAATCGACAAACGCAAAACCAAGCGGTACTGTCCCTACCCGCCTTTTGCAGGTGCGAGGCTTCTTAGAACTATTTCGAGCTGTATTTTTGATTCAGTGAAAGAGAGAAAAAGTCTGCACATCGCTTGCGTCGAGAGGACGGGAGAGCAGATTCTTCTAGCCTAGCCAGGTCTTCTCAGAACAAAAGAACAGATGAGTCTCCACCGCCATAGTAGCAGTTCTTCCTGCAGACCCTTCATAAAGAAAGCTTCTGAGTCGCACGAGCTTGTCTGACACCTAACCAAAAAATCATGGCGGCTCGTTCCCTAACCTCAGTCCAGATCAAGGACGCGTATGATCTTTACGTCAAGGGCTTTGAATGTGGTGTACCGGCGGAGGACACTTTGGAACTTGCGTTGAACTCCCTGTGTCTGAACCCGAAGCTGTACCTGAAGCCAGTAAGGGAAGCGTGCATAAAAAAGGATCACGGTATTTATCAAAAATCTAAGCGGCGAATCCTTTTTGCCATTGTCTTGTGCATGTTGCCATTGTCTTGTGCACACGACATCCACTCCATTTACGTGTTTTAACTGCACATGATTGAAAGTTGCGGATGAAAGTTATGTGATCAAAACCAAACCAATACAGAGGGCAAAGAGATGAAGATCGCTTTTGCCGATTTCGAGAACGTAGTGCAGGAGCAGAACACAGCTCAAATCGAATCCGGCGTCGACGTTAGGGAAATGTTTGACAAGCTGGCTAGGGGAGGAAAGTACTTACTACTACGATGCTGATTGTCATCTTGTGATTTCAGTCATTTCACGGTTTCTTTACAATTACATCCTCAAGATTTGCAGACGCATGCGCCCCTGCACACAAGATCTGCGCATCATCACCGTGTTAAAACATATGTGTTTTACATCTTACCACAGGCTCGACCTGGACCGTGTCCGGGAGCTGTGCACGCCCATGGGCTTCCGCGACACCGACGTAGAGAATATGTTTGAGGACTACGCGGGCGATGTTGGCCTGGTTACCGAAGATTCCCTGAAGGAGTTAGTCCAAGTGATCCGGGAATCGAGGTGATGAATGAAATAGAAATTCACTCATACAAGGGCGTGGCTGCACCTGCACGACTGCTCTTCTACTTTTCTTCCATCTCGCCAAATAAACACACTGTGTCAGTACCCAGTCCTCGGTTCAACATCCCAGGAGTAGCCAGGAAGCGCCTCTACGAGCAGAAGGGGCTTCAACAGCTTCATCTAAGAACGTTTCGTCACCGAGTGTTCAGCAACCTGATCTCGATCCGCTCCTGCAGAACCACAACAAATAGATCACCAGTGACACCATAAGCGAGCTGTAGTCCTCTTCTTCAAGATCATGCTGGCGACAAGCGGAGTGCCTACGCTGGCGTGCACTGCAGCTGCGTGAGCATCATGTGCATGATCGCTATTGGGTTCGCGCTGCGGCCGGGAAAAAATGGAATGCGTCGCGCAATTTCTGTTTCTGTGATCTCATCTCCGGCGTTGTGGTCGAACTGGCAGAGAAAAGGGCAGTGCGCACAACAATAAATTTGACATCGTCGACCACGACCGTACGGCGCTGGCAGTGCAACCCCGACACAACAACTTTGATCGCACATCGGAACGGAATGAGATTAAGATGATTGAGCCACACTACTACTTTGTCTTTGCTTAGTCTGGTGCTGCTCTCTCATGAAAATGAATATGGCTCACTGGTCCCTACCTAGCTCGAGCATCTTCACGAGCAGCCAAAAAAAAGACTACCTGTTGAATGATGGGGTCGAGGATGGCGTAGAGATAGAGATAGTAGTTATCGACTCAACAAGAAAAAACGCACCGAATTTCTCATCGCGAAGGCCTAGCTTGCTTGTTCGGTATCGAATCTGCTGTTCTTTGCCGCGTTGACACGCGATAACAAGATAACCGCACGGCAGCATCGTGTTCGGCAACGTCTTCACGCTCTCAACAAAGAGAGATCAGCTTGCGAGTTCTCAGCGCCTTCGTTAGTAGATACGCCGGGGCATTGTGATCATGCTCCGGGTGCAGGGCCGGCGCGGGCCCGGGTCGGCTGCGTAGCCTGGCGATGATTGTGGCGCCCAGGCATTGGCGCCGATTGGCAACGGCGACAGGGGGGGCACAAGACGGCCGCGCGCGGGGGGCGCGCAGCCCCCGGCGGGCTGGGGCAGCTTTCGAGAGAATGGGCCTCGGCCAAATGCGCGGCCTGCCGGACCATCAGAATGGGGACGGGGCGCACGAAGGCCAAGGACGCCGCGCTTGGCCTTGTATTGCGTCAACACGGAGGGCCCTGCGGTCTGGGGAAGGTCCTGCGCGGCTATCGACAGCCCTGAGGCGGCGCGCCTTGTGGCGACCCCTAAGTTATGCCGCCGGGGCGCAGCGGCCTTGCTTCCGGCCCGGGGGGGAAGGCGCCGGCCGCGTGCTAGCTTTGCGGGCGGCCCCCGGTTGTCCTGGTGGCCGGGGCGGTGCGCGAGCATCGCGCGCATTTGCCTCGCGGCCGTTTATTTGGTCGGCTGTCTGGTGGCGCACCCCCGCCCCCCAGGCACTTCAGGCGGCGCGCCGCAGCTCCCTCGCGCGGGGGCGGCGCGGGACGCTCGCGAACCAAGCCGAGCGCGCCGGCGAGCCAAGCCTTGCCGAGATTTCGAGCACCGCCGCAACAAGGTCCTGTGGGCCCTGCAGCCAGCCTCTATGCCCAGGAAACCCCAACGACCGGACCTGCGCGCGCGCCCAACGGACCCACCGACCCGGGGGCGGCCTCGCCGCCCGAGCAGCCTCGTCTTTGCGGCCGGCCTGTTTCCCTGCGATGTGCTCCGGCGCGAGCCTTCTGCCGTGGCGATGTGTGCCCGCCGCTTCCGCGCCTGGCGGGCCCCCTTGCTGCTTTCTTGGCTGCGTGGCCTCGGCCTCGGATGGAACGCAGCCGGAGCTTCGCGCCAGGCAGTAGGTTGGTGGGATGCAAGATTTGCGCCCGCGCGGCCTGCCTTGTTGCGGGCGGGGCCGAAATTGCCAGCCAGGCAAGCAGGCTTCCCCCGCGCCGATTAATCAATCGCGCGGAGGGGTCGCGGCGTACGTCTGCTGGCTTGTTGTGTCAGTCAGAAGTTGGGGGTGGGGCCCCATTTTTGTTTTCCCTCGTCGTAGGGGCGATCGCGCTAGTAAAGTTTTCGCAGCTACAGGGTGCGAGTTGTCCTCCCTCAGTCCTGTTGAGTGTCTGTGGTGCCGTAGTTTCTGTTCTATCACTATCGTTCTATCCGTGTGGGCCCATCATCGTCGTCGTTCTTATTTAAGTTGGAGGGGAGCGCTCTGCGCAAGGTATCCAGTCATGTTGATGAGTGGTATGAATGTAGCATGTATTTTCAATTCGCCTACAAGGCTCGAAAAAGTCCAATACTGTTCTTGGTTCACAGACAACATTCACGTCATTTAAACCCACGCCATGAACAAGACGAGTTCGCGACGTGACTGCTAGAGAGTGGTCGCTACTTGCTCGGAAATATATTAGTGAACCTGAAGAACGACATTGCAATCAACATATCGCCAACCGCAGGAACAGTTTCTAACTCTGCCTCGCAAATAAAATCGTACCTGGTACCAGCCTTGAGTTTGAGTGATGAAACAAAAGGCCAAAAGTATTCGTGGGCTGAGCAATTGGGAGGGTTCGTTCACGTTCGTAATTGATTGCTCGAAGAGGATACGAATCACAATCAACATTGTTGCCATAGCATCCATCAGTAGAGGACCACTTGAAAAATTACGCCTAGACGTAGATTTTATCATTCGGAAAACGAGAAAGACTAAGATTGGATAGAAGATAGCTCTTCTGCACTGCAAAACACATTGTCTAATCCGAAAACGAATTATAGTCCCAACGAATTTTTTTTTCCCCCTGACCTTTTCTCACCCCTCTCCTCGCTCTCACCTCGTGAAGATCGAAGAGCAACTTTCCAAAACTCCCCAACCATGCCCTCGTCCGCCGTGGACGCCGGCGGCGAGGCCAAGTTCAGCGCCCGACAGCGGAAGGAATGGGCATATTTGGTATGAGAGTGCACAACTCCCCCCCCCCCTCATTTGTTTGGTATGAACAGCAATACGACCACTGATGGAGCCTGAGCATGACAAGTTCATGCGCCGAATGTAGTACAACTCTTTGGGCTTCCCGAACTTGTCATGCAAAGTGTGCTACAAGGCAGCGCAGCGACTAGATTTTTCGGGATTTTGCATTACAAACGAGGGGAGGGGGAGTTGCGCACTGTCATATTTGGAGGAGCGCGCGCAGAAGATCCGTTCTGGCGAGGTGCAACCGCAACCGGGCAACGAGATGGACGACTTGGCCGCCTTTGTGGCGACCAAACTTCCCGAATTGTACCAGAAGCACCACAAGGTCGCGGACGACCGGGACGGCACGCAGTCTGACAGCGGGCTGCCGCGGGACAGCCACGCCAAGTACATCAAGAAGAAGGAGGCCGTCGACCACGCGGAGGGCAACGCGGTGACGAACCTGACCCGATCGGAGTCCCGCTTCCTCGACGAGCCCGGCGCGGTGGGCGGCGGGTGCAGCGGCGCGAACGCGGAGTTGCCGGTCACCTCCATCCAGCGCGACCACGCCTTCGACCCGAAAAACGAGGGTCCCTTTGGGCCCTGGGAGAAGGACGGAGTGACAACGAAAAAGAAGAAGTCCAAGTCGAAGAAGCGCGACGTCGATGACGCCGCGTCTGACGTCAGCAGTGTGATCAGCTCCGCCAGCTCCTACTTGTCCTCCGAGGTGGCGAGCAGCTACGTCTCGGGCACCAGCATCGGGTCTTCCGCGTCGAAGGCGGACCGGAAGGTAGGAGCAGAACAAAATGCCGCCCTGTTCGGGGATACGCTCGGGCTGAAGAAGAAGTCCTCGTCTAAAAAGAAGAAAAAGCGCAGCAAATCCGCTGCGGAAGGTGGAAACAGCAAAAAAGAGGACGTAAAGACGACCATCTCCATCTCGGACGACGGGAGTTACGTGAGCAACCCGATCGTGTACACGGAACAGAATCCGTATGGGAGTGTCAGGATTGAAATCGGCAAAGTTGAATTGATTTGTCATGCATAAAATGCAGCCCACAAAGCGAAAGCCCCTGTCTTGCAGAGTAGGCAAGTGAGGCAGATTGTAAGCCTGTTGAGGGGTAGAAACTGAGCTGCTAAAGTGGCGTCAGCATGACAAAAGGCGTCATCTTTACCCAAACAGCATGACAAACTGGATTTCGGTTCTAGCCAAATTGTCATGCGCCACTTGGAGACTGGGTTACAACTAGCATCCATTTTTTGCATGACAAATCATTTCAACTTTGTCGATTTCGTTCCTGACAGATCCATAACCCGCCGCTGTTTGACAAGTACTTCTTCTACTCGAACAAGATCATGAAGAACATCGGGCGCTACCGCCCCCCGCAGAACGGGGTGCGCACCCTGGGCACGACCTACTCCCTGGACCAGCTCATCGAGAAGAACGGCGGCATTCCGGAGATGGCCAAGGAGAAAACCGACTACAAGCGCAACTTCCGGTTCGCGCACGACACGCGCAGCGAGATCTCGGTGGACTTGGCGAACCCGGTCACGAAGCACAACAAACCCGACAAGAAGATCGACATCACGACGACCAGCTCGCTGGAAAAGTCGCACTTGAAGGCGGGCGAGGAGGCCCACGTGTACGAGCACCAGTTTCTGTACCCCATGCCCTCCATGGCGCCCCGGGTGTTCGCGGACAAGCACGTGGCGTTTGACAAGCTGTTCAAGCACCGGGTCAAGATCCGCCGCCCCAAGGACTACGATTAAGCGGAGAGAAAACAGTACAAGGGGGTGGGGTACAACATTGGTTTCGAAAATGTTGAAAAAAGTAGAAATCAAAACGAGAAGTCTTTTTAGATAGCGCTGGAGCGACAAACTCTGATCAATTAGGTATCACTGTGGGACGACCACTGCGGTTTTACTTGAAACAGCGCTAGTTGTACCGGAGGACTAGAAAGAAAAATTGAATAGCACAGCACCGAGTGTCATTTTGGTGCACAAGAACGGGCAGATAAAAGACCGATAGAACGAATCTAGAACTTAGTCGGGCTGCTGATAGTTTCGAAACAACTACAGCAAAATACTGATACTCTTGAAGTGGGCCGCGTGAAGATCTTGCACGTGAATCACATCTTTTAAGTGGGCAGACGAAGAACACTACTTGTTCTCGTCTGTGTCTGAAATTGACTTTTACAACTTTTATCGACGATTTTACAGCAAATAGGCGACGTTTCAATTAAACCTTTAAATGCAAATGAATTTTATCGATATCGCAAATGAACCCTGTTACAGTTACGAAAGTTGAGAATAGTCACGTCACTCTTTCCTAAATGTCATGCCTCTTCCTTTTCACTTGTACATTATGAAGAAAGGGACTCGAACTGCTGTGGTTTCTCAGTGACGTGGAAAAATGTACTGCAAAAAAATTGTGTTGTTATTGTGAAAAATTGAAAAAAATCACGGTCAACGGCGAGTCTGATTCGTTGGACCAGCGCGTCTAAAATGGTTTAGTCTTTCATTGTGTGATGAAACGAGATGTGGTTCATCTTGTAGTGGTGCTGCAAGCGTACATCATGACACTGACGCAGAAGATAATGAGCAAGCTATGAGGGTGGAAAGAGTTAGAGTCACGAGCGATGATACAGGAAAAAAAAATTTACCAGAAAGAGAGGCATACCAATGGGGACTCTGACTCCTCGTTAGAGTTGAATACAAGGACGAGATTGCCGTATAAATCTTAAACCATCACAACGGACAAGAGTAGTTCATATGTACACCCTGTAGTTGGTTGTGATGATACTGTATGGCGATGATGTGGTCGTGAACCTGCGTTAGCGTGTAGATGTTTGTTAGATGGCGTTTCCTCTAGATCCCATTTGTTTGCGCAATATGGAGTCTGCTCCGCCGTCGGTACTACTGTGCCCACGCGTGAACGAAAGGCGCGGCGTTCTTCTGGTGGCCCTGACGCTCGGCGAGACGCCGGCGCCACGACTGCTGCCGACACCGGGGGACGTACAGGGCCCTTTGCGAAGCTTCGCCATTCCTGGGCCCGCAAGAAGACACGGGGGCGCGGCCGTTTTTGCAGAGGATGCGCGAACTCCTTGCGCTGGTAGCGGTGCCCGGTCATCGTTTTGCGGGGGGTGGCGGGGTGCGCCTCAGCCTCTCCAGAGCCGGCGGGGCCTGCCTCAGCCTCTCCAGAGCCGGCGTCTCCGGCCCCGGCCGTTGGTGCGCATTGGTCGCCAGTTGCTCTGCTCCACGAATTCGGCGCGTCCGTGCTTGTCAGTGTCTGGGGGGCGCAAGCCCGGCCGGGCACTTCTCCTCTTCATGCAGATCGGGGGCCGTCTTGCCGCGCGGCCGATTGTGCCCCCCGGCCCTTTGTGTGGGTGACGTGGCGGGCCTGCAGCCTTCTGGCCCGCCCCGCGTTAGCGGCCCCCTATTGTGGGGCGGGTCGCGTTGTGCATGAGGACGGGCCTTCTGGGCCGCTTTGGATGGTCGATGCATCTACGCGCCTGCGACGCGACAACGCCTGTGGCCTGGCGCAGCCCGCGCGATGTGCCTTGGCCACCAGTAGCGCTATGACTGTGGATGGCGCCAAACCCAGACAAGGTGGAACGGCTGCCGCCTATCTCTGGGGCGAGGGAGCGTTGGGCTGGCTAGTTTGTATTGTTCTCCTCAGCATGGAGCCCGCCCTCTTACTCGTTGGTTGCAGCTGGTAACTGGTTGACTGCCATTGTAGCGATCTTTGGCCCGTCGATCTGTTGGACACGTTGGAGCCGCGACGTGTGTGTGGGAATGGAACAAGAAGCCAGCGGTGATCCATTCTGTGTGGCGAGCTACTCACTTCTACCGAGCACAAGATATGAGACTGAGCAGGAAGGTCAATGTGAGAAGGGAGAAGTAGAGAAAGCCGAGAGATGTTGATGCCTCAAACAGAAGCACTTATGACAAACAAGAGAAAGATAGAAATGAGAGTGAGGAACTTCATTTTGCTATAGGACCTGGCAGTGTCTGGGTCGGACACCATGCTGACTACTTACTACTTTGTGTATTTGCTTAGTATGACTCTGATGGGTGAAGATTGATTCAAGATCAAGCTCTGCGTCCGGTGTTTGCGACCGTTACAAGCGGGAGCCTCCGCTTCGTCTTCTTTGTGGTTCGTACCGCCTGGTGGAGCCATGCGCGGATGGGATTGTTTCCATTCCGCGCACGTGCTTTCGCGTCGCGCGGCCGGGGATCTGAATCCGCACACTCGCTTCGCCGCCGAATTTCGGCGCCGGAGGGTGTGCGTTGCATGCTACAGAAGCGGCTTACTGGCTCCGATTGTGAAAGAATGGCGCTTTGGGGCCGCGGGCGTGTTGCTTAATATGGCGCCGGGCCGATGCGTGAGTCAGTCTGGGCCAGCGGGACGAGACCGGCTGGGAACTGCCGGGGCGCGAGCAGGGGGGCGGGCGTCGCAGCGAATCGAAACGGGCAATCTCCAGCAAACGGCGCCCCGCCCAAGACGGGCGCAGCGTATGGACGAACAAGAAGGAACCAAGAGCCGCGCGCAGCGCGCCGCCGCCCGGTGCCCGCCCTCCCCTGGGGCGCGCTTCTTTTTGTCCCTGCCCAGGCCGCCCCGCATTGCTCTGGCTGCATTTGCGCGGGCCGCGCGCGCGCAGCCCGGGCCGCCCCGGTGCGCTTGCCGCCCCGATCGCGCCCTGCGGCCGTGCGCCATGTGTCTGTGAGCGAGGAAGCCAGCCGGGCGGCCGGCCGCCGCTGCTCGCACGCTGTGAGTGTTTCTCTGCCGCCGGCGGGCTAGCAATTTGTATGCAGGCCCGCCGCACCCTTCGCAGGCGCGGCCCCTCACTATCATTTTGATGGCCAGCGGCTTGGCCCCCGCGATCGGCCTCTCATGGAGTTGCAGCCCGGATGAAAGGCGTCGAAGCTGCCAAGAGGGTTGGAAATGTGAAAGAACTGAAAACAAAGGAGATGACGCGGATCGGCAGTCCGCCACCGAGCGTTGCTTTCTTTGTAGACGCGATTGCACCCAACCAAGGGGGACCAGTGCTCTAGCAAGTGTTTTCTAGTCATGAAGCAGCTGCTGGTTTTTCTCTGTGCAAACCAATACAACCGAGCTCAGCGAGTGCGAGAGCGAGCTCACCTTCACCATATGATAGCGGGGAGAGAGACGGTAGTGCAGAACGGGAACTGGGAGTAGGAGTGGTGTAGTGCTTAATTCGTATTCAATTACACATAGATACACCGTTTTTTGGATGAGAATGCTCTTGGTTGTTGACACCCAAAGGAGGGGGAGGAGAATGCAGGAATCAAATGTAAGAGAGTGAGAATCTAAGTTGAGTTAAGTGCGCAAGCAACCAAACGACCTAGCACAGCTCTTTCGGGGGCGCCAGCGTCGTGCCTGTTGCAACAACAAACGTTCCGATAGCTAGCTTTCCAAGGGATGAAATTTTACGTTTGATTGCTTCAAGATCGAGCTCAAGGACGAAGCCGACCAGTGTCTTAAGAGCCAACCCCAACACCCACCGCCATGCCGGTCCCCCTCGGGCGGGATCCGCTGCCGCCGGATTTCCGGAATTCCAAGAAAAACAAGAAGTTGCGAAAACTGAAGAACATCTTCCCACTTTCCGCGATGCACAACATTCTGCCCATGATTCCGAAGATTCTGCACTTCCTTGTCGTGCTCGCGGTAGAGGCAACCCACATCGCGGCAGTCACCACACTCTTGACGTTCTGCGCGGTGGAGATTTACAGGCTGAGGGAACGAAAGCTTTCGGAGAAGCAGCCGCTGCTGGTATGGTTTAGATGTGCGGGTGTACATGCCTGGCACCCTTTCGATCATGATTCTGACATGCATTTCGACTTATCAGCCCACACCCTTGCCCTCGGAATCGAAAAAGCAATTGACGAAGATTCCCCTATGTCCATAATACAAACCAGATCCGACCCTACCTCTGCTACGCCTACGACATCCTATTCCCAAGTCTCGTGGCCGGCCATCATTTCGTCTACTACTTCACCTACGGACAGTTGGACGTCCTCCCCATGATCCATCCTGTTCTTTACAAGATCATGGTCGTGGTTTCCGTCTACCAGGCGATTATCAACGCCGCCTTGTACTTCTCTTCCAGGCTCTTCTACTATCTCGCCGATTTGCCGCCGCAGTACGCAAATCCGCCGCTACCGGCGATTTTTCCCTTCCTCGCCTACGCCGTCATCCCCTGGAGCACCTGGACCGTGTGGATGCTGAACATCCAACAGAAATGGCGAGATTTCCCCTTTTGGCTGCCGGTGTCCGCGATTTTGGTTGCGCTCGTTTTCACCGGACGGTGGTATTTAAGGAGACCATGTGTGTTGGAGCTGCCGGAAGATGGAAGGAAGGTACTTACCTCTAGAGAGTATTGATAATGTAAAGTGGTATATATCGATCGTCTGTTCCTGTTGAGACTGCGTTTGGTTTTTCTGAACTGATTTCTCAAAGGTATGAAAGTAAAAGGCGATCCAAATCTTCGTTCTTGAAAATCAAAATAAACATGAAAAATCCTCGAAAATAAAGATCAAAGCCGTTGGTGACTGCGCGGTCGCTGCGATCAGCTTTTTGGTTCTCCACTACGGCTTTATGGAGAACGACTTCTTCCTCCGGACGAAGAATTGGAAGTACATTTTCGCAGCAACGAATATTTTCATCTGGCCCATGATTTTCTGGCGAAAAAAGCTGCACACGTTCACCTTCGGCTTCTTTCGCGCGCGCCACAAGTACGCAGACGAAACCACGGCGAAGAAGTGGATTGCGGACGTGGAGGAGAAAAAAACGAGCGGCCAGGAGCTCTTCCTCGGATTGAGCAAGAAGCTCGGGCAGATTTTGTACGACGTTGTGGTGGTTCCCACCGGAAGCAGTGTGATGGACAAATCTCTCCGCACAACAGCGTTTGTCCTCCGGTACGTGCCCTTGAGCTACATTCCGGGCGGCGCGGAGGTCGCAAAGAAGCTAGAAGCGATGGACTTCTACGGTGCTGGCGTAGTAACCGGAAAGCCAGCTGTTCCGGGAAAATCTTCCAGTGGCGCAGGCGGGGCAAAAAATAGAGCGGGGGCAACTTCTGCTGGCGGAGGCGGGACCAGCGCTAGAGGAGCTCCAGGTAACCAGTCTGCGCGTGGTCCAACGGCGTCTGGTGGCACAACAACCAGGAGCAGAAACAAGCAGCAGGAGTCTAGTGAGGACACGATATGTCCTCCGGCCGACCGTGTCACATGGCAGAACCCACTCTCCGGCGAGAAAACAACTTTACCAGTCATTTTCAACCGACGCAACGGGATGAAACAGCGCACGGGAGCGCCAACAAGCGGTAGAACAGGAATGTTACCGGAGATGACATCAACGGCGACTAAAGCTTCCTCGAGCGCTACTTCAACCACGTACGGTACGGTTGGCGGGCCGCCTAAGATTGACACGGACCCAGAAACCTCGAACTACAAACCGGACGGCTGGGCGTTCCGCGACCCAACCGCAGGCAGGGAAGCACTACGGCCTCCAACACCCGCGCAGGCCGCCGTTCACGCCGATGAGATCCGACGGAGGCTTGCAAGCTTCCTGCATTTGGAGCAAGAAGATGGCCAGCCAAACGGGGCTGGCAACAGGTCGGGTGCAGCGTCTCCCGTAGCCGGCGCCGCGCAACTATCCACACCCACTGGGAAGTTCGACACGTCCAGCTTGCTGTCCACACCCCAGTCTTCCTTGCTCGACCCGAACCAGGCGAGTCTTCTCAGTGGGTACAGCACCCCCGCCGGGCCGCCGCCACCAACGTTCAACGAGCGACACAACGCCACCGGGTTGCCGCCCTTGCAATTGCCGCAGGAAGTGCAGAGCGAAGTGGAGTCGTTGTTAGACGCGTTGGAACGAGGCATGGAATTTGTCGACGAGGAAAGGTTGGACGCTCTGCTGGCGAAGTTGCACAAGCAATGAACAAGAGTTGCTATGCTGTGGGACAATTTACCAAAAGTAAAAGCACTGCTCTGCACTACATCAGAGGGTGAGTTCACTCACTTCAACATCAACGCATATCACGCAAGTGAAGGGCTTTTTATTGCAAAAACTAAGTATACATCAGCTTTAACTTTTACACTACGATGGACAGGCACGGGCGCTCTACGCCGCCCCTTGTAAACGGAACGGCGAAAGGGAAAACACTTTGTGTTGCATTCGCACTTCGTTGCTGAGCATGCACCCCCCTGGTCGTCCTGTGTTGCTAATTTTCGGTATTCCAAAACTAAAAATCGGCTTCGTTCTCGTGGTTGAAAAGGTGCTTCTTATTGCTCGTCGTTTTGTCTCCTCTCGGTCTGTGACTCAAAACAGTAGTGTCCTCGGTTGCAGCTATGTGGCTTTGCCGCAGCACAGGCTCCTGCCCATTTCGGTTGTGAGTGCAATCAAGATTCTGCTCAAAATTCGGTATTCGTCCGATGTCAATTGCATCTATTCTCACGTTGTTGAAGCTGTTTTTGCGCATCCATTTCGTTTCGTCTAGAAGATAAAGCTGAAGCTAGTCACCCTGTTGCATTTTACAGACCACCACCACCGCCACCCATATTCATTCATATGATGCATCCGTAATCCGCCCCCTTTCTGTATCCTTTCTGTATGTTATGAAGACTAACTTTCCCGATCCCGCCTCATTCAAGTTTTTAGTACACCACGAACACGAAGCCGCATCTCCATCAAAATGGGCCGCACTAAGCATCTTGTCCTGAAGGACCAAAGTTTCCTGCCCGATCCGCGCGACCACATTGCAGCGTCGGTTCCGATCATTGGAACTCCTGGGGTAAGGGTTTATCGGGACGAGGAGCTGTATTTCCGGCAGGAGCTTCTAAAGTCCTCGAAAGCCAAAACGAATAACGTGATCCAATGCGTCAAAGCGTGGAAGGGCTTGGAATCAGAAGTAGCGGGGAACACTGCTAATCCAGATACACATACAACTCGAGCGCCTTTTCGGGTTTCGCGTCCGTCTGTTGTGGCTTTGCCTCGAGGATCGGAAGCTTTGCCGGCGCTAGAAGATGATCTGCTGGGAAAGACTTCGCTCAACTTGTCTGCGGTAGCGCAGAATAAAGAGAAGAACAAGGGGAAGGGCGGTGCTGTTTTTTCACCTGCACCACCAGCTGCCAAACCGGAATCACCTCCCCGTGTGCTCGTCGGTGGCGGATTGGCACGTCACAGCAGAAATGCTGCACATAATAATTCGCGACTGGATCAAGCCCAACAGCATGACCACCAGGACCAAGCTGCAGAACAACAAGCTGCTTCTCCTTCATCAGCAACTGGAGCTGAGGACACAATTACTCAAGCTGGAACGCCGCACTGGACACCGCGCGCGGATGCGGAGGAGCCCCACGAAACCGACACGCCGCACTGGACCCCAAGAGGCGGTGGAGAACCGCAAACAGAGGGCGAGCACAGCGCAGATATTCTTGAGCAGGACCACCGTGTCCTTGACGTGACAACCAATCTCGATTCATCCTCCAGTGAGAACACCGAGCTGCCGCATCACACGCCGCGAGCCTACGTGGATACCCCACGGACGAACACGCCACGGACGAACACCCCGCGTACGGAACACCCAGACACCGACGTACCCAGTGAACTAGAAATCGGCGCCACCGCTAAGAACATCTCAAGCAGGGGCGTGGTGAAGGGAAATACCAGCAAAGGAACTGCTGGCAAGAACAGTACTGTCAAAGAGCAGTTGCAAACTCTGATTTCGAAAGTTTTGCAGAAAGCGGTTTCTCTAGGTCCAGATTTCTACACATTTTCTTCCCTCGTTGAAGACATCGACAGCAGTGACGGAGTGGTTTCCATCGTCCCCGGTCTCTGGGACACGAGTTTGAGTAGGACGAAATACCAATACCCGCTGAAGTTCCCTCCGACAGCAAGCGAATGGCCGAATTACGTTCGCGACGATCCGGATGCGACGATTTTGGAGAACCGGAAGAGAGCCGCCGAGACGCACAGGCTGTTACTGGCGCAGCAGAGTAAACCGAGAAAAGCGAAGCTGCTCGATTTCCGCAAAATGCGGGAGCAGGAGAGGCTGTCAATCTTACAGCGGATTGAGCGGGAGGGTCTGGGCCCGAATTTGGCGATTATATCTTCATCCGCGGGACAGCACAAGCAAAGTCGAAAGCGGCCAGGAGTTGCCCCAGAAGGGGAGCTGATGAGTGAAAATTTCGGATCCTCTACCTTCGGCACAGGTGTAGGTGAGAGCAGCCCGAGAAGTGTTTTTTCCGAAACGTTGCACATTACGCGGACGCCGACAGGGTCGAAGACGACGACGACACACGACGCTAGTGTGGTATGCTGTGCAAAAGTATCGTACTCGTATAAATGCAGGTCTTGCATTAAAGGCAAGTCAGCATTTACAAATTTTATTTCTCATGCTGAGAAATGCATTTATATGAGTACGATACTTTTGCAGTTCATATGCGGCGCACCATGACAACGAACAAGGTGGCGCCGGAGCAACCATGTCTACTCGCCCTAGAAAGCGACCGACGAGGGAGATTTTTGACTTCACCGCCATGCTGATCGAGGCGAAAGAGAATCCGAAGAGCGGGAAGGTGCGCATTCTCCGGAGAACTGACCACACATGGTCCAGCGCGGAAAAACTGGACGAATTTTACGAGCTGTTGTCCAAAGTGCCACGAAAACGCCCGACAAACACGATTTTCGATTTCAACTCCATCAACAACTACGATAATGTTGTAGTTGCCGGAGGGGCAGGGGCAGCACCATCACCAGGAGCTTCGCCAAGAACTAGACCCACAACCAACCAGGAACGCGGCCCCATTTCTTTGTCCTCCGCAGCTGCGGGTGCTCCGGGAGAAAAGCCCGACATCGGCGAAATCCCGACGGACGTCAATGTGCTTGTGAATTTCAACGAAAGACAGTTCGAACAGGCACGAGCGCAAGAAGAACGGGAAAACGCCAACATGGCGGAGTTACTTTCGTTCATGCAGCATGATGACGAATTGCTGATGTCTACTGCGGCCGCGCCAGCACAACTACCCGAAAGCGAGCAAGACGACGCGGTTCTGTTTCAGCAGCGACCCTCGAGAAGTTACATGCAGCCGAAGTCGAAAAAAAACCCGCCTGGTGCTCGATCGTAGTGTTGTTACAATCAGAATCATCGTCCGTGTGGTTTAGCCCCCGACACACGAAACAAGCATTAGTATCTCTTGATGCTCCACGAGCATCGCTAGCGCTACATCCCGATGAAGCATTTCCATTAGTAACGATGTCTGTGAACAACTACACGTGTGTGTCGCCTAGCATGCACAATCACACCCGCTGTGCGCAGAAGCAGTAGCAGGCCAAGAGTTCATCCAGTTTTATTGACAGCAGTAGTCGTGTTCGCTGCTCGTGCTGCTACAGCATTCGTATTTGCAATCGTGAGGAAGTGCAGCTGCAACGCAAGAAAAGAAAAATGCGAATTGATATAGTTCGGTCGTTGAGATACGCAAGAGAACACAAAGTAGTCCATTTAAAGTCGGTCGCGTTCGCGTATGAAGGTCAGGTTGCCAACAACCACGCAAAATCGCTCGAAGACAGTGTTCGAATAGCACAAGACAGTCTCGGTTTTGATGGCAAAGACTGAGCAGTAGATCGGGTCGTCTTAAATTCGTTGTTGAATAATTGAATCCTTTCCCAGCAGTAGAACTCGTGAAAGCAGTAGATTAAGATTTACTAAAAAAATCATCTTTCCACCTCATCGTGAATTGACGTCTCACCCACATACCAAACCAGGTCCCCTTGCCGAATTCAAGAACAATCTTCCGGCCAAATTTGCAGGTGGGGGGCAACCTTTTTTTTCCTCTTTCATTTTCCGTTTTGATATACCTACTCCTACACCGAAGACCGATATGAACATCTTCATAATGGAGGTTTTTACGAGCATGCAGCACTAGTTTTGCTTGTGTCTGAATTGCAAGGAAATGTGATTGATGTTATACCGGAATGATTCATGTGTTGTTGATTACGTTGCAATTATGCTGCTACCTAGTCACTTGTCCTTCCCATTTAGTAGATTGTAATCGATTTCTGTAAAAAAATATTTTCGGGCGTGTGTGACCATAATATCGTTGCTTTAGACTTTATGTAGGGACAATGCTTGTGTAAATTAACATTGTGAAGAGCTGCAGGATATAATTGCACAAGATTTTTTGACAACCCGTTGGATCTGATTTTTTCTGAGCCAGTTTACTGGATTTTTTGAAATTTTGAACTGCAAGCATGATCTTTGACCACCCAATTTTTTGAATTGTCGTCGTTGATTTTGCATCATACTGATGTATCGCCTCAATGTAGTTACCACTATCTCGCCGGTATACATCCAAAAGAATCATTTGTGCTAGTGTCCAATATTCTTCAGAATTTTCCAATTCGTAATTTGCCTACATTTGTGATTGAGCTTGTTTCTCAACACGATCACAAAAAGAAAACGAATTTCCTTCGCTCCGCATCCGGTTCATCCGTTCCCCGCAGCCTCTCTCAGTATATGAGGGTAACAGGCGCTGCGCGGCCGTACCAGGGAATGTTTTCGGATGCGAACGAGCGCCAGCAGGTGACGGTAGGCACGCTGGCGACGGTGGTTCACTCACACAGCGACAATGTGAACAATACGAATGTGAACAACAGCATCGACGCCGCAAAACACGACAAGTTGTACGACAATGCCAGACTCGGCATCAACCCCACGACGAACAATGTCAATGCGACGAACAGTGTCAACAGCAAGAAGGCGTCCGCCAATTTCCCTTCCCGGCTCTCGCAGGAACAGGAACTCCGAGAGGCAGGCGCACGGGGGAGATTTCTGTGCCGCGCGTATTCCGTGCCGAATAAAGGGAAATCGCACCCGAACGAGGACCGGTTTTTCTGCGAAGAACACATCGTAAATCCGCCATCCACTGGCACTGATATGTTCATGGTAGGTGTGATGGACGGGCATGACGGAGCGAAGTGCGCCCAACTCGTCGCGGACGAGTTACCAAGCACGGTGATGCAGCAGTTGTTCGTGCCGAATCCCAACGGAGGTGCAGGGACCGTCTCGAGAGAGGAACTTCTAGCCGTCGAAAGAGAACGGCAGCAGCTTCCGGCGTCTCCCACGACCGGCCACGGTGCCGACGCGATTCACAACGCGCATGTCCAAGCGTTTCAGAAACTCGAGCAGCGGATGTTCGACCGGCGGAAGCAAGACACGAGCGGGTGCTGCGTGAACAGTGTCGCGGTCTATCGCGGGACGGTTTATTGTTCGAACTTGGGGGATTGCCGTGCGGTTTACATACCACTGGGTGACTGCCGGGATTTCAAAGCAGGCGCGAATCCGGCTTCGCCACTGCAACCTTCAACGCCAGTAGCTGCGAATACTCTGGTGATGCAGGAGACGTCTGAAGAACATGGTCAAAGCGATGCAGCGATGCCTGACATCGATCACGACGCCTATCTCGCGGCGGTTCCGGAGCCTGGGGTGCTTGTTCGCGGGTTCACGAAAGAGATGCTCAATAACGACGCCGCGGATAATAGCTCCCTGTCTCTGCCAGGCGGACTCGAGGCTGGTTCGCTGGAGAGGGGAACCACAAAAGAGGGCCCAGTACAGCTCGCCGGAGGACGTGCGCAGAACAATCTCGTCCCTTCTTCCAGTTCACCATTTCTTTCGGAGGAGGATAAAAAGCTCGAGCGCAGTCAATCGGACACGTACAACAACGCTTCGGGAACCGGCAGCAACTTGAACTTCGTCGGGCCGAGGTCCCACAGTGACACCAGGATTTCCGGGGTGTCAGATTCCAGCGCGAATCGCCCAGCCGTCGGGCGGACACGAATAGCCGGGCCGATGGTGAGCGGCTTTTTGCAGTTGTTCGGCTTCGGCAGTGGCGGGAAGAAAGAGCAAGACGCCGCTGCAACAACGCCGAGCGCGTCGACCACCGCGACATCGAGTACGGGAACGAGCAGACTTAGCGGCGTCAGCATGGCATCTTCGGGCGGGGCTACGACCCCCGGACCGCCAGCGTCTGGGAATAAATCGCCAAGTAAAATCAATGACGCGAAGCAAACACACACCGCTAATCTCGCACTCGCCCCCCTCGGAGAATTGTCTTACGCTTCAAATCTGCGTTTAGGCAAGTTCTCCTGGCTTTCCCGAGATTTCAGAGCAGGAAAAATTTACGAGCGGAATCGCATGCGAGCGATAGGCTTCAACCAAGTCATCAATGGAAGAATTTGCGGGTGCCTGGAGCCATCGAGGACGATTGGCGATTTGGATATCAAGGTAGAGATTGAGTCTGAATTTAAATTAGAAGTGTTTTTGGGTTTGTTTGGCGAGATCGAAAAAGGGCAGTACCAGACCGAAGTAGTTTTTTTCTGTTGTATTTGTTTTGGCCTGACGAGTTGGCGCTTATCAAAGAGCATCAAAATCTAAATGTAAATCCCCTATACAGTTGCAAATCCCACCCGGTGTAATCTCCATCATTCCCGAGACCCGAGCTGCTGATATGCAGCGCTGCTACCCAAACGCGTTTTCGCATCCGAGGGACAAGCACTACCAGGGTATCATCATTCAAGGCACGGACGGGCTCTGGGACGGCCTGAACGGCGACGACATCTGTCAGGCGCTCATTGCAAAAACCGAGGGCATTCTAAAGATGCAGCGGTACATGCTCGAGGCGTCCGATAACAACTTCGATCCCGACCACCCAGAAGCTACAAAACTGCTCGAGGATCTCGCTTGCAACATGGTGCAAACGTCCTATCGGCGCCCGGACAATGGAGACGATGTGACGCTGGTCATCACTTTTGTAAGTTGGCGATTTTAGAATGGTTTGAAGATTTTCATTTTTTGTACAATAGCATACATTTTTTTACATTACAGTAGTTACACTATGTATTTCAAGAACACATTTTGACAATTTAAATCTATATCTACATGAATATGACGTGTCTAATACCAGTGGCCGTGGCGTTCTTTAGAAATATCAACCCATCTAAAGAGATCGGAGAATTAAGTCCCTGTAGCACCAGGAACAAAATGCGAATGGATTTCATGTTAGAGTGGTCCGAGTAGCATTTTTGTTTCGATAATATCACGTGGATATTTTTGCCTACCCTTAGTTCAACCGATTAGCGCGTCGGGCTAACGCGCTTCCCACTACCCTGCTAACATCCTGGTACATTACCCGTTTTTCGCTCGCTCGTCTGATGAAGATTTTTTTTTGCACCCAAGGTTCGTCACCTGATTTCGGGATCATATCGGGGACGATTTTTTTGCTTTCAAAGAAAAGGTTAATAAGGTTTCTTTCTCTCTCTACAGTATGTTCGGCAATCTGATTCCTTTTTGTTATTTTTCGAAAACTATGGCACCCTCCAACTCCATCTACAGAAGTATTTGTTCCTCGTCTAGAAAACAAAAAGTAGCCGTAAGTATCGTGAAGTAGCAGCTTTCTGAGCTTCGTCTTTAGAAATCGGAAAGGACTGCGCCAACCCGTGTAACATAAAAGTATTACAATCTAAATCTTCTAGCACTACCTTGTAAGCGAAACGAAGCCAATGCTGTAGGTAAACTCCAGTTTGGTTTTAAATGAGAAGCTCATTATGGTGTCACGACCCAGCGCCATAAAATCTGTAAAACCGCAGTTCTCCTATCGTAACCGCATGTTCCAGCGGTGCTGCATTGCCCGCTGGTTTGCATGACAGGCTTATTTCTGCGATCAGATTCGCCATTTTTTGAAAAATCAGACTTTGCACTCTTTTCCGTCACAGGAAAATGAGAAACAGTTTTCCAGTGTGTGTGTGTTGCCTTTTGTTCTCAAAAAAAACAAAACTCGTCTTTTTCGCTGACATGGTTCTTTAGATCCAGCAATGCGGAAAGTTCTTTCTAATCGCCGGCTCCTCGTCCTCAGGTTTTGGTTTCGGAAGATCTTCAACTTTTTCTTCTCGTGCTGCCCATCGTGTTTGCTACTTTTGATCGCGTTTATTCGCACTGCTACAATTTAAAAATCTGCCAAAACTTTCAGTACGAGCACAAATACGGCTTTGAGGGAGCGAAAATGAGGAAAGCAGCCCTTCTCTCCTCGCTCACCGGCGCGGTGGCGCTGGAGAGCGGTGCCAGCAGCGGGATCATGAAGGTGGTGAAACTTCTCCAGGACACCAAGGCCGATCTGATCAAGGAAAGAAAAACGCAGGAGCAAGAGTACATGAAACTCGACTGCGTGGTGAAGAAGACAAAGGAGGAAAACGCGAAGCTTCGGGAAGAAAACTCAGGAAGTATTTGTTTTTTTTCCAGAAGAAAACAAAAAATATTTTCTGAACAGGAGCGGTGCATGAACTTTATGCAGCCGCAGGATAGCACTAGCAATAACATCTTGTATTATAGCACTAGCAAGAGCATCTTGTATTATGGATATCTTGGCGGACCCCAGGATTGTAGATTAAAAAAACTGCGAATTGCGAGGGTGTGGTGTGTTTTTCATCATGAAGGCGCAACAAAAAAGAAAGGGATGACGCCCCGAATCTTTCGTAGCCTTCACGCAAAGTTGTATTTTTGAGGCCCAAACGAACATTGTTCCGTCTGTTTAACATTCGACAACATATTGCCACACAAAACAGAAATCGCCGATATCGATAGCGAGCTCGCTTTACTTGAAGGCGGGAAGACTTTGACGGACGAGGCGCAAGTATTCGCGGCTAAAATTGACGAGAAGAACAAGGAAATCGAAAAGGCCGAGGCAGATTTGGATGCAGAGAAGGAAAAGTACGATACCTACATGGCAGATTTGAAGGCGGGGATTGCCGCCTTAGCAGATGCGGAGAAGAAGATCCAAGGCCAGAGTACTGTTGGATAATTTTCTCGTTAGTTCTTGCGTTTTTTGTACGCCCGCAGACGCATCGTGGATAATATTTTCCGGGACGGTGTGATGGTTTAAAATTTTGAAGGTGCCGTATGCAATCGTGCAAAACATTACCCACGGCGGTATGGTGATGATCGCTTTAATTATGAAAAATTTATAAAACCTCAATCAAAAATAAATATAAAATCAGCCCTTCTTGTCCAGCAGAAGACCCTGAAGTCCCTCCTCGCCAAGGCCAAGCTGCTTCCCGCGCAGCAGATCGCCATGCTGAAATTCGAGAAGCAGGCTCCGGAAGCGTACAGCAGCCAAGTTGGTTCCATCGTGGAGTTGATCCAAACCCTGAAAAACGAGTACAAAAAGGAGGAGATCGACACAACAACGCAGCACGAGAAGGACGTCGCGGCACAAGAAGCGCTCATCAAAGAATTAAAGGAAGCCCTTTCCGGTCTCCAGGAGCAGCAGCAAGCGGGTGAGGGGGAGGCCGCCGCGAAGGCGAGACGGACGCAGGAATTGACCGACTTGAAGACTACACTGGAGGGCGAAATCGCCGACGCGGATGCGTATCCACAGGCAATTTTCCGTACACGTACAAATGCGGCTTCCGCATGACAAAACTTTCCTTCAAACCTCTTCAGCATGACAAAATGCTTCTTCCAAGTTGATCCAATTTGTGATGCTGTTTGTACATGTGCGCAAAATTTGTATTGCATAATGCGGAAGACAAGGTCATGGACGAGAACAAGACGAAGCAGGACACCGAGTACGAAACCTTCTCTGCTGACTCCATGGCGCAGGAGGACGCGATCGACAAAGCGGTTGAAATCCTCCTACGCATTGCAAAAGCATCGTGTTAGTAGTAATTGCATATATACAAACTTTTTCCAAGAGAAATGACACTTGTCATGCAGAAACAGGCAGGTAGGGAGTTTTGTCATGCTGTACTGCAATTAGTACGAGCACAATGCTGTTTTGCATTTGATAACTCCACAGTGACGACAACCGGGATTTATTCCAGAAGAACGAGGACGACAAGGAGTACGAGGCGGCTTTCTTCCTGCAGAAGGCCTCTATCACAACGGAGAAGGTCCGCTCCATGAAGGAGCTGCAACTCGCCCGGGAACGCGAAACGGCTATTCAAGTCTTGATGGCCGCGATCTCCGACCAGGTGTCTGAGTTGAAGGACGAAAAGAAGTCCATCGAAACCTCCGTGGAGCACTGCAGAGTCGACTCGAAGAAGCTGATCGAAGACGCTAAGACGGTATTAGTAGTGGTTTGGTGCATTGCAGGTAGTGCTCGTGTTAGTTGGTTTTGCATGACAAAAACATAATTGTATTGAACAGGCTAAATTTTTAGCGTAGCGGCTACGCATCACAAACAATCAAACAGGCTGCCGAACAGATGGACGGGCAAGACGCGCAAATCCGAGCCTCCACCGAGATCATTGAGATGGAGAATGAGAAGCAAAAAAAGCTTATGACAGTGCACAACTCCCCCTTCCCCTCATGATTTGTCATGCAAAATACCAAATCCGCCCTTTTCTCTTTGGCACATCTTGCATGACAGATTTCGCAAGCCGACCCAGGGCTAGAATCGGTCGCGAATTCTTCATGCAAAAGCTGCATTTATGCCAGCACTTGTGTTGCTGCTTATCCCATTGAAATGAGGGGACGGGGGAGTTGTGCAGTCTCATAAAGCTGACCGAGGAAATCGCCGACAAGATGGAGGAAAAGAGAAAGAAAACCGAAATTTTCGAGGAAAGCAAGAAGGAGTATATTTTTGTTTACATTTACGTCACCAGTTTTAGTCGAATTGCAAATTTAGAAATTTTGTTGAAAATCCACTCTGCATTTTAAGCCTAGTAAAATTCGTAAATCGTAACGAGAGCGACCTGATGGCTCGACTACGCAATGTTCAGATCATGTGTAGTACAATCGAAGCTTTGTACTTTTCGATCTTCGTCATCGTCTGTTACCGTATCTACAGCCTCGAAGCCATCAAGGACGATTTGACCACCGCTCTGGGTGAAGTCCGCAAGGCCATTCTGGAGCTTCGCAAGTACAAGCCGGAGAAGACCAGCCGGTTCAACGAGGGCAGCAAGGGCGACTTGACCAAGAAGACCTCCAACCCCCTTGCGCCGGTGATCACCATGCTGGACGGGATTGTCTCGCAAATGGACAACGAGAAGACTGACCGGACGACGCAGATCACCGATTTACAAGCCGAGCAGGACGAGATGGTGAAGACCATCGGTAACGCCTCCCCGATGGAGGAGTCCATGATGGTCACCACGATTGAAACCCCGGAGTCCATCATCGGTGGGAAGGAAAAGGAGCGGAATGACTCTGTTACCAAAGAGGCGGAGGAAGAAGCCAAGAAGACCTCCGCAGAGACCGACTACGCCTCCGAGCGGGAGAAATTATACGGCACGGACGGGACTACAGGATTATTAGCATCTTTCAACAAGCTCCAGCCCGGCTGCGACTACTGGATGCTGGGGTCCCAGGCGCGGTTCGCGGCCATCGCGGAGGAGATTTCGACGTTGGACGAAGTGAAGCACGTCTTGTCGAACCAGGATTTGGTCTTCGTATCCACAGTAAAGCTATTCCCGTACACGTACAGATGCTGTCTCTGTATGACAAAACTTGGCTCCAATCTTAGCCAGCATGACAAGTTGGACACTGAAAGTTAGCGAAATTTGTGATGCATTTTGTACATGTAAGGGAAATTTGTATTGCATACTTGGACGGGAAGGACACGATGGAGATGGAAGCCCGCGAGAAGGGAGCGGACGCCAAGGACCACCAGTATGAGGATGTGACGTCTCGCGTCACGGGATCCGCACCCTAAATTGCTGTCAAGTTTGATGTTCTTTCCGTCTGGCGAAGAGGAGGGTTTATTGCAATTCTTATGAGCGAGGAGCTTCACGAAGAACCGAATGAATGTACAATTTTACTTCACGATAGCACGAGAATTCAAAGTTTCACCACAGTTGTGTATCAGCAACACAGAAAATAATTCTCGTTTTTTCATCGCATGTAAAGCCACATCGAAAGCTACCATCCCTGTTTTATGTGTTTTTGGTTTAGCTCATTTGACAAGTGTTAGATAAAGGTAAAAGGCAAATTTCACGACCCGTTATAAATACTTTGACAAAATCAGGCAGATTTTTTAGATAGTTCAGTTCAGGCAAACTATTTTATGTGTTTTTGGTTTAGTTCAGTTTCGGGTAGCTGTGGCAATGCGCTGCGTGTTGACAGCGGGATCAAAGACATGGTATCGTGAAAGATAAAACGTGATTGTGAAGCAGGGACGCAGAGAAACTGAGAATTGCAAATGCAACAACAGTGCGGTCAAAGACGGAAGAAAAAAGACGAAAAGGGTCGCATCGATGGGGGCACGAGGCTAGAGATTTAGGAATGTTCTGGTGTTCAATTTACATAGCCATTTTAGGATAGAATGAGCCGATCGACACCAAACTGAGCTCGATATCGATCTTCCACGAGCGAGTTAGTGAAAATTGTTATGTCCCTTTCGTATCTCGTGTAGTTCGTCGGCAACTTCTTCGTCGGGTCTGCCTCGTTGTCGTTACGATTTTTGGAGCCTACAGCAGTGGAAGTTGTAAGTAGATGGCGTACTACCGGGTCGAAAACAACAAAAAAAAGCTTCAAACAGGTATTTCAGAAGTACGAGCTTACATGCGTGCGCGTTTTTTGAAGAAAACAAATTCATCAGTTTGAAATCACGTCGATCGTGGACGCAACTACAAGTACAACAAAGGACGGCACTGGTGGGGTTCTTGAACAATCTCGTGCTGATCATCTAAAACCGCCGGAACAACCCGAGCAGTTTCGTTGTCCCCCCGTTGGCCGCTACTGCACGATCGAACATGGGGTACATCTTCCCCCTGTTGACCTGTGACGAGATTGTTCAGGTGTTGAAGAACAGCGACAAATTCCCCGACGTAACCGTCGATGTGTTGCAAAAGCCGCAGAACTACGTCACGGTGTCTGTCACGGAGCAGTATTACGAGAACCAAATCAATGGGGTCACTGTCGGTACTACCGCCGGAGCAAGTAGTTCCTCCGCGCCGAATTTCCACCAAACCCCAGCCGGCATCCTCGACATTTACATCGCATTCTGGGAATTCTTAACCTCCACCTCCGATATTCGGCGCATGCCATGGCACGAATTGCTCACGAACGACAACAGTACAGGGAGTGGCGTTGGCGGTGGGAACGTAACGAATTTCCCGACTTTGTACGAGGATGCGACGCGGTTCTTGTGCGTTTTTCGGACTATCCAGCATCTGGCAAACATCGCCGGCATTGGGGACTTTTCGTTGAATGATATCGTCAAGGTATATACAGATCTTGTTGTCTTCATGCGTGATAGATCATGAATTTGATGCAGCTTAGACAGCCAGTTGTGTAGTTCTAGGTTGAGTCGACAGGAGCTTACTACAGAGTGCGAAAATATCCCCCTGAAAAAACTTATCAGCCCGAGGGCAAGCGTCTGCGGCGGAACCTGTCCGCGCTGATCAATTTCTGCCGGTTTCGGGAGGATGAGTCCCAGAACGAGCATGAGCAACAACGTGTAGTGGAGGAGCTGGACCTGCGGATTGCTACAACATCCGAGGCGATGCGCAGTTTGAAGGAGAATATGCATTGCAAAAACATCGTGCTCGTACAAATGGCATGACAAATTTTTCCTGGAAGAAAAACGAAATTTGCCATGCAGCTTCAGGTAAGAAAGCAGATCTGTAATGCTAGACTCGCATTTATACGAGTGCGATAGTTTTGCAGAGGATAGAGAACGTGGACCAGCAGGAAGCGGAGCTGGCGCAGGAGAAGGCCGCCGTGGAGCGGTATTTGAGCGAGGAACGGACCATCAAGCAGGAGATGGAACGGCTGAACATCTTCCAGATCGAAGCGGCCATGGATGATGGTATACTTTTTGTCTTCTCGTAGTTCGTTCGTTCGTGAGCACTTTCTCGAGGGAGAGCTTCTTGCATGTAGCATAAGAGTTGATGCTTCAGGTAGTTGAGAACTGGAGGAAAATGCAGAGATTGGTAAATGTACCGCCATGCACGTAGTTGACGTAGCGATGATTCAAAGCGAAACCTGCTTCACACGAACACAGCCAAGCGCGACACCTCTTCTACTAACGAGCGGATGGAGAACGCCGCGGGGGAAATTCGGATGCTGGAGGACGCGATTACGGCGATGAAAAAGGGGGTGATTTCGGATATGGACCCGGCTCAACTGGTTTCCGACGTGAAGAAGCTCCGGGAAGCCAGTCAGCGCAAAACGGAGCGGATCAAGATCCTGCAGCAAAGTTGCGACAAGCTGGGGGAGGAAACAGCGAAGGTGAGTCCGTACTATGGTGCCATTGGTGTGTAAGTGTATTTTTTGTGTCGTCGCCTGCTGGTGTGAATGCATAGTAGTCGTGGTTGATGCGGATGTAGCGTCAGCGTACTGTGACGCGATTTCATTTTGCTTCAAGTTTGCATGATAAAATGCAGATGAAACAGGCTCGAAAGTAAAAACGCAATCGTTTTATCAGGCGGAAACTGGTACCGCCCGTTGCAACCTGTTTCTCGACCGGGTCCGGGAGCACCAGCAGACGGTTGAGAAGTCGCACAAGCAGGAGCTGGAATCCGACTCCCTTCAGCAGGAGCTCGAGGAAAATCGCCAGGAATACCAAACATCCGAACGGGAGGAACGCGAAGCGCGGGACAAAATCGTCACCTTGTCCGCGAAGATCGAGGAGGTCGCGTTTCAGAAGCAACGGGAGCGGGAGCAGGTCGCCGCGGAAATGCGGGTTTTGGAGGACCGGATCCAGGAAGCGCAGCAGGAATTAGACAAGGAGAATGCGCAAGTCAGGGAGAACGTCGAAGTCAACGAGGTGGAGAAAGCTCTGGAAAAGTTGCACGACGAGCGGGAAACATCGAGACTCCAGTGGCAGACCTGGCACGAGAAGCTGGACTTGGCGATCTTACAGTACGAGCAGGAGTTGTCGCTGGGGATCGAGGATGAGGTGCCCGCGATGATTCCGGTTGCGTAGAAAACGGAGGACGGACGTTGATCTTCTGTGCCGATAGAACATCAAATTCTTCTCCAAAAATCACCTCCAGCCCGTGCTACCTCAAGCGAACGTCTGATTTCCTGTTAGTTCTTGTTACCCACGACTGCTGATTCCTTCGACCTGTTTTGATGTGTCTTCAATCTGGTCCTCCTCGTCTGCAAATAAACCCGCAGGGACTATGATAGTCTGTTTCCTATGTAAAAATGTTGTGCGTGGTGTAGGTACTAACGAGTGAGAATCTCTCACCGTCTACTTTCTAGGTTTGCGCAGCCTCACCCTGTCTTCCCCTTTTAGTTTCAGGACACGAGAAAATTCAAATTTGACCTGTTGCTGCAAGTTATTCTGCATTACTCCGTCGTGTCGCCCTACAATAATTGCAACCAAATGAAATGCACTACCACCGTGACGAGATTGATTGAGAAAAGAAAAGAGGAGAAAAGAATGAAAATTACGCCCAGCCCATTGCGCCATTCGGCATCTTTCGATCGCTGTTTTCCATTGAGAGGTGTGTTGGAAATTATGCCGTACCAATACATAAACGCTGCTTGTGCAGACAGACAACGAGGTGCTGAGTTGTGGCAGCGCCGCATTTGCTTTTTTTCTCGTGTGAAGAGGTAAACGTCGCACCAAAGACAAAGTACGAGCATCAAAACATGACGTTGACAAAAGTTGAAGTAGAATTTCTATAGGCACTTCTGAAACAAGTAGCCTAGCAAGTACGACACAAGAGGAGGCTAAGTTGCATGATAAGGGCACTTAGCAACCGAGATAAAATGAATCCCCAGAGAGTAGAGTCGTATTAAGACACATCTTCAGGCCCAATCTTTTGTTGCGTTCCGGAAGGTCGAGTGCCTTTTTTTATGGTTCGCATTTCTTCCGCCAATGCTGAGCTCGGCCTCTGCGATAACTCCTCTGTCAGTGATTGGTCGGGTGATCACTATCACAAAGGATACGGCGTTGGAATTAGGTCGCACCACGTCCGGCTGTGCTGAAAAGCAACAGTTAGGCGACGTCTCATTGCAGCGCTAGTTGTGGCAAAGCGAAAACGACGACGGCGACAACGCAGGCGAGGAACGAAGCGGCTTCACACGAGAACGACAACCTGCTCAGTAGCGAAAAGTTCACGATAAAGTTCTTTCCTTTTCGACGACTTGCACCTGCAACAGATATAAAAATCTCTACAAACCGAGCCGTTAAGAAGTCGACCGATCACAACAGAATTTGGATGATGGTGCAAAGCGGTAACGTAACCGCTCGACAGTTGGCTGCGTCGCAGTCTGCGTCGCTTGGGCAGCTGGGAGGTGGTAGTAGTGCTGGAGCAGCCGCGGGCGGGAAGAATAATAATCACTTCCCGACCGTGCTTTACTTCAGTAAAACGCACAATAAGTCCATGCAGGCAAAGCTGGAAAATACCAACTACGACGATCAGGGCAATGTGGTATTGTTGCTTGCATTTGCAGGATCATGTGCTCTTCGTGACGATAACCACCAACGAAAAAAAAACTCTGTTTAGGGTGCTTTATTTCCACGTTGAAAATTCAAATTTTCTTTTTCATACCAGAACGTAGACTATAAAATTATGAGGTCTCCTACGATCTCGATATCAAGCCAAAAGCCAAACCGGACTTGGTGACATTCCACCTCCCACCCTCGACCACTAGCGCAGCGTCTTCTGTCAAGACAAGGGTAGTAGCGTCTGCCAGCAGTGGCGGAATTCGCAACTCTGGTAGTTTTAGTGCATATAATCACTCTGATGTTTCTTGAAGATGATTTTTGCATGCACGTTACTTTCATGTAGTCGCCTTTTCCGACGGTCGCTTTGGCAAAAGCCAGCCAAACTATATAGAGTCTGCAACCCATCAGGTTCCACCGTCACTGCCGCCCCTCATGAGTCTCCCGCTACTGTGAACGGGCAAAGTTCGCAGCCGCTCTCCCCGGAATCCGTCGGCGGGCCTGCTCCGAGCGAAGCCTCCTCTTCCAACCCGACTACGGCGAAGCACAGCAGCCCGTCGCCAACCAGCGCAAGAGGAGCACCGCTGATCACGAGCACGTTGGCCGCTGCAGCCGGGGTAAAGGTGGGCACGACTGTAGTGTCCAGTTCGTCCACAGCACCTTTTGGTGGAACAATTATAAGTAGTTCCATTTCGCAGCCGGTGATTCAGACTGCAAATACAACAAACAGCACGAATCTCGTCGCCGCGAACGGGGTTGTAGGAGCTGCTGCTGCACCGAGGAACAAACAGGTAGACTTCCAAGTCGGGCACAAGGTGTGGTATTGGAGCAACACGCACAAACAGTGGATGGAGGCGAAGGTGAAGGGAATCGGCAAGAGAGCGGGGAGAATAGAGCTGGATGTGAAGCCGGACGCACATTTGAAGTACGTGATGGCACAGGATATGCTCTGCAAAAGTATCGTGCTCGTAGTAATGGCAATCATGCATTACAATTTTTTTTCTGAAGCTAAATCCGCATCACATTCATGCTGAGGAAATGTGTAATGCATTTATACGAATGCGATACATTTGCAATTCATACAGGACGGAACCGGGCAAAAACCGACTCTGTCGCCGGACCAGATGAACAGCGCCGGAGGAGGTCTTGTCTATCCTGTGCAAAAGTATCGTACTCGTATTGCAGTCATGCATTACAAACCTTGTTCTTAAGGTAAATCCGCATCACAAATTTTATCTCTCATGCTGAGGGAATTTGTAATGCATTTATACGAGTGCGTAATTTTTGCAATGCATATTGTCGGGACGACGAACACGATCTCCGCCTCCAGTCCCATGGGCAGCTCGCTCGCAAGCACCGTGACGACAAGAACACTGACCAGCCCCGTGCACCCGGACATAAGTACAGTTTGTTTTTGCATATGATCATCTACGTTTACGTAGTGCTGATGTTCTTTGATGTGATGTTAGCTGAACTTTTGATATTTTTGTGGCAATGATGAAGATGATGGTTTGATGAATGATCGGGCTTCTGAAGATCGGGTGGCGGAACTTCTAAATCCGTGCACTTTTTGTAAATATTAGACGATCAATGATCTCCACAGATGTTGGTCCTTCCCCGACCACGAACTTGGAACCGAAACGCATGTACGGTTCCCGACACTCCCCAATCGACCCGAACGCAGGTGAACCGAAGGTCCTGCAAGGCGGTAGTACGCCGACCGACAGCAGTACTAGCACCGTACACCAGCACCCGCGTCGCCCGCCGCCCACAACGGTTGTATCCTCCACCACGACCCGGCACCAGCGCAGCTCTGTTCAGATTTCAACACAGATTGCCGCGCCACCGTTGCAGACGTACGGTGCGTCCGCCGCGTCTTCGCGTCGACCCTCGTCCGTCAGCTGGGAGGTGCGGTCAGCCGACCCCCGCGTGCGGGCAGTGTACGAGGCAGGTGCAGCGAACGGGACCGGGCTGATAGGGTCGGTCACAAGTACAACTGCTGCTGGAGTTGTTGTACCTGCGAAAAGCAGCTCTGGAGGAACACCTACAACGGCCACTGCTATTCCGAGCAATGCGACAGCTGTGCATCCCTACAACCCAGAGGCGCGCGTCGTGCCGCAGCAACAAGCGAGTGGAAGTACTAGCGGTAGTTCAGCTGCAGCGAAAGTGATGCAGAATAAAACTACCACGACGACCACTACTACAACCACAGTGCCAGCCACGACTTCAGGTGGAGCTGCAACTGACAAGGAAACGAGGGAACAAACCGCGTCCTCCCGGCGGCGCGGATCGACCATGAGGATCGTGGAGAGCAGCACTACGGAGACAACGACCGTGAGGTCAGGTGCTGGCGTGGCGGCTTCTTCCGCCCATCAAGGGACTGGTACGACTTCTAGGCCAGCAGCAGCAGCAGCTCCGGCGTCGTCCACCGGCGCAGCTCAAACTGTGGTACAGTCGTACAGCCTAGTGCAACATCATCCGACTGCGGGGACGATACAGCGAGTAGGGGGCACAGGAACAGGATCTCAAGCGGTGGCACAACAACAACCTCCGAAGGAGAGCTCAAGCAGTGTTTCTGCGGATGCGAGGGGCGTCGGGTTTTCGGCCTCTTCCACTTCCTCCAGTAGTTCTTGTGAGGGAGCTGCACAACATCAGCCAAGTACTGCTACGCTGGACCCTGGCAGCATTCCTGTGCGAAAATCCTCCGCGGCGGCTATTGTTTTGAACAGCAGCATCGGAATGAGCGGCTCCGGTCTTGGTCTTCTCTCCTCCTCCGCCTCGTCCTCCGCCGCAGGGGAGGGTGGAACTACAGCAGCGACCACCTACACGACGATCGCCGGAACCACGGTTGCTGCGTCATCCAGCACGGCAGCGAATGGTAATATCCTCCAGGCCCAACCCCTTGCATCTCCCCCTGCCATCCGAATCGCAGGCGTCACGACCACGGCACTTCCAAACCGCTCCAGCTCTCCAGCGAAATTGGTGACGGCCGCGAACGCAAGTCCGGTCAGCGCTGTCGTGAACAGCACTTCCGGCGGACAACCGGGAAATAAAACGACCACAACAACGATTACCACCCGGCGCTTCACGAGCGAATCTTTAGGAAGGCAGGCCGCGGATGCGTATTACGGGCCCGGCGGACCGGGGTACCAACCGCCCGTCTCCTTGACAAGCTACCGCCTGGATAAGGAATTCAACCCGTCGAGCCAGAGTCTGATGAGCACCGCCAAACGCTGGCTGGAATTACCGGACCAGGCCCACATATCCAGGCTACCGGGGTTTCAAGGTAGGAGTTGGTTTTTTTTTGATATGATCGTGTTCGATGCGGTAGCTTCTCGAGGCTGAGTGCTGCTGCATCAAATTTGTTGGAGGTGCTGTGTGAAATCGACGCGTGCACTACGTACTTTCTTATGCTGAAAAATTCTACATCATGAAGACCCCCAATTTATTGTTTATTACAGGCGGTCTGAACAAGGGCATTTATCTGGCGGAGGGGAAAGGGATCGAGTCCAAAATCATCAAGGTCGTGGCCGCCGGGAGTCAGCATCCGGGCTTACTTTCCGAAGCGGAGAACTGCATGAGGCTAAAGAACGAGGTTTCCGGGCTCAAGAATGACCAGGCGATCACCTGTCCCGGCCTCATCATAAGGGTTGAGCATCGCTCCCCTGAGACCAATGAGCCAGAGGTACAAATAGTTTGATAGAGTCGTTTGCTTCATCATCATGATGTGCAGCATTTCCTGGCGTATATAGTGAGCGTGAAGATGATCATCTTCATGCGCATCATAAAAGTCGTATGTGACGAGCAAAAAGGAATGAGATTCATCGCTCGAGTTCATACCAAAAGTAAAACCAGTTGCTGGACGTGATTCTGATGCGCAAGGCTCGTGGCACGCGGCTTTCCGAAATTTTTGCGGACATGATGACGCGCAAGGAGCTCCTCCGGGTCGTGGACATGTTGCGGCAGTTCGGAAAGTTCCTCAAAGCCTTCCACACCCGGTACCCCGGAAAGCAGCATGGTATCGCATGTTGTGTGAATGGGGTTGCATAATTACGTGGTGAAGATCTCTCTGTTTGCGATGTTTCTCCAGCTCCTCCTCCTTCATGCCTCTGTACAAACATTTCATTGCTTTTCAACACACATACAAAATGAAATCTCAGGCGACGTCCAGCCTTCCAACGTTTTCTGCGACCCTTCGGCCGGTCACTTTACCCTGATCGACATGGGCGGCATGGGCCAGAAAACGGTGAAAAACGATCTGGAGCATTTTAGCGAATCGCTCAAGCTCATGGGGGACTCCTACGGTGCAGACTTTCGGATCAAGGGCGACTCGGCGTTCAAGGAGGGGTATCGAATGCAGATGACAAAAGAATTCAAGGCGTACCCGATTCAGGGAAGCTAACGTGCAGGGGATTGCCCGGATCCGGAGTCGCTCTCCTGCCGCTGGTGAGCGAGGATGTAGTAGCCCTCTCGACAAGGATGATTTTTCTCAAACGGACGATCCGCTTCGTTGACATCACTCTGTGGATGTTCTCACAGTTGATGCACGCTGAGGCGCGGCCAACAGATGTTTGAGTCGAGCACTTTAATTGTCACACATGGACACGCAAATGAAAATGAGTGCGCAGCGAAGATTTAGACCCCGAGGAAGTTCAAGAACACAGCCAGCACGGAAACTGAAATGATGGAGCGCAGTGGTATTCAGCTGCTCGCTGCGGTTTTCTCCGGCCGTATTGATTTGTGTGGCGCTCGCGCGTTTGTGTTCGTTCCGCTTCTGCTCGACCTCGTGGCAGAGGCAGCAGTGAACGTATATAGCTCTTGACTGATCGCGATCCTTGATGTTAGTGTTGCGCAGAGTGTGAGGGCCGCTGCGCTTACCCATACGACGAGGGCGGGCAGAGTCATAGGGGACGCGCGCCGCGGCCATGGTGGGCCCGCCGGCCTCTCGCTCGCAGCGCCGGCGGCAAGAGCCTGCGCCCCGCGAGGGCTTGCCCACCTTTTTGCAGAGCGAAGCGGCCAGCCTTGGGCGACCCGCCGGCCTCGGGTTTTCCGGCCGCCCCCCCCTCCGCCTATGAAAACGGCGGCCCGGGCCGGGCTGTGCTTCTGCATGCAAAGGAGGCGCGAGGCGCGGACGGGTCTCGCGCCGGTCGGCCCGCAAGGGCGCCGGCCCTTCGCCGGGACCTACAGTTCAACTGCGCCAGCAGTACCGACAAGGGGGGGGCGAGAGTGCTGCGGGTTGCCTTCACGGCTGCCTGTTGGCTTCTTGGGGTTACTTATGTCGACCCTGATGAGGGGCGGGCCCCCGCGCGTCCTTCCTGCGATGTTTGCGCGCGTGCGAAAAACAAACCAAGGCAAGAAGCCAGGGCCTATGTCTTCACCCACATCGTGGTCGAGCCACAACAGGGGCCGGCGCTTGTGTCATGGCGCGAGATTCTGCCAGAGCTTATCGGAAGCAAGGGCGCCATCGCCTCCGCAGTTACGAGCGCGCAGGGGGTGGAGATGAAGAAGCCTGCTCCGCATTGTAGGCATGCACTTTCCCAAGGCGCTGCCGTGGATCAGGGGGGGACCGCCCTCCGCCAGCGCTGGCCCGGACAGACTAGCCTCCGCCGGCTTCGTTATTACCCACCGCGCGGCGACCGACGGCCGGGGCAGCTGCTTCGGCGCCTCCCGGCCCCGGTTTCTTTATTGTTTCCAACGCCCGCAGGCGCCCCACACCGAAGCCGCGGGGCATTTGGGGGGCCGGTCCGCGCAGCGAGCCCGCCGGCCCGTGCGCAGGCCCCGCTTCGCGGAGTTTGCGTGAAGCCGCCCGGGGCGGGTCGCACGCGCGGCGTTTGTCGGGAAGCCCCTCGGCCCTGCCCGCCGCGCGCCTCCGCCCGCAGGGGCTTGACACACACAGGCGCCGGGCGCTCTTCGTTTCTTTGGGCAGCCCCGCCCGGGGCCAGAAGGCGGGCGGGGCGGTTTGTTATGGCCGTGGCGCGGGCCCTGCGTGCCGGCCCGCCTGGCTGGCTGGCTTTCGTCTGTCGCGAGGGGAGGGGCGAACGATGTGAAGAGCTAAAGGCCCTGGAGACGGGCTTCCGGAATACGCGGCCACATTTCAGGGAGAAGAGGAAGGCTCTGGAGAGATAGGCAAGGCCTTGCCTCTGTGTGTGTGGTATCTATGCGCGAGGGTGTGGCGCCCGCCGACGTTTTTCCCTCAGGCAGACGCTCGCACTTCCGGGCGATAAGCCTGGGCGTGGGGCATGTGTGTGTCGCCATTATCGCGAGACTTTGCGCGGTGTTGCTGAGTTCCCCCGACTTGGCCCATTGTTTGCCAATCGGCTGCGCGCGGACGGTAGGGCGAGTGTATGGAAGCGCCCCCCCTCTTCTCACTGGGGGGGGGGGGGGGCGCCGAGTGAGAGAGCCGCCTGCCGGCCCGCGCGCTTTTGATTGTTTTGTCAATCATGCCATTCTTCACAGAAGGCTGATAGCTGGGGCCTCATTTAAAATCAAATTTATAAAGAAAATAAAGGGGGCGCGCGCCAAGGCCCGGCAGCTTCTGTTCTATGTTCGGGCTTCATTGGTCCTAGTAGGAGTCTTCGTTCCCGTTGTTCTGATTTTCTACGAGCGAGAAGAGTATTGGTTTCAACACTCGGGACGAGGCTGCTCGGTTGTTCGAGAATGAAAGACCCCCTGGAGGGGGGTTGTTCCGGATATCAGACGAAAAAGAGGAAATTTTTTTTGTTAGAGAAGCAAGCTAGAAGGTCCAACGACTGTAAAAAACCCTGAGTGTTGATGACCCGGCGCTCCTAGAGCGAGGAGCCTGGTACAACTGGTGGACGTGCCCTCCACCGCCGTTGCGAATCGCAGGTTTGCGATCGCAATTCCTGCTACCGTGTCATGAATATGACTTCACTCGTACCCTCTCCCGACGATAATTCCGGCCTGGAAGCAAGCAATACAGGAACAACACCTTCGCACCTAACAGCTGTGCCGACGCACGAACAAGGAGTGGATCAACATGCTGGGCCAGCATCCGCTGGAGGCAGGACCGAGCCGGGAATTGGCCAGGAGCAGAAGTACTTTTTGCTTTTCACTGTTAGTCACAGTTTTGTGCGTGGTAAGACATCACTGCTGGTGCTACAGCACGAAGCCGTTTGTTGTTGCCTTGTCTCGAGATCTTGTGCATCCAATGCAAATGCAAATCCAACTGGTAGTTGGAATATGAACAAGAATGTGAAATCCAAACCACGACTTCATCGCCACCAGTTCATCTGTTACTCGCGGTGGGGCCCGATCGAGTTCACCCGCGCAACAAGAGAACAAGGACCCCGGCGCTAATATCACACCACAACAACCTGGCGCGATGACAACGAGCCCAAGTGAGATGAGCGGTGCCCCTGCGAGCAAGCTGAACCAGCTGGATACTCCACAACAGCAGCATCAAGCAGATAGTGACGACAGTAACAATCCGAGCGATCGGAGTTTTCGGCCTATAGAGGAGGTCTGTGCGGTGCAGAGCTATCCGCAGAGGATAGAAAGCCAGGTCACGTTGTTGGGAGCAGGGGAGGTGGATTCGGGCGGTAAGACGCCGGTACGGGCACAGAAAAGCAATCTCTCCTCGCCCATGAACAGGTCACCAAACAAATTCCCCAAAAATGTCTCGTTCCAGAGCCGGGTCAGTGTCGTGCAGGTATTATTGCGAACATCTTGTTCTGGCATAGATGAAGCAAGATTTGGATAGTTGATTGTTGTAGTGCATGGAGATGATGCATCACAGTCGTGTCGACAAACAGGTTGTGATGTATGTCGAAAAAAAAAACGCGAACACCATCACTTCTAAGGTAGAAAGCGTGAAGCAGCAGCAGAGTGATAGGAGGCGACCAGATCCGGACGCGGATGGTTGTTGCGGACCTAGTGGTGGGCTGATGCACACGCCGCCGAGGAACGTGCCGGATAACCAGGGGAGGGTCGTGCGCCTGAACCTGATCCACGTTGCTAGGGGAAACATGCTGTTTGGGGTACATGCAGGTACTAACAATGCAGCTGATGTGTCAGTAGTTATAGTTGAATGCTCCTGTCGCTTCTGCGCCAAATGCATGTAAAAGAAAACGCTTCATGATGAGATGCTAAGTCTAACTATCCTCAATTTGTAATCTAGGTCTTCGCGAGCTTGACATAATGCACGTTCCGAAACCACTGCGGCAGAAGGGCTTGAAAGCAGAAACCTGGAGAGAAATGACACTCAATCTAACGAAACTGCAACAGTATTTTTGTCATACTTGCTTTTCTGTAGCATCACCTTTGTATTTGTTTTTTGTGAAAAATTAGTTTGTCGCTGTACGTCCTCGTGTGGCGTAGTAGTTCAAGTTCCCACTTGACTCCGTCTCACATGAAAATCATCAAACTAACCTGAATTGCGAAGTAGAGCGATGGTGAAAATTCGAAATTTCCAGAAAGCATATGATTCCGTGGATGCGGCTTCCGTCAAATAAGGACAAGCTGAGAGACTGCGCGAAAAAGTGGGACGCGGAGATGCGCATGTGGTTTCAGTCCTGCAACGACGTTCTGAAGCCGATAGGTGTCTATCTCCAGCCGGCGTCACACTGCGAACCTCACCAGAACCGTATTTAATCTTCGACCTTGTGGCAACAAACTGAGTAATTCCAAAAAAAATTTAAGTCGCAAAGATTGCATCGACGATGCATCTGCAAACGTGTTCTACATGGACATCGTATAGATACAAAACAAAATCAAAAACTATAGGACGCGGGCGCGTGGAGAGGTGGTTTTCGTTTGCCCTGACCGCGGATGAGCGGGATTCGTTGATGGAAGAACCTACCATGTTTGGATACATCCGTCCCGAGGAGGCAGATTTCATCATGCACCCACCCTACACTTGGTATTGATAGGTAAGCAGGGTTAAGATGAGTTCTTCCCTTCAACTGCTCGACGTCAACTAGGACGAAAAAGTACTTCTTCACCTCCAGACCATGCTGAATTGGTCGACGCTGGTTCTTGAGAATTCATTCTAACGGTTCAGGAATCAAAAGAAATAAACCAACAAATTCTTCTAACGATAAGGACAAAATTTCTCTACTAACTCATCGTCACTCTGTTGAAATTTCAATTACAATTTTCAATGTTTATGATTATATCCGAAAGAAAAGGCCGCTGACGTGGTCACTGAGTCTGACATAGCATGACGTAGTCACTGAGTAGGTACAGCATGATGAGCAAATCCAAATGTAGAATGAGTTTCACTACAAGTAAATCTACTAATCACCTTGAGCAAGAAGAGCTTCCAAATGATCCAGAGAGTTAGCTAAGAAGCTGTGTGCAAAACATGGCTTCAAATATGAGATGAGTACAAATGCATCACAGCGATGAAAAAATCTTCAACATGCTTGTACAAAAACTAATTTTGAATTGAGGAGGCGCAGTGGTTTCAATTTCATCGACTTGTCGTGGCATGCGGCTCTCGCCAGTGCGATCTACCAGATGAGAGTGCCCAACTGCAGGGCGGGCGTCAGCGCTGTTCACTGGTGGTGCACGTAGTGCACAGCAGGAGGAGGGGGGCATGATTTTTGTGGTCATTGTTTTCTTTTTTGTCGTAGCCGGATGATCACAGCTATCTTCGTGAATCTCAATTATGAGCACCGGCGGGTGTAGAGATGATCGTTTGCTAGCTTCTTGTCCGATCAGATCATCATCGGTCTTTCTTATTGGGGATCAGGTTCTGCTTCAGGGTCATGCAGCGTATCAGGTGCTATATAGAAAGTGAAAAACGCACCTCGATCTACTTCGATCTCTTCTACCTGCTCGAGAGTGTGAGCGATGATCCTTGTTGTGGTGCTGATGATCCGTCTTTGTGAAAAACTTTGGTAAAAATGTAAGTACGAAAACGAAATTTCGTACACGACGGCCAGTTTTCCAAGGAGGTCGTTGGTCACACTGATCATGTTGAGGCCGCTAACCCGGTACATTCCACCCTCTCCAGAAATGAAAAAATATGGCTACCTTGTCCAAGATTCAGAACGCGACTGCCACATACGTCACATGCCGTGTGGAAAACGACCTAGCCGGGCTGAAGCTGACGCAATGGATGCGCAGGTATGTGTCCAAGGATTGGCGGCAAATCCAGAAGTTCTACCTGCAAAAACGGATTTGGGTGGTGCCGGAAAACACGCCGTTGCAGTTTCCAACACCAACGCCGGCGAAGGAGATCATAAAGATTGCACCAAATGCGAGCTTCGGCTCAGGCGGGATGCTGGGGGAAGATGCTCTTTCAGCTTCTGCTAATCAGTACAGCGTGGCTTCTGGACCATCGGTGTGCAGCATCGACGAACTTCTCCCCGAGCATGACCGCGGACGATGTCCTGGCACTTCTGAGACCGCTGACGACGTCCTGGCTACTCGTCGACCCGGTTGTACTGATGATGCCGAAAATAAATTACCGGCAGACACAAGCAACCCCGTGCCTGTCTGGGCCCAGCCGGATGAGAATGGCGAGGTACGAGTGATACCGCCAAAACGAAAGGGACATCGACACGGTGATCTGAAGGTAAAGCGGGAAAAGCCCCGTGGGGAGAGAATCCTCAAAGAGGGGGAAACAGTTGTGTTTGCGAGGGCGTGCGTGCATAGGAAGTTCCGACATTTGCTACCGGAGCGGGTGGTTGGAGAAGCGTTGGACGAGGAAAGTAAAGAGGATAACGGGGGAGCGGAAACTTCAACCTTCACGCCTGGAAATGATGACGAAGAAAGAGGCGTCGATGAATTACAGGGGCAAGTGTGTCGTCGTGAAAGAAACAAAACGAAAGTGGTCGACGCAGCGCCTCCTCCGTCCACCTCCTCGTTTACCACGACCGATCCAGACCTTGTCCCCCTTGCGCCAGCAACGGCACCGGAGGAAAAGCTGCGAGCGCTCTGCTCCCGCGTGCTGTTTCTGGACACAGACTACCTTGTTTTCGACAAGCCCGCCGGGCTTCCCTGGGGCGCGACTCTGCACGGGTCGGAATTCAGCCTGCGTACGCTCCTGATCTGGTATTTGCACAAACGAGAACTTGAAGTGCAAAAACTCGCCGCTGAGGGGAAAGTGAAAAGAAAGAAAAACGTCGCGAAAAAACAAAAGCAGCTGCAGTGGGCCATGCGAAAGCTGGGGCGGGAAAATGGGGAGGCGATTAGTACCGCAAAAGCAGCTACGAAAGCCGTCAACTACGAGACAGGCGAAGAAATGGAAATGACAGATGAGGCTACAGAAGAGAGCGAGGATTGTAGTTCCTCGGAGGACCAAGCAAATGATAACACCGAAGATGCAGCAGCGAAACAGAAGGAACCTATACCCATGATCGAGGACGAGCTGTTTCCAGTTCACCGTCTTCCCACGGACATGGCGGGATGCATGATAGTTTCCCGAAGCGAGACCGCTAGTGTGCACGCGAAGGAGGCCAGCAAGGCAAGGACGTTTGCGCAACACAAGTATCTCGCTGTGGTGAGGACAGTCGTCTCCGATAGAGATAGTTGTACTGAAACAAAGGACAGGCAGCAGCACGGCGGTTCAGGAGGAGCCTCATCGACGTCTAGCAGCACGATTGCCCCGTTCTTCTTTGCGGACAAGCAGACCTCGTCGGCCAGAAGAAAGTCCGGGGCGTTTTCCGTTCTGAGATTACCCATGCGCTTAGACCCGGTGTTGAAGATCCTTTTACCAGCGCCGCCAGATGTGGGGCAAGACAGCGTCCAAACTGCCGTTCTGCACTACAGGGAGCTTCGGAGAGCCACGGTTGACAATCGCCCCAGGCAGCTGGAAAGAGAAAGCGAGGATGTATTCAGTGGAATAGATGCTGACCTCGAGCATCATACGAAGAAGAAGAACGAGCAAAAAAATAAAACCACCTACTCTCTGATCGAAGTGATTCCCCAGACGCCCGAAGAGCACCTGATGCGGGCGGCGTTGGCCTTTGGCCTTGGCATGCCCGTCGTGGACGATTTGGTTTACGAGAGGGCGCTGCGCTGCAAGGATCTAGCTGCAGAAGGGAGAAGGTGGGAGGACAAAATCGAAGGTATACTGGAGGGACGGCGCGTTTTCGGTTCGAATTGTGAAGGTGGCACGACCTCAGTGGACGCGACAGCGGCGAGAGCTAGTAACGCGTCAGGCGCAAGGGCAAGAACTACAAGCAGTTCATCTACTTTGTCAGTCCTGGAGAAAGCTAACAGAGCTGCCGATAATCTTTCTCGTGTCGTGGCGGCTCAAAATGAGAAACTGGTTGACGGTATCGGGGTGTTGCCTACAGCATCTTCGCAGCGCGCCACTGCAACGCAGCTAAATGCAAGAAAGAAGGTGATGAAGTTGCGTCAGGAAAAAAGCGCAAGCACTTCTGAGAAGGAATCATCACCACGGACTTCTGTCTTCGACGCTAGGCGGTCACCTACTTCCGACGGTTCGACCTCGCCCTCGGCCGAAGCCACACAAACTAAGTCAGCACTACCGGCTGCCTCCATTGTCTCCGTCCAGCCCGAAGACTTCGAGGACATCGTCGACTACTCGAGATCGTTGCAAAAGGAGAAGGAGGCGACGCATTACCTGGAAGAGGAGAAAAAAGCCGAGGAAAGCTTTCGAAGACGAGCATCAAGAATGAAAAAAGTGCAGAAGCTCCGGGAGAAGGGGCCTTTCGGAGAAGCAAAGAAAGCCTCAGGAGGTGCGAAAGATGACAACACGCAAGCGAAGATGCAAATGTATCTGTGGCAGGTTACCATGCGAACCTTTGCCGGCAAGGATGTTGTTGTGAAAGCGAAGCCGCCAACCTATTTGGCACAAGCGATTCAAAGCCACTGGGGCAGCAGTAGCGATGCTGCAAATTACATTGGACGTACTACAATGAACCACGCGCCTTAACCTGCAACTACGTCGAGAACTTTCTCTGCTCGTCAACATCAAAAGACTATAACATGATCAGAGGCCAGGACGATGCAGCGAACGGCTGCCTCTTGATGTCGCTCTTGAACAAATGAAGATTACAAGACTTTTACAAGAAATGCAAGAAGTCCTTTTGTTCCCGGAGATACTTAAAAAGAATGCTCGAAATATTAAGCAGAGAGAGCGGAAGTAGCAATTCGGTTTGACGTCTGTATTGATTTTTTTGTTCGCACATGCGATTGAAAAAATTTCACGGATCTTCATAGTTGGAGCCGGTGCCGGAAATGTCCCCAGAGTGGTCGTCGTGAAGAGCGTTTTTTTTTTTTCAGCTGCAGTTCCTGCAAAACTTTTTCCGCTCCCCGTGCTGACCCCAATCTAACTACACCCTATGAGTAGAGAAGTCCCCTACGACATCAAATGTATGATTATTTTCGTTGTGCCAGCAGTATAAAGTATTACCAGGCGTTTGACGCATGTGTACTAGCATGATCGGTAAAAAACGTTGACCTCCGCTTGGAAGATTCCTAACTTGGATCCCAATGTAATTGTAAAGTCTTTCTTCCCACTCCCACTGCATATCATCAAAATGAACAAGTCCGCGTTGGCCGCCCTCGATAAGAGGGACCACGTGGACCCGAGCTCGAAGCTCTCCCTTCCCGAGCAGGGCCGTCCGTTGTACGTTCTGGGTGCCGCCGCGAGCTTCTGCAAGGAGCCGATAAAACCAACGCTTGAATTTTCCTTCGAGAACCCGGAGTGTCGATTGCACCTCTACCGCGTGAAGGTCGCCTCCCATGGGATCCGCCCGACCTGGCCCACGGACGAGATGCTGGTGTACCTGGATAGCGACCAGGGCGATTTTTTGTTGGACGTTCACGAGTACATCGACCAGAAATCCGGAAAATTCAAAGTCTTCGCGCAGGGCGAATTTTGGATCGTGGAAAAACTGTGCTTTCCGGGTGAAGATGACGAGATGGGTGTTGAACAAAATGGCGAAAACAAGGAAGGGAAGAATGGCGGATCAACAAACAGCACATCTGCATCCGCGTCCTCAGCATCGAATGAACGACCGAATAATTATGTTGAGATGAAGCAGCGTCTTCCACCGCCTGAAAACAAGACTACCGAGGAAGATTCCGCAACCACGGTTTCTCTCCTCACCTTTACCCTCGACGTCGTCACCAAAATCGTCGACAACCGCCCCGGTTTCACCCGGGGGCACAAGGTCTTTCTTAACCCGTCTCTCCAAGAGAGGAGGAATCAATCCGCTTCAGGCTATTTCCTGACTTTCAGTCGTCCGCGGTCGGAACCCGGGCCGGTATCCTCCATTGGGGACGGCGATAGTACCTGGCTGGCCGAGAGTGACGAGGAGGAGTTTGAGGATATGAAGGAAGTAATCGACGAACCGTTGGTGCACGCAACGTATTTTGAAAACATCGTCGACATCTTCAAAGAGGGGCTAAAAGGCCCGGGGACGAGTGCAGCAGGAACGTCGGTTGGGAACAACTTGACCGCGTTTGACCAGGCCAACGCGAATGCACTTGCCGGGGCGAACCGGGAGCAACTCGCCGGTATGCTCAAAGCCGGTGGCGCGCGATCGCCCGCGCCATCCAGTAGCGCCGGAGATCCCTCCTTTGCAGCGTTGTCGCCTACGACTTCACGGGAGGAGCCTGCGAATATTCATAGGGCAGGCAACAATCATCAGCAAGTCTTCCCAGCAGCAGGAGGGCCTTCCCGTGCAACAGGAGAAGAAAGCACACGCACGACAGCCCAAACAAGTAGTGTACAAGATAACATGAAGAAAGACTCCTTCATCCTTCAGCCCCTACAGAAAGCGATGTCAACGCCGCACAACCTTGCCTTTCACCCCGACTCGCGAGGTCGAATCGGCTCCCCCAAAGCAGACCAATTTAGCGGCACGCAGTCCCCGGATTCCGACCACAACGCGTCGAACGTTCTCTCCCGCTCCGGATACGCCGCGCCGCCGCGTGCGCCTGGGCAGATGAAGCCTGGACAACACCAACAACAAGCAGACAGAATCTACTTCGCTCCCTCCGTCGACAAAATCGAGGGGCTGAGACGGAAGCCGGATCTGCTGGTTGAGATTAACCCGGATGCTGTGAAAGATAAGCGCGTGCTAGTGGATCGAATCCACAAGTCCACCATCGCGATCGAGGGCGGGACCATTAAAGCGTCGCATTTGAAGAACATCCAGCCCGTGCTACCGAACGACTTGCCGGAAGATTTAAAAGCGGCGATCGTCAACCCCTTCGACTTCGAGGCCGTGCCGATCATCGACTACAGCTTACCGAGAGAGAAGCTCTTACCCTTGTTGGGGAAAGCGGCAAAGGAAATCGGGTTTTTCTACCTCGTGAACCACTCCGTCGAACCGGAGCTGATGGACGCCGTGTTCAAGAACGCGCAAGTGTTTTTCGATTTGTCCCAGAAAACGAAGGAAAAATACCTGATGAACCAAAGCGAGGCGATGACGGGGTACTTCGGCAAGGGGATGGAAAACCTGGACGAAGTGTACGACGAGGGCGAGGGGGCGCTGAGGATACCGACCGAGACGTCAAAGGAAGTTGTGGGCGCGACTAGTGATAGGGTCGTTTACGCCGGTACCACTGGAACAAATGACGAGGACACGACTACCGCCAGTCAAGATAAACCCAACGCGAACCCAGTGAAGGACGTGAACCCGCAGGAGCAGGTCCTTCCCCCCGTCGCGAGGCAGGATTGCAAGGAAGGCTTCGATATGCATTGCAAAAGTATCGTACTCGGTCGTACTAATTGCAAATATGCATGACAAAATATTCGACCCCGGACCCCCCCCGGGCTTGAGCTGCGCAGTCTGTTAAGCATGACAAATATGCCTTTCTAGTAGGTGAATCAGCATTACAAATTCCATTTTTCCTTTTGAGAAAATTTGTGATGCAATTCATACTAATATGATACTTCTGCAATGCATATTCGACATGAATGGCAACACGGCCGGGTCCCGCAGCGCCGCGAATCTGAAAGCGGCGAGCAGCGGCCGCTGGCTGGAGGAGTCGGACATGCCGGACAAGGAGGTGCCGGGCTTCACTCCTGTCATGCGGCGGTACCAAGAGCAGGTGCTAGATCTCTCTCTGAAGTTAATGGAACTTCTCGGAACCGCGTGTGACTTGAAGGTGAAAACGTCGGTAATCCACGCCGACAGGCATACCCGCAGTACGGGCGGGCTGCAGAACAACAGCAATAGGGCGGATGGGTCAACATCATCTTCAAAAAGTCGCTCCACACCGCCTCCGAGATTTGAGGATTCCCAGAAAGTTCTCGCAGAAGGGGATCATGAGGTTGAACAAGAAGTTGAAGATGACGCACACTACGACGACCAAGTTCTCCGGCGGAGTTGCGACAACGCCGTTTGTCACCACCGGATTCTGCACTACCCGCCACTTCAGGATTACCACAACGAAGTCTCCATCGGCGCGCACGTGGACTACGGGTTTCTGACCATGCTCGCGCAGGTATCGTAAGGAAGAATCCCCCCTCCCCATATCGAAAAGGGACACTTCTTAAAATTTGTGATGCTGATTTGAGACGCCAAATCGTCTCTGTGTTGCAAGAAGGCGAATCCAAAAACTCCGCCGCGTTCTGAAGGCAATTTGTAATGCTGGGCGGCCTACGGAGGATGCGCCTGTCTTGCCACGCGCCTACACCAAAGCGCCCCTGCTGCGGCTTTGCATCTGGTTGCAGTCTTTCACTGCAAGGCAAAGCCGATTTGTGTACCCAAATCCCGCGTCACAGATTTCCATTTCGATATGGGGAGGGGGGATTTTTCCTTTTGATAGCAGGACATGGTCGGCGGCCTGCAGGTGCTGAACGCGAAGCGACACGTATCATTTGTAAAAACGTTCCCACCCCAGAGTTGTCATGCAAATGCACAATGACAGGAACATTTGTAATGCGCATCCCCTTGAGAGGCATTTCCAGTCGTGTTTTGGAATTTGTAATGCTGTAAACAGGATAAGTGAATGGCTTTCTCATGCGGCTTTCCTTGCTAACCAGCACTACACTGCAGATGGAAACTTATCATGCAGAACTCCCAAAACTTGGAGACTTGTGTTGCAGATTCCCCATCTTGACTATGGTGTGGGCACGTTTTTGCGTAGGATAACACGCCTGGATTCACGTGCCGCCAATCAAGCACGCGTTTGTGGTGAACTTTGGTTCCATGTTGGCGCAGTGGACCCGGCACAAGATAAAAGCGACCATCCACCGGGTCGTGAACTTGTCCACGGCGGAACGGTATTCCAGTCCGTTCTTCTTCCGCCCGAGCCTGACGACCGTTCTGGACCCGAGGGTTTTCGATAAGGAGAGGAAAAAGGATGTTGACGATGACGACGAACCGGCATTGACGTGCGAGCAAACGCTGATGCACTTCTACACGAAATCCGGGCAGGCAAAGGAAGGGAAGAAAAAGTAGAAGATGTCGTGAGTGTCGTTGTCAAGGACGGGAAGATGAAGTAGAGTGTTGCGGAGTACACGTGCTATTCCTAGTTCGTTGTTGCAAAGTAGAAGTTTTTCCAAGTAAGAAAATACCCCGATGAATTTTCCTTATTTCAAATCCTCGTCAAGGTTAACAGCCTCGTCGAGAAACCATAACACTCCTTGTTGGGCACTTTTGTCCTGAAGAGATCCTCGTTTTCCACCAAATCACGAAATTGAAAAAGCTTCACGACAAGAACTTTACTCTGCGGACAGCAGATGTTGTGTGATTGTGTCTCATTACGCTCAGCACACAAGAAGAAACGCAGCCTGCGTCTGCGTCTGCGCCGTGGTTCCCTTCGAAAATAGATAATCCTGTGAGAGCCTGGTTACCGCATGAGGAAGTGGCGTGGGAGCAACGACAGGAGAGAATTCAGAGGGTTGTAGAAGGCTGTCTTGTTCTCAGTACTGTATGTGTCGTGTGCACCTGCACTGCCACTGGCTGCCAGCAGCGTTCGTAAAAGAAAATAAAGACGCAGCGAGAACTTTCGCTTTTCATCCAATCATGTCGTCCCCCCCAGACGGCGGGGGCACCAGCCCCGAATGTTGGGGCCCCGACCTGTTCGCGGGCTACAACTTTCCGCGGGAACAGATTGGTGGTTCTTCGTCGTCTTCGTTTCGTCCGCCGGAGCGAACAAGTTCTGCCGATGCAGAAACCGACCGCGCGCTGGTGCACGGCGCAACATCGGCAAATTTGCTTTCGCGGTCAGTTCTCCCACATGCAACCGAGGGTGAACAGCAACACGACCACCAGCCGCCGTTTCTTTTCATGCCGAGCGAGCAGCAGCCGCAGCCGTTTCTGTTCGGGCAATTTGCCGAGACGGTTTCGGACTCGAAGCTGCGGGAGTTCGGGTTGATCGGCTGGATCCAGTCCTCTCTCGACGAGTCGATATTGCAGTCGACCTCGATCAGGTCAAGGGAGAAGGTCGAACAGCTGTTTGGCATGAAGTTCGACTACAGTCAGTTCCCCAAAGTCGTGGTGTCTCACACCAACCCGAAAACCCCGGACGGGTCCGGACCGTCTCGCGCCGCGAAAGCGGGTATCGTTGAGGGGGACCAGCTGATCATCGCGGCCGGGAGCAGAATCACGTCTCTCGCCACGTGGAAAGGCTCGAGTCCGGACGGCGCGCTGTTGGAGCAAGCGAATGCGAAGGTGGGGAAGAAGGAGAAGTGCAGTTTCATCTTCTACCGAAAGAAATACGTGGGGGAATACGTCCAATTACACTACTCCGGCTCCTCCGGTCTGCCGGTCGGGATCGAGTCGGACGGGGAGAAAAACGCTCTGTCGGCCGATCCACCGCCGGGTTCGTGGGCGGCGAAAGTGGGCCTGAAAGCTGGGGACATGGTCTTGATCGCGGGGAACGACAGCATTGTCCGGCACCCGGAGAGGCTCGCGGGGTATTGTAGTGGGAACAGTTCCTGCGACTTCTTCATCCGCCGCTCGGGCGGCTTTGACTCGGCAACGACCAGCCACCAGCCGGACCTGGGTCGGAAACTGCCGTCCGCCTGGGGCGTTGCAATGGCCAGCACGACTGCTGCATCCGCCGTTCTTGGCAGTGCAGCTGCCAGCGCAGCCAGCCCAGGAGCTGGCGCGAACAGATCGACCGCTGGGGGCGGCTCCACCTCTCCGCCGCCCTCGAGCGCGGAGGCACTGCCGTTCATGTACGGAACTTTCGCCGAGACGGTGAGTACAAAATCGCTGCGCGAATACGGTTTCATCGGGTGGATCCAGAGTTCCGCGTTGGACGAAGGTATCATGAAATCGGAAAGACGCAGCAAGGAGAAACTGGAGAAGCTGTTTGGGCTCACCTTCGACTGGTCGCAATTTCCGAAGGTTTTTGTCACGCAGGTGCACCCCAAGGCCGCCGACGGCGAGACGCCGAGCCGGGCGGCGAAATCCGGAATCGTGGAGGGGGACCAGCTGGTAATCGCGGCCGGGGGCAGGGTGACGAACGTCGCGCAAGTGAAAGCGTCGAGCGCGGAGGGAGCGGTGCTGGAACTCTCTGCGTCGAAGATTAAGAAGGGGGAGCAGTGCAGCTTCATTTTCTACCGGAAGAAGTATGTTGGGGAATACATCCAGTTGCGGTTTTCGAAAAGCACGCACGGCAGTATGGGCGTCGGGATCAAATCCGATAGGGAGAAGAACACGGTCTCTGCTTCGCCGGACCCGGGTACGTGGGCGGCTCTGGTCGGGTTGGAAATCGGCGACCAGATTCTGGTCGCCGGGTCGGATTCCATTGTGAGACATCCGGAGCGGCTGGCAAATTACGCAAATGGGGAGAAGTCCGTCGATTTTTTCTTGCGCAGATCCGGTGGATTTCATAAGGCAAACGGCACTCACGAACCCAACCTGCAGCGCAAACTCCCGTCCGCATGGGGGATACAGGGAAAAGCGACGACGCACCCGGCGAACGCCGGGGGTGCGGCGCCGGCCGCGACAAAGTCCATGGCTGCTGCGCCTGCACAAGATTCCTCGAAGTCGCCCGCAATGTTGGCCAGCGCTGCTCTAGGATCAGTTGCAGCAGGTTCCGCAGCTTCAGGATCTATCGCAGCAGCTGCTACCCCTTCAGATCCAAACGCGCCCTACATGTACGCGACCTTTGCGGAAACGGTGTCGACGAAGAATCTGCGGGAGTACGGTTTCATAGGCTGGATTCAGAGCAGCTTGGACAACGAGATCATGAAGTCGGAGAAACGATCGAGGGAGAAGTTTGAGCAGCTGTTCGGGCTCATCCTGGACTGGTCCGCGTTCCCAAAAGTGGTGGTGAAAACCGTCATCCCCAAAGCTGCCGACGGCGAGACCCCTTCCAGAGCGACGAAAGCGGGCATTGTTGTCGGCGACCAGATCGTTTTGCTTGCGGGAACCAGGGTTACGTCCGTCGCCACCATGCAGGGGACCAGTATCGAGGGGGCGGTGCTGCTGGCGTCCGCGGGGAAATTGAAGAAAAAAGAACCCTATCAAATGTAAAAATGTCTGGGTCTGGAAGAATGCATGCTTGTCATGCTGTTTTTGGACTCTAAAAAAATTTGTATTGCATGACCAGCAAGAGAGGTACAATTTGTGCTACACGGACAGGGCATTTCTCATGCGGAAGGTGCATCAGGAAGCCCTCTAAAAATCTGCGATGCTAGGTCATGCATTACAGGCGTCATGGGTCATGAGAAATATGCGTGACAAGTCTTGCATTCTTCCAGACCCAGACACTTTTACATTTGATAAACCCTGCTCCTTCATCTTCTACCGAGCGAAGTACGTCCACGAGTACCTGCAGTTGTTTTACAAACCGTCGGAAACGGGCGATACTAGTTCTGGACTCCACTCCGACGGATCGACGAACGTGTTGTCTAAGGACCCGCCCCCCGGCTCCTGGGGCCACCGAATGGGGCTGCAGAAGGGCGATCAGGTGCTGGTCGCCGGGTCGGACAGCATCGTGAAACACCCCGAGCGGCTGGAAAAGTACGCGGCCTACAGCGGGAACTCCGGCGTGCACTTCTTCTTCCGCCGAACGGGCGGCTTTTCGCCGATCGCGAGGCAGCAGGAGTTCGTAGTTTGGCGAAAATTGCCCTCCGCCTGGGGCATCGAGCGGACGGAGCAACCCGCTGTTGGTGCGGGGATGCAATCGATGGCAGCTGCTGCGTCAATGGCGGGGGCCGGAGCAGGAATGGCATCGACGGCGCCAGGAGCGATGAATATGGGGACTATGGGGCCGATGGGAATGGCGTCCATGGCGCCGATGGGTGGCGGAATGGCCGCGTCCATGGCGCCTGGTGCCTACGGCGCTTCGATGTCACCAGCGATGGCGTCGCGGATGGGCGCCACGATGCCCGCATTCGGCGAACAACCGCAGCAAGCTTTCTCTCCTGCTGCTCCACTGATGGATGCTTCCCTCGCGGCCGCGTTTCTGCAAGGCCAACCTCCGTCCCCCGGATCCAATCGACCCCCGCCGATCACGCCAGGGCCGGTGTCTCCGGTCCGGGTGAAGACGCTCCCCGGCCGGGGGGACCTGATGAATCTTCTCGCGACGTTTTACCCGGACGAAGAAGAGAAGCTAACGGAGCGGGAGTCCGTCAGGGTGCTGGTCAAGAACCTGGTCGAGAAGAAAGCGTCGAATCACCGCTTCCCGCTCGACTGGCTTTCCACCGTCGCGAAACGGCAGAAACCCCGGGCCATCCGGGAGGATGAGTTGGGACAAATGAACCAACTGGAAGATTTGTACTATCACATGAAGCACGATGGGAAGGACGGGTTCAAGTTGGACAAGAACGAGTTGCTGGTCGAGGGGAGCTTCCGTATGCTGGAAGATTTCTTTTTTCTTGATACGTTTTTTTCTTGTTCTGAAAGAATCTTGCTAAGGCTAATTGTAGGTAGTTGTCCCACGATGTTTGTAGTAGTTGTCGTTGTTGATGCAAAGTACCGGAACTACTCCGATTTGAAAAAGAATAAAAACTCACGACGTTCTTGTTCGAATCTGAAATTTCAGATGGTTTTCTCCCGAACGACATGGTCCAAGTCCAGCGGCTTGACCCCGATCCAGCGGATCTCAACGGCTGCAACGTCACACTTGTCGGGATCAAAATGAACGAGCAACCCTGCACAGTTGAACTCCTACCCCAAGATGACAAGCACAAGCACGTCGGCGCCACCGGTTCTTTGGTCCGGCTCAACGCGTATCGGCTGCTAACTGCCCGCTGTCGCGAGGAGCTGAACATGCTGGAAACTTCCCAAGCGGACGTTTTGTTCACGCACAGTGGGAAGATCGGGCGCGTTGAGAGTGTCGGACACGGACCGTACCAGCCGTGGCGGGTGAGGCTAGCGGCCGTCACAGCGGAGGAGGACGATGTCGTCGTCGAGGCGTTCCCGATTTTGCTCAGTAAGTGGATCGATGTTGGGGACTTTGCGCACATGGCGAATCTTGCTTCGGGGGACAACACTGGAATAACGACCTTCGACTTCGTCAACGGTGGCGCAAGCACGAGCCAGGCCGGACCGACCAGAGTGGTGCAGGTGTTGGAACAGGAAGTCGACGAAGCGGGGAGAGATATTCTTACCTGCATCGAAGTCGACGCACAGGACTTGATGGACGAGGAAGGAGAAGATGTTGACCCCGCAGGCGCAATAAGCGAATCGCAGCTCGCGTTCGGCGCTGGTGCGACGCGCGTAGATCAGATCGAGGGAACGGAGTCGAAAAACAAGCAGCCGCGGCAATTCGGGAAATCCTTCAAGTGCTTCCCGGGCGATTTGAAGTACTACCCGCGGGTAGGCTCGACGGTCTGGGTCTCTTCTGGAACCAAAAATATGACCGGAAAGGAGCAGGCTTCTTCCCCGGGGAAGAAGCAAAGGAGACCACCCGCGAACGACGATTTTCTGCGGGGCGTGGTCTTGGCGGGTTACCCAGGCGCGTATTTCCAGGTGCAAGTGACGCGGGACCTGGTCACGGCGATCAAGGTGATACACCTGAACCAAATCGAACGCTACGACCCGTCGTCGGATCTGGAGGAACCGGCTGTGCAGGAGGTACTGTTGAAAATGATAGTATGATTTCGAAATTTGATATGATTTCGAAATTTGATATCTAATTGTCTTTGCCTCCTTCCTTCCTCTTCATTGTTTTTTGCGTAGCACGCTAAGTTCCATTCCACAGGCAGAAAATCAAGTGCAAGGAAAACGAGAAAATTTAATATTTGCTACTAACGATGTAGTATTTACCATTTAGTTTTTTGTTTTAGTTTACTTCAAATGCTTAAAAGATGTATCTCTACTAATAGTATAGGAGTTTGGATGTGCTTGGGTTTCCTCAGTCGCTCTTTAGAAGTGAAATTACTTCTTGGCTCTTCACTCGAAGCCTTGCTTCTCAAGTCAACGTCAAAGAACCATTCTTGTTTTGCTTTCTTCTCTCCTCAGGTCCACTGCCTCACAACCAACCTGGTCAATTCCCTCCTCAACGCCGGCAGTTTCGCTCGCGTGATCGGCTACGAAGCGACAGAACCTGCCCTGGAAAGCAAGAAAGTTCGCGTTATGCGCGAAGACCCGCGGGAGCCGGGGGTTTTCTTTGTAACCCTACCACCCGAATCCCTCACAGCCGCTCTGCGGGAGCAAAACAACGCGATGGTCTGGCGGGTCCCCGACCAACACTTGGACAAAATTCGCGATCCCAAGGCGAAATTTCTCGAGGGCGAGAAGGTCAAGCTGAAGGATATTGACGGGTTAGAGCATAGAATCGCACGGATAAAGACGCTCGAGGACGCAAGGCACGTCTGGGTAAAATTACAAGATGGAAAGATCTTGCGCGACGGGCTGACGACCAAGAATATCATCAAAGCAGGTAATATCGTTCATTGCGAGACTGCTTGTCAGTTTCTTCTTTTGTCTGTTCTTTTGATTATTACGACGCTACTTCCATGAACATGATTACAGTCATGATGAAGAACAAGAACATCAATTATCAAACGCTTCTAAAAACAGAGCAATTCGTCCGCGAGTTGGAGGAACTAGGTCCGATGGAGCGCAGCAAGGTGTTCGAAGCGGAGGCGAAGGAGCTCGCGGCCCTGTACGACTTGCAGCTGCAGGAAATCAGCGCGTGTCAACAACTGCTCCTCCAGGACCAGGAACGATTTTCCTACTTGCTCGCCTCGGCGCAACAAAGGGTGAGGAACAAGCAGGGAACCGTTAAACCCCTGTACTACGAAAATGACGAGTTTGAGGAACTCCTGCCGGTGTTGAAGGCCGGCTTGGATTTCCGCATCCAGGAACTTGTCGAAGACGGACGCCGGATCGAGCGAACGGAAGAACGCTTAAGGCGGAAAATATTCCTCGCGATCCAGGAGTACGAAGTCGCGCTGTTGTGTTCCACCGGCCTGGTCAGCAATCCAGTCCTCCTGAAGCGCATGCGGCAGCAGGAGCGGGTACTGAACCGACAGCAAGAGGCGCTAGATTGGCTGCGGTTCGACCGAGATTTGGCCGCTGACGAAGCGAAACGGTTGCGCCGGGAAGCCTGCGAGCCACGGAATCTACCGCACATCGACACTATCGCGGCGAGCACGGTCGAGGGGTTTCCGATTTTCACGAATTCATCTGCGGGATGAAACTACGTGGGTGCAACAGGATGAGACCAAAGGAAGAAATGAACTTTGAATTTGATGCACATTGAAACCCTTCTACTTCTTACACTAAAGAAAAACCTTCGAAGAAGCTGATTTATGTAAGTTATATTTTGCGCTTTATTGTTTACATGATTCTACTCAACACAACATCCGATGCAATGAATTCAACATGAGCTGTCCCTCGTGCAGCCATCGAATGAGCAGTTTGAGCTGAAGCCATCCAATTTCTGAATACTTCGATTTTATTGCCGACGCCAACCAACGCGACTAATTTTGTTTACACGCTGAACGCAGGACGGAAAAAAAACGGGAAACAAAAGTCGCTCGCTGGTGCTACTGGTCGCTACCACCGCTCGACAATTGTTGGGTTTGATGGTTCTTGGGCAAGGTGCGTGTTTGTGGTGCGGATGCGGAAAAGAGGAAGAGGACCGCAGCATGTTTGTTAAAAAGATTCGGTTCTTACATCGGTCCGCTTTACGTATCGCAGATGATCCACAACGCTGGATAATGCACAAGAGTTGCTCTGTACGCAGATGATCGTTGCAACGCGTCTGCTACGCAGATGTAGATGATCGTGTACTCAAAAACGATGGAAGCGGTCTGGCGGGTGCGGTAAACTTTTTTACGGCTGCTGTGCTTTTCTACCAGACGACTTGCTGAACACGCAGATGGGATTCAGACCTCCGTAGTTTACGTACTTTCGGGAAAACTATACCATCACAGCGAGTACGAGTTCTCGTTCTGGTTTTCTTTCTACCCTCCGGCGCGATCACGATGTCAGCCCCGGTTCCCGCCACGCTTTCCCGAGGACAGAAACTTGTCCTCGGTACGAAGATCAGCAGGTACCTGCTCGCCCGGACCTTCCAACGCCCCATCTATATGTAATGCAAAAAGAACATCGTACTAGAACTGAACTAGTATAAACTGCATTACAAATTTCCTCAGCATGAGAAATGGAATTTCTAATGCGGATTTAGCTTGAGAAGGAAATAATGCATAAATGCGATTACTACGAGTGCGATACTTTTGCAATGCATAATCTACGCGATAAAACGAAACCGCGTCAACTTTCTCATGTTCGCTTCCACGGTCAGTGTGGCCGCGGCCTGCTGGTTCTCTGTCAGGAGAATATCGCCAGGCTGTGTCGGACTCCTCATCAATGACGGGAAGGTACTTGTACATACAATCCTTCCAATTATAGTTTCTCTATCTGCTCGTGAACTTGGTCCCGCCGGTGTTTGATTTTTCGAACTGAACTAGAACATTATAGATGGATCAAGATGAACAAACAAAATTTTTTATCAGGCCCAGCCCCACGTTTTTGATGGCGGGATGCTGCTGATAACAAACCCCCTCCGCGACAGTTACGTGTCCATGCGGCTAAGTCCTGTTCTGAAGCGCTTTATACGCACCTACAAGACGGTAGATGGGAAGGATATCGAGGTAACGATAGATTTCTTCTGCTGCAACAAGCGTTTTTTTGTGCACCAAGGTTTGATGTTGCTCGAGATAGCCCACCTACGTGCTTCCAACATCATACCTCAGATCCACATGCGATGCGCGCTGAAAATCAAGCTGCACTGGGCGCCAGAGATATGGCAAACGTTCGGGCGAGATTTTGGCCGCGGGTTTTTGGAAAAAGAGTTCGACCTCGACGCCAAAGACGTCCTGAAAAAATACACGTTCATCGAACTTACGCACCGACGCTACGCGGACCTGCAGATGCAAATCATCGAGGAACTGAAGGAACGGATAGGGGACGCGTGTTCCTTTCACCATCTGGAACTAAAAGACGCGCACGAGCTGGAAATCGAGTTCCGGTCGCCGCAATTCTGAGAAGAAATGGCTATAGAGTGCTTTCTCTGGTACTGGTGCCTGGTGCTCCACCTCCCTCAATGGACCGATCACCCTCCGATTTTGGCTTTTTGACACATCGTTGAATGGTACTTACTCCATCTGTGCGCATCAACATGGCAAAGTATTATTTCAGCATTGTCCTTTTCAGCGTCGCCGACTTGGCAAAGAGCTTGCGTAGTACGCACACACTTAATATTAAAATCAAAGTGTTCCACCTCGTCGTGCTGTGATAGCGGATTATACCTTTGAGCACATCTACTTCGCCGCGTTTTTGCTCTTGTGTTGCTTCCGAGAATTGTTCTAGGTGCCGTCTCCGATGGCTTTCTCTACCACCAGAAAGCGCTAGTAGTGTACGTATGCAGTTAGATCGGACATAATTTTCATCAGTCTTGACCTTGAGAAGTGTGAGACGAAACGAGATAGATTGTTCACTCTTCTTATATCCTTATCAGCAACATCAACAAGGAAAGAGTTTTTTGCCCTCTTGCTTCCACTAGTACAATGTAAAGCTGCAAGTCGTGTTTCCGCGGGTTCACCAGAAGATGCAGCGAACCATGTGTCCACCGGCTTTCTGCACTTCAGCCACCCCGAGAAAGAAGCTTTTTGAAGATCGTGGACGCGTAGTACGCCACCACCGTTTTTTTTTTCTTGCGGCTACCAACTGAAGAATATCCCACGTAATGCCACTTCGTTCAAACATGAAGAAAGACGCAAGTATTAAAGACGCTGGGACGAGTTCCTGCACTTACTCAGCTCCGACACCAAAAGACTCGCAAGGACCACCGCAGCCAACGGCGACCCGGCGAATGGTTGCGGGCAGCACTGCTGGTCTGGTGGATATGGTGCTCCTTTACCCGATTGATGTGATCAAAACCAGGATGCAGTACGAACCGGGAACTTCAACTTGCTACGCCAGTCGAGCGACTTCAATGACTCTTTCTCCGCCCGCTCCCGCAAAAATCCACTACGGCAAGCCGTGGCAGCTGCAGCTGTTGCCGCGCTTGATTGGTGCCGGGCCGTCAACAGCGTCTACTTCTAGTTCCAGTTCTTCCTCATCTTCGCGGCCGGTGCAAACTGGTGGCGCAGCGGCCTGCTCGACGCGCACTGGAATAGGAGGGTCGTATCCATCTTCACGGGGGACTAATTTGTCGCACCACGGAACAGGAGAGGGCGTAACGCTTAGAACAAGTGTCCCCGCGGATGCTCATCGGCTGTCTCAGCCTGCGTTGCAGACGACGACGAGCAGAAGCAGGACCACAGTACCCAACATACAAGCAAGCTCCAGTATCACCACGTTCCGGCACCCTAGAGGCCCCGTCGGATTCTCGGGAACCATTCATCACACGAATAAGCACCCGTGCTTTTGTCCCGCGGTGGCCGCGCCAGCTGGTTCCTGCGAACCGCATGCTCTGTTGCTGTCAACTGGATACTCTACCACGTCAAGTTCTTCATCGTCATCATCGTCCTCGTCGCAGCGTTTGGCACCTGGGGGAGCATACCAGGCTGTGTGGGAAGGAAGGAACGGTAGTGGGAGCAACTTGTCACGGTACTCATTTCATTCCTTCGGAGGTGCAACTACATCAGCGGCAAGCGACCTCCCCCCACCCAGAGCTTCCAGCTTTCTGCGCCTGCTCGCGACGAGTTTGCGCCAAGAGAAGCTGAGCATTTACCGCGGCCTGTCGTTCCCACTCCTCACGGAAGTTCCAAAACGCGGCTGGAAATTCATGGTGCAAGGGCACTTGGAAGCGAAGTTTTTACAAAGAATAAGCAGCAGTAAAGAAGCAGGGATAGCGAATTTCGCAGGCTGCGCATCACCTTCAACTTCTTCTGTCGGCGCCACACGGAAGATGAGCATCGCTACCAGAAACATGAGAATAACCCCTCCACCCCCCCGGTCCGATCGCTACCAAGCGGCTTTTGCCGCGGGCGCTTTGACTGGTGCCAGTGAGGCGCCGATCGTGGTGACCTCCGAGCTGATTAAGGTGCGGATGCAGCTCCCAGAATACCGCCACGAGTACAACCGCGGCCTGCTCGACGCGATGGCGCAGGTCTACCGCAAAGAGGGCCCGGTCGCCCTTATTCGGGGGATGAGCTGCACGATGCAACGGGGGTTTCTCTTTAACGGGGTGTTTTTCAGCAGTGTGAGTTGGGCGAAAGACCAACTGAGCGACCCGGACTCCATGTTTCAACGGTGTTTTCTGCAACCCCCGCTGTTGTCGTCCGGCGGCGCAACAAGTAGGAATTGTACTTCATCAGGCGAGGATTTTTCATCTGCGGGAGCGTCTTTATCGTTCTCCACAACAAAACTGAACAGTCACAACTGGTGCGCCTCAAGCTGCAACATTCTGCCCGTGCATTTCCTGAGTGGGTGCTTCGCCGGTGTTGTCGGTGCGATCTTCAGTGCCCCGTTTGATTTGGTGAAAACCAGAATACAAGCGTCGGTGGGGAATTCCGTGGAGACAAACGTCGTTTGTCCGAGGACAATGGGAACTACATCTTCTGCGCCAGCAATTGCAGTCCCAAAAAGCAGTCTACCGCTGAGCGCAACCTCTGTAGTTGGAGGCGACATATTAAGTGCAGCTCAAGCAAAAACCGGCGCAAGAACATCAACATTGAGGAGGAATCAGTGGAGCCCGTCAGCACTTGGTGTCATGTTTCACATCCTCCGGCGAGAAGGGGTGTTCGCGCTCTACCGCGGCTTTGTGCCACGGCTGGCGCGGTGTGTACCGGGCGCGGGTATTTCGCTTTTTGTGTACCAGACCGTGTTGGATTACCCGTGGCCGTAGGGACGAGTGGTGATGCCAATGCCAAACGGTGCGGTCAACACCGACGGTGCCCGCGAAGCGATTTTCTTCCTTCGTACTTTCGAGGCCGAGGACGACGAGGGGGAAGAAATAGATTCCGTTGAGCGTTCGGCTGCTGTTTGATTCTGTATGCCGCGGACCAGAGACCAGCTGCGCCGTTGAACCAGTAGTGTGGGTAACTTCATGCGAGATCACCACCACGACAGCGTGCAGATGATCGGGTCTCCCGGCTATGGAAAAACGCAGTCACATGGGAGCCTTGGCATTGTTCATGGGAAAAATCTTCATGAAAGTTTTTCGGTGTCACCCATGATTACGGCAACGATGAGTAGTTTCACTATTTTTACTTTGCCCCCGTTCAAGAATACTTCCAGGGCGGAAAACCGTTATATTCGTCCTTTTTCGCTGCTTGTTCCCGATAATTTTCCAAAGCAAGGTGCCCTGAGTCCGTTATTTTTCTTGCTGGTCATTTGCGTTTCGACTTGATCGCCAGAAATTTGGGCGTCTCTCTCGTCGCGGGCTTCATTTTCCACACTGCTGCCGCTCTCTTCCTCCGGGAAACCAAGCAGGCCATCTAAAATGCTTCTCTACGTACTTCTGGGAATACAATTTGTAGTTGCATAAAAATGACGTCGATCATCACGTGTTGATGAAGTAACAGTTCTTTGGTTCAATTGTGCAGTCTTTGTTGGAATCGCTTATGATGCATTCGCAAGAACAGCGTAGCTCAGCCTCAGGACATATCCGCGCGTGACACCAACCGCGACCTGCTTGGACAACGAAGGCAGGACGATGTTCACTGACACGCGCAGGCACTTTCCAGTTCCTATTATGATCAAGGACATCAATCTTCCGCGCGCACGCGCTTGCCGCGCAGCCACACTGACTATAGAGATCAAAACGTATGTAGTACCTATTTGCACACGCAGTTACTAGACCGCGTCAGGAGCTTTTAGTTTTATGACACGGACGCATGGACCTTTTTAGTAGCTGAAGCTGAAAGGCAAATAGATCCTAAATCGGCGATCCAAACTGAGCTCCCGCTCTCGCTGTAGCTTTTTCATCTTCATCACTATACTAAAAGCACATATGTTTATCTTAGTTTTCCTAGGTTCTACGCTACACTGACTCTTCAGGAGAACCGAAGCACAAGACAACCTAGCCATAGACATAAACGCCACTACGAAAATGTTGAGCAGTATCACGATGAATTTAGTTTGGGCTGTGAGGAAACCCTCCACTCCCGAGTGATGAAGAAAGAAGAATTCTACGTGGAGCGAAGTTTAGAAATGCGAGCAGTTTAATGATTTGTTGCTCTTTACTTTTATCAAGTCGTGGCCGGATAATTTCGTCAGCCTTTATCACCCAACCTCTACCTGGAGAGCCGCGAGCCCAGTGAAAGCGAGGACAATGACCGCAGCCATCACTGCAGTTGACACCGATTTCAATCTGCCAGCGCCCTTGGCAGCTCCCGTGCTGGCTACTAGCTCTGCTACAGCACAACTACCAAGCGCACGAAAAAATGAGGTGCGAGGCGAGGAGGGTGTTGCCAGTGCGAGTGGGCAAGACAATGACTGCACGCCAGAAGATGACAAAAAGAGCGATGGTGCTGCTAGCGACGATACTATAGAGAGTATCAGAAGCATTGACGTAGAGCTAGATAGCACTTCTAGAAGAAGACCAAGCGGCGAACGGAGTAGGGATTTGCTCTCCAACGAAGAGGACAGTGTTGACCGTGATGATAGCGCTAATGGTGCCGGCGTTGGGATCGAGGACGACCGCATCGTGAAAAGCGACGCTGCAGTGAATCGGGATGTAACGCTTTTCATAGCAACAACTGCAACTGCTGGTTTACTTTCTACAATTTTCTCCAGCTCGAGTAGTTCTTCCGCCGTCGTCGAACCACGTCGCACTCGCATCAGCACCGGCGCCGCAGCCAGTAATCCCTTCGTTCCGGACCCAGAAAACATTCTGCGAAGCAAAAATGGACCGCGTTTGGTTACCGACGTCGTTTCTGACTTTCCGCATGCAGGATACGATGACGAGGGCTATCGTATACACGGAAAAATGCCGCCGTTGCAAAACTGGCTTCCACTGGTAAGTCTAAGTGAAACATGCTTATATAATGCCCTTTGTTCCATGAGCATGACCATGAGTTGATGGTGCTTTTTTAAGCTACATATGCGGTTCTTGCATGGAGCATCAGAATGAAAATGACAATCACGACAGGGGCAGGCTGGTTACACGAAATGCGGACAACGGTTTTGGCAGACAGACGATGGACAGCTTTTTGAATACGAGCGAAATGCCGACTCATCTGACGGTCTTTCCCATAATTTCATCGTAATTCGCGAAATCGAGAAAAACAAGAAGCTTACACCCAAATTACCAAACTCTATCCGGAGCGAATGGCTCGCTGACGATCTTCAGCACCACCAGCAGAAGCTGTCCATAGATGAAGACCGCGAAGAGGACTCCACCGGGGCTCGTGCTCGTCACGACAGGTCATTGAGCGAGCAGAGCGTCGTGGGTGTTCGGGAAGAAGATTCGGCTTCCCTTTCCGCAATCACACCAGTGGCGCCTGAGGTGCTGCGGCAAGAAGGCGATAACCGTGGTCTAAGTATCGAGTCTGCCTCCGCCTCTCATCGTCATCCTGACAACAGCGCATTTGCCACGATGATGCCGGACGAGCACCCGGCGGCGGTTTCCGCGGAGGAAGGGGAGTCTGCAACTCTTTCTTTTGGGGTCGGGGACATCAAAACCAAAGCGAATGAAAGCAAAAGCACGACTGCCAGCGGCGGGACCAGTCCAGAAGCGACCAAATCCTTGTCTGGGGGGGCTGACAGCACAACCGTTCGCGCAAAAAACCGATCCTGTTCGCGCGAGAGGCTGCAAGAGGCGCAGAGCTCTCTGCAAAATGGGAATGCTGAGCGCGACTACTGGCCAGGGCGCGGACACCATCCCAGCGAAACGGCGCGTCTAACGGGAAGATTCTACTCGAAGCCGGATGGTAGTTTTTTTTATGATATTTTGAGCTACCTTGAGTCTCAGTCGTATGTGTCCTCGCACAAGCAAGATCATGGTTGTTGCCCAGCCGGCGTGTGAAGTATTAACGCAGGCGTGACTGAATCTCAGGTCGGGGCTTCGCTTTCCTTCGCGAGTGGAACACGGAGCGTGAGTTCTTCGTTCCCCCACCAGAACTCGAACGCCTCCAGCGGGAGCACCCAAACATGCCAAGGCAGGCGGCAGTGTTTTTCGAAGTGAGACCAGACCGACACTATTCAGGGAAATTTAACGCGGTAAATCTATCCCTTCCCGACAACGAGTTGAACCACATCGACGAGAAACGCCGCCTCTGGGAGAACATTTCCCGCCTCGGCGATAGAAACCGGCTTGCGGATCCCGACCGGGCGTTGATGACGCATTCAATCATCAGTGGGACGAAGGGCGACCGGGCCTTTCCGCCCCAGCTCTTCGTGGACGACCAGGCGCAGAAGGGGGAATTGCACGAAACCATGGCGCAATTACAAGCGCAAGGCTTCCAAACTCCGTCGATCACGGAAAAAGCCAGTTTTCCGAACTTCAACTGGTTCCAGGATGTCGACATTCTCATCCCACCGCCCGCGGACTTTCACGGAACCGGAAATCTTCAGCCACCCGAGCTGAGTAAGGAGGAGGAACAGCACTGGGTCCACCGCTGCGTGCAAATTTTAGCTGCCGCAGTGACGCCGTACTGGCAGGAAATCGACGCAGATGGGTGCCCAGTGATGGATGAAAGCGGCCGGCCGAAGCTGAAGAGCTCCACCCGGTGTCTGATAACCTCCGCTACCGGCTTCGCCCAGCATCCGTATTGCCAGCAGAAGATCAGCTTGCACATCGTCTGGCCGGATTGCGTAATCGACAAGGAGCGTGCGAGGAAGTTGTGGCAACTCGCGGTGAATGCTGCAGGGGAGATCAAAATGACGCCTCTCAACAAGCCCGGTTCGAATCCCATATCCGAACAAGTACATGCTGCCTCATCCTCTTCAAGCGCTACTTCGGCGAGTAGCAGCTCTACTTTGAAGCGACCGGCGGGAGGACCAGCGGCCACTGTTCCCGTGGACGAGCAGATCGTGGATTGGACAACCGTATTCGACAAAGGCTCCTCGCACGGAGATTCCCTGCGAATGATGTACGCGGACAAATGGAACAAGCAGGACTTGAAGTACGAGGGTCGCCGGAAGATGCCGTACGGTTTGTACGAAGTGACCTTGACGCGGAAGCCGGAAGATTTCGCTATGAAGTTGCTGAAGGGCCCGACGGATTTGCAGGAGAAGGAGTGGCTGGATTTGGCGTCGATACGAGTCTCGCAGACGAAGAAGCTAGTGGAACTCTGGTATAATTTTTCAAAAATAAACCAATGGTTTTGGTTTATTTGTGATGGCGAGTTGGCGTTGGGGTATTTCAGGTTTGATTTTAGGATTTTGCATGCGATGAAGAAACATGAAGCTGCATTGAATTCACAAAAACACAGCTTGCCCACCGACACAGTGATCCAGAAGTTGACAGAGCGAGCTAACCGTCCGACAGCCCGCGACATGGCCCGCTTCAAGGACATGCTAGAGCAAAAGCGAAGAAAAACGAAACAAAGCGCAACATGTACCGGGGCCAACAGCGTCGAGCTCGGGCAGCCAAAAGTGAATGTGAGGCAACTACCTGAGCCTGCAGCTACTTCCAGTTCTAGTTCCAGTAGTAGCACCGCCCGAGGACCACCTCTGCCCATCTTAAAATCCCGCCGCGAGGTGGAGGAGAAGGAGATGATTGGCGTGGCCGGCTACGGTCGCAAGCGACGTTCCAGGTCCTCGTCACGCAGACGTAGCAGGAGTCGCAAACGAAGCAGGAGGGACGACCGAGACGTCGACAAACGGCCCCCGATCCTTCGACCCGCGATGAACAGTAGACCACCAACAGCCCGCGGTCGTACAATCGTGGGGAGCAACGGTGGTGGCAAGCGAAAGCCGAAGAGGTCGCGGACCCCGAGACGTGGTCGCGTTGGGAAAGATGGTGATCACTACGGTAAAGGGAAAGGCAGGGGGAGACGAGACCACAGGTCCTGTAGTTCCAGAGACAATTACCGCCAACATAATTACGGGAGCTGCAAAGGCCGTCGTCGCTCGCGCGAGCGCGACTACGAGGACGATTTCGAGGCGAAGGGCAAAGGAAAGACAGGCAAGGGTAAGCACGGAATGTACGGTTACCCAAATGACGAGCGGGCAGAATGGAGCTCAAGTTCGGCTTCTGCAGCCAATCACAACGGATGGTATGGCGCTTCAAGTCGGGATTTGAACAAGAATCAATCGTCATTCGAACAATTTGACGCCGCCGTACCAATTCAGTACCGGATGCATGTGGCAGCCTGCAACCTGAATACGCAGACGAACACGTGCGACTTGCGGGCCGTTCTTTCGAAAGAAGGAGGTGTGGATTTGTGCTTCCAAATGACGTTTGAAGGTACGTATGTTTTTCTATCTACAATTTACCCTAGCTTGTGCTTGCATTGCCTGCTTTTTATGAATCCCGACAAAGCTATGTCTTTCCTTCTAGTTCATTCACCATGCCACTATAAACTAGGTCTCCTAGATGCGAAGCCCCTGATCAAGCTGTCCGACGCTACGGCTTCGTTTGCGGCGCTTGCCTTCGGCCTTGCGATCTTGCTGCAGAAAGAAACCCACGCGTTCAGGAAGAAGCAGCCCGTCGGGATTGCGGTCCACACCGACAACAATTCGCTGTTGTCCATGATGAACAACAAGGCCAAGACCCACCCGCCGGGCTCCCAGGAACTCCGCGACTTGCTTCGTGACATGAAGTTCGAGGACAACTTCCAGCTGCAAGCCTGTGAAGAGAGGAAGGGGACGAACATCGCGAAACAAGTGAAGGATGGCGAGCGCGCGGACGTGGAGTGCGTGAGGCAGGCGTTGTTGAGCGGGCTCAAGTACCAAGGCTCCGCATTTTCATACTCCAACATGCACCAGAACCATCCGAGGAGGTGCTGAAACAGAATGTTGTATCGATCACCTTCCGAACAGTAGACCATCAGTAGCAAGAGTCCAGGTCGGAGGTCTACCGCCCTGTTCATGCAGAGCCAAGGCTTTTCTATGTGCTTTTCCTATTTTGCGGTCACGTTTAACCACTTCGTACGTCATCCTCATTTTGGTAGAGTTGCTCTGTCTCTCCCCCGTGTACCTTTCTGCAGCTACGTAATTTCAAGATTGTAGTTGTGCATTCCTTGCTCCAGGTCCTCTGCGAATTTTATGCCTTAGTGCCCTCTGGGTTATGCAGTGAAACAGCAATAAGTATCATCGCGCTTTTGGTTTTCAAATGATTACTTTGAGTCTGAAACTGAATCTTCTGAAATAACACTGTATGTATCAGAATCAGCATACGCCTTCACACGATGTAGTAGAGTCTCCAAGCAACTTAGTGTTCTACTTCCTCTTGAGAAATTTAGTATCTCCATGCTTCTCGTTACTGCGTGAACGGAAAAGAAGTTGTGGCTGGGGTAAAGGAGCTGTGTGAGAGGTGCTCAGTGTGAAGTAATTCTGCAGCAATCTTGAAGTGAGGACGGCGGCAAGGTTGCTCGAAAAGTCTTGCAGTTGAATTTGAAACACAACCTCGAACAAGCTCATACTCAATTATTTACGAAGCGATGAGTGTAGGAGCAAGAGCGACCACGACGACGATGAAATGAAAAATTAGTCGGATCCTCTACATATAGAGAGGACTCTTTGCCATTCAAACTTAAATTTTAGCTTAACCCATTGCACGCTGCCCCCAGTGCAGTTTGATGATGATGATGAGTTTGCTCGAAGGCAGCTGGTCCTGGTTTGGTGATAAGATCGATGTGATGGCCACTGTGACATGAGCTGTGCGATGGCTCGCAGCTTGAGATAGCTTTGGTCTTGGTGTAGCACGTCTATCAAGTTTTTTGCCAATATTTATAATGACTCTAGCGATGACTGTCTCACCGTGACCCCGTCTCCATTGATGGATTGCTTTTTGTTAGCCCGATCCGGTGTCTCGCGTTGCACTAAGTGATGCGAAAACAATTCCCCAAAAAAAAGTAGGAGACATTCGTTCGATCGAAGTCTTTTACAACTCCAGTTTTTTGTATTTTCTCTTTCTCGGGCCACTAACTCGACTCCACCAAAATGCGTGAAGCTATCTGCATCCACATCGGTCAGGCCGGTGTCCAGATGGGCAATGCCTGCTGGGAATTATTCTGTTTGGAACACGGCATCCAGCCGGATGGTCAGATGCCCTCCGACAAGACCATCGGTGGCGGTGACGACGCCTTCAATACCTTTTTCTCTGAAACTGGTGCCGGCAAGCACGTCCCGCGTACCGTCTTCGTCGACTTGGAGCCCACCGTGATCGATGAGGTCCGCACAGGTACCTACCGTCAGTTGTTCCACCCAGAACAGTTGATTTCCGGTAAGGAGGACGCCGCAAACAACTTTGCCCGTGGTCATTACACCATTGGTAAGGAAATTGTTGACTTGTGCCTGGACCGCATCCGTAAGTTGGCCGACAACTGTACCGGTCTGCAGGGCTTCCTGATCTACCACGCCGTCGGTGGCGGTACCGGTTCCGGTCTGGGTTGCCTCATGATGGAGCGTCTGTCCGTCGATTACGGCAAGAAGTCCAAGATCTCCTTCACCGTGTGGTGCTGCCCCCAGGTCTCCACCGCCGTCGTGGAGCCGTACAACACTGTGTTGTGCGTCCACTCCTTGTTGGAGCACACCGATGTCACCAACCAGGTCGACAACGAAGCCCTGTACGACATCTGTCGTCGTAACTTGGACATCGAGCGTCCCACCTACACCAACTTGAACCGCCTGGTCGCCCAGATCATCTCCTCGCTGACGGCCTCCCTGCGCTTCGATGGCGCGCTGAACGTGGATATCACTGAGTTCCAGACCAACTTGGTGCCGTACCCGCGCATCCACTTCATGTTGACCTCGTACGCGCCGATTATCTCTTATCCACAAAAAAAAGCCCATCCCCATCCAATTTGTCATGCAAAACATAAAAAATCCTAATGTAATCCTATGCTTGTGGTCATGCAAAAAGTGGATGGGGATGGGTCTTTTTCTGTGGATATCTCTGCTGAGAAGGCCTACCACGAGCAGCTGTCCGTGGCCGAGTTGACCAACTCTGTCTTCGAGCCGGCCTCAATGATGGTCAAGTGCGACCCCCGTCACGGTAAGTACATGGCCTGCTGCCTGATGTACCGTGGTGACGTCGTCCCGAAGGACGTGAATGCCTCGGTCGCTACCATCAAGACCAAGCGCACCGTGCAGTTCGTCGACTGGTCCCCCACGGGCTTCAAATGTGGTATCAACTACCAGCCGCCCACCGTCGTCCCGGGTGGCGACTTGGCCAAGGTGATGCGCGCCGTGTGCATGATCTCCAACACCACCGCCATCGCGGAGGTGTTCTCCCGTATCGACCACAAGTTCGATCTCATGTACTCCAAGCGCGCCTTCGTCCACTGGTACGTCGGTGAGGGTATGGAGGAGGGTGAGTTTTCCGAGGCCCGTGAGGATTTGGCCGCCCTGGAGAAGGACTACGAAGAGGTCGGCATCGAGACGGCCGAGGGAGAAGGTGAGGAGGAAGGCTACGGTGACGAGTTCTAAGTCTAGAGCTAGTCAGTAATTGAAATTGTTGTACTGGTTCACTAGTGACTGTGACTTTCGTGACCTTGCGTCATGATGTGTCTGCCACTACACTGCCTTCGAAGTAAGCTTCTCGTTCTGATCTTCTAAGCTATTTACAAGGCCACATGTGCGTTTGTAGTATCAGTAGAACAGTATAAGTAGACATTATCTTGGACTTTGTAGAGTGAAGCAGTACAGTACTTTTTACTACTATTTCTTCTTCAGACACAGATATCGTTTTGCCTCTTCATCCACCAATAGGTGTAGCAGGTACACATTTCGACTTCTGTGTGCAGCTGCCGCTCCTTCGGCGGAGCGTCGGTTGCGGAAATGGTAGCATAATTCCACTGACTTTGCGTGGAGCTGCAGATGTGCTTCAAACGAATGCCACTGCTTCTCCTGATGCACAAAGGACGTAGATTGTTGCCATTGAAACCTTAAAAATATGAGACCAAATATGCCTCACATTGAAAACCAAAAAAATATACAAAAATATACGACAAAGCGCAGTAAGCAGCGCGACTGGGCCGACGCCCGATTCAGGGCGAGAGCTTCTCTGTTTCGCGTATTCATCTTTCTGTTCCGTCGTCTGCACTACTTGGTCCATCAGCGCTGACTGCACAATCTACCATACATACGGTCGTCTGCATGTACCATATCTCTCCACGCAGGGTATATGCGAATTCCGATGGGAAGTCGGACCAGCTGATTTTTCGTCACGCCACGCCTGACAAGACATGCGTCGTCAGAAGTGTAGCACTGGCGTCGGCCGCAAGGAAAAAATGCTGTCGGGTGGTGCGCGCAATCTTTGAAGCTCTTGGATTTCGAGGTGGACAAGTGACGACCCCCACCGAGTGGAAACTTTCTTTAAGTTGCAGACGAAGTTTGGTGACCTCCATTTTTACATGCGAGGGAAGCTGTATCTCTGAAGGATGTTGCTGGGGTTGAGTGAGGTGTGTCGCCTGTTGAGAGGTAAAAGCGGATACACTTCTTGACCACTGTAAGGGACGGCGCGGGTTATGCGATGTGCACGAATTGAGCGGGAGAGATGACAGGGTGTCGCTTCTCAATTCTTATGTCTAGCACCAAGAAGGTAGATATGTCTGCCATGTGGAAAGAAAGTCGCGTGACACAAGAGTGCTTCGAAACGAAACTGCGAAAAGTTGCCATTTCTACTTAATTGTCCCGACGTGCCAATATTTACGATGATGAAGAATGAGAGAGGCACTACTTGAGACGGCGACGCTACATACAAGTATATGTATTTCAATTGCACTACGTGCTGTTGATCATCAATTCTCTTCTTCCACGTGGTCGTGGACTCTTTTCTAGAACCTACAGCGGTTGGTATCGCTTGGAAGCAGCAGAAGGAAATAAACCTGCCTCACCAAAGCGACAAAAAGCGACTCATGTTGTTCGACCAAGCTACTTGCTCGATGGAGGTCGAGGACCTCGAAAACCTCTCGGAGGACTCCGAGCCCGAGGAAAGTTTGTCACCCGTGCGCGGCCAGAGGACCACGACATTGCGGGACCGTATGATCCAGTGGACAGAAAGGATCAAATCGCCGGTCTTTTCGGAGATGGTAAAAACAGCATGACCGTGATGTTCATGTCATCTGTCGTGTGCAACTGCAATACAACCTTTTTATGTCAGCCAGAATCTTGTCCAAAAAGTCACAGAACAATTAACGCCGCTAACAGGTATCGGATTTGCGCATTCTTTCCTCCAAATTTACGACCGACCTGGAGTACAAAGCGGATTTGCGTTTCGTCCTGAAGCGGAAGTATTTAGTCCACTACACGGAGTCCAGGCAGCAGCAAGACAAGACCCCCGTTTTCAAGACAACAAACACTGGTGGGGCGTCGAACTCTGCTGCCCTCCAGCAAGTCCCCAACCATTTTGCGGAATTGAAAATCTCTCCCGCGGAAGAAACCATGGTTGATGCCGACGTGGAAACGGAGCAGGTCCTGTTCAAGCTGAAGAGGGTAGCTGCAGGAGGTTCTTCTACAACAAACAAGCCGGAAACTGTTTTCAACGAGGATTTGTTCAAGGAAATCTTCGGCAAGTCGGCAGATTTGACCATCGCGGCGCAGTTTCTCGGGTTTCTGTGCCTGTCAGAGGATGTGCCGGACGAGGACGCGGTGGCGTGGACGAAAATCCACCAGCAATTCGACCCGTCTTTGGAACAATTTGTCCGGCGACCGCCGCCCGCTTATACGGTTGCGGGCGCTTCGTAGAAGACGGAATGCCAAAAATGTGTGATGAAAACTTCATTGATGTTGTTCAAACGAGGCTCGTAAACGTCACACTCATTGACCAACAGCGATCCATCGCGGACTGTAACTGAAAGATACGATGAGCGGAAACACCCACAAAGCTGCAGACTAGAGCTGCGCATTGCACAGGATGCCGGGTTGCTGTTTCTGATCAACTCTCGCGTGCCACTGTTCGTCCTGAGAGCGTAGACGTGGAAGTCAGTGGCTTTCGTCACTCTCGGATAACTGGAACTAGATAATCTTGATGATGCGTAGGGTGGCGGGCCACGAGCGATAAAACTTTTTTTTTCGTGAATTTATGTTTCTCAATGTAGTTCGCGCACATACAACGAAAGGACGCTTTTAAAACCACTAGAGCGCACAACAACGTACATCGACATGATACACATTTGGTGTCATTTCATGTATTTGGGACGAACAAATCTATATTTATTACTGCTTTCTTCATTTTCTTTTCCGGGATGTGGTTTTCGAAAAATGACATTTCACTCGCGGACACCGCCTGCCCTTCCTGTGGTGGTTCAGAAAAGCGATATGGGTGCTTCTCCAAACTACTTTCCGCGTCCACGCAGATGGTGATCGCGCCAGGGGCGGCTGAGCCTGCGCCTGTCTTTCTGAACTAACACCCATGTTGTCGTGTAGTAGAAAGCACGACGACGACGAGCTCAGGACCGGGAACCGACGGTGCCGCTCCCACGTCGAAAACGACGGCATCTCGGCCAACCGTTGATGTTGTGCCACGAGGAGCAACAACAATCACGACTAGACCGTCCTGCCGCGGGATGAAGAGTCTATTTGTTGCGCAGAGAGTGTCTTACCGAGGAAGGCATCGCGCGTCAGTATAGGGGTAGTGGTGGACGTGCATCTACAGGAAGAATACGAATAGCACCTCCTCCAGTCTCGCAGACAGCCCGGCCGAAACCATGTCGGGCAACCGCGCGTTCAATTACAAGCGCAAGGTGCACCAAACCGTGTGTGACCGACTGCTGAATTTCATGAACCTGAGCTATTTGGTCTCCGTGATCGCGATCGGGTTTCAATCGTGGGTGCTGAATTTCGTCTTTTTCTACTACTTATGCAGTGCAAAAGTATCGTACTCGTATAAATGCATTACAACTTTCCTCAGCATGAGATATAAAATTTGTAATGCAGATTTGCCTTGGGAACAAGATTTGTAATGCAAGACTTGCATTTAAACGACCGAGTATGATGCTTTTGCACAGGATACTACTACATCACGGAGGACGGGGTGATTGCGCTCTTTCTCGTCGAAGGTTGCCAGCTGCTCTTATGCATTGCAAAAGTATCGTACTAGTATAGATTGCATTACAAATTTTGGCAAGAAGAGAAGTAGAACTTGTAATGCTGTTTTACCTTAGGAAGAAGATTTGTCATGCATATTTGCAATTAGTACGAGTACGATACTTTTGCACAGGATAGCTCTACATGCTCCACAACTACTCCGCGGAGAAGGCGGCCAAGTATCCTGAGTAAAAACGTACCCACGCCAGAGTTGTAATGCAGATTTGCAAAGACAGGAAGACTTGTAACGCGCATCCCCATGAGAACCATTTCCAGTCGTGTTTTGGAATTTGTGATGCTGTGAACTACAGGATGAGCAGATGAATCTGTGATGCGGCTGCACGTGCTAACCTGCACTACACTGCATCGCGCAACTTGTCATGCGTGACTCACAAAGCTCTTAGGTTTGTGTTGCAAAATCCCCATCCTGACTCTGGTGTGGGTACGTTTTTACTCAGGATACCAAGATGGGCGCGGTCATCTGGATCAGCTACTCCTGGCTCATGGCCGGGAAATTCGTGGTCTTGTACCTGAAGGTCCTCCCCCACGTGGATGCGATCGCTGGCACCACCGCGGACGCCTACGCCTGGTTGCGCACCCCCGCGAGCCTCTCCGTCAGCCTGTACCTCGTGTCCGTGGTGTACATCGCGTTGATGTTCCGGGCCCAGAAAGCGTTGTTCGGGCACTTTCACGGGATGCCCACGCCGGATATTATCATGCACCAAGATATGGTGTGGCACGTGGCGCTGGACATCGTTGACGTGGTGAACATGGTGAAGTACAGTCGCTTACGCATTCTGCAAACGTATCGTACGTAGTTTAATTTGCATCACAAATTTTCTTGAGAACAAAAATGCGAAGAAAATTTGTCATGCTATGCTCAGGTAGAACTAGAAAGTCAAAGTTGCGTTGGACGCGGCATACGTGTTGACCACTGCAAATACTGTACGACTTTCGTACGATTCTTTTGCACTTCATATCGCTTGCAAGACTTCCTCGACGTGGACATTGTCCTAGAGAACTGGGATATCGCAAGAAGAAACTGTTTCACTGTAAACTTGTGATGCATAGAATAGAACAAAGACGCATTTGTCTTGCTACACGTGCAAGACTTCGGGTTTTTACCTTTGTTTTCTCTTAGGAACCTCGCATGACAAGTTTTCTCGGTCATGCGTATACGAACTTGTGATGCAAAACTGGCAAAACCCTTACAGTGAAACACTTTTTTGTCACGATATGGGAGGCGTTAAACGTCTTCCGAAGACTCTCCCCGCTGTTCATTTTTCTCTCTCTCCTCGCCCACGCGCAGTCCTTCCCGGGGGCGGAGTGGAAGTTTCAATGGAGTGTGCTCCCCGTGGAGACGGTGCAGGCGGTGCACGAAGCAGTGCTCGGGAAGGAGGCGCTGCAGAGAGCCGCGGAAAAGCGCCTCGCCGCAGAGCAGGAGGAAGAAGAATTGCGGAGAAGTAGTTCCTTTAGGGAGCCGGACCAGCACATGGAGTTGTTTTCAACAACATCTCCCGACACGACCACATTGTTCACAGCAGACGACAACGTAGGTAGTGGCGAGGTGACGCCGGAGCAGCAGGGCGGGACGAGAGGAATTCGTTCCAGCAACACAGCAGCTGGCGCCGGTACTACTAGTGTTCCTGTAGACCCCCGCCGGACTTCCGCTCGACTCTCGGCGTCGAGCGGCACTGCGGGAACTTCTGCCGTCGACGATCCGCGATTCACGGAAATCTCGCGGGCGACGACGCTGCGGACGAGTATGGGAAGTAGGTCGAGTAGCCGAACTGTAGGTGGGGCGGATGAAGAGCACGTCGAGGAGCGGGATCCTGTGGTTGTTGACCCGCAGGACGTCGTGGTTACTGTGGAACAAGAGCTTCCAGAAGATGTAGATGTAAATCCGGTACTAGCAGATGAATCTGACCTCCCGCTCCCCAGGGGAACAGCAACAGCAACATCTAGCGCAGCAGGAGCTCGCTCCACCACCACAACCTCCACGAGTAGAGGAAACTACAATGCGGCGCCGCGGACTCCTTCGAAGGTTGAGGGACCAAAGCGGGCGCTGCTGGATGAGCTGTTTGAGCGACAAGAAATGGCCGGCCTTGTGCGGGAAGAAGGTAGTGGCAAGCAGTTGACGAGCTATCGTGGAGGCAGTTCATCCAGTTCTGCGATAGTAAACATGGATGAGGTGAGGGTGACCACAGATGACAACGTCGAAAATGATAACCAAGCCCCCGCAACTACGACGTCCCGGAGAAATAAGAAGAAAAAGAAGAGCAAAGTGAAAAAACTATACGAGCAGATGGCGGAAAATTTCCAACAAGAAACCACAAGACGAGCAACGGCCACGGACGCTGACCTCGACCGCCAAAGCGTCAGTGACCGCAGCCACGGCTTCAGCACCTTCAGCAAGGCGGGCGAGGGGCTGATCGCCTCGACCCGGTCCGCCCACGAGCACCCGCTCGCGACCACTGCGGTCACCGGCAGCATTGCGCACACCTCTTTCCTGCTGCGAACGCAGCTAGACGTGACGTGTGCGCGGGAGCGGTCCGCGAAAATTTCGCTTTTTCTCGTCGACCTGCCGTTTGGCTTGCTGCGGATGTACCTGTTTCTGATCACACTGCAATCGCCCACCCCTCTCTGGCCCCCGCTCGCGATGAAGAACATTGCGTGTTTTTTTCTCCAGGGCCTGCAGCTCCGCATGGTGGAGCAACGGAAGGCGGAGCTCTACGCCGTCTTGGCAGAATTCGACGAGCCCGCGGAAGAGTACAAGATCCACCGGGCGAAGCTTTGGCTGCAGGAGAGCGCAAAATTTTTCGAGGACTACACGACGACCGCGTGGACGCTGCGCAACATGGCGATCGGCATGGTGTTCTACCTGCCGACCAAGGTGCTGTTTACCTTGTTCGGGCGCAACACGATTTTGCATCGGTCCGCGGTCCGGATGCTGCAGAAGCTCGGGCTTATCGACGAGCCGGACCAGGCTGCGACGTCGAGCGTGACGACGTTACAAAAAGACCACCCGGAAAGTAGAGAGCACAGCGGCACGACTCCGAGTCGGGTCGGGAAGATCACAGGGGATGGTCGAAGCAGTGCCAGTGGGGGAACGGCACGAGGTGGCGAGGTTCCTGGTGGTGCGGTTGTTCTTGATGGTACTTATGCACGACCGTCCGCCGCACGCGCAATACCACCTCCAAATGACACTAGTACAAACGACCTTGGCGAGCCTGTAGTACTTCTAGATGAGGCTATCGTGAAATTTTCCCCAGAGGAATTCCAAGTGGATTCCGGGAGTACCGCCAGGATCGACGCGTCTGATCGACAAATGCCAGAAAGACAACAGCAGGACGAGCAAACCCCATCGCAATCTGATGCGTCGCTAAGCGCTGGCAGCAGTCCAAGTCCGTCGACCCGCGCGCGACCGCGGGTGAAGTTCAGAAGCCCCTCGGGCGGATCACTTTCTGATACCGCCACCTCTCCCAGAAAGCGAAAACACAGAAAACTACGGACGGGATCATCTGGAAGAGAGGACAAGGATAATGAGTTGTTCCGCGACGACGGCGCGGCCTATGCGGAGGACCACGACTCAGAGTTTCTCTCCTCCGCAGGCGGCGGTGGCTCACAGACGTCTGAGATTCTCTCGGACACGTCCCTTACAACGTCGAAGCAAACATCAGAAGATTTCACTTCGTACTACCACGAGGACGACGACGCCTCTTCGGTGCTCTCCTCCAGACTGGAAGTCGAACTCACTTCCCGGCGCGACCAGCAGCGAGAACTGTTGCTGTTCAGCGTGCTCGGACAGACGGACGTCACCGTGAAGCTGCGAAGGAATAGCGGCTTCCCGAACTTTTGCCTGGTCTTCATGATTGGGTTCTTTCTCGGGGCGCTGCTCGCGTTCCAAGAAACCATCGGGACCATCATCCGGGGCGAGTCCGTGTCCGAAACTTTCAAGGGCGTAGACGTCACGGTACTGTGGGGCGGTCGTGGGTGACCACGCTCCCCTAGTACTCGAGAAGGTGCATCCATACTACGTACTGCCAGCCAAAATAGATGCACTTATTCACACATGTTGTAAGTACAACATGTTTGTACTATCAGTTGTCATTGGACGTCGAGTGAGAACGAGCGACGATGAAGATAAAATCTAAAGCGCGCACTATTACTACTTGAGAGTCATGGCGATTTTGAATTTGTATTTGATGCCAGACAGGTGGCGCGTCGTGTTCTGCCTAGTTATCACTGACCGAGGTTCGGTGTCGTGATGTTGCTCACACGTTGTTCAGCAAGTTAACCACTGACTTCGTTATCCCCATTTTCAGATCCCCCCATGTCCCCTCTAGAGGTGGTTACATCCGCGGCTCCCCTCTCCGACTACGACTACGTTTTCGATAAAGCTACATTCTAGTGAATGAAAAACCTTATATTTACTTCTCTCCTAGTCCTACTACGACTACGCATCCCCTTTCGCTTTTTCTGTGCTCTAACAGTCCAACAGGTATGAGCACCTAGTACAGCTACAACAGATTCCCGTCCTTTCTAGTTGTCCACATTTTTCACATTCTGGCAAGTGACGCTTAGTCAACATTATACAAAAGACTACAATCAGAATCATCTATGAGCACCCCAGGCGTTGGTCCGGATCCCACAATGATGGGTGGTGGCGCTTCTCCCGGTGCTGGCCCCGTGCCGCCACAGGGTGCTTCAGCTTCTGCCGACGCAGGAACAAATTTGGGACCAGATCAGGTCCCTCCGGGAATGGACATCAACAGCGGCCGAGCTAGTGGCCCAATGCCAGGCGTCGAAATGTCGCCGGTGTTTCAGGCGTTATTGCTGGTTTTAGCCATGTATATGGGCTATTGCTGGATCCAACCGGTGGTCGCCGGGCTGCGGGAATACCTCCTGCCGCAATCCAAGGTGAACAGCGAGGACCTGCGGAAAAAAAGAAATCAAGCGTATTTTTTCTACGGTTGAATAAAAGCTGCAAGTGCAAATAAAAACTGGAGCTGTAGTGTACGAACAGCAGCGGTCTTGTGGTATTCCCATTTCACTTGTATGGGCTATGCCAAAAACGAAAACCGTGCTGATGCTGACCGCTACCCTCATCTCAGGTTCGCCGCAAAATCGGACATGGTGAAGACGGGTTTCGGTGGTTCTGTCTCCAGTAGCGACGTGATGGACGATCTGGCCACGTTTGTGTCCGCGCATTGTCAAGCTTTGAAAAAAATCGGGCTGCAACTCATAACGGAGGATACGAGTTTGCAGAGTCTGCACTGCCTCTCCGTGCTCATCGACAACTGCCTGCTGAAAGGGTACTTTTTTCATAGCTTTTTCGTGCCGAAACTTATTTCTCGTATGTCGCTTTCAGGATTTATTTTCAATGTTCTTGTTCATGGACATGGATCGGCAGCGGTACTGAGCTGCACACACTTTCTGAAGTTTTTATCAAACGAAAAAACTATACTACACGCAGTCTCACGTCCATCCCGATGAAGAACGACAAGTTGAAGCGCGAGCTGCTCCAATTCCCCAGTGGGGAAAAGATGCTGGAACTTTGCGGTTTTCACGCGCCAGACTCCAACAACGTTGTCCCCACCTCCCCCAGCACCGGCGGCAGCGCCGCGACGAACAGCATACTCGACAAGGTCAACGCGCTGCGGGGGAAAATAGCCCAGGAGCAGGGGTTGTACGTTTTCAGCCCGGAGCAGAAGTTGCAAGCCTTGATCGGCAGGTCCTGCATCCAATACTGCCTGGAAATCTCCAAAGCCAAGGGCACCAGGAGATGGCTGCAAGTGGATCCGAAAGTGCTTATACCGGACGACTTGGAGGTCACCTGTCGGGATCTGCTGTTCGTGTACGCGAACCCGGGTAAGGTTTTAACCGACAGTGCAAATTTTAACCGGGCGGGGAATTATCAGCAGCAAGTCGCTGCACAAAAGAAGGAACAGTTATCCGAGCAGTCCGGAACCGCTGGCGCCCTCGTAGAGTCCTGGTTTGTACCTCCCAACGTGAGCGGGGCAATGACATCAAATGTCGAAGCGCTCTCGTTGAAGGAAAGAAATCTCGAGGCGGCGGTCAAGGACGCGGTAGTGGAAGCGCTCGTTTTGACGATTAGCAGAAAGATGGATCATGGGAGTGAAAGTGCAGGACCAAAATCAGATTCGTTCGCTGTGGATCAACATGGCTCCAGCTTCAATTCCGCCCACCACAGCATCGCGGCGGACGCAGCGCGCCTTTGGACGCAGCGCTGCCGAATGAAGCACCGGGAACAGGTGTTCGAGGACAGCAGGATATGCAATACAGATTTCCCGTACCTGTACAAAATGCATGACAAATTTCGCTACCTTCGAGTGTCAAACTTGTAATGCTGACTAAGATTGAAGGCAACTTTTGTCATGCAGAACAAGATTTGTACGTCGTGTACGGAAGATTTACTGTGGATACAGGATCATAAAACGCAACACCAAGCCGGTCGGTGCGGAGGAGGAGGCGAAGGAAAACGAAAGGCTATTGGCGGAGAGAAAAGACTTTTTTCAGTCGCTCGCAGACCACATGTTACTCCCGCCAAGCGTCAAAATATCGCACTTTCACTGGGAGGGCGAGATACCGCACGCATTCGGGTTGCAGTCGACGCAGGTATGATTATATAATTCATGCTTACATACAAAGCCGGTGCTCTTCTTGCGATGTCATCGATGTACGAGTATCATGTAGCAGCTGGAAGATATGTCAAAAATCGTCGAGCCTCAACTTGTGCGAACGTAGATTTCATTTCTTTGGGCGATCTCATTCAAAACCAAATCATCTCAATGTCCTCTTTTTTCTCAGGGCGGCTCTTCGAGTTCATCCTCTTCCCTTGCGGGTCCCGGTCGCGCGGCAAACACGACGGGCACCGACGTGGCGATGCGCCAAATTGCCCTGGAAGCCATCCCGCACTGGCGGGCCTGCGAGGCGTGGGGCGAAACGGAAAGTGAGAAGACCCACGTCGTTTCGGTCGGCGCCGCGTTGGACTACACAAACAACCGCGGGTTTGTGTGCTGCGTGCTGATAAAAGCAGACGACAGCTTCACGGCCAACTCGAGCGTAGAAGACACGCGCGCGCGCCTCGTGCACGGACGGAAAGTGGAGGAAAATCCATACCACTACAAAAATGTAAGGAACGATACTCCCTGGGCCAACATGCGGTTCGGGGCCAACGTCAGCGACGCAAATGGGAAGGCAAAGATGAAACAGAAAAGCGGCTTCTAGTTCTAGCTGCGGGAGATGGGTCAGAGTTGTTTATTTCAGAAGAAGCTTGTTGTCCCTGAGCAGCAGAAGTTCGAGTTCGAGCTCGTGACTCGTCCACTCAACACGCCGCTAAATACCATGATTTGGATCTTCCAAGAACGAACAATATGAATCTTCAAACTTAGAAACGCTGGCCTCGCATCATCTTCGCTGTGATAGGAACCGCTCTGTACGATCAGCCTCAAAAACAACCCCTCAAAAACTTCTCGCACACAAGAAAAAAAAAATGCATGTCGTGTCGGTCTCCACCCGAGAAGAGTTTGTGGTGGATGAGAGACAAAAAAAGAAAGAAATGATCGAGATGAAAGAACAGGTTGGCCGGCCTACCTAAAAGCCTACGGCCGCATTCTTGCCTTCGAAATATTCGACAGTAGAAGCGAGTGCTGTTCATGTTCCCATCGATTTCGTCGAAGCTCGTGTCGCGAGCGCTTTCGTCGCTTCGTCTTCATCATTTCGTTGTGACTCAGCCTTTATACGTGTTCAAGGGTTTGCCGCATATATTCGTTTTTGATTGACGAAACTAGCTTCTTGGCCTCGTACCGGCCACAGCATTGCCGCGTCTGGTAGAAGTACCTCTGCTCGAGAGTAGTAGGTTGATCAGTTTTATTTGATGCTCACCAAGTCAAAGATAGGTGCGACGTCGACGTGTCGAGCTCTTTACAATTATCAGCTCCACCCGCGTCCCAGGGCAAAAAGTGTGCAAAGTGACCGGCGAACATGTGCGGTTTAGTGCAACAACTCCTGGCCGATGGCGATTCATTGCTTGTTCCTCAACAGCACTTTTCCGGGGCGCGGACGAAACATACGCAGACTGTACAAGGCAGAAGCACGCGAGACACGACAAGTACCTCTACTCTGGTTGCAGCGACGACTCTGCTGAAGAACCTCCTAACGTCCTTTCTCGACACACCGCAGTTCTCGGGCGAGCACGTACCCAGTGGCGTCGCCAAGAAAACCAGCCCCACTGACGGCTTGTTTGTCGACCCGGCGAGTTCCTCGGCGAACGGGCTCCCGACCAATAGCCAGCTCGAGGAGGCGGCCAGCCACGCGGGGGAGAAAAACGCGACCACGCTTGCGAACGACGGCGATCATGATGGAACGTCGTACGTGGCGGTTTCTATCGAAAGAGGATCCGGTGTTGACGTGGCAGGCGCAGAACCAAGGGTTGTGGTTCACGATGTAACGGGACCCCCTGCTGCTCGTCAGTCTGCTCAGCGTGGTCATAATGATCTACTTCACAGTAGTTTCTATTTCATCAGCGACAACCAAGAGCAGGTGGAACATGGAAGTGTCAAGCCGCACAACTGTCGTAGAAGCAATTTTTCACACGGCCTTACTTCTGGATATCGCACTTGTCCGGAGGACTCCTGCAAGAACACAGCCGGTACTAAAACTTCCTTTGTCACCCTCGAGGACGAGGCGGAGAAGCAGGAACAAATGAGAATTGAGAAACAGAACACCGCAGCTGGGAAGCCGGCGGCAAAAATCTCGCTGACGGAAGAGGAGCAATCGGAGAAAAACCAAGAAGACTTGGATGCGCTCACGGTAAAGGAATTTTCTATTTCTTGCTTGATCGGAAAAAATAAACCATGCCAAGTTGGGCCAAAAAATGGAAATGGTCGACGCAATGTAGTTGAATGCAGTTCAGAATTCTCTTGTGCACAACCCTGTAAAAATAAAGAGTTCCACCACGAATAATAGAAAAAACTTTCCTCATCTTCAGGGCAACCCAGCCAAGACGAAACAGGAGCTGAGCAAGTTCGCATCGCAGGCGGCGAAAACGAAGCTGCTCTCGCAGCTGGAGCCGAATCTGTACGACGCGAACTGGGCCGCCAGTTGGGATTCCACCTACGACGGGACCACGATTCGCCCGGTGCGGCCCGACGACCTCCACATCCACCACAACCGGGACGACGGCGCCGCCTGGGCGTCCGGCAACCCGGACGCGTCCTTTCCGGGCACCAACGGCACTGACGTGCCCACGCCAATCCGAATCTCCGTCACGGCCGAGTCACCGTACCAGCCCCAGGATCTGCCGCTAGTCGCGATCAAAATGTTCCAGCCGAAGAGCGGGAAACCCACCGGGGTTCTGAAAATCACCTCGCCCGACGTGCACACCTTTCTCGTGCCGGAAATGACGTTTTTGTAACGGTGGAACTCGGTGACGATGCGGCACCAAGGGCTGGTCCGACGCGTGCTGGCTTTTGCTTTTCCCCGGCCAAAAGGGGATCCGGGTGACGCTGATCTGGTTCATCTCATACTCGTTTTTGAAAAGGATAAATGCATTTTGTTCTTTTGTAGTTTCTGTTTCTAGCTCTACCTCTACGAGGACATCGATTTGATTTTGGGTTTCAGTTTTTATTTTGCGGACAACTGAGACAAGAGGATGGTCGGCGTGCAAGATCAGCGCAAATTCTTTTGAGTAGAAGAAGATGAAGACCAAGACAGCCACCTCCACGTTGAACACGTTGCGGCAAGATAGAACCATCGAACGAAAAGGACAATATTTTTGAACCGAACGACTTTTTCACGTCCCTGAACAAAAGAAAACGAGTACATATGATATTCGACAGATCGTTTGGTCCTCTGTTGATGTTGTATGTTCGAAAATTATCTGAATCTTCGCGCGCCGTTTCTTGCATTGTTGTCATGTGCGATCGATTTCAATTAAAAACTCCAGTCCTAGATGCAAAACATCAGTGCGCCTGCGCCGTTTTTTTTAAGTATCTTCACCGCGGCGAAGAAGAGGTCCCCATTGCGACTTCCACTTTTACGTTGTTCTGACGGCGATTGCTTATTCACCATTAGCGTTACAAACGGATCGGAAAAAAGAATAGTCGGTACAAAATTTGTGATGATAAAATTAAAATGACCTTTAAAAATGGATAATCGGTCCCGAGCTGCATAATGTTAATAACGCCTTTTGGATGCTACAGGAGAGTTTTATTTTGGAACAATTGAAGTGCGTTCTAATTTGTGTAATTACAAAAGATTTGTTTTGCTTACAAAGAATATTCATGCCTGTTTTATTGCATTCCTCGAAAAGAAAAAGAAAAAGCACATACTAAATCTAATACTAAAGGCAACAGCAACCCGTCGACAACATGATATCTACGCTAACGTCGTCCAGCACAGATGCCCAATCTGAGCTGGAACAAGAATCGAGAACGTCGACACCCGTTTGCGACACATGTGCTAAATCTCCTTCAGAGATGACCTCCCTAGTACAGGTCGAAGAAAAGCCTCCGGCGCCTATCTCCGACGGTAAAGAACGACTGCAAGAACCCGTTACCTTCATCGCGAGCTTTGACGGCAGCGAACACACGGTGCTCGTGGACCCTGCCGAAGTGCGCGTGGTCAAGGACCTAACGGACATCCTAGTGGAGACCCCTAGTTTCAAGAATTTCTATCTAGAGGCGGGCAAGCCCATCCCGCCACCGTCCAAAATTCGGTGGCTGCGCGTCACGACCACGTCTTCGTTGTTGACGAGCAAAAGCACAACTGAAGGAGATACTACCGCTGAGACGGCGCGTCCTGTGCCGTCGACAAGTTCTGCCGAAGTACAACAAGAAAAATCGCTGCAGGGTGAGTCTACTGCAGCCGGTGCGAATAGAGAATTACCTGCACATGGTGGGACTCCTCTTGATCCTTGTGCATCGAGCGGAAATAGGGGAAACGAAGATGACAACAGCCCGGCCTGTAGAACAAGTTCCATTTGCTCCGACTTCACTGAGCAAAACGACGACACCAGCTCGGTCGCTCTCGACGGCGACGAAGAGGCTCTTGTGCAGGTGCACCTAGTGGAGAATCCGGAAGAAGAGAAGCTAGCTTTCGACGGTACGACGAAGTACCGCTACGTGGTCGACACTGTTGGTGAAGTGAGGGTCGACGAATTTGGTTTGCCCCTAATGACTAAGGTCTACGAGCAGACGGTCGACTGGATCTTTGACCAGGCGTACAAATTTGCGACCCCCACTCAGCCTAGCGAGGTAGACGATTATTGTCCGCCAGAAATGGATCCCGTGAGCCAGCCGATTGGCGCTCTTCTCCCTCTGTATCGTCGCCCCCCGCTGGCGGCGGGATGCCGTCTTATGTTTCGATTCCAACGCATTGTGCGGGAGGTCGTGCGCATGACCGACGCGGAGTGGCTCGCGCACGGGTGGCGGGAGGCCCACGACCAGGATGCTGCATCTTCGCAAACTGGAAAAACCTTCCGACAAGACTATATGGAGCGGGTCTTACGTTGCTATCTTTTTTCTGAGCCAAATAGATTTTCCGAATTGGGTTTTGATTTTGATCCGGTTGTCGACCACATTATCAATCCGGCACTCCAGCAAATAGACGACTGGTCTCTGGTCGATTTCGAAGTAATGTTTGCTGGATTAACGACCGCTCTTTCGCGAACCGACACCGACAGGCATCTTGTGCGTGTGGTCGCAGAGTTTCTCGAGCTCCTCTTTGCTACCGTGCGAGAAAACGGCAAGACACTTGAAGTCTGGGGCAAAATCCGAAATGGGCTCAAGGCTGATATGTTCCAGTTTCTTCATCATACTTTTGAAGTGACCGCCACGATGTCCCGGATATGATCTGCAAATATGCCGAGTTCTGGAAAAATGGAAGCCCTGTAATTTCGTTCATTTCTAAAATAACGATAAACCCGTAGAGCTACGATTCGCATCTGAACAACAGAGTGAGGACATGAAGTTCAGGCGCAACATGTTTGATGTTCACGTTGATGCATAGTATCAGGCTTCCATCACGAAAAAAGAATTATTATGCGGAAGTACCAACTTGTCGTGCTTGGCAGCTACAATTAGAATCTCATTTTAGAAAGTGGATAATGTTCCTTGCAGTTCATTCATGAACAGGATCATCCGCAGCTAGATCGAGCATGACATCATCAAACCGGACTGCATATTCGCAATGCATACCGGAGAACCTACAGCAGTTTTCTGAAAGAGGAACCTCTGTACCGACACTCTCGCTCAGGAGAAACTCTCGCAGAGCGGCTTTTCCGCGACCGACGTAGAGCGGATGACAGCGTAGCACTTTGCTGGACCATATCGGAGAAGTTTGCAGACGCGACGCGGCGGACAGAACAAGGGGCCACAAAGTACAGTAAAGAGCTCACGCGTGCCGTATTGAACTTTGACAGGACGTGGATGCAAAGTTGCGAACTGCTGAATGACCACGTCGAACAGCTGTTGGAAACTTACATAAGACTTGCGTCTACTGCTGAATCTGAATCCGTTTCGGTTTTGGCGTCGGACTACACACACGGGGAACAGGAAGAGGACAGCGAGACCACATCTGATCATCACCACAACATCGGCATCAACAGGCACACGACAAACTACACGGTGGTCGGGTGGAGCAACAAGTACGGGCGCATTTGGAGCGACGGCCAAGACCGCTTTTGGGTGTGGGCCTCCCGAACCCAAACGTCTTGGCCATCGCTCCACCAGTGGGAGTCCGAGTGGTGGCACTGGAAAAGGTTGCTGGATGAAGAAGAAATGAATAAACTAAAAAGCATGACCGTGACATCGTAGATGGGTTTGGAAGAACCTTGCAGAACTGCAAACAAAGGCGGACGCTCTTTACCAGTTTCTTGTGGCCTACGAGATAGTTTCGATTACCATCGATCAGCTTGACTGGAAGAAAAGCCGGAGCACGTTTCAGATTCGAAACGTAACGGCGTTTCAACTCGCATGAAATGCACAACGAGAACCATGTAACCGTATATAGTGGAGTCCGACCGTCAAAAATAAACGATTAATTCCCATTCCTTCACCATCATCAAAAAAAAAAAGTAAAAAGATATGTAGATGACGAAAGATTGCCACGATCTTTCATGTTGCGACGTGTTGCATTTTACTGATCACCTGTTCTTTTTTGTGGCGTTCCGCAATGTACTAGCCCGTCGCTCGTGATTTTCACGATTTTCTTGCAGCGTGTGTTGATCTCGTCCTCAGTCAATGTGAGTGCGCCGATGATATTAATCGCGCACTCCTAAATTCAGTATTTCCTGTGAGCGGTGCAGGTGCCGCAGCAGCAGCAACCAGCTCCAGCGCGAAGGTTCTCTACACCAGCAGCTTTTAAGTTGTTTTTTTGGTAATGGTAATCTCAACATGTATTTACGAATGTAGATTTTTTTTTCCCTCAGGATTTGGTCTCCGTGCAGTGTGTGTCCTGTTCCTGTCAGGCTCGCTTCATTGTTCCGGATTGACCATGGCAATATCGTGATCATGTAGTATTTCAACATTAGGCCGCATCCGCAGCCGAAGTTGTTTCTTATTCCACTTGATACTGCATCAAGATGAAAAACAAAAAGAAAAGCCAAAAGCAAAGAAACAAAAATAGGATGGAGCATTCAGCCGCGTCCGGGAAGAATGGCGCCGGCCGTCCTGGCGACAGTGGACCAGCACAGTCCGACTCTACTTCCTCACCTAATGGCGCAGCAGCTGCGCTTCGCCCAGTTACCATCGTATCCGGATTAGGGGGTACGGAGTGGACTTTTCACGTCGATCCCACGCGGATTCGCAAAATGAAGGATCTGGCGCCTTTTCTGATTGCGTCAGAAGAATTTCGAACGGTTTTCCACCCGGACAAATCCAAGCCACTGCCGCCAGGCTCGAGAATTCGGTGGCTGCGCAATGGTAGTCCGTATCAGTGCGCCAGCACCGCCGGCGCATCTTTGAGGCAAGGAGCTACAACGGGGGCAGCTGTCGCGAAGGTGATGGAGATCGGTGCACAGCAGGAGCTCACGGGGCACAGGAGCACCTGTGGTCAAGAGCGTGAAGTTGTTGTGAAGAAAAACCACCTCTGCGATCGCGACGCTACACTTCTCGGTGAAATCCAGTCTAAGCATGCCGTCTCGACGCGGCACCCAGGACTCGAACACGCTGTTGCGCAGGCGGATCTTTATGAGCCGCCGCAGGAGGACCTCGTGGAGGATCCCGAGGAGGAGATTCTGTTTGATGGGGTGACGAAGTATCGCTACGTCTTCCAGACCCCCCCGAACCCCGTGGAACTTAACCCCGATGGGCTCCCCCGCAACACGGATTCCTACGTGGACGCCATGGAATGGATCTTTGAGCAGGCGTACCTCGGGTACGACTATCCTGTGCAAAAGTACCGCACTCGTACTAAAAATCGCAGTCATGCAAGACAAATTACTTACTTCTTCACACCTAATTCTGCATGGTGAATGCCACTTGCCATGCTGAGCTACTTTGTATTGCGACTCTTACTACGTCTACTAGTACGAGAGTTTTGCGATGCATAGCGACTGCAAACCCGGCGACGACCGGAAAACCCGCGAGCGCAATCCCGTGCGCACCGTCCTCCCGCTGGACCGCCGAACGCTTACCTGGAACTCGTGGGTGTGGCTCATGACGAGTCCGCACATTGTGCGCGAAGTGATACGTCTCACGGACGAAGAGTGGGCATTTTACGGCTGGATGGATCAACATCTTCCGGAAGACGCAAGAGAAGAAGAGACAGAGAAGGAGATACAGGTAGCACAGAAGACTATTGGCGACAAGCCCGGGAAAGTACAGAAAACGGGGGCTACGACCAAAGTAGAAGAAGACGCGAACAGCGACAAAGAAAAGCATGCTGTCCCCTCCTCGACCATGAAGACTACAACCACCGATGAAGAAGTGACCCGTTCTTGTGGTCTTTCCGCGCCGACGTCCTCGAGGATGAAGACCTTTCGGCAGGCCTACCTCGAGCGCGTTCTAGCGCCCTTTCTTTTCCACGATGTGGACGACGGTACTACATTTTTCGGGACCGACAAAAAGCGTCTGTTTCTTTTCAGCCACATCATCACACCCGCCTTGAAGCAAATCGCCGATTGGTCGATTGTGGACTTTGATGCGTTGTTTGTCCAACAAAAGTCGGACCATTATTCAAGTAATGCCCCCCCAAAACCATGCATGCATCCCCCCCCTCCCCCCCATTACTCAGTGAAGGGAAAAGGCGGCCCGCGGTTCTGCTCCCCCCACGGTATGTTGGTGGTTTGGTTATATCCTTGTGCATTCGTCGCGGCCCTTCGCGAAGCGGCTCCGCGGCGGTACGCCACAAATAGAATACCTGATCGCCTAAGCCCAAGAGAATGCAATCAATGGCCTTCATCGCAACGAGAAAAACCAAAAAAGAGTCGCGCGCGTCGTGCACTTTTTAAAAAAGAAGGCCGCGCCTTCCTCAGGCGCCCAAATTTTTTGCCTTGCCGCGGCGCTGCGCGCCGCGCGCTTGCTTTGTTTTCCTCCATTCGATAGGCACGGGCCTGGGGCAAGGGCATTTTCGTAAGAAAACAAAAAAGCGACGCTGGGGCGTGCGCGCCGTGGAATGACATGCCACCTAGAGCGCCGGGTCGTGGTTCTTTCAAAGGGCGCGGCAGCAGACTCATCCGGTCGGCCGGACCTTTAGCTTTCCTCCATGCAGGGAAATTGAAGGAGCCACCTCAGCAACCTTCGCACCTCTTTCGCCTATCATTTCTGAATGACGAATTTTATTTTTGGGAATTTAGAATGCAGAAATAATTTCCAAAAAAAATTGTCGCGCAGAAATAATTTCCAAATTTGGAAACTTGTCATGCAGAAATGACGGGCCACAGGAAGCCAAAGCTGTTGAGTTGGACGCTTCGACTTTTCCTCCATCGGAGTTAGGAAAATTCAAGTGGCCGCTTCGTCAACAGTTTGCCCTTGTTGTTCGCTTCTGCATTACAAATTCACTGCCAATCATGGTGGCAATTTGTATACGCAGAAACGAAGGACAAAGGAAAGCGCTTCCTTTGTTCGTCGAAGGTTCCAGCTGCTGCTCGTGGGAGAACAAAATACCTGTGACCTGTCCTGAGTAAAGATCTCACTCAGTTCCGGTGGCCTGAGTAAAACTTTTATTCGGGCCAGATGACCTGAGTAAAATCTTCATCGGGAGGGGTCATGAGGGGCAGGGCCGTGCCGGAAAAACCTTTCGCGAGCGATCGGATAGAGGAAGCCCGCTTGAAAGTTGCAAACTTTTGGAACTTCCAAGCGGCATTCTCTCCAGAGGCCTGCTCTCTCTTCGACCCAGTCCATGGAGAAAAACCCGGCTGGAAATTCAAAAAGGTTTGAACTGCCCAGCGGCATTTTCTCGACAGACTTGCTCGGGAGAGATTCTTCTCGACCCAGTCCATGGAGAGAAACGGAAACCCGGCTGGAAATATAAAAAGTTTTGAACTTCTTCCAGGCGGGATGTTCTCGAAAGACTTGCTCGGGAAAGATTCTTCTCGACCCAGTCTATGGAAAAAAACCCGGCTGGAAATTCGAGAAGTTTTGAATTTCCCAGGCGGCTCTTCTTTGCCCGCAGATTTTACTCAGATCCGGTGGCCTGAATAAAACTTTTACTCAGCTCGCGTATCCTTCGCCCTTCGTTTCTGCATTTGTAATGCAGGAATGCAGGAGGATGAAGACACGGCAATCGCCGATTGGTCGATTGTGGACTTTGATGCCTTGTTTTACTTTTTGCGGTGCGACGACTATGAAGGGACAAAGTCCATTTAGCTTCATGGATCTATTTTGAATATATTCAAAATCGGCCGTGAATATTTACACTTTGCAGAAGAGTGATTTTTTCAAACACGCCCGTCACCGACACCGAAGCCGACGCTTTCCGGGTTCAACAGCCACGACCTGAGTTTCAAAATAGTCACTGTTTATGGAAGAACCACAACTAGGATCCGCCGCCGGCAACTACCGGGCAGGCGCGGCAAAAAAAACAACGCCAACGGCGCCACCGGAGGTCTAAGTCGTGGCAGCGGCCTCCGCCTCCGGCACGCGGAAATAATTGCGCACTGTTTCATTGGCGCATCATAGCTGCGCCAACAAGCACCGGGGAGAAGAAGTATAGACGTCGCTACGTGCCTGCGCGCGCAGCTACGTGCCCTCCTTAGCTTCGTTGCCGCCGCCTGCAAGGCTGTTCTTCGTTCTGCAACTCAGAACAAGACACACCCCGCACCTAGACGGTAAGCAAGGTAGTTCTGCGCCTGGACAGCAATCTGGCAGCGTGTGCGCCAGGCCTCTGCCCAGGCCTGCGGCGTGTGTGCCTAGAGGCAAAAAAAAGGGAAGCAAGGCCCGGCCGCTTGCTCCCGGCCGCTGAATGATTCAAAATCGAGATCCAGAAAAGCAGCGCCTCTTGCGAAAATTCACAGCAAGAGCCGGCTTCCGAATGAATATCCTCAGAAAAGGCAAAAAAACGCTGCCCGTCCGTGAATCATTCAAGAGAAAGCCCCGCCTCCCCCACCCCATGACCCGGCTACCGCCCAGCATTTTTTTGCTTCAGCACAGAAACAAAGCAGAGCGCGCCAGCCACCGCAATTCAAACTAACAGAGCGCGCGAGCAGGTGCGAAGGGGGCCTACAGGAGTTCTGCGCCCTATGCAAGGGCAGCCCGCAGTGCTGGCGCGCGCAGTGCCGTTTTTGCTTTTGGCATGCAATACACCCGCCTTGAAGCAAATCGCCGATTGGTCGATTGTGGACTTTGATGAAGCTTCGTTTCTCCTTTCGGCTTAGTGGGGGCACAGCATGTGCACAATCTCGTTCGGCGCGCAGGTTGACGGACCCGTGGTGTCTCCTTGCTGGTTGGTTGGTAGTCTCGTGACAGATGAGTGACGGTTTGCCAGAACGTCAGAATCGGATTTTGACGTTCTGGTGACGGTTTGTGACGGTTGTTTGACGGTTTGTGACGGTTTCGTCAGAAAGTCCGCTAAAACGGAGCATACAATCGGGGAAGATAAACTGTCACTAACCAAATTGGAACCGCCTTCCAACTTGTGACGGTTTTGTCACCATTCCGCCAAAATGCGTCATTTCATTCTTGGGCTACCTGAGGGCCTACCTAGCTACGTACCACCAAAGGCGCCCATGGGAAACGTCAGGCGGCAACCCAGAATATGGCCAACGTCCAGCCGTTGCGGGCCCCTGCGTTGGCTGGTGGGATGCCAGTCGTTGGGCGTTTGGGGTTTGCTCTTTCGTCTTTTTGTGTTCTGGGGGCCCACAAAATTTTCAACGCGTGTGGCGACATGCGTGCACGCTCCCCAGGCAGACACTGTCCTGGGGTAGGGCCAATGGTGCTTCTCGGTGTGCTTCGCGGCATGGCTTTGCCGCCCATCGCCCGAAGCCATCGAAGTGCCGGGCCACAATAAAATTTTCGCTTTTCTTTTTTCAAAACGTCACGAAACCGTCAGACCATGTAACTCATCGCGAGCCGTCAGGTTGAACGATTGGTCGACCGTGGACTTTGATGCGTTGTTTTACTCTAAAACGCTGAATTAGCGGCAAAGCCGGTAATCCCTGTGAATTCCAAAAGCCCACGACTCTCGTGCATCTAGGCCCGCCGCCCGTGCTTCAAAATGAATCTTGGAGCAGAACTACTTTGCAAATTTGGCAAACGTGCCTTGCTTCGCTTTGTCCAAATGCAGCAAACGTGTTACGCTGCTCGTCGCCGCGGGCGTGGCTTATCTAACTTGCCTGCCCCAGGTGACAAATCTGAAACGCAGCCACCTCAGCGCACAGGCTTCGTAGAGCAGGCGGGCGCGCCCGGGCGTCCGCTGGTGCGCCCCTCGGCGCCGACGTTTTGTCACAGAGTCAGGCCCCAGACACTCCGTTAACCAGACCTCGGGGTACCCAGAGGTTCTGTTTATCGCGAGATGTTTTTGGATTTTTGGCTGCATGGCGCAGGGTCCATTCCTGGACACAACGTCGGCCTGGGTGAAGGGGATATTGAATCTACTTAGCACGACCTTTGGCAATGCAAAGGTCATGTTAAGCGGTTTTTTTTCCCGGCAGACTCAGGGAGTCCGCGACTCAGGGAGTACTCATTTGCCCTTGCGCTCCTGTGTCCCTATTCACGGGTCAGCACAACTTCGAGGCTGTATGTTTGCAATGTTAACGTCCGCCGAATCCCGATTCAGGATTCTAGGGATCGCTTATCGCTGAGAAATCGCGTTAAATGTTGGGCGAGAGATTTGATGAGAAATCGCTGATTGGTCGACTGTGGACTTTGATGCGTTGTTTTACTTTTTGCGGTTCGACGACCCGATGAACGTGGCAGATGGCTTACAGGCGGACTTGGACAACCCGTTCGTTCTCGCGCCGTTCGGGTGCTTTTTCGAGTGCATCGGCGACAACCAGCGGGCGTGGCGCTGCATTGCCGATGTACTCAAGAAGAAACTGGTGGAGTTCTTGTCCGAAAAGAGACCAGAACAGGAAATGCGAATCGAGCTCACGCCGGTATAATTCGTACACCAATGAAGTATATCGCAGAGATGAAAAATGAAGATGAACAGAAGAACTTTTCACAACTTATTTTGCGGCACTTCTCCAGCGAGATGGAGTTCAAATATCATCACCAGCTTTTCTTTCTCGTTGTTTTCAATTGTGAACGAGAATGATGAATCCAAAGGGCGACAACATCATGCGCGACGATGCATTCTTTTTGCAAAATTGTGACCAATTCCATTTCAATATTCAGGGTCGCGAATCCGTCGAAGGCGTGCACCTGTTTCAGGAGAAATGTAAAGAGCTTCTCCGCGGGTGTATTCCGATCGTTACCCTTTTTACAGACAAGATGACAGCCGTGGGTTTCCCGGAATACACTGCTGAGGTTGTGCAAGTGATCAACACATTTCACAAGCGCACCCAAGACCTCGTGAAGCACGCCACGAACTGGCTGCTTTGCTTGGAAGATTTCCGTCCTGCGGTCGATCAGCAGAGTCCAACCGCACTGCCCGGAACATCTGATGAGGAGGAGAAGAGTGGTGGCGCAGCTGACGACGAAAGTGAAGATGTTTCATCCGGTAGTGCTGATGTGGACGAAAGCGAGGGGGAGGCGGAGAACAGTGGCTTTTCTACGGATCCACTGGAACGAAAAGTAGCAGCGCTCATGAAAATGAACTGGTGAGAAAGCACGATAAGATCTGGAATCAGATGAATGAATTCATGACGGAGAAAATGCTCAAGAGAACTTTATCTTTGCCGTAATATACAAAAGTCGCGACTACACACGCACTGTATCGTAGAATTTCGGTTTCGATTTCGAATTCCAAAATGACGAAGAAGAAGTTCTTTCGATCGTTGTTTTCCGAAGTATTGATTCTGCTCCTGCCGGTGGGCGAGAAAGTGCTTCCGCCTTTGGAAGCCACCAGCAGCAGAGTGTTGATGCCTTTGGAAGCCACCAGCAGCAGAGTCTCCACAACAAATATCGTTGTTCTTTCCACCATGTTAATGTGTCCATCGGTATGATAAGGTAAAGGAAACTACAAAGCGGCATAATGAAAGTAGAAAATTTCCGTGATTGTTGTCGGTTCACCCAACCGCTCAAGTCCTCCGCATTTTCTGTCTTTACTCAGTTAACTATTTCCTGCGAACCAAAAAACCTGCTCCTCTTTTCCTTGTTTCGATTGTGCCTCAAGAGCAAAAGTACAGCACGAAGTTGATAAAATTCAAGTCATCATGTCGTCCGCCTCCTCCAGCTCCAGCTCCGCTGGTCCGCAGAATACTGCCGAAAGACAAAATGCTGCCATTCTTTGCGAGGACGCGGCAACTGATGCTGGTCCCTCTCCTCTCCAGCAAGAGAACGTGGGAGCCCTGATCATTACCGACGTCAGTGGGAAGGAACGCAGAATAACTGTTCCTCTCGAGGCAGATGACGCTCCACCGCCAGTGGCGATCCTGCATCGTGATTACCTCGGGCCGTTTTTCGAAAACAAACTTATGCCACCGCGGCACCGCATTCGATGGTTGAAACAAGAGACGGCGGTGCAAAGTGACAAACGCGAGGAGGAGACGAGTGCGCCAGAGCAGACGGTCGGCGACGGGGAGACGCGTACGGATGCAGGTGTGGGGGCCCCATGTGTGTCGCTGACGTCCCACGGCGGGCAAGAAAAGGAAGGATATGCAGCTGCAGCAAATGATGGCCGAGATAGCAACGAAAAAGCTCCCGCGCAGGCAAGCCAGAGTGATCTGGTGGATGATGTCGATGGTTTGGCTTCTGAGGTTTCATCTGTGGCATCAGGCAGGCAAGTTCCGGTCGACAGTGATCAGGAACCCCTGGAAGTACTCGTCGTGGCGGCCGCGTGTCCGGGCAAGAAAGCCGACGCCGGCCCATCTTCACGAGAGGGCGAAATACTACCGCATCCTCCACCGGAAGCAGACCTCCCTGTTTACCAATTCATCGTAACTGGTCCACCTGAGAAGCACGAACTCGTGCAAACGTCTGATGAAGCTGCTGAAACGTGGTTGTACGATCGCAAATACAAAATCGAGGAGTATCCGGAAATGGAGGACGATGACAGGGAGCAGCTACAGGAGTGCATTGCAACGGTCATTCCTCTGAAACGGACGTTTTCGCCGTTAGATGAGGGACAATGCGACTGGTTTTTCCTCAAGTGGCGACTCCTCAGCGCTGTGCTCCGTCTGCCGGAAGCAGAGTGGGAGAAGCACGGATGGAACGACCCACCGCCCAAGATTTTGCAGGTGTCGAAGAAGGGTACCAAGGTTCGCACATCGCCGACACCGCCTACAAGTTATCGACAGGCGTACGCAGTAAGAGTGGTGCGAGGCTTGGTTGGCAAGTGTCCTCCCTCTGCGGAGGAGGATTTCGAGCCGCACCAAAACGAGGTTGCGGAAAAGGTGGTGGGCCTGGCGCTGTCTCTAATCGAAAAGTGGGAGCACGTAAATTTTCAGCACCTCCTCGAACTTCTGCCGGACTTGGCCGATAGTTGGAGTGAACATCAAGCGCAATGGAACCACGACCCACGGCCGCACCCCTACACAAAAGGGTGCGTCCAGCAGATCTCCAAAGCACTGGACGCGTGGGCTGGAAACAACGCTGCAAGCGTGAAGAAATGCAAACGCGTCGGGGACAAGCTCTATAAGGCGATTGAGCACCACGTGAAGAAGTCCTTTCGCAACTTTCTGGCCGGCCGCTGCATTTACGTGGTACCATGGCGCACACATACGCGCTTGCTTTTATATGCTTCGATGTGGTTGATGTCATTCGGGGTTTAGCTTTTCAATTTGATAGGATAAAGAGATCAAATTCCAGTAGAAATCCTTCACGAACAACCAGGATCATGCTGCAGAGAACCGAGGCAACGGAGACGATTTTGCAAAATATTGCGAGCAAGTCGCTGACCACATCTCTATCAAAAAGGCAACTCTTGGCCTTGACTAGGTCCACCTCACATCTTCTATGCGTTGCGCCTTGTTTAGCTGGCATGAGCTTGCCCTTGTGCATTCGGATCTCTTGTCTTCAAGGAGCAGCCTGGTCGCCACAGGACGTGGTCTGCCTATTGTGAAAGTGTCGTAGCAGCAGGTGCAGCCGCAGGTGGACGATATACGTCAAAGAAGTCGCCAGCAATATATAATTCCACACACAAAAACAAATTATAAACGGATGCGAGGTTGTCCCGAATTTCGTTTTCATAGAATCGCAGTGGGTGAATGTTTTTGCCAAGTGTATGACCGACACGCACCCCGAGCTGAACTTGTCGGATGATCGTGTTGAAACGTTACGAGGGACCGTGAGCGACTTTCGCAAAGCAAGCGAGAAGCTGAAAGAGTATACGAACCATTTGGTTTGGGGCGTCGATGAAGAGGACGAGGCGGTCAGCGACTCGGACGACAGTGACGATGACGGCCAGGTCGCAGCCGCAGGCGATGAGGCTGACGACACCAGTGACTACTTTAGCCCGTTGCCGCTGAGTAGTTTGTTTTGAGTCTGAAACTGTTATGGGATAGCAACGCTTCGTCGAACTGGGAAATGGCTTCACCGAGCTAGGACGAGGGCTCAGAAATGTGTGTAGCTGCAGGACATAATATTTCATTTGTGCTAAGTAGCAGTGGCACGGACTATCGACTGAAGCGAATAATTAATTAAGATTTCACTTTGAGCAGATAATGATAAATCAGACGCACCACTGTCAAAAGCGACAACACATAATTTGAAAATGTTTGTGTGGGTATTATGTGGCGTTGACCCCAGTGGAGGTTCAGTCAATTTTAAAGAACACTTCGCTAGTGCAAATTTTGGACACTCTCATACACCTCGGTATATTTTCGTGTTTGGACACGCACAGTTCTTCTAGTTTCGTCGAGGAAACGAGATTCCGAGAGGAGGTTGGCTGACACCGAAACTAGTTCCAGCATTGCAAGTGGATTGCTTCACCTTGAGCCCCGCAATTTATAGAGGTCTAACCGGAGTAAATTTTCGCGTGGTCGGTCACCGTCATAAAGGAATTGCAAGAGCATGTTGGCGTGACTACTGCTATATTAGTCGTCGAGTGAGATGCTTTACACACGTACTATGGCTTAGAGACGATATTGAGGAGAATGATGTTGAGACCGCGACACCTCTGATACTTATAGGATAAGAGTGAGACTGATACACAAGAAGCGGGCGGCGGACGAACGTTTGTACTTCCCACATGCGCTCTTTGCGGGGTCAAGCTCTACGACTGTGATTCTGATGCACCAGGTCGGGTACGCAAGTTGTTGAATTACCCCACGCACTTCGACGGCGGGTTGACGTGCATGAAACTCGGCTGCGTCAATGCCTACAAAAGCTGGACAGTGCCCGACTTTCGCGGGCCATGCCGTTACAGACGCCATGCGCCCAAGCAGGACCGCGATCGTGTAGCCTCTCGGGTCGCGGTCGCCGCACCAGAATCGGCGCAGGTGATGGCGACGGCCCGACGACGGAGGAGCGCGCTGCGCCCGTGTTCGAGTCCCTACGAGCTCGGGCCAGCGCGGCAGCTCGGAGGGTTTTGCCGCCCGGTGGTGTTGCGGTATCCAATCCCGCAAAAAGCAGCGCCGCCAGCCGCGCGCCGGGCCTGCCTCATCGCCACGCGTGGGCCCGCCGGGCCTCATATTCCTGTCTGCGCGGCAGAAGACTCTGAAACAACCCGGCTCGATGAGCAGTCAACATCAACGCGGAGGGTAGAATCCTACGAGCCGCCAGCCCCAGCTACCGATTGCCAACTGGGACAGAAAGGAGCTACGTCAGACCAGCAACGCAGCACATGCACGGCACGAATATGAGGCGGGCCCACGCACATGCGCGAATATGAGGCCGCCCATGCGCGCCGGGCCCACGCGCGCCGGGCCTCGTCGCCCATGCGCGCGCACTCCGTGCAGTCATCGCCATAGCGCCACAAACTGCGGAAGAGGCAGCGCAGCGGCGCGCCTGCATTCATGCAATTTGGCATCCGGCGGCCATGCAATTTGGCAAGGGCTGGGCGCTGGGAAAAGACGCGCGCCGGCCCGCTTGCCGCCCGTTTCGCAGGCCGGCGCACTTCTCTGCTGCCGTTTTTCGCCGCAGCTCCTTTTTTTGAATATCAGGCGCGGCGCTTCGGTATTCTTCTGGCGACGCGTATGAGCATTAGCACGCCTTCGACGATGCGCGACTTGTTTCGCGAGTGTGTTGGTTCGTGTTCGGGAAGCAAGATCAGCGTGCGTTCTTCACTTCGCTAGATTTGAAAAAGGAAGGAGAGTCTTTCCGCAGGTAGAAAAAAAGCACGTCGTCGTGTAGTGGTGCTGTTATCTTCTTGAACCTGGCTCCGACAAATTCGAATGTCTTGAGAGTTTGAATAAGTGATTCGGTTTTTTATGGAAATCGATCGTACTCGGCGTTGTCTCCGTTAAGTTGTCCTCGAGCTGGCGGCCTGGGTAAGATGAAAATAAAAGTCTTTAATTCTGGAGCCCATGAGAGCGGGTTGGGAATAAGAACAATGAACATGTCTGAAAGACAGAGTTGGAGGTGGAGGGAAAAAGAAACTGGGTGTCTTACACGAGAGATTCCAGCTGTTTCCGGAGGACTTTGTTCTTTCGGCTTCTCACAAGCCACATCTCTTTTCATTGAGTTTGAATGTGGTGGGTCGAGCCGAAAAGCCTCTCTGTCCCTCTTTCAGTAGCTCAAGCGAGTTGAGAAGCGGCGCATGGTATCAGCATCTCAAATTCTGAGCGAAATGCGGTATAGTTGTGCGAGAAGAACAGGCTGAGCATGTTCAGAAAAATCATGGCCAGGCCCGAGCCGAAAATCAGTGTAGAGCTTCCCCTCCGAAAATCAGTGTAGAGCCTATGCGGAAGAAGGGTTTGCTACGGCCCACGAAGTTGAATATCGCGGAACAGTTACACGATCTGCAAGGAAACTGCAATCATGTTGGCGGTGCCGTCGGAAGTAACCTGTTACTTTGCAAGCTAGCAAGGTCAGGAACATGGCTGACAAGCCTGGCCTTCAGGAAAGGTCTGCCCCTGTTGAGGCAGCGCCAAGCTAACGGTGCTAGCTTGGAGCTGCCTCAGGGTGAACATGTTGCCGCCTCCGGAGTGCAGTTTGTTCGCCCCCCTCAGAGGCAGATCTTTTTGATTCCGTGTCGCGCCGCGTGCGGGAGAAGGTATGCTAATGAAAGTGACAAACGGCGGCCGCGCGATAGATTTTGTAAGAAAGGGCCGCGCGCGGCTGCGCGTCCGGGGGGAGATGGCGCGCGCCCGCTTGGCGCCCGCGTGCCGGCGCGCTCCCCTGTTGCCGTTTTTCGTCGTCTCACGGCGGAGGGGCAGCAGCGCCCGCCTGAGCCCTCCAGGCGGCCCGGGGGAGGGCTGCGAGCAATCGGGCGAGGGGAGAAGGCGCGCGCCCGCCGCCGCGCTTCTTGCGCAGCGCTCCGTCCTCCGTAGTCGAAGATAGATGTCTGGAAGGACTCTCTTCTGTGAGCGCGCTGCCAATGTTGTGGCCCTCGCTCGATGGCCCGGATGTGTTCCCTTGGGCCCATTGTGTCGTTCGTCGGCGCACTTCCCTGCCGCCGCTTGTCTCCGTCTCCGTCTCCGTTTTTTTGAAGATAACAAGGCACGTCGCTTCGTTGTATTTCTGGCGACGCGCATGACGATAACGGTTCGCACACTTTCGACGACGTGTCACTTGCTCCGGGAGTGCGTTTGTGTTCGGCAAGATCGCCGCGCGGCTCTTTCGTCGCTTAGGCCTGAAAAAAGAGAAGGAGCGTCTTTCCGAAGGCAAACAAAAACGTGTTGTCTTGAGGTTGAGTTGCTGTTCAAGAAGAAGAGGAGATATTCCACTTCTAGCAACTGGAGTTCTTGTGATCAGAGGAGTCGAGGACATCGCCATCCTTCATCTCGCTCTACCTGTGATGAGGCTTGCAGCTGTAAAGCTAGAATATAAATGACGCAAACAGAGAAGATGAAGCGTTGGCGCAGCATCTGAGCTCTGTTGAAGCTGACCAAACCAGGTACGAGTTTAGCGTGCCTCTCTTCCCAATAAAGCGGAAAAGAATAGTACTAGTCTTTTGTTGGTGTGGCTTGGAAGAAAACTTCTGAAAAAAGAAGATGTCGTCCGGAGTGGCTGCACCCGCAACCGCTAGTGCGGTTGCTAGTAAAACTGCGCCGCCGGGACAACCACATCTCCATCCGCAGACGTCCGCAGACGGCGCTTCCCGCAAGACCGCAACAGGGACGCAAAAATGCTCCTCATCTTCCAACGATGGAAGGAGTGCAGCGTTTCCTGGGGCGTCCACCAATAACGCAATCGAACCGTTTTTGATCATTCGCAATGCCGCGGGATTGGAAACAAAGCTCACCGGAATCGACCCTGCGAAGGTAAGGGTGATCGCAGATTTGACCAAAAAGCAGGTCTACGACCGTTTCATCAAGGTCTTCTACGACGCCGAGAGGGAGCTCGTGCCGCCGCCAAGCAAGATTCGGTGGATGCGGCGGTTGCCGAAGAACTTCTTGGACGCCACTGCAGGCACAGCCAAAATAACTACTACAACCTCCGGTGCGGGGAAGAAGGACGTGGCTAGCTCCACTACAGAAACGAACGAAGACGTGGTGCCGGCCAACGGGGCACCTCGTTTCGGGGAAGATTTACGCGGAACCTTTCCTTCTAGCTCGAATCTTTCCAAGAACAACACCGGGACCACAAAGTCAAAGGACGACGGCAGTTTTAATATAGCCGCAGAAGGGCCAGTTACTTCTCTGCCCGCGCCAACTCCGGCAAGAACCCAACCTAACAAAAGGGCGAGCTGCGATTTGTCGGGAGGGAGGTCAAGCAGACGGCGTTCCGAGGACTCGTTGTTCTTCGAGGAAGCACGGACCAAGAACACGGACGACGAACCGGAGTTCGATGGCAGTACTCATTCTCGTCCTGCTTCGGAAGCAGATAGTGAAGACGAGACACCGGAAACGCTGGTCGAGTCAGCGAAGGAAGAGCTGGTTTACGGCGGCGCGGTGGTGTACCGGTTTGTTGTGCAAGGCCCCGGCCAGGTCGAGGTAGACGACGAGAGCGGGCTGCCCGTCTGGAACACAAAAGCCGACGCGGAGGCGTGGCTGTACGATCAAGCCTACCTGAAAGACCGCAAGGAGGATGCTTCTGACGGACGACCGAAGCGACCCGCCCGGAGTGACAACGTGAAGGATCTGTTGCCGCTCTCCCGCCGCGAACGTGCCTCGGATCCGGACAATCTACGGCTCCATTTGCACGTTGTTTGTGCAGTTTTGTCCATGTCTGACACCGAGTGGAAACTGCACGGCTGGCGCGACAAGGAGAAACGCAAAGACGCATCACAATCCGCGGGCGCCCTCGCGACAACGACAACTACGTTCCGGCATGACTATGCCGGCCGTGCGCTCGCGGCCCTCATGTTTACCGGAATGTCGGGCGGAAACAATGTTCATGCGCTGAGCGATTTGTTGGCCAACATCGTGGATAGCTTCGCTCCAGAGCAAAGTGGAGGAGGGCGTGGCGAAAAATTCTATCCGAAGCAGCTCGCGTATTTGCAGAGGCAGGCGCATCTGAAAACACGAACCAAGTCCGAGCGCATCGCTCTTCTGGTTTCCGTAAGCAGTCGTGTTTTCACTGAGGACCTGGACATCGACGGCGGTCCCCAATTTTTCCCCGATTTTTCCGAACCGGTCATGGAGCAACGAAAAAACGCGCGCGACTTGGAGATGCTGCTCCTGGCGCTCGAAAACTGCAGGCACAAGGGCGTCTGGCGCAAGCTTCGGAAGGCGATGCGACGGAATCTCCGAAGAGATTTGTTCGCAGTGGTTTCTCAGCTGCAACTCGATATTGCGGTACTTCTCATATCTGACATGAAAGATGATGATCGCCATCGGTTTACTTAGCTTTCGGCTTCTCTGACATTTTCACGAATAGCTTCATGCTCTTTATCTTTTTCGTTTGTTTATACTTTCTTAGACTTGGTTTCGGACATCCTTTTTCTACAAGTTTTGCTATCGTGATGTGCATGGTGTGCGTTGAACAGGGACCACAGTGAAAATAAACCCAAAACGGCAGGGCGAAGCTGCCGGACAGGACGCTTTTGAGACATTCCGTGGGGAATGCGACCCGCCGCGGGAAAATGCAAAGGAGTGGGTGGACCTCATAGCGACGTCTATGCAGAAAGCGGGTTTTTCCCATTATGCCTCGAGCTTGCAGGACGTTCTGGACGAATTCGGAAAAGCCACGGACGAACTGATAGAGAAGGCCCACGAATTGCTCTGGAGTGTCGAGGAGGATGACGCAAACGTCTTCGACTCGGAAAGTGAGGTATCTACCAGTTCCGTGGACGATTCTTCCGACGAACAGGGGAGTGACGAGGACGACGGCGATGAGGCCGAATGACATTTTGGACGTTCCTCCTGACGAGCACTCTTGCGACGCTTACGTCTTGCGACGACGTTGCACGACAGCATTTACTTTTTTTTTATTCTCGACCCGAAAAAAGAAGACGAGTCTTTTGGAAGGAGAGGAAATTGTTATGGGAAGGCTTTGATTACCTTTCGTCGACGACACAATGAATATATGTCTCCTGTGTTTCACTAAGATTAGATAAGTAGTCGTGTGATTCTTGATGTCGTTTTTGACATCTGCAACCGATCGCATTGATTGGTCGTAGTTGTCTCGATTTCTTATCGACCTCGGGCTGGGAACAACATCAAATATACTTAAAGAAACATTTAGCTGAGCTCGAAGTTGAAGGCACAGTGCTTGCGCGCCACTAAAGATCGCATTGGGCCACGGTCGGCTACGCTAGGCACTGGCGGCGCAAGTGCACGCGTCTACTTGCTGCCGTAGCAATGGTTATCGTGATGTTTTCAATGATAATTCTTTCGCACGTGTGTACGAAGAGCAGAGGTGTTGATCACCTGTCTCGAATACATTGTTCTTCGTCTTCGTTAGGTAGCACAAATTTTGCGAACAGCGTGTCCCGGTTCCAACATGAAAATGTTTCCGATCGAGTCATCATCACCTGCTGTTTCCGCGGCACCGCTAGTTTTGCGTTTGACCCCAGAAGCACGCATGTGATTGCTTCGGCTAAAATATTGATGGTTTCCTCGTTGTTGATTTCTATAAACGCTTCTTCTAGAAGTTAGTATCTATCAGCAGAGTAGCCGTTGATTTTGATAAGCTTATGGCACAATATCGAGCCACTTGCACGTTTTTAGTTTTCATTTTTCTCCGGGGAGAATTCTACCAATACATCGCTAGATTCTACTGAGATAGAGTGACACTCAGTATCCAAAATGGTTTCGATCGACGATCCGGATGAGTTTCAGGAGAACCCGCTTGATTTACTCTTCGAGCTGTCTTGCCTTCTCAACACGGGGCTGGACCGGTATCTCGGCAATCCTATGTGCCAGCAAACGTGAATTTTTATTGCTTTCTTCAACAACCGAGAACACGAACACGTCATCACAGCACAGAGAGCCTGCTGTGGCTCGAGCAGCGAAGCCGGCGACGAGTCTGTCAGCGTCAGTCTCTTCAGTTCAGCATGATAAGTAAAATCAAAATGCAAGAGGCTTTCTGTACGCACGATGCAGGGGAACGAGACCGCCAGCGCCACCCGCTTTCAACATAATTTTTGCATGTGATACAACTCCTCAATCAACAAATTCACAAGAACTTCTGGCACGTGTATTTCGCGTCCATAACCCCGAGACGCTTGAGATCCTGCACGACCTGTGCCAGCTTGGCGTAAACCCCACCGCGCTGGCCGAGGTGGTAACGCAACTGCGGTCTGAGGGCGCCCGGCTGGACGAGGAAATTAAAGCCCGAACAGGCGGAGGAGCAGCCGGCGCAGCGGCGTCGGGCCACGGCGGCGCGCACCTTTTGGGCGGAGCGGGGAGAGGCGGGTCTGCCGCGCGGCACTTTGCCGGCACGACGACAAGTGCAGCAACACTCCTGAGCGGCGGAAATAACCTCGCTGCTGCCTCCAGTACAGGAACGACGGGCCTAGGAGCCGGGTTGCTTGCGCCTTCAGGGGGAGCTGCGGCTTCCGGTGGCTCATCGTTGCTGCGACCGACAGCCAATATCGGAGGAGGTTTCACTTCTTCTTCGGTACAACAGAGACGGTAGTGAGAAGGCCGTCGGTGTGTACTACGAAGGGTAACTGCAACACATTGAAATTGATAGTAAATAAACATACTGTACGGGAAAAGCGAACCTCCACCAGAGAATGGATATTTCCTTGACGCATCAACCGCTGCATCTTATTCGACCTCAATGTCCAACTGCAAGAATTCGAAATGAGAAATATAGCTTCTTTGCTGCTCCCCTGGCCGTCGAGTAGACATGCTGCCGCCAGGAAAAACAATCATGGTACAACCTGTGCATGTACAGCGCGAGCGCTTCGTGTTCGGTCCATCTGAACTTCATGGAAGATGCAGTGAGTACTACCATCGTGATTTTGTTCGTCGTCTTTCCCATTCGAGCTAAACTGCAATTTTCGTCGCTCTGAATCGTTTATGTCGTGTAGAAACATAGCAGAAGATTGTAACTGGACCGCCATCAATCGTTATCGCATCGTTGATGTCATCGCTCTGCGTGAGGATGATCCGCTCGCGCTCGCGCATTCGGTCGAGGATGCGTATCCGTGGCCAGAGCCATTTGATCACCAATCCATAGATTTTGATTTCTCCCATGTGCATGTGGTGTTTATTCTTGCCCATCGGGATAGGATAATTTTTTTCTTCTTTTCGCGTGAGAAATATGGAAATGCAGCAGTAAAAGTACCTAATGTTGATGTTCATGTTTTGCATTCCCCCGCTTTTAATTAACATCCCGCCCTGCCAGTTTTGACAAAAGTTGAAGCTTCGTTACCTTGTTCGAACAGATAGAAAAAAGTCGAAAAAAGCACCAATATGGCATGCAGTAACGTTCGTGCTTGCGCCGCCGATCCCATCGGCTACTGGTTTGGGAACAGCGCTTCTAGCAAAGCAAACAAACGGGAATACGTGCCGTGGACGCCAAAGTTTCCCGCTGAGGTCGAAAAAACCGTTGACGAATGGGAAACGTACTATTTACAGAAAGTTGCACGTGCGGCCAAGATTCGTCTATTCAACGTGTGGTTTGTATTTTCTACATGCAATTACAATCCAATCGTCGAACTAAAACCAAAACATATGAACACTCACTTCGCCCCATAAAGTTTAAATTCCGTGTCAGGTATGTGGAGCAGCGCGCACTGGACTCGATGCCGCAGACTATGATTCGCTCATTGCTCGAACAGATTGCTTCGAAAATTGATCGCGGAAGCCCAGATCCAGTTCTAGATGATGGTATGAGTAGTTTTTTTGATGATTATGTGTGACACCTCAGTTGTGTTGGGGCTGCAGACTGTTTTATACCTCTCGTGGTACAGCCGCACAAAAGAACATGGTCCACTATCATGGAAAGCTCCTGTCATGCTATCCGAATTATTAGAATGGATGCTCATGTCGATGTCATCAATCTACCTACCACCTCGGGTTCTGAAGAATCTCCTTTACTTTCCAGATTGCTGCATCTGGCACGGGGCTTTCCACGAGGGGCACCCGGTAATCGAACTGCGAAAACCTGGGCAGGAAGAGGCACAGCCGACCTACGTGAACCGCATTCTGGCCTTCTTTTTCGCGACCCCTGCAAAGTTCCAGGCACTGCAAGCCTTACCCCGAAGCGCATTCCCAATGACCTGCCGGCGGACCGACTGCGTTTGCTTCCAGCACATCGGTGGCTTGGAATTCAAGGCTTCTGCTGCGTCCCTGGACGACGAGGGGGTGGAGGGAAATTTTAACTGAGCATCATGATTTGATCTCAATGTAATTCTATTCCAATATTGTATTTCACCTAATTGAGCTTTTGTTATTCATTGTCTTGTACGAAGATGAAACGTTGTTGTCTTGTTCCCTACTGTTTCTGTTTCACCTCGGTGTGGCATTCGTGCCACCACTGAAATTGATGTACGATAAGAATCCTCCAACGAGCTTCACCTCATCTTGCACATCAGATCCAATCTGGATCTGGAGCAGTTAGGACGAATCCCAGCGGTGAGTCCGTGCTGGTACCACAAAGGAAAAATTCTTTGTTGTCTGTATCGTTAAAAGCACATGCTTCGTCCTTTCGATACAGTGTCAAAGCGGAAAAAATTGTCGCTACGGAGAGCACGCAGGCTTCGATAATATTCGTCGGATTTTATCGTGATCGTGATCGTGTGCATCCAGTCGTCGGAATCCTAATCGTGCTATTCGCCCGCGGACGAATTCTTCATGCCGTTCGTTACCGATGCTGGTGACATCATGACACCGCCTGTATATTCTTCGTAGTCATTCGACATCAAAAATATATGGCTTCATCGGTCTTGTCGTTCACTTTCTTGGCTCGAAAACAGGACTTGAATTAAAATCGTATTTAGAAGGTTACTTCGATGAAAAAGCATTGTACAACGCAAAAGCCTACGGCTCATCGCAATCAAGCAGTATTTGAGCTACAAGTTATTTCGCTCTACTGAGTTTTTTCCTGAAAAATGACGGAGTTTCTCGGTGGCCTCGGGTTGGGAGATGATGGTGGGGGCGTGGATACGACCGCCGACCCCCTTCCCCCGGCGTTGCAGGCGATTCCCGGGCGAAAACAGAAGTACAAGCAGGCGCTCACCCGGGTGACGCACGGGCTTCCCAGCAAGTGTGCGTCGCAGAGCGGGAAAGGCACAAATACCTGCGACGTGATGGGGCAAACGATCTCGCACCGCTTCAAGTTTCGCCCGGGTGAGGACTTTTTCTTCCTGGGCGCACGACCCGGCGAGTACGGAAAACCACCTATGATTTCCCCGGCCGTCGCCGGATCCCCATCTGCAGCCATCGTACCCATGCCCGGAGCGCAGGATCCTTCGGTAAGAATGTGATTCAAGCATCAACTACTGTGAATTTGATATTTTATGCCTATTGGATGAACTAGGATGTCCTCATTATTGTAGACGCGAATCCACCACCTTCAAGTTCAAAATGAGCAATTTTATCTGTGCTGATGCATAGCACAAATCCTCGCGTCGTCGTCAATGTAAAAATCCGAATCAAAACCCCAGATGATGATGCAGTCTGCGGGCGCGTATGCGGCAGAAAGCAAACGAGCAGCGCTTTACAGCAATGAGATGCTGCACCTCGCCCGCCACCTGTACCGCTCGTTCCTGCAAAAAGCGAAACAAAACTACGGCTGGCACCCGAAGGTGACCGGCTACATAGGCGCGGACAGCTTTCCACTCTATTGAGGTTGTAGCGTTGGTGGACGATAAGAACAAGGTTATACAACTCATGAATGTGCGGTTTTATTTCAAAGTATAGTTTTGATGCGTTCGCTTCACCATCCCGCCAACGAGACGGCCCGTTGACGTTGATGTTACTCGACATATGCCTCAGTACTAGCTAGTTGATCTTGATGATAAAAAACGAAAACGAAAACTTGTGATGAGCAACACAGACTCTGCAAGCCTTTCCCCCCACTCCTCGTGTCGTGGGAGCGGGATTCTTGTCCACTATGTGTTCGGCCTTCCACCGTCGTTGTAGTCGGCACATGTACAACGACGTCGTAAAGATAGAAGCGTCCTCGATTGATCATGTTGATCCAAAAACAATATAAGTAAGTATCTAGAACGGGCGTGCGCGCCGCGCCCGCCGGCCCGGCGACGAGGGGTTGCAAGGGGGGGCGAGGGGAAAAGAGCGTGGCCGCGGCCAGTGACCATCCCTAGACGCTGAAACTTTGTTGGCGCGAGAAGCGAAAAAGAGAAACGGCAGCTCTCCCGCCTCTCCTCCCTTGGTGGGAGCGAAAGAAGCGTAGGTAGAGTCAAGGCCGCTAGGTGCGAGGAGCGGTAGGGGGCACAGAGCGCAGCCGCTTTCCAAGCCTCCGCAAACAGGTGCGGCGGAGAGCGTGCGCAGACCCTTTGCGAAGGCTCGGGGGGCTAGCCACACGAAGCAGAACGAAAAGAGCGCGCCGACGGCCGAAAGACAAGAAACCCGGCGAGCACCAAGCAAAAATAAAGCACAACAGGCAAGGAGGGCTGCGACGGAAAGGCAGGGGGGGCGCTGGATGTGGCTCTTGCTAGAAGCCAGACAGATCAAAAAAAAAGAGCAAGCAGGCCAAAGCGAAGGCCCACCTATTGCCGAGGACGAGGCAACGCGGAAGCGTTGGAAGCGAAAGGAGAAGGAGGCGGGCCGCAAAGAAACCGAAAACACGCTCGGAAACCCAAAGCAAGGAAACAAAGCAAAATCAGGCAGCCCCGGCGCGCCCGAAGAGCCCCCTTGGTCGGCAGTGCGCACAGGACCAAGCCCGGCCTGCAGAGCAACAGGCGGCAGAGAAGGCGCAAACTTGCGCCAAATCGCTCGCAACAGAAGTGGAAGGGGACGGGGCGCCACAAAGCAGAGCGACTTCAGCCGTGGGCAGCCAAACGCGAACCGCCAGGCATCTAAGCCAAGGCCAAGGGCCCGGACCACGGCAGGCAGGTCCGAAGGCCACCTGGGGGCGGGGCAGCGGGCGCCTCGGCCCCTCCCAGCGAGTTTCCCAATTTGGCAGGTTTTCTCACTAGTGTTTCTCACTAGTGTTTCCGCTTTCCCCAAAGTCGGGTTTTTTGTCACTAGTGGCTCCACTAGTGAGCGCCTTCACTAGTGGCGCCTGTCACTAGTACCTCTCGCGCTTTTTTGTCACGCTAAAAACACTAGCAGGATTTCTACTAGTAGCCGTTTTCCTACTAGCAGCTTTCCACTAGTAGGATTCCTACTAGTAGCTTGCAACCCCGCGCCCGCCAGAATTTTTTGAATAGTATTATAGATAATTGTCGGTTTTGCTGATGTCTTTTCTTTGAGGCTCCTTCAACGTGCAAGTTCAGAAAAACCAAACTCACGGCGTTGCGATTCACGCCAGCAAAAGAGAACCTGTCGTGCGTCGACAGAATATCAAGGGATAAATATCTACTCTACTGACAACCCCTGCGTAAAAAGCCACGATCTTCGTTTGACCGGCTGGTCTCCTGCTCTTTTTGGTCGTGAATCGATCACGAATAGAGGATCGAATGGTGGACCAACAACATCAACAGCACGAGGCAGCAGCCGCAGCACAGCACGGAGCAGGAGCGAATCATTACGACCACGTGGAGGTCGCTTCCTCGGATCATTCTTGGCAGCGTGCCGTAGCGCCGCCGTCAACCCAACGGGCCGCGATGCGCAGTCCGGTCGCGTCTCTGGACCCCCATCAGTACGACCCGGCGACTTACCACAGTACTACCTCCGCGGCTGCGGCTGCCGCCTACTATGATCCCGCGACCTACATGCCGACGCCGGCCTCGTACGAAATCGTGGACCCGACCACCGGCACGGTGCACCACTACCACACGGCGGTTACTTCCGCACTGCCCGGAGCTGGAGGTGCGCCAGGAGGCGGGGCTGCAGCTGCAACGGCGATTCACGTTCCCGGTACAACTGCGCCGACTACTTGGGACCATTTCCTCAGTGTCGCACCCGGTGGAGTCGGGCCGTCTTCTGTTATGGTTGGGACTGGTTCACCAGGACAGGCGACTGCAGGATCTTCACCAGCCGAGGCTGCTGTTGCGGGTGGAAAACCGGAGGACGTAGCGGCCAGCGCGATGGTATCGTCTTACTTGCAGAACCTCGACCCAGCCGCCGCGGCGGCGTACCACCAGCACCAAGTGTCGGCCGCGGCCGCCGGGTACACGAGCACCATGTATCACGGGAGTCCACCGCCGGGTCTGGGACCTTACGGAGCTGCGGACCCCGCGACAGCGGCGTTGCAGGCCGCGGAGGCGGCGGGGGCGATGGCCGCCGCGCGAGACCTGCAACAGGCGGCAGGGGGTATTATTCCCGCAGGAGGAACTCCTGCTGGGGGTGGAACTACGACTGTTGTTCCCGGCGCAACCGCTTACGCTGCTACTGTGATGGACCCAGCAACGCTCGCGTACTACAACGCCACCGCAGGAGGAGATGCGGGAGCAGCTGACCACAACGCAGCATCTGCTCGCACCAGTGTGGTAGCTGCAGCTACACCAGGAGCTGCTGCAGGTATGGAACAAACGCAGAGAAGTGCTGGTGTTTTTATCGCGGCTACTCCCGAGAAGAAGAAAACGACGCCGCCCGGCAGCGAGGCTGATGTTGCGAGTGCTCACAAAGCGGCTTTGTTATTGTCTCCGCACCAGCAGTACATCATCTCTACTCCGTATGCGTCGCCGCATTGCAGCCCGCCACTCCACGCCATTTCCGCTCCCGTTATGGTGCCGGCTCCAGTGCAATCGTGTATTGACGGTTTGATGTTAATGATAATGCGCCTGTGGCGTGGGTCCTAACCCTGAGTGAGCTCGTTGCTTAGAGCGCATATAAATACTCGAAACCGCTTCGGTGCTATCAGAATACAAAGAAATAGAAGAAGCCTGCTTGCGAAAAATTTATCAAACGAACAAGATGTGTTGCAACGTTTTTTGTTCTTGATAGACTTGAACGGCAAATAAAAGTATAAACAAAGAAACTTTCCAGACCCCGCTGTTGTGATAGCGCACCCGACCGGCGCACCAGCTGCAGCAGTTTCAGTTGCGCAGGCGCAACAGGGCGGGGCGTACCATCATACCACCTTCTCTCAACACGGACCGACCTCTGGAGCAGGACCACACCAACACCAAGCGCAGCATCAGTACTACGGCTCGGGGGCGGCCACGAACATGCGAGCACCCACTTCCTCCCGGAAGTTGCCCAATGGATTGCGGTACGCGGCACGGAAATCGGACGCTCCGCCGCCACCCCCGCCCCCACCCCCACCCCCGCCAGCCCCTGTCGCGAAGAACGCTGGGACGGCGACGGGAGGAAGTGCTGGACCTGCGGCGCAGCAGGTGGTAACAATGCACAACAGCCGGGCCGGGCCACCGTCCGCGAAGGATCGGAAGGTAAATCTGAATGGAAATAGGAACGTCGAACAACGTGATTTTCTTCGCTCGGTATCCCGTGTGAGCAAGTAGAAGTAGACTAATGACTTTGGCAAGAACGAGAACGTGAACGTCTGTCAAATTATTTCCGCGCAGATAGGCGTTTTTTTATCTTCATTACTATTGGTGTGCTAAAGAATGTTAAAGCGTAAGCGCATGAATGTGCATGATCTTCGCGGCTCGTGTACAGATCCAGCAATTGGAAAAGGAGCTCGCGGCTCTGAAAGCCGCGCGCGCATTGGAGGGAACGCCGGAGCAACACCGCGGCACGCCAGGAAAAATACAAGTGCACCGTGCGCTGAAGATGCAAGGCGGTATATCATGTCTGTAGTTGATACAACATAGCTTTTTTTGTTATGCTGATCGATATACTCGTCTAACTCTTTTATCATCATGATCGTGATCATGACTGTCACCTCCTTTGGACGAAGTCTAGTATCGTTTTCGAAGAAGGAAAGAACAGGAACTGTTATAGAGCAGGCTTCTAGTTGTACGCAGTTAGTACACCTCTGAAGAAGTCTCTGCAGCCAGTTGCTCTTGCCAGCAGCGTGTCGAGGAAGGGAAAATTCCGAATCAACGTCGCAAACCTACCTCTGACAGGCCCGCGGCTCTCATCTTGTCTTCAATCGCCCCTAGGTGTGATGTTGTCCGCGGATCTTCAAAATGTGGACCACTTGTCGGCTTTGACCGCCGCCGCGCCACCAGGCCTCTCGCCGGTTGGCACCGCCTCAAAGTTATGCATTGCAAAAGTATAATCGCATTTGTAGTAATTGCGAATATAATGCATGGAAAATCTCTTTCCGATGCTAAAACAGCACTACAAATCTCCTTTTTCATGCTGCGCTAGTTTGTAATGCAATTCATACGAGTGCGATATTTTTGCAATGGATAGAAGTGCATGGAAAACTTGATCCGCGAATACCAGGGACCGAACGTCGGGAGACAAAGTTTTTGTACAGCGAAGCAGGCTGCTCCTGGTACAACAGCTGGTGCCGCGACAGGCAACAAGGACAAGGACGGCAAAAATAAGACGACAGATGCTGGAGATGCTCCTGAACATGATCAGCATGTCGAAAGTATCAAAACCGCTTCTTCACCCGACCTCCCTCTCCGCACGGAGCTCCTTCGGCAGAACAGAGACCTGCTCACCCCTGAACTGCCTCCGAAGAAGGTTCACCTCCACCGCGGTACTGCTGCGTCGCCGACTCCGGCGCAGCTGTCCACAGTGGTGCCCGGGACCACACACAGTGGCGAAGTTGACGACTCAGGGCTGTGCAACGCTTCCAGCCTCTCGCTGTCGCCTCATCAGCAGCCGGCGTTGGTAGTTTCGTCTTCTGTAGTTCTTGGGCACGAGGAAGGAGAACCGAAAGCAACTGCGGATACTTGTACCATGGTCGCGGAAGGAGAGCAGACTGAGGGAAAAACGCCGAAGATCTCGTCGAAGCTACAGAGTGAGGGGCTGGTGGTGGAGACGAATGAAAATATCGAGACGACCTCAGTTGCAACATCTTCCGTCGTTGATAATGGCGAACGACTTGTTGAGAAGGTGCACCCACACAATGCAACTCGTTCTTCTACTGCCCAAGAGGACAAAGACGCCGCTTCTGTGGAAAATAAACAAACTCCACTGCGACCACTGGGAGATGAAGACAAACCACAAGAACATTCTGGTGCTGAAAGAACCCCAACAGCACACACTGGCGCAGCGGAACGGATGCTATCTGCAGGAGCGGGAGCTACTGGACATGATGAACCCATTCCCGCGTTGTCGCCCCACCTACCTGCAGATGAGTCCTTGCTGCTGGAATCGCCCGATGCAAAAACCACTATCGCGACCTCCCCACAAGTGCAATGCGAGGACCTGGAGGAAAAAGATGCTGAGAGTCACGTGGTCCACAACCCAACCTCCTCTTGTACGAAAACCGTAGCTGCTCCATTGGTAGGGACAAACACTGTGGACCACGACGTCACTTCATCGTATGCAGCGATGCTGGGGGGCTGCGGCAAGGGAAACAACCCAAGCGATTCGCAGTTCGATCAGGATAACTACCTCCAACATGAACAAGATCAACACCCAGCGGCCGTCCTCGAGAATGAGAATATGATGCAAGAAGAAGTAATATTAACTACGACCACCAACTACTACGGGTTTGTGCGCGCCCGGTCGAAAGACCTTCTGATGGTGGATGGGACCACCGAAGTTGATTTGCTGTACGAAGCCATCGAGGATTTGAGTTTCCAGCACCGCGCGCTGCCGACGGAAAAGGTGCTGCAAAACTACTTGCTGCACAAGATGCAGAAGCGGGCACTCGAGAAATTGCGGAAGGAGGAAGCGGAAAGGAATGCAATGCCAATGGAGAGTTCTGTTACTTGTTCTGAAGATGATGTTCGTGATGTCGAAGAGATCAAATGCAAATCCACTGCTCTATGTCTATCTGCGACAGAGGAAGCGGAAGTACACCAGGAAGAGAAAAATAGTACCGAAAGAACGACGGAAGAACCAGCACAGACGCCGCCGTCTTCAGATGAAGCAGGAATTAGTAGTACAACAGCCACTACCACAGCAAACAAAATTCCAGAAATGGCTGCGTGGACGACGTCCATTGCGGAGGTCGGAGAGCGGGCGGCGAGCCTGATCACTCATTGTATGGACATCGTGGACGGGGTTTTGGTCGGGCATTTCAGCGTCGCCTACGACGCGACAGTGCGGCAACGGGTGGTCGCGCACGATCGGAAACTGAAGGACTTTCAAGGTATTGACAAGTTCAAGTAGAAAATTTGTCGTAGTTTTCATGTCGTGCTGGTTGGTAGACGGGGAGAAGAGAAGACGCAGGGCCCTCTCCAGCTTTTGTATGTTGGCATTTCTTCTCCAGTGATGACATGTGTAAATGTCCGTACTTAGATCTACTTCCCCAGGGCGGAGTCTACTTTCGTTGCAGAAGTGATAAGTGAATAACGTTCTTGTGACCACCCCTGGTTTCTGGATCGTGATTGATAGCTAATATACCAACGCCCTTACGTCTCGTCACAGGTTATATCGACGTGGACTCCAAAGACAATCCCTACGACGAGGCGCTGTGGCAAAAGTTCAAAAAGGCTTTGCAGCTTGTCTCGCGAGCGCAAGAAGCCTCCGTGTTTATAAAGAGAGGTAGATACACTAACACTTGATTGTAGTCTACTTCCTGTCTCATGTAGTCGTGTTGAGGTTAAGTTTTCAGAAACTCGATGATAGATTGATGCGGCCAAACCATTGGTATTTGTATTGCAAGAAATATTTTTTTTACACGAATCTTCTACCCCAGACACGCGGTTCCTGATGGTATTGCGCGTTGCCGAGGAGATGCAACACCCCTGCGCGGGCGAGGTGTGCCACATGCTGAATCTGTTTTTGGGAGACGCCCTTGAAGAGGAAGACACGAAGGCCGAGCGGGTAGACGCCCTGGACGAACAAATGATGGGGGCTCAGCCTTGCAGCAGCGATGGTAGAAAAGAAAAATACATGATACTGGTGATTGAAATTGAAATTGACTATTGTCTCGTCCCACGACCTCGTTTTCGACGGACTTACGTGGTGCTGGATACATAGTGAAGGCGGTGGGTGTGATCCACCGTCGATGAAAATAAAGCGATGTGAGGTCGTGATCATACAAGATTCTCTCCCCACTCAATACAACAGCAGCCCCGGCTATGATTTCTCCTCCGTCCTCAGACCGTGCGGTCGCCTCTCCACCGCCCCTCGCAGCCCTGACCACGCCCCCGCGCTGCGTCAGCAAGGATGCAAGTGAGGACGGCAGGTCGTCAAGAAACACGGACAACTCCTCGCTCGGGGAACCAGCCTACGCGTACGCTACTCCCGATTCGGTGGCGGGCAAGAACAGCCTGATGTCCGAGCAAGAATCAAATTCATCTGAGCAACAATATAGTACAAAGACCAGTGGGAAGAAGATGGACAACGAGAACGCCGCTGCAAGCACCACCTCGCAACGCACACCTTCGGCACTTCCAGGCCCTGGGCGGCTATCGTACAATGCAAAAGCCGCGGGATCTAGTACAACTTCAACTTCTACTACGCAAAATAAGTTTCTCCACAAGAAAGAATCCAGTCTTTCGCGGGCGACTTCTCTACCAACGGCGTACTCCTACTCACCCGGTGGAAAAACAGGTGGAGCAACTACCGAGAACAGCAGCGGGGCGGCGGTTCTTCCCTGCGGCGTGGTACAGCAGGGACTTCATCTGCAGGGACAGAAATCGAGCCAAACCGGTGCTGGCGTAGAAGTTGACCTGGAGCTCCTCAACGCGTCAATGCGTGTGTTGCTGCTGCGCTACCCGGAGGGCATTCCGCTGTCCCAGGTGTCGCAAAAACTTCGCCTGCACACCGAGTTCAAGCATGCGGCGTCGTTTCCCGACCACGAACTGGTCTGGCATCTGAAGCAGATGAAAGGTATCTGTGCGGTCGACGCAACACGAAACTGGGTCACGACGGCGAGGGTCCAGTGAAGAATTACAATTTGGCAGGACGAGTTTGTTTTGTTAGCATGATATTGTGTTTGTGTTTTTTATTTTCGTTTGTTCATGGTGAATTACGTTATGTTTCAAGATTTAGATTTTTCTGCTGCGGCCCTCAACTGATTTCGAAGAAAATCGTATTAATGAATGGATGCTCTTTGAGTGAGTAGTATTTTTCTTTTGGGTATCGATTTTTGTGACCGTCAATTCAGCTCTAGCTTCTACACATTTTTTTTTTTCATTTTGTTTGTTCTATTGAAAACCACTTTTCATGTAGCTTTCCTGTTGTATCTGTTTGTTTTCAATGCAATTTAAGCAGAGAATGCATCCGGGCATAGCAGGTGTTGCTTTCTTTTCGCGCTACGAGTTTATTTGCACCAAATGCAAAACCACACTGGTACTATGCCCATCATCTCACAGCATTTCTAAAAATCGCAGTTTTCATCTTGGATTTTATTTTCTGCGAATGCAATTAACAGCAGTTGTTGGTGTTACCTGGTTGGCTGCAAGACGTACTCGTATCATTTTTCTATGCTCGAAAAGTGCCGACGTTGATACCGCCGGTGGGCAATGCAAGTGCTGACACATGCAGGCGGACTTGCTTGATGGGTGCAGGTCGTGCCGTTGGTGTGTATATGCCAGGAGTCCGTTCGATAACATCTTTCGGTCCATTCCATCACAAGCTGCACAATTTGTCTTGCTGCGATTTTATGATCAAAAAAATTACCGTGTGCCACGACGCCACCGGATTGCTTTCGCTTTATTTGGACTACTTGCGTGCATGATATCTGATCGGTTCGGTAAACTAAAACCATGTAACACGAGCGATAGACATAGAATCCGAATCGCGCTTTTCATAGGAAGAACAACCATGGTCAACGAAGTCGTTTGTTTGCACTTGGGGCAAGCGGGGTGCCGCATCGGCCAGGAGCTCTGGCAACAGTTTGCCACGGAGCATGACATTCAACCTTCAAAGGGAACGAAACTGACCGCCTCGCAGCTGCAGCAGGCGGGAAGGGAAAGCTCAGCAAATGGAGGCGCGTCGAACACAGGACAGGCCGGCACCTTCTTCAGCGAAATGCGGTCGGGGCAGATGGTGCCGCGGGCGGTTTTCATGGACACGGACCCGAGCTACAAGGACGAACTCTACGCCGCGAACTCGAATGTCAGGGATTTATTTCACCCTGATAATCTTCTCGCCTACAAGCAGGACTGCCGGGCTAACTTCTGCGAGGCGCGCACGCAGGCCCGGGAGTACAAGATTTTGGACGAAGTGACGGAAAGGCTGCGGAAGGTCAGCGACGACTGCGATCGGGTGCAGGGCTTTTTCACATTTCACTCCGTCGGGGGCGGAACCGGGTCCGGAATCGGCGCGGAATTGTTGAAAATAATACGGGATGACTTACTCGGGGGGAAAGCGCAAAGCATACAATGTGGTATGCATCATGGTTGTTGCAAGTAGTACAAGTGCGCCTCTTCGTCGCCTGGCAGTGCTAGGCTGACTAAAAACTTCATTTTTGTTTATTGCATTAAGTATTTTTTTATACGCTGGTGATTAAAGCTGTAAAAATTCACCTGTTGAATTTTACAACACAGGTATTTACCCCAGCCCGAACTACTCGGGCACGGTCTGCGAACCCTACAATGCCGTCCTGCACACCGCCAACACGGTCGACGGGTCGGACCTCACATTCTGCCTCGACAACGAGAACTGTGGCAGCGCGTGTGCAAATTTCGACTTGGCGAAATCCTCAAAAACGACCAGCAGCTCGAGCAGTTCGTCCTCCTCGTCGAGTAGCAAGAATGCGAAGTCGACTTCTAGTTCATCATCCTCATCAAGTCGTGCAAAGCCGTCTTTCAACCACATCAACGCCCTGCTCGCGCAGGCGGTTTCCATGGCGACGACCTCGCTCCGCTACGAGTGCGAGTTGGCAGCGAAACTCCCCGAGCTGTGCGCCAACCTGGTTCCCGCGAAGCCGTTCCGGTACTGCGTTTTGTCCCTGTCCCCCCTCTGCTCCCCCTCGTCGGAACGGGCAAAGAAGGGGTTCACGGTGGGCGGCGACGGCGACGTAATACAGGACTTGCTGAAGGGCCGAAACGTGATGTGCAACGTCGGCCACACCCTGAAGCTCAACCGCTTTCTCGCCGCGTCGTTGCTGGTCCGCGGCTCCGTGCAGGGCGCGCCGTCGGCAGAGGAACCGAACAAGGCGGGAAAATTGCGCAAAATCGAGCGGGACGACGTGCGACGGAGTGTGGACACGCTGATAAAAAGACAAAGCATGAACTTCCTGCCGTGGGCCAACGCGCAAAGCTGGAAATTGGGGATCACGCCCGCGAAGGCGTCACAGCCTAATGCGCTCAAAGGGGCGATGGCAAACGCACCCATGCAGACCTGCTTGATAGGAAATAGTATTCATGAAGTTTGTTTTTTTACGTCGGTATAGGCAAAGGCATCGTAGGAGACAAATAGTTTTGAGTTCTTTATTGACACCACAAGCAACATGCATTTCAAAAATATTTACCTGTACGTCAAAATCCTAACATACCGTCACATCAGCCACCGCGATCCGCAGTCTTTTCCTGCACCAGTACCAGCGGTACCTGCAGCTTTTTTTCAACAAGGCTTACGTATGGCACTTTCTCGAGGCGAACGGGGAATTGGAGGAATTTTATGAGGCGAAAGAATCCGTCCGCGTTTTGCTCGACGCCTACGAAGAATTGCTCTCTCGTGCGTCCCAGGTCGAAGATCCAAAAGGACGGCTGAAGGTGATCGGCAAGACGTCCGCAACTACAGCAAACAATCCTGCTGGAAATGGAAACAGACCTGCCGGCGGGGGCGGCAACAATGCGATGGCTGTGGAGTGAAGATCATGAGCAGCTTGAATATTTTCGACGAGCCTCCACTACAAAAAGAAACCGAAGATGATGAATTTCGAAGGCACAGCACATTTTTTTGCCACAGGTGCACATGCATGCCATTTCCAAGAAGAACGAGTCAATACACAAAACGGAAGACAAAAGCTGTCGCGCAATTTCTCTGGAGTCCTCCGGTCCGCCTCTTCACTCGCGCACTGTGTTTGTGAGCTACTCGCCCGCAAAAAGAAGTAAGTACGTACCGGAATAATCGCTGAGGAGCTCCTGTCGTCCGTATTCTTATTAGCAGACGAGAGAACACATAGACATATGCAAACTCTTTACAGCTGCCCGAAAAGGAAAATCAAATAGAACACGATGACATCCACCGGTGTGGGAATGACGTCGTCTCTGCGCCTCGTCCATGCGCGGGGAAGTCCGTCGCGCCAGCTCTGTGCTGCAGTCGCATCACGTTCGTCTCGTCGTGCAGCTTTCTATAAAGCAGAATCTTGTTCCAAGCAGATATCGCCTTTCTCGTCCACCAGTTCCTCCTCCAGTTCCTCCTCACTGCCGGCGCACCTCGCCGTTCTCGGTGCGGGCCAGATGGGCACCGGCATCGCTCTCGTCGCGGCCAGGCAGAAGGTCGCGATGAAAGTACACGTATTGGACGCGTTTTCCGATTCTTTGGAAAAATCCAAGAAATTCGCCGAGAAGTGGTGTAGCAAGGAAGTGGAAAAAAGCCGTTTGACCGAGGCGGAGAAAGAGGAATTGTTATCCGAAGTCCTCGTTTTCCCACAAGAAGGCGCAGACTACAGTGCGGTGGGAAACTGTGACTTCGTGATCGAAGCGGTTTCCGAGAATTTAGACTTGAAGCACAAACTATACAAAACTCTCGTGACGGAGTTCAAACTACCAGCTAGCGCCGTTCTTGCTTCGAACACCAGCTCAATCTCGATAACCAAACTCGCCGCCGGGGTCCCGGAAAACCCCGAAAGGTTCGTCTATCCTGAGTAAAAACGTCCCCACACCAGAGTTGTAATGCAGATTTGCACAGACAGGAAGGCTTGTAATGCGCATCCCCATGAGAGCCATTTCCAGTCGTGTTTTGGAATTTGTGATGCTGTGAACAGGATGAGCAGATGAATCTGTGAAGCGGCTGCACTTGCTACGCTGCACTACACTGCAGAGCGCAACTTGTCACGCATGACTCACAAAGCACCTAGGTTTGTGTTGCAAAATCCCCATCCTGACTCTGGTGTGGGTACGTTTTTACTCAGGATATCGTCGGCATGCACTTCATGAATCCGGTGCCGGTCATGCCGCTCGTGGAAATTATACGGGGGTTATCCTGTGCAAAAGTATCGTACTCGTACTAATTCCATTTATGCATTACAAATCTAGTTCCCAAGGCAAATCCGCATTACAAATTCAATTTGTAATGCTGAGCCAATTTGTATTGCAATTTATACTAGTACGTTACTTTTGCAATTCAAAGGGGTTGCAAACCAGCGACGAAACGCACAAAAGGACCTTGGAAATGGTGTCTTTGATGAAAAAAGATCCGGCGACGAGTCAGGATAGACCGGGGTTCATAGGTATAGAAAATTATGGTATAATTGTTGCTGAACTGCACCTAATATTCCCACGCATGCGTGGTACCCATATGAGGAACTCGAGGAGCCTCAGAAGTTATTTTTATTTTTCTGGACGACGAAAAAACCTAGCCTCAGTCAACGACGTTACCACTAGGGTATCAGGGCAGGCTATTCCTGCCGCGCGTCGGAGGAGGGAGTAGCGCCGAGCCACGCTCGAACTAATCATCATCATTCTGCGTCTGTTTCAAGTGACTGAATAATTTGCCAAAAAATACATCACACTTTGATCACTTGATCAGCCAACCGCGTTCTGATGCCGTACATCAACGAGGCCTGCTTTTTATGCACTGCAAAAGTATCGTACTCGTATATATAAATGCATGACAAATTTCCTCAGCATGAGAAATAAAATTTGTCATGCGGATTTACCATCAGAAAAAAATTTGTAATGCATAAATGCAATTACTACGAGTACGATACTTTTGCACAGGATACTTTTGCCTGCAGGAGAAGATCGCCACCCGGGAGGACATCGACAAAATTCTGAAGCTCGGCACCAACGTACCCATGGGGCCGCTGACACTCGCAGACTTCATCGGCCTGGACACCTGCCTCGCCATCATGCGGGTGTTGCACCAGGAGCTCGGCGACTCCAAGTACCGTCCAAGCCCACTGCTGGTAAACTACGTGGAAGCCGGATATTTGTACGAGGGTGCACAACTCCCCCTCCCCCTCATTTGTATGGTATCAACCGCATTACAAACACCAGTACAGGTGGACCCTGTGCATGACAAGTTCATGCGCCGAGTGTAGTACTGTTTGGATTTCTGGAATTTGTCATGCACACGGTGCCACAAGGTAGCAACTGGATTTGGGTTTTTGCATGGCAAATGAGGGGGAGGGGGAGTTGTGCACTGTCATAACTTGGGTAAAAAATCGGGAAGAGGGTTCTATGACTACTGAGAGGTCGTACCCGCTACATGCTGGTGGAGCAACCTCTTTCAAATTTTTTTTGATAGGCTGCAAAGAAACACTGTGTAGTTGACAGTCACGTGTTGTACCGCTGCACATGAAGTCTCTGGTCCGCGCGCATAATAGTTGCAAACTCCTAAACCTGGACTAGGACTTGCAACGACCTTTACAGCAAAGGTTGTTGCGCAAGGAACTAGGGTGTGCACTTTTTCACTCAGAGAGAAGATGAAGATCTTGAAGGTTCACCAATTCTTCTCAGACTCAGAGTGATCATGAGCAACGTTTGCGCCAGCATACGCCAAGATGTTGATAACGTGGAACAGTGTGATCAAAACCAGTAGCCACCACAAAGATCGATCCTACAGTAAGGAATGCCCCTTGATGTCCCCAGCAGACAATGGCTATGCCTTATTTGTGGTCAATCTTCAATCTTTTTCTTTTTACGGTGTCTGCAGTGTCGTTACGCTTTCTTCTCCCCTATTTGTTCATCCATGGTACGGATTTACAAGTAGGCTCGCTCCGTCTCTTCTAGTTGCGCCCTCGGGGTGATCTTGATCATGATCTGTTGCTTGTTTTGGACTCGGCTGAAAAATTGTTGAACTAAGACTAACGTTCGTAGAATGACTCAGGAAATAAACTACCGAGGTGAAAGACAGAACGCTAAGTGATAGCTAGCGTGCTATAGACTTCATTTCTCATTTCTCTTTTGTAATATTTGTCATTCCCGGCAGCTCCGTTTTCTCAAATTCAAATCATGATGGGCGACGCGTGGTCCGTCTCCGTCCTCCGGAAAATTTTCGTGCATAAGCCGGTCACATGTCTATTGTTGCCGCTGCTATGCTCCTTTCTGGCTTTTCACTACAAATCTTTGCTCGCCTTCGCCTACCGAGACGCGCGACCGGCAACGGAGGGAGTTAAGATCGCCTCCGTGAATGGGGAGAAAGAGGGAGAGCAGACGGACATTCCCATCAGTGACGTTGTGGAATCGGATGGATCGGTTTCCTCCGTTCAAGACCGGGCGCGGACGGGGGAGGCGCTGAATCTTCTGCCAGCCTCGAACGTGACGTTCACGCAAATGACACAAGCAGCTAATAGCAGGTTCTCACATGCTGGCGAGTACAAAGACAAAATCGCAAACATGGTGTGGAAAAATTTTGAAAAGGAAGGAGCAAACTTGTGGTGGGCGGTGAACAAGCACGCTCGAGTCCTCAAGGAATGTCTGACAAATTTGGGGATTAACTGCCCTCCGATGCCTAACTCGCAGGACGAATCGGCCGAAAATTATGTGGTAATGCGATTGGACGAACACGGGGACGGTACAGCCAACTTTCGGGACGCAAATGCGATGCGTGCCCTTCACGCGAAATCCGAAGAAGAACAAGCCGTAATCTTCCAGATGACGAAACTCTATGAAGCTACAGTTAAGGCAAGAGCAGCATTTCCGAAACACGATTCAGATTCTTTCTCTTGGAGAAGGCTGCTGGCGGATAAAAAACTTTCTGCTCTCGTACTTGTTTCATGATTTTGATTTTAAACTCATTCTACAACAATATTTTTCTTTTGTCCCGCCCTGAAGGCACAACGACACAGGAAGTAACGCATTATTTAAGATCCGACAAACTCACTACAACAGGGCCCGCATCATGACTTCCCGATTTTCAGTAAAACGGCTGATAGGATAGTGGACAAAATGCTCGACGTCATCATGGAACACCAGATTTTCGAGCAGATGAACTCACACGAAGAGTGGGAGAAATCAACACCCAAGGAGGAGGACGCCAGTGGACACACCCGGTGGATGCCGTCTTTTTCCTCTATGGTGCCCGACTCGTTGAAGGCGAAGCATTTTTATCCCGATCTGCAGGCGGAGCTCGGTTCTGCCGAGGATGTGCGCGGGCATGTCGATGCGTTCCGGGAGGCTGTTCATGCGTTGGAGAAGTTTGTGCTGCATTACGTGGCGAGTTTTCATAACGCAAAGTATTTTTTTGCGTGATTTTGCTTCACCGAGTTAGCGTTTTTGTGTTCACGCATTTTGGGCATCCGTGCACAGCCAATATTTGCCAGTACTTACGCGCAAGCAAGGCTTGAGGATGATAGTGATATATTAATGAAGAAAGTAGATCTTCTTGTTGTAGAAGATGGATAAGCGCATCACTATTCAAACTTGGCCTTCAGGAGACATACGCTGATTTACGAGATATTTAAACACGCCCACGACGCAGTGGAAGAGATGCTGGGGCCCCAGGGATGGCTCAAACAGCATGACGAGCACGCGGCTGCAGCGGCAGCGCACACGACAGTCTCACTTCAATCGGTCATGGCCGATATACAGCAACCGCATACGAAGGAGAATCACTCGGAGCTCGAAATGATCTTGCATTCTGTGCACAAAGACAAGCGCGAACCAAACAAAATTTGCTTGCGCGCGGAACTGCAACACTTGGAGCAAAGCAACTTCGATTACCTCAAGACACAAAAATGGGCGTCACTTGTTCTTAACGAGGACGCCAGGAAATCCCATCGCGAACAAATTTCCAGCCGCGGAAAACTGCTGAACAATGCCGGAAAGCACCTTGCGCTGGTGAAGGAACTGATCGACTTGGCGAAAAAACACGGACACGAGAAGGACGGGGCGCAACGCACCAGCCACGGGAGCAACTAGGACAAGCGCGGCGGCAACACGGTACATGATTAAAACGACCTCTCGGCCAGAAGGGCAACTGATGCGGCCACGAGCGGGTAAAGCGCATTGATCCCAATACGTGGACACAATTGAAGCGTTGTGCGACTGAGCGTTGTAACTGTGTAGTTGACACTCACGACGTGCACCTTTCCGCATGAAGTCTCTGGTCCGCACGCACAATACTTGCAAACTCCTAAACCTGGGCCTGCAGCGACCTTTACTTTCAAGGTTGTTGCGCAAACTAAAATGCGCACTTTTTCACAGAGAGAGAAGATCTGGCTCACCACTTCTTGCCAAACAGATCATGATGATATTACTTTTAGATGATGATCCAGTAGCAATATCAACGTTGGCAACAGCATACGCTTTGTAAAAAACACATCATTCAAGATGTTGATGACAACGTTGACAGTGTGGTCAAAGTCAGTAGCCACCACAAAGATCGATCCTACAGTAAGCAATGTCCAATGATGTCCTCAGCACACAATGAAAATTGCCGTATGTGTAGTCAATCAATACGGTTCCTGTGTCGTTGCATTTTCTTCTCCAAGGCGCGGTTTCTTTTTATCTTTGTGAATCAATAAATTTAAATTGTGCACAAAAAGATTCATCAAATCATCGAGGAGGCTTCTGACTGAGTTCCTAAAAAAAATGATGCATCTTCTCTTCGCCTTTCAGTTGTGCCTCCTTCTGGTGCAACACAGCACAGCGGCGTACTTACCGACACTTCGTCGAAAATTCTCGATGTCCCCAGAAGCGGAACAACATCCGGATGGGAAACCGGCAGCCAGACTTTTCCTCCGACAAACCTCCTCCGCAGCCGGCAGCAGCTGTAGCCTTGCTGCCAATAGCACGACCGATGGAGAAGCAACAGTATCTACGCCGACGGATAGCATGCCGGCAACTCCAACGTTGACACCAGCCGCGGCACCAGAGGACCCAGAAATACCACCGCCGCCCCCGGTAGTACAGAGTTCCTTTTGCATCCTGTGCCACGACGACAAAGTTACAAAACCGTTTTCCACCTCCACCTGCCCAGGTGGCATCCCGCACACCCTGGGGCACCGTGCTTGCGTGCGTCGGTGGATGACGCACCAAAAGGAGTCGTGTGGGCATGTTTGGAAGGATGGTGTGAAGTCAAACTGTTTGGTCTGTTTCAAGCCAGTAAAATTTGCCGACGAGGACAGACTACGGCTTTACAAGAATCGCTGCATCGTCTGTTTCAAGCCACTTCCTGCAAAAGCAAGACCAAGACGTGAAGGTAATCATACGGATGAACCAGGAGCAGGTACCCCAACAACAGCCAAAAACTCCTGGATCTCTTGGGCATGGCTGCAGCGGAACGAAAGACTTCGACGCGCAGGTGTTGTCGCCGATCCAACGTCAAGAAGTACGAGCGACGCAGCCACGTCCAGCTGCGTAGTTGAGCCACCTTCCTCCTCCGACAGCGATGAAGATGAGATGGACACAGCGACCTCCTCGTGTAGTGCCACTTTTACCACAGGCCGCGAGATCGCACTCGCCTTGTTCAGCCAGGTGTCGTAAACGGTGAATCGAATCGTGCACACGTGCTCTGGTGGCATTTATGACAGTCGAAATCTTGTTCACGGAGTCAACAACATCTCAGGAGGTTCAGGTTCTGCCGCGGATCTTCTAGATCCGGACGCTATCCTCGAGTTTCCCGACTGCACGCACCGGGTGCACCTGCTGTGCGCGGCCATGCGACTGCCAAGGAGAGAAATCGACGAGACCGAAAGTGGGCGGGACGAGAGAAATTATAACCCGAGTTACCTCTGCTTCTGCAAACCGTTTGAAGCGGAGTGGCACGGAGGTGGAGCAGAACGTACGTTCGCGCAACGCACCGGTCGTGGTCCGCCGCTTCCAGTTCCACCAATGGCACCACGCGAGCACGGACAAAACAATTTCCTCCGACGTCGTGGAGGTGGGCCGCACGCTGGTGCTGGTGACGAACGCGACCTGCAAGCGGAGAGATTGCTTTTCCTGCAGCCACCGCAGCACCGTATGTTTCAGCAGGCAGGAGCAGGTAATATCCGTGAGGACAGAAGAGGCCCGGTGCCGATATATTGGGGACCCCCACACCGCGAAGACGAAGAAGATCTTGTTCCGGAAGATGAACGAGCTGGACTACTGCGCCAACTACCAGCACTCATGCCCTTCCTACACGAGATTCACCAGTGCATGGACCCCGCCACCTGTCTGAACGTGTGCGGCGGCCTATGTTGCGCGCGTGCTGTGTGTTGTTGCGCCGGGTATACCATGCCGACATGCAGCTATTTGGAAATGTGCCTCTGTTGCTGGCACTGCACAGGTATCTGTGGCACCTACTGGTACGCCATACATAGCCTCACCGATGGGGGTTTACTCATCACCGATTAGAGTGCTGCTTTTGCTGCGGAGAGGTGTAGAAGCCCTCATGGTCACTAAAGTGAGCAGATGTCTCTTCTTTGATTTTTGTCTAGGTTCATGAGATTATAGAAATATCTATCTGAGTATAATTCAACATCACTATACTACATAGCGCTTCCTCGTCATAGTTCTCACGGTACTGTAAAAGATTCACTCACGTTGTGAACAGCCCCTGCTAGCATCACAGCTAGGCGCTTTCGATCTTCTCGGCGAAAGACTTCCAATCGCAAATTTCTGCACAAATATGACTTGTCCTCTTTGTTGATAAACGCATGGAAATATCAGAAATTTTAACGACGGCGACGACGAATGAAAATTCTTTGGACCCACACTTGTTTCTAAATTTGTTTCTACCGCTGCCAACAAAATAAGAGTCGTGATCCCAGCTGCACAAGAAGATCGTATTTGTCATCTCTATCTTGATCATAATTTCCGATAGATCATTCTTTTTCAAACTTCAACGGACTAAAATTGAATGCATGGAGGTGGATAATCGGGAGGACGTGCAGCGAAATAGATCCTCAAAAGAAGAAGTGCGTAATTTCTGCTAGATTCAGCATAGACATTTTCCATTTGTATCTGGTCGATGAAGAAGAATGTTTCTCTCAGGACGAGGTGAGGAAGACGAAGTTCGCTAGATCCAGAATCATACGATGAGGTCGAACCACACGCAACTTTTTAGAACCTTCTAGTTCCGCAGTGGCAGTTTCAAATACAGAGTAAGTAGTAGTGCCTGGTGACTGAGTTTCTTCTTTGCTCCATCGTAAAGATTCCATCGCTTTCATTCTTGTCTCAAAGTCAGTACGACCACACCAAAAATGGTATTCAAACTTCGCGTTCGGGTGGTCTTACAGCCACATGTCCGGGTTTGCGATTCAGTTGGTATTGACCGCGCCGACATGAATTCATCCTCCGTTGTGGAATATTACCTCTTGGCAGATGGGCCAGATAATTGTGGCACCACACAAAATGATATTGTGGTTGCGATCCCCCTAGAGAGGATACGACGCAACTGCCACGGAGCGTCCTCCAAGCTGGTGAGGCCAGCACAAAGAGAAGACGACGACCTTCCGCGCGACGACACCTTGGGGGGTGTGTTGGATTGGTTGTCTGTGCAGTGCGTGCCACCAACTACATCAGACTGGCCCATTGTGGAAGAGACCTTCCGACGATCGCTGCTCACCGTTGACGGCTACGAGTACACGCAACTCGACACGCCCATCACCGACCTTCTCGAGTGCAACGAGGAGGTGGTTCTGAAAATAGATTGGGTCGCAGAAAGAAAATTTCGTGACGATGAAATGGAACAGAGTATTAAAAGTCTCGATTATATTCCTGTCGTCACGGAAAGAGGCGAGAACTACGACAAACCCCAGCCATTGGTGGACGCTAGTATGCGTCACAGCGTCGCATCTTCGTCGTTCGCACAGCCAGGGGGAGCAGGTCGTGGCCACTTTCATCAACAGCGCGCGGGGGCGGCCACGAGTAGCAGAGGCGGGTTTATTGGAGGCACTGGAATTGGATCTTCTGTCACGTTCAACAAGCGTTCGCATTTGGTGCGCGATCATAACGTTATTAACGCCACCATTTTTTCTGCTCCTGCGGGACGAGGTTGTACCAGAACCAGTGGTGTGACTGCGCAAGAAACTCGGAATCAACTACAGCACGAACAGCGACAAGCCGCGCAGCAAGCAGCCGCAGTGGTTTTACCGGCGCGAAAAGACACTGGGCGGGACGAGGAAGGCCAGGGCGTCGATGAGCAAGTAGAGAGTCCAAGTTGCAAGAAGCAGAAGATTGAAGCTACTGGGCGCGGCGGTGGCGCTGCGAAGGATCTTCCAGAAACAAGCAAGAATGAGCAAAATGAGCTTGTTCCACTTGGGCTACGAGGACCTGCAGCGTCGTCGTCTGCTGCAGCAGCTGCGTCTTCGGTAGGAGCAGAAAAAACTACTTCTGAGCAACAGCAAGGAGAACGAGCCTCGATTCCTAAAAACTCGACCACGGAGCAGCCAATGATTGGCACAACGACAACCGTCGATGAGGGAATTGTGGATGAGAAGAGCACCAGCTCCGAAGACGATCCGGATAGTAGTTCGTGTGAGGAGGATCAGGACGAAGACAAGAAACCAGCAGCGACATCAGCAAACACAAAGAACGCAGCGCCAGCGTCTGTTGCTGCTCCAGCGGGAGGTGGTCCTGCAAACACGACAAAATCGTCTGAAGAGGAAAGCAGCTCTGAAGAAGAATCGGAGTCGGACGAGGAGGAAGAGGAAAAGCAGACCACTGCTGTTGCTCAAAACGCCGGCAGCAAGGCCAATGCCGCCTCATCTGGAGTTGAACCGGTACCACCGGAAGCGCAGCAACAGAGTGCAGCGGCCGGCGCCCAGCCGTCTTCCAAAGTCACGACTATGGAAGTTGATGATGATAGTTCATCTGGGGATGACGACGAATCCGATGGGGCTTCAAGCAGCTCCGGGGAGGAAGAATCCTCTTCAGAAGAGGTGCAGAAAAACAGCTCAAATCAGCAAACCTCAAACCATCAAAACCTCGTCCGGAAAACAAATAGGAATGATCAAAAAGAGAAAGCCACCGCGACCGTCGAGATCATGAACAATAAAGCTACGAAGAAGACTGCGACCTCCTCCACCGAAGTCATCCCTAAAACGTCCGACCCGCGGTGGAAAGTGATGAACCCGATGGACTTTGAGACGCAGCCGGAAAAGGGGGATTATCTCCAGTATCGTGCGTTTGAGCTGATGCGGAACGGGAAGGCCCGGATCTCCGCGTTTAAAATCGCAAAGGTGCAAAAACGGGTCGAGACAGAGACGGAGGACGATTGGAAATGCGAATTGTACCTGGTGAATTTGTTTTCGGAGGATGGCAGTGTGGAACTGGAGACGGTGGACGTGCTGGAGCCCCATGAAATCATGCAGCCCTACTTGATTTCCATGCAAATGAACCAGAGAAAGGATTTCGAAGATGCTGATCATGAGGATGATGCCGTTGGGACGAAAAGCACATTATCAAATCAGCCACTGGTCGGTCCTGTCCCAGCTCCAGACGGAGAGCAAAGTGCGGCCAAACTACGCACAAAGCAAGTTTTTCACACCCAGAAGACTTTCATCACACCGCTGCCACCACCCGAGGAAGAAGAAGCTCTTGAAGCTGAAGAGGTACAAGAACCAGAGAAAACCACCGCTGTTACGCCCGTGGTCGTCGAAAAAGACCAAGAGTGCAAAGAAGCTAAGTCTGCCGGATCTACTGAGAATTTCGTTGCTGAAAAGAAAGAGGAAACAACGCCTCAGCCTGCTCCAGCGCAACTTAATACCGAGGTGAACAAGCCAGTTGCTTCCGCTGCCGGCGAAGGCGGAAGTGGCGAAAGTTGTATTAACGGCAACGGAGTGGATGCAAGCAATGTTTATTTGCAGTCGACGACAAATCCTCCTGGTCAACAGATGTCGTTCGACCATGCCCTGCTCAATCAGTTCCTGCAGAACTCCAAGTTGGACCCGGCCGCGGAGAAATCGTTGGCAGCGGCACTCGGGCTTTCCAGTCTACAGCTCAGTACGGCACGAGCGACACAGACATCTTCTGCCTCGACGGCTGTTGCGCAGGAGTGTGTAGCTCCGAACAAGAATGCAGGTATCTTTTACATGTTGAGCAGTGAAATAGTTTTTCTTTCGCTAGACTTTATTTCTAAATCAAGGGCGTTGTGCCGAGCCCAGCTCGAAATGATCATCAAAGCACTTCAATCCAATACGACTGTGCAGCCCTTTTCTTCTTCCAAGGTTATAGTCCTTAGCACGTCTGTTTGACAAAAATCCTTCACGACCACGATATAATTCAGGTGCACAGCAAACACAAGCGACCGAGTTACCGACAGCTGCGGCTTCTCCAACAAGCGAGCTGGCTCCCACATGCCAGAGCCCTGAACAAGCTGTGGTAGTTCATTCGGAAACCACGCCAACGGCAGTGGTTCCTGTTGACGCCCCGCAAGAACAGCCCCAGATCGCGGCACCTCCCGAGGAGGCAACTTCTACGTCCTCCGCTGCAAAAAATCCTGACGTCACCAGCGAGCCCACGTCCAAGTCCTTCAAAAATTGGAGCAAAGAGCAGATCGACCGTGAGCTCACAAGTACCTACTTCCCGGCCTATAAAATGTCCCAAAACAGCGACAACGAGGAGATAATCCAGCACGAGATTCTCGGGGAGATCATTCGGTTTCCGGCGACCCTCGATGTGGATTTAACCGTGAAGAAGAAATTGCTCCAACTGAAATCCATCATCCAAAACCAGTTTGACCACTACTTTTCGGACCGAAGTTGGCGGAACGAAACGTTTCTCCCGAAGCACGCGATGCCCAGCGGGTGGATTCCGATCAAAATCCCGATGGGGTTCACGCGGATCATCGAGATTCTGAAGGGCTACAACAGCGGGAACGTTGAGGGAATGGAGATGTTTGTTTGTCTCTCCTGCCAGGAAAGCGAAGTGATCGAGGTGGACGCGGAGACGCACTGCGTCCGCCGGAAGTTTCCCTTGCCGACAGGAAACGGCTCGTGGAACAACGGAAACAAGGGCCGCGGTGGGAAAGGTGGACGGGGGAACAACAATAACCGTCGGGAGAACAACGAGAACAAGGGCAGCAGAAGAGAAAAACGAAATCGAGGCGGAAATGGCAGCAACGCTGCTGGGCCGGCTCAGTCGGGCACGGCTGGGGCGTGAGATCAAGAATGCCAATGCCTTGCACGAACGAAGATGAGTGGCAAAGCAAAATTATACCAAGAGTAGCTACTACTAAAGTGTTGACAGCAAATTTGTTTCTACCAACAGTAACTGAGAGTCGCTGGTTTAACAAAAACTCAAAACCATGATCCACCTGTACTGCACGATAACGCTTCTCATGAGCGTTTTCAGTATACCAGTGACGACTTTGACGGTGTTGCTTATTCATTGTTCTACCTCGTTCGCTGTCTATGACTGCAATCACGGCTTCATGCTTGTTGCAGAAGCATGAACAGAGCCTGCTTTCTTGTTGGTCTTTCTCGTCCTTTTTGTGATGTCTTTCTCTTTGTCTGCAGCAGAATCTTCACTAGAGAGCGAGTACCGGGAGAGGAGTCGACAAAATTGCATCACGTTGAGGCACTTTATATTTCGATTTGAGAATATCTCGTGGTGACTAGAGAATTTATCAAAGATAAATGTTCCTCGATGAGACGAGTGATTACTCTAGATGTACATATTTTTTGATCGCGCTTTGCAATGCAGTATAGTCTGCGAGCAATCTATTGTTGGTGCAGTTTTCATGATACCCATTGCAAGCTTCTTTTGTTGCATACGAGCGATCGCAGCTTGTGGTTTTTCTTCAACAAACTCTTCTTCGTGAGTGTTATCAAAATAAGCTTCGAGATCGAGTGTGAGTGATCTTCATCATGTTCCCGTAGTTCCGGGGATTTCTACACTAGCCTGCACAATAAATCGTCGCACACCTCCGACACTTCCGGCGGGCAACGGTTCTGTTTCTCCTATTCGACAATGCCTTCGTACGGTGTGTACAGCCGTGGACCCCCGCGTTCGCGCATCGTCCCCGCAGCTGCGCCGCAGTATAACGATCCTAGTTCCGACTTAATTTCAGCTACTTCGCGCCCAACCAGCGCGAAGAGCCCCTTGGCAACCAGCCAGGTGGAGAAGCGCAAGGTCACCCGCGAACAGTATGGTGCGCCAACGGTGCCGAAGATCAGCCACCGTCCGCGCCGGCCCGCGTGGGATGACCGGCCGGATGCGACGAACAATTTTTTTGACCCACCGTTCGAAGACCCGGACCAGATTGCGGAGGAGATCATCTACAGCGACTCCGACTGCACGCCGCACATGCGAATGAAAAGGAGGCCCAATTCCGCTGGCAACAGGAGAGTATTTGTTGGGAATCATGGTACTACTGCGACGACCAGTGCAAGTAGTACTACGCGAACTTTCGCGACGAAAAGAAAGTGCCAGTTCAATTACATCACCAAAGAGACCACATCTGTGGACGTGGACGAGGAGAAGTCTCAAAGCATCAATGCGGAAATTCTCGGCGGGGATGCAGTGCCGCAACAGCAGCCGCTCGATTCGGCGCGACGACTCCTGAGGCATGAGCTGGACCAGGCTGACCAGATGTACGAGAGCTTTGTCAGCCGAGTCCGGTGTTTCGGTGTGCACCACTTCTCGGCGGCAATTTGCCTGGAAGACTTGGGAAAGCACATGAATTCCGTCGCGCTGGCGAAATTGGAGGACGGTATTAGCGACTGAGTTTGATTTCATTTGTTCTTTGGCGATGGTCTGCACAGCTTCTCTTGCTATAATTGTAATTGCAGCTAGCTCTCGCTCACGCTCTGGTTCTGGCATTGCATCAAGACTTTCGAATTATTCTATCACAGGTCAAATCCCCGAGGCCCGCACGATTCTCCTCGTTGCCGAGCGCCAGATGCACGCCATCGGCAAGCAGTTTTACGACTATTTAAAGAAGGCCGCTGTCATTCCCCGCGCGCAACTAAACACAACGGAGTCGGACAAATCTAGGCGGCGGACCTTCCGGCAGGCGTTCGCGCTCTTCGCGTCTTTAACGCTAAACAACCTAGCCAGTTTGGAACGGCGGGAGGGTGGGGACCTCCAGAAAGCGCTGCAGTACCTCAGCACCAGCAAGATGTGGGTAATATTTTTACGTGTCCAAGAACTTCATCAAATTCAAAACTTTCATCTTGTCTAAGTCTACTTTCGCTTTCAAAGATACCGAACAGCAATAGAGGATATTAGAGCTCTTCCCGCTTCTAAAAGGATGCCAAATTATGCTCAAATTGTCGTTCCAGGTGCCTGAGCTGCCTGCCGCGGACGCTGCTGTCACATACCTGAACCTCTCCGCCGTACTAAGTGAGCTGGGCAAACACCAGGAGGCGGAGAGCGCCGCCATGGGGGCAGTGCAACGAAGCGAGCAGGACATCATGCGACTTTCGAAAACGACGCCGAGCGAGTACGTGCTGCATAATTTATCTCTTTTACGTTTTATTGCGGTGCACAACCCGCATCCGCAGCTGCTAATTTCATCACGTACAATGATGATTGGGTTCTTGAGGACTCGGCTTCACTGAGTGCGACAGTTCTAAATCCTATTACACAGATACGCCGAGAAAGTCGCCTCGCTCGCAGTTTCCTACAACAATTGGGCCGTGCAAAAGGAGCTCCAATTCGGGTCGAAGGAGGACTGCCCCCCGGAAGCCGTGCACCTCTACAAGAAGGCCCTCCACCTCGCGACCGAGCACCTGGACGAGGGGCACCCGCTGCGCGAAAAGTTCCAGCAGTCCGTCACGGCGGTGCTGGAGCGCAACCGAAGGAATCGAGCGAGGAGTGACGTCTCTGATTTTTATACGCTGGACCGCGCGAAGGAGGAGCTGGACTGGCTGCAGAAACACAAACCGATGGTAGAGCTGGAGGAGGACGAAATATTTGACGGAGATGCGAACATCAAGCCGGAGTCTGATCATGACGCGCGACACGACCCTTCATCGCAGAACGGAAGGCGTCGAAACCGGCCAGCAGCCTTTGGTGATATCCCAATCGCTGCTATCAGCAGCCTCGTGTCTGCGAATGACAAAATCGACATAGCTGTGAGGAAAGCTAGTAGTCCACCACTCGCTCCGTCAACAACTATGCAGAAAAATATTTCGCCAGAAGAGTCGAATATCAGCCCAAACGCGGAGATTCTCGGGGATGACTTCTGCGAGGACGACGACGATGACGCAGTAGACAAAGCTGAAATTGATGAACTTCAAAGCGCAGGTGATGAGCCAGATTTCCCAGTCGACACGGAATCCGCCACCGCCTCGTGGATCTCCAGAGTTAAGGACGCTCTGCGAGAAACCACGCAGAAGGAAAAATCGAGTCCGAAGCGCATCTCCGTGGCGGTTGGCAAAACGAAAACGACCTCCGGCGAACAGCTCCTGCGGTTACCCCTTGGCGCGGCGCCGCACATGATGCAGCAAAACTTCTTCAACGCACAAAAGGAAATGCGGGAGGTTGTGGAAACCCCGCTCGCCTCGCCAATACCGGTAGAGCGACCAATAACCCCCGTAGTTGCGCAAGAAATTGTTGTACAACATTCGTCGAACAAACAGAAACACTACGTTTTGCAACAGCAGCAAAATTTGTTCACCAGTAGCAGCTCCTCGAGCAGCAGCCCTCTCACGGTCTTGTCGTCCGGGACAACTACTACATTGCCACCCGCTATAGCACCAGCTGGTGGATCTTCCCTCCAGCAACTTCAACAACATCACTCTTCCCCCCAAACAGTTTTGGTGGAAGGGAAAAAGTGGTGCGGCGTCGCGGCGAACCAACCGGTGCTGGTTCCAAGGCTAGCGTTTGCGCAGAAAATAAAACCTTTTTCGCACTCAGCCATCGACGACGAAACATCCGCCAGCGCAGGGGACGACGAAAACTCAACGGAATTTTCGAAAAGCATTCCGACCATGACGTCGTCGGTGGTGCAGCACCAGTGGTCTCACTCTGGTGTACTATCCGGTGCTGGTCCACCACCTAGTGCACCAACTGCGCCGCAACACTACCAGCAATACCAGCCTCGTCTTGGAGGCGCAGGTTCTGCCGGCGGCGGTCCTAATGCAGCAGCAACCCCAGCATCCGCTGTCAGCACGCCCCTGCACCTGATGAGCTGTCGGAGTACGGAGAAGAGCACGTCCTGTGTCATCTTACCTTCCTTGCAAGTTCCAAGTCTTTGCACACCACTGCTGAACAATGCAAGACAGCACAACACGACCGCACTTGACATCGACGCCCAGTCCACGATCTCGTCCGCTCGAGGTGGTGCCGGCGCGAACCGACGTCGCCTCCCCAGTTCGCCCATGACGCTCTTCCAACGCGGTTCGCCGCAGTTGAGGAAGGAAAAGGGTGTGTTGTCTCCAGCACACGGGCTTGTTTTTCCTCCGCCAACAACTTCATCGTCCAGACCTCAGTCCGCGAGCAAGCCGAAGACGTTGTTTGGAAACAGGCCGATGAAAGACATGGAAGTAGGACCTACTGCAGCTGCTATTTCTGCTGCAGGGGCACCAGCACCGCCTCCACCAACATCCGCTTCGTCGCTCTACACGCCACAGACGCTGATCAGCCAAAAGATCGGTAGCAAAAGCACAACCGGGACTGCATCTTCGTCGTCTTCGAGTGCTGCGCCGTCGCCAACAGAGCCGTCAGTTCTTGGGACGTCGAGCAGACCATCTTCGACGCGCAACAAGCACATACGCTCCCAGGTTGAGCAAAGTCGTGCGGCCGAGCGACTGCAGGGCTGGTGGCGCGGCAGGAAAAGGCAGGCGCAGGTGAGGCGAGCTCGACACAAGACCCAGATGGACAAAGAACTGGCGGCGCAACTTCGCATTCAACATGCCTGGAAGGCGACTGTGTGTGGCCGGAAAGCGAGGAGGATATTTCTGAAGTACCAGAAAGGAAAGAGAAAGCGGTTAGAGGATTTGAAATTGCAGCGGTTCGTCGACTGGAAGTTTTTTGTGAAGAAAATCGCTCCCCGGGAAAAGAACACCGCAGCAACGACCTTGCAAGCCGGCGTTCGCATGCATCAGGAGCGAAAAAAGTTGGTCGAAGCGAAGAAACTGCAGTTGCAAAACGCAAGAGAAGAAAAACTCGCGGAGCTGTGCAAGCGTCGCGAAAACCGCTGGAAACAGGAACAGAAAAAGACTGTTTTGGAGAATTTACTTATCTTCACCAGACAAAAGAAGCACGCCGCTACCTTCCTCAGCCTTTTTTTCGCCTTCAGAATTCGCAACGTCTGGCCAAGACGCGTTCGCGACCGCAAAGTCGCGAGGATTCAAAGTCTTGTGCGCGGCGTGTTTTTCCGCATGCGCCTAGCCACTGACTTCGTGCACGTGAAGAGCGTCGTCCGGGAAATGGGACGCAGTGGGCAGCGCGTAGTGGTGTCCGCGAAAAGAAGGTTCAATCGTCCAGATTGGCGGGTGGAGGTAACTGATTACAAGGAGGCTCTGGCTTGCACGACGCCAACGTCGTCGAGCAAAACAACCAAATCCGTTGCCGCAGCTACAAGCACCGCACTGCGACGAGCCGAGGCGACGCGGGCGGTTTTTACGGGACCTTTACTCGTTCGCGCGGAAACTATCGGTACGGAGCCTACCGGGGTAGTGGTTTTGAGCGAAACGGAGTTTGCAAGCGTACTGCTGTATCAGGAAAAGTACAAACTGCAACCTGCCCCGCTCGCATCCAAAGCATTGCAGATGTTCCCAGTCGAGAAAGTGCTGAACGCTTGTTCGCTGGGAACGTGCTCCTCTTCGAGGCCGGTAATGTTTCTCGGCTTGCAGGCCGTAACCGACGCACTGCAGCCGAAACCGAAGAAAATTTCGCCCGCTGAAGCCAGTGCTGGAGCTGCGCTCGAACAATCCCAGGCGCCAGACGCCCCAGCAACGATCGAAGAAGCTGCAGCAGGGTTTTCACATCGTGCAACTGCAGAAATAATCACGCCATCGGCTGTGGAGAACACCAGCGAGACCCCAGCACCAAAAGTTCTGCCGGTCGCCGCGAAGACGCCGAGCCCATGCACAAGTCCGAATATAGCTGGTGGTTTGGAACAACTCTCCTTTGCCAAGAGCGAGATCAGCGTCAGCTTGCCCTCGGACAGCAAGCGAGGCACAGTTGGAGGTGCGGAAGTTGAACAAGCAGACGAGCCGGCGCTGCAGTCTATCTCATCAGGTGCACCGCTCCAGAGTAGTTCGAGAACGTTGCCACTTGAAGCTGAGCAAGCTCCTGCTGGTGACAAAAATTGTAGTTCTACCCCACCGTGCATCATCACGACTCCAAGGTCGCTTTCTGCCTCGCAAAGCGGTGGTGAACTTGTTCTTCGACCCGTCCAAACTGCGTCCTCCTCGGTCCGGAGAGAGGACGAGAAAGCCACGCCGTCAGAATCGCCTGGGGAAACCATCCGTCCTATTTCCGCAAGGCGGTCCTCACCGGGAAAAGAACTGCAACAAAAAGGCTCATCTGCTGCTAACGCCATCGCACAAAACGCCCTTGGGGGTTTCGTTTCGCAACCCTTTTCTCCGCCGCTGCAACGGGCTTCGTCGAGTTCGTCCTGGCGCACACCCGGGAACACGCCCACGCCGCCAATAGCAACGACAAACAGAGCGGAATTTCCATCCTCCTCTTCCCGAAGTCCCATCATGCCGGAATCTGGTTCGTCAGCATCCTCTTCGCGTCGCAAAGCTGCGGTGCCCAGGATGGAATACTCGCCGTCCGGATCATCTCCGTTGGAAATCGAGCGCAGTAGCAGACCGGGGAGCCGGCTTGATGTTCAAATGGTGCAGGGAAAAGAGGCCGCCGGTGCAGCAGGCGGCACAGATGATCGTCCAGCTGCTTCGTCAGAAGCAGAGCGTACAGACCCCCCGGCCCCAGGAGCAGAAGATGCAGCAACGAGCCGAACCAGCAGTGTGGCACCCCTTCCGGAAATCAACAGTAGCGGAAGAAGTGCGCCTTCGAGCCGAAGGGGGTCGCCAGTTATAGCCGCTTCCGGGTCGACGAACAATCGGGGGAACAACACACTGTACGCATCGACGCCAAGGTCGCCTGAACCTGAAGACCCTGCTTCGGGTAGTGCGCAGCAACATCATGAGAAAGATGTCCAATATGACTTTCCAATACCAGCAGGTAATGATAATTCAGCGAATGATGATGCTGCTCCACCGAATTCAGAGGAAAAGCTGCAGCACCAATCGAGCGTGCCGTTGTTCACACGCAAGGCCGCACGCCCCCCACCCCCCGCAGAACACAAGCTCGATCTCGCTTGGACGGACCTGATGGGCGAGGTGCTCCAGTACGAAGCGGAAGAGGCGCAGGCGAAATACGAAGAGAAAAGCCAGGAGTTCATTGCGAATCTACCAGAAGAAGAGCAGCAAGAGCTCTCGTCACGCGCAGAGCCCTTACCTAAAACTCACCTCCCAGAAGGAGCTGCTACAATGGTCGCGACGCTAGAAGAGTCCGACGACCCCTCCGCGAAAACGGATTTCGAAGCATCCCCGCTCGTGGTGTTCCCGACGAAAGCTACCGCTGCGGAGGAGCAGACGGAGGAGGAACCGGAGGTCCCGATGCCAGTGCCCGCAGCAACGGGAGCACCACCTCAGGACGAGCAGGGCCTCCTGTACAATGAGAAGCTGATCTTCACTGCAGAGGAGGGCGGGTCGTGTGGTCTTCCCTCAACTGATCCTGAACAAGCACACCACCACCAGCCTCGAAGTAGAAGCAATTCTGGAGGTGCAGCGTCCACTTGTGAAGGGACGAACAAAATGTCTCATCTGAGTCTGCCGTGGCGGTGTGATGAATGCAACTTCCTGAACGAAGTCAGCCCGGACCAGTGCGTTATGTGCGATGCGCTTAGGCCGCAGCCAGCGGCGATCGAACAATCAACGAGAAAGCCGTCGCATCGGAGCTTCAGACGTAAGCACGTGGTGGTTTCCACATTGCGCACTGCGATATGTTTAGTACCTTTAAATTGATGCGAAAACCGAAACGACGGAATCCGTAGTTGCATTATTGAATTTTGTTCTGTCTTGATCCACTTTCGTTTACCCCAACTTATTCACTTCATCACAGCAACCTCCGCCGGCACCCGCCCACCCTCGGCACCACGCACCCGAGTGCAACTTAACGCGCCGCCGGAGCCTGCACCCCCAAACAGCATCGCGAAGAAGAAGCGGGCCGCTGCAAAGGGGGAAGTCGTGGTATTAACCCAGCAGGCGGTACTGAGCAACACCCGTCCGAGCAGTGCAGCGCGCTCGAGGCCGATTTCGGCGGCGTCACGACGGAGCACGGCGTCGAGGAGAAGTGGGGTGGCGTCGGAAGGCGGGGAAAAATCGCAGAATGCGTACATGGACCCGAAGCCGTTCTCCAGGACGCTGAGATAGAGTGCTTGTAAAACCTCATCTAGGTGAAGGTGATGACACTGGCATCATCTTCAGCTACAAGTACATCCAGAACTACAAGTTGTGCATGTGCTATGAAGATGATGGCGATGATCGCTGAAAACAATGCGTGAAATTATCCCAGAACGAAAAAACAGATAGCCTCAGCTCAAACAGAGACACGAAGTGGACAAGTATGATGAAGTTCAAAAAGATAGCGATAGCATTCATCCTCAGGCAGGTCCCGTTGAGACGTGAAACGCTCCGGAAGTAAAAGGCGGAGCCCAACAAGAGCAGTACTAATGTGCTATATAACGCTCTACTTGCGCAAGGTGAAGGGCTTTGCTTCGAGACAGAAAATGTGTTAATACTTCGATGTTTTCACTTTTCCGAGCTGAAGTCCTCGTTCATGATCTGGACGCATTCGTATTGTGTTTAACGTCTAGTATGGTGCTATAGGGATCACGATCGTTCGCATACTCCACGCTTTTCATTCTCATTCTTGCATGCGGCGAAACGAGAGACAGCAAACGACCTCAAGCAAAATTTCGGCAGCAGCACAGAGAGAAGCAAACACAAATACGAAACTGGGGCACATCAACTCGTGTCGCGTGCTATACTTCTAGCCATACTTTTTTGGAATCGACTCGCAAGCCTTTTGACACGGTCTACACTAGAATTCTGAAGACACTACGACAAGTTTGGTAAAGCTAAAAACTCTGTCAGCTCACGTAGAACCCCAATCCCATCTACATCTTTTAAAGATGCCGAAAGCGACTTACAGTGGTACGAATGCCCAGGGCAATTCGTACACCACGTATAGCAACGGTGGCTACTCGTACAGCAACCCGAGCTACTCCAGCGGCGGTAATATTTGAATTTGTTGCTCAAATGCTGCTTCTCACACACTTATGAATAGAATGCCATTCCCTGTACTCTACACACTGTAATAAAAGGAAATATTGAATAAACTAGAGATCCGCGGATAACTTCAACGAACGAACGTAAGAAATGCATTTGTGGAAATGTGATCAGAACTACTTTCACATCAGGTACCGGCGGCCGCTCTGGATCTAGCTACTACGCGCCCTCCGCGTCCGCAGCTTCGTCGGGATCCGGGTTCTACATCTCTAACGGTGGAAAGTCCGGTGGTGGCTACTCGCACTACACCAACAGCAGCGGCCAGCGCTCCTACACCAGCGACTACCGCAAGTAAGTGCATATTCTGCTCTTGGACTCTAACATCAGTGTAGTATGCCTTTCCTTTGCAATGTCCAATAAACGCGTACGACGAATCAATAGATGAAAATGACATTCTATATTTATACTACGACAGGTAAAGCCAGCGTATGTTGAAGACTTGTGGTTCTCGCGCTTGCGCCGAGCGGACGTTCATCTGGATTTCTCCAACATTTTGGCACGCAGCTAAAATCTGCTTTACCAATCTTCATCACTTCGGTAATATTCCTCACAAATTCCAACAAACACCTCTTCGGTGTATGACGCTCGTACAACTATCTATAAGAACTTTTCTTTCTTTGATTTTCTGACGGGTTTACTAGTACTACAGAGTCTATCTTCAGCTTCTTTCGAGCTAGATTTTCATTCGAAGTTATCCCCTTCGCGGGGTTTAGGGTGGTTTACTCTTGAGGTTTCAAAACGATCTTGCTGACTTTGCGTTAGCTGAAATAATCACCTTCCAATCTATTTTCCATTGGGTCTTCTTGAGGACGATAACCGTGCAATTTTGTTTGCATCTATTGAAGCCCTCGCCTTTATTGGTGGCGGAAAGCTCCCTGCCGTCGATCAGAAACCGTGAACTTTCGAATACCTCTCTTGTTATTTGATATGAGAAACAAGAAAAAAAAGACAGAACCACATGGTGCCCGAGCTCGTCAAACTGTAGTGGATCTTCCAGCACCGACACTTGTTCCGCTGCTAGATTTTTTCTTTCCACGAGGGAGTTCTGAGAGCTGAAGTACAGAACGTGAAGTTGAAACGAATCTTTTCCTGCGCAAAACTATGATTGTTTTTTTTCGTACACGTACTAGCAGGTGCTGGCGGTGCAGGTTGTGATCATACGAGATCAGCTCGACTCTACGGTGAGAGTTTTAGATACTATGCTTCTTTCATCTAGTGCCCCCGACTCACAGCCCCCCACTGAACTTCAAAATGGGTAACCGCTTCTCCCGATCAGGAGCCGACCAAGGCCGCACCCAGCAACTGATGGAGCCAGCCGACCAACAATCCGGCGCCCGCTCCGTCGCTTTCCGCGACCAGGTCCTCGCAGAGCAAAACGGAGCCCTCCAGCCAGACCAACCCCCCGGGTTTCTGAAACGCCACTTTCCCCATTTGCGGTGGCGAAGCGTCCAGGGCGTCTGCATCGTGCTCGAATGCGTAATTTTTCTGATTGCCTGCCTCGTGATCACCCCCCGGGGGTACATCACCCCCGATATCAAAGTGAAAAAAGCCCCCACGACCCCATATCAAAGAGACAATTTGTGTTGCTGGATTTGTGTACACAAATGAACTTTGTGTTGCAGCAAGAGCTTGTCGGCATATTCTAAGCCCATTTGGGTACGCATCCGGCTAGCAGCTGAGCATGAGAAACAAGTCTGACATGGGCGAAAACGCATGACAGACTCGCTGTACCATGCGCCACATGGGTGCCGTTTGCCTTGTACGCAAGACAAAGGTGATTTGTGGTCACAAATCAGCATGACAAATTTTCTTTTCGATATGGGGTGGGGGGATTTTTCCTTACAATACCCGAACCGCTCGCGAACTGGAAGCTCGGCTCCTCGGACCGCACGATGGAGCAGTGCGCCTACGTGTTGCAGGACAAGTACTGGATCGAGCTCCGGCGAATGATTGTGCCGATTTTTCTGCACGGCAACATCCCCCACATTCTCATGAGCCTCTACTTCCAATTCTCCGAGGGCACGACGACGGAAGCGGAATTTGGGCCGGTGAAATTCTTCATCGTGTTTTTAGTCACTGGGATTTCCGGCAACCTACTCTCCGACGCGTTCGGCGTGAACGGGGTAGGGGCGAGCACGAGCTGCTACGGCTTGATTGGCGTGCAAGTTGGCCGGTTATTCGTCGTCGAGTGGCCGCACATTGAGGACATGCAGCTGAAGACGAGATTACACGAGCATTGGATGCGGGTGGTGGGCATGCTGGCCGCCTGGGAAATCCTGAACTGGAGCACAATCGACCACTACGGGCATCTCGGCGGGTTCCTTGGGGGTATGTGCCTGGGCTGCGTGTTGCAGAAACACACCAGTATTCGGTTCACCCCTTTGTCCGACCAACGACTCTTTGACGCGAACAATCCGCAGCAGATGGTGGCGCCGACGAAAAAGCAGCGCGCTTGGGCGTCGGTGGTGTTGTTTGTGCTGATGTTTGGATCCGCTGGGAGGATATACTGGAGTAGCAGCGTGACCGAGCTAGAAATGCTCTGTCCCATGATGTGGCAACGGTACTTCATGGAACAATAAAAGACAAGAAACGTCGCAGGAGCCGTGTCGCTTAAGATCATCAAAGTCGGAGTTGTGCTTCACCGACGGTGGATGTAAATCACTCGCCCTCCCGCGTGATTGGTGTTCGATGATCCAGCGCTGCAGGTCCAAGCAGAGGGAAGGGCGACGAGTGACTGTCTGATCGAGAAGTAGGAGCTGGACCACCCAGATTGAAGTCCACACGTAGAGCCGTAGCAACATGTAGAGGCGAAGATAACACGAGAACGAGCAGACCAACCAAGATCAAGATGGCCACGCCCGCGCGTTTTGTTTCTCTTCGACTTGCTCACGTAGCAACTTGCTGCTCCTTTCCGGTTATTTTCCAAGAAGCTGCTCATGCTTTTTTACAAGAAGCACTACCATTAGCGGCAAAATCTGGAGATGTGTCCGGGGACCCAGGACAAAACGCAACAACTCTGCACGACGTAGAGCTTCGCGTGTTGCGGTCGCATCTCGAGCTACTACGCGACAAGCTGCTCGGGTACTACGAAACACGCGACCAACACGAGGAATCCGTGCAGCGCCCTCTGTCAACCAACCACTTTCCCGCACCAAAATGGTTCGACGACCAGAACACCGACACGAACGGAGAACATGAAAACAGTGCGAGGAAGATTTTGCGGCACCTCCCCCTTGCATCCGTCCCCGATGGCAATTACTGCATGCAAATTCTGCACTACCCGTCCAAATTATGGCAGATCGGGCGGCGCACCGCCATGGCGACCGGAGCGACGGGCGGCTCGTGTGTTGTTTTCTTGGAAAACGACCGCAAAAATGTCATCGGACCCCAGATGCTGGAGTCTGTTCGAGAGAAGCACGTGCTGGAAGCACAGCCGGATTTCTCGCCTTGCGGGGAAAACACGACGTGGCACCAGTTTGCCTGGGACCAGAAAATGAGCACGCGGGTGATTCTCGCGGAAGAACAGTCATTTTCAAATACGGAAAACCGGAACGACAACTCGGAGAAAAATGCGCCGCCGTCTCGAAGTTTCCAGCTTTGTGTCTTTCGCGGAAATTCGCTTTGGGGCTCGACCGCGTTTTCCGTGGTTTCTGGCGACGTGGTTGAGAGTAGGAGCGCGCGTCGAGGAATCTCCGAGGTGGACCACCGTCTGGGCTCTTTGCCCAGTTTCGCCCTCTTCAACATGGACGAAGTTCCTCCGGAGGAGGGCGTCTTCAACCGGTCAGAACCTCAAGAACAACTCCCAGCATTTGTTCTTATCCTTTCCAACCTGACGCACGCAGCGGAGTTCGCTATTCACTACAGGAGCTACTATGCGAATCCTCCAGGCGGTGAAGTTGAAGTTCCGTCGCGGACGGTGAATGATGGGAGTACAAAGCGATTGATTGCTTCTTACTGGGAAGAGATCAACTTCGCCTCCGAAGCAGCATTGCCATTGGACCACGCAAAGGAACGGAGAAAGAAGCAGGTTAACAGCAAAGCCAGATCCGCGACGTCCACTTCCACCATAGACGCCAGACACGACAAAAACCTCCAACGCAGCTATACGGTTGTGCCCCACCCGTCGCGCTCCTACGGGCAGCTCTTCACGACCGGAACTCAGCTAGTGGTTGCCAACACGGAGTGGGCTGCAGTGCTGGTTGAAGATGAGGAAGCTAAGGGACTACACGACACTAATGCTGAGGAGTCACCTACTTTCAACATCTCCGGCAAGGACTCCTCGCAAACGCAGGACGTCGAGAAAATCGCAGTTGGCCCCCTGTATGACTTCGGTGTGCCGGTTTTGAAATTCCACCACCTTATCAAATGTAAAAATGTCTGGGTCCGGAAGATTGCCAGGTTTGTCATGCATATTTTGAATGACCCATGATGTCTGTGATGCATGCCCTAGCATCATAGATTTTCAGAGGACTTTGCGATGTCTCTACCGCATGAGAAATGCCCTCTTCACGTAGCACAAACTGGAGTCCTTTTGCTGGTCATGCAATACAAATTTTTTTAGAATCCAGAGACAGCATGACAAGTTTGAAATCTTCCAGACTCAGACACTTTTGCATTTGATACACCTCGGCGTGCGCGACCGCTACGTTGCGGTTCTGTATCCTGTGCAAAAGTATCGCACTCGTAGTAATCGCAAACATGCATTACAAATCTTGCTCTTAAGGTAAATCCGCATTACAAATTTTGTTTTTCATGCTGAGAAAATTTGTAATGCATGTATACGAGTACGATACTATACTTTTGCAATTCATATTCTGGGGAATGGCACCATTGCGACCTGCAGTATCCGGGTGACGACGACGGACGGGTTTCCACAGCTGCGCGTGACAGCTTCTCTAGACATGTTTGCTGAAAGACAAGAGAGTGTGGTACCAAGCGCAGCAAGAGCAGCAGCTCACGACGCAGCAAATGTCATCGGTGAAAAAACAGCATTTTCTCGCCTCTGCCGGAAATCCACTTCTAGTCTGGCGAGAAGAACTTCACCCACTGTTGTAGTAGAGATCATCAACCTTGACGAAACGTCATTCGGTGTCGTGGCTAGAGCTGCAATCGAGCAAACCGCGGCGGAAAGTGATGAAGAACAGAACCCGTGCTGGCGACTGCTCTTCGTTTCCACGGCCGCCGCCTGGAAACTGCACGGAGCGGAGCTCATTGTTCCCTTCGCCAGCTGGCTGCCGGGAGGTTTGGTAGCGGCGCAGCCTGCAATCCTGAAGCTGCGCGACAAGAACGACAAGCACAAGACGAGGGGGGCGGGAGCTCACAACGGGCTACAAATCTGGTCTTTGTTTGCCGATATTGCGTCTGCTGGTGAAGGAAGTAGAAAAGGAGCAGGACAAGACTCCGCCACTTTATCTTCGCACACCTACCGAGTGGCCATCCCGTACCTGAATCAGCGTTCAGCTGCTTGGTCATGGGAATTTTGGCAAGTCGACCTGAATGCGCTTCAGGAGAAGGCGCAGGCAATTTTGCAAGCGAAGGAGGAATTTAAAATTGACAACGAAAAAAATGAAGCCCCAGGAGATGATGACACGTTCGTGGAACAAATAAGCAACATCAGCTCAAGGGCAACTCTCGCCGCTGGCGGCGCAAGCGATGAAGGAACCGAGAATACACTACCTGCACGAAGCGAGGCTGTTTTACAACTTGACGCAGCAGCAGCACCAGCCGCGACAGACGACTTGCTAAGCACGCTGTCCGAGATTGTTTTCGACAACCAGCCTCCGTTCCGCAACTTCGTTTGGCTTTTCGACAAGAACCACTCTTGGCTTGCTTGGTACGCGTACGAGTACGACGGAGAGATTTTCAGCATCATCTTGATCGCCGCGGGCACCTTCGTCTACATGCGGTTGTGGCAAAACGGCAAAGAGGACTCAGGGCCAGCAGTCGACCCGCGCGTATGGGAAGACCCCTGCTGGAATGACCCGAAGAAGTTTAGAGAATTGTATGACGCGATTCTGTCGGGCGTAAAGGAATCGCAGGATACAGACCAAGCAATGTCGTCACCAGGTGGTGGTTGTTCTGCTGGCGCGACGAACGGGCTTCGGCCATTCTGATGATAAAAAGTTGAATCGTATATTGTATTTACCTTGAAGAGGAAGGCGTTAACGTAAACGAGCAGGCGCCTCTTTTTTGCAACTGCTGTGAAAGCGAAAATCGCAAACGAAGTGAACCTGCGGATGAAGGTTCCGCTCTTTCACGGACTACACTCAGTAACCGTCAAACAAAAAAGTTTTCGTGTGTTTTAGCTAGTGCGAAAGATCCCGGTAGCTGCGTCCGATTCTGAAGTGCGAGCTTGTGAGAACAACAATACAAAATAGAGATAGGATCAATGCGTGCGCAATTCTCATGGTATTTTTAAGGCTCCGTATTTTATTGCGCAGCTATGCTAGGTGCATGTGCAAGCAGATTGGAAAAAAACCTGATGCAATGATCATAAGCACTTTTTTTTTTTAATTTTCATATCTGCAGTACCTGCTTCCCCTTGCATGAGGCACGAAAGATCGATCTTCTACTGTTTTTTTGCTCAGGCTGACACAAAACAACAATGTATGACGAAGAATGATGAAAAACAAGCAAGCTGTGGCTGGAAGCCCAAGCGCAAGTGTCTGACATCCTGACAAGCCTTGTTGAAGCTTGAACGAACAACAATAGTTTGACGGTCTAGAAGAGGTGGACTAGAAGTTTGATTCAGATTTACAACAATTACTAGGACTCAGCACCTCCTGCTGCATACGATTTCTAGTACACGACGTGCGACTATCTCTTGTTTTACTCCTCTTATTATCCCTCGCAATAAAGTGTCGGTAAATTTTTCCTCTTCATAGGATACAGCTCACTCTGCCCCACGAAGACTAACACTTTCGAAAATGAACTTCAGCCACGCCCAGCAGGCCATGTCGGCCGCCGCAAAGGAGAAGGCGGAGAAGATCTCCGGCAGCTTTGACCCCTCCGCCCTGGAACGCGGCGCGAAAGCGCTCAAGGAGATGGACGCGTCCGGGAACGCCGCAAAGGCGTTTGAATTGACCAAACTCCAGGAGCAGACCAAACAAAAGGAGATGGGGCTCGAGGTGGAGCGCATGCGCGCCCAGCAGGCGGAGATGAGCATGCGCCGCGCGGAAAAGGAGGGGGAGGAAAGGCGCAAAACCATGGCGGCGCAGGAAGATCAGGAGAGGCGGACTGCGCAGTACAAAACGCAGCTGGAAAGCGAGTTGTATCAACACAAACTCGAGGACCAGCAGAAACAGAACGAGCAGTGGCTGGCCCAGCAGCACCAGAATTTTCTCCGACAGGAGGAGATCCGCAAAAAAAACGACCAGGAACTGGAGGACATGCGTTTGCGCAGTATGGCGGAGCAGGCGAAGTTAGACCGCGAAACCATGATGATGAAGGCCAAGGCCGAGAACGACGCGCGGGCCAAAACGGAGCGCGAGAACATCGACGTGCGCATCCGGGAGATGCGGGCGCAAGCGGGCGAGGAGAGAACCACCCGGTTGGAGGCGATCGAACGGTACTTTACCGGGTTTTCCGGTTTATTATCGGACAAACAGAAAATTACGACACTTGTCGCGGGCTTGTCTGCTTTAGCACTCGGTGTCTACGCGGCGCGAAACGCCACGCGGGTGACGGCGAACATCGTGGAGAAAAACATGGGAAAACCCTCCCTGGTCCGTGACACCAGTCGGTGGACCTGGAAGCAGGGACTGTTGCCGCTCGCGCGTTTCGGCGGCGGGGCGAACAACCAGAAGTTGTTGGACAAGGTAGTTTTGGAGGAAGATTTGTCGGAGAGGCTGACCTGGATGACGAATTCTCTCGTGAACGCGAAAAAGAACGGAACCCCCTTCCGCCACATGCTGCTGCACGGACCGCCGGGAACCGGTATATTAGCATTGATTGTACGACGACGAAATTCATCATGGTACATGTGTGCCTGCTGGAGGATAGATCTAGCTTAAATGCGTTGTGCATGCCCAAGAACATTGAACAGTAATTTTTACGCATCAAAATTTCAATTTGACTCGAAGGGTTAGTTTCTTGTACTAGAAACGCAAGATCCTCGTCCTGCGATCATGATCTATCAGGTAAAACTCTGTTCGCCCGCACCCTGGCGAAGCAGTCGGGTCTGGACTACGCCATCATGTCGGGTGGTGACATCGGACCTTTGGGAAAAGACGCGGTGGAGGAGGTGAACAAACTTTTTCAGTGGGCGAACAAGTCCAAGCAGGGCATGATTCTTTTCATCGACGAAGCGGACGCGTTTTTGCGCAAGGGACGCCAGTCCACCGAGGGCATGTCCGAACACGCGCGCAACGTCTTGTCGACGTTTTTAGCGCACACGGGCACCGAAACGGACAAATTTGCGGTGGTGCTGGCGACGAACGTGAAGGACGTCCTGGACCGGGCGGTGATGGATCGGGTGGACGAAAGCTTTCTGTTCCCGTTGCCCGACTACCCGCAGCGCCTGGAGATGGTAAAGATGTTTTTCAACCAGCACATCTTGGCGCCGACGAAAACCAGTCAGCAGATTGAGGTAGAAGACGCGGTGAAGTCGGAGGAATACATGCAGGAGATGGCGCGCCGAATGGAGGGCTTCTCGGGCCGACAGGTGGCCAAGACCATTCTCGGCCTGCAGTCCGCGGTGTTCGGGTCTGGGACGAACAAATTGACGAAGGGCCTGGCGGACGCCGTGCTGGACTGGAAGATCGCCAACATTGCGGACGATCAGGACACAATTGACCGTCTGGAAGCGCAGAAATTGAAGAGCGAGGCGGTGAAGCTGGGGACGTACTAGGACGAGAGCGGTTTGAAGTAAAACAAGGAGAACAACAAGAATCAATGTCACCGATAGAAGTTTTAACGACCTCGCGAGCGGTTTTGCATCAATCGTACGTGTCTCGTCTTCTACCAGCACTTCACGATATTGTGGCTGCCCGACCGCCTGAATTTCACGAAGCCTTTAGTTTGATTTCACCCAAGTTTACCTATAAAGGAAGACCACACGTAAAAAGTTCACCCCCCCAAGCGACTGAGATCACAGAACCATCTCCCGTACAGTTTAAAGATTGATTTGAAAAGACGAAAATCAAGACTTTTTAGATACAGTTACTTATAGCTCTCCTCAAAGAGCTGGAACGACAACACCTGTCAGTACACGAAAACGAGAATCAATGCACAACGTGGACATCTAGCGACATGATCACAAGTTCTTCTTTTTAAATTCTTCTTCACAGTTTTACACATTCAGGCGAAAATCCAATTGCGAAATCTTCCAGAGCAATCGTGATGACTTCATCTAGATGGCGCTCTGTTCTTGCAGTTGGCAGTAGTTCTGTTCGACATTCAGTAGCTGAAATTGTATACGAAACGCTGCATCCCGGTTTCCGCGTTCGGTAGGCGAGATCTTTCAAAATAGCAAAAGAGCCAGCCCTTCTTGCTAAAATCGCAGTAAAAGATCAAGTTGCTGGCCGGGCAGCTCGGAGCGATGTTAAATACGTGATCCACCCGCAATATGCCGTTCCAGTAAAATTCAAGTCGATCATCTGCCTGATCGTGAGAGTATGAAGTGCAAAGCAAGCCCAATGAAAGTGATATATTTCGTGTCCTTGTCGTCCAATGTCGCCCAGCAGTAGTACTTGCGTTTTGTCTCTGTACTACTAAGTCAAGTTCCATACAATTACAAACTCGCAGTTACTACAACTCGCCATTTTATTCCTGCGTCCTCGCTTGCCTGTGAGTACTGCACGTCATTCAGGAGGACTAAATTTCGGAGAGAGAAAAATGACGACCACTACTTCTGCCCCAACACCTATCACTGGCACGGCGGCTTCTACTAGCTCGTCATCCTCCACTACACGCGTCCAGATCTTTACGCCAGGAGACCATGTTCCAGCGGATGTATCACTCCCACACGACGCTGTCGCGCTCGACACAGCGACCGGATTGCGAAGAGTGACGCGAATCTGCACGGTGGTGATGGACGGAAGGAGGGAAAGGGATGAAAGTACCTCGACGGAAATAAAAAACTGGCACCAGTCCTCCATTCTCGAAACCAGGCGCGACCCGACGGCCATCGACGTGGGCGACTGTGTCTACGGGCGGGTGCACCAGCTACAGAACGACCGGATTATGATCCATGTGTTGGCGAAAGAGAACAACACAACTTCGAGAGCACATGAGGACAAGGTCAAGTGTGCTGAAAGTGAAAGAACTGCGGACCAAGTCCAAGTCCTCGTAAACCATGACGCGGACGAAGCCGCGGAAACAGCCAACCTCCCTGAAGTGACTCTCCTAGGTAGCACAACCAGCACCCGGCTGGCGACTTTGCGGAAGACGGACATGCGCGCCTTTAAAGTTGACGAGCTGGAGATCAGTTCCTATTTCCGCGTGGGCGACATTATTCGGGCCCACGTGATCGGCAAGAGTGCGGATATGACGCTGTTGAGCACCATGCATTCAGACGATGGTGTGCTGGCGGCAAGAAGTAGTTCTTGTGCGGGAAGGGAGAGAGAAGTTCTTGCGCCGGGTGAAGATGCCACGCTGTCTGGGAGAGGGAGCGGTGCAGGTTTATTTTCAGCAGCATCTACTTCAGTATCTGCTTTGAAACCACTGTCACATGAATTCATGCTGGATGCCGCTTCTGGTGTGAAGGAACGACGAAAAGTTGCGTGCGGACGACGGAAGAGCGCAAACAAAATTTTACAGAAGTACAGTCTGACGGAGGTTATCAAGTCTTAAAGGACTTTGATGGTGAAGTAGAAGAAAAAGATGTAGAACTAGAAGCGCAAGCGCGGAGCTTTCGAGAGCATGACAATGAAAGCAGACAGTCAGCACAAGAAGCGCCATTCTTTGTGCCTTTTTTTTTTTCTTCTTGAATCGAGTTCTCCTCATGCTCCATGTATATGGTTGCTGTCCACAGAGGATCATCATAAGTGCTACTCTCATAGCACGCGGTATTAATCGTTTTCGCTCTACACGACCAGATTGATTTTAATTTACGAAGCGGTGCTGCTATCTAAATGTGTGAAGTCGAAATCTACAAAAGATCCAAAATTTGCTTTCAAGACAGAGAGACCAAGATCATAGAGTCCAAAATTCAAAAAGTTGACGAAGATCCGCGTGCGATCCAAATGCCAAGCGCATCAAGGAGATCTCAGTGAAAGCCATCGAAAAGATATAAGGGTAACGAAAAATCTACCAAAAGATCTGCAATCCTTGAACGTGGTTGACCGAATTATTTCCATCAATGTCTTGAAATTCCGTTCCAAATCCGATTGCACGAACCTACTCATGAAAATGATCTCACGACACAATTTCCGCTTTCTCTTTACAAAACCTCAGGTCAATAACCAAACGAGTGTCGCAGTTTTCTGCCGCGTCCGTCTTCTACTAGCCTCTAGTGCTTTAGTTGAAAAAGGTTTTTGTTGACCTTTTCCCCCCTCTTTTCAAAATGTCTGATGAAGATTACACCTTCGAGACCGGTAACGCCGGTTCCTCCCTGACCTACCCGGCCGAGGCTGGTTCCCTCCGCAAGAACGGACACTGCATGCTCAAGGGAAACCCGTGTAAGTGGATGAATTTCAAGTTTTAGAAGCGATGATAGATCACCTACTGATCGACTTCGATGTTAGTTTTCTACTAGTACGGAACTAGATCTACTATTGCACCTCCTGTTTCATCGCTGCCGCGAAAGTGATGAAGTTCTTGTCCCCAAAAAATTTGAAAACACACACAAAACAGGCAAGATCGTCGAGATCTCCGTCTCCAAGACCGGAAAGCACGGCCACGCCAAGTGCCACATCGTTGGTACAGAGACTTGTTTATGTTTTTAAGTACGTATCGGTATCGGATTCTTCGGTCTTAATTGCAGTTTTGTGCACTCAAAAATCCGCGCATATATTACAAACTCAATTTGTCACGCTGGAGGGCCAATACCAATACCGATTCCGTAGCCTGGTCAGCCCGTCTATACAGGGCCAAAATCCGCCCCTCTTTGCAAAAAAAAATAACTGCAATGCAATTTATCCTACGCAAAATCAGGTACCGACATTTTCACCAACAAGAAGTACGAGGATTTGTGCCCGTCCACGCACAACATGGACGTCCCGAACGTGCAGCGCACGGAGTTCCAGCTGCTGGACATTGACCGTGACGCCGGCTCCATCTCCGTGTTGCTGGACAACGGTGATACCAAGGATGATCTGAACTTGCCGGTCGATACCACCGGAAACCTGGAGGATGTTGCCAACGATCTGCTGACCGCCTTTGACGACGGTATTTTTTTTTTCTTGTCTATTGATAGATGAAGAGGATCTTCCCCGGAAAAAGAACCTTTGGAGGTCGAGATTGTGTAGGAGTGTAGACGAGAAAAAATGTGAGCAGTTGAGGAGCGAATGTGAAGGTGCTCATGCACTTGTGCAGAAATACACATATAACTCTTGGTGAGAGAAACTGTAACGTGTATCTGCAAAATGAAAATAGCAAGTTCTAGTTATTTATCCCTAAATCCTAAACGCAATACAGGTAAGTCCCTGCTGGTCACCGTCCTTCAGTCCATGGACAAGGAAAAGGTTGTTGCCTTCAAGGAGCTGTCCGCTTAAGTTCGACGAAGCATCAGAGTATCAAAACGAGATTAGACAGAACCGGAAAAAAACATCGACATCTTCACATCACGCAACGAAGACGAGCAACGCAATCTCGCATGGTGTTACGAACATGAATTGCAAGCGGTAGGATCGAAAAATTCCTGTTGCAATTCGCCGTAGCTATATCTACATGCTCGTGGGCCATTCGTCGATCACACCTTTTTTGTTGGCGGGGGGACCATGCGGAGAGTATGTGGCCTACTACTGAATCCGATGGGGATGCGCTCCAGCGACGCAACAGTTCCGAGCCACATGATAATGGGGTCCAGAGAAGTACACGCAATGCTCGAGCAGAAGCGAGTGTAGATGTGGGTGTAACTGTATGAATGTCCAATGTACTGAAATTCAAGAACAAATTTACTCGGTGTAATCGACTAAAGTGTACCTATAATCTTCTATCAGTATGAGAACGCAGTTTCTCAAGTTTATTGCAACTTTTCAGTATGGGCGGGTGCCGCGAGAAGTCACTCTTCTGTAGTGCATGTCGCTGTGTCCTGCAATTGGTGCTCTCAACGCCTCTCCCCAGCGCGAGAACTATCTACTAAAATAGTGCTATCATTTTTTGCATCTAAATCCAGCAACAAACGCGGGCGATGCTTGCTGTATATGAAAAATGCTTTTTCCTTTCTACACTTCAGAACTCACATGTTGTGCGAATACCACACCAGGACTAGACTTTCCTATGTCTGCTTTCCCTAGAACGATCTCTACTTCGAGCGCCGGGTTAGTTTCCGCTTGGCGTATGTCGTTGCTGAGCAAAAAAGCTGGAAGGGGGAGAGGAATAGGTCATAATCATGATCCGCACTCCTGCATGCGCACGACGAAATGAAAACGAAACTTTCTGTGCTAGAGATGTGTAGAGCTAGCGATGAGGACAGAGATTTGTTGAAAATGAACCGATCGGCATTTTTAGGAAAGCTGTTGTTTACCACGCACCAATCTGTCATATAAATCACGCACGCAGCTCACTTTGCGCAAATCTTTCATAGGGTTGTTGACCTTTTCATGCACTAGAACGAAGTTGAAAGCGAAAAAAAAATGAAAAAGTGTGCCAAGGGGAGCTGTCTCCCACATGATATTTCATGAGCGCTCGTGTTCTTGTGCTGCAACAAAATGTATTTATGTTTCTCAGCGGCGTAAGACAATGAGTAATCTGTAGTGCGAATTGAGAGGAGTACGACTAGCTCATAGGGCCGCGTTTTTGGAAAACTTTCCTTCAGTAGAGCTACTGATTCAGGGTCGCTGGGACCTTCGCCTACTGTGGTGGTTCTTCGTACACAACTTTAGTTCGGATACATGGCGTAAGGCTTTCTTCACAGCATCCTAACATCTTCATCTTGCCACTGGTGTAAGAGTTTTCTCGCGGTAAGTATTACAGAAAAAGTCAAGATTTCGTCCTCGATGCCCAGTTTTCGTTTCGATGTCGGCACGCAGGTGCTGTGCAACTTGGGCCAGTCCGGGTGGAAGATGGGCAAGGTAATTGCCCTGAACTATCGTGAGGACGCATGGCCGCCGGGGCAGAAAGCACCCTACCAGGTTGCGCTGGAGGGCGAGGACGGGGAATTCCGATTGATTTACGTGCCGGTGGACGACGATTACTGTTGTCGGAAACCGACTGACGAGGACTTGAAGATCGCGAATCGTGCGGACGCCCTCGCCGCGCTCCCGAACGAGACTGCGACCAAGAAGCAGGCGAACAATAAAAACGATGTTGGTACTATTACGACCAAGAACGAGCTCGGCAGCACGGCTGTTTCTGTGAGTGACCACGTTGGATACCGAGCGGGGTTGTGCCACTGCTGCCAGCCCCACCCGCAGAGCTGGTCCTGTGTGGAGCTTTACAGCGAGCACTACCGCGGGGCCACGAGGAATGACCTGAAGGTGACGCGACGGTCGATCGACCTGGGAAGCAAAAAAGTTGGAGCTGAGATTGAGTGTTGCTCGTCGAAGGAAGTGGATCTGTTGAGCAAATCGGGTTTTATGCAGCGTCCGACACTCGTCAGACTGCCGCCGGGTGTTCGCTTTGCTGACGATGGGTCGCTGAAGGGAAAGGTACTGATGCTGATGTCTCGTCTGAAAAATTGGAGCTGCACTACAGCAGGTACTAGTTCTTTGTCGTTTCTGCTTGTGGCGAGGTTGTTCTTGTTGTGATTTTTCTTGCTTTTTGTAATAATCCCAGATTCGTTTCGACCCCCATCGCGAATCTTCGTACAAAGTGGAGTTTGTCGCGGTCAGTGCGGTCGATTGGAAGGATCCAAAGATTGGCCTTGTCCGGCTGGAAATAACCTTCACCGTATCAAGTGCGAATATGTCTGGGTCTGGAAGAATGTATGTTTGTCATGCTTGTCTGGCATGACTCTGAAATCTGTCATGCATTGTACCCAAGAGAGCTCCATTCTTCTCTCATGCAGAAGCGCAGTTTGTCATGCAGAATAGGCAACACCTAGAAGCTCAAAAACTTGGCATGCTGGGCCAGCACTTGTGGCCCCCTCATGATACGCCACCTAGCATCACAAATTTCCAGACCCAGACGCATTTGCATTTGATGCACCGTTACGGACAACGACGAGCCGCTCGGATTCGATCCAGACGAGTTTGCGGCGAAACAGCAAGAAGCCTCTGCCGCCGCGGCGGGTATCTACCAAAAGCTGTGCCAAACCTGGGACCGGTGGGAACGCTCGGAGCTGGACCAGCGGGATACCTGTGACCTGATGTGCGCCCACCTGGCCAGATTGCGGGACTTGCTGGAGGAGCATCCACGGCTTGAGGATGGATTGTGGTACATGAAGTTTTCGTTCTACTTGGTCAATTGATGGTGATGGTGCATCAATTTTCTGATGCAATGCCCAACCAGAATTTTTTTCTGCATCACCGCTATAGCATACAGACGAGATGAAGATCAAAATAACCAAAACACCAACAAAAGTAGAATCCATACTATCATTATCAAAAGGTGGGCCCAGCTGGGTGGGTTTTACATGAACGTGCACAAGCTGCTCGAGAACACGCTTTTCGAGTGTGAACTCTATCTGGGCTACGCGCTCACCTTCGGGAGCGTCTCCGTGCGGCAAATTGCGGAGCAGAACCTCGAAGGCTGCTACCAGAAGCGGCTCCTCGAATCGGCGCGGTTTCTTTGGATCGACGGCGTGAAGCAGATGATGCACAACGATTTTCGAGGTGCTATCGAGACGTTTCAGAAAGCCACCGCGAAGAAGGACGGCTGGGGCTGGGCGGTCAACGTCGGCGACATCTGGATCTTCGAAGCGGCGGCACGGCTGATCCTCACCGTATGCATTGCAAAAGTATCGCACTCGCATAAATGCATTACAGCGTTAGAAATATAGATTTGTCATGCGGATCCGGATTTGGGTGCAGAAAAAAATTGACTGCAATCACTACGAGTGCGATACTTTTGCACAGGATACACCGCGGAGGGGAACGAGAAGCTTTCCACCCAGGTCGACAAGCTGCTGGAGAAGCATCGGGCGCGGTGCAAAAAGACCGGTACTTTCAAATCGTCCGTACATCCCTGGGCCGCGGAGGTGACCAGTGGGCTCAGTGCCTACCGTAACTTGCAGAGCAAAAAGTCAAAATCTTCCTCGGACACCACGTCGAGCGACAGTGCCGGCTGGCTGGAGGGATTCAAGAAGCGGACCCTGTTTTGGTGCGCGCAGGTGCTCGGCGGTGTGGCTCCCTTTCCCCCGAAGCCACGACCACGTCTCGAAGACGCGCAGGTTTTGGTAGACAGACTACCCGGACACAATGTGGTGTATGAAAGGTCGTAAAGTTTTGTTGTGTGGATGGTTGTCTCAAATTACTTAAAATAGCAATGGAGATGGACGACGCTTTTAGTCTTCACGGGGTATTAGCTGTCTGAAATGAATACAGAGTTTAGAATGTTTCTGTTTCGCAAGTGATGAGGCTTTGTTTTTGAAATCAAAGATGTTGCAGGCAGATCGAGGTCTAATTTTATAACAAAAAGAAGGAACAAGAATGCTGGAGTGGTTGCAGTGTCAGTGAGAATGAAACGGCTACATTATGAGAATTCTCGATGAACAGCTCGTACACCTACGCCCTCTGCGTTACAAAATTTTGCTTTAGAATACAAGTGGTTGCAAAGAAATCTTCTGACTCAATGAGAAGACAAGAAAACTCAGTAAGAGGAACTTGCCGCCCGACCCTCCGCAGGATCCGCCGGCGATTTGTCGGCAAGAGGACCCCGGTTTTGATGGTTTTCTTCAAGCTGTCGATCCACGTGCATCTGCGACCGAGTGAGTAGGGCCATCGTGGTTCAAGGACGCGACCGCTTCTGCGCACAGTCATTCAAAAGACGTCGCTTTGAAGATCCTCCTCCAAGCAGGATCCGTCATATGCAGGTCCATTCTCACCCTCGTTGATCGCTGATCGTGCGTCCGTATCCAGGTCCATTCTCCGCTGTGACTTTGATGACGTTCCACTTCGTACTAATCGTGTTGATCTGGTTCCCATCGAAGGCAGATTCATATTCTGCCTGAGCATCAAAGATCGCCATCGTGTGTACGTGCAAGCATGCTTACGTGGTGTATGTGCATGTTTACACTTACATCAGTCGCGGCTATAATACAGATTTTGGCTGTAATATCCGTTGTCGACAGTGCATCGGGCAAGATCGAGACAGGACATCGTGAATTTGCGATAATCTTGCTCTTTGCGAAAGCAGTAGCAGGTCGTGCAGGTTCTTTTCATAGTTGTTGTGACCATTTGCCACTTTCTCACTCGAGTTGCACTTACAACTTATTCTGCAACTAGACCTCTTCGTTGGTTTCGGAACAACAACAATATCATGAAGGGAGAAATGCGAGCGAGGACTATTTCAGCTGTGACACGTGCACGTCGCGTATCGCGCTGGCTCTTCTTCGCGGCCGATTTTTTTGTCTCCGCTTTTTGCCTCCGCAGCACACTGCTAGGGAAGCGCTCTTTCAGCAATCCCCCGGCGTGCCCGCCACGTCAAACCTCAGCGGCCGCTGGAAATCTTCCACTGCGACGCCTGCACCTGGTAAGTGAAGGTTGATGTTTTTCGGTAACTGGCGCTAGAACAAACACAGGCAGAAAAATCGCTGGAGTTGTCCAAGATGTTTGTCAATTGCACGCACGACTGATGTGTGAGTAGTTTTCCTCTAGTAAAGTCCTGATTTGTAGCAATGAATGGCGAGGAAGTACGCAATTACAACTCGCACTAAAGAAATCGCGATCATCCTCTCATTGTAAAAACACCTAGGGTCCGCGTTCTGTTCCTGTCGGCTCGACAAGCAGTAGCGAAGCACGTGCGCTCGACGAGAGCCCCTGCATTAAAACGGTCGAAAATTTTCTTGTTGCCGCGAATCGAGACGATACGCACCGGGACCTACAAGCGGCTCATCGGAATGATGAAGGCGGAAATAACAAGGTGGAAATATCCAAGTTTACGACGTCATCTCGCCGTGCCTTTTCTCATCACGACGATGGAACTACACCAAAAATGAGCGACTTTACCGTCCTTTCGCACCGCGACCTATCCATGTTCGATAGTCCCGCAGCCGTAGTTCCGAAAGCCCGACCCAGCTCTCCGCCCGCTGCGATGAAGAAAGTTACGTCGCCGGTCAACATCTCGTTTGGTGCTCTAAGCTGCAGAAGTTCTCCGACTGGTGGGATGAACAAGAACCTGCTTTCATCGCCGCGCGAGCGGGCAGCTGCTGGTCCAAATCTTGCGATACCGAAACTCAGAGCTGTGCCAGCAGTATCTCCTGCAGGTGCGGTGAACATCAAGCAGCCATCTGTGGACGAGCAGTCCGAAATAATTGTTCTAAGCGAAGAACATAGGCGGGCGCAACAAGATCTTGACGAGAAAAAGTGCGTGATTGCGTGAAACCGAAGTTGCAAGTCCGCTCTGTGGTCCTCACGCTGGTTCATTCAAATGGAAATGCGCGGTGGTATAACATGAAAGATACGGTGTTGATGTACTCGCCGCGAACGGGACCACGACGAACAAAAGTGAACCGAGGTGCAATCAGCGCCAGCTGGTGTTGTGTTGAAATCTACGTTCCTCGGGTGTTCTGATTCGTCCGATAGAGTGATTTGTTTTAGTATTTCATTTCGGAATCTTCATGCTGTAGTTGTAAATGTAATCCGAATCCTCACCCCCCCTTGCCGAGAACGTTATCTGAACTACCACACCTAGGTGTCAACTAAGTAAATAAGTGGCTTCGTATTCATGCTCTTCTCCGCAAACGCAAAAAGGAAGAAAATGTCCAACATCCGCAAAACCAAGAGGTTCCAAGAACTCCCTGTCATTCGTTTTTTTCTCGTTCCTTTGTTCTTCGTGCTTTCCGCCCTGCAGCCGAGTTCCGCAGCGCTAAAACGCGTCCCGGCCACCACCCGGGGCAAATTTACGTTTTTCTACTCGGAGAACCCCGAAGTGCACGACAGGCACCTGGGCGAACCGAAACGACCGGGCAGGAACATACCGGTGAAATGCACGCGCCGCGGGATCATCAACGTGCCGCGCCGGCAAATCCCCGATCACGCGCACGGCATCTACAAGGATGACAAGTCGCTGCAGGAGACGTGTTTGGAGGCAGCCGTGCTTGAAGACGAGCTGGACGACCATCCGCTTGGGGAGTATTTCAGAAGAGAGGTGTATGAGAGTGTCAGGTTCAAAATCGTCAGAGTTGAAAGAATTTGTGATGCATAAAACGGATACCAGTTGGCGGCTAGTTTTCAAGTGGCGCATGACAAATTGGGGTGGAACTGCAATCCAGTTTGTAATGCTGTTTGGGTAAGGAAGCCGCCTCTTGTCATGCTACTTTAGCAGCTCGATTTCTACCCCTCAACAGGCTTACAATCTGCCTCACTTGCCTACTCTGCAAGCCAGGCGCTTTGTAGGCTGCTGCATTTTATGCATGACAAATCATTTCAACTTTGTCGATTTCGATCCTGACACATCCATAAGGTGGCTGCACCAGAGGACGAGGCGGGGGAAGCCAATAAGACCAACAGTAATTCCACAACAAGCGAAGATCAAGATGGTGCCTCAGCGGCTGCAGCAGGAGCAAGTACTCCATCATCAAGTCCTGGCGCAGCAGGGAACGAGGAAATGGTCCAGCAGGTGGCGACAAGCCGGGTGAAAAAAGTGGAAGATGAACCTCCTGAGAAAGATGAATCCCAATCTGGTTCTGTTAATATCGTCCCAGATGTACAAGTACAACCTCCTCTGTCGGACGGGCGAGGTCCTGATCCGGCCCTCGTCTCGCGAAAAGAACTTCTGCAAGAAGAGCATCCGCCGCACTGGATCCCAGACGCGCTGTACCGGGAGATGGTGGAAAAGACCGTGATTGCCTGCGTGGACGTCTTGCTGTACAGTCCCAAGCGCAAGAAGTACCTCCTGCTGAAGCGCAGCACCGAGCCCATCAAGGGCTGGTTCGGCTTTGTCGGCGGGCGGATGCACCACGGGGAGTCGTTTGAAGAGGCAGCGGTGCGGAAATTGGAGCAAGAGTGCAACGTCCGGGCCATCTTGACGCAGCGAGTGATCAAACGGGACCAACTGGACGAGTTTTCGCCCATCGTCGAGCACAAAAACGAGACCGCGAAGGACAAACTGGTTCAGATAAAAATCCCGTACGAGGAGGGGATTATTGGGGCGTACGATACCTGGTTCGACAAGTCGGCGCAGGACGAAAAAACACCATCGCAAACCATGAATACCTTGGTGTACATGGAGATTCTTGGCGACGACGACTCTTTCGACGACGTCCTCAGTGTGAACGAGTACCACAGCGAGTACGAGTGGTTTTCGGAGGAGGAGTATGCAGTGGCAGTGCAAAAGTAATATCGTCCTAGTGTAGTACTATTAATTGCAATATTGCATGACAAATCTCCCTGCTCAGCTGAATCAGCATTGCAAATTTTTCCTTCTGGGAATAAAATTTGTGATGTAATTACTACGAGTGCGATACAATACTTTTGCAATGCATACAGAGTATCTTTCCCACCCCAAGATTACCAACGCGGTGAAAAGGGGGCTGAAAGACCACTTGGAGAAAGTTTACCGGTATTGGGAACCGCTGGAATTCGGGAAACTCGATGCAAAGCAGGTGGTGAAACACGACGACGTATTCGAAGATAAAAACAATCCCGAACTACATCAACAGCAGAACAGCTTCAAACAGAAGCACTTTGAACTCCACACCAATCGCTTTCACCACTACGACAACCCGAAGGCGTTTCACGACTCCGCGCCGGAGCAGCAGCACAATTTCGCCGTGGCCCCCGCGAAGCAGGTCGTCACGCCCGAAAGCATTCCGCACTCGTTGTACACGAACATGCTGAAAAAGGCGGTGATGGTGTGCGTGGACGCGATTTTGTACGATGTTGCGCGGGACAAGTTTTTCATGGTCCGCCGCGACCACGAGCCCATGAAGGGAAAGCCGCGGTATCCGGGCTCTATCCCAGAGAAAAACAAAGAAACAGGTGGCACCAGGAGGGCCTACTTGGAATGCAAGACTATTGAATGCGCAGAAAATGACAATGCGCATCTTGTTCCCAAACAGCATGCTACGGACTCGCTCATGACAAATTGATTCTGTCGATTTAATAATTTTTGCGAATACAAATATGCCCTGCCTGTCTTTTTTTTCTGGGTGATAGCCTCCCGGGTCTACAAGGGCGAGCGCTTGGAGGAAACCACGTTTCGGATTTTCCGGAGGTATTTCGACCCCATAGTCAGCAGTAGTACTCCTGCATCTACTTCAGAGGATGGTGCCAGCACGGACGACGTTCCTCTACTTCCGAGAACAGTAGCGGACGAGGCGAAATTTTATGGATGCGTCAGGTTTGAAATCAACAAAGTTGAAATAACTTGTAATGCAGAGAATGGATGAAAGTTGCGATCCAGTTACTAAGTGGCACATGACGAATTTGGGTAGAGCCGAAATCCAGTTTGTCATGCTGTTTGGGTAAGGAAGACGCCTTTTGTCGTGCTACTTTAGCAGCTCTAGTTCTACCCCGAAACAGGCTTACAATCTGCCCCCCTTGCCTACTCTGCAAGACAGGCACTTTCTGCGTTGCATTTTATGCATGACAAACTATTTCAACTTTGACGATTTCAAACCTGACAGTTCCATAAATTTTTGCACAAGATTATCCGGTTCGTGACCCCGCCGGCCAGGCTCGCAGAGTACACGATTCGGTCGTCGGCGGTTGGGGAGGAGTTCGAGAAGCACTTGTATAAAAGCACTAGCAGCGACGATAGTCAACAACATAGTGTATCGAATGCAACTGCAACTACTGGCGAGACGAACCAATCAACTTCGACATCTAACTTCTACCCCCACGAATACTTTGCCTTCGGTGGCGTCATTGGTTCCTACGGGACACACTTCGACCATTCCGAGCAAGGCGTTATGAAATGTAAAAATGTCTGGGTCTGGAAGAATGCAAGTTTGTCATGCTTGCCTGGCATGACAACTCGGGAATCTGTGTTGCATAGGCACGAAAGAGCCCTATTAACTGTCATGCGAAAAGGCAGTTTGCCATGCGGAATACGTAAGACATGGCAGCCACAAAATTTGTCATGCACAGCTGCGTATTGCGGCGCGTCTATCATTCACTTTTAGCATTACAATTTTCCAGACCCAGACACTTTTACATTTGATAGGCGTCGCGGTGCACACGAAGAACGTGGTCACCTTTGCAGTCTTCAACAGCACGCAGTGGAGGGAGAAAGACCACCCGTTTCAGGGGAAGGACACGCGACTCGTCTTAGAAGGAGCTCCGGTTGTAATAGAAGAGGCGGCTGGCACGACGGGAGCTGACGGATCCGAAAGTGGCAGAGGGGGCTCTAGTAGTAGTGCCCTATCATCTACCAAGAGCAGCTCATCGAAAGACAAACACCACAAAGCCGCGGACACGGCGGCCGGCGAGGGTCGTGGGGCCGCGGTTGTTCCACGAAAAATTCAGGAACATATGGACTCGCTGAACAAAAAACCTTCTTCTTTGGTGTTCTACACCATTGAGGAGATGGCGGAAAAACTGTCCTACTACTTCCACTCGGTGTTCGCTGATTTCGTGTACAAGGTGGGAGGGAGCTTGTCGAAAGACCCGGATGAAATGATGGGGTTCGTGCCCTACGCACCGGGCGAGGAAATTCCCCCCGACAGTGGGGAGGGAGAGGACGAGGACTGGGATGAAGATGACGATGAGGGTATCCCGAGTACTTATTAAAAACGTCTCCACCTTGCTAGGGTTATCGTGCGGCAAATCTGCATGCTTAAAAAAAAAAGTTTTTTATGCTGAGCCCCATGAGGCCTTTTGTGGACTTTGTGATGCTCGAATCGCCATGATGTGATAGATCTATGATGTTGATGAACTAGCTAAACAGGATCACTACACTACGAGGCCAAACTTTAGTTTGTCATGAGTACCGAAACTTGGAGATATGTGTTGCGTATTTATTTCCATTTTGACTATGGGGCGGGCGGAGACGTTTTTGCACTGGATTAAGGACTACGATGAGGACTACGACGAGGATGAGGATGAAAATTCGGATGAAAATAGTGACGACGGTGGATTGCATGGCAATGAGGAGCAGGATCATGAGCACGACAAGGAGGGATCATCGAGGGAGGATCATGAGCACCACGATGATTCGCATCCGGCTCCGGGGGTTAAAGTTGAAATTGAAGATGTTGAAGAAGTGGAGCTTTAGTTTAATATGCTGGTAGAGGTGATGAACATCTCCCTTGTCATCTCTGATATACCGGAAATAAATAGAACTGAAACAACTACGCGGCAGAAAGACAAAAAGGACGTTTTGATTTTTACATTGCAATTCCTGTGCAAGAAAGAAAAGCAAATTTTCTCCGCTCGAAGATGTGTGAGCAGACCCGGATTTGTCTTCCGCAGTAGATGCAGACCCCGCTGGCGGAAAAGATTTCTCAAAAACAAGCCCGGTTCACTTATTCTGGTGCTGTTTGTTTCAATTTTTGTTGCGTCGCCTTGATATCAAGAAGAGCATTTCTGCGTACTGAGTTTGACGATGAGCAACTGCAACAATTTGTGACGAACGAATTTGGCGTGGCACTCTTCGATGCAGAAGATCAGAGATCACCACCACACGCACGACGAAAAGATGATCGCGACTGTGGTAACTGCTGTGGCGCAAGCACTTTCAACTGCCAGTCTCGATCTTTAGTTTTTTTGGGTATTAACGCATTGGTACCTAGAAGGACATGACAAGTTAGCATTAGAAGCCACAAACTAGTAAAACTATCATCTGCTTCACAGTGAGGACTTCTATTTGCTAGTAATTTGTTTTCTGTTTTTTTTTCCAATGTTTGCGACGGATGTTGGATTGAAATCCAATAGCTAAAAATGAAAATGCTCCTGTAGAAATTTCATTTTGGTCCATCATTCATCATCGCGTACTCAACGATCGCAACGTTTGGCTTAGTGTCATCACACTCGTCAAGCAAGAGCCACCTTTCGCTTGTTTACAGCTCGGAAGAAAGACCTTGTCGCAAAAAAATGCAGCCCTCCTGGTTCACAGTTCCTGAACAACGACGACAGAAACAGCTCTAATTAATGTCGGCGTCTCTTGTTTGTTTGTGCTGATAACAACGCCAGCCACGACGGCGGCATTCTGCACAGACGAGCTTTAGCTGCCAGAGCTCTTTATTGCTACAGCCATGGATCCACCAGCACGACCGCAGATGAGCGAGCCGACTCCGGCCAGCTCGAGCACTGCGCCGATGCCCAATGGTGCAACCGGATCTTCGGGCAAGCCCACCTCCAGTTCCCTGAAACGCGAGGGTAATGACTGGATGAAGCAGAAAAACTACGAGAAGGCGATAGAAAAGTACACCGAAGCCATAGGAGTTGCGAATGACAACAAGGAGGAGACGGTGTATCTACTGCATTCAAACCGGGCACAAGCGTATATCAATTTGAAGCAATACGACAAGGCAATGGAAGGTATTGAAGCAATTTTTCATGCTTAGCTTCTTCTTGTTCTCGTCTGACATTCATGATGTTCTTTGCGAGATGAAGATGATGTTGTTGGTGAGAAATTTTCACCCACGTTGTATGTATGACAGCGGAGCGAGGAGATGACGCCTTTTGCTTTTGCATGTAAAATATTATGTCGTCCTCGTCGGTGCACAAATAGAGCGTGATAAAATTATGCGCATGCGCGACGCGGATGCGGAACTACCCCTACCGGAAAAACGAAAAATGCAACCAGATGCAGAGACAGCAATAAGGCTGAAAGACGACTGGTTTAAGGGCTACTCACATAAAGCGACGATTTTACTCAAGTGGGAACGCTACGAAGAAATACTGGAGGTTGGGCGCATCGGGCTTACACACGTATGAATCCTTTTTCTTTGTGACTTATTGACCGAAAAAATGCCTAGCATGTCAGGCCGTGCTTAGTGGTCCAATTCTGAATTTGGATTTCTTGCAAGAACGAACCTAAGGAACGGAAAGTCAAATCGTCGAGAATCTTCAATACGCACGTAAAACTTCTTCAGTGTGAGCGCGAAGCCGACGGCGAGGTGCTGCGTCAAAACGTGTCCCTGGCAAAGACTGGACTGTTTCTGCGCAAGATACAAGGGAAGTGGACCGGTCGGGTGAAGGACGTCATGGGCGGCTACCGCCAATCCCTGGAGTTTCTTCCCGAGGGGCGCCTGAGCGTGCAGATAATGCACCGGGCGCAACAATGTCATTACTCGGTATACAAATACGTGAAATATACTTATTTCATTTGCGGTAGAAGTAGAACCACCAGCACCAGTGGGAAGTTCTGCAGGACAGAACTTGAACTTCTGACGTTCTTCACAATTTATTTGGAGCGTGGGGACTTTATGATCATGCATCTCGCTATATTAGAAATAGTGCAGCTCTCACAGTCATGTCATGTCACCTCCAGATTGATATGAATTTCTACCAGGCCCGCGCTTACCCAAGTTCCGCGACAAGCAATCCGAGTACTACTGCTGGCGACACCGACGCCGACAGCACGAGTAAGGAAGTTTACATCATCTCCTTCATCCTGCCGAACGTCGACGCGCGGACGCCTTACCTGGCAAAGTTCTACAAGGACGCGGAAGACCAGGAGCATTTGGTTTTGTGCTGCAACGCGGACGTAGTGAAGAGCAGCGAGGTGCCCGAACTCGCGGCGATAGACCAGGACGGCGACGGCGTGTGCAACATGACCAGACCGCAGAATCAATCGGAACGAAGGAAAGCCAGAGACGCGTCGAAAACGATTTCCGAACGCGTGGAGGAGTATAAAAACAAAAAGACATTTTTGGTCTTTTTTTGTTGAATAAATTTGCATCACCATCATAGCTGTGCTGCTGAGGCTGAGCCGCGACCCTGTACGAACGTGAACATTGATGTTTCATCTTCACTATCGCGTCTCCTGTGTACCTATTCATGCAAATCAAAAAATCAAACTTTTTCTAGGTTTTCCGAGGGCTACTGGGCGATTCTGTGCAACCCGGAGCTGATGTCCTGGACGGAAGTGATATCCACAGGAAATAATATCCCGTACACGTACATTGCAAATGCCGTTTCATTTGCATGACAAAGCTTGCCTTGAATCCACCTGTTTCGCACGACAAGTTGCATGCTCGTCTCAGCAGCTGGCGAAATTTTTCATGCATTTTGTACTACGTCGTGTGCGGGAAATAAAATTTGTATTGCATAACTGACATCGGAGCGTCAGATGCAGGAGGACCCGACATTCGCCGCGCAGTCCATCAAGCTCCAGTCCGCGGTCTTCGATTTAGAAGAGGAGTACGGCAGTGAGGTGGTGGACGCCTTTTTTCTGCTCGTCTGCGACTTCGACGAAGACAAGCGGAAACTGGGTCTCGCGGTGCACACGAGCAAGAAAGCGAAGGAGAAGGTGGTCCGGTGTCGGGAGGTACTGGCGAAGAAGAACATGCTGGATTTCCAAGCTTTGAACGAGAAAAAACAGAAGTACCTTGACCAGCTGAAGGATGACCCCGATGGGATTGCCGCCGCCTTGCGGGCGCAGGCAGAGAAGGACAAGGCCGGAACTACAAGCGTGACCGCAAGTACAACGTCCAAGAGTGGCACCGCGACCACCGCTGCGACGGAAGACGAGGGAAGCAGTAGCTCCACTGGTCTACTGATGGGCCGCGGGGGACAAAGTAGTGGAGGAACGCAGTCCACTTCTCTGGGCGGTGCTCTAGACGGCAAGCTTCAGCTTTTCGGGCTCAGCGTCGACAAGAAGCTTCTCGCTGCGGGCGCAGGCATGGTTCTCACCGGTACAATGCTGGCTGCATTCTTGATGCGAAAAAAGGGAGGAGCGGGTCCTGGAGGCGCAGAGTTGTGAAGTACTACTAGCGGAGATTTTTTTACGTCTAATCTCCCCAACCACTTTTTCTACATTATGCGATTGCCTCATCCACCTCTTTAGGGCTCGCGGGCAACGACTCAACTTATCTCGGAACAGATGTTCCTGTTGATAAAGTACTTTTATGATTTAGACTACATACATAGATCTTAACGCATCGAACGACAAGCGACGTGGACACTCACAGTAAAGCGAACGAAAATTGGATGGTTTTTTTACCAAAGCGAACTTTTGATGCCTCTGTCAGTCTTCGTGACAGAAACAGCAAGTCTTCGTTAAGCGACTGCGACACCTAGATTGAAGGTCGATCCGTTTCCGGACCACATTACCTTGCATATATGCCTGGTACTAGACTGAAGAATTTGAGTGTTCTGGGGATGGGGGAAGCATAGTCGAGATTGAACAAGCAAAAGTGGACGTTTAGACGCCACCAGCCACTTATCCGATCACACTTGGAAAATTTAAAGTAACCTAACTGCTGTGCCAACCTTGCTCTGTAGCCGTCTACGATCTAAAGTTTTTCAGTACACCGAATTTCTTGTAAAAGTGCAGCAAGTTCCTCCATTCATCTTCCTCGTCTCATCGTCTCTTCGTTCTTCCATTTTTCCACCACACCGATACGTACACGACAACGAAAATGATACGTTTGTTACCAAACAGAAACATCTCATGCTAGTATGCAAGATGACTCTAGTACGTCGCGAGAGCCTCGGCCTGCAAACCGCGACGCCGACTGGTCGTCGAACCCTGACGACGAACAGGTCCAAGCAACAAAGGAAGTGGAAGGTTCAGGTTGGCTCTGGCTGCAGGAGCTAAAGAGTAGACCATGCAAGGGAACTACCGCTTTTACGATGAAACCAACACCGATGGAACCAGTCCGCAGACGACCCCGCAACCGCGGCAGCATTCCGAGCATATTATCCCGTTTCAACACAGTCAGGCGGCTGCTGTGCAGCAAGAAGCCGGACCCAGTTCCACCGCTGCGCCACTGCTGGAAGTGGCGACCGGATCAGGACCGGCGTCCTCTGCCGCACAAAAAAGCCTTGTTCCAGGCCACTCCCAGCCTCTCGCCTACCAAACCCAGCAAACCGGTCTCCGAAAGGCCGGAGCGAGCCTCGCCGAGGGAGGAGCATATTCAGGCTCATTGGCTTCGGCAGCGACGGCCGGCGCGCAGCAAAGCGTTACTCAAGGCCACTCCCAACCTCTCGCCTTCCAGAGCCACCACCAAGCCGGAATCCACAAAGCTGGAGCGAGTCTCGCACCCAGGGCGAGTTTAGCTCCTGCTTCAGGGACCGCTGGTGCACAAAGTGCAAGTAGTGCCGGTGTCGCACGACCAGCTTCTGGTACTAGAAGTTCTCTCCGTCCCCCAAGAGAAAGCGTTAACATTCGCGATGTCGAAAGCATCGACGGAATTGTACGGGCAACTGGTAGCTCCGAAGAGCCCGGCACGACTAGCAAGCTCCGCCGCGTTTCCCGCAAATCTTCCCTGGATGATTTGCTTCAGCAGCGGAGGGAGCAGCAAGCCGCGATCGCCAAGGCAGCGCAAGCGGAAGAAGATAAGACCAAAACGCTGGACGAACTGCTAGAGCGGGATGCGAAAAATTTCCAGTCGACCATTTCGCGGCTGGACTCGGGGGTGGACCGGCTCAAAACAGCCTGGGATAACCGGTTCCGAGACTACAGTCCGGAGGAAAAATTGCAGGACAAAATGTTCGGGAATTCGATGGAATTTTCCGGTCGCGTGCCGTTTCGCGAGAACATCATGAAGTACGACAAAAGCATCGATTTGCGCAGGAACCCGGCAGAGCGACTGCAGTTCGTGGAGCGACACGCTGCACTGGACGGGAGGCGTACAGAAGCGGATTTTGAAAATTGGGCCAAACATTTCCAGTGGTGGGACGATCACACGGACGACGATGTGCCGGAGGAGCAGCAAAAGTTCGATCCAAATGAGTTCCGGAGAATCAAAACTAGAAAGCCAGCAGAGCCGCAGTTCAAGATCGCCGCCGACGTCGAGCAAGGGTACATTTTTGGAAAGCAAGAGGCGCAGCTGACGGAGCCAGATGTTGATACGACAGCTGCTGTAGTACGACTACGACCTGCGACAGAAAATATTGACGCCAACTATCGTAGCAGTACCGGTAGTTCGTATGGCGCAGCATCAGCAGGACAATCCCAGCGAGGCGTTGACCACCTGAACGCGAGTTTCGTCAAGGCTAATCGCAGCCTTGCTTCCGCTGGCCCGAACCGCAGCGTAGTTGTGGAGCAGACCACCAGCGGGAAACAAACGAACAAAAGTCTGCGCGACGGGCACGCATCCCTTTACCCGGGAGGTCTTCCCGGGGCAGACGGCACGAGCGAAAAGTCTTTCTTCGGTTCGATTGCACAGAACATCGAGCAAAATCTCCAGCAGTTTGTTGCGACACCGAACGACAGCGAGATTTTGCAGCTCTCGGTCGCAGAAGCAGATGGTGACGCAGGGGAGGAACCTTATCAAGAAGTACTTCTCGTAGACGAACCACCTGTCGTATTGCCACCGCCCGCTGTAGTGGACGTCGAGGAGAGCTCGTTATTTTATTCCCGCTCGTCCCAGCAAACCAAGCCTGTTGAGAAATCGATGTATTTCTATGCAGACGTCGACCTGCTTGAAGAAGACGACAACCTTTTTCAGAATGACGACGACGCGCCAGCCAGTGACTTCTTGCCCGATCATGTTGAAGAAACGGGCGGCCTGACCCGACATGGCTTTTCGGATGACTCGTCACAGGGCGGCAGCTCGAGAAATTCGATTTCCAACTCCGCTACAGTTCATCAAGCCCAGCGTGGCGGCGGTGGCGCTCCTGGTTCGAAAGCGAGCGGATCCGCAAGACCGAGTCCCAGAACAAATGATCATGATACCGCAGCAAGTGGTAAAAATGCTGTGCGGCGGGGAGCGCCGGCGTCGAGATCGGCAAGAGCAGGATCTGGAGGCAACCCTCGTTCTACTTCCCCGATTTCAACATCTGCCGACGGCTTCACAGATGTCCGAAAAGCAAATGACTCGTATGGTCCTTCCGGCGTCATTCTTTCGGCTCCGAAAAAAGATCCCGACGGCGACAGTGTGGCCCGCATGCTCCGCCGCCTTGCCGACCGCATTGAGCACGCCGGCTTCGCGTCCGCGTCGCAAAGTTTAATCCCGCGCGAGAACTACCTCAACGCAGAAGAGACACAAGACGCAGGAGACAAAAAAATCAATCAAAAACGTCGTCCGCTGCAAGCTTTTCACACCCAAAAGTTGTCCATTGACGACGAAGCCGTGGCCCTGCACGGCCCGCAACACAAGCTCACCCACATCACCACCATCGAACTGTCTTGGCAAACGCCAACGTCGCTCTGGCTCGAGATCGCGGAAGACCGGATGCAGAGCGAGGACTGGCTACAGCATTTTGCGTACATTGTGGCGTTCGGGCAGCGCGTGTTATCCACTGTCGCTGTCCTGGGAACGTTCCAAGATGTGGTCACCGAGGATCAGCAATTGGTGAAAAACCTTCTGAATCAGCGTGAACGCGAGGCGGAAGCGTCGGGCCTGTTTTCCATCACCGAAGAGAAAGCGAAGATCTCCTTCCTCCAGGACGCGATCGTTGGCATTTCTTCTGCGAAGGAAAGATTAAGTGGGAAAACAAAAACATTCAAAGACGCTTTCTCCCTGGCCGCCGAAGCGCACAGCCACACGTTTCCCTCGGTCGCCGCCTTGATGAATGAGAATTCGAACCGGCACCGGCGAAGTTTGGAAATTCTCGCGGATAAATTAACGCTTGTCCGGGACGTGAACAAAAATCTGAAAAACAACGACTGGCTGTCAGTAGCCTTCGTTCGCCGGAATCGTGTCGAAAATCCAAATCGTGGTCCACAGATGAAGATGAGCTACGAGGATGAGAAGGCTTTATCTACAACATCAAAACAGAAAGATTACTACAGCATCGAGCTCCCCGCGCGGCTGTTCATGCAGAGTTCGGAACTGGGTGAGAAGGAAATGAAAGGCATCACGGACCGGCAGTGGTCGGGGTTGCTCCTGAAACTCCAGAAGCACTTTGATGTGATTCGCTGGCGGTGCGACTCCGCGATTGAATTCCTTGCGTCTGCCGGGCTGTTTTCCCACCGACCCCCCGGGATGCTGGGGGTCATACGGCACAGGGAAAATCGCATTGCGGACGACATCACGCTGCTGAAGGACGAAATTTCGGTGCTTGAGGAAGAAACGTCTCGGGGCGGCGAGGTCTTTATCGTGCAACAACTCCTTCAACGGGTGTTCGATCGTGCGGACCTGCTGTGCAGCGAGCTGCACCGTTTGCGGTGGCTGGTTGGTGATCCTTTCGCTGCTGCACGGGTAAAAACAAACACTAAAATTTTGCAACCGGAGGAGGCGGAGGTGTTGAATCGAAACGAACTGCGGGGAGAATTTTTATCACCGACCTTCGGGGAGACTCTGCTGGAAAAGCAAGAGCTTTCCAAAAAATCCTTCCACGCGACCGCACCACCCAGCCATTCCCTGGACGACATACGGAGACTCTCGTCTGAGTCGCCGATGGCGGCTTTGGAGCGGAAACGAACCGAGCCGGCCATGCACACCGCGCTGGAGGATTCCATGCTTAGGGCGCAGGGTTTGTACGCGACTGCCTGGGCATATCAAGCGGAAAAAAAAACGATTGGTGTCCCTGTCCAATTTATCATGCAAAACATTAAGTAGAGTCCGTTCTTGTCATGCTAAAGATGTACGGAGGTCATGGATTTTTTTTTCTTTGGATCAAGCGCAGGCGGCGTTCACCCTGGAGCAGACCAGTTACGCGATGATCGAAAAGGGCCTAGCGCGGGACGGAGAGATCAAGGAAGGCGATCTGCTGAATCGCTTTCACACCTCGTCATTGTACCGCCACACAGAAACAGATACAAGAACTGGCAGAAGTGTTAAAACGCGTTTACAACCACCAGACGTGAACCCCTACGCGTTTCTGTACTATCCTGAATTTGGCGACGAGCAGATTCCGATGCGCGCTGGAGCTGGTCCTGACGCATCCTCAATCGTCAACCCGTACAATACCGCCTCGAAAGTGGGAGTTGCAGCCTTGGACGGCGCGCCTAACCGGGTGAAGCGCGACGCTGAGAATCTGCGGGTCGCTATGTTGCTGGAGATCGTACAGGGGGTGAAAGCGGAGTTGCAAACTTGCATCGACATGGCCAAAACCTTTTCCGAGCGGGACACCCGGTCGTTGGACGAAATCCGGAGGCAAGCGGAAGAAATGCGGCAGGAGCGACTTGTGAAACTCCGCTCTGACGTGCTTCTCGTTGCCACGAAAGCCGCGGACGCGGCAGAGTTAGCGAGGCTGCGCGCGGAAAAGGAACGGAAAGAGAAAGAGGACGCGGAGAACGCGATAAACTTCGAGAACGCCTCAAAAGCGTTTTGGAATGTGATGGACACGGTGACAAAGGCCGTGGGAACGGAACAGGGGGAGGAGGAGGAGAACAAAGCCGAAGAAACAAGTACTAAATTGCCAGGGGAGCACCAGCAGCTTCTTCTCTCGGAAGAAAGAGCATCTACTTCGAGGGTGGAGGAAGTCTCGCAGCATCAGGAGGAGGAGCTGCAAGAATCACGCGAAGAAGGAAAAGAAAAAATGCCACAAAGTTCAACAACTCTCGACGTCGAGAACCTCGTGGACGACAAGAATCTTCTGCCAGCCGACTTGCAAAGGAGCCCGCTGCTCGCCCACGTCAAAGCGGCGTCGCCGACCTCCGCCATCGTGCGCGGTTTGTCTGAACTGGAGCAGCAACGGGTAGCCTTCCTGGAGAAATTTCGGGAGGAGATTGACGGTTTGCGCTTGGAGAGCAGCCGTTTGGACCGCATGCGCACGCAGCTGGAGGTCATGATCCACGAAGCGCAAGCGTTGGTCCATGCAGTCCAGAACTTTGCGAAACTTCTCGTCGCGAGAACGAAATTGGCAAAGTACGCGCCAAGTAATTTTTGGCGGCACACTGACAATTATCAGATGTCGCAAGTCGCGGTGTACCGGAAACTCGACCTGGAGAACGACACGGAGTACCGCTGCTTCATCGGTCCTGACTTTGTCGAGGAGGATAAAATCACAATCAGCGCTGCTGAAGTCGAAAAGAAAAAGCGTCTGGATGAAGCCTCTGAGAGGGAGAATTTTCTGGATGCGATGCTAGCCTTAGAGGATCTGCAGGAGGGACGGAGGCGAAGGGGACCGCCACCGCCAGGAGTGATGACAGTGGAGTATCCTGTGCAAAAGTATCGCACTCGTAGTAATTGCATTTCTGCATTACAAATCTCTTTTTCAAGGTAAATAAGCATTACAAATTTAATAATTTGTAATGCTGGGCTAACTTGTTATGCAATTTATACTAGTACGATGCTTTTGCATTGCATACGGAGCTAGGGGATGAGAAAGCTGCGGAGATGAACGAAGAGGGGAAAATCTACAAAGCTGGCACGACCGGCGGTGCCGTTAAAAAAGCGAAATCTAAGAAAGCGAAAGACAGGACGAGAACACCCTCAACCGCGGAGATTTCCTCTTCAAAAGCGGAAGGTCGGGAGAAGGTTGATGCCCTTCCGACAGGTGCAGCTGCCACAGATGGTGATGCAAGCGAAGACGATGCTTCAGCTTCACACGACGATAATGATAGTGTGGACGACGAAGAGGAAGATGGCGAGCAGATTGATCTTTCACCGGAAGGTCGTGAAACGTCGCACCTCGGCACCGAAAATGCAGAAGATGTTGAGAGCATGCCACTCAATCCGACCACGTCGAGGAAGCGCGAGGACTTTGCCGCATTTTCTAGAGCATCGCGGGAAAGAGACCAATCCGTGGGTTTGGAAGACGGCAGCGATAATGTAGCCGTCGGCGAGGACGTCGAGGACGCCATACGTGCCAAAAAGAAGAAAGCACTGAAGGCCGGGCCGAAGAAAAAAGTGAAATCGAAATCTAACGCAAACAAGGGCAGCGCTACGGCTACCGGTACGGGGGACACTGGAACTACCACTGCAAGTGGCCGACCTGCAGAAGTGGAATCTCCACAAGCGAAGCCTGAGGAGGAGAAGTCAGCCAACGAAGGAGCAACGGCTTCCTCTTTTTTCTCTCACACTACGGCCTGGAATCTGCTGGGGTCCGTACAAGAAACGCTGACGAACGTGACCAGCATCGCAACGGAGCACAAAGACCGTTTGATGAAGGCCGCCGAGACCGCGGTCGCGGAGAGCACGTCCCCCACCAGCGGTGGCATCAAAGAAAAATCGGCGGAGCACCTGCAAAACCTAGCGGACGCAGTCTACAGGCTCTACGACCACGAGCAGGCTGCGGAAGAGAACGCGGTTTTGACCACGACGAGGGTCGGCGACCAAGGCAGAACGAGCGCAAACAAGGAGCCGCTTTTGCGTTTGGCGGCTTCAACGAGTCTGGGAGAGGAGGGCGACGCCGCGGATGGCAAGGATTTGGCGCAGCAGGATCGTGTGTCAACAGATTTGGACAAATTGGCGGTGGAAGATCATGCACGAGATGATGTTGAAAATGAAAACGCTAAAAACAAAACGACCGCCGACCCCGCCATCACTCTCAAAAAGGAGGAAGAAGAGGTGGCCCAGAACGCCAAGGCCATGCACCATTTAGGGCTGATCACGACAGAGCGGAAGGACGGCATTCTCTCCGCAGTCGCTTCTGCGTCCTCCGCTTTCGGAGGCCTGTTTACCAAAGCGGCAAAAGCCGCCTCGGAAAAAATAACCGCGAAATCGCTGGGGGAAAAAGACGCAACAGCAGAAGCTTCTGGAACTGCTACTCCTGCTCCAGTCTCCTCCTCGACCCCCGAGTGGTCCTCCAGGCGCGCACGGCTTGCGGAACTGAAGAAGAAGCTCCGTCTGCTCGGTCGAACCAGGCTGGCGCTTTATGACAGTGCACAACGCGGCCACCCCCTCCCGCTCATTTGTCATGCAAAATACCCAATCCAGCCTATGCCTCTTGATGGCACTGTTTCTTTGCATGACAAGTTCTGGTAGCCCAAAGAAGACTACACTCCAGTGCAAATCTGTCATGCAAAACCGGCACCCTTGGTGATGCTTGTATTGCCGCTCATGCTATACAAATGAGGGAGAGGAGGGGTTGTGCACTGTTATACGCTCGGGGAGCGGCTTACCAAACTCCGCGCACCGGAAGACAAGCCGGTAGTGCCGGAGAAGTGCTGGAAACAGCTTGCGCAGTATCAAATGCAAAAGTGTCTGGGTCTGGAAGAATGCAACTTGTGACGCTGCATTTGGATTTCAAAAAAATTTGTATTCCATGAGTAGCAAAGGGAGTGTAATTTTTGCTACGCGGATAGGGCTTTTGTCATGAAAAATAGGCATCAAGAACCAACCCCTCGAAAAATCTGTGATGCTTCGGCATGCATCACAGACATAATTGCTCATGCAAAACGTGCATAACAAGTCTCAGAACCTCCCAGACCCAGACATTTTTGCATTTGATACGCAGCAGATAGCAGCCTTGACCGAACTCGGAGCGACAACGCAGAAGCAGGTGGCGGCGCTGCACGCCGACGTGGCGACGGCGCGGAATATGACCGCGGCGGAAAACTTACGAAGGTGCGCAAGCACTCCTCGTGGTCCCCTCGTTTGATGTCATACAGCAAGCCAAATCTAGCTGTTGCCTTTTGGCACTGCTGGTTGCATGACAAATTTCTGGATCTTCCCAAGCAGGACTACAGTCCGCGCATGAACTTGTCTCGCATAGGTTAGTAGATGCTAGCTGGGCTTTATGTTGCTGGTCGTGCCCTCCAAATGAGGGGGAGCAGCGAGACGAGTTGTGCATTCCCATAGAACTGGTGGAACGCGCAGAAAATCGACGAACAGAACAAAAACCAAAAAGAGTCCTTCAACGCCCTGGCGCACAATGTGCATCTGCTCGCGATGTTTGGATATGCATTGCAAAAGTACCTTACTAGAATTGCAATACAAATAGGCTCAGCATTAAAAATATAAATTTGTAGTGCGAATTTTCCTTAGCACCTGGATTTGTAATGCATAAACTGCAATTATTATGAGTACGATACTTTTGCACTGGGTATTGGAAACGTACAGCAGCGGCTGGGTATGGCGGGAGAGGTACTAGTTGGTGGTGAAAACTCGCCTAACATCATCCCTAGCACAGCTAGTACAGTTGTGGGCATGATCTCCAGTCGTGCCAGTGGTGCGACAACAGGCGCGAATGTTGATGTCCCAAATCGTGTCGAAATGATGTCGAAGCAGCATCATGGGTTCTCATCATCTGTTTCGACATCCGAGGGACGACGACAATCTGCAACCAGTTTTACACTCCGAAGCCGAGGCCCATCTGCGGAACAGTTGGCTTACCACGCCGAAAGCAGCACCCCGTACGTGATCCGCGATTCATCTTCTGTTCAACCAACTGATTGTTCATCATATATGAAGTTACAGCTCAACAGTTTGCGCATCCTCGACTTGATTACGGAGCAGCAGCATGGGCAGTGGATGAACGACCTTTGCATTTCCTCGGGTGTGAAGCAGCGAAGTGCGTCGAGTGGAAAAATTGAGGGTGCAGGAGCGCCCAAAGATAAAGCTGTTCTCCAGCGGTACTATCGCGAGCAAGCCGATCGTGAAGACAACATACTCGACGAGATTTCCGCGATTCTGCTTCGAGCCGCGGACAAGCTACTGGCAACGTTGATGGGAGTAGATGAAAACCGTCCTGGCTGGCCAGCTGCTGGTCGTCCTGATATGCAGCTACATCTACAACGATCTAGTACAACTCCCAACAAGCTGACCACACAGACGTTGACCCAGAAAGCTTGGGCGCTGGTGAACCTCGGTCTGATTGACACCAACGTAGGGAAAGCATTGTCCACGGAGATTGATGTGCTGCAGCAGGCTGAGGAAGCGGTAGTAGATCCAGCAAGAACATCAAGTCCACAAGTGCTCGCTGCTATGAAGACAGTTTCCGCTAAAATCGACATTCTCAGTCGCAGCGCACCATCAACAGGGACGGGGGGAAGGCGAGCAGGTCCGAGCTTTTCTTCTGTGACCCACGACGGCACGAAATCAGAATCAGATCCCCCTCCACCACCGAAGCATGCTCCTCCCGACCAGCTAATCAAATGGCTCAAGGACGCGGTGTTTTCCCTGCGAGCCAGCAACGTGATAGACGCGACCCGAGCGGGGTTTTTACGGAAATCTATCAAGGATCTGGGAGTAGACTTTGGAATTGATCGCCCCACCAGAATAAATTATGATCGTGAACAAAAAGACCAAAATCAAATTCAAGACGAAGCCCACACGACTACCACCGCCACCCGCCTCGTGCGCGAAATTCTTACTCTGCGAGCGCTGGGCAACGCTGCGCACGTCACTGCTTTGGCGAAAATTCGCTCCCAAGTCCTCGCTCTGGTCACGCTGGAAATCATCGACCGCTTGGCCGCCTGTTGGATCGCGTGTGACCTCCGCGCGGCGGCCAAGTCAAACAACGTGGGGGAAACGGTGGAGATGTGGAACGACGGCGTTGACTACATTTTAGCCGCCTTCCGGAACCATGCCGCGGTGATGTTGGACCGTGGAGGTCGGGGAAACAAGAAATCGAGGCCGCCGCCAATTGAGTTGCCGGAAATGGTGGAAATCTTGGCGTTGAAAAACCAGGGCTTCGTGCCGGCGCAGTTGCTGCAAGACCTGGAGACGCATGTCAGCGCGTTGGAAGGTATAAGTGCGATTTATTTTTCGCTGAATACTGGCGCCCTGAAACATCTGGAACAGTATCTGAGATGATGCATGACATTATCTTCAAAGTGAAAAAAGCATAGATAGCCATTAGATAGTGCTATTTCGGCCTCGGCGAAGATGATTTTTGCCCGGCTCCTTTCGAGGACGTACAAGGAAACAACTTATGTCGCGCAGTGGGAGAGTGAACGAGTGGACGGGGGGGAAAGAAAAACGCCAGAGGGGCAAGGGAAAAGATTTTTGATGCAGGGCGGGGTCAGGCATCTGCGCCGCTTCTTGCTGAAAGAACGAAGGCGGAGCGCCATGGCGCCCGTGGTTCCCGTCGTTGTGCGAGCGCGAGGGCCCCGCCCGCGCTGGGCGCGCGTTTGCTTGGCGGCAAGCCTTAGGCCCAAGCAACAACGCAAAGCGCGGCAGCGGGCGGCCGCCAGTGGACGGGGGAACAGGCCGCGCCATGCGAGGCGTTGGCGCGTGACGCCCCTTTCGCGCGTTTGTGGTGTTGCCCGTTCGTGCCGCCTGCCTGTGCGCCCCCCCCGCCCCTGTGCGCCTTGGTGCCCCCCGCCCTTCTCCCGCGCGCAGCCTTGCAGAACGGGGGCGCGCTGGGGCCCCTGCCGCGCGCGTGGATGGAGGACGGGCGCCGGGGCGGGGCATTCATACATTGCCCTCCAGGCGCAGGGGCCCACCACCCTCCCCCAGCACCCCCGGACAACAACGGCGCCCCCCGTGTTCGCCCGCATGCAACCTGTTGCGCCCCCGCCTGCTTCCCTCGCGCGCACCCTCCAAGACTGACAGAGACGGCGGATGGTGGCGCCCTCTGCCGGCCTCTTCGTGAACAGAGGGAGGGCGCCGGGGAAGGGTGGTGGGCAGCTGCTCGCCTGCAAGCCTGGCGCTGGGGCGCGACTCTCCTTTCGCGAACAGAGCAGGGAGGGCGCCGGGGGAGGGTGGTGGGCAGCTGCTCGCCTGGTGCTTGGCCGCCGGTGGCGTTCCCCACCCAACGGCGGCACACGCTTTCTCAGTGCATTTCCAGCCGGCCTGTTCAAAGTGTTTCCAGCTGGATTTCCAGTTGAAGGGGCCTGCTCCATATATTTCTATCTGGGAATCCAGCTGGAAGCACTTTGAGAAGGCATCTGCAGCGCGGGCCTTGCTGCAACTTCAGGCGAAGCAAGACACCTCAAGGCATATCCAGGCGGAAGCTCGGGTGGAGATGCCTAAGGGCATTTCCAGTGAGGATCGCGGGGCTTTTCGGTTTTTTTCCCCGAGTTGCTGTGTTTCGCACAGCTATTCTGGCTACCCGGGGAAGACATTGGCCTAATGGGAAGGCATTGGGGTAATGGGGAGCTGCCGGGTTGTGCCAGGGTATTGGGGCCGAATGATAAAAGTTTGTTTCTTGTTAGTAATTGGCGCGCTCAGCATAGCTCTTCTGGCTACCCGGGGATCGGGTTTCCAGTACGATATTGGGAGGGTATCAGGATAGTGAGAGGATGTATTTTTTCCAGAGTTGCTGTGTTTAGCACAGCAATTCTGGCTACCCAGGAGAAAGATTTCCCAGTAGGGTATTGGGTGGGTATCAGGATAGTGAGGGGATATCGGCAGGGTGGGAAGGTATGGGGAAGGGGAGGGAGAATTTTGCTTGTTTTCCCCGAGTTGCTGTGTTTAGCGCAGCAGTTCTGGCTACCCAGGGGAAAGATTTCTCAGCAGGACAGGCGACAATCCCCGCAGAACTTGCAGGGATGCGATCGCCGCCTTCGGTCTTCGGTGGGTTGCCTGATCGCGTTGCTCTCCTCGGACGCGCGATCAGCTGAGGTTTTTTTTTTCCTTAGGGATTTCAGTAAGGAAGTGCCACGCGATCGCGCAGATCCGGGCGACCCTGCAAAATATTTTGCGTTGCAAAATATTTTGGAGCTGGAAAATATTTCGAGCCGGGAAATATTTCGAGCCGGGAAATATTTCGAGCCGGAAAATATTTCGAGCCGGGAAATATTTCGAGCCGGGAAATATTTCGAGCCGGAAAATATTTCGAGCCGGGAAATATTTCGAGCCGGGAAATATTTCGCGCCGGAAAATATTTCGAGCCGGGAAATATTTCGGGCCGGAAAATATTTCGAGCCGGAAAATATTACTTCGGGCCGGAAAATATTTCGAGCCGGAAAATATCACTTCGAGCCGGAAAATATTTCGAGCCGGAAAATATTACTTCGAGCCGGAAAATATTACTTCGAGCCGGAAAATATTTCGAGCCGGAAAATATTTCGAGCCGGAAAATATTGCGAGCTGGGAAATATAACGAGCTGGAAAATATTCCGAGCTGGAAAATATTTCGAGCTGGAAAATATTTCGAGCTGGAAAATATTTCAAGCTTGAAAATGTTTCGGGCTGCAAAATGGCCGCTGGGAGCTGCAAAATGGCCGTTGGGAGCTGCAAAATGGCCGTTGGGCGGCGGGCGTTGGGCGGCGGGCGTTGGGCGTTGGGCGACTTCCCAAATCGCGACAGCTTTGGAAAGTTTGAAAATTGTAAAAAAATTTTCGGCGTGGACGATTTTCCTCCCCGTCGCAAAATTTTAACTGCCCCTGCTCAGCAATAGGAGTTATATGATTCTTTCTCCCGCTCTTTACCCCAGATGCTCACGCAGCCCGATTGAAGAAAAAGGATTCGAACAGCCTCCGTGAGCAGTTGCAGGATCTGGATGCGTATCCCCTCTGCAAAAATATCGTACTCGTACTAGTAATTGCAGTTTACTTATGCATGGCAAATCTCCTTCCAAATCTAAAACAGCATTTAAGTACTCAAATTTTATTTGACATGCTGAGCGAATTTGTAATGCGATTTATACTTAGTGCGATCATGTTCATGCAGCTTTTGCGTTGCATAAAGCGAAAAGGTCTCGGGAAGAGGCTGCCCGTGCGATCCAGGAAGCGGATCTGCAGCAGGGAATGCTCGAGAAGCAAGCTCCTGCTATTGCCTACGAGCAAAATACGAGGGACAGAGTGCCGGGCTACGAACCGCTAGAACCGCATCCGTCTTTAATGTTCGAGGACCATTTATTTGAAGACGCAACCGGCGGTAAAAACATTTTCGCCGAAGAACTGCAAGGACGAGGAAATGAAAACTACCTCGCTCCATCCATTTTCGACATCCGTAACAGGCACTCCACCCTGCTGCAACGCTTTACCCCGCCGGACGAAGTCTCTTTACGGTTGAACAGGATAGACGACGAAGCCATTTTCGCTGCCGCATTTACATCCGGCGGAACCACGACGAATTCACAAGGACTTTTCCATCTTGTTGCCGATGGATCTGGCTCGTTGGTGCAAGATTTGCACTCGCACTACACGACCACTCTGCGGAGAGAGAAACACGATCAGCAAACTCACAACCCGGCGCGACGTGCGCAGCATAGTCTGACCTTTCCAAGAAAGATCCGGGTGCTGCAAGACTCCTTCGACCTATTTTTGCGGCATTCTTAAAACCTCGGTACGAGTGCTCGTCGCGCCCTAATCTATCCATTGAATTCTATCCGTATGGTCCTCGTCGATAGGCATCAACCCTGAAGAGTAGAAAATCAACGTCCGAATGAGCGACAGAATTCACTTACTGCAACTACACGAGGCAAAAGTAAAACAATATAGGAAAAATCTGTTCTATACGATCTAAATATCGATATCAAACCCAAAGTAATATCAAAGGAAAAGGTGATCCTCATAATCATACAGCACGACTAATGTCGGTCAAGTTTTTTTGTGTGTGCGAATCAAAAAACGCAACCGCAGCACGCCAAAGCACATGGGTCTCAAATACAAAAGAATGCAGGTCAACGGAGAAAATGAAAAAGTTCCCATATGACTTTGAAATTTTGATGATCGCTGTATTTTCGAGTTTGTTCTTTTTGCACGGCAGATTTTTTTCTTGAAGAATCCTTCCAGGTTGTGAGCGAACGGTAGCAAGTTTCTCTGTCTAGTGTCGATAAGTTTTCAAGCATAAGTAAGAACACGAATATTTTTCATAACGAGAGTCGAGTACTGCAACTTCATTAGCTGCTTGTAATTCCACCTGTCTCTTGACGAGACCTTTCGCTTTCCGTCTCTCATCTCAGTCGGACCATTGCAGTTTCCTAGAAAGGACTTTTGTACTGATTGCCGCGGCGAAATTATCTGATTTCGGCTGCAGCATAAATTACCAGAACTAGTACCAGCGGAAGCAAGTACAACGACAAGGGTTGTGTGGCTCAAAACCTCACGACGCGAACTCAATATAACAATCGGACTACCTCTCTCAAAGTGGTCTACCTTTGCGACTTCTGTTCTGCTGCTTTTTCTCGGATCCCGGCTGAAGCGAGATCTTTGATCGGCACTAAAGGCACAGTTTGCGTTTATTTGCCTTTATTGCCTTCGCGATGCATACTTGGCTTGCCCTTGCACAGTCGAATAGCAGACTGTCCCCAAAGAAGTGCGAAGATCTTGTTGGTTGCAACACGTAGTAGTTTCGTGCTCCTGTTATCGAGAATACGACTTCGCCAAAACGGAACAGATCCACTTGAATACCCTGCAAAAAGGCCCCTGCCCTTCTTGCGTGGTCTACCTCCCTTCGTTTGACTCGCGACCCCCCTGTTTGCAGAAGTTGTGTCGGATTTATCATACGTACTTACAGCACTTTTATGTGTAATTTCTATACGCGTAAGTAAGTAGTACTTTTCGATGGACTGGTAACAGGGGCGACCCCCCAAAAGAAATATTGTTACATTGTTGTATCAACATCCTTGCAAAACTGACAAAAAACTGAAATATTGATATTTCTTTTCCGAGTTTTTTTTAATACGCGTTTGAGTATGTTGTACTCTTTCCTGGCGACGACGTAGAATTTATGTGAGCGCGCACCACCAGCCCACTATACACAACTTTGAGGACCCTGAATTTTTTTCGCCCAACCTGATAATGTTCCGATGAAGAAAGCGTCTACTTTACACCGACCGGATTTATTTTGAAGACGACATCTCTATGCGCAGGAGGGTCACTCCGGCGTAACGAATCGAAATCGCTCGGTCTCCTGCTCCTGAGTGGTGTCTTTACGTTTCAGTGTCCGGCACCAGGCGAAAATCTTCCCCGGTGAAAACCAGCTACGACCTCCGTGTAAGCTTTCGCCACTCCAAGAAAGTCAACGAACAGGATGGATTTGGGATTTGCAGCCGTGAACAACCCGGAGGAATGGGGTGATGACTCTCCGGCGAAAAAAGTGGTGGAAGAGCGGGTAGTGTTTTCAACGCGAAACAACTGCTTTTATGATAGAGACAAACTTTCATGCTTCAGTGGAGAAAAAAAGAAGCACACGTTTTTAACAGGAGACGGGGAAAATAAAGATCACCAGTTATTACACTTCTTTGATAAATCGTACAGAAGTTATAGACTTAGTGCAAAATAATTTCATACCAAAGATTATCGCAGACGCAGTCTGCATTGTTGCTCCTACTACCTTACGATCACAACAAAGATACGATTTCTCAAGTCGGATTCGATTTGCAATGCTTCACAGGTAGCCACCGACGCGTCCTCCAGTGCGACGGCCGCGGTAGACCACAGTAAGCAAGCCCAAGATGCGAGCTCGAGCAGTGGAGCAACCATCCCGGCTGGATCCGCCGGCAGCACCGCCGCGGGAGGAAGTGCCGGAAACAATGAGAAGAAACTTCCACCACCCGGAAAGATGCACGGCGACAACCGAACGCGATATTTTATCATCAAGTGCAACAACCACAAAAATCTCGTCAGCTCGATTCAGAACAATGTGTGGGCGACCCAGCGACACAACGAAAAAAAACTCAATGAAGCGTATTATCTATGTTTAAAGCTTTTTCCGTTTTTGAGCATGATTTTCTTTCAAGTGATGTATGAACATGCTTCGTCATGTAGTTCTGATGTCTTTCAACGACAATTACAATTACAATCGCCAACGACGTTGGCGATTATAATTGTGCGATCATGGAGCGAACATGACTACAACTTTCCAAAAACAGGCTTCGAGTAGCGCCCTTCGTTGTGCTTTTATTTTCCGTCAACATGAGCGGCAGCTTCCAAGGATACGCAAGAATGGTAGGGAAATGCGGAGCTTCAAAGTCACACGACCCCTTCAACGGATTCGGATCGCTTTTTGACATCAAGTATAATTTTGTACGTTTGCAGTATTGAAGATGTGGTTCTTTTTCATCACCGGGCGGTATAATTGACTGATTTTTGATCTACAGTATTCCTCTTCATGTTCATGATGAGTGTGCATGATGTCCTTCTTACGCAATTTTACCTTTCTCACTTCACAGGTGGCTTAAGCTTCACGACTTGGATTTCAACGACGTTGCGCATGTGACCAACGAATGGAATAACCAGCTGAGCGTAAAGATCTCCCGCGACGGCCAGGAGCTGCCCTTTTCGGTCGGGAAGCAGATCTGCGAGTACATAGACCGGGGCGTGTTCGGCGCGGATCCGGACAATTTTGTCGAGGACGAGGAGGAACCAAACCCCGTCCCGAGCGACGCCCCGCCGGTGGGCGAGCCGATTTTCGGCGGGGACCAGTACGACCGCAGTGGCAAGAACGACCGGAAGGGCAAGGGCAAGTACGGCAAGGACCGGGATCATAGCCACAATCACTACAACAGCCATAACTCCTCCTACAATTCCTACGGAAGTGGCTCCTCGTACGGAGCTGCAACTTCGAATGGCCACCACCACCACCAAAACCGATCCTACATACAAGGTCCCTACGGCGGGACCACGAGTTACGTCACGCGTGTGGGCCCCTACGGCACGACCACTACGACCATAACGGCGCCGGTGCCCGTGGCGCAAAGTACGGGTCCCGCCCCCGGAACGGTCGGTAGCAGTTGGGGTACGCCGGCCGTTGTGAGCAACGCGGTAGTACAACAGCAACAGCCGCAGTACGCGGCTGCGTGGGGCACCAGCGCGACGACGAGCAAGCCCGCGGGAGGTACGACAATTGTCACGTCGAGCAGTGGTCACGTGCCAGCGACGGTCGTGGTGCCCGCGCAGCAGCCGAAGGTGGTGCAGGTGATTTCCTCCTCCTCCGCCGTGCCAGCTGGCGCCACGGTAATCTCCTCGTCAGGGCCTCCACCACCGGCACAAGCAGCGAACGGGGGTGGAGCAGCAGCGCAGGGCGGTGGAGGACCGCCGGTGCCAGGGCAGCCAGATTTCGTCAACATGAGCTACGACCAGTACTACATCAGAGATGTTTTTCTTTTATTTCTGCGATTTTTATGTCAGCGATGCATACTTGTCACAGATGATAGGCCGCTCAAATGATTTTCAATGATAAAGCTGCAGTGGTGCAAGAGCAACTCTACCGTGATGTGTAGTACTACTGTACTGAGCGGCGGCTGCTGTGCGTTGTAAAAGACAGAACGAGTTGTAACAAGTGTGTCTCATCATATTCCAATCACTGCCAACATTCCAACAGGTATCAAAAATGGTATTCCGCGAACGCCGGTAGCGACGACGAAGGCAGTTCCTCTGAAGAGAAGGTATCCTGAGTGAGATTTTTTTACAAACAACATCACGACCGCCCAGACCTCAATTTGTAACTTGATATGCAGGTGTGCTTGCACAGATGACAGAGGATGGGTCTACTAGCACCATTTTTAGCACGTAGGCTCCTTCTTATTTATCTTGCGTGGCGTGCCGCATGAAAATTGCGAGTTGCTGGGTCTTGTGTATGGTTGTGATGGTAAAAATTTCGCGTGGGATAGCGGTCGAAGAAGCGGGGCGGGAAAAAGTCGAAGAAAAGCAGTCCGGTGTGGCTACCAACGGACATGCGAGTAGCCAACCCGCAGGCCTAGAAAGGACCCGCTTCTGGCGACAGGGCAATTCATCTTGAGGCGGTGGATCCGAAATTGCCAACGACATCACGACCCGGCGCAGCTCCACGACAGAGAAGCGAAAACGCCCCCCCCCCGCCGTTGCGGCGGCCGCCGGAGGCTTCCGAAACTCCCCTGGCCGCATGACAACCCATGTGAGCTGTGACATGTTGCGACTGCGAGTATTAGAGGCTTCAATTCATTGGAGGCTAG